CAATAGTATGATCATATATTGAAGGTACCACGGCTTTGGCTAATCGTTTAAATGAGTCTTTTGAAATATGAGGATGTTTTTTCTTCTTTTCATCTTTAGTTTCAACATCAGTAGATGTAGTTGTTGTTGTTGTTGATGATGATGATGACGATGAACTTTTAGCTTTCTTTGATTCGGGATCACCGGTATTTGTAGCTCTTGAAAAGGCAGCAGTTAATAGAATGATATAAGCTGTGTTTAAGAATAATGAACGATTTGATTTATATACATTGAATAGGGACAAAGCTAATGAATTTGTGGGTCTTGGGGATACACCCACTGGTAAAGATGACATTGGATATTTAACCGAAATGTGGGGAAATGAGAACTGAAGGGAACAAGGTTAGTGATTGAAGACTTTGGTGATGAATGACTTAGAGATGGTTGATGATATAAGACTTGTTAATATAGATTATAATGATATAAAGTGAAGATCAACCAGATCAAAATGAGTTGTTGCCAAATAATTCATTTGTTGATGATTGATGATGATGATGATGATTGATTTGATGATGGTTAGATTTGGTCGGGTTCTCCACTAAAATATCACATGTAAAAACAAGAGAAAAAGAGAGACTCCGACGACATTTTCTACAAAACGACATTGATGTCATTATTAGAGACATAATTTTTCTTATGAATTTAATTTGAATTAACTATTTACAAGTTCACAATTATTACAGTATTACTAATTTCTACTTGGTTTGACGGTTTAGATTTTTGCGATATCATCCAAGTAAACAACTCCTTTGAAGTCGGGGTTCTCTAAATTCTGGAATAAAGATATTGCCACCTTTTCCGTGGAAACAATTGGTCTTAATGTGTGATTTAAAAACGAAATATGGTTTCCCACGAGAAGCTGTTTCATATTATAAATACCTCTGATAACACCTGCAATTCTATCTCTTGTAGTGAAAACTTCGGGATTTTCCTCGTACATCATTCCTGGTCTCATGGCAATAAACCTCAAGCCTTCCTTTTTTGATAACAAGGACTCTGCATCTCTCTTAGACTTGATATAACGAACGGGAATCATTGGGACCTGTTGATCAGCTGATAAGTAGATGTAGCTAGGATTCTCCTTTTGTTCCTGCAAAAAGGTATCAGCTAATAATACAGCAGTATCACGTTGCACGGCCTCGTACGAAGTACGGTCACCTTCAGCTCTCTGCATGGGATTTGAATGTCTTATGGTGCCGACCAAATGCAGTAATTCACCGAAGAAGTTGCTGCTCGAATTGATGGTGTTCTTATATGAAGTGTCTTCAAGTAAGATTCCAACAAGGTGTACGACAGTACCAAACTGGGATAACTTGGACTGGTAACTCGAGGCATCGAATATATCTGCCTTTTCCCATTGTACTTTCTCTATCCATGTCTGATTCTTCTCGGTCTTGGGTGGTCTACCACTACGAGAGAACGAAGTGACTTCGTATCCTCTCTGAACGCCTAGTTCACAGATTTTGCGCCCAAGAAGACCATTACCTCCAAAAACGGCAATTGACTTTTGCAATACCATACTTGCTTTCGATACTACCTTGGATTACATCTATGTGATCTTTCTTTTCAAAACTGGCCCAAACCATGCCATTTTAATAGTTCCCAACGAAGGCGTAAGTCAGTGGCGACTACCTAAAATTCGCAACTTTCGAAGATCACCTTATTTTTTCACTGGCATGCCGATATAACCCGGACCGCAAACGGACAAATAACTAACAACTACATAGATAATATATACAAAACAGTCGGTTCGATACCGGGCGACGGGGTTAAGGTTTCGTAATTACATCTATTAACGTAAATAAAATTCTAAACTATGTAAATTATGCTATAAATAACTATTGGGGTGGAATTTCTTATTCAATAAGACATATTCTGACTCATTAAGTCCTAGCTTTCTTTTCCGTTGCCACTGGAGATGAAGATGACTAGAGTTTATCAATGACTAGAATCTCCGTATCGGAAGTAACTGTGTTAGGAGTTGAAGCGGCGGATCGAATTGATTCGGCATGTTGGAGTTTAAACCTTGGTTGGCACTATGGCTGTGGGCGCCAACATTAGCCGGATTGAACAAGTTGTTGCTGAAGAATTGGTCGAAAAACTCTTGTCGTTGTTGTTGTTGTTGCAAGTGCTGTTGATATGCTTCCTTTTGTTGTTGTTCCTTTAACTTAGCCTCCTTCTTTGCTCTGATCAAAGCCGCTTTTTTTTGGTTTTTATAAGTGCTTCTTTCTTAGCTTGCTGAGCTTTAATCTCATCTTCCTGTCTTGTTTTTTCAGCTTCTTGTGTAGCTTTCTCAGCTTCTTGTTTAGCCTTTGTTTTCTATTATATTCCTCTTAACTGTGTTTATTAGAAATTAATGTTGAATAAATCTTCAAAGCTATCAGAGTGGCAAACGATCTCTCTCTTTGGGATGTTGAATGATATAAGCTGTGTTTAAGAATAATGATCGATTTTGATTAATATACATCGAATAGGGATAGAGCTAATGAATTTGTGAGTCTTGGGGATACACCCACTGGTAATGATGACATTGAATATTTAACCGAAATGTGGGGAAATGAGAACTGAAAGAGACAATGTGGTTAGTGATTGAAGACCTTGGATGAGAATGATATGATACTGCTTTGATGATTTAAATGATCAGACTTCTTAATGTTGTTCTAAAGTAAAGATCAGATCGAAATAAGTTGTTGCCAAATAATCCTTTTTCGATGATGATTGATGTTTGTTCCCTACTAAAATGTGTAAAAAAGCGAGCCCGACGACAATAATCGTGTACTACAAAACGACATTGATGTCATTATTGGAGACATAATTTAAAGTGAGACAGACAGACTTTTGTATTATAACTACCTAACTAAAACCATTATAACTAAAAAGACCATAACTATACTATTATCATAAACATTAATCATTATTAAACAAAGTGAAACTTGGTACAGTAACATCAATTATTGATGTTTACTGTCTTGTAAAGTATCAACGAATTCTTGTTTATGGTGAGCTATTTGTTGATTTAATTGATCCATTCTGCCAAAATAAGTAGTATTAGCCAAATCTTCGGTATTATTAACACCATTCTGAGCTAATAGATTGCTATATAATTCTTTTAATTGAATCTTAGTATTCAATTTAATCTGTTTATTATCTAATTTCATTACCACATGATTCTTAAATTCAGTTAAAATGGTTGATATTAATTCATCTGATGCTGAATCAATCAGTTTTTCATCTTGTAAATTATTGACATATAATAATTGGGATAACAATAGTATTTCTCGTTGACTATAAGTGGCTGGATTGGTTATAACTTTACTCATCCTTTATTTAACCTTATCATTGATCAGATCAGTTATAACACATATATATATATATAATCAATCTCTTTTTTATTCCTTTTCCTTTTCCGTTTTGAGGGAGGAGGAGGAGAAAATAAAATTACTTTAGGGAGAGTTCTCCCTAAGGGAGAAAAGTCTAGGGAGAGAAGTCGTGTCATTTCCATTTTGTCAACAAACCAAAATATTCAAAACTTTAGTTTCAGATCCTATCTATACCACATTTGATACTTCATTAGTTCAGGGTATATACGGTATATGATCAGTGATTAAACGATGTCAGAAGGTATATCATGCGTGGAGAATGATCTATCGAAAATTGATATCAATAAGTCTTCCTTCAGAAGGAGGAAACTATATCCAAAAAGTCTAATCCCAGATTTACAACCACCATCACAACCGTTATCATCAAGAACCTTATCTTCTTCATTATCATCATCCTCATCTCCATCTCCATCATCAAAATCAAGATCAAGATCTAACTCCTCAAAGATCCCATCATTACCCTCCAATGGTTCTCTTTCTTCTATTATAAACCCAAGAACTCCATCTCGTATCATCTCATCAACCACTAAATCAATGTCAACCATTAAATTACCTCTGGATAAGAGAATCATAAGTTATCCCATGTCAGAAAAATCAACTTCAAAACAACAATATCAATTCTCCTTCATGAAAGATACATCTTCATCTCTTAAAAAGAAAAATAATCCCTTTATAATGAATACTCCTTCATCTACTTCTCCATCTATCCCATCAACCATACCTAAAAAAAGACTAGAACCTCAAAGAACAAGAAGATACGTATCATCCACATTACCTTATTCATCTCCAGCCCATAATTTAAAACATTATCATCCTCCAAAACTAGCTCCAATAGATATCACTAATTTAAATCTATCACCAAATAAAATTTTAAATCAAAATATTGAATATTCACCTACAAGAGATAATAGATCGATCATAAAAAGAAATGCATCACAACCAATTCCTGATTCTAATGTATTTAATAGATTATATCCCAAACCACCACCACCACCATCACCATCAAATCCAAGTGAATTGAGTCGTCGTCAATTACAACAACAACCAATACAACAGTTTGATCAAGTAGATAGAAAAATATCAACCATTCCAGATTTATATCAAATACTTCATGAACGTGATCCTTCCTTATTCACATTTGCCAGTGAAAATGACAATAATTCTGTGGGAACCAAACCATTCACAGCTGATGAAATTCTTCTCAATAAACTAAATGTATATGAAAGAGGTGAAATTATACGAAAAGCTGATATTTATTATGCACCAACTTCAATCAATCGTAACATAAACATTACCAACTATAATACTAACTTTGGATTTGATGATAAATGTGGAAATTATATCGTCATCCCTCATGATCATATCAATTATAGATATGAAATTAAAAATATGTTAGGTAATGGATCATTTGGTAATGTGATTAAAAGTATAGATCATAAATCAAATAAAATAGTGGCGGTAAAAATCATTAAAAATGATTTAAATTGGTCATTACAATCTATTAATGAAATTAAAGTATTAAAATTCCTAAATAAAGAAAATCTGAATGATAATATCTTAAAATATTATGATCATTTCAATTTTAGAAGTCATATGTGTATTGTAACAGAATTATTATCCATCAATTTATATTCACTTTTAGAAGTTATCAATTTTAGAGGTTTATCGTTACCAATCATTCAAACTTTTACCCTGCAATTATTAAATGGTTTACAATTCTTACATCAATTAGATATAATTCATTGTGATATTAAACCTGAAAATATAATGATCAAATTACCATCAAATCCTCAATCAAACTCAATAGGGATTAAAATAATTGATTTTGGTTCATCATGTTATAAAAATGAAATATCATTTACTTATATTCAATCTCGATTTTATAGAGCGCCAGAAGTTATATTAGGAGCAAATTATACTGAAAAAATTGATATTTGGTCATTAGGATGTGTAATAGTTGAATTATTTTTAGGAATTCCTTTATTACCAGGTAAAAATGAAATTGAACAAATTGGATTTATTTTAGAATATTTTGGAGCTCCAAAATCTTCAACTATATTAAGATTAAGAAAAGTTTTAAATAAATCAACTAATCAATCTATTCCTCATAATAATTTACAAATTCCATCTTTAATTAATGAAAAACAAATTAAGAAAACTCTTCTATTTAAGATATTTGATATTAATGGTAAAATCAATATGTCCTTATTAAATTTTCATCTTAATAATCCCGGTCCTAATAATAGCACTTCAACCAACAAAAAACAATTTAAATTAAATTCAAAAAACTTAGAAATTAATTTAAATTTAAATAAATATTCTTCTTCAGATCACAATAATCAATTGCTAAATAAATTATTTATCAAATTTTTAAATAACATCTTTATCTGGGATCCAACCGAAAGATCAAACGTTAATGAATTACTTAATGATCCATTTTTACAATAACAACAGGCAGAGTAAATAGATTTTTCTCTTGTGTTTTAAATTATTAAATAAATATAAGAGAGTTTTTGCATTATTTGTATATCTTTTCTATAATCTCTATGGATGACCATGATTTGATCCTGGCCAAGCTGCAATTCTTTCAGGTGTTGTACTTTTACTCATAGATTCTTGATCAAAAATCTCCACAATGTTCTTAGTATCATCGGTTAACACCATGATTTGACGTTCTAATAGTAACTTATCTTCATCATTACCCGATAATTCATTTACAAATTGTTTAATATTGGATAATTTTTCATCGATGATTTGATCTAAACTTTTAATTAATCGATTCCCAAATTTAATATCAATAGGTAAATTTGTATATATTTTCTTTTGAAGATTCTTCACAATCTTTAAATTTTCCAAGACTTTTAAATAATAATCCTTTTCAGAAAAATTAATCGATTTATTATTTGATTTAAATGGTGGATTCAATAATAATAAAGCAGCATAATAAAGCATGATATGAATATGTACTGGCACATATTTCAAATTATCTAATATATCATTGTCATTAATCACCAAGTTCAATACGGTTTGAGCAGCAATGACTGCTATATTAGCATTGATGATCGTTTCATCTTCCGACATTAATTCCTTATTTGATATGAATTCATCTTCATCTTCCACTGTTAAAGATTGATTTTGATTTGATGATGAATCTGATGATGAACTTTCTATTCTTTTATCAGTTTGCATTTTGGTAACATCCCATTTCGGAAGCATACTACCATCATCACTAGGGTTAATCTGTAATTGCCTTACTGCAGTGGAATTAATATGCATTTTGGCAAAATTATAATATATCAAAGTAGATTTGGATGACCAAACTGTACCATTATTACCTGGGGCTAATAAAACAGTCCATGATACCATCCATCTATCTAATTCTAAATTTGATTTTGATGGTATACCAAATGAAGATGGAACTAAAAGATCCCACGCATTTCCTCTAAATGCTTCATTCAAGGCTTGATTATATTCAACTTGAGATACTAATCTCATGTCTGTAAATCTTTCCGATTGTTTTTCTTTATCATCATCATCTTCATCATCATTATTCTTTTCATCACTTTCTGTTAATAGATTGTTTTGTGATACTGAACTTTTTATAGCTAATTTTTTAGATAATAAAATTTCCCGACTATTCTTTAATGAATATTCTTGAGAATTAACTAATGGTTGTCTATTAAATGTTAAACTTTGTTGACCATCCAATACATATAATAAATACCATAATTTCAATTTCTCTTTATTTGAAGTATATGGATTATTTAATCCAAATTCTTTAGCTAATTGTAATGCTAACCCAGTAAACATCTGAGAATCAGTTAACCAAAAACTACAAAACACTAAGGCAACAATAGTGTTAAATCCATCAGTTTCATTAGTCGGTTTACCTTTATATAATATGGTTGAGCATAGGTGATGTAAATATTTCTGTAATGTTGCTGATTTATTTCCTAATTTCGGATGATGGATTGATGAGATGGCACATATAGCACATACTAATAAAGGACAAGAATCCCAAATTGAATCGATTGATATCTTGGAAATTTCAAATCCAAATAATTGTTGAGATATATTAGTATCGAAAAATTTAAATAATTCTGTAGCTTCTTCCTTACTTAAATATCCCAATCGGAAATCTTCTGGTATATCAATCTTTTGCTTTTTATGAGTATTTAAGTTGGACTCTGACATTATACGTTTGAGATTTTGCGAATTAATACTTGGAGGTGGGACTATTGGCTCTTGAGGTGGAGAAGTCGAGAGACGGGGTAATGGAGATGGATTAATGGGGGTATAACTGCGATTACCATGATTGGAAGTACCATTCAATAATCTTTGGCTTGCAGGGTGAGGGGGTAGAATGTTTGGTGGGAGTGGTTGAGTTTGTATTTGTGGCAGTGGCTGTAGTTGGGGTTGAATATATGAATTATTATAATAAGAAGGTGGTATCTGGTTTTGGTTCTGTAACTGAGGTGGTGGTTGTGGTGTTGGTTGTTGCAAGCGTCGTTGTGATTCTAATAAATATTGTTGATTCATCTTTAAAATCTCCACTAAATCATTTAATTTATTATCCACATTATTCATCCTATCTTCCATTTGAGACTTCCATTGAGTTTCTTTGTTTGTTCCTCCATTATTGGCAATCGTACTTGTCGGTATTAAGTATTGACTTGAATTTTGAATAGATGGTGGTAATGGTGGTGGTAGTATTTGCAGTTGCAGTTGCAGTTGCAGTTGCTGCAGTTGTTGTTGTTGTTGTTGTGTTGTTGGAGTCGATGCTGCGTTTGAAAGAGCATGGCTGCCGCTGGTTCTATTACCAACTCCACTGACAGATAACGGCGGAAGACTCACCTCATGAGTTGAATCATTTTTATTGAATGGTGGTAGTTTTAAAGAAGGTAATTTGGGTACAAATTGACAATTGATTGATTGACCTGTTTTAATACATCGTTCACACGGGAGCGAGTTGTTATATATACATTTGACTTTCGATCGTTTGCAATTTGAACACGGTTTCGTTCTTTTTTCTTTGGCCATTGCCTATTCTTTGATCTGATGCCTTTTGAAGTAAAGGTCCTTATAATACTTAAACAAAGAGCTGTAAATAAAAAAAAAAAATGAAAACTAAAAATATCATAACCTGTAAAAAGTATATCAAAACTGTAAAGAACACCAGAAACTGTAAATTGTAATCTTTTTGCAGTTTTATATGGGATTTGGTTTTTGCCCCAGATTTTCACAGTACAAAAATATGGGAATCGAATTATTATTAATCAAAAGAAGTGATTGATCAAACCAAAAGTATCAACTATGTCCATGAAATCTAAAATTAAATCATTCTTTGGACCTCAGAGACAGTATGCTGTTGCTGGAGCCAGTAATAATCCTAGTAAGTTTGGATTTAAAATCACAAATTGGTATGTTGGTCATGATATACCAGTTATTCCCATAAATCCTAAAGAGAAGGAAATCTTAGGACAACCAGTTATATCTAACGTTAGTAATGTTTTGGAATCTATTAATAGAGGAGAAGATTTGGATGCATATCACTTAAGTAAAGCTGATGGGTTGAGTATTTCATTTTTAACTCCACCTCATATTACAGTGACAACTTTGAAAGAGATTGCTACAAATCCAAATTATCAAACGTTAATTAAAGGTTTATGGTTTCAACCAGGTAGTTATAATGCTGAAGTTTTGGAGACAGCTGATAATATTGGGTTAGGTGAAAAAGTTGTGCATGAAGATGAATGTATTTTAGTTCGAGGTGAAGAAGGATTGTATAGTGCCAATTTATAAAAGTGTTCATTTCACTTTTAATGTCATAAAAGAACGTTTAGTTATCAATTTTATTTATTTATTTAGTTGAATATTATTAAAGACTTCATATATTAAGAAGATAAATATTGATATATGTACAAAATGAATTGAATAAGTTGTGATTATGTATAGTGATTTGCTGCTATAATCCAACCATTACTCTTTTTAAGAATTCCACCATTGATTTGAAGTTGTAGTAGAAGTGGTAGTCGTTATTGAGTCTGGTTTGTTTTGATCTATTATGATTGCATATGGATATGGTATACTTGCTGTTGAAGTTATAGGAGGGACATTATCTATATTTAATTCAATAATTTGATAAATGTCAATTAAATTTGCCTCTAAGCTTTGAATAGACTGCTTTATTTTCGGATTGTTTATTTGATCGGATGAATAAGTACTTGTAGATCTAGATGTTGAATCTTTACGATTATTTCCACTTGTTGACTTGCCTTGATTATTATCTTGTATCAGTAAATCTTCGATAGGGAAACATTCTACCAGTATATTCCAAACTTCCCATGTATATTCATCAAGGATTTGATTTTGATTTGTTGGAACAGAAGTACTTGTGAACCATCCTCCAGCTGAAACTGCCGTTGATCCTCCACCTGTAGATGATCCTGATGGGTTTGTTATTGATAAAATACTTTTTCTATCCTTTTTTGATTTTGGATCAAGAAATTTAATGATTACTTTAGCTATTTTTGATCTATTCGGTTGTATATTATCAAAGTTTGCTTTTATTAATTGATTAATCTTTTCATCGATGATTGAATCTAAATCATATAAATTGGATGCCATAGGATATGTTACATTAAAGAAGTCAACTGTAGTGGGACTTATCGGTCCTAGTACTCTATTAAAAAATATGGTCCATATTATACCTAAATGAACATTAAGTTAGTATTAATCAACAATAATTCATTATGAATAATCAGAACATTATCAAATATTGCCATTGAAGGCTATTGATGTCTGTTATCCCAACTTTAATAAACATACCTTTTAATGATTCTCTAACTACAGATCTTTCTGCTGTTAGACTTAGATTGAACTCCGTCATTGTTTATGGTGTTTATCAGGATTTGAACAATTATAATCTATTAACCTGCCCCTATATCAAATGGATCCCCACCACTATAAAATCTATAAATCCAATTATCAATGGCTTTGTTATACTGTTTAATTAAAGTAAGAGCAAAACAGTTACAGTGTTAATTTCTGTTGTACACAAACAAAAATCAAACATCAAACATCAAAATGCGTGTAAATTTAAATCTCTATATAATAATTCATATTAACAAATGATACAACTATATACATATATATATATATATATACAAGATTAGGATTGGGATGAGGATGTGGATTGATTGGTGGTATCAGGTGAAGTATTAATAACAGGTTCAATGGGTAAAATATCATTATTGGACCTTTCCAGGGTTGATTGTAATTGTTTTTGTTGTTGTTTAATCTTAACTTCATGTAAATCCTTTTCAACTAACTTTTCCAACTCTATTAAACATTTAGGTAATACTTCGAAATCAATAGCTTCTAATTCATTATCTTTAAACTTGGTCATAACATAATCTATAACATTCTTTTTATCTGGTGGTCTACCAATTCCAATAGCTACTTTAGTATACTTATCATTTGAAATGAATTTATTAATTGATTTTAAACCATTATGACCTCTTGGACTTGTGCCTGGTTTCCTTATTTGATATTTACCCACTGCTATTTGTAGTTCATCATGTAAAATAATTAATTTACTACCTTCTTGTTGAAATTGTTGATAATGTTTTGAAATAGCATAACCTTGTAAATTCATTAATGAATCATTTGACTTAAACAATACTATATTAGGATACCGTTTCGACTTGAAATAATGATCTCCTTCTTTAATTAAATGTTGTTTCCAATAAATATTAATCAATTGATCAATAAATCGATGTCCAATATTATGTCTGGTTCCTTCATATTCTGGTTCAGGATTCCCGATTGAAGCTATAAACAAACACCTAGTATTATTTAAACCAGGGTTACGTCGTATAGGCACAAAATACGACTTATACAAATGTCTTATCAACATATTCTATCCTCTCCTTTCCTTTGTAGTGTTGCCAAAAACGGTTAAATAAATATTTCATCAAAATAAATTTTTAAGGCTGTATCGCAAAAGAACCAAAAAAAAATAAAAACTGCCTTTTGCAAATTTTGCAAACCTTTTTATTTGTGGATCATAATATTTACAACAACAACAACATCCATCAATCACAACCATCAAATCATCACAAGAGTATGTTGCAGTCATATTCAAGTCACCACTTATCATGAATATTTAGTTTAACGTTTGGTGTGGATGTATTGGTTGGTTTTATTTAGTTAAGAAAGCTTTCATAGTCGGCTAAAATAATTTGGCAGCATTATCTTTCAAGACATATAACTTGCAATTACTGGTGCTAGGTTTTGGAAAAAGGTAACTTAGATGGTTTCAAGATGCTCAATTCCCTTCATCTCCTAAAATATTATGTATGTGATTGATTATAATTATTTTATTATTGTTAGAGGCTAGTTTAAATCAAACATTTGAATTGAAGTGAAACTACGAGTTGTCAAGAACTTTCTTATCAATTCATCATTCCACTTACTCATCATTCATGATCATTTTCTACTTAATGGATAAGAAAAAATTGGAAGAATCTATAACTGCGAATATATAGTATTCATGATAACTTCGCCATGATCAATCAATTAAAGCTGTTCAATGATTTATGGAGAAGAACCAGAAACAAGAGATAAGTCTGGATCTATTGGTTTGTGGATACAAATTACCTATCTAGGACATTCTACTTATTTTAGAGGTGATTATTAGATCAAAAACTGCTAAGAGGTTCAAAGAGTCACAGCTATAGCTATTATTAGGTTATTATTATAATGATTAGTAGGAGACTAAAGAATAAGAATCCAATGGCCGTAAAGAATTTCAAAATTTGAAGATAAACAAGAAAGAGAATCAGGAATATAATCATGTTGCTACAATTTATTACCGAGGTGTGCCATGAGTAATCAAATCGATAGCTAATCATAAACTTATGGTGGTTATAGGATATCAATGACTTAATATCATAATAAGTCAACATTAAAATATAAGTTTGATGCTGTCTTGAATGTTGGCTGCTCCATTCAGAGACTCATCCGAACTCAAAATTATTTCGAATAAATTACTTATTCTTGATAAATGTTAGTTTAACTTTACTAACATGTATCAACTCTATAGTCACTTGTTTTAAGTCGTTCTGGCTACGGCTGAATGTCTTAGTGACGCATTCAACAAGCAAAGCATCATTAAATTTACATTTAGCTGTTGCTGTTTGAAAAAATAAAAGAATGTTTTTAAGTCAATGATGTGCTATTGAATGATAGATTTTTGAAGGAATGATTAGCTAAAGATGGATTATATTTCAAATTATCAAAATATAATCATGGCACACAAGGAGTTTAAGTCATTAAGAATTTAATCTTTCATTTGCTATCTTGAATAGGTATTAATGGTCTTTGGAACTGGTTATTTTTATGATATTAAGATGCTATTAGTGGGTTATAAATTAAATTTATCATTAAGGCTCCGTTTAGTTGTTGAATGTTGAAAATAGATTTAAGTTATTCATAAGAGGTTGCTGCTGTAATAATTTATTAGATAAAGATTTGATCATGGTTGAAGCATTTTTTATAAGAGTCCATTCATTTTCGAGATTACAACATATTTTTATTTGCACTTTTTATGAAAGGTAGTAACTGATTATTGTTACTGATGTTTTTTTCTTATGGTTGGTTATTGCTGATGGACATTTTTTAATTAAAATTGATTCTGAATTTATAGTGTTGTTGTTTATATATTTCACTATCCAAGTTATGTCAACGTTGATTGATTCTGATGAGGTTGAAATTTGGAAAATGGATTGAAAATTGGTTATTATGCTGATTTAAAAAAGGTTCAGAAATTTTTATAAGGACCCCGAAAAAATTTTGTATCATGCTAATGATGGCGGAAGGCCTGAAAAAGGGCCTGAAAATTTGATGTGATGATAATTATGGCGAAGCTACGTTCTAGGTTGAGGGTGCTGCCAAATTAGTAAGGCTGAAAAGGGGCCTGAAAATTTGGTATGACGTTAGTGACGGCGAAGCTACGTTGGAGGTTTATAGAAGATGGTCCCAAATCAGTAAGGCTACAAAAGGGCCTGAAAATTTGGTATAATGCTAATTATGGCGAAGCTACGTTCTAGGTTTAGAGTTGCTGGTACCAAATTAGTAAGGCTGAAAAGGGGCCTGAAAATTTGGTATGATACTAATTACGGCGAAGCTACCTTCTAGGTTTAGAGTTGCTGGAACCAAGTTGGTAGGGCTGAAAAATATATATGGAAACTTTATAATCATACATTTAGAGAAGCATAAACATCATTTACTATTATTCTATCTAATATTTTAACATACTTGTTCTATTCTTATTATTTTTGGCTTTGTTACTTTGATCTTCAATAAGTCCTGATCTGGATGGTTTTGCTCCTATATCTGACTTGTTATTATTATTACTATTATTATTCTTATCTCTTATAATACCTGTTCTTGAAGGCATCTTAACTGGTTTTACGTTAGTTGATTTTGGTTTACCTGGTAATACCATCGTTCTTGAAGGCTCTTTACTTCTTTGATTATTACCGTAATTCCCATTATTATTGTTATAATTCCCATTACTATTGTAATTGTTATTATAATTCTTATTATAATTGTTACTATTATTATAGTTATTATTATTATTATAATTGTTATTGCCATTATAGTTATTGACATTGTTACTATAAAGAGCATTATTCATGAGATTATAACCATTATCATAGTTTGTACCACCATTGTTATAATTATTATTATTGTAGTTCTTACCATTATTAGATGGTTTTTTATTTCTATTCATTAGATTATCAAAATTTGGTGAATGAGAATTACGCTGTTGCCTTTTATTATTATTATTATTATTATTTCTATTATTTGATTCTTTATCATCATGAAGGGGTCGTTTCAAACTTGTTACAAAACGATTAAGTTCATAATCTATTTCATCTTGATTTTCGTTCATAGATTCAGATTCGGATCTTGATTCAGGTCTAGAAGATGGTTTGGATGATCTAGAGGATGGTCTAGCAGGTAACATTGATGATGATACTAATGATGGTAAAGATGAATTCTTATTAGATGGTTGATATCTTCTATTATTATTATTTCCACTTTTACTTTTACTAATAGTTGTAAAATAAATTGATCTTAATTGTTTTGGTAAATTTCTTCCTGAAAAAGCACTACCAAAATTAGGTACTCTAGAAGTTCTAAAACTTGTACAATCATCTCCATAATGTTCATCACTTCCACAATTATAACAATATATTATTGGTAAATCATTTTCTGTTAATTGGTTTGTTTCTGCTAAATCTGGATTTGGAATAACAATATAAGATCTCCAAATGGTTGGACAATTATCTAAACTATGACTAAACGTATCACAAGTCAGACAATATTGACGTTTTTTATTCTTATTGGTACAATCTATGGCCATATGACCCTTTTCATTACATCTTGAACATATTAAAGTAGTAGGACAATGAGTTTCATAATGATCTCCCACTACACCACATTTATGACATACAACAGTTTTACATTTAGCTCTCATATGACCTCGTTTATGACAATTAGCACATAAAGGACCCAATGCATGAGCTTGATTAATGGAATCTCCAGACTTAGGATCTATAACTCCAAAGTATCTTCCTTCTCCTCTTAACTCTATTAATTCATCGGCATCATCATTTACTTGTTCCAATGTCAATGAGGTGATTTCATGAGAATTATTATTATTGTTGGTATTGGGAGTATGGTTATTGGTTATGGTTGATTTCTCATCAGAAGACGATGGTGTAGGAGTAGGTTCCATGGATTGGAGGATATCTATAGTTGATTTTAATGCGTTTGATGAATGATTTTTATTAGCAGATGGAGTTGAAGTTCCTGATGATGATTTCATGGGTATATAAGGTTTGGCAGAGGTTGTATTTATATTTATACTGGGAGTAGAATCCTCTACGAATCCTAGTATTTCACTCATATTCCACCCTTATTTATAACTATCGCTATGATCTATTTATCAGTATATCAATATGATGAAATCCATCCATCCATCATCAACACTCTTCCCATTCCATTCTCAAAAAAATTTTGATTATCAAAAAAAAAAAAAAAATAATGGAGTGACACAAAAAGATTACAATCAATATAGGTACAGGAGTAACTTTACCTTTAATAGGATAAGTTTTATGATACGTATATAAGATAGTTAAATAGTGGACTATTATTTTTTATAAAAGATAGAAATGAAACATTAACAAACAAGATAAAGAAATTATACATAAATAAAATAAAGAGAGCAAGTCGTTAAGCTATTATAGTCTTGATTCCGATATAGATAGATATTTTTGAAGGGATGATATATATTTTTATTGGTGGTTATGTTCTTTTTTTAATTACCGATATCATTATAACACATTTCTAACAATATGAGCATTAACTTGCCCTTGTAAGGAATCATCATTTGGATCATTAACTTGTAAACTTGTTTTTAAGAATTCTTGTTTGGTAAAGTAAGCTAATGCATAACAACTTGAACTTATGGTGAATAACACAGCAACCACAATCAAACTAGTAGCTTGAATAGTCAATGATAACCATTGAATCACCGCCATTAATAAATAAAATCCACATCTTGGTAAATTTTCATCAAAATTCTTAATAAAATTTGTAAAAGTATCAGTTAATGGACAAATCTTTAATAAAAATGGAATTTCAACAAAGGTAACTACTAAACCTTGTACAATACAAATGATGGAAAATATTATAACTAATGATGCATGGAATATATTAGCAACTCCTAAGGCAAGACATAAGAATATAGTTAATATTCCAATCCATTGACCATATAAGGAAAAGTTCTTCTTTTTAAAGTCTGAAGAAAGACCACCAAATATATTGGAAAAGATTCCACTAAAACTAACCATGATTTATTTTGTTGATAATGATGTTGTTGATTTCAATGTTGACTTCTGATATTTGACAGACGCTGGTGATTGCAGTTGATCTTTTTAACTTTCGCTTGTACTTCTCACACACTAGATGATGAACTTATCAAATACACACTCAATTGAATAACTTGATCTTCAACTTTCGATTGATGTCAATTATAAGATGGAATCAATTGATTATAATTGAGGATAACTTTAATGACCAGAAGAAGGCTGGGCAAATTATACATGACATGTTGTTAATAAAATGGGAAAAAACAAAAAAGAATCCAAAAAAAAACATCCATGAATCAACATTTATAGACAGGAACATCCATGCCCACATACATAAGCCATGATTAAGTAGTTAAAAAAGAAAAATTTCCAACCAGATGGATGTAAAGAATTCAATATTTATAAAGCATTTCATATAAACTATAACAGATATAGATGGGTAGAGAGACAGTTATTGGGTTGGTGGGGAAGCCATCAAGTGGGAAATCCACCACCCTTAATTCCTTAACTGATGCCAATGCAAAAGTTGGTGCCTTCCCTTTTACAACCATTGATCCTAATAAAGCAACAGGATATCTTGAAGTTGATTGTGCTTGTTCAAGAGTAGGTCAAAGTCATTTATGTAAACCTAATTATGGTTATTGTCGAGATGGTAAAAGAGGAGTTCCAATCATGCTTTTAGATGTAGCAGGTTTAGTCCCCAATGCTCATTTAGGTCGTGGTTTAGGAAATAAATTTTTAGGTGATTTAACAGAAGCTGATTGTTTAATTCATATTGTTGATGTTAGTGGGACAACTGATGCTGAAGGTAAAGCTACTAGAGGGTATGATCCATTACAAGATATTGAATGGTTACAAGATGAGATTTTCCGTTGGATTTTAGGAAATTTAATGGAAAAATGGCCATCTATTGTAAGAAGACATATTGCTACCAAATCAACTACTGCTGAAACTTTACAAGCTCAATTAGGAGGTTATTCTGCTAATTCAAGAATCATATATAGAACACTTGATTTAATTCCTCATATTGCTCCTTTAAATGAATGGGATAATGATATGATTGAAACAGTGATTAAAACTTTCATGCAAGTTAAATTCCCCACTGTATTATCATTAAATAAAATGGATCATCCTGATTCTGATAAAAATGTATCCAAAATCATTTTAAAATATCCCAACCTGAAAATAGTATTAACTTCAGCCATAACAGAAGTATTCTTAAGAAAATTGGCTAATCAAAATTATATTAAATATGATCTGGGAACAGAATTTATCGATACTATAGATGATTTAGGACCTGATCTGGGTTTGAAACCATTAGATGAGAAAGTCCGTAATAGAATTGAAAACATACGAGATTTAGTATTATATAGATTTGGATCTACTGGTGTAATAGATTTATTAAAAAAAGCAGTTGAATTATTAGATTTGGTACCGGTTTACCCTGTTAAAAATATTCATAATTATACGGGAGGGAATGGATCCAATGTGTTCCGAGATTGTTTATTAGTTAAACGAGGTTCATCAGTGGTATCAGTAGGTAAAAAGATTTTAGGTGATGTTACTATTGTTTCAATTGAAGGACTTGGAGGTATGAAAATTGGTGAAGAAGATACTATTGATATTGGTAAAAATGATGTTTTAAGTTTTAAAGTGATATCAAGTCATTAAAAAAACATGTATATAGTATGTTAGTAAAACATAGAATAGTTTAGAATAGTAAATAAATGTATTATAGATGAAATTCTTATTGACAGTATAGATCTTATAGATAACAAAAACTGAGATGGAATTAATTCCGAAAATCGGACCAAAACTGTATAAAGACGACCAAAAAAAAAAAAGTATGATATTCCGAGGGCAAAATATCAGAAGCTAAGAAATATTTAATTAAATTAGGTTGAAAAAATTTTCCAAATTGAAGTTGAAGAAGAAGAACAACTAAGAGTATCTATCAATCATCATTAGAGAGATTATCAGAGGATTACAATGACTACCGATCTTGAACAATTGAAGAAAACCATCACAACTACGGAGTTGACAACGGAACAATTACAAAAATTGAATCAATTAATTGAAAGTATTCCCCAAATCATTAAATCATTAGATAATAGTGATTATGACGAGATATTTGGATATAGAATCAATAGTGGTGATAAAGAATATATTGAAATTGATAAACGTAATGAAATCTTATTAAAATTTTTAATTGCTAATAAATATGATGTTACAGTTACAAAGGATAAACTTAAACAAACATTAAATTGGAGAAATCAATTTAAACCATTACATGCTGCATTTGAACTGACATTTGATTCTGAGTTGAAGAAATTAGGAGTTATAACTGATTTTGGTACCAATGATGATCTGAAGAAGAATTTAAGAGTTTTAACGTGGAATTTATATGGTAATATTAAATCACCAAAAGAATTATTTGAAAAATTTGGGGCTCAACCTGATACTGATGAAGATGATAGTAATTCACAATTTTTAAAATGGAGAATTGGATTAATGGAAAAATCATTAGCTTTAATTGATTTCAGTGATCCTAATAATCATAAAATTGGTCAAATTCATGATTATAAAAATGTTTCAATGTTTAGAATGGATCCTGGAATGAAAGCTTCAACTTCTAAAATCATTGACATCTTTGGTAATAATTATCCTGAATTATTAAGTATCAAATTCTTTATTAATGTTCCAAGTATAATGACTTGGGTATTTTTATTTTTTAAGAAATTAAAGATTATAAGTCCTGAAACTTTAAATAAATTTGAAGTTTTAAATAATGGAGATTTAACAAGTTGGATTAATAAATCTCAATTACCAAAAGATTATAGTGGTAATTCAACTAAATCAATTTATGATTTAGAAGTTGAAAATTCGAATTTTAAAATCCCAAAGTATGGTGAGATTATATTAAAGAGATTAGGTGATAAAGAGATTGAAGATATTAATAATGATGTTGAATAGATAGTCATTTGGAACCAATTTGTTTGATAATCAGATACAGTTTTTTTGCAATAATAGTAATAATAATTTAATTTAATTTAATTTAATAGTAATATATGTTATCAGTTTATATACAGGGAAATGAAAGGTGGGGAAAGAGCAGTTTAATTAAAAAGGTTTGACATTATAGGAGAATTTTTGTATCGTGGGGTACTGAGCCTCTAAAAAAAATTACGACAGTGATTGAAATAGGAGTAAAGTAATAAGGTTAGAAAAGTCGAAGAGAAGATATTATTAGTATTATCATTTACAATTACAATTATGATCATTTGTTGCCTTTCATTAGTGTAATTAAATTGTATGATTTATTAAAAGCATCTTATGATGTAAGATTTGAACCATGTTTTTTTTTTTTTTTGTTTTGTGGCCGGTGGGGCGGTATCGGCAGTAAAATTATAATCTGTAAAAAAGAATCAATTTACAACAAATAAAAGAAAAAAGCGCAAAACATTATAGATGTAACCATGATAAAAATGATGATGAACAATAGATTGATGAACTGATTATTACACCATTTCAAGGATAAAGATTAATTAATTGTTGAGTATTAGTTGTTGTATCCAACTATTTTGATCAACAAAGGATATTGCAAAGTGGGAAATATAAAAAGTAAATAGATATATATAAACTAAACACACCCACAACTAAACACGAGAGAAATGGCGGGGTAGATCAAATTTAAGAGGGGCAGTAACTAGTGGAGAAATTATTTAAAATAGTAAAAGTCAACAATTACGATAAGTTTAAAAAAATAAAAACACTAAAGAAAGAATATACTAAAATGTTATATAATAATAAATTAAAGGAGGTAGAAGAGGAAATAAATAGTTGTTATCAGAAAGAGAGAGAAAAAAAATGAAATATGGGGGAAAAGGAAAAGGAAAAGGAGGGGACAACAGGTGGTGGTGGTGGTGGTAAGTGTGGGACAAAGAAATTTAAGCTAATTCAGTTTAGTAAACAAAAATAAACTGAAACAATCTACAATAGTAAAGATCAAATATGTGTAGGAATATAGTTTGTTAATAGTAGTTGATAATTATAAGGGAAAATATAATGTGAGAATATGTGTTGGTTGGATGTGTTACTCAACCCCACATGAAATGGTGAATTTTTCACTTAATTAGATTAATCATACCGGATAATAGTATAAGTCATGACTATATCAATCTTGACCCTCATCATGACAACAACATAAAACAGATGATGAAGATGATGAATAAAATAATAAGAAATCAAGAAAATTTAATAGTAGTAGTGATTTGTGGTAGATAATCCGGAGCAGCCTTTTTTCCCTCACATTTCAGATTTATCAAGTCAAGACAAGTCAACTCAAGTCAAGTCAGGTCAGACAGTCAGTCATTTTTTTTTAATTTTTTCTTTTTCTTTTTTTTTTTTTTTAATTTTTTTTAATTTTTTAAAATAATTCTGTTTTGGGATAATTTGTCCAATTTACTTTCCATATTTCATTTCAGAGTTTATATTATAACAGTCCAGTCGCCTGTTTTTTACACTTTGTTTTTCTTAGCTGGTAATCAACCTAAATATAACAAAAAGGTGATCTTGATTCTTTTTATAAAACTTTAGCAAAAGTATCAAATACCTTTAGCTGGTATATTAAGAAAGTTAAAAGAGTCATATATCTCATTAGTGTCTGAAGTCATACATTGCTAATCGCAAGCCAGACCAGACAGACAGACAGACATTAAATTACACACATCTTTTTTTTACAATCAGACAGACAGACAAAAAAGATCTCACAAAATCAGTGTTAGTGTCATTTTTTTTAGTTTTGTCCTTTCCCTATTTATTTAGCTTACCAAAACCCCTTTTTACAACCCAACTCAATACCCGTTGCAAATTCAAATTCAAATTCAAATTCAAATTCAAATCTATCTATCTATATATAGACACGTCGAATTTCCTTTCCAACATCATCCCTTCCTTACCTCATCAATCTCCTTCTTCAACCTTATCATCCTATGCTCTACTGGTAAAATGCATCATCGAAGTTTTAGTTTTGATAGATTGAAATCAAAAGTAAGGAGATCATCCGATTCTCTGGATTTGACTTCCACAAGTCCTCCATCCAATCAACATTCAATATCCTCAGGTTCAAATGGTGGCATCAAGAAGTCAACCGATAGAAGAAATAGTATATCGAATCCAATGATTGTTATCAATGAATCAGCAAAGGAATCTTCCATACCTTTACGAAATTCAAATATCCCAAATTCATCTTCAAGTCGTTTAAGAGCCCAATCTCTCTCTTTTATTAATTCAACTAATTCAAGATCAAGATCAAGATCAACTTCAAGAAGTAATGGATCTTCTTCTGCTACTGTCACTAATACTAGCAATACTACTAATAATAACCTTGTGAATAGTACTAGTAATCATTTATTACTTCATCATCATCATCACCATCAATCATCATCTTTATCAAATGCTTTATCTCAAAGTTCAAAACGTCAAACTAAAGAATTAATCAAACAAGAAACATCTCAAATCATTCTGAAAAAATTATTACATATTTTACAAGATCTTGGTTTACAACATCCTATCCCTTTAAAAACCACAAATTCATCTCCAAATGGTTCAGTATCAAAATCTGTTAGAGTTTATGTCGCTAATTCAAATGATTGTATTTATCTTCCCCCCGCATCTTCTGCTAGTTTTACTTATGAAGATGTTGAAAATGGAGGTGGAATTATACGAAGAAATGAAAATGAAGATATTACTAATGATGAAGATGATAACACAAATCATAACGATCAAGATATATTTAATAATGAAACTTGTTCATTCTCTCTTGATGATGAACAACAACAACATGTTCCAAAGAATTTACAACAAAAATTAAAATCTTTCCAATCTCCAAATTATTTATGTACAAAGATTGATCTGGATTTACCTATTCCTCATACCTTTGCTATCATAATTGAATTATCCAAGGATTCAACCACCATTAAAGATTTGAAATTTGAATTTCAATCCCTTACTAATATCTTATGGCCTAGTGGTGATCCCTATAATAAAATCAATACTCGAGAAAAATTTAAAATTGGGGCTTTAGAATGGAGTACTAATTTAAAAAATAGTGATTATTATATCAATACTTCCAATTCAAATGATATTAAAATTAGGAACTTAACTGCTGATGATTTGGCTAAACGAACCAAAGAATATAAATTAGTTAATATTCGAGATTTAACCGATGGAGTTGATAGTATTAATAATTCTAAAATTGATGATTTCAGTAGTTCTTCGGGTACTACTTCTTCAAGTTCAAACTCAAGTGATGATACGTTTAAAGCTGGTCTTTACGTGTTTTTATTACCAATATTATTACCTGATCATATTCCATCCACCATTATCTCAGTTAATGGATCTTTACAACATTCATTATCGATTAATTTTAATAAAACTACCGATAAATTAAATCGAAAAATTAAAATGTTTTCAAATTATAATTTACCTATGGTTAGAACTCCTCCATCATTTGCAAATTCAATTGCTGATAAACCAATTTATGTTAATCGAATTTGGAATGATGCTTTACATTATGTCATCACATTTCCCAAAAAATATATTAGTTTGGGATCCGAACATGTTATTAATGTTAAATTAGTTCCTTTGGTTAAAGATGTTATCATTAAAAGAATTAAATTTAATGTATTGGAAAGAATTACTTATGTTTCGAAAAATTTAAGTCGAGAATTTGATTATGATAGTGAAGATCCTTATTGTACTAGACCTGATAATGGTAAGATTAGAGAACGAGTAGTTTCACTTTGTGAATTGAAAACCAAAGTTAAACAACTGTCAAATTCAAATAATAATCCTTTGACGGATCCTTATAAAGAAGAAATTATAAAATGTCCCGATAATAATCTTTTATTTAGTTGTTATGAACCTGAATCGGGTATTCAAAATAATGATGTTGATCCATTATCTAAAAAATCAAGAAAGAAATCAACTCAACCACCCCATCCTAATAATAACGAAACTATGATTGCTTCTCCGTTAGATATAAATATCGCATTACCATTTTTGACTACAAAGGGTGATAAAATATTAAAGACATCAACTTATGATGATGAATTTTCTTATGTTTCATCAGCCCCAGGTTCTCGAAAAGCTTCAATTTCAGTCGATACATCCGCTACGGCTATTTCTCCTAGTGGTTCACCATCATTCTTACCTTCGGTCGGTACATTAGAAACAAACATGTCTCATGTTGATTTGAATGATACTCATTATAATACCTTACCTCAACCTCATCCTTTCCATTTACATCCATCTCATCTTTTACATCAATCTTCAACAAGTCCATTATCTAGTTCCCCTCCAACTTCAGAAAATATTCATATCCCTGATCATATTGTTGATGAACTGAGTTCATTAAATCTTCCCATCACAAGAAATGGATTTAATTTACCTCCTGAAAATATTCTGCAAGGTTATACAGTTGTAACTAAAGCTTTATACCCTGATTCAAACTTTAGACATGTTCAAATCCATCATCGTTTACAAGTTTGTTTTAGAATCTCGAAACCTGATCCTAAAGATGATTTTAAAATGCATCATTATGAAGTTGTGGTTGATACTCCTTTAATTTTATTAAGTTCAAAATGTAATGATCAATCAATTCAATTACCAAGATATAATGAAATTGATGTTTTAGATGGTTCTTCTTCATCAATATCATCATCCACCAAAGAAATTTCATTTAGAACGCCAAATTATTCAAAGAATGGTGTATCGATCAAACCCCTTGATAATGGATTAGATTATCAAGAACAATTACCATCATTTGAAGAAGCCACTACATCTCCAGCCAAATCATCAGCTCCAATCACAAGATCGATTTCATTTGGATTAAATGATCCATTAAGTAGAGTTCCATCGATTAGTCCCGCTACATCTCCAATGAGATATCCTAATGAACCCGCACCTGCTTATGAAGAAGAATGTGCTGTTTTTGATGAAGATGATGAAGGTACAAACCTTGGTGAAGAATTTGAGGATGATAATGATGATGATGATTTATCTCCTGCAAGAAGAAAGAGTAGCGTTCCAGAATTGAATATTAAAAGTGCTGATCCAATTGGTATTGATGAATTGGTAAGTTTCAATGATCCAAATATCCAACAAAATGCATCCGTTAGTTCTGTAACTACTTCATCTTCAAGATTAAGATCATCTTTAGTATCATCTTTTGCACCTGTTCCAAAGATGAATCGAAAGAATTCATCAATAAGTTCTACCCAACCCAAGAACAGTGTATCGAATGCCACTAACAATTCCGATGGATCAATTAATAATACCAATGATGATAATGGATCAGTAGGTGATGATTCTATTAGTTCCAAATCAAGTCATAGTACCCATAGTAGTAATCATGCTCATCAAAATGGTATTGCAGGTTGTACCTCAAACGATATGTCATCTACAGTCACTACAGTTTCATCATCATCATTGATTGAACCTACTAATAAGAGTATTGTGGTCAATGAAAAAGACGAGTTGAGTAATACCGTTCGTGAAAATCATGATGATGAAAGTCCATTACAATTAAATGAATTAGTGGCCACCAGTCAACCCATGAATCAAGAATTATCATTGTCAAGCAGTTCAAATGATGAAGAAGTTGATTCAATAGTATATTTGAATAATTCCAATGCTGGATTAATTTTGCAATCGGAAAGTACTGGTTTAACCAGTGTTGAAGATAGTGAAGTGGTTAATTATGATGATGAAGACGACTATGATGATGATGATAAGGGTAGTTTATTCACACAAGAGACAAACGCTTCACAAAGAGTTCCATTGATCACTAGAAATAGCAACAGAACAGTGGAAACCATCTCAAAGAATAAAGAAACTTTTGGTCATATTTTGACCCCATCAATGACAAATACAAGCATGTTAACTACTACCACCACTACAAATCACAAATTATCAACTATTCTGAATGATAATCTTTCAATTCTTGATGGTTCAATCTCAGCAAGTACTAACTCTAGAGTTGTACCTCAAGATATTTATCATGCCATTTCTTAATGATTTTTATCATTTCCATTCTCTATGTATATTAAAGAATTTATGATTTATTTATTTATTTCTATCACTCTATGTTTAATGCACATTATAGATTTTTATCCTATTTCAATTCATTAATAATCTAAAAACTTCGTAGGATTAAAATGTTCATCACATGGTTGATCTATGGCTTTATACGAGATTGGAAAATAAAAGTCGCAGCCAAAAAGCTCTAGACTCCAAATAAAAAAAAACGAACCATTTTTAACAATTTGAAATCTGTAATGACAACTTCTGTTCGTTGTTCAACAACTATATGACTTTGATTAAGGGCATACCGGCCAACGGTAAAGTGGCAGTCCTAGGATCTGGTATCTCAGGCTTAACATTCACTTATTTCCTATCGAAACTAAGACCTGATATAAAGTTTGATATCTACGAACGTACCAATGAAGTTGGAGGATGGATCAAATCACAACAGTTGCAAACACCTACCAAATCTATACTATTGGAAAAGGGTCCCCGAACCTTACGTGGTGTGAGTGATGGAACATTATTGATTGTTGATATCTTGAAACAACTTCAGAAAGAGGATTCAATACGAGTTTTATCGAAGGATTCAATTGCCAATAAGAAATATCTCAGTAATTCTGATCATAACATAGTTCAAGTACCTGATAGTGTAACATCAGGATGGAAGTTCTTATTAGGGACTAATATAATTCAACCTTCTTTGATTTGGGGTTTCTTGAAGGAGCCTTTCATAAAGAATAAAACAGGAAATGTCGATGAATCGATTGAACTGTTTTTTAAAAGAAGGTTTGGTAATTCTATCTTAACTGATTCAGTCATAAGTGCCATAATCCATGGAATATATGCGGGAGATATAAACCAGTTAAGTATAAAATCGATATTCCCCTCCATCAAGAAGTTAGAAGATGAGCATGGATCAATAATAAAGTCAGTGTTATTTTCCAAAAAGGATAAGTCTAAGGAAAAGGAATTATCTCCTGCATTATCACAATATGAAACCTTAATATCACCCAATGCAAATTTGGTAAACATTTTCAAGTCATTAACCAACTTTCCTATAATTGCTATGAAAGATGGATTACAGAATTTACCCATTACTATTTATCAAAATTTATTCAAAGATTCAAACATAACTTTTCATTTCAATTCGAATATCACCGAAGTAAATCCAGCCAATGGGGTTATAGTCAATGGTAATCAACAAAACTCATATGATCATATTAGATCAACTATTCCTATCAAATCATTAGCCAAAGTGTTGAAAACATCCAGTGAAGTACAACAAGACTTGAAATCGTTGGAATACGTGTCTATATTCTTAGTCAATGTATTTTCAACCAAATCGAATTTAATCCCTAAGGGTAAGCATGGGTTTGGATTCTTAGTTCCTAAATTATCTTCGAATCATAATGATGCAAGTTTATTGGGTGTAATTTATGATTCTGATGTTGAACAAAATGTGAAACCATTAATTGATGATGTTTCTACGGTTGATTCCTCCGATAAAGAATATAATAAGATTACTTTGATGTTGGGAGGTCATTATTATAATAAAATTTCAATCCCATCTTCATCTTTGAACATCAAAATTGTCAAGGATATTCTTGAAGAGTATTTAGGCCTTGATTTACAAAGTAAGAACTTAATTATCAGAGATGAAAGTAATATTACTGATAAGACGATTAACGAATTAAATGAGAATGATTTATTGATTTCATATAACTTACATAATGATTGTATACCTCAGTATAATGTCGGTTATGATGATTTAAAACAAAAAGTTTTAAGTGAATTCAATGATAATACAAAATTATCATTTGGAGGTATGGCATTTGGAGATGGTGTTGGTGTACCTGATTGTGTATTAAATGGATTAAAAGATGCTTTAAAATTAAAGCAAATGTAAATAGAAATAGAAAAGACAATATATATATATATGTATTAATCTACTTAATTCATCCAATTATCCACATTAGGAGGGAATCTAGTTAAATTCATTTCATCGACATTAACAAACACATTAATTTTACTTACTGAGATTTTTCGAAGTCTTGGGAAGATTTTACCTCTAATTAGATTTTGATCGATTAAAGTAATAAAGATATTTTCAATGATTAGATCACTTTCAGTTAAATCAGATAACGAAGTGATTAATGGTAATGTTAATGGATTCGTATCTAATGATAATTTAAGACCAGCCAATATACAATCATAATCTAAAAATGATGGTTTTCCAGTATTTATCCAAATTTTCTTAATTAAATTTCTTAGAATGATAACTTTTGATTTGGTTAGAAGTAACAATAATAAATTCTCTGATTTAAAATATTGATAACTGTTTAGAATGATTTGATTGAATGATTTTAAATCACCAAGTTTTATAAATTGATTCAATTGATAATAAATCGTGATAAATTCCGGTGGTTGAATCCGAGCATGGGAGTATACTTGATTGATATAGTTAAAATTGATTCTTTTCCCAATCACTAAACTCAATGGTAGATGATACTTCAAGACTTTATTGATGTTATTGATGGCAGTTATGGGTAAATTTTCTAAACACCAATTAAAATTTTCAAAAGCTGAAGTTAATTCTTGTTTAATGAGACAAAACTTGGATAAATAGTATCGATATTGTAATTGTTCTAACTTATTAAATGATTTAAAAGATACGTTGGCATTATTCATATTAGAAAACACATTCCGACAAAGTAAAGGACTATTGATTTTAAAATAAACTGAACATAATTTGTTACTGATAAACAAAATGATATTTCGTTTTGGATTATTGGCATCATTAATTTGAGATCTAATGTTATTAAATATCTTCAATAAGATTGAAGCAAGATAAGTTAAACGAGGCATTTCACAATGTTCTTTGAAATATAATTGGTAATCTAAATGATTAGCTAATGGTAATATGACCTGGATTGAGTTTTTAACAACCTCTATAAGAAAGAATCCCCGGGCATTATTGTTAAATGAAATGGATAAATCATTAATGAATGTAGTATATAAGTCAAATGATTCTAAACTGGACCATGGATTCATTTGATTGCATAGCTTAACGAAACTTGCAATCAACTCATTAAATGCCAACCACTCACCATTGAACAAATTGGCCGTCTCTATAAGTTTGTCCAACGTCTTATCTTCAATCTGAAATGGTACCAGGTTAATCTGAGCTATGTATGGATTTTGTGATGGGTTTAGATTTAGTACTGCTGCCAATCGAGCTATGATTTGATTCTTTTGATTATTCGGTATTCTAGAAATCTCATTGATCTCTGATATATATGATTGAACTACCTCCATCTCACACTCATTAATCTATACCTGACTATATCTATATATGGTGTGATATGCCTAGAACTTGCAAAACTTAAATGGTAAAGCTATTTTTGACATTCTCACTTTGGCTTTGATGTTGGAGGTTGAAAAATCTGATGATACTCCAAACAAAAAAAATATTTTTAAACATAACAAAAACATCATCTTTTTTACTTTTATATTGGATTCCTTTCGTACGAAGTTCTAAAGAAATAAAGGGAAAAGGCTAGTAATGGTATTGATACTACCTCAGTCAGAAAGGACGCCGCCGCCGCTGTCGAAAAGTGGTTCAAATGGATCTAACAATGGTCATAGTCAGAAACATAATCAATCTAAGAGGATTACATCATCGTCTTCTTCACCATCATCAGTAGTTACCAATAAAAGTAATGATAGGAGAGGCAATAGGAAAAGTAATAGGAATGCCAATGGGAATGGGAATAGTAATGCAAATGATGCTAATCATGTAAAGTTAACTATACGGTTATTACCTCCAAATTTGACTAAAGAAGACTTCTTTAAACAATTAGCTGATTATATCGATTATTCTCCTTTAATTGAAAAGACATACTATGTTCAAGGTTCATATCCTAAGACATCATTGTTTGAAATGCCGGAATATTCTAGAGCTTATTTATCATTTAAAGACGATACTAATTTAAATACCTTGAAAGAAGCTCTTGTTGAAAAACCATTTACTGAAGTAGAAACTGATGATTCTATTCTTCCTGTTATTGAAAAGAGTTTATTCAATAAAATGCCCCTTGATTCTCCCATTAAATCTAATACAGAGAAGTCACTGCTTGAAGATAATGAATTTTTCAAACAATTTATGAAATTTCAATCTGGGGAAATCACTTCATTTGATGTTTTAAAAATAAGTAATGAATTGAAGCGTAAAAGGAAGAAGCCAGAAACGAAGAAGTCATCGGAATCCACAAAATCAAATGATAAAGACAAAGATAAAAAACGATCTAGATCCAAGAAGTCAAATGATCGCACCAAGGATACTGATAAGACTAAAAATTCTAAAGAAACTGATAAAGCTAAGAATAAGAAAGTTCAAGGAGATAAGGTTACTTCATCCAATAGATCGAGTAAACCCAAGGACATTTCTAATGAACGGACTAAAGAAGTGAAAGAAAAAGTTAAAGACAGGCAGCCAAGAAGAGAAAAACCGAAAGACAGTGAACCAACTGATAGAGAAAATAATAATAATAGGAGTACTTCTAAAGATAAGAAGGTTAATGATAGTAATATTAGCAGAAGCGGTAGCAGTAACAGCAGCAACAATGATAGAAGCAGCAGAAGTAATAGAGGAAGAGGAAGAGATAATAAAGACAATAAAAGCCAAGTAAAGGACAATTCAAATTCAGAAAAAGTTAATAATCATACCAAACCTAAATTTCCCAAAAAGACACATTTAAAATCAAATGACGATACAGACACTAATGACAATTCAAAGCCAATAAATGATAAAAATAGTAATAATACTAGTGGTACACCACCACCATCAAGACCAAAATTTAAAATAATGAAAAGACCATCAGCATCTCAGCAAGAGTAATAACTAAGGACAATTTTTTAAATGCATAATGCAATTTCAGAATCCATATATAAAGGATATATATACTTATATAATTCAAAAGTTAATACTTTCAGTAAATGTACATTTGGATGTTTTTGATAGTTGCTGTAACAAGCTTTGACCATAATGAATAACCAAAATAGATCAAAATCATCTCAGTTTACCATGACATGGATACTCGTATAGCTCAATATACCTGTTACACCTGTCAGAATGGTTTTATTTCATGGATATTCATTCCGTATTCATAGGTTTCGTTCCTGGGGTAAATTACCGTAAATCGGTAAGCAGATCGCGTAAATCGGTACAAATTTTAAAAAGAGACAAGCCGATGATCGCGTCAATTTTTAATTTTTTTGTTTTGATTTTAAACGAACCTAAAAACCCTTTACAAGATCAAGGCAAAGATAGAGTCAATTGGTAAGGATTCAAGGAAGTAGAGATTGATTAGATGGAAAAACAGAATCCATTGTTGCCATTTGCGTTCACAAGTTCATCATTCAATGATCATAACATTGCTTTAAACACTACTCCTAGAGAAAGAGCCATTATAGATGAAAATGCCAAAAGTATATATCATACAAGAGTTACGTCTCCAACTACAAATAAGATAAAGTCACCGAGGAAGACAGTGGTACTAAGGCCAAATTTAAAGATGGCACCTAGTTTAAAACGTCGGATGGGTGAAAGTTTTAATGAAAAAGATGATATCAAAAGAAGAGATGTTCCTATGATTTCAAGTGATCAGCCTACAGAAGTAGATGATGATGATGGTGAGGAGGATGAAGAGGACAACCAACGAGATGTAGAGATATCAAATGTTGAGTCTGAACCCCACAGTTATCTACCTCCAAGTAGTCCTCCCGTTGAACCACCAATGTCAGAGTTCGAATTCACTTCAAATACTATTTCAAATTATAATGTACCTGAATCACCACCTAACAAACTACACCACAGAGATAGAGTTCAACTATTACCAAGTGAAATAGAATTGGATGATGATCACCTCCACCAAGACTCATTCTTTAAACCTTCTCAAATAAAGAAATCACAAAGTTATTCACCCCAAAAGAGAGGCAATACCAATACCAATCTAAGTTCAGATGCCGATTTTGGTATTGATAAATTTCATCGATTTAAAACCTCAATTAATTTCCCATCATCATCAACTGATTTCGATGATCCTAATGAAATCGATTCCATAAGGCAACAAAGTTATGCCAAAGCAAGATCAATCATTTTAGATGCATTTGAAGAAATTAAAACTATCATCAACTTAGAAAAACTAAATCTTTACGAAATACCGGATGAAATCAAAGATTTAAATAAAATTGTCGTCTTCGATAATGAGACTAGTGATCTGAGAAAATATCAATTATTCTTAACCAATAATAACTTATATGATTTAACTCCTGCATTATTTAAATTTACAAAATTGAATGTGTTAGGGTTAAGACAAAACAAATTAAGGTATTTACCTCCCTTAATAGCAAAGTTGAATAATTTAACTGATTTATCTTTGGGAACTAATAAGTTAACATATTTACCATTTCAAATCCTACAATTGAATAATTTACAAATATTTCAAGCAGGTCCAAATCCATTCATGAAAATCCCTCCTGATGCAATTAAAATAAATAATAATAATAACGATACCCAAGATGATACTAGATCAATACGGCAATTAAATTATATTTCAAAGTTAAACTATTTCTCTACAACTAAAACTAAAACAGTTCCATCCTTAAAAACCATTTGTCTTGATAAAATTGCAAATTATGATGTTAGTTATCAAGAAACAAAAGATTGGAAAAAATTCACTCCAAAATTGTATCATAATTTAATTATAAAAGCGATAAAAAATGGTAAATATCAAGATTTTTGTTGTCAATGCTCAAATATAGTGGTTGATCCCGTGGCAGAGATTTATGAATGGTGGGATTATTTACAAAATAAAAATATTCCGATTAGAAAACAATTTTGCAGTGGAGGTTGCATTAAACAATATGATCATTATAATTCTTTAACATAATTACTAGGAAACATCCCAATTTGACCATTCAATTCTCCTTTCCACCACATTCCTTGTTTTTCAATGATTTTAATGACATCTCCTGGTTGAAAACATAAATCATCCTTCTGCTGTGCTTCAAATGTATACATTGACTTACAATAAGTGAATAAAGATTGAACCTTTTTAGGTGGAGTAGGAGGTGGAGGAGGTTTTGTGGCTGGTGATGGTGATGGTGATGGTGAGGGTGGTAACTCTTGTCTAGTTGTGGAAGTGTTATCTATTAAATCCATTAGATAAGACTCTCTAAAATTGATAATTGATAATTTATTAATTGATTGTAATGCAATATCATTTTTAGTTTGAAATTCCTCCATGATTGATTCATAAGAGCTATCAGTAAATAAATCAAGATTAAATAGTTTTATATTGAATTGTAAATTCTCATGAATTTGATAAAATATTAATAAATGAACATAAAAGATTAATAATTGCACTTGAATTAAGAATGAATCAACTAATTTAAAAAAGTAAGGTAATTGAAATTTCAATTGACTATTAAGTTGTTCATATTTAACTTTATTCTCTTCCAATTTTCTTTCTAAATTGAATAATTGTTGAGATTGTTTAATGGTTAATTCATTGATATTTGATTTTTGCTTGATCAAAAGATTTTCATGTTGATTGTAAACCTTATCATAATCTAATAATGCAAATGACCTTAATTTGACTATCTTGAAGATGTTCTTAATGAATTTGGATAATTCACTAAGCTTTGAATCTAACGTTAAATTTAACAATTCCATTTCAGATTTAAATGATGGGAGTAATTTCTTATTATTTTCAATATAATAGGTTAAATTCTGCCATTTAGCACATTCTTGTTCAAAAACCTTATTATCTGTTTCACTGCAAGTTGATATACTCTTGTATGGATCGAAGAAGTCTTTGAATAAAGTGGCAATAGTTTCAGATTGATTATTTATGGTGGTGATAATTTGTTCAAAACTTCTATGATACTTCAGTAAACTAATAATCTTTTTATTTAATAGGTTCAAGTTCTGTTCTAAATCATCAAACTCTTCATCTATAGTAAATGAATCATTACCATATTTCATTTTCTGTTTTAAATATTGTGGAGTTCGTTTTATTTGATTCCAATCAATATGTTCTATACTTGTGGTCTTGATAGATTCATCAGCAATCTTCAATTGTTTAGATACCAAACCTGATATTTGATTGATTGAGCCTTCTATATTCATGGTGGAATCTAAAATATGAAATCAATGTTATGGCGGTTAAATTTGTACCATAAGTTATATGTTTTTGTTAGTCAAAGATATTTCTGTTTAAATTAGCTTGGTAGCTCAGTAAAAAAAAAGAGACTGACCGTCATATTTTTACAGCCAAACTTTTTCTTCTTAAAACAATACAATATCATCATAATACATCGTAATACATCAATCAATCCATCTCCAATGTCTCTTAAGATTAAAGAAAGTCTTGATAATGAGTGTGAGAAATCTTCATTTGAATCGGAAACCATTGGGGATATTGTATCATGCTTGAAAAGTGATAGGTTCAAAATTGATTCACCTCAATTAAATGATGAAATTACTGATGAGTTATTGTTAGCCTTTAGACAATCAATCGAAGGAAATATTACGAATGATCCCATTAGAGATTATACGTTTGATTGGGAGAGACTTGGTGAATGTTATACTTTCGTATTTGATGACTACATTAAGAACATAGAGTTGATCAATCAAGAAACGGCTGAATGTGATGAAGCAGGTAATACTTGATCTAATAAAACCTAATCAATCTAAAAATACTAACAAATTATAGGAACGTCGTAAATGGACAGCTGATTGTTTCAAAAATGACGAGGAATCCAGCATTGAAAGGTATGATATATACTATAATTATTTATTGACTTATGTTCAATACTAACATTTCAAAATAATAGAATAAATAAATCTGAACAATGGATTAGTCTTAAAGAAGTTCAATTACATCAAATGAAACAACAAATTAAGAATACCATTGATTTAATTAAAGGTGAAGTTCAAAAATTTAAATCTTTAACTACATATGAGTAATATCTTACTGTGTCTAATTTCTGCTAATATATTATTTGTTACCATATTTAAACTTATTTCCACACTATTTAGTGGTCTGTATTTCAAATATTCATCGTTCTCTTTAAGAGTGATATTTATTTACATTATTTAAAGCAATTTTTAAACCCACCTTTACATTGCTTTGGCAGTTAGATTATAATTGAAAGCACAGTGGTCATGTAATAGTTTCGTCCTACTGACTAAAAGTATCGTGGGGAAAGTTTATTTAAAGTCGTCTTTTGCTTCACATTAATTTCGTAGTACCAAAAACCAGTAAAAAGGTATCACGAATTTTTCTAAAATCAAATTACTTTCTTCTCTTAAGCTCTATTGGTCACAATATGCTGATTGTGACCAATATTTCAATTCATCAATGACGGGAATATCTGGACAGGTTTTGAATTACATGAAATTAGGTATATATATCATTGAAAGTTTAAGAATAATAATATTCTGCTTGTAGATTGCACTATTAAGTAAGAAAATATTTCCTATTTTTATCATCGGCGGTTAAAAAAGAGTAAGCAGCATTTTACATATATCTAACATATTTCATCAATAAGCACTCATTATTTATAAAGGTATCTCTTCATCATCATCATGACTTACTTGATAGATAAGGCATGTGCCTTTTACTGCAGAGTATTAGCAGAAGGAAATTATACTGATGTTGATTCATTAGCACAATGTGATTACGATATTATGCGAAACAACGAGGATAAGTTAGACTTTGAAAGTTTAAGTGATCAAGAAAAATTGGAGTTACTAGAATATCTTCCCAATGATAATAAATATGATGAAAAATTTAAGATTGAACGTCAAAAGTTAGTGTTTATGATTTTAAATTTCGATATGACAACAAATAGACAGAAATATATTGATATCGATTATAAATATATTGATAGTTACGGATTTCCCGATGATGTTGCCGGAATTTTGAGAAAAGGAACTGCAAATATATCTAAGTTTTTGAATATCAAGAATTTTGAGAATGAATATTATATTTCAGTTGCTAGTCTATTTGAAAACATCTTCTATTTGGGTGTCATGTTTAATGTGCCCTTCCCGATTACAATATTGCAGCCAACCACTTCCACAGCAAATGAAGTAATTCCATCGTCAAATTATCAACTGCGATCCTTATTTGAGAAATATGCTGAAATATACCCCTTGTTAGATACAAGTACTACCGATTTCGTTGAAAATTTGAAAGAAAAGTTCCATCTAAGAATTAGTCAATTGTTAGGTATAGTTTCAAGACCGACATTTCCGAGGTCTGAAGACATAGTCAGTGAAAGAGATCTTGTAAAAGCAGTTACATCTGCTTATTTAGATCCAATGTTGGACACTATTAAACGGAATTCTAAGGTTAATATGCTGTTAAGAGAAGAATTGGTCACGAGGAAGGGAGAGTATTTTGTCAAGCCAGATGTCGTACTTAAAACTGATAAGAAAAATATCCCCGTTGAAGTAAAGAGGAAAGGCCTCTTTTCTTCGTTAAAGAATATAAAAGAATTGTTTCCAATTGCAGCCGAAGATGATGTTAAACTAATAGAAAGCAATAAATTTGCCCGAGGATGGATAAACCAATTAGCACATCAGTGCCTCTTTGGCAACTCCAACCTTGGATTTGCATTAGACAACTATGGCATATTTGCATTCCAAATTAACCTGGCCTTTCCTCTCCGTACTGTCATTAAAAATGAAGTGTGTATCAAATTGGCGTCAATTGCCATAAATGGGGTCAATTCAAGAGAGACCAAGCAAACAATTGGCTTCATTTTTTTAGCTGCTACGTTCGTCTATTCGGAAAATTTTGAAAACGATACAATGCTTAGTGTATGCTTGAATGATTTAACTTTAACATCTCAACAAGAAGCTGAGGTATTGAAAAGTAGGTACAAATTTACAGAGCAGATGTGGATGAGTCGTTTTCGGGATTTTAAGTCACTGGGAAGAGGTGCTAATACAAAATACATTAACAATCAACATGAAGAAATAGAACTTCCAATTGAACAATACAAGCTACTTAGAGAGAGGCGTTTTTTTGAAAATTTTAAATTTGAAGAATTTGAAATTGTGAAAAGGTTAACTGGAGTAGAAAAATACACAAGATTTGCAAGTGTTTACTTGGTGAAACACCGACTTTCGCCTGACCTCATGATCCTCAAAGTCTACGATGCTAACAGATCTAGACGCCTGAAAAGATCAACTTCGGGGGAAGAATTCTACGCAACGGTAAATAATATGCTTTTGATGTATTCCAGAGAGCTTTTGGCTTACACGACATTAAGAGGTTTGTCGACATCAGCCATAGGAGAAAGGCCAATATCAAAGGAAAGCGAGTCCTCAGAAATTGCAGTCATACCTTCCATGGTTCATAATATACCGAACTTAATAAGTACAGGATATATAAGGGCCGATGGGATAAATCAACCAGCAGGAAATTTTTTATTGTTAACGTATATTCAAAATGATTTCAAGAATAATACATTTACTGAAGAAGAGAAGATTGAAATCAGAAAAAAATGTCGATCAGCTTTAAAAAAAATTCACGAGAAAGGCTTGGTCCATGGAGATATACACCCTGGAAATATCCTCTACCAAAGAGCTAATAATAGGGTGTATTTCATTGATTTTGGGTACACCACATATGCTCGTGATGGTATTTGCAAGAGAAGTCTTGTAGGCACAATGTCAAAGGAAGAGGCGTGGAAATATGATGAACGGATGCTCGAAATAGCTGTCAATAAAATATTTGAAGGGGAAGCTGCAAATGATATTTTATAGTTGTATATAAAATTTATATTTCATCTGGAAAATACTGTATATTTGCTGTATATTTATAAAATATTTATCATCAGTAGAAAGAAAAAGAAGAAACAGCAGTGATCATAATAAATACTGTGACATGGAACCGTGGCATGGTCTAATAGAACACCCAACAACAATATTAAACAAGGATTAACTTTAAATAAATGAAGGGTAACCATGTATTACTTATATAGAATTCGGTTGTAAACACAAAATAGTGATAAAATCCATTTATAGATATGAACTTAACACAGATATCATTGGGTAGTTATGGTTTTTAATGAAATTTTTTATCTATTTCATCTATGGGATTCGGACTATTCTATCCGGATCGGAAAGCACTGCCTAAATAGGAAAGAAGCCTCTCTTTAAAATTATCAGATCAAAAAAAAAAAAAAATAAAAAAGAAAATTCATCACTCAAAAAATTATGACAGCCATTTGAATTATTGGCAATAATTCCACAACATTTTAAAAGATTATTTATTTTAGATATATATCTAGGAGTCAGTTCCTAAACGGTCAGTTTAATCAAACTAGAATCTGTTTTTCAAGTCGTGATAGATAGTTTTAGTGGCCAGATTGTTCAAATTTGGGTTGAAGAAGTGTGGAGAACTATAATGACGACACATATTTTCAACAGTCTAGATCAAATTCAAGGTCCTGGAAACGGTCAGGGTCAAGAACATGTTCCAGATCCATCTAAGCCAAGTTCAAACTTCTTAGTTGATTTTTGGCTTCTGTTCCATTATCCAAAGGGGAAATCAAGAGAATATGAACATTTACGTCAAGAGACCACCAATAAATATGGTTTAATCACAACTGGAATCTTAATCATATTTGTATTATTGATCCCGATCAATAGGTATGCTATAAAGCATGGATATAACCCAGGCCAATTCAGATTCCTTCGATCTATCAATCTGAAATTGAATGGTGCTATTCAATCTTCAAATTTTTTAAAATCATATATATCATTGAAAGTAAAGTTAGCTTTAGTTTATTTAATCTATCATATTTCAACTATCATTCAAATCATATTTTGGTTGACTGTCTTATCATCATTATCATTAGTTGATATCTATCATGGAGATCTTATATTCTTAGCTAAGAGATTAGGTAGAATATGTACGGTTTGTTTACCCACTGTATTATTTCTTAGTTTAAGACCATCACCCTTACCTAATACCCTTTATTTAACTTTATTACCCATTCATAAATGGTTATCTCGTATCATTATCATCCAAGCTATTATTCATACTTTCCTTTATCTTGGATACTTTCAATATAAAAATACATGGTTTAAATTATATAAATATGAAAATTTATATGGTTGGGCTGCCATATTGGGGTTTATAATCATCATAATTACATCAGTTTCAAAATTAAGAAACAAATATTATAAATTATTCTATATTAATCATTATATTTGGTCATGGGTTATTGTCATATGTTTACAATTTCATGTTAGACCATATAAAATCACTAATTATACGATTGCCAACATAGCGATATTGCTGTATCAAATTTATTATCGTCTCACTTTAACGACCAAGTTAGATTCATTAAGAGTAGTTGACGTGTCACCTAACTTGTCATTAGTTGAATTCCCTAGACAATGTCTTAGGAATTTACCTACCAAACCTGGTTCTCATTTAAGATTAACTAATTATCATCCAAATTTCATAGTAAGAGCTTATAAACAATTAATCCCTAATTATCATCCTTATACTTTAGTTTCATTACCTCAAGATTCAACCCAAAAATTAATCATCAGACAAAGTAATTTCAAATTACTTAATAATAAATCATACCTCATTACAGGAAGTTATGATCCTCATTTATTATTTGTAAATTCAAAACAAACATCAAATGAAACATTCTCCATCTCAAAATTAACCATCAATGCTAAGAGGATCCTAATCATTATTGGTGGTTCAGCCATTTCATTTGCATTACCGATTTTAAGAGTGATGAATTATCATGGTATACCATGTAAAATCATTTGGGTTATTAAAGATTTTAGAGATATTACAATTTTAAAATTTTTTGATGGATTTATTCATGGTGATGATTTTGAAATCTTTATAACAGGGAAAAATTATGATGATGCTAATATTAATAGTACGAAATATTTAAGGAATAGAATGAGTTATGGATCTATATTAAGTAAAAGTACCATTACAAATCATACACTTCCACCTGATCTTGAATTAGGTGAACAATCATTATTAATACCTGATAGTTCAAATGATCTTTTTGATGAACAAGAAGTCGACGAAGAGTATTTGAATTTCGAAGATGATAAACATAATACTTTAAATTATGAGAATGAGAATGAAAATGTTGAGATTTCAGTTGGAAATGAAGAATCTGATGATGATGCAAGTGATAGTCCCTGTGAAATTGAGGATTATTCATATAGAAGTTTCACTCAATCTGCCATAGCTGATGACGATCATGAAGATGATAATGATGATGATGATGAGGAGGAGGAGGACTACGATGATGGACTTCTACATCCTAATAGTCAATTTGAAGTTCACAATTATGAACAAGAAGTTACATATGATCAAAGTCAACAATCAATTAAAATCAAACATATAACATCACCAACTCATTCTCGTAAATCAAGTATCAATGAACCATTCATTCTTAATACCACATCAACGTCAAACTCTGCTTTAAAACAATTCAGAGAAACCATCAGACGACTTAATATTGAAAATAAAATATTCAAGGGCAGGCCTAAATTGAATTATAAATATTATAATTGGTGTATTAATGAAGGATTCACTCAATGTATTGGACCTCAACATGATCATAATAATAATATAGTGTGTTGTCGTGATTTACCCCAAAATAAAGTAAAACAAGAAGATATCAATGCTGAGAATATTTGGGTTATATCTGCTGGTCCTAAACCATTAGTTGAAAATGTTAAATTATGGGCTAATGAAAATGGGTTGAAATTTCATGAAGAAGCTTTCTATTCTTAGGTTATATATATATGTTTATGACAAAATACATATTCTTGCATTCATAGATTCAATTCTTATCTGATTTATTGTACAATTTATTAAATTCATCCTCTAGATAAAGATTCCGTTTAATTTCATCTTCAATTGCAATCTGTTTACTGATTTTAATCTTAGCTATATCAGTAGTGAAGATTATCCCCACTACATTCCAACTTATCAAATACCAGATCTTATAAGGAGTTTTAAAGAATTTAACATTATGACCATAATTATATTTATAATTAATATAATATCCTGATACTAAAGCTACCAATGTTCCCTTTAGACATCCGGTGAACCCAGCTTGCCACAATTGTTTATTGTATCGGTTTATCCTCTCTTTCCTTTCTTCAGACATTGCAGAAACCATGATGATAATCAAGAATCAATTGAATCAAAATCAGGATCAATAGCAAAGCTAGCTCCCTATTTATAAAAGTTGGGGGAAGATCTCTATCCCCATTCAAACACCGCAAAATTGAAACCAAAATTAATATGTATTATATGCAGGAATAACACATCACATGACTTTGGCTCTTGGCTCTAAATGGCTCCTTTCCTTCCTTCCTTCTTTGTCTAGAGACTGAAGGACTCAAACCATTAGATAAGCAACAAATAACCAAGTGATGAGGACTTGGGTATACCCACAGCTTAGGCAAACTTAGTGAGAGGGTTAGAGTGGATTATATGAGTCAAGTAAATGAGTATTAGTTGGTAGAAATATAGTTGCAAGCTAAAATAGCCCTTAAGCATATTAAAAAGGTTCCATGAATATATTCTTAGTATACCAACTAATCAAGACCTATCCATAGAACTTATTTATAAGAAAAACTAGTATTTATGATGGTAAAGTTACTCAATTGATTTTTAAGTAGGTTCATCACTAATTAAACTTTCTTCAACATCGCGCTACCATAAAGAGATTCTTAGTCACAAAATGAATTTGAATTATAACTTTTAAAAGGGGCACTATCAAGAGCTTTTTAATATGCTGTGAATAATCTTTAAGGATAGTATGAAAAATCATGAAAGTAATTTTTAACTGAATATAAAAATCGAAATGGTGGTAGCATATCAAAATTATAATTTTCAATCACTTCTTCTTCTTCTTCTTTAAAGTTATTATATCACATATTCCAATGACAGTTAGAATAAATCCTAGTGACTATTACATATATAAATTCTTTTCAGTATATTATCCTAAGTTTCCAATCGAATTAATGGTCAAAATATTACAGTATACTACTATACAAGATATTCTTTTATTCCAATCCTTAACCAAAGATGATGAAACTAAGAAGCTTGAGATTAAACATATAACAAATGAGAAATTAACTTATGAGATTAACTGTAAACATCGTTTCAAACCATTTCATTTTATTAATGGCATTGCAAATGTGGTAGCATTGATGGGTGATAGAGAACCTTCAATCAGCGTACGATTAGATTTTAAGGAAGGCAAATATTTTAAGCGGTCTTGCCTTGAATATATTGAAGGATTGCCATCCTGTTTCAATTTCGAATTGAATTTTGATGAATTGAGGTATAGTAAATATGATGATTTAATCAGTTTTATTGATTTTACTTATATTACTAGCTTAAAGATATTGAAAATGACATCCGGTGAACGGTCTATGAAGCTAAATTTCTCAAGGCTTTATGTAAAATCATTTCATCTCGTTACAAATTTAAGTCATATTAAATTAACTTTACCATCATTTGAGGATTTAACTGATTTATCTATCGATAATGCATTTGAAGGAGAATATTATGCAAACCTTGTGAATCTAAAAACTTTTGGAATTTATATTCTGAAAGGGAGAAGATTTAATATTGAACATGTACCAAGAGGGGTTACAGAGTTAAAGATAGTTGTTAAATATGTGAGTAAGTCAGAGAATGAAAATTGTGAGTACGTTAAAATTAAATCAAGACAAGATTGGCCGATTAATCTAAAGAGTCTAACTCTTGATGATCTGAAAAACGAAGCTGGTGCTTTCAAGGATGTATTTGGTGTATTACCTTCTAATCTAATCAAGTTCAGTGTTTGTGGCCATTCATTTTATAAATTTCTGTCCCAGTTTCCAGATTCAATTATTGATTTACACTTATATTCAACTTTTTCAGTCATGGATATCCCGTATGTTGATTTACAATTCCCTTCTAGTCTTGAAAATATAGTCTTTCAAAATTTAAAAATGATTGTCCCAAACAAATCATACAACCTTCCAACTAGATTGAAAAGCTTTAAATTAGATTTTAGTGACTTGTCGTTGTCACTAAACAATTTTAACTTCGATCATTGTAAGTCAAGTCTTAAGAATCTTCAGATTAGTCGGTATGAAGAACCACTTGTATTCAGTAACTTAAATTTCAGTGAGTTTTTAAAATTAACTAACATTGAACTAGTTTCATGTGGAATCAAAAGTTTAAGTCATTTTAAACCCCCTCGTTGTTTAAAAACTTTACAAGTGTGTCGTAATCCTATCACAACCATTGATGAAACTTGTGATTTATTCAATAATGAAAATGGATGTCCTTTATTGCAGCTGATATCAATTAAAGGTTGTCAAATTTCATTTATTTCACCTAACATTGAATGGCCCATAAATCTAAAGAGCTTGGTCATACAAGATGAAGTACCGAAAGATTTTTATTTCAATACTTCAATTGCAAAACATGAATCATTGGAGACATTATACTTATCAGTATTATCTTCATTCAAATTTTGTGAAGTAGATAAGGCAATAAAGAGGAAAACAAAAATCAAATCATTTGTACTCTCTGTGACCGATGATTTTCTTCCTACTAAACCTTATGAACTACTTAAATTTTATGACAAAATACACTTATTTCTTGGAAAGAGGGTCCTTAATCGTAAGGCTGACACATCTGTTTTTGAGAATTTAACTTTATTGCTTGGTGATTCAAACTCGAGATAATAAGATAGTTTGTGTAAGGTAAGTAGATTATACTATAACCGCTAATTTCGATAGTCCAATTCAAATCTTCTTCAATGTGAATATTTTAACAGTTGACACACTTATCTTGTTTCCATCACCGGTCCTTTATCCTTAAACAACTCAATTTGCAGCTGTTTTTATATACTGAACAGCTTTAAACCAAAATAGATCCTAATGATGATTCACGGCATAATTATTAAAGGTTTAACACCACGATTATCAAATCACATCATAGCAACAGTTTACATTATATGAAAATAGTTCATAGTTCTTGATAGTAGCTTCATTTAACATTATATAGAGAAATGTAAAATTTAGGTAGTTAAAGGGCCTATTCAAACACCGCAAAAACAGAAAATTGAAAGTGTACCAAAATCAAAAAAAAAAGATTTTTAATGGTGAGATAAACTACTATAAGGAGAAACAGCATCCTTTAAAGCTTGGAGATCACGAATTGAGATGTTTAAACTAGGTGTATCGTCAAGACGAATACTACTGACTCCATACATTAGTGGTAAGAATGGTGGTAATGTGATTAGACGCGCCATTAGATCCGTCAAGACTTCAACCGTTGATTGGAAACCAATTAGATCGGGGAAGGGAGATTTAACTACATTAGAACATCAAGCTAAAACATCAACGTTAAGAAAGATCGTATTGGGATTAATGCTTGCTATGCCCGTGATAAGTTTTGGATTAGGTTGTTGGCAAGTTCAAAGGTTGGATTGGAAGACTAAATTGATTTCAAGAGGTGAAAATGCTTTAGCTCAACCTCCCATTGAAGAAATTCCTGCTGAACTTGATCCTAGTGTGATTGATCAATTTGAATATAGAAGATTCAAATGTAAGGGTCATTTCGATTATAGTCAAGAAATCTTCTTAGGTCCTAGATTAAGAGATGGTGAATTAGGTTATCTTGTCATAACTCCATTTGTAAGAAGTTCAGGTGGTAAACCAATTTTAATTGAAAGAGGATGGATTCATAAGGATAAAGTGGTACCTGAAACCAGAAAGAAAGGTTATTTATCACATTTAGCTTTCCCACAAGGTGAAATTGAAATTACTGCTTTATTTAGATCCATGCCTAAGAAATCAGGATTACAATTTGATCATAAAGAAGGGGAAAGATTATTCCATGTTCATGATGTGCCTGTAATGGCTGAACAAACTGGATCCTTACCAATCTATTGTCAAATGATATATGATTTAACTGATCATATTGATTGGAAACATAATAATGAAGAAATAGAATTGAAATCAAACAAATCTTCAATATTGGGATTTCTTTATAATACCAATAGAAAACATACTGCTGAAGAAGATGAAGCTGATTTAATTCTTGACAAACATGATGATTCTACTTTAGTATATCAAGAATTAGAATTCATAGCTCAAGGTGTACCAATTGCGCCATTACCAAAACTTAAATTCAGTAATAATCATTTACAATATCTTATTACTTGGTTCGGACTTTCAGTCGCCAGTACAGTTTGTTTAGTTTATGCCTTCTGGAAAAAGAAACAATACTCATCAGCTGAAAGAGTGATCGAAGCAAAGAGACAACAAATGAAGAAGAACTTTAGATAAATAAAAAATTAAACATTAAATCTTGTATATATATATTATTATTATTATTTCTTTCTTTCTTTTTTACATAATTATTTATAGGAAACTTAATAATCCAAATAAGACAATCACTAAGGACAAATCTGTAAGAATCACCTCTAATAATTCATAATAAGCTAATAAACGAACTAATAATGGACGATATTGTTCTAATTGAGGTAAAACCATTGATCCAAATGATATTATCTTAACAAAGATATTATTTTCAGTAGTAGTTTTAAATAAATCATATTTGACACTGGTTAAATAATAAGATACAATTGTGATTAATTCTATAGTGGTGAAATAAGTGATGAAACTTGTAGTGGTGATGGATGAATCGGTATTAGCAATACCTCTAATGAATGAGTAAGATGAAGCTTTAAATGTTGGAATGGTAATATAATGATAAAAGAAATTAGAAAAGATTAAGAAAAATCTAATGATTAAGAATCTGAATTTCCATTTTTTATGATTATAAAGATTATAAGCAGCCAATTCTCTTTGATATTGATTTTCTTCTTCATTTAATTCAAATGGATTACCTTGAGAATTAAATAAATCTTCTGGCATACCACCTAAACCAGCACCAGCACCAGCTCCATTTGGTTGTCCTAACATTTTTAACATTTGAGCAAAAGGATCTTCACCTCCTGGACCATCTGGTCCCGTTGGAATTTGAGCTCCTGAAAAGATCTTATTGAACATAGCATCAATATCTTCACTTGAAGCTAATACTTTTTCAGGTTCAGGAGTTGGACTGAAACTTGTAATATCTTGAATTTCAGGATCATCATCATGATGAATTGGGATGGATGTAGATCTAGGAGTAGAACTTGTTTCAACTCCTGTAGAAATTGTTGATGATGTGGTATCATTTTCTTTATCCAACACAGAAGTTGCCTCAGTTTGAACAGAAGAACCTTGATTTAAGATATTATTAAGTCTACCAGTGGCATTTCCACCAGCCATCTTAGCGGCTCTTCTTTCACGAAGAAGTCTCTTCTTCTCTTCTGCACTCAATGGTTTCACTTCAGACATGGTTGATCGAATATGAGGATGCCGTCTATGAATCTAAAGTGTATGCTAATTTGAAAAATTGGTGATACTTTTTTTTCTGTGTTGTTTCGATCTCGTTCTTTTTTTGTGCTGCCAATTTATTTGTGGTGGGTTGCCTTTATGAACAGACTAATTAAGGAAACTCCAATTGGTAAGACCATAACAGTCACACGAACGAACGATGGAAGATTCTAGAGAAACACCATCTTCAGGATCAGGTCCATTCTTAGTGGATGGTGATGATAACTCGAATCAATCATCAACCCCATTAAATTATCAGGAACAATTAAGACAACAAACTATCATAAATTCAATGGAGAATAAGGATTATTTATTGGTGATTGCAAGTCAACAACAGAAATCAGTTCAACAAGTCAAATATGAATTACTATTAAAGTTAACTGAAGGTAGCTAGTATAAAGTATTACTTTTGTATATTACAGGGGTGTTACGGGGTATAAGAAGGGTAGTTATAAAAGGGGACTAATAATACATAACATACATAAATGAAAATCTTTCACATACTTGAGACACAAACATAGGACTCACCTTATGGATCTCTTTGATATTCTATTTGGAGTTGTTCTTAAAGGTGGAGGATTTCTTCTTGGTGGACCTGATTTTAAAATTGATTTTGTGGTTCTATTAGATGGTGTAGTAGATGATGTTGATGTTGTGGATATTCTATTATTGGTACTGTCAAATAAACCTTTAAGATATCGTGGAGGTTGATTCAAATTAGGTCCAGTTCGTCTACTAGATGTAACTGTTACTTCCCTGGTGGATGGCTTCCCTATAGGTTGAGGTATTCTTGATAATCTAGATGTGGCAAGTGATGATGATACTGGTTGTGGATATGATACGAAGGATCCTTCGTTAGTTAAATATGAATCTTCTTCAGTAGTTGCTGGTGGTGCTCGATTCACCAATAATGATCTTCTTTCTTGAGGTTGTTGATCTTTTAATTTCTTCTTTAATGCTTCATTTTTTAATTTTGATTGCTTTAATTTATCTTGTAATTCATTGATTCTTGAATCCAATTCTCTTCTAGATTGTAATTTAGACCAACTTTCTTTAGTTGGACATCCTGGAAAATCAACACACCACATAGTAATACTTAATCCATATAAGAAACTAGCAAATGATTCATTGAATTGATTTGATATGGCATCATGAATTGATTGTAAGTTGGTGATATTGGCATCCAATTCTTCTAATGAATCACTTAATCTTTCAAATTTCTCTGTATTTAAAGTTGATTCCAAAGGTAAATGATCAGGATCAATAGGATAATGAATCTTGGGGGATTGAGTTAAAAGGTAAACACCAGATGATCGATGCAGATGTCTTCTATAACCTGCACCGCTACCACTGCTATTATTATTCCCACTACTTCTCCTCAGATTAGGAGTCACTGGACGAGAAGATGACATGATCCCTTTATTTATTCTTAATGATATCTATGTATATCTATCTACACAATAGTTGTTGTTTTTGTTTATATTTATAAAAATCAAAAAATGAACTTTTTTTTTAAGATTTACGCGATACTATAAAAAATTAAAAAGATAAACACAAAACATCCAAACATCAATACATAACGAATTCAAAAAGACGACTTAGACTTATTTATCATCTTCACCAATGATATCTTGCCAAGTCTTACCTTCTTGCTTTAATAAGCCAACCAACTCATCTCTGATCTTCCCTGGTAATCCTGGTCCTTTATAAGCGAAAGCAGTATATAATTGAATGAACGTAGCACCAGCTTTACCGAATTCTAAAGCATCTTTACCATTGGAGATACCTCCACAACCAATTAAGACTAAATTAGAATCTTTGGTATATTTTCTTAAAGTTCTTAAAGCTTTTAAGGAATATGGTTTTAATGGTTTTCCTGAAAGACCACCAGTTTCATTAATTAAATCTTCATCAGTAGTTAAAAGTTTATCTTTTGGTCTTTGAATAGTAGTATTTGAAATAATAATTCCATCAACTTTTGATTGTTTAGCACTATTAGCAATTGATTCTAATTCAGGTTCAGTTAAATCAGGAGCAACTTTAACTAAGATTGGAGGTAATCTTCCTAATAAATTAGGTATTCTTTTACTTACGACAGTAGTTAATAAATTAGTTAATTTTGATTCCAGTTGTAAATCTCTTAAACCTGGAGTATTTGGAGATGAAACATTAATAATTAAAACATCAGCATAAGGACTTAATCTTTCAACACCGGCAACATAATCTTCAATTTCATCCCCTAATTTATTTTTACCTAAATTGATACCTAATAATTTCCCTTCTCTAAAAGCCATGGAATGAGGATTAGCAATTGATTCAAATAAACGATTGAATCTTAATTTTAAATTACTTATAACATTGAAATGACCAGTAGAATTGAATCCATATCTATTTATAACAGCATCATCTCTTGGTAATCTAAAGAAACGAGGTTGTGGATTACCAGGTTGAGGTAAAGGAGTAATTGAACCAACTTCAACATATGAAAATCCACTATTAAATAAAGCTTCAATGGCTTCACCATCTTTATCTAAACCAGCAGCTAAACCAATTGGATTTCTTAAATGAGAACCAAATACATCAACTCCTAAGATATCATCAGGATTATTAATATCATCATCTAATAAACGAGGGGTTAAGTTATATTTCATAAAAAGGATCCCTAATTTATGACCTTGTTCAGCAGAAGTGGTAGCTCTAAAGATAGGACAAATGATATATTCATGTAATGCTGATCTAGCATCTAAATAGTAATAACCACCAACAGCTAAACCCACAAAACCAATGGCCCAAGTGATAGGACTTCTTGGAATGAAACTAGATTGTAATGGAGGAGGAGGAGAAGGAATTCTCTTACCAGAAGTTTGTAAAAGTCTCTTACTGGTAATATTACCCCAGGTAGCTCTTAAACTACCTTGTTTGAAAGATCTACCAAATGAGTACATAGTTACTTAGAATGATTGATTCGTTTTCTCCTTATTGACAATAATTTACCAGTACTAACCAAAGAATAGTAAACAATACGGACAACAATTGAAAAACCTAGAATGAAAAAAAGGTATGTCTATATATGAAAAATTTTCAATTGAACAATATATAACCTTCTGAATATAGTTACACCACCATCTGTTGATGTAATCATTATTTTTCACTTCTACTCACCATAGTTAAGACCTTAATTATTGCGGTTAGGAGTTTGTTGTTATATACAGGAAATTCAATTTTTTTGAGAAGACCATCAGAATTCAAAAAAAATTTAAGCACTGTGAAGTATAGTATTATAGCTAGAAATTGATATAAATATAGAAATAATATAAAAAATATAATGGCACCTCCAGCTAAGATGGGGTCTATAGATAGACCAGGGACTGAAAAGTTCGAAAGGAGTGCTAGTGTGATAGCCAAAAAGAAGAAAGGAAAATATTCCAAGGATAAGAAATTGAATGCCAATTTAAGAAAGATAGATCATCAATATAAAGAAGCCCTTAGATCAGCAGCAGGAACTGATTTATTACTTACTGAAGATGTAGGGTTTTTGGAAGCTGATTCTGCTATGGAAAAGACATTTAAATTCAAACAAAATGATATAGAAGAAGTCTTGGATGAACAAACTGTGAATAAGAAATTTGAATTAAATTTACCAAAATTGGGCCCATATCAAATTGATTATAGTAGAAATGGTCGTGATTTACTTTTAGGAGGGATAAAAGGTCATGTGGCATCTATAGATTGGAGAAAAGGAAGTATGAATTGTGAACTATTCCTTAATGAAACCGTTCATGCTGTTAAATATTTACATAATAATCAATATTTTGCAGTGGCTCAAAAGAAATATACTTATATTTATGATAATCAAGGTACAGAATTACATCGATTAAAACAACATGTTGATAGTACATTATTGGACTTTTTACCATATCATTTCTTATTAACTACCGCCGGAAATACGGGATTTCTTAAATATCATGATGTATCAACTGGTCAATTAGTATCTGAATTAAGAACCAAATTAGGTCCAACTCAAGCATTAAAACAAAATCCATGGAATGCCGTCATGCATCTTGGTCATTCAAATGGTACTGTATCATTATGGGCTCCAAATATGTCTACTCCATTAGCCAAAATATTATCTGCTCGTGGTCCAATAACTGATTTAGCAATTGATAGAGAAGGAAAATATATGGTTGTAAGTGGAGCTGATAAATCAATGAAAGTTTGGGATTTAAGAAAATTAAAAGAATTAGATCATTATTATACTCCAACTCCTGCCAAATCATTAGATATTTCTGATACGGGTTTAATAAGTGTAAGTTGGGGACCTCATATAACGGTTTGGAAAGATATTTTCAAATCTAAACAATCAGAACCATATATGAATCATTTAATACCATCATCAAAAGTTGAACGAGCAAAATTTGTCCCATTTGAAGATATATTAGGTGTAGGACATTCAAAAGGGTTTAGTTCATTAGTTATCCCAGGTGCGGGTGAAGCTAATTATGATGCTCTTGAAATCAATCCATATGAATCAGTTAAACAAAGACAACAAGGTGAAGTTAGATCCTTGATGAATAAATTATCGCCTGATACTATTTCATTAGATCCAAATGTGATAGGTACAGTTGATAAAAGAGCTAGTAGTATACGATTAAAACCAGGTCAAATTACAGAAATTTCAGATATGAGTGAAAAGGATCAAGATAAATTAAATAAAATGGAAATTAGACCTGATGTTAGTGCTAAGAATTCCGCATTAAGAAGACATTTACGTAAGAAGACTCAAAATGTCATAGATCAAAGAAGATTAAGAATTGAAAGAAATTTGAAATTAGAAAAAGAATTAAGAGTAAAGAAATATAGACAAGATAGAGGTTTACCAGAAGAAAAAGATTTATTAGGTCCTGCTTTAGCAAGATTTAAATAATTATATAATATGTACATACATATATATATATAAAAGTAAGAACCTATTTAGGTTTTGATGAAAACAATGCTTTTGCAAACACTGTATTTTCCCATTTTAATGCATTATAATCAACTTCTAAAACTGTAATTTTACGTGTTTCTGTATTAATATTTTGATTGAGCATAACTTTTAGAGGAATAGAATGAGGTGAAACAGGATCAGATTTATAACTTCTCTTTAATTTAAACAGTTTCATTCTAATACTATCTTCAATATCATCATAATCATAATCATCATTTTCATCATTTGATTGTTTATCTAAAGATTTTATCCATTTTGTAAGTAATTTTGCATCTTTTTCATCAATAAATTGAAGATAAACACTTGAAATACCTGAAATACTGGCAGTGAAAGTTGAAACATATACTAATAATTGACAAAATTTAAATAATTGAGAATGATCATTGTAAACGCATAATTTTATCCAATTCAATTGTTCAACTGGGAATGGTAATCTTTTAATTTCTAATAATTCATCATCATCAACAATAACTTTTGATACTTTGGAGAAATATCTCTTGATATGATTCTTGAATACTTGTTCAAGATAAAGACTTTGACGAATGACTTTATTACTCTCAGACCAACCATCATCTTGTTGTTGCTTTGTAGTATCTGATTTAAATAACATAACTTCTTTATCAGTATTGATCAAATCAGTATTAGTGAAATCTTCATCAGGTAAAATGACTTTGAATAATTGATATAATACTGTAGGTTTTTTAATATTATCAAGGGTTAACGGGGTTGAAACAGGGAAATCATTAACCCAAGCTAAAGTAGCTCTTATAAAATCCACTTCAAATTGATCATCAGGATGAATTGAAGAGGTACTAGTAGTAGATTGATCGGGAGGAAGGATTTCAATGATGGGTCTAAGTCTCTTTGGAGAAGGAGTAGAAGATGATGTCATGGTGTTTGAAACCTTCAACTGATGATATATTGGTAACCGCCATAAAAGTAAAAGAAGGAGAGTTATGGTTATACTCTGATTTTGTTTTTCAAATGGCCGCAAAATTGAGAAACTACATGCAACACATATTTTATTAAAGTTATATAGAAGTAGAGCTTCTGATATGATATAAAGTCAAGTAAGTAAATACAGTATCATGGATGATAGATATAACCATCATATTTGAATGTTGTTTCTCTTCTCGTTAAATTGTAGTTTTATCTCCGCTGATGAATTAGAACAGAATATAAAGTTAAACCAATTATTATATTTCATCAAGTTTAGTTCCATCTCACAATAAGAAGCATTAACTTGTAAAATACAAACATATTCAATTCCAATACTATAAACTCATACAATTCATATAAATTTTAGCATCCACTTTAGCAGTTAATTACCCAAAAAGGGACTGACGACATTACATTCGACATTTATTTGTTGAGGGTGAAGCTCAGCATCCACCACGACATTCTCTGATGTCAGGATTTCTCATATAAAAAAAAAAGCCCATTTTCATTTTTACAACATGATCCCATAAATTTACAACACCAAATCCATAACGTATCAATTTGTTCTATTTAGAATTCAATCCCCTTATCAATCAATCAATCCAATTGAATAGCATATACTATAGGTGTACTGCCCATACCGAACTTACCGACTGTACCGAAGAGCGGAAATCTTTATCAATTGAATTCGCTTTATAAGTCATATCTACTTAGTAATATATCAACCCCAACTTAGTTGACCATTTCAATTCAACCAATTTGATTGAAAGGTAAGATCTACTACTACTACTACTACTGCATTATAATGACCAATCATAACTCAAGACCTTCAACGCCGTTAGCATTCAACCCATCCCAATTACATTCCCATTCATCATCAATATCATCACTGCAACAACAACAGCCACCGGTACAACCATTGGTTCCGGGACAACAAGGAACTGGTCATAAAATACCAATTTATGAAAAACCAATTCATGAAAACTTGGCTGAGATTTATCATACAGTGTTAACCTTAAAGAATAATAGAAATAAATATATCAATTCTAAACAAATTTATCAGATTTATGATAAATTCTTATCATGGTTACATGAATTAAAGATTACTAGAAAGGATGAAGAATTAAAAGGGTTAAGTTTAAATTTACCTAATAATAATGATTTTTTAATTGATGATATTTGGCAATTACTATCTCTTTGTTTTGTAACTTGTGGATTAATTAAATTTGCTCCGGCAACTTATAGTTCTTTAAGTACGGTAAGTAAATTATTAGATCATTTAAAGGAAGGTCAAGTTTATACTTTAGAAGATTTAAAACCAATAAAGATAAGATTAGATGAAATCAGAACTATTATTGAACAACAACCTGAATCTGATGATGATGAAGAAAATGATGAATCAGGTGCCATATCAAGTTTTAATCAAAGAAAAGCTCATCATCGTGTTGAAGAGAATTTATTATTAAGAACCAAATTAAATAAATGTCAAACTCTTTATAATTCCTTAGAATCCAATTTTAAGAATTTCCCATCTGATTTAGAATTGATTTATAATAAATTAATTTCAATTCGGAAGATTATTTTGAATTATTTAACTACTGATAATGATAGTAATAAATCAACCACATCATCATCATCTCCTTCAAGTCAAATGTATCATTATGGTAAGGGTAAATCTAAAGACCCTAAGATTCTTACTAAAGTTGGTCAATTAAAATCAGAATTAAAAGAAATTGAAAGTTTAAGAGATATAAATGATGGAAAATTTCATTCTAAAAAAGTTGAACCAACAAAACAACAAGCTAGTGATGAAAAGATTCAACCGGTTATAAATGGATTAATTGATGATTGTAATAATTTATTACAAGATTTAGTTATTCAAAATGATTCAACTAATTTAACCATTGAATTATCTCAATTAAATTTAGATGATGATTCTAATGAACAAAATGAAAATTTAAAGAATTTAAGAAGTATTAATAATAAATTTGAATCTATATATAGTCAATTATTAGATTTAAAACAAAAATTAGAAAATTTATTAATTACTAGAAGATGGACCATGAGAGAAACTGATTTATATGGATATCAAAAATTATTAAGAACCATTGATGAACAACGTATTGTATTAAATAATCAAATTAAATCAAATCAAATTGAACTTGATTTTAAAATCAAACAAGCTGGAGAAATTAAAGAAGAAGAAGAAGAAGAAGAAGAAAAATCAGAAGAAGGTGAGCATAGTATAAGTGAAAAATCAATTATTATAAATAATCATTTAAGAAAAAATCATACTTTAATTTTATATCTTTTAAGAAGAAGTTATGGATTAGTTTATAAATTATTAGAAAGTTCTGAACCAGTTAGTGAATCCTTACAACCTATTCATAATCAATTATCTACGGTTAGAAAATGTTTATTAGATATTAAAAGAGTTGATGGATTAAATAATTTACGAGAATTATATCCATTTCAATTTAAATTAGCATCATTAGATAATTTAAGAAGTGATGGGAAATTTTATATTAATAATCAAATTCCTGAAGGTCAAGGGACATTAAATGCATTATTAGAGGAATGTTTTGATATAATTCATGAATTAAAGATTGAATTAGAAGAAAAAGAGGACGAAAGATATGAAAGAAAACAAAAACAACTGTTATTATCGATTGATTCATCGGTGAATCATAGTGTGACTGATTTGACTGATGATGAAGATATTCAATCTGATGATGAAGTTGAATTAAAGAGAAATAGATATATGGGATTCAATGAAGCTGATTATGATAAAGAATCAGAATCAGCCTATGAATTTGGAGATGATGATGATCTTGATGATCTTGAAGATGAAGAAGATGATGATGATAAGTTGAGTGATGATGAATATGAAGGTAATGATTATTATTAAAGTGGTATTAAGTTTTTTTGTTTTCTAATTTGTTTGTTTTAATTTTTGTTTAGTTATTTTTGATTGCTTATTTATTTTATGTTATGTTGTGTCATGCTATTTTTTTCTATATTTTCTTATTCTTATTCTTATTCTTACTATTATACATATTTTATTTATTTCTTTTATTCATATAAATCTTTTAAAATATAAGTATTATGTTATGGTATGTTTAATTAAGTGTGGTTAAATATGGTAGCAATGGCTAATGGCGGGTAACCCTTCTTTTTCTTCTTGCTTTAAAATTTCTTTTTTTTGTGTGTGGTCTGGCTCCTCCTTCGTCTGTTTGACGGAATTTTTAAATTTGGAAATATATAATTAGACAAATTGCCATCAACTGGTTTCAACATCTTTAATTAACCATATTAGCTTAACAAGGTATCACCATATAGTTGGTGAAGGTAAGAGTTAAATAGACTTAACACAGATCATAATACCTAGAATTCAAACCTTGCACCTTTACAGCTTTCTTTCCATCCTTTTACCTAAATTTAAAACTATACTTTTGAGGGGAAGACCATATATAGCTAGATACATCTATAATATCATCATCATACACCTTCTATCCATCATATCATGATTTCAGCTGGATTCCATTGGGGTGTGACCACCCATAATCCTGAGTCTGATTCAAATAATGTTCTAGAAACAGGGTCTGATAATGCTAATACCATCTCAACTACCAGCACCAGCCATACTAATACTAATCATCTTCATCTGCATCATCAACGTAATAATCATCAAGCTACCACTACTACTACTACTACTGCCTTAACTTCAACTGCATCAAGTTCTTTATATCATTCCAAAAGTGTGCCTAGAACCATACCTAAACCTCAAATACCCTCCATAACTAATGAAAAGAAACGTAAATTAGACGAACAAAAAAATACAACATCATCATCATCACCACCATCCACAACTTCTACAACATCAACTTCAAGTAATAGAAAGTATCATGAATTACCTACATCTATTCAACGTAATAAAAAATCAAAAACTCCTCGTATTTCAGGTCAAAGTTTACCCGTATCAAGATTAATTGAAGTTTTAGATCATAAATCATTACAAGATTTATTACAAAATTTAGTTAATTTACATCCTGAAATTAATAATACTATCAATAATTTATCTCCTAAACCAACCATTAAAGATTCAATGGAATTATTACAATTCAAATTCAATCAAATTTTTAATCATTTACCTTATAAATGTGATGAAGAAAGTGATTATTCATATTTAAGAATCAAACCTTATTTATCAGAATTTTTAAATTGTCTTTCTGATTTTATTTTAAATTTCTTACCTCCTATCGAAGTTAATATTGTTAAATCATTAAATTTCTTACATTTCATTACTAATTTAATTCATAATTTACCTAAATTCTCATCCAATGAATTCCAATATACAAAATTAATGGCATATGAACAAATCGCTAATACATGGTTAATAGTGTTAACTCAAAATATCCAAGGTATTGAACTTGATGATTATTTATTACCTGCCATAAGTCATTTATCCACCAGTACTAATAATATTGATAATGAATCGATTGAAAATTCAATTAAATTAATTAAAATTGTAGAAGAATTAGATTTAATTGAAAAATTAACTAAACATAATGAATTATCATTTGATAAATTCAAACATATTATTGAATTTATTAAATTTGAAATTAATCAAGTGGAGAATTTTAATTATATTTATCATACTCAATTACAAAATGGTTCAACCACCACCTCGACCAATTCAAATCCAACTACTAATCCAGGATCAGGTCCAGGGGGTGTGTTTGGAGATTTAATCACGGTAGATTATTCGAATTTCTCCATCACAACTCATTCATCGAGATAATAGTAATAATCACCCTATATACATACATACATATATACAACTATTCGTTATATAGAAGCACGGCTCTTTTTTTAATTTTTTTGTTAATATAAACAGGTTTATAAATCAGGAAAGAAACAAGTTTTAATCTACACTTTGTAAGTTTTTGTAAAGTACCAGAACAATGAAAAATATATTTAAAAAGCGAAAGAAGGAGATGTTGAATCTAAACAATATATATAGATTTATACATTTGAGAGGAGAGGATAAGAAAAAAGTAATAATAATAATATATAAAAAAATTGCCATACCAAAAAGAATAAAAGAAAGGACAAAAAAGGAAGGAGATAGATGATCTCGATAGTGAGGGTAGAGACGGGTTAATACCGATCAGTTTTAGTTGTTAATATATCAACAAAACCGTTATTTATAGGAGGATTCCCGATATTTTTAAGAATCATGAAATGAAATGAATTGAAATAAATAGTAAGTGAATGAAGATCGTAAAGGATGATATATTAAAAAAAAAGTCTATGCAAAAGGTGGGATATGAAGATGAAAATAAACATTAATACTATGACGAGTTTTAACCCATCGTACTACTATTATCAGGATTAATCACATGTAAGATTTTTCTTGAATAATCTGTTTCATCAGCTAATGAACCTTCACTTAATCTTTTTCTACCCATTATAGAAGGATTTAATCTTGGATCAATTAAACCTCCTGCACCAGCATTTCCACCACCTAAAACATTAGGAGGAATTGATGGTTGATTACTATTATCACTACTATTATTACTAACATTATCATTAGGATGAACAAATGGATTCATAATTGGCATATCGAATGCACTATTAGTTTTTACACCTCTTCTAGTACCTTTACCTGTACCTCTTCTACTACCTAATCCTGCACTTGGTTTTGAATCATAAAATTGTTCTTCATCATAATCTTCATCATCTTCATCATCACCATATCTTCTTCTAATGAAAAAGAAAATACCACCTCCAATAGCTGCCAATGCAACTAAACCTCCAATCACCCCTCCAACAATAGGACCAATGTTGGATGATTTTTTATGGGATGATGATGAGGTTGAATCTGATGGAGATGAAGAACCGGATGGTGAACTTGAAGATGAAGTTGATGAACTTGTTGGAGAAGTTGCAGATGATGGACCTTCAGTAACAGTTTTATAAATAATATTACCACTATTAGTACCAGTACTGGTAATAATTTGAACAGTTTCATTATCAGAATTATTAGCAGTATTAGTAGTACTTGTAGTTGGACTTGTAGTTGCAGTATTAGTTGATGTTGAAGTAGTTTGAGTGGTGGTAGTTTGACTTGTAGTAGCACCAGTTTCAATAGCTTCTGTATTGGTATTACCATTACCTGGGAAAATACCAAAAGCATTAGTTCCACCACACATATCTTGACCATAACCAGCACATGGAACACTACATTGACTACTACTTACTGAAGAACCAGATGGTAAGGATGATAAACAATAACAATCCATACCATTTTTAATGGCAACGTAAGCATAACCATTACATTCGTTGGCACAATAAGAAGGAGTTTGCCAAGTGTAACTTCCTATCGATTTGGCGGAAGATGGTAGGGACAGAATACAACCTAATGAATCAGCTTTTACTTGACTAAGTAATAAAGAAAGTATGAATAGAGTGATCATTATGTGTATAGATGGGTTGTGTTTGTAAGGAGGGTATAAGTTGAAGGAATGTATGGAGGATATTAAATGAAAGTAAAATGAATGAATGGATTGATTGATTTAATTAAAGGAATGAATTCAAAGATTTACTGAATCAATAATAACATATATGATAGATCAGAACTAGGATTGATTTGATCAAGATAGATATGATTAATATGATGAATGAATCTGAGTTAAGTCTAGTTTCTAAAAAACGATGATACTGCTGATTCAAACAAGATGATTAAAAGTCAAAGTCAAAAACCAAAGGACTATATGGTTAGACTTTTTGAATTTGATGTTTAACGATAGAATGGGTAAACAAGGTAAAACAGAAAAAGTTTTTTTTAACCGAGATCTGTATGTCTTATGAATGAATGGAATAGGATCTTAAGAACTGGTTCACCGTATGGGTATATGGGGTATGAGATGGTGACAGATGAATGGATGGATGGATGGATGATGATAGTGATGAAAAGGAGAGCAAAGGAAACTGAATGAAAGGAAGGATGATATAAATTTACTATGGATTACTTGGCCCTGTTGCCTATTTCTTTTTTTAACTAATTGGCTGTTTTGTCCTCTGTTGATGATTGTCTGTTTTGTATCAAGAAGAAAATTTTTTTTACTCTCTTTTTTTAGATTTTTGTCTGCATTTGGAAAATTTGACAAAAACTGGAAAAAAGAAACTTTTTGAGACACCGAGACACGACATTTTCATATAGTATAAAAATAAATTAACGCGTAATATTTAAAAATTTCCCCCCTTTTTGTTTATATTTTTATTAGGAGAGGTGAATGGGGTGTAATTGAACTGGATTCAAAATCTCTAGTCTAGACCTCAATACAAAAACTGTAAAACTAAAACAGTAAATGAAAATCACGTTCGCAGTCATATGACCAAAGTTACCGGTTAACAAGCGCAAAAATTAGTTAATTATTTTTTAAGCACAATATTGTGAACTCTACATTAAAATTTGCGTTTAGCTTCATTAATTAGCATATATTTAACATCACTAAATTTGTAATTAAAACTATGAAAAGTACGTGAATGATTGCCACAAATATTCTAAACCCAATTTAAGGTCTAGCACCATTAAGATAACAAATCATACCAGGAGGTAAGAAAGGTGCTGGAATCTCTTCATCCCAATATGGAAACTCAGTTCCAAACGTTCTTGGTATAGGATCTCCATCTTCACATGGTGAAGGAATTCTGGTAGGTTTTTCATCGATATTAAACAGATAATAGAAATCTAAATCAGGATGTTTCTTTCTATACATACGACATTGATGATCAAAGTAATCAAACTTTTCTCCGTAATAATGAATTACTTCAGATGAACGCATAAGCTCCATCATTCTACGATAATGACGTAATTCGTATCCTCTTACTGTACATTTTTGTAATACAGGTAAATTCTCTAATAATACTGATCTCATGGAACCCAAAGTTATGGTCTTAATTAAACTTCCATTGGATTTAACAAGTTCACCCATAGTCCATACCGTACCAGCATAATAAGATTCAAAACCAACCGTTTCCAAATTAGGAAATTTAGTTGGATAATCTCTTTTAATAAATACATCTAATCTTACCTTTTGACCTAAATGTAATTCTTGAATTTCTGGACCTAACCACAGAATTGAAATTTTTGGCTGACAACTATGACGTTCTTTATAGTCCACTTCTAATTTGTTATACATCGCAACATCTTCATTTCTCTTAATCAGTATCAAATCTAAAAGCAATAACTTTCAATGGCGTCAAATCTTCTACTGGTGGTAATTTAAACTTATCAGGTTGTTTATCAATAACGATTTTAAAAATGTAGAGTTTGAATTTAAAGTTTCCCATCATATTAATGATATTTGCTTTCAGAATCAAATCATTCATTGACTTTCCATCATCATTACTACCGAGTTTGAATTGTAAAGTGATGACAAGTGGAGAATCTGGATTATTAAACTTATGAGCATTATCGAAAAACAATTGCAGTGATTCTTCATATGACGCAGATGGTTTATTATGGTAGAGGATTTGACCTTCAGTGGGAACAGGAGGAATCAAGAGGTTATCAAGGCTATCTGTGAATGTGGAATCATCTAAGATGACCAAATTTGTAGTTCCTTTTAATTTATCTGGTAATGTACTTTCATCTAATTTAGTTTCAACTTGGGTTGAATTATAATTGTGTTCAGTAGTCGTCATTAAATTACTCTTTGCATATATTACTCTTTTAATTAGAAAGAAAAAGTGTTGAATGCAAGTGTTACAAATCTAGAAGAATCTGCTTATATCAAAATATAATAATTGAGTCAACATGTTATGCACTTTTTTGCAACTATAATTTTTTTTTTCTAATGAGTAGCATTTATTATGTATCTAAAAAGTAGACATAGTATCTAAAGAAAAGATTTGTAAGAAATGAGTTTGATAGAGAGACTATATAAGGAAAACTCTATTTATTTGCAGACATATGGTAAAACTCATGCAGGAGTTATTAGGAGACAGCTAAGCATAGTCTTAGTGGTTGGTAGAATACTAAGTTGAGGCTCAGTAAGTGTATTACGCTTTTATGATGATAGAAGTCATTTCTGATTTTATTCAGAGTTGAAAAGCTTTTTATTATATACATATATAGTTATAAATTCGTAAAATTATTTAGTGATCTTGTAAGTTATTCAACAGGTGAATGATCTTTAATCATCTATTCTTTTCAGTATGATTGGTTTTCGAATTATATTTACTCTGTTGATTATTATTGATAATCTTTTTATTATCATGCTTAATTTGCTTCATTGATTCAAATAAGTCTTGAATGGGGGTATTGATAGGTTGACTTAAATCATGATCGCCACCACTACCACTTCTACCATTAATTTTCCGTTCTCCAAGATTAATCTGTCTTTCAATGGTCGACTTATAATCATTGATGGCAAGTGATACCATTTCATCATTAATTAGAAGACGATTATGTTGTAAATGTTTAAATATTTCTATGATCCAGGAATAACTGAGATATGTATCCGTAATCGAAATAACTCTCCAGAATCTATCAAAGTACAGGATAAGTTTTAATTTTATTTCTTCATCAGTTAATGATCTATATCGATTAGTACATGAACTTAAAGCAGTAACATACTCTTCATTTTGAATTCGATGATATAATTTTGATTTGAAAGCAACAATGATTTTAAATTTATTTAAATTGGTCATGTTTTCAATAAAATTGTTTAAAATATATTCATCATCAATACTACCATAATCAAATTTTGTAATATTAATCTCATCCATTTTATCAATAACTTGACTCTTTTGGGGTTTACTTTTCCCAATCCCTCTTGATTGCCAATATTGTTGTTTTGGTTTTTTAACTCTTTTAATATTAGTATTATCCGGTATTATATCATTAGCATTGAAGAATGATATGCTTGATTCACTTTTATCCAACATTAAGAGTGGATCTTGGAATTCAGGTTTCAATTGTCCATCTTCATCAAGTTTAGTGTCCACTATTTTAAGTAAAATTCGTTTCATCATTACTTCAAAGGTATATTGACCTTCAATTTCATATAATTTCATTAATTTCATTAATTTGTCAGCTTCAGATACTTTTAAATTGTTCGCCATTTGTTTAAGTTCAATCAATCTCCATAAAACTCTTTCTTCCATTTCTAAATAACATAATAGATTAGTTTCATCTCTTTCCATACCTTCATTCTTAGCCCATGATAATGATAATATACTCCCTTTAGTAGGATATTGTTCATCACGGAAACAAACTCGTTTATTAACTTCATCAATATCAAGGATCTTCATACGAGGTAAATTCCATAATGGGAAACTATTAAATGTTTCCATAAGTGGACTTGTAATTACTTGTGGTATAATGGTTGATTTAAACTCATCAATTAACCCATTTAAACATGTCTTGATATCAAATTCAAATGATTTAACGATACTTTGTTGCCAACTTAGATTCAATCTTGCATCCATGCCCGTATTATTATGGGTTATTGATTCGGTATATTTTTCAATCAATTCATTTCGAATGAAATTATTTCGTTCAAGTTGTAAATATTGAGGATGATCATAATAAACTCCATATTTATTAAATATTCGAAACAACACTATATTGATGATCTTTGAACCGAAATCATTTGCAAAAGTACTTAAATATTGAGAATTATGATGTTTCATAGCATAATTGAAATGAGATAATTTGATTAAAATAGGACTGATGGTAAATTCATTATGATTTCGAGTGGTATCCTCGACTGATTCTTGTAATACAGTAAGGATATCTTCCATAGATTGATTATTTGACTTTTTCAATCCATCTATAGTGAATTGGTTATGTTTTGATTTCTGATCGATTGATTTTAAAATGGTTGGTATAAGAACTGTATCTGGTTCATTTGAAGTATGTATATGACGTCGTATTGATTTCACAAGGGACCCGAGGATTAGATTAGTACCACTATTACATTGATGCCTACTTCCTCGTAGTATCATTTTGAAGTATGTATCTTTTATTTTCTATGGTCTATGACTCTCAGTGGTAGATTTTCATCTCTAATAAAAATCGGATGGTGTCAGTTTTTGGTGATACTATTTTTTTTAAGTCTTTATTTTTTTTCAGATCGGTTTCAGTTGGTTGCGCAAATTATTTACATTTTGCAATTAAAATATAAAGTTTATACTAGAATGAATGTTATATAGTTCTAAAATTAAATCTAATCAGTTCCAAAGTATAAACTGTCTATAAAACGATTTCTGAATTGCCAATCTGTATCTTTACAATTCTCAGGATTATACCATTTACTTCCATCTGCATTATCATTTATATTTGATAATTTCCCAATTACAATATTAACTTCTGGAAATACATTTAAGATTCTTCGTAATCCTAATTCAGTAGATAAATAACAACATAAGATGATATCTTTAGGTTTACAATCATGATCTAATAACACTTGAATGGCCATAATCGATGCGGCACCACTTATAATTTGAGAATCAAATAACATGATTTTATTCTGTTGTATATCTTGTGGAATAGAATCATAATGTAATTGAGGTTCACCAGTCTTAGAATCACTCTGAATTAAAAGTTTACCAATACTGATTTCAGGGAATGTCTTTTTAATTGAATTCATAAAACAATCACCTGATCGAATTATACTGATGGCAACTATATCATCAACTAATTTTAACCCTTGATATTGATAAGATTTAGCAGCAGTTACTGTAATCGGTTCAAAATCATTGATGAAATGTAACCCTTCTTCAATTATTATTGTACTTATTCTATCAAAATAAAAGATAAAATCTGACCGTTCTGTATCTTCATTAAATAAGATTGAATTTATCCCTTTAGTTTGATTATTAATAGGTAAAATCTTCACATTATATTCATTAAGATCTCTGATTTTTATATCTAAAGTTTGTAAATATTTCAAATGTTGACTTGATTTTAAAATTAATTGTTTTTCAATATGTTTGATCATTAAATTAATGGCAATCACATTATCCAATCCTCTGGGGATAATTAAATCAGCATTATTCATAGTTGGATTAACATATTTCACCGCGTTTGGTTTAACAAACTTTTCCCATTGTTGAAGACATCCACTTAAATCACGACCTCTATATAAGATATCTCTCGTTAATCTTCTAGCTAAACAAATATCCAAATCAGTATCAACATAAATTTTAAGATCCATAATATCTAATAGTCGAGGATCGTATAAGGTATATATCCCTTCTATGATGATCACATTAGCACCATAAATGGTAATGGTTTTATCAGTTCTATTATGATGTTCAAATGAATAAACCGGGATAGTTGTCTTATGACCTTTCTTTAAAGATAATACAGTTTCAACCACAAGATTTAAATCAAGGGATTCAGGGGTATCAAAATCAAAATTATTAGAAAAGGCTAATTTCCTTTCATCTTCAGTTAAAGGATTATAAAAATTATCAAACGATAACAACACAGTCCATGGTTGATTTAATTCTTGAACAATCTTTTGGGCAATTGATGTTTTACCGGATCCAGAATTCCCGGCAATACCAATGATATAAGGTTCAGTCCAAGGAGGAATATACGATGCACCATGAAGAGGTGTTTGTAATTGAGAATGAACATTAGAATGGGAATTAGTAGTTTCGATATGTAAATTACTTATTCCATTCTCATTGCCAAACAATAAGGCTGATGTAGATGTAGTAGCTTGTAAGGGATGACTTTCAGAAAAGGGAGAATCAGTTAATTGATCTGATGAATTAAAGAATGAACTGGTGGAATCATTATCAGGAGCAATTCTACTAAATCTTCGTGGTTTAGGGATTTTAACGGATAATGAAGATGGAGCAGGGGATGGTGTTGAAGTATGATTAGTCATATTGTTATCCAATCAATAGACATTTAATGGCCTAATGATACCTCTTGGAACGATGATTGTTATAATTCAAAAGTAACATTTTTTTTTGATAGCGATGATTGAAGATGGATCTTTTTTTTTTTTGTTTTGATTTATTCATTTGCACCAAATTGAACTTTTGAAAAGTTTCATTATCTCATCCAACTTACAACTAAGATATGTCAAGTATACAGACAGGGAGAGGGAAACGAAGGAGGAAGTTTGAAGATGAAGTAGACAGTCATAGTGAAAATGAAGAAGAAATTGTCGTTGAAGACCATAAACCAGAACTCACCCCAGATAAACTAAAAGAACCAAAAGATACATATATCCCACAACCCCAGAAACAACAGGAACAACCAAGTCGGAGTAAATACATTGATGAAGAAGATATATCTTCAAATGATAAACGACGGAAATTTGACTTGCTACATCAAAAAGATACCAGCACCACTTCAAGAAACCATAAACGAAATGATCATAATCAATGGGAATTAGAACAATATCAAAAAGCTCAACAAATCATGAATACCACCAAAATCACTAAGGATGATTTGGATAAGGTTAATCTCCCTGACAATGATAAATACGAATATGTGTTTGATGATTCCCAATATGTTAACTTTAATGAGATTGAAGAAGATGATGAATTAAAAGGTGATGATCAACCACAGAAACCTGATCTTATCGAGAAAGAGAGAATATCAATAGCAGAAGTACGTCAATCCTTACCAGTTTATAAATTTCGATCCCATTTCCTTGAAGCTATGGATAAGAATCAAGTACTTATTGTCGTGGGAGAAACAGGGTCAGGTAAGACTACCCAATTACCTCAGTATTTATATGAGGCAGGATATTCTCAAGGTGATAAGAATCTAATCATTGGATGTACCCAACCCCGTCGAGTAGCTGCTACATCTGTGGCCACTAGAGTTGCCCAAGAAATGAATGTTAAATTAGGGAAGGAAGTAGGATATTCGGTTAGATTTGATGATAAATCAAGTAAAGATACCGTGATTAAATATTTAACCGATGGGATGCTTCTTAGAGAATTTCTTACTGATTCGAAATTATTGAAATATAGTGTGATTATGATTGATGAAGCTCATGAAAGAACATTATCAACCGAGATTTTATTAAGTCTTTTAAAAGATATCTTAACTACTCGACATGATTTAAAAGTTATAATTGCATCAGCTACAATTAACGCAGAGAAATTTTCGAATTATTTCCATCAAGCTTCTATTTTAAATATCCCCGGTAGGAGGTTCCCGGTAAAGATCCATTATACCAAGAATCCAGAAGCGAATTATATCCAAGCGGCCATAACGACGATTTTTCAAATCCATTTAACTCAACCTTTACCAGGTGATATACTTGTGTTTCTTACAGGACAAGAAGAAATTGAATCAATGGAGGAAAGTTTACAAGAATCAATTATTAAATTAGGTTCATCATTAGAAAATCATTTACAAGTTTTAAGTATTTATTCGAATTTACCAATTGATTTACAAAAAAAGATTTTTGAACCTACTTTACCTCATACTAGGAAAGTTATCTTAGCTACCAATATCGCAGAAACATCAATCACCATCGATGGGATCCTGTATGTGATTGATCCAGGGTATGTTAAACAGAATGTTTATAATCCCACTCAAGCCATGGAAAGTTTAGTGGTTGTTCCATGTTCAAAAGCATCGGTTGATCAAAGAGCAGGGAGAGCCGGTAGAATTGGACCCGGAAAATGTTTCCGATTATTTACCAAATGGTCATATTATAATGAATTAGATGCGAATACTACTCCTGAAATCTTACGAGTTAATCTTTCATCAGTGATTTTATTATTATTATCATTAGGGATAAATGATTTAATTAATTTTGATTTCTTAGATAAACCAAATTCAAAACATATTATAAAATCATTAGAATTATTATATTCATTAGGATGTATAAATTCAAAAGGATCATTAACTAAATTAGGATTAAAATTAAGTAAATTCCCCTTAGATCCAATGTTATCGAAATGTTTAATCACCAGTGAGAAATTCAATTGTGTTTTGGAAATCATCACCATAATTTCAATGTTAGGAGAATCATCTACTTTATTCTATCGACCTAAGGATAAGCAGGAAATAGCGAGTAAGAAACATGCTAGTTTTGATTCCCCCTTGGGTGATCATTTTAGTTTATTGAATGTATCGCAACAATGGGAAAATAGTGATTTTTCAAATCAATGGTGTCAAGAATATTTCGTCCAGTATAAAACTTTACGAAGAGTTAAGAATGTTCGAGATCAATTAATTAAATTATGTCAACGAAATAAAATTAATGTGAATGAAACCATATCGATTAATCCATTATATATTCAAAAATCATTAATTTCAGGATATTTCCCTAATATAGTTAAATTATCAATGATGGGTGATACATATAAGAAACTTAAATCAAGTAATGTCGCCACACCATGCTATATCCATCCATCCTCTTCCATATTTAAAATCAAACCAATTCCAAAATTATTATTATATCATGAATTAGTATTAACCAGTAAGGAATATATGAGGAATTGTATGATTATAGATGAGAAATTGATTAAAGAATATGGATCTCATTATTATTCACCTCAAGAATTAGAATCATTATCAAAGACCAAGAAGTAAGTTAGTTAGTAGTTAGGGTTAATAGGGGAAAATATAGACAATGTACATTTTTTATTTTGTGTAACATTTTTGGCTCTCTCTCAAATTTTATGTTTGCAACCAAAATAGACTGATGGTTGTATACAGGCCCATACCCAATAAGGTTTATTATGTTTGGGCAAATAATAAGTTAAGACTATGGAAGCTTAATCTTGAGATACTTCGTTTTAACCTGAGAGTTTTCAGAGGTGAATCTTCATCATTAGTAGTAAGAGTGAAATCATTTGTAGTATCATAATGATGATCCTCTTCATCATCATCTAATACAGGTACAATATCAAGTTCTTTCCTTTTAAGACGTAATAATTCAGCAGGAGAAGTTGTATATTCGAAATCAGGTTCCACCAGAGATTTTGATTTCAATACTCTAAGACTTAAATCTGAACTTCCTGGATGATGAGTTCTTGAAAATTGAGTTGATTTATCATAAGGATTATTATTATTATTATCATTATTAGTATCTTGTTCGGATGGTACATCTAAATCAGAATCAAAATCGAAATTAATATCAATTTTGGATATATCTTCACTTGATTTCCAATAATTATTAACATCAGAAATATAATCATCAAATTTAGATTTCAATTCATCATCTTTTACATTTCCATTTATATGATTATTTAATTGGATAGGTTGAAATTGAGGATTTAATCTATGTTTAAGCGTCATAAATTTGTTCAGTAATTCATCATCTTTCTTACATTGATCTTCTTTATCTTCTTCATTATGTTCAAATAATTCATTGGCAAGTTTGATTGATTTATGATTTGGTTGATTCCGTTTATGAAAGCTAAAGAAATTTCTTACTGTTTGAAATCGAGATTGATGAAAAGTATCATCTTCCACTTCATCATCATCATCAAGAGATACATCAGGATTAATAGGAAGAATGGTATTACTTGATTTACGGGTTCTTAAGATTCTTGATAATGGATTCCCCTTCATCTTGCCCCTGATTGATGGTTTGATTGTAGTTTAGAGATTGTTTTACAAATATTTAAATTTGGCTGCCATTTTTTTTAAAACCATTTTTCTACACCCCAAAAAAAAAAGAAAACTCTACAAACTGAAATAATTTTCAAAATGATTAAAGATATATATTTTATAAATAACAAGAATGAATGAATGAATGAATGAACCGAAATAAATAAAAGCCTTTGATCCCATTAATGATTTGTATATATGTTTTAAAAGGATGCCGATGGGATCAAAAAACTTTAAGAAATGAATATTAACCTAAACCCAAAAATCAACCAACCAAAAGTAAACCCAAACCAGTGAAGTTAATTATTAAACTCAGTCGATGATTTTGGGATTTTCAAATTTGATAGCGATGGAATTCCTCCGATGATGATTTCGACATATTTTATTGTGATTATTATTAGATGATGATTGATTTGAGAAATCAACGTTTTGGAAATAATTATTAGTATGATGATTCTTTAAAAACATGCGATTTGGATTAAGACCAATATTTCCACTATTATTACTATTAATACTATTAATTGAATTTTTTCTTGAATTATTATTATTAATGATTTTCAATTCATCATTGAAATTATTCAAATCACATAATGAAACTCTTCTTTTGAATGGATTCAAGGGTGATGTGACACCTAATATGGGGGCGGAGATGGTTGATGATGGTGATGAGATTATGAAAGATGGAGAGGGGGATAAATTGGGTAACGAGTTTGATTTATGAATTGATTGTAAGGATGATAAATCATCACTATCGTCGTTGTCATTGTCATTATCCATCATCTGTTCATTATTATGTTTATGCAAGGAGAAATAGGAAAATTCTTGAGATTGAATGGGAGGGGTGATTAATGGTGGAGGTGAATCATCCTGTTGTTGAGATTGGGTTGGACTATGAGAATAAACTAAGAATGCATTTAAGGGATTATTAGAAGGATATTCCAGAGGTGATTCAATGGCCAATGAACATCTTCTATGGGTTGCGGTAGTAGTAGTAGTAGTATGAGCCATATTTGATATGATGTATTATATGAGTATATTAAGATAAACGAAAGGCGTAAATGTATGATGGAACGAAGGAAGGGGGATTTTTTTAATGGGATGATTTTAAATATATATATATAATATCGTAAATAAATAATAATATTATTTAATGAATGAATGATAATTAACCTTTTATTAAAAGTATGGGGAAAGATGAAATTGAAAATATTGAAAAAGCTGGGGGAGAGAGATATTAATAATAAAGGGTGAGATGAAGGGGGAGATGGATGGGGAAGTGGTATAAGGAGGGGAGTAACAAGATGAGATTATATACCGTAAATAATTATTATTATTATTATTTATGGAATGGAATGGAGTGAGCAAGTGAGCAAGTGAACAAGATATGATTTGCTAAATGGTTAAGATAACCCCTTTTTATAGTATTAAAGAAATAGTATAACTAAATTAAACGATGGGATTATAATCTATTTATATGTAATGGTATAACTCCTTCAATCTTCGGAATAATAATTTGCGCATATAGATGGTGTTTATAAAAATAAGGAGATGTGACGTTTAATGGATGTATAATAATGTATTATTATTATTAGTTGATGAATGAATGAATTCAGATTATATTTATACATGACGTATAAACAGTTAAATAGGAAGTAGCAAGTAGCAAGTAGCAAACAATATTGAAAAAGTCTTGGAAGTTTTAATTTTAGTTACCTTTACATGCATATTGTATAATGGTATACTACAGTTTTGTAAATAGAGTAGGAAAGAATGAAAGATCTACTTACCATCTATCGTATAATATTAACTATATAAAGTAAAGACATTTGGTGAACAAAGAGGTAGAATCATACTATTTAATAAAGTTTAAACCTTATCTATTAAGAGTTTGAATAAAAGAGATGATTAATCATATTTTGAATGATGATTATTTTTGATCTTACGATAATAACAAAAAATGAAAAATCCAAAAAATAAATAAATAAATAAATCAAAAGGGTTAAAGTAACCAAATAATTAGTTAATTAACTGGTCTTGTCTTCTTCTATTGTATTGTACTATGGAAATTATTTTATACTCCTATTAATTTCTTTACTTATTAGTTATAATGACGTTAATAGTTGATATCATTTATATAAATAAATCTGTAAAAGGGTTACATAGAATCTGGTACAGTACTTTGATTTATAGTCATTGTTTGTTTGTTTGTGGCTGTCTGTTAGTTTTAGTTTTAGTGGGGTGAGGTACACTTATGTAAAACATCCATACATCATTGGTACTGTATATAAATTGATTATGTAATAGATTAAGTAAGCATAACCTATACCTGCATATAACACATGGTAAAAGATCGGCGATTAAATTCCGAGAATCAAGAAGAAGGGAAAAAAAACTCCGATTAAAACTAAACAGTGGAGAAGAAGTTAACTGTGAAGAATTTGAAGAGAAGTCAAATTGTGAAAAGTTTTTTTATCAAATCAAAAGAAGTAAAGTTAATAACTTACAACTTCTTCTTCTTCTTCTTCTTAGTTGATTCAACTGATTACAGAGATCATCAATATCACTTGAAGTTAAGTTAATTAAAGTCAAATCAATTAATTACTTCAATCGATCCAATTAGAATTGATAGATATAAATTAGATCAAGTGAGTCACAGTGAAAATCATTCAATTGATAATAGATTACATATTACATATTACATTATCTTACTTCATTTATAGTGATCATCATTTACATTAACTAATTAGTTAAATCAATCAACCAACCAACCAGTGAAAAATTTTCATTCATTCATTCATCATAGTTAAGTTAACTAGAGACAAAAATCATTTAACTTTTTTTTACCCCAGTTCAAATTAAAATTATAATTCCCCTCTTTAAAAAGGTTAACTGACAAAAATCATACTATAAATAAATTAACTATAGTACTATACCAGTTTTGAACTAATTTTCCCCCAATTACCCCAGATTATAATTAATAGCAACTTTTCACTACCATTTTATTAGTCATTAAATATTCTTCCTTTTGGTTCAAAACCCCCATCATATAACCCATAGTATCATTCTATTCTATTCTATTCTATTTATTTTCATTATATATAAACCTATCATTATCCCCCATCCATTTAACTAATAGTTATAATAATAATTTCATCATGTCATTAATTAAATCAATTATGAAACCTTCTACTAGTGTTTTCTTCACTTCAATCACTTTAACTCAAACTCCTTCTCCTCCTTCATCTCCAACTTCTTCATTTAAAGGTGGTAATAATTACTTTTTCTCAACTTCAACTACTACTCATTGGGATAAATCTCATTTCACTCCCGCTGATCCTTTAACTATTAAAGATATTAATCAACAAACTGTTCAAGCTAATTATGCCGTTAGAGGTAAAATCCCTATTATTGCTGATGAATTAAGAGATTTAATCACTAAAAATCCCGTTTCTCATGGTTTACCATTTAATAAAATCATTAATGCCAATATTGGTAATCCTCAACAATTAGATCAAAAACCATTAACTTGGTATAGACAAGTTCTTTCCATCTTACAATATCCTTCCATTATAAATCAAGTTAATTTCCCTCAAGATGTTAAAGATCGTGCTATTAAACTTTTAAATAATATTGGTTCAATCGGTGCTTATTCTCATTCTCAAGGGGCACCTCTCATAAGAGAATCAATCTCAAATTTCATTACTAAAAGAGATAATGGTCATTTATCTGATCCTCATAATATCTTTTTAACAAGTGGAGCTTCAGCTGCCGTATCTTATTTATTACAAATTTTATCAAGTGATCAAAATTCAGGATTTTTAATTCCTATCCCTCAATATCCATTATATACCGCTACTATTGCTTTAAATAATTCTATCCCAGTAGGTTATTATTTAGATGAAGCTAATAATTGGACAACAAATCCAAAGGAAATTCGTAATTTACTTACATCTTCTGAAAATTCTCATATTAAATTCAAAGCTTTAGTCATTATAAATCCTGGTAATCCAACTGGATCAATTCTTTCTAAACAAGATATTGTTGAATTAATTGATATTGCTGCTGAATATGGAATCGTTCTTATTGCCGATGAAGTTTATCAAGAAAATGTCTTTGAAGGTCAATTCATCTCAGTAAAGCAAGTCCTTAGTGAATTATTAATCACTAATCATGATCAATATAAAAACGTTCAATTAGCTTCTTTACATTCAACTTCCAAAGGTGTTAGTGGTGAATGTGGTCAAAGAGGTGGATATATGGAATTAGTTGGATTCCAAAATGAAGTTAAAGATATTTTATTCAAATTAGCTTCGATTAATCTTTGTTCAGTTGTTACAGGTCAAGCATTAATGGAATTAATGATTAATCCTCCAAGGGAAGGTGATGAATCTTATCCATTATACCAAGCTGAAACCACAGCAATCCACAAGGATTTAAAGGAAAGATCAAACGTGTTATATAAAGCTTTTGTTCAAATGGAAGATATCACTTGTAATAAACCAATGGGAGCCATGTATTTATTCCCTCGTTTAAATTTCAGTGAAGTTGATTATCATTTATTACATTCTCGTGCTAAACAATCCAAACTTTCCATTGATGATATTTATTGTATTGAATTGTTAGAGAATACTGGTATTTGTTGTATACCAGGGAATGGATTTGGTCAAGTTCCTGATACTTATCATTTAAGAACAACTTTCTTACCTCCTGGTCATGAATGGATTAATAGTTGGACTCAATTTCATGAAAAATTCATTAAAAAGTATAAATCAGTCCCTCAATAGTCCCCATAGTCATATTATATTAGATTTGTTTACCTTTGTTCGTCTTCTTCTTCTTCGTTTATACAGTAGTATTTGTAATATCTTATATATATATATACATCATCATATTTATTAGTGAGTTGTCGGGTTATACGATCGGACTTTGTAGATGATCATTTTTGTGATCACTCCAGCCGCAGAACTAAAAAAATTGAGTTTAACCCCATTTATACGAATTATATTACTATCATAATTATTATTAACTGTTTATTGTCATAACCTGTCGTATAACCCATATCTTCTCATAGTATAAATAGACCAGGAATCTCCCCTCGCTTCCAACCCATCTCATTCAAGCAATCAACATAATTAAACACCAGTTACTCCAACCATGACAGTTTATATAGTTGCTGCAAAAAGATCACCTATTGGTTCATTCCAAGGTTCATTATCATCATTATCATCAGTTGAATTAGGTACCACCTTAGTTAAACAATTCATCCATGATTTAAACTTACCCTCTGATTTCACTATTGATGAATGTTTCTGGGGTTCAGCTTTACAAGCTAATTTAGGACAAAACGTCAGTCGTCAAATCGTCATTAATGCTGGTTTAAATCCTGGTATTATTTCTACTACCATTAATAAAGTTTGTGCATCAAGTATGAAAGCTACCATTTGTGGAATCCAATCGATTTTATTAGGTGATAGTGAAGTTGTATTAGTTGGTGGAAGTGAATCAATGTCAAATGTTCCTTATTATGTTAATGGGGGCAATATTAGACGAGGGGAAGTGAAATATGGTAATATTAATTTGATTGATGGATTACAATTTGATGGATTAACTAATGTTTTCGAACCTGAATTATTAATGGGTCATTCAGCAGAGAAGACCGCTAAAGAATTTTCGATTTCAAGATTGGATCAAGATGAATATGCTATAAATTGTTATGAAACAGCCATTCAATCATATAAAGATCATAAATTTGATTCTGAAATCATTCCTATTGAAATCAAAACTAGAAAAGGTTCATCCATCATTAATAAAGATGAAGATTTAAATAAATATAATCGGGACAAATTAAAAACCGTCAAACCAGCATTCATCCCCGATGGAACCGTCACTGCCGCAAATTCACCTTCATTCAATGATGGTGCCGCTGTCTTACTCTTAGTAAATGAACAAGCATTACATAAATATGGATTAACCGCCATTGCCAAAGTTAGAAGTTATGGAGAAGCTGAACGTGATCCCATTGATTTCACTATTGCTCCTTCATTAGCCATTACGAAAGCATTAAATAAAATCAATACTACTATTGATGATATTGATTATTTTGAAATTAATGAAGCATTTTCAGTAGTTGGTATTGCTAATGCTAAACTTTTAAATATCCCCCATGAAAAATTAAACGTTTATGGTGGTTCAGTTGCATTAGGTCATCCATTAGGAGCATCAGGAGCAAGAATCTTAACTACTCTTGTTAATATCTTAACTCATGAATCAACTACTTCAAAATTAGGCGTAGCAGGTATTTGTAATGGTGGAGGAGGAGCCTCAGCCATTGTTATTGAAAAAGTTTAATCAGAATAAATGTTTTATATATTTTTAGATTATATACTACTATATATTCAAGCATGATGATAAATATTACCTAATGTAATTGATTTAACTACCGTATAATCATCAATACCATACATGGATCCTTCTCTACCAAATCCAGATTCTTTAACCCCTCCAAATGGCATAGCGGCATCGGTGAAAATACCAGTATTAACAGCTACCATTCCTGATTCTAAATATTCTGACATATACCAGATATTATTTAAATTTTCGGAAAATACATACGAAGCTAATCCAAATGGTGTATCATTACACCAATGTAAGACTTGTTCTTTAGTTTCGAATTTAATTATAGCTCCCAAGGGACCAAAAGTTTCTTCATTAACCACTTTCATATCATTTGTAACATCACAAATCACAGATGGTGCATAGAAATTCTTTCCTAATGCCGGTAATTTCCCACCGGCAATCAATACTTTAGCACCCTTCAGAACAGCATCTTTAAAATGATCTTCAACTTTAAGAATTGCACGATCATTAATTAAACATGCATGAGTTACACCTGGTTCAAATCCATTCCCGATTTTGAAATGTTTAACTTTTTCGATGAATTTTTGATTGAATTTTTCATATACTCCTGCTTGAACATATATACGATTGGCACATACACAAGTTTGACCTAATGATCTGAATTTAGATGCGATAGCTTGTTCTACAGCCCAATCTAATTTAGCATCATCAAAAATTATCACGGGAGCATTCCCTCCTAATTCCATTGATAATTTCTTTAATGTTGATGAAGATTGTTTCATAAGTAATTTCCCTACTGGAGTTGAACCAGTGAAACTTATCTTTTTAATGATTTTTGATTCACAAAAGAGTAATCCCATTTCTGGTGTAGATGCTTGACTTACCAAAACCACATTAAAAGTACCTGGGGGGAAACCTGCTTCATGAGCTAAATAAGCTAACGCTAATGAACTTAATGGAGTTTGGAAATCTGGTTTTAAAATAGTAGTACAACCAGCGGCAAATGCAGGAGCTAATTTTCTAGCTCCCATTGCACTTGGGAAATTAAAGGGACATAATAATCCTACTACTCCAATTGGTTGTTTATAAGTTATAACTTTATTATTTTGATTTTGAGGTTGAATAGTATGACCATATATTCTTTTAGCTTCTTCAGCAAACCATTCGAAATATGATGCTGCATATTTGATTTCTCCAATGGCATCAGTTAAACATTTCCCATTTTCCCAAGTTATAATCTTAGCTAAATCATCGACATTTTCAATGATTAAATTATAAAGATTTCTTAACCATTTAGCTCTTTCATAAGGAGAAGTATGTTTGAATTTCTCATAAGCAATGTGACAAGTTTCAATGGCATATTCAATTTCTTCTCTTGTTTGATCAGGTAATTCAATGATTAATTCTTCAGTAGCTGGATCGAAAACTTTAAAAGTTTTGGTTGATTTGGAAGTGATCCATTCACCATTAACGAATGGAGTTGATCTAATTAAATCAGGGTTTTTAAGTTGAACCATCTTAATTACTTATGAATTATCTCTTTTTAATTTTGGAATATTATTGAACTTTTATATTTATAATTTTCTCCAGACTTTTTCTTTATATAAAAAGACGACCAAAATTTTTGGTAGGACCCGCGCGGGTAATTCCCAATGTGGAAGGTCGGATAATTGTACTTGATTTGACCAATTCAAAGTTATGATTAGTTAAACGTTAACTATGATGAATTAAAGGGAATGGTAGAAGATGGCTTGATAGATGGAAGGAGGTTATTACTAAAGTTTGTGATAAATATGCGATGTTTTGATCGTCAGCAAGGGTTCATTCTGTACTTTGACTGATGTCTGTAAGATGCGCTTTTGAGATCGGCAGAATGGTCCTCCCAAATGAGGTTTGACTTGAATTATACTCTCATATGAATCAAGAATATGTAGTTCACCTTGTTAGTTGATCATCATTAAAGATGGGACCATTAAATGACAGCGATATAAATTATAGTTAATTCAAAGTTCTTAGCAGCCCATTTAATAAAATTTGTATTTGGGGAACAAATTTCCCTCGAAACCAAAGCTTCTATTGAAATTAAACGAATAATAGGTTATTATATCGAAGAAATCCATAAAACGTTGTAATATATCATAATTTAACTAATGAATTAATAAAATCATGTCGTACCCCAAAGACTCGGGGATTTAAAGTGTAATAGCCTTATCATCCTCTCTTCATTAAAGAATACGCTACCATATTAATGTCCGATTAAAATCCTAAATAGGTTAAGATTAGAAAAAGAAGTCATCAAAAATGGGTATAGGGAAGTTTAAAAAAATGAAAAGGTTTACTAATTTAATTATAATTAAGCAATAATAATGAATGGTTATTGTCATCGTCTTCGTAGTTTAAAATTTTTATTTATTTTTTTATGGTGGCATACTGATCTCCATTAAACAATGTGTGATTGATAATAATTAAAAAATAATATTTTTGAATTCTCCTCATGAATGATTATCATCAAAAAAGTATAATTCAAACCCTATCTCATATTCCAAACTCATAATCGGGAAACTGTCTGACATTAACATACGACAATGGGAGAAGAAAGAAGAATAAATGATAAGATGGAAAGAAGGAATATTGAAAACCGTTTATTCCAGAAGCCATGGAAGTGATCCCCCCAAAGTAAGGTTTGGATGTATATCAGATAATAAAGTGGTTATAGATTAACTATAAGAATGAGGGGAATAGATTGATCCATTAAATAAATAATCTATAAACAGTAATAATACCTAAATAAGGTACAATACTAATACGAATTACGAGAAAACCATCGTGACGCCGTACCACGAAACTAAAAGATAAAACATAAATTTGACGTATAGAACAAAAATTATAGTTATCAATTGATAGGGATGTAAGGGCTGAACCTGAATTTGGAAGTCAAGGCCTTTAATAAGCCATAATCATACTATTCATACATATACGTTATTAAATAGTTTAGAATAATGGAAGACAAGGGTATTAAAAAATAATTATAATCTTTTTTATTATTCACTATTTATTAATACGCTTATTAATATTTTTAGTAGAAGTAGGATAATGTAAAGTAAAGGAAAGGAAAGGAAAGGAAAGGAAAGGAAAGGAAAGAGTGGATGGATACAATGGAATGGAGAATAGAATAACTAATTGGTGACATTTTTCTTAATCATCATGATGATGATGAATATCATTGATGGCAAATTAAATGAAGTTAGTTGATATTAGCTGTTTGCCATCCAATATTAGTTTTTCTTGGAATGGTCCGTATATTACTAAAAGTTGAGATGGAGATAAACGATGCAGAACGGAACAGTTTCTGGATTTAAAACGGGGAAGAGACATTCTTATCATGTCGTAGTCCGTCGTATAGAATAGATCGAAATTAATGTCGTGGAGAATTAAGAAAAAAAAGAAAGAAAGAAATCCCACAAAAACAAACAAAGAACAACGCAGAACAATTCGTCGTATGTACGAACAAAACAAATAATCTCCGAATCAAATTTGTTTGAAGGCGATTACATAATCGAACTAATTACTAAATCAGTACAGACAGAGAGACAGACAGACAGAGGAACACTTCCCTTTTCGGAATAGCTGGGCTTTTTTCTTTTTAAAGTTAAATCATCTTAGTGCTTATTTATTTTCTATCTCTGTCGTACGAATATATAAATATACGAATAAATTTCTTTAATTTATATTTTGAATGTTTTATTTAATCAAGTCAAGTCAAGTCAAGTCAAGTACAAACTATTCCAATGAGTAATATCCCAATGAAAATGTTAATGTTCATTCCTTCATTATTAGATCCTACTTTCTTAGTTAAAGCAGTGATACCCAAACGTAAAATAAAATCAAGTGCTGGTAATAGAAATAGACAATCAAAGAATACTGTTAGTACTGCCACCACCACCACTACTACTAAAAGAATCACATATACTAAAAGAATATCAACTTCAGATGTTACTGATGCTATTATTGCCAATTCTGCTGCTTCCATTACAAACGACCCTACTATAGATGATGAACCACCATTCAATGTTATAAGTTCATCGCATGCTTTATCAAGTCATAGAATAAATTCATTTAATGGACGTGCTTCATCACCATTTTTTGAAACAAGTCCAATAAATTCACCATTCTTTGATGGTTCTTCATATACCAGTGATGACTCTATGATGGGAGATGATCATAATGATGAAGAAGAAGAAGAAGTAATTGTCAATGATGATGATGCATCAATTGTTAATGGTCATACTCGTAATGACAGTTTTTACACTTATGATATCAATATGACCAATAGTGATGATGATGATGATGTTTGGAGTTATAATCCGGAAACAGGTCATACTATCATGATGAATGATGAAAGAAAGAAAACTTCCTCAAAACTGGTTAGATTTAGTTAGGGATGTTTTTGTTATTAATATATTTTGGGGTTTTAAATTGGGGTTTAATTATGGGTTATTTATTATAAATTTTATAGAGATTTTTTATACATACATATAAAAATATAAAGATTATTACGGTTTAACATGATAGTTGTAGATTTGTAGAGATGATTTGTAGACGTGTAAGTTGTTTGGATCTGGTACGATGAAACAGTTGAAACAGATTATTTAGACATCGTATACATTAATAAAAATGGTATGCAAAAATCATTACACAATTTTAAAAATGTTGCCTTCATTCACTAAATAGAACAATGCTTCAAATACAAAACTTTTTCTTGGTATTTCAATTAGTGAGTGACGGAATGGATGATGATAAAATTTTTTCTTAATTGTCACTAAAGCGCATTAACGCGGGCCATTAAATTAATAATTCATCACTAAATCCTTTGTTCACCGGGAGTCTAGTGAGAGTTACCAGGTGAGTCAACTGATCCTAGATTGATGATGGTTCTTTTTTCACTCACTCACTTACTAATGGAGGTGGAGATAGATCAGATTACACGATGGTGATTAGATTAGATGGAAGCAAAGATCATTTTCCCTCGTTAGGGGCAAATAAATTTAGGGAAATTAACGGTTATAACTTAATTTTCGGCAATAAAAAAATGACAATTCCATTTTTTCCCTTCCCTTCCCGTGCCAGAACATTTAGCGACGTTAGTAAAAAAAAGCTTAGTTCCGTCTACCGCCATAGAAACCAGAATTTAGCGGACAATGAAATGAATTTGTAAAATGTTTACTGTGATAAATTTGCATCCTTCCTTTCTTACTTTACTGACTTTAAAGTTTTATGTAATTATATAGTCATCAATAGTTGTTAAAAATTTATTTTTTTGGTGAAGATGTTAAATTTTTTCTTTTTCACAGTCAAATTTTATAATTTATAACTAATATATATATATATAATATATATATATATATAAACAATCACCACCACCTCTAGTAAATATTATGATTATTATTGTCATTTAATCATAACTAGGCTTAAATTCAATTATTATTATTATTATTTATTATTATTTATTTATTAATGAGTGCATTAATCATCTTACTCACTATGGACAATATGGGGAAATTAATTAAATCAACTTCTTTAAAAGTTAAACATTTATTATCAAGAAAAGATAAATCAACCAATGATAATAAAAACAATCATAATCATATTGATGACGAAATTATAACTCGAAATACAGTCAAATCAAGATCAATCAATCATGGTTCAAACCCAATACCGCGAATCATAACTACCAGTAGTAGTGATAATACCACTAATACTGAAAGTATCACTAATAAACATCACCATAGAGAATATATACCGTCTTCAAGATTATTATCTCATACAAATTCTCAAAATAGTCATACTAAAAAAGATCAATTTGGAAAAGATCAATTAATTATAAATACAACTAGTACTAAAAATTCAATTAATCCTTATTATGAATCACCAAAAGGTAAAGATGATAATACAATCATAACAAGAAGTAGTATAACTGCTCCTACTGCATGTGAGTTAAACCAATTACCGTTATTAAATATAAATGCCAATTTTGCTGATAGTTTACATTCATCTCAAGGTAGTTTGATAACTAATTAATTAAGTTAAATTTTGATGAGAGAGAGGGTTATTGTTTAGAGAAAGTTTATTTTTTGAATGGGGGTATGATAAAGTGGAATTAATATAAATAGTAGTTCAATTATTGTTTTATTAATGATTTTGATTTTGAATCTGTTAAAATAAAAAAGATTCCAACTAAGTTTGTTCAGGATCCATATTTTGATTGAGGAACACTGAATATGATTCGAACATTATTTTTATTTATTTAGGATAATATTAATATTTTAGTTTTAGAATTCACTATATTTGCAAGGTCATATGCTATCTTGATTTCATCGTATCGATGAAAAAGGATGGTTATGGCTTTGTTTTAAAATAAATGCTGTTAATTTATAATGGAGACTAATCATAAAATTGTCTTAAGATCTGTAGTATTGAATTCTTTTGGCCTGAAATTAGGAGAGATATTTAACTTCTATTTTTGTATGATCTACTTTACTAACCATTAGTTAATATTATAAGGTTAAATATAAATTATTTATATACTCAAATTATTTAAATTGTAGATACGATTAAATTTCAAGTGAACAACGTAACATAAATATTCTGAACATTTATGTGATTCTTAATGGTTCAAATGTCAATCATTAATACCTATAATTAATGGACTAATTCAACCATTGCCTATAGCTCATGGTCGATGGTTCGGTCTTTCAATGGACTTTATAACGAGAATAACAACAACTTATGATATTGATTAGATTATTAACTTATAATATATTCTATCTTTGATAAATGTCTATTTAGGATCATTACTTTTACTAACTTAATTTAGGATATAAATTTACTAACTATCAAGCAAATATCATGGATTAATACTAACTTAATATTATAGCTAAAGTTTATAGGAGCTCAACTTAATGGGCATGTAGTAACGCATAAAGTTCTTTATCTCCAACATACCATTTGTTATGAGGCAGTTGCTGTTAAATTCTGACCATAATAATATACTTTCGTTATTTAAAAAAATTATAGTTAATATACATATATTCAAAACTGTAGTGACGATTTGTAGATTGATTTAAATTTCGCAAACATCACAAAATTGTCAGGGGGTAAGTCAATAAAAATATGAACAACAAACATGTAACAGATTAAATCATATTCTATTCTTTACATGGTTGGTTATTTTAATGTGGATTTTTTCCATAGTGTTTATTGATGGATGTCCTAGTGATACATGTTGAGAAAACTTTGGTCTATGTCTCTACAAGAGATCTAACATTATGATTATATTTAGGACTTTTCTTTTGAAAAGTATCATTTACTAACATAGGAGTTACTATGGATTTCTAATCTAAGTTACATTATTTAAATATATATATTATTTTATACAATCAATTTAATGATGAAATATTGTAGAAATTGATGTCAAAATTTATGTGATATCAGGGGTATCAAGGGGGAGTATCAAGAAAAAACTAATCTTAAAGTGAACAAATTTAGTATTACTCTTTTAAACAGGATTCATTCGTATCTTCAAACAATGTTGTTATATGTGAAGGATTTTATCATAGATTTGAAGCTTAGCTAACTTATCATCTATTTAGGTTTAATGTTACTAACCCCTTCGGTATAGCCATCGATGTATTTTATAATGTGCATATTGCGGATCATATTGAGATTAGTTGTATTGCCGTGAAATAGTCAACTGAATCTGAGTGAATGACTTTAAATATCGTTTTAAAACATCTAACTTAAGTTAATTATCTATTTAGGTTGATTTTGGGATTATATCCTCTAGTTTTACTAACTATAGTTGATGATTATACTAAGTATATTATGGTTATTTGTGTAACGGATAAGCTAATATTGTTTATAATATTTACGATGTGAAAGATATAATATATTTATGTGAGATCTATTAAGGCATTTGCCTATTGTTAATATACATTATTTATACATATTCATTTGAAGATGTAATTGCAGTCTTATTCTATACAGAGGGATCTGTAAATTATAAAATTATAGATTAAAAAATTATAAATAGAGATTGAAATGTCTCCATTAACACTTTTGAATTCTACAAATAATCATTCCAAGGTTTCATAAATAAACCTAATGTCATAATTCAGTTTTGTTTTTTTGAAGTAATTCAGCGTTTCTTTGTTTGAAACGATAATCGATTTCTAATTGTAAATTAACGTGAATTTGTTTAATTAATTTCTAACATTATGATTATCTATTTAGGCAAAAATTAACTGATTTAGCATGATTCTGTTTAAAGTTATAATAAATATAATTCCAAGTTTTTGTTAAGATCATAACATCTATTTAGAATTCTTTACTAACTTTAGTTATTATAGTTTAACTTTAATATATATATATTCATTTATGTAATTTATGATAAATATTGTAGATGCTCTCTCTTAATCAGGGGTACACCCAAAAAAACTAAAGTTTAGAATATTATTAACTCAAGAGTTACCACTTGAAAAGGATTTTCACTTAGCATCAAATCAAGAGTTATATTAAATGCTGAAGAAATTTATTTTAACATATTCTGATTACTTCTTCTTTAGTTACTATGTTTTCTACGAGGATAGAACTATTATGGTTATTCGTTATATTTACTATTAACTCATGATTGACATATATTATCTATTTAGGTTTCATGGTACTAACTAAAGATAGCAATAGGGATTGTGTCAAATTTGAAAACAGTTCTGAATTGAAAAGGAACATCATATGTTCAATAGAGGACAAGGTAAATTGAGTGATAAATTGAATTCTATTATTTATTAATTATTTTATATGATCTAGGATATGATTTACTAACTAATAGGTCTATAATTCAGAAATGTAATGATTACTTCTGTCTAATTAAGAAGTAGGATAAGTCAAGTGGAAACGTTACCTTAATTGATATAATATACAGTGTTTTATAAAATGAAAAATATTTAATATGTAATTGTAATTGTAGAGCTGTTGTTAAATTTAAAGGAGAAAGGGATAGGGATAGCGATGGCGATGGGAATGAGGATGTGGGATGAAAATTTATAGAGAGATAAAAATAAAAAAGTCTGGGGAAAGGAAAATTGGATAATTAAACAATAGAGACAACTTGATCTTTACCGGCTTGGTTTCAATTACAACCCCTACGGAGTTGTTTAACTTAATATTTTGACGTTTAATATTCAATATAGTGAATTACTTACTAACCAACTTTTAAGTAATTTTCATATCAAATAAAGGTCCTTAACTACCAACTTATTAGAATAGAGATCAGATGTCCTGTTACAAAATAATAAAAGGTTGTTTCAAGTGATAAACAAAATGAAAAAGAAATTTTAACCATTATCAAAACTGACACATTCAAAAACTATAAATAGATCAAAATTCCTCCTATCCAATATTCAACTTTGAAATTTATTTTAAATCAATATCCTAAAATTAATATGGAAAATACTAATATTAGAATATTTCGACCATTTTCTTTTCTTATTGTAGATAACGTTTAATTTTCAATTTAGAGATTTACTTACTAACAAACTTTTAGGTTCCGAATAAGGTAATTAATATTATTGCTTGAAATGAAATAAAAATATCTTTGACGTTAGTAGTAGCAAAATTTTAATATATATATATAATTACAACTTATAATAATAATTATTGTAGATAGATTCAGATTAGAGAGTTTAATGTTTGTTGAATCTTAATAGGTGTTGTAGCAACCATTCATATGAAGTAAAAGCATACGTCTCATAATAATAATGATTAGGTCACTATTAGTTTAAAAAAATTTATGTAAGACGTTTCAGATATGACCCAATATTTATTTCTTCGATTTGAAACACATTATTTTGAAATATAAATATATGTAATATTCCCGTTTAATTTTTATTTACAGCATATCGATATGTTGGGATTATTATATTATGTTATGAAGACCTTAGATTTCTCGTTATTGCTTTTGATTTCATTGATAATGTTTATTATTAATTATAGGATATTTACTTACTAACATACATTTAGGCTCCAACCAAATTTCCAAATAAGGTAAAATTCAATAAAGTGTGAAATAACCTTAAAATATTGAATTGTAGTATATAGTTAATATAAATATTATTAAATTTTATAATCGTATTCATTTACTTTGTAGAGTAATACTTGATGTTTATTCTCTGTCTTGATGAACCAATCACATCAGTAATGATCAAGATGCGAAACACACGTAAGATTAAAACTAATAAGCATAAACATTGAATCATATGTATGAAACTCTAGAGATGTTGTTTCAAATATGAAACATTATATATCGTACATGAAAATTTTTCAACTCACTATTTACAACTATAAATAGATGGTATATCTCCCCTTTAAAGGTTTATATTGAAAAGAATAGTATATTGGTGTGTACATCGGGTAAATATTTGTGGATCCTAGAGTATAAATATCAGGGTGGTGGAAATATATTGTCTAACTAGTGATTAAAAATTGTCATTCATTTTTTCATATGGCTTGTATCTGTCATTGTTTAATAACTTCTAACATTTCATTTAATATAGGAAATTTTCATACTAACTTTTAGGTTTCAAATGTAGATTGAAATTTTTTGATTTCAAATTGTAGTGTATAGTTAATATATTTTATTATTATTAAATTTTATCTTCATAGTTATTTTAGTTTGTAGGAAAGAAGGAGGGTGACTCTAATGCATGTGAGTACATCTTAGGGAAAATATGAACCAGTAGTCATATGGTATGAAGGTCACTTATTCTAAGAATAATGAATGATTCAATCATATGATCATGTTTCAGAATATCGATGAGTTTAAAAATTATTAGAGACGACGGATTAATATTTATTACTTTTAAAAAAATCTGAAACATTCTATTTATTCTATTTCCACATATAAATAGATGTGATATCTCCTCTAAACATGATAATTTCTAAAAGTTTTGTTACAATGGTTAGACTTTGTATTATCTTTAATGGTGTTAAGAAGAAGATCCCTCCGTTTACATTGAATATATGTTCTTATAATTTACAATGCTTAATCTAGGAAATATACTAACTTTTAGGAGTAAAAAAAGTTGTAGTTATATATTTTAATGTATACATTTGTATTATTATTATTATGGTGTTTCAGAAATTGTAGTGATGTGTGTGTAGACGACGACGATGACCTTTTTCGCATTTAAAAAATAATCCATGATCATTTTCGCAGTCATTATAAAATATTTTATCAAGAGAGATACGATAAGGATTAAATTGTATTTAGTAACTTTTAGGAACATATTTATTAACTTTTAATATACATCTTATAAAAACTTATAAAAACATTACATTATTGTAGATTTGTAAAATATAGTAGTAAATACGATCATTAAAGTCACTATTTTGTTCGTTCAAATTAAATAGAAAATAAAAATTCTGAAACACTCAACTAATTTTAAATCATCATATAAATAGATCCAAAATATCTCCATTTTTATTTAGATTTAATTCCCTTCGTTAAAGTTTAAGTTTATAACCTTCGTTCCAAGATATACATAGATATACTAAGAAATAATATACTACGCTGTGGTCAATTGTAAAGTTTCCCTGAGAACTGTTTTTGGTGATCTTAGCTTACTTATTATAAATTATAGGATTTATTACTAACATTATTTAGGATATTTATAGATTTATAGATTTAAATAAACATTTATAAAATCAATTTACACATCTTTTAAAAAATGTAGGTTATAACTATACTTTAAGTATTAACTAGGTATGATTATGTATGTTGAGGTTAGTTGCGAATATGATTATGAGAACCACAAAAAGAATTTTTTATCAACGTATAAATAGAGCAAGATATTCCCTTTGAAATTAAAAATTTCAATTTTTGTTAATGAAAGTAACTTGTTTTACTTTTCCAATGGCTCGTTCTATTCGCTCGTTATGTAAAGGAGAGTAGGTTGGCGTTAATACTAACCTGACGTGAATTATAGGACTTTCAGCCTCTTACTGACTCTTTAGGAATTTAAATTTAATATACAATAATTTTATAAAGATAATAATATAATTTCAAACATGTAATGTAGACTTGTAAAATAACTAAAATAATGGAAATAATATGAGAAGTCGTAATTTGTACAAATAAAATGATTGATAATTAACCTACTCAAATAAGCACGACGTATCATAATATTCGAGTTGGTTAAATTTAAGATTATTTTCATCGATTCTTCACCTTTCTTACAATTAATCAAATTTCACTCTGCCACCATGATATCTTTACCATCAATATAATAGAACTAGTAACGGCCGAACTATTCATCATTTGTAATGAGTCTGTTGGTATACCCACCAATGATTTGAAAAAAGGTTTGGTATAAATTCTTATTTTGTTACTTCACAAGTTCTATCTCCTTCTTCCGATTTAAGGTCTATGTATATCTCCATATTTAATATTAAGGTGCTTACATTTACGATAACGGACCGTTTCCCGTAATTTAACAGATTCAATTAAAGATGGGAAGATATTGAAAAATATATAATTTTCTAAAATTCGGATCTCGAGGCGACAATTACTGGGGCTGTGGACATGGATTTAATTAAACTATTTCTTATTAAAAATGCGGAGATCAAGAGTAAAGTAAAAGCCATTTCTTTACTCCACCGAACTATTCATTTAGTGACAATCCAAGAAGGTTATTTCCCATTTGGTGTAATCTAACATTACTTAAAAATTAAAGCCTTTCAAAATTGAATTGTTCGCTGGATGGCTGAAAATAAAAGATTTTTTTTCCGAAGTTGTACATACCGGTGTTTCCTAAATGGGATAATTGCCGGGATCTAACAAGCACTAAACTAAACTATAATGTATATGGTATAACATGAGAACAGCTTCTTAAACAGCCACTCATTCAACAGTTGCCCGGTTTAAGAAATAAGAATAGAGCGAACTTTATGGTTAGTTTGTCCAACCATATCATTACGGGGTTACTTCATCTAGAAAATCAAATTACTGCTAAAAATTACTAGTAGTAGTAATCGTGAATAATGATCTTAATAATGATTTCATAGTCATAATTGTATAAGGTAATCGGAAGTGAATCTGTGTTATATGTTTAATTAAACCAATTGACGGTATAGTTCTTGAGCTATCATTTTGTTGAAGTATAAAAATACTGCCAAATCACTTATGAATATCGTCAATATTTTTTATTTTGATTCTATTATTATCGATTAATAACAAACAATTAATACCAACAACAACAACAACAACAAATATGTCAAACTCTGTTCCTGCTCAATTCTCTGGTTTCGCTGCTTATGGTCCTGAAACTTGGAATGAAACTCATTTAGTTCATTATGAACCTAAAAAATTCTTACCGGAAGATATCACCATTAAGATCAAAGCATGTGGTGTTTGTGGTAGTGATTGTCATCAAATCAAAGGTAATTGGGGTCCTCATCCAAGATCTGATTTAGTAGTTGGTCATGAAATAATTGGTGAAGTAGTTGAAGTTGGTTCAGCTGTAACTAAACATAAATTAGGTGATATTGTTGGAGTTGGAGCTCAATCTAATAGTTGTGGTGAATGTGATAGATGTTTATCCAATAATGAACAATATTGTCCTAAACATGTTTTCACTTATGGAACTGTTGATTTCAAAGCGGATAATTATGTTACTCAAGGTGGATATGCTTCTCATATTAGATTAAATGCTCATTATGCTGCTTCAATTCCAACTAATTTAGATATCAATGCCGCTGCTCCTTTATTATGTGGTGGATTAACGGTTTATTCTCCTATTGTTAGAAATGCGGGATATGATTTATCTAATAAAACAATTGGGATTGTCGGTATTGGAGGACTTGGATCTATGGCAATTCAAATTGCCAAAGCTTTAGGGGCTAAGAAAATTTATGCATTTTCAAGATCTGATACTAAAAAAGCAGATGCATTAGGTTTAGGAGCGGATGAATTAATTGCTACTAAAGAGAAACCATTTTGGTTTAAGGAACATTTTAATGAATTTGATTTCATTCTTAATTGTGCTAATTCGGGTAAAGGTGCAAATTTAGATCCATATATTTTAGTATTAAAATTAAGTGGAATTTTCGTTAATGTTTCTGCTCCCCCTGTTAATGAAAAATTACAATTTAGTGCATTCCCTATGATTTCAAATGGTGGAACTGTTAAAGCTTCTGCTATTGGATCTATGAAAGAAGCGGATGAATTATTGAAATTATTTGCTGATAAGGGGTTATCACCATGGATTGAAAAAATTCCAATCAGTGCTAAAGGTGTTAATCAAGTTCTTACTAGAATTAATGACAGTAATGTTAGATATAGATTTGTCTTGACTGATTTTGAAAATGCCTTTAATTAGATTTTATCTAAAAACTTGACTGTAAAGTCTTTTTTTTTTTAATAATAGTATTTAAATAATCTAAATAAATTAAAATATATGGTTTTAGAATTAATAAAGAAAGTTGCAAAAAGGGTGAGGTCATAGTTATAAAATTGTGGTACAAAATGAAATTTAAAGCGTCAAAATATAAATAGATCAAACATTTCCCCTTTCAATTTTATGAGAATTAAAAATTGGGGTTGTAGCACGCTGTTAATAGTTTTTAGTATACCAATTGGCCTTTCTGCTATAGAATTGTGTTGTGGAGAGTATGTGAGAGTTATTACTAACTTTCTAGGATAGAATTTAAATTTAATATATATAATTTTTATAAAGATAGTAATAATATAATGTAGACTTGTAAAATAAAGCAATTGATGTGAAATGAGAAGTAGTAATTTAATATAACGCAACGAATCAAATTGCATAATTCAGATTGTATTACTATGAAATAATGGTATAAGCCATGTATAATAACACAAGACTATTAAGTGATTGTTTTGAAGTTTTGTGTAGGAGAGAGATCAAAAATTTCATTCTGATACAAATCAAAACTGAACATGGCAGTTGATTTAGATACTATCACTACTTCTAGGTAATCAACCCTGAGTTCTAATAACGTTTATTGTTTAGGTTTGATTTGTATTGATTTGTATTGTAATATGATGATTGTAATTATAAATTGGGTTAACTATAGATCAAATCCCTAAACAGGTACACACTCATAGTTAAGGAATAATTCACAAAAACACGAAATCAAAAAATGACAACAAACAAAAAATTTCTTTTTATTTAAAGAGAGAGAGAGAGGCTATAAACTAATTGGTAAAATTACACGACTCATTTTAAAAAAATTGTTTTTTTTTTGAACCATCAGACTTTAAACAAAAGAAAAGCAATATAACCCTTACCACTTTAACTATCAACACCACATTTATCATTCATCCAAATCATTAAACTTTCATATCATCAACATATCATATAGTCATATACATCGAACTATATCCATCCATCCATCCTAATCTATTTGATCCATCCATCTATTTCATCACCACACCACCATTCTATTTATTTATACCCCCTCCTTCCTTCGTTCGTTCTTTATTAGTATCCTATTAATAGATCTCCATACACATTCAATTCAATTCATTTCATCATCATCATCATCATCCTAACTTAATAAACTCAGTCATTCGTTACAATACACACATACCCACCCTCCATCATAACACATCATGCATTTCATATCGATAATAATAACCTTATTATCCCTATATCTTTCTTCATCATTAGCTGATGTATCCATAGCTTCTCCTTCAGCAGGGGATAGTTATTCTGGTTCAGGAGGTGCAGCCGTCATTGATGTTAAATGGGTCGATGATGCTGTTTCCGGTTCAGATACTTTTTCCTTAACCAATGCTCAAACTTATACTATATTATTATGTACTGGTTCAAATTTACAAATTCAATGTGATAATAATAATCCATTATTATCAAATGAAGCTGTTCCATCAGATTCTTATTCTGTAAGTATCAAAAATACTCTTTATCCTAATGGTTATTATTTCTTACAAGTTTATACTGTTTTCCTTCAAAAAGCTACCACCACTCATTATTCCGGAAGATTTCAATTAACTGGTATGCAAGGTCCAACTTCAACTTGGAAAGTTACAGTTACCGGTGCTGGTCCAGCTGCTCAAACTTCAGGTGGAAATGCCGTTACCACTACTTATAATTCAGCATCTTTCAGTATTCCATATACTTTACAAACTGGTCTTACCAGATTTGCTCCCATGCAAACTCAACCTGGATCTAAAGTTACTGCTACTACATGGTCAATAAGATATCCTACCAGTTCAGTCACATTATTTTCCACTCAAGCTGGTTCACCGGTAGTTTATTCCACCATCACTCCAGGATGGGATTATACTCCAAGTTCATTAGTTAATTGGGCCACAGTTGCAACTTATCCAAATTATTATTATCCTGCTTCAAGTAGAGTTAGTAAAGCAAGTTTAAGTAGTGCCACTAAGAAAAAGAGATGGTTGGATTAAAATCAGTAGGTACCAACTATGTTTCATTCATTTGGTTGTGTCTTTGTAAAATAGGTTAAAAATAATTATTTCTTTTCGTATTATTGTTATTCTTGTTGTTTTTTTATATATATAAATCTAATATTGGTTGACTTTTTTTTTTAATATAGTTTTATACATATTTTAATTTAACTAGTGTGTTGTAAGGCTCAATTTTTGGTTAGGGAGACAAATAAAATAAAATAAAATTTATCGATAACAACTTACAACTACTTCTTATAAAGACTTTAACATAACTGACTCAAGATGTGTATGAAAAGACCAACATCACCAATAGACTCAGCATCTATACAAGATACATATGTGATAAATCCAAGACGAAATGATATAATTCCATCCATACCAATTCTAATCGATGCCCCAAGTGAACCACAAATAGATCTCAAATCTGACTTAAAACAACCATACTACGATGATATTGATGATGATGACAATATGAATGAAAAGAGAGATTTTAAATTAGATGAAGAAGAATATCTCCTCGGTACTACTCCATTGCCAACTCCAACTATTTCAAAATCAAATACGAAACGAAATCAACTTATAGTTAATCTCATGACTATTTTAATTAATTCATTAATAATGGGATTTCTTCTTTACAGGAGATATTATTCCAATTAGGTTGACTTAGATAATTCAGTGTAATTTGTGATAATGTGAATAATATACGTTTATACTCTGGTAGTATGAATTGCATTGATATTGATATTTGTAGTACTTGTAGTATGGGTTTGTGGTCTTGGCTCTTTGAACGGAATAATTTTCCCTATTTGAGAAATGCCGCTACACAAATAGTAAGAAATCTGAAAATTGCTAAAACACTATATATGATGAACTTTATCGTAAGTTTTCTTTTAATGATGTAGATTGGTATCTAGTAGTCTTTATCGATAATGTATATCAAGTCATATTGGGTATGGTTGGGGATTGTACCAATTATTTCTGCCATTCCTACTAATGATCAACAAATATTACAAGATTCTTCACAGTCAACAACTTCCCATTTATCATTTTTAGATAGTTTATATGAAGAAATCACAGGACCATCAATAATAACCCATGATCATTATCAAGAGGAAGAAGACATTGAATTGTCAGAATATGATAAACAATTTCAATTTCATCATTCCCAATATTTATCCCTTCAATCGACGTTAAAATTACCTCATGATAATTTCGTGGATGATATTGTTCTTGATCAAAATATCTTCGGTGGGATCTTAACATATGCCCATTTTCCTCATTTCAATTGTTTCAATCCTGATAATTATAATAAGGAAAAAATCGATATTGCAATTTTAGGTGCTCCCTTCGATACGGGTGTAAGTTATCGACCTGGGGCAAGATTTGGTCCAGAAGCGATCAGAAGTAATTCAAGACGACTTATGAAGGGTGTAAAGACCAGTAAGAAGAAAGCATACCCTAGAAACCCTTATGATTCGTCTACTCATAATTATACTATTATAGATTGTGGTGATGTACCATTAACTCCGTTTGATAATAGATTAGCTTTGAATCAATTATATCGAGGTCAGAATTCAATTCATACAAATTATAAATCTGATAATGGTAATATTCCCAAGATTATAACTTTAGGTGGAGATCATACAATAACTCTTATGCCATTAAAATCGATTTCAAATCATTTAAATCAAGCCATTACTATTTTCCATTTCGATAGTCATATTGATACTTGGAATCCTAAAATTTTAGGCGGTGGGATCTCGAATTATATGTCTTTGAATCATGGAACTTTCTTACATTATGCTCATGAAAAGGGGTATATCGCTACCGAGGGGAATTATCATATTGGAATGCGAGCACCGTTGATTGATGAAGTATATGATCATGAGCATGATTTAGAATGTGGATTCAATGTTATAACGGCTGATGATATTGATAAGATTGGTATTGATGGGATAATTCGAAAATTAAAATCATCCATCAAACATGACAATGATCCTATTTATATATCGGTTGATATAGATGTATTGGATCCCGCCTATGCTCCCGCTACAGGAACAATGGAAGTGGGTGGGTTCACTACTAGAGAATTATTAAGTATATTAAATGGTTTAAAGGGGATAAATCTTGTAGGAGCTGATATAGTTGAAGTAAGTCCTCCCTTTGATACCAATTCTGAAATTACAAGTTTGGCCGCAACTGCTATAATTGATAGTTTTTTAAAATTAATGATTAATTGAAGCATATGTTCCTCTCTATTATGTTTTCATATAGATTAACTATAACTATAATTAACTAGAGAATAAACATTAAACGGTTTGTAACTATTATAATCATGTCTGTCTTATAATGGGTTAATATCAATTATTAACTATGTGACTGCATATAACCATATAAGATTATCCCTTTAAAGACACCATTCATCACCTCAAAATAAAAGTTTAAAATTGTCAACTAAAACTATCAACACAACACACCACATGTAAATTTTAATTAATTAGTTAGTTAATAGTTTCTTCTTCCTCTTGTTCTTATCCCATCAATAGTTAACTTGTTCCTTCTGATCAATCATAGTTCATTAGTGTAATCCCATCCCCTTCTTCATCCTAAATTGCGAAAGGCTCATCCTTTTTCTAGACCAATTTGTAATTTACGAACTCACTCAAAAAAACACGCTAACAGAAGTAGGCTGATAGTTTTTTTTTAATTAATTAATTAGCAATTCCTATCTACTTTGGTTCAATCGATCATTCATTCATTCATTCATTCGCTTTATATAGGTAAGATCATAGTATCTTACAGTATCTTCTAGAGTCATTATCATCTTTGTGGTTGAATTGGATTGACATAATAAGGGGTAATCGTATCATATCATACATCCATCCCATTGTTCCCATTCCATTCCCATTAAGATTGCTTTGCTACAATTTATCCAATTTGACAACACCAATTATTTTTCATCAATCAATCAATCAATCAATCATCTTGAACTCACTCTTCATCATCTCAATCTATCCATCTTCCAACCCCCCTTCACCCTTATTCTATCGCTTTTAATAATTTTCTTGGTTACGGTGCACAAAGCAGACCAACAACAACAACATCAATTTTGAAAACAACACAAAATTAATTTAAGCCATACATACACCACCCCACACATCACTTCACTTTTAATAAATAGTAAACAAATAGAATTATTCATTCTATCTACTTATCAACTTATCCAACTCATACATTCTCATCATGTCACATCGAGATTTAACCTTGAATTCTCCAAGAAATCCTCCTCCTCCTCCCGTGGATAATTCCACTCAAAGTAATAATCCATTTGAAGTAGAAGAATCAAGTTCTTATGATTCAAGACAACCTTCAACCACTTCTTCTTCATCTGGTCGCGAAGAAGATGTCATTCATAATCAATATGGAAGACCTTTCAATGCTTATACTAGAAATGAAACTCCCAATACAAGATTACTTTATAATGATAGTTCATCTTCTGAAGATCCAATACCACCTAATAAAATAAATTCATCCATGGTGAATTCCGCTAGTGTTTCAAGTAATATGACTTCAAATTCAAATTATTATCGTAGTAAATTAGATAATACTCAAATCCAACAACCTACGGAATTTACAAGATATCCCGGTATAACTGGTTCAAGAGTGGTATCTCAAACTTCATTATCAAATCTTAATCCTCATAGTGAAAAATATTCCGGTACAAATGTTAAAACGGAAAATAATAATGATACATCTTCATTAACTTCAAATCCATTTTCTTATGAATTAAGTCCATTTGGAGGATATCCTGCTTCTTCATTTCCATTACATATTGAAGATAAAGAACCAGATGATTATTTACATAATCCTGATCCGTTAGCAGATGCAGATTATGATAAAAATCGATTCATTTATGATATAAAACATATTGATAGAAGATCATTTGGTGGTGTATTTGGGTTAGTCGCATTAGTCATTGGATGTCTTTGTTTATTTGTTTTATTACCCGTTCTTACCTTTTCCGGTATAACAGTTCATTATGTTCCTCAAACTTATGAAATCTTAACTCAATATCATTATCCATTATTATCATCGATTAGAACCAGTTTAATTGATCCTGATACTCCTCAATCAGCTTTAACTATCCCAGTTAGAGATGGATCAACTTGGAATTTAGTCTTTAGTGATGAATTTAATGTTGAAGGAAGAACCTTTTATGCAGGTGATGATCAATTCTTTACTGCTCCTGATTTGAATTATGCTGCTACTAAAGATTTAGAATGGTATGATCCTGATGCAGTTACAACTGCTAATGGTACCTTAAATTTAAGATTTGATGCTTATCAAAATCATGATTTATTTTATAGATCAGGTATGGTTCAAACTTGGAATCAATTTTGTTTTACTCAAGGTAGAATTGATTTTTCAGCTCGTTTACCTAATTATGGTAATATTTCAGGTTTATGGCCTGGATTATGGACTATGGGTAATCTTGGTAGACCGGGATATTTAGCTACTACTGATGGAGTTTGGCCTTATTCTTATGAAGCTTGTGATCCTGGTATTACTGCTAATCAATCATCTCCTGATGGAATTTCTTATTTACCAGGTCAAAGATTAAATAGTTGTACATGTCCAGGACAATCCCATCCAAATCCGGGTGTGGGTAGAGGTGCTCCTGAAATTGATGCTATTGAAGCTGAGATTTCAACTGATCCTGCTGGTATAAAACCAAATTTAGGTGTAGCATCTCAATCAGTTCAATTGGCTCCCATGGATATTTGGTATATACCTGATTATGATTTTGTTGAAATTTATAATAGTTCAGTTACAACCATGAATACTTATGCCGGTGGACCATTCCAACAAGCTTTATCAGGAACCACTACTTTAAATACAACATGGTATGAAAGAGGTGATGGTGAACATAATTTCCAAAATTATGGATTTGAATATCTTAATGATGATGATACCGGCTATATAACTTGGTATGTGGGTACTGATCCTACATTCACGATTTATTCTACTTCATTACATCCTCAAGGTAATGTTGATTGGAGAAGAATATCGAAAGAACCGATGTCAATCATTGTTAATTTCGGAATGTCAAATAGTTGGGCATATATTGATTGGCCATCACTTGTATTCCCTGCTACTTTCAGTATTGATTATGTGAGAGTTTATCAACCTGCTAATGCTACTAATGTTGGATGTGATCCAATTGATTATCCCACCTATGATTATATTCAACAACATTTGAATATTTATTATGATAATAATATAACATCATTTACGGATGGTGGATATACTTTCCCCAAGAATACTCTACTTGGATGTTCATAATATGGGTCAGGTCATTTTGTTGTATTTTTAGTATTCACAATTCAATTCAATTTAATTCAATTCAATTCTTCAGACTTTTTTAAAAGAACTTTTTTTCCTTTTTATATATTGATTTTACTTTGTTTTAGCTTTAGTTTATTTTTCTTGTTATTCATTTCTTTCATTTTTATTATTATTATTACAAATGGACAATTGGTTTTTTGAAATAGCATGTTATTATTGTAGAATATATATGTATTGAGTAAACTAACTTCTAAAGTAAGCTCCATAAACGTTCCAAATCTTTCCGATTAATTTCAATTTAATATCAATATCAAATTCATTATTATTTAATTCATTCAAATCTTTAATCCAATCCGATTTCAATGGTTTAGGAATTATATAATCGGCAATGACAATTAAATTTATAATTTCAATCAATAATTGTCCTTCATAATTATTAGCCGACTCTTCATCATCCTGATGGTGTTGGTTTAATAAGATTAATAAATTCTCAATATTATTCAACGATTTAAGACAGATCACATTGACTTGTTTACCATTGATAAAGATCGGTTTGGAACTAGTGAGGTAGGTATATAATTGATATAAGATTATCAATGATGGACTTAATGATACGAATCCAAATACTAATTGTTGCGATTTTAAAATCTTATCAATACCATTTATAGCATATCCTCCATCGACTTTTGTCTTTTGGATTTGAATTAAAATTGATCGGATTAAATTCCCTTTCACGAGTGATTTTATGGGAGTTCGAATTTGAGATTCATATTGATTCATCACAAGGGTTAAATCTCCATTTTGGATCGCATTATGAATATCAGCCGGGTTTATATCAGTAGTGGAAGTTGTGGCATTGTCTTGGACGAATTCAAGCATCATTCGTTCTAATGAATCTAAATCTGATTTTAACGATTCTTTGGTGGTGATCGATAAGGAATCATCTGATCTTAAAGTATCTAATACTTCATTTACCGGTTTTATAACCCAATTTTTAAAGAATCCAATCGTGGTATCATAAATATTAAACTTTATCCAATTTAAAATTTCATATCGATTTGAATATAATTTAAATGATTGCGAAGGTCCATAAAGTAATCCAATTAATATCACCGGCCAATATCTTGCTAATACAGATGGAATGTTTGATTGTTGATTTATCGTGGTATTGAAGTCAATAATGTTTAATAAGATACTGTTCAATCTTTGAATATCATTATCTGAAGGAGGGATTCCAGGAGATAAGATTGATTCCAAAGTAAGTAAAGTCGATTCTTTATCATTTAAATTGGTTTTGATTAATTGATCAATTTTATCAGTCTGATCATCGATTTGACTCTTTATGAAGGAAAGTTTTTGATTAATGTCATTGTTGATAAGATTTCCCGGATACTTCACGATATATTTAATTAAATCGGTATAATATTTAAAACTATTCGTCCTTATTGTTGTAATATTTAATAATGAAACAGTTGGATTATTGATAATGAAAGTAGAATAGATTGATTTCGAAATGGCTTTATATAATCGATGACTGAATTGTTTAACTCTAATCCAATTGAAATAAAGATCATGATCTTCCTCTGTGCCTTGAGTTGTTAATATCGTTAATGAATTATTAGTGGATAATTTCTCTAAATGATTAAACACTGATTGACTAAATCCATATATCTTAAACGGCAATGATTGGACCGTATAAATGATTTTATTCACATTCGAATTCTTAATACTTAACCAATAGAAATAATCATTTTTAAGTTGAAGAGTATTTAAAATGATGGAATTGGATAAATTTAACGTAGATGTTAATATCATATAATAATTGATCAATTGTAAAGTGGTACCATTAATGATCGAAACGTCATTATTATCTGCCACACTAAGGTCTAAATTAATGTTTATATCTTTCAAATTATCATAAATCGATTGTAATTTCTTGATATTTATAGTTGATATCTTATCAAATTTGAATTCTTCAATGTTTAATAAATAATATAAATCATGGAATGATTTCTGTAAGGTTTGGAATGAGACATCTTCTGCTTGGACGGGTTGTTGGGAATATACCGTCAATTCATTGGTTAAGAACTGTGTGGTAAGTTTATTGATTTCATTAAATTTGGTTTTAATTGAAAGTGATATTCGATTATTATTATTGATTTCTCGTAAGACTTTTGATGACCGATTTGTACCTGAGTAAATCCCAGGGGTTATGAATTCCATGATCAATTGGAACTATTATGAAGTATCTCAATTGATATTCAGGTATACTTGAACTGAAGAGGAAGAAGAACTAGAGAAATATGGTGTGGTTTGCTATCAATATTTAAGTTTGCTTTCCTTCTTTTTTTTTTGATGGGCCCCTCCTTGTTCCCACCTCCGCACAAAATTTTAAGATTTGGTGATACTACTTTTAAATTGTATCGTCATTGAGTTACACTTTACTATGATAAATAGTATAGATAACGTGATGTAACGAGGTTTGAATGTCTCTCCACTGGTAAGTGGAACGAAACACACCTATCTACAAGGTTAATAATAACCCATCAATGTCTGTTATAGTTATTTTTATTATTATTATAATCTGTATGAAGATCTAATTCAACTAATCATCATCTTCCCTTTTATCATCTAATACACCTGAATCTTTAATTAATAAATCAATTTCTTTATCTGACCATATTTTATGTATAACTTTACCTTCATTTACTTTTGATAAACTTAAAGTTGCAAATTCTAATTTTTCACTATTTAAATTAGATGAATCCATAGTTTTGGATAAGATTTTAATAGCTAATTCACAAGCTTCCTTTAAAGTAAAATCATCACGATAATCTTTCTTTAATAAAGTTTGAGCAGCTGAATTATTAGCTCCAATGGAGGTGGCTCTCCATCCACTATAATTACCAGATGGATTCGAACTAAATAATTGAAATTGATATCTATCATCATATCCAGCATATAAGAAACTTACCCCAAATGGTCTTAACCCACCATGTTGAGTATAACCTTGTTTAATATCACATACACGTTTAATTAAGATTTCACAAGGGATTTCTTCATTATAAGTTTTTAAATATTGTTGAGCATTAACTCTAGCATTATTAACTAAAATGGATGCATCAGCTGTCATACCTGCTACAGCACAAATCATATTATTATTAATAGCATATAATTTTTCAGCACTACCATCATTATCTAATAATTTGGAAGTAACTTTCTTTTCACAAGCTAATACAACTCCTTCAGTGGATAATATACCAATGGCAGTACCTGCTAATGAGATGGCTTCTTGAGCATATTCAACTTGATATAATCTTCCTTCAGGAGAGAAAATAGTAGTTCTGGAATCGTATCTTCTTGACATTTTATTATTATGTAGTTATATGGGAGTATCTAGATATGCGATTGAAGGAGATGAATGGAATGAAAGAATGAGATGATTAATTGGGGGGGGGGATTGATATACTTATGCAATTCGTCTGTCTTCACAAGATCTATTTAATTGGTATCTTCTTGTTTGATACTTACTATGGATATGAATTAGATAATTGATGAATTGATCAATTGTTGATTATAATCAAATTGGTGGCAATTCAAAACTTTTTTTGACCTTTTCCCACTCCAAAATCAATTTCCTGCATACAGATCAAATCACAATTTTATAACCAAAATTAACCAAAGAGGGAAAGGTGGTTATACATCAGTAACCAATCATTGTTTGAAGTCAAATCTATTGAAGTAATAGATAATAATACATAACATATCAAGGACATGTACATATAGCAAGAGTCTTACTGGTTATCATAACACACACAAATTCATAAGAGTTCATTTTTATTCACCCTTATAATGAAGGTATTTATTAGTTCTTTAAATGTCCCTATAGGATATTCAACTCCACCATTTCCATCATTATTTTGGCCTTTAGGTCCAAATCAAGAAAGTTATCAAGCTCTGTTCTTATATTATTCCTCTGATATGTGGATATTCACCGTCTATTGGACATTGATTGTGTTTGGAGTATTTTATTTTGGGGCAGGGTTAATTGCGGTTTATCATAATTGGTTAAGTGATATTCAGCATGGGTTACCGATAAATAAATTATCGATTATAGGAGGGATTATAACTGTTCCGTTATTTCTTCTGATAGGGTTAATACGAGGGTTTATAAGTAGTGCTATCATTGGATTATTATTAAGTTCGATATATAGAGCTGGAACTTTAACTATGAGTACTTGGATTCCATTAACTTGGGCTATAGCTCAAATCTTATATGATGTTAGTTCAGCTTATCTGACAACCTTAGTAATATTGTAATCTTAACTAAATATATGACTGTTATATGAACGTTGTTTACTGTATATATGTTGATAGTATGTAATTCTAAGTATCACCAAAAATTAATGAGGAAGGAAAAATAAATGGCAGCACATATATCTATTTTGACTGTAAACGATTAGGATCCAACTGAAGAAGGAGATAGTACCCATCCAATACATCATGATGATGGATTCAAATGACTTTGATTATCTTCAATTGACTCAATTGAATCAACAATTTGATAGAATACTAGAAAATCAACCCATCAATGATAATCATCGTCAGAAATTGATTCAAATTGCACTCACATCATTACAAGTGATGGAAAAGTATTCAGCATTACAGCCAAAATATGTTAAATTCATCGACTATTTAAAGACAGAAGCAAGTAGAACTAATACATCTCCTTCATATAATATCGATTGGATTGATTCAGATAAACCTGTCAATAATTCCTTGCTTATTCAATTAGATCTTGAATTTAAGAATTTATTATTATATCCTTCATCAAATCATACCAATGAAATCAATGATGATGATGAATCCGATATTCCCAATTTCTCATCAAGTGGGGATTCTTCTACACTGACGAATTCTAAGGATGATCTCTTTAATCGATTCAAACAAGTTTTAATCATTAATATCATTAAACGAAAGTTTAGTCAAAATGTTCAACTTATAATTACGTATTCATCGATTCATCTGTTTAATTTATCTCCTAGGGATATAACTCAAGTCAAATCAAATAACTTCTTACAGTTTTTATTCTATCAATATTATAATAACCTTAATGCATGGTCTTCTTCCCCTATTCAACTCAAATGGCCAAACCAAGATGACACACCAGCACAAAATCCACAACAACAATTGGATGGATCTAATCGTACTTGGGTATCAAGATCAACAGCCCCAACTAATATATCAACTTCATCAGATTTATCATCACCATTTAATAATTCAAATTCATTTAAAATATTAGACGCAATTTATGCAAAAGCTGTTGGTTATTATACTAAGATTGAACCTATTTTAAGTAAGATCAATAAAACAAATACATCAAATGAAGATTATACAGGAGGAATATTTGAAGAAATCCATTATTACTGGTTAATTCGATTTTATAATCTTACAATTTTATTTAAAAAGTTTGAATTTTATGAATTTAATAAAGAATTTGAATCATTATTTCTTAATTCTACATCACCAACATCACCATTATCAAATAACTCAACTAATACTAATGCTACTTCCATGGGATTTTCTTCATCTTCATCAGCTGTAAATACCATCACCATCCCAAATCCATCTTTACAATTCCTTATAGATTTACCAACCTTAAAATCAGATATTTTCTCCATGTATGCTATAGTTTCGATATTTATAAAACCATTCAAAGCATTATCCTTTCTTGAAAAGGATGCTATAATTGATACCTTCAACATCAATGATTCAACTTTGGATACAACCATTTACACGAATGTATTGTTACCGTTATCTAATGCTAAATTATCTCAAGTTCATGAATTTTTAACGAGTCGATCATTTTTAATTGAATTCGGTTCAAATTTAGAATATCTCTTACCTATCAATGATAAACAATCTGGGTCGGGAAGTTTCATAAGTTATGTTATTAGAATCATTGATTTTAAATCATTCCTTTTGATTATTTCCATCACTAAACAAATCCCACGTATAAAATTATTTGAAATGTTGGGATATATAAATCCAACTCCAGAAGTGGTTTCGAATTTAACTGCCAGTTTATTGAATTTAATGGGGATTTTAGGATTGGGGAAATTAGGAATTGGTTATAAAGTCGATCAAGAATTATTTTTCAATCAGAATCAAGGAATCGATCAAAAGTTTGCTAATGATTTACAAATTAAAATTAATGAATTAACTAATGATGTTTACGGTGATAGTGTGGCTACGTTAATGAAAGGTATATTAACTGAAAAATTCTTTAAATAGTTGGTTTTTATTTATTTATTTAGGTTTTTAATTTAGTATATAAGTTATAAATTAAATCCATTATGAATAATCGACCACCTAAAACATTGAATTTGATATTACTTATATCCAAATTAATATGCTTGGGTTTATCATTATTGTAGTCATTATGATTTTTTGATTTATCTTTTTTAAAGTATAGTTCGTCATCTATTTCATCATTATCATTTACTTCATCATCTTCATCGTCATCATGGGTTGATGACTTTTCTTCACTGTCCTCGCTGGGGAATAATAATCGTTTGATTAAAATACATGTAATCATAATTAAATAAACTCCACAATCATCAAAATTATCTTGTTGATCACATTTCATTCTTACAATTTCAACTGGTTTTGAACTGTTTATAATTGATTTACAAGATTTTAATCTTAAACTTAATTGGGCTAATATTTTATCATCATTTTCCATAGCTTCATCAATACACATTGAATCATAAATATATAATTTATGTTCTACAATTGATAATAAACTTAAACACCAATGATCTCCATTATTAACTTCTTCTAAATCGACTTCATCATAATCTTCAATGAAATTTATAGGGATAAAGATGAATTTCAGTCGTTTTAAATCTTCAATAGGTAAGATATTCTCAATATCTTCACTTATAGGATAATGTAAGAATAATTGAATTAATGATGGATATAATAATTGAACTTGACCATTGAACGGGTCGTTGCCATCTCCATGACCATTTCGTTTATGATTGATGAATAATTGATTGATGACTTCATAAATAAGAGAAATATCATTATCATTGATCCATTCTCCAGGTAAGATATGATCAATATCACTTTTATATAATGCAATGGAATAATATTGAAATAATTTGAATTCTTCTCGTTTAGTCTTTTGAGCTAAATCATGGATCTTGGTATGTAAACTTCTGATTTTGGCCTTGGCGATATATGGATTATAATTGAACGGTATAGCTGAACTTTGTTGTTGTTTCTTTCCCTGTTGTGATTTCCCTTTTGAATGCTTCCCTCCACTTCCATTCAATTCTTGTTGAAATTTAGCTTTCCTATTTCTTGATGCATTGATTTTCTTCATTTGACGTTGTTCTCTCTTTTCCAGTTTAGTTAGTCGTTTCTTCTTATCAGTCAATTCTTCTTCATCTTCATCGTCTTCTTCTTCATCCTCCTCATCATCATCACCTGTAACTCCAGACCAAGACAATTGATCAAACCCATTACTGAACACACTCTCTTTACTAACTTCTGATACTATACTCTCATCATTGGTACAACTAAACCCCTTATACTTATCATATACTAACATTCCATTGAAGTTAGCTCTAAGTTTCTGATAAGATCTGATAATATTCTGTAAATAGATAGTTGGTTGCACAAATGGAAAAAAAGGTTAAAAAAACAGGTGAGACAAACAGCGATAATGAAAAATTTGGTGATACTTTTCTTTTTCACAGCAACATCCTTAACAAACCATGTTTAAGAGAGGGGCTAGAGTAGGTATAAGGTATCTCAATATCCAAAGCAGACCTCAACCATCGATACCTTACGGAACAGGACAACCAACGCATGAAACTAGACCTCATTATTTACCCACTCAAGGGAATTTAACTCCTGGTATATCAGCCATGGAGTATTATGAACGAAGATTAGCATTATCAAGTCAATTACCATATAATTCTATAGCGATCCTTATTGGGAATGAAGTGAAATATAGTTCTGGTAGTGTATTTTATGATTTCCAACAGAATAATGATCTTTTTTATATGACGGGGTGGTTAGAACCTAATACGATTGCTATTATTGAAAAAGGTATTAATGATGAAGACGTTAATTTACATATGATTGTTCCCCCTAAGAATCCTCAATTGGAATTATGGGAAGGTCCAAAATCAGGATTAGAAGGAGCTTATGATTTCTTTAATGCTGATTATGTGGAATCAATTGATAATGGATTAAAATATTTACAACTGATTGTTGCAAAGTCAAAATATATATATTGGGATGATCCAACATCTACAAGTAGTACATCAACTAAGAAACCAGGATTATTTTCATCATTATTTTCATCGATCACAGGAGATAAGAATTCGATTATTAATGTGATTAATAAATCAGGTAAAGTGATTCAACCATTAACTTCTAAAATAGCTGAACAAAGATCTATCAAATCAGATTCAGAAATAAATGTTATGCATGCTTCTGGTCAAATATCAAGTAGAGCTATAAACAAAGCTATTGCTAAAGTTGGATCTGATAAACCTCATTTGACGGAAAAGACATTAGCTAAATATTTAGATTATCAATTTGTTAAAGGAGGATGTGATAAACAAGCCTATATCCCTGTGGTAGCCAGTGGTCCTAATGCATTAACTATCCATTATACTCGAAATGATGATATCTTGTATCGAGATGAGATGGTTTTCGTTGATGCCGGAGGTAAATTAGGAGGTTATTGTGCTGATATCTCTCGAACTTGGCCCAATTCTCCTTCAGGATTTACAGAACCACAAAGAGATTTATATGATATTGTATTGAATACTAATAAGAAATGTATTGAAATGTGTGATGAATCCAAATATCATTCTTTACATGATATTCATGAGTTTTCAGTTAAGTTTTTACAACAAGAGTTAAAGAATTTACCGGGATTTTCAGCTGTAACCAATAGTGAAATATCTCGTATCCTTTATCCTCATTATGTGGGTCATCATTTAGGATTAGATTTACATGATATTCCATCTGTATCTCGATTTAAGAAGTTGGTTGAAGGAAATGTCATAACCATTGAACCAGGTTTATATATCCCTGTTGATTCAAAATGGCCAAAACATTATCAAGGAATTGGAATTAGAGTTGAAGATGATATAGTGGTTGGGAAGACTAATGATGAGATTTTTAATTTAAGTAGTGGATGTATTAAAGAAGTGGTTGATATTGAAGCTTTGATATCAAATGGAGAGATTACAACTCCTGGGGTTGATGATGAATTATTAATATTGGATATTTGATTGTATATATATATATAAAATTTTGGTTTTTTTTTATTTTCCTTGTACATATATATGGGAATATATATATAATTATAGACTATTTACATTTAATTTTTAAAGGTTGGAGCAATTAACGACCAATGTTTAATAATAATGAATTCTTTGAACCACTATCATCACCATTACCACCATTACTACTTGGGATATATGAAACATTTGGAGAATTAGCTAAAGTTTTAGCAATTTCTTTAGAAGCTTCTAATCTTCTAATTAATAATAATCCATCTCCAGCTTTACTTAAAGCTCTTGAAACAGTTTCAGCGGATTCAGCTTCACCTTCAGCTCTTATAACAGCTGCTTTTCTTTCTTGTTCAGCCTTTTCCACTAAATATTTAGCTCTTTCAGCATCTTGTTGAGCAATTTGTTTTTGTTCAACGGCTTTAGTGAATTCTTTACCAAAAGTCATATGAGTGATTGAAACATCTTCTAATCTAATATTAAATTCATTGGCTCTTCTTGATAATTCTTGTCTAATTCTAGCTGATACAACTTCTCTTTGCGTAATTAATTCAGCAGCATCGAATTGAGCAACAATCGATTTTAAAATTTCATTACCAATAGCAGGTAAGACTCTTTCATCATAATCCAATCCTAAACTTTGATAAATCTTTGGTAATTGTAATACTTCAGGTCTATGTAATACTCTTAAAGTTAATGAAACATTTTGTAAATCTTTAGAACCAGTAGTAGTGGCAATAGTTTTTGGTTTAGTACGAACATCAAATATAATGGCTTTTTGTAACCAAGGAATTAAGAAATGAGTTCCTTCACCAATAACACTTTGTTGAACCCCATTTAATCTATCAAATATAACTGCTCTTTTACCACCTTCAACATCATAAAGAGCTGATTGACCTAAGGCAATGGCTAACCCAGCAGGAATGGCAATTTTTGATATTATCTCAGCAATTCGTTGTGACATTATATTAGTAGTAGTCGATATATGATCTAATTGGTATTATTAGATGTGATCTTTTGACTTTGAAAGTTGAAGTAAGATGAAGCAGTATCCGCCACCATATAATATCATTCATCCATACTTCGTTTCTCTCCCTTTTTCAATTTTTCGGTTTGATGATTTTTTGGGATTTGGTACACGTCCCTTTATTTACTATGGTGAATTATTAATATTACAATTAATTGATAAGTTATTATATGAATGATATATAGTAATGATATTGGATGGTTGTAATAGTATGTGGTATGGTATGTATGGAGTGGTTTGGTGAAATAAGAGTAATTTATGATGTTATAGGTCGGGGTATGATTATTTTTGCATCCATCAATCATAGCACTAATGAAGTTACACCATCAAAAGTAACTAACTTTAAAATTAGGGATATTTCTAGAAGCTTAGATACGTACTATTAATCCTGAAAAGCTATTTGATGGCAATATTAACTCTAATTCTGAATTAACCTTGATCATTTATATTATAAGCATAAACCACTCAGAATGTCGCTGTGAAGTAGTAGTTGTGGCTTGAATCATAATAAGAAGAATGTCTCCTTGTTTTAATTTGCGATTTTTTCGCTTTAAAGAGAGAGAGAGAGAGACGATTACAAATTATTATCTTTTCCATCAGTTCCTAATTTTACTATAAATACAATTTCAATTGGACTTTAAATTTGAATTTAATTGGAGTTTTATACAATAGATTCATAGTATAACTTGTTATTCATTAGATCTCCCGAGGAATACTTTATCAATCTTGTCATTTCTCATATACCATATAAACTCATATATTTATCATGTCCCATCAATATCATTTCGAAGTTACCATGTCTTGTTCAGGATGTTCAGGTGCTGTCAATAGAGTCTTGACTAAATTAGATGGTGTTTCTAAATTAGATATCTCCTTGGAAAAACAATCAGTTGATGTCGTCACTGATTTAGATTATGATACTATCTATAATACTATAGCTAAAACTGGTAAAAAAATTAATGATGGTAAAATCATTCAATAGATTAGGATAATGTATCTATATATATATATAAGGTTAATATATGTACGTAACTAGGTAATACCAACAGTACTATGTAAGATTTCTGAATTCAATGATCTCATTAATACAATCATCTCTTAATTTACTTTGCATGAATAATTTCTTTATCATAATGATTAATTCATCAGTTGATAAATCAAAGAATTCACCTTCATTAAATCGATCAAGGATATCCTTTAAATGATTCTTAATAAGGAATTTGAAATTTTGTAATCGATTATATGATTTAATCTCATCCTTTTGAGACGGTTTTAAAAATGGGATGGTAATATTATTAATCGAATCAATAATATGACTGATTTTAATCGATTGAAATTCTCCAATATCTTCTAAGGACAACACCATCAAGATTAAATAATCATTGATGAATTGAATAATCTCAATCATTAATGAATCAGTCTTGATTGGGTTTATATGTTGATAATCACTATCATTGAAATGATTATTGAAAATTCCATAGATTGAACTTAATTTTTGAAGACTTTCATCATCAAGTTCACCTTCATCTTGTATTGGTTCAAGTTCTAAATCACCTCCTGTCCCTAAAATCAATGAAAGTAATAATAATCTTAATCGTTCATAGATATCTAATAAATTCTTATTCCATACTGATTCAATGAATGAATCTAATTCAGTTGAGTTTAATTGTTGACTAATATATTTCAAATCATTATAGATTAATAATGATTTATCAATTGATTGATATTTGATTAATGATAATGATTTAATCGTAGTGATTAAATATTTTATATCTGAATTTGAAGAATCATTTTGAAATTGTTTAATCAATTGAATCACTTGTTGACTTAACTTTGATATTTTAAAAGTATTAGTACTCTCCTCCTTAGGTTCATCTTTTAACACATCTTCATCGTCCCATCCATCATCATCATCATCATTATTCCAGCCATCATCGTTCCATCCATCATCATCAGTTTTAGTACTACTTGTGGTAGGTTCACTTCCACTTTCAGGGACACTCTCCAACAGACTTATTAAATGATGATCTTTAAATACATGTCTTAATTTATCTATATATTGATCAATCAACCAATCATTATACAACTTAGTTAAATTCTGTTGAAGATTAGCTTGAGGATCATTGAATGCTCCTATAAAGATATTCCAACCCGATGAACTTTTATTCAATGCAATTAATTCATTCAAACCTGACAATAACATCTCATCATTAACGATATTATTGATGTTTATCGCTATTTTGTTGATTAATAATTTATTGATTTTAGAATTAAGATATTGTTTGATGGATTCATTATTGATATAATTTATAAACGTCATCACATTTGAAATTGATTTGATAAAGTTACCTGATGATGATCCTGATGTTACTTTGATCGATATGAAATCTATATCTAGATTCTCATCAATTAATTCAACTTCATGATTTGATTTCAGGGATAATACACTTTCAATCAATTGATCCCATTTATTCCTATATGTGGTATAATTATCTAATTTAATATGATTATTCACCAACAATTTATTAAATTCATGTAATCCATTAATATTCTCAATATTAAATTCATTCGGTATAAATGATAATAAATAATCATTTAAAATTTGAACAAACCTCTCATACAATTGATCGATCGATTTATGAATCACTTTATAGATAAGTATGACATCTTCTTCTGATGGTTGGGGTTGTTTATGATATTTATCGAATAATGTGAATAAATGATGGAAATCAAGAATATTCAATTGGGAACTTTTCAAAATCAATGAATTTATATCTTGATATTGATTATAATGGAATTGAAGTTGATGTAAATCATGTAAGTTGGATTCTATCTCTTCATATTGTTGATTCAATTGGGATAAACTGACAGGAATACTAGTACTATTTTCATGATCAACTTTATTCATAAAGTTTTGAACTAATTGTTTATCTGCTAATAATGAATGTTTGGAAATAGTAATGAATGAATTGTTTAATTCAGTATCTATGGATTCCAATTCAAGTTGGTTTTCCTCTAGTAGACTCTCTATAGATAATGACATCCCTTTTGATCTAGTTAGTCCTTATGGGGTCTACCTCTACTTTAATATGCTTGTTCTGTCTGATCTGTTCTTTAAAAAAAATTAAAGTATCACCAAAAAATACATCCATACCGCGACAATACTACAAAAGCTTAGCTTATATCATAAATCCATTATATTAATTACTATAAATACTATAAGACACTAATAATTACCTTATATTAAATCTTCAGTGATATCATCATCAACATACTCATCATCTTTATTCATTCTATAAATCGTCATGGCCATACTTGAGAAATTCAATACACTCATAAACCAATCAGGAACAATAATACCCCATAATTCAATGGAATTAAAAGTTAAATCAAGGAAATTACCCACTAATTCAAGAATTAACATCATTTTATCGAATTTTAAATCTTTTAATACTTTATTATACTTTTTATTGACATCATTATTGATTAAATTCTTCTTGGTGGATGATTGATTTAAAATACTTAATTCAATCTTGATTTTATTCTCTTTCTTTATCACATTGATTAATTGGGAGATGGTCTTTCTAATAAGGAATACCAAGATCAATACCCAAAGTTTATTGGTTTGTTTAAGGAGGGATAATAACGTTGGGGGAAACATTGGTAATCGAGAAAATAAATGTAAATTATCTAATAAATTAGCTAAATTCTCTAATACTTGAATAACGATATGTTCTAATTTCTTCAAGGAGAATTTAGATGATGCAGGTTTCTTGAAAGTTAATGGTTTCTTATCTTTATGTAAGATTTGACTGGTATTAGGTGAAGAAGTAGTGGAATGGGTATTTGATGTTAATGATTTATGTAAATCGAATTTATTAAAAAACGGGGAATACTTGGGTTTGGGTATAGATGGTAATTTATTAAACTTTTCAAATGATTGACCTTCCTTAACACTATTACTACTCTTTGCTTCCAGTTGTTTGGCTAAAAATTGGGATAATTTATTAAGTTTATCTTCAGTAACTGATTTATTGCCTCTTTCTTGTTCTTGTTTAGCTAATTCAAGTAATCTATCAATAATCTCTTGGTTTTTATTCTGATTGTTGTGATGATCATGCATAAGACTTAACTTTCCACTAGTACTGGTTGTATTGATTATGGGCAATACACTAGTAGCCATACCTGATGTTACTTGATGGTTATAGATTTGATATAGTATGGTTTTAATGACGGGTATATATTTTAACTTCTCCAATTTTAGCTGCCTCTTTTTTTTTAAGACTCTTCTTTCACATGCCGAGGTTTACAGAAAAATTAATTATATGCAGGATGTTCAATCACGTGAATGAAAGTATACCGATTTTTATTAAAAATATGTAAAGATGGCATTATAAACTACATTGATAATCGATCAGATGCTTTTAAATTACAATTTCAAAACCTAAATATATTAATCCATTACATATTCTATTATAATCTAGTTTGATCATCTTGTATAAACTCAACTAAAGCCAGTAAAAATAAATCTTCAGTTAAATTCAATTGATTAACAAATTTGATAAATTGATTAGTTGATGATTCATTTTTAAATCCTTCAATCTTAATGATTTTCCAATGATGAGTATATATGATTCGTTTAGAATTATCAATGATTAAATAGAAATTATTCTTCTTGGTTAATTTCAATTTAATGTTCGTTATATTGGATAATTTTATAATAACATCATTCATTTCTTTACACCATTTACCATAATTTTGAAACTTATCATGAAGTTTCTTATTATTCTGTTGATTTGTTTCAATATCATTTGATTCAAGGTCAGAATAACTTTTAATTATCTCTTTTAAATCTTGGGATTTATGTAATAAATTAGTATGATGAGTACATTTCTTTTCATATTGGGATTGTTGATGATCTATCTCTTGTTGAAGGGAATTCAATTGTTGAGTTTGTTCATCAACTAGAGCTCTTGACTTTTCAATTATATTCAGTAAATCAATATCATCAGTTGAATTGTTATTATTATTAGTTATATCTTGAATAAATTCTTGATCATCAAATTCATCAAGAATTTGATCGATTTCTTGAGTTATATCATCAATATCATGAATCAATCGTTTACTATCATCAACTTTATCGATATATTGATGATACAATTCAATATTATCTTCACATAATTGATCCAAGTTCTTGATTTTATTATTCATCTCCAGTTTTAAACTCTTTAATATCACTTTACTTTCACCAGTTTGACGTTCGATATTAGCAATATCATTCCATTCACCATGTTTATCTTCCTCTAACTCAACACTACTTATCTCACTTATCCTTCTTAAGAACTTATCTCTTGTTTCTTGTTCCAAGTATAAGAATTTCAATTTGGAGAATATATGTTTCTTATAATTGAATTCTTCATCGATAACTCTTGGATTCAAGAGTTTCACATTAGTAGAGTTTTCAAACTCCTGTTGAGCTGAGAGAATGTAATAATCAGGAACATCATTCACTTGTCGTCTTATAGCATCCAATGACATCTTACTTGGTTGATTTATATATGAAGAACACTATCAAATTGGCTTTGTTTACATTTTTGTTTACTGATTTCGCATCTCTCCACAAAACATTTTTTTAACGCGTACAAATTGGCGCTCCCATATTTGATTTATGATATCTAATAATAATACATTTAACGATACAAAAAGAGGAAATATATAACGTATAAATAATAATGATAAGGTCTATGATTATGATGATGAGGAAGAGACATCACGAGGTTGGATGGTACAACTTAATTTCCAAGCTCTATCTTCTTCAGCTTTATTTAATTGACAAACTTTCCATAATTCTAATAAGATTAATTCTTGTAAACTTGGAACTGAAACAATGGTATAATCTTCCATTTCTAAATTAGTTGACGTGGATGAGTTAGGTATTTTTGCATTGAATGAAATACTTGATCTCCTTAATTCTTTTGAACTAGTGGTGGTAGTTGATGAATTTGTATATGGGATTTGTAAACTTTCAATATCAGCAATGATTCGAGTGATTTTTAAATATTTATCAATATTAATTAATTTTTGATTTAAAAATGTATTGGCTTTTCTATAATTTGGATTACCATCTGTTACAAATGTTAAATCTTGTAAAAATAATGAAAAATATGGAACAATAGGAATATTATAATCATTTGAAATTAAAAAGTTTTTCAATTTGGAACGATAAACATGATAATTCTTTTCAGGATGAATGATAGATGATAAATATTCATATAATTCAATATATTTATCAGATAAATCACCCCAAATTTTATTTAATCGAGTAATTAAATGTGATTGTAAAGCAGTAATAATAGCCGCTAAAGAATTGAAATTTCTTAAATAAAGACAAGAAATTGCCACTTTTAACCAAGTTTTAATCATATTAATTCTTAATTTTTGATTAATCTTGGGTTGTAAAATTGATTCTAATACATATCCTGATAAACAATTGGTGAATAATAATGATTGTCTCACATTTGGAGCTAATCTTAAATAAGCTCTTTTAGCGGTGAAATTTTCATTCAATAATTCTTCTGGTTTAATTGAACAAAAGATATTAGATTCAATGCTAGTTAATTGTTTTGCCAATTCTAATCCATTGAAATCTAATAAATTAGGTCTATAATTTGATAAAACCCAAGTTTGATCACATACTTGAAACCAATTACCCAATAAATTAGAAATATCTAAATTAATATAATGAGAAGTTTCAATATATTTTTGTGGACACCAACTAGTACTTAAAATTTGTCTATAAGTCATATTAACTTTTTCAATAGTTTGGAATTGATTTTTAGTTAATAATGAATTGGAAGATGAGGTTTGATTTCCAATACCTAATGGCATAGGTAATGAAATTGATTTTAATGAACTTGTAGTAGATGAATTAGTATTAATTTTGGATAATTCATATCCATCAACCATAGAATATCTATTACTTAATGAATTATCAGTATTACTGGAGAATGAATTCTTTCTTTTAAATCTGGTAATGGTAATACTACGAGAAATTAATTGAGGATTATAACCATTTGCTCTTGGAAGATTTCTTAATTGAATTTGATTTTCAATTAATGGTTTGGTTGATAATTTAGCGGCAATTTCAATTAATTTAGTGGCTTCAATAGGTAAGAAATGACTAATACCTTCATTAAAGAAATTAATCAAAGTAGTTAATAAACTATAATCGGCTTCATGATTCCAATAAGATTCCATCCAAATTTGAAACATCTTAACAATCAATCTTCTTCTTTTCTTTAATTGAACTTCAGCAGTAATATCAGCTCGAGTTTGACCTTGTAAATTACTACTAATATTATGAGTAATATCAAATCTAGAAATCATTTCTTCAATAAAATCAATCCCATTAGCAAAAGTTCTAAAACAAATGAAAAATGTCGATACAAAGAAATATTCCGGTGGTGAATCTTCATTGGTTAAAGTATAAACCAATCCATGGAATGAAGCTCCAAGTAAATTTCCATTACTATCAACTAATAATTCATTATTAATATCCGATAAATTAGAATTACTTTCACTTTTATTAGCGGCAGTAGCAGTAGTATATGGTTCAAATGCAGGAATCGATACTGAAAATGGAGAATTGGCATCATTACTACCAGCTAATAATACATCATGAATTAAATTGGCTCCATTGGAAGTTAAACTTAATTCACCTGTTTTACCTGATCTAATCATCGAATAACGATTCGAATTCTTAACGGCAGCTGATGTTTGAGGACGTCTAAATGCAGCTTCATCATCATCATCAGGACGTTTGTTATGTTTGGCAATACCAATTGAACATTTTTTAATGAAATCTTCAGGATCAATTTTCATCTTGGTATAATCAGGATATGATCTAGCTGAATTTAATTTAAAATCTCCGGTAATATCTAATAATTTTCTAATCGAACTAATGGTTAATCCAATTGATTTAATCATTTTAGAGGCAATTTGAATTAAATTACCCCCTTCTTGAGTATAATAATATTTATCAGCATTATTCCCCATACTTGGTAAGACATTACTTTTCTTTTCTGATTCAGATTCATTTAAAGTCTTTACCACTAAATTCTTTACCAGAGATACTAAATCACTAACCAAGGATAATAATGAATCTAAGGAATTATCCAAATCAGCTGGTTTTTCACTCGAGAAATCAGATCCAGTTTTGGAAATAAATAATAATTCTCGTAATAATAAGATGATTTGATGAGCAATGGTTTCTAAAAGATCACATCCAATAGGATTATGTTCGATTAAATCCAATCTTCCAATAATTAAACCTAAATAAGAATATAAGATTCCGTTGATTTCGGTGATTCTTTGTTTGGCTAATGGTGGACTGGCTAATAAAGGATAATTATTTAAATCTTCATTCAGACTCTTTGATTCTTTAATTTGACCTGGTTTTTGAGAATCTTGTTTTTGTTGAAGGATTTCTTTACTTTCAATTGACCAAATTTTCAAAAATGATACTGCTTTCTTCGTAACTTGAAATATCATTAAAGTTAAAATTTCAATTTTATTAAAATTAGACGTTCCTTTAAATTCATTCGCTTTAACCATTAAATTATACCAATCGGCCAATAATGATTTTCTGGTTTTTCTAACCACAGGACGTTTAGTAACGATTTCATTTGATCTTGATAAACAATCTGTTTGTTGTAATAATAATCTTACTCCATCACGAATAGAATTAATGGTTCTAATTGAAAAAGTATATTTCCCCCGACGATTTTTATGACTTAAAGGATTCATTAAGAATTTGGCACATGAATGGAAAAGAGGTTTTAAATATTTATTATTTGGAATTTTTCCATCATCATCAATATCATTAATTGTCAGATCAGCTTTTTCATCTACTGCAATTTCAAAATAATTCATCGGGATCCATCCTCTTTGTAAAGAATTGACTAAAGTAACTTCACCCCATCCTGAATCATCTATAGTATGAACAAATGCTAAATCATCTTTATCAAATGATAAACATATAGAAGCATCTGATTCGGATTGTAAAGTGGATGAATCAAACGAATGTAAAGCACGTATGAATAATGAAGATAAATCATCATCATTATCATCATCTTCATTACCCAGTAATAAAGCTGAATTAGTAGTAGCGATGGTTTTACTGGTATTACTAGCAGTTAAATGTTGTTGAGATTTGGCTGATTGACTTATTTCATAATTATCATCATCATCATCATCTTGACTATCTCTATTTTTGGGATCAAGTAAAGAATCAGTGATGGAAATATTTAAACCATGAGGATATCTATCACTTATATTTAACCCATTTTTAGATGCAATTAAAAGATCATTTTTTTCCTTTTCCGACATTTTCTTGATTTCTTCATTATTAGAAGCCAATTTTTCAAATTGATTAACAAGATCTCTTCTAACTGGGATTTCATCATCATTAGAAGTCTGATTTCCTCCATTTCTTAAAGTTTTAATAGGAGATACTCTTGAACCTCGTATATTATATGCACTGGATGAATTTGAAGTTGATTTAGGTTGATCACCATTATTATTATTAGTACTATTAAAGTTGAATGCATTTGATGATGAAGATGATACATTTGAAATGATTGGAGTTGCTTGAGGATTATTATGTTCAGGTTCGATATTACTACTTTGACTTATAATACTGGATCGATTACTTATACTACTAAGTTGAGATTCTTGATCATCTTTAATATAAGAATCATTATCGGAAGGTTCATCATAATCGGTACTATTATCCTTTTGAGATCTGAATTCTTCAATTTTATTATAATATCTACTTGTGGGAGCCACACCTGGTTTTGAAAATTGATCTTTGGATAATCGATTTACATTTTGTTGGAATGTATTCATAAATTGATAAGAATCACCTGAAGTTGTAGTTTGTTGTAATGTTACAGAAAGTCTTTGAAATTTAGAACTTAATTCTTGTTGAGGTAATTGCGTAGTTAATTCATTTGGATTTGGAGATGCTTGACGAGGAATTGATTGTTGTTGTTGTTGAGGAAGTAATGGATCAAATGCTGGATCATTATTACTCAATAAAGGAGTTTTATCATCCAAACTATCAATGGTTTTATTATTATATTGAGCAGAAGTTGGGATTTTTGGAGTTTTATCATCATCATAATAAGAAGTATTAGTTTGATTTGAACCTGGATCATCGGAAAATTCATTTTTTGTATAAGAATCAAGACTATTAAGGGAAGGTTGTTTTAATAACGATCGATTTATTGATTCAAAACTAGGATTTTTTTGAGGTTGATGAAATTCTCCACTCCCATTTTCATCTTCACTAAATTCTAAACCTCTAGCAGTCATAAAAGTTTGGAAAGTTTGATTTGATTCTTCAGTTCTCATGCCTTTACTTTCATTACTAAGACGATTAATGCTATTATTATTGGAGTGTTGTTGTTGTTGTTCAGGGTGATAGTTAAGATCACTATCTATATCTTCATCATCGACTTCTTCAATGATATCATGATTATTATTTTTGAAGGTATATTCTGAATCTATAGGAGAATATACACTTGATGAAGTACTAAAGTGATGATTAGTTGGAGGTTGTTGTTGTTGATTCTGTTGTTTAAACATGATCAAATGGGGGTATCCATATATATATAATTGATAATAATAATTTTAGATAGTTAAAGTTGTCTTGGCTGTAAATACTAAATCAGAAGGTAAGGTAAGTACGAAGAAGTAAGAAAAACCACAGCAAAGTAGAGATATGTGTAATGGTTGATTGGTGATGGCTTGATTGATTGATTGATTGGATGTTACCGCTAAGAAAAGATGGTTGTTGTTATGAAGTGTTGTGATGTTATGTTATGTTGTGTTGTGTTGTAAATATGGAAATGGCAGCAGATTCCAAACCAAACTAAAAAATCCCTTCCATACTCAAATCAGAATTTTGTCTGTCTGTCCTGATTGAGCCTTTTCAGATTTTGTCTGAATTTTTTTTTGTCATTGTCAAAATTTTATGGTAAAACGCGTCAAATTGAAAAATAAAAATAAAATTGTACGCGCGTCTCGTTGCTTTATCTAAGTAGAATGAAGTAGAATGAAGTAGATCTTGAAACTGGATTAAGGTGGAACTCTACATCGTATAAGAAGATATTATGAAATTGGACTAAACAGTTCTAGTATGTTAAAAAATACATATCACCTAGTGTAACTAAGCTAATATGTTGTAAGATTGTAAAAATAAAGGGTTCAGAAATGGAAAAAAAAAGGATAATGAAGGATGCGAGGTTCGAACTCGCGCGGACACCGTCCAACAGATCTTAAGTCTGCCGCCTTAGACCACTCGGCCAACCCTCCAATTTCTGGAAAAAAAAGTGCTAGGTTGGTGGTAACGATCCAAAGTACTATAAAATTTATTTTAATTAAAAAATTTGATTCAACCCCTTTATATTTTAATAATTAATATTTTTATGATTCAAGTGTCATAATCTACAATCTGAGATAGTTAAATGATATACTTTATTATTTAGTTCAACTATTACATTAGATATTACTATTCACTAACAAATAAGAAAGTCGTGTCGTGCGATAGACCAATTATTCATCACCATCAATTATTGAATTCAATTCAAATTTAAAATAACTGAAATTGTACCTTATGCTTTCCATGATTTGTCTCTTGGATTAAATTGGTATTTAACTGCAATTGTGTTCCTATCGTTATAAAGAAGTGATTGGCTACGAATGAGAGTATCCCATTACTCTCCCGGTATAAAACCGTTAATTTTATTATAATCTAGGATATTTACAATTACTAACTTTATAGAATATAGTAACTAACTTATTTAAGATAGCATATTACTAACTAACAATTTTTAGAATGTAATCTTACTGTAGTAATGATGTGCATGAATTAGTTGTTGATTAATATACATAGTATATTATATTATATTATATTATATTATATTATATTATATTATATTATATTATATTATCATTAAACCCATGTAGAATAATGTCTCTAATTACTTAATTCTTACCCCGTATTTTTAACCATAACGAAAAAAAAAGTATCACTCAAAAGTCAAAAAACAAAATTGCGCTTGCGATTTATTATAAATTGAGATAAAAATCAACAAAATTAATTTAATTCTTTTAATTGAAATGAATTAACGTTTGGTTAGTCCTTTCTGTTTGCCCATCCGTTTCGGGATGGTAGGAAGTCAGTCCAAAACCCTTTGTAACGACATAAAGTTATCGCATAAATTAACTTCACTATAACAATCTAGGTTAAATACTAAATTTTAGGTTGACTAACATTATTTAGGGATTTAATTTTTATTAACATTTCTAAGGTTCATTATAAATGAACTTTTAAGTATCCCGCGACGGGAATTTGATGATATCCGCTGATAAGATCTAGTTTAGAAAAAGTAACATGAATGTGCAACTATTTAGTTCGTCTTCTATGTTTGGTATTGGATAAAATTATTTATTTTAAAAGTATCAAAAGTTCCTACAAGAACATATACTAACTGAATTAATGATTTATTTAGAGATGATGTATTAACTATTATTATATTATATATCGTTTAATACAATTTAATTATTATTATTATTATTATTATATGGTTTAAATATACCAATGTAGTAATTGTAATTCAAGTCATAAATTATCTCTCTCTCCTTAAATGCAGTTAATTTTCAAATATCAACAAAAATTCAATTTATGAAAATTTTGTTAATTTATTACTTTCTTTCTTTTAAAATTAGTTATAATGTATAATAGTTTTGAATTATCATTAGAGATATAAGTGGCTTCCATTGCTTTTCCTTTTCGCCAAAGAATACTTATTTTGTATTGTTTGATTACTTCAATCATATAACAATTATGATGATTAATTGATTTAATTATCATCATCATCATTTATAATTTCATTTCTAGGATTTGTTGTTACTAACTTTTAGGTCTATCTTACTAACAATTTATAGGTATACTTTATTAACATGTTTAGAAGTTAATTTGGTTAGTTGATATTCAACTAACTAAGATCAACGACCATCAGATGAACGATCTGTCTTAAATGTTAACAACAGCAGATGTATTCTTGGTCAAGGGGACATCAGGTTGCAGGCTCTTCATAATAATTTTAAATATATGTTTTTATATAATGATTTATCTTGGATAATTGTAGCCTTCATAGTAATGATTATAATATGTATCTTCATTAATAGAATATCATGTCATAAATTAACTCTCTATTTAAATGTGTAACGTGATACTTTTCTCCCAAATCAAAAAATAAATTGATTTTGATATGAAATTATTAAATATCAGATATATTTTACTCCTTTCATTTACATGGAAAGTCTGCTCCGAATGAAAGGATTTCGTCTATATGTCTAAAGCGATGTCTCCGTCAATGTCTACGTGTATAGTGAAATCGTCCAATTGTGAAAGCGATAGCAAATTTGTTTGCGTCTGTGGTTACATTCCGACCAATACTAATAACAATGATGATTTGATTCAATCATCATCATATCTTAATAGTTCTAGGTTATTACTAACTTTAGGTCTGTTATACTAACATTTATAGGTATACTTTACTAACATCTATTTTGCTGTTCAAAATAAACATGTTAGGTACGATGATTATTCATATCCAGATATATATTTTACTAAACAATTGCTGATTTTACTATAATTATAGCAATTTAAATATACATTTTTATAAGAATTCATTATTGATAATTGTAGTAGTAGTAATAGTAATATCATAACTTATGTTCGTTCATATTAGGTATATCTTCTATGTAAAATGATAACACTTTTATAATAACAAACATGAAAGTAACTTCGAATACCAAAACATTTCCACATTGAAAATTTAAACCCCAGTTTCCTTCTCCTTTTGAAACCAATTTGGTTTTTGACCATTAATGTGAATATGGCTGGTACTATGGTCATTTTGCTGCAAATCATAAATCGTGGAAGTCTTTGTATTTTGTAAAATATAGTTGTCATTTTACAAAATAACTACTCACTTTCATATATCTAGAAGATAATTTTTATTAACCCCCATTCTAGGATTAGTTTATAGATATACTAACTTACAATTATAGAGCTTATTTACTAACCAATTATAGTCATAGTAGTACTTTACCAGAGAATACTTCAAGACTAAAATTTCATCAAAGGTTATATAGCTACATTTGTGTTTTGGTTTTTGTTTAAAATGTTTGTATATTGTTGCCTACAGGCCCCGTCAAAAATATATGTATAATTATCTTTTATATTATAATTCTCCAGTTCAATGGACTCAACCTGTAGTTACAGTAACGCGTTAACTTCTCTTATTTATGACTTATATTGTTCAATTTATCTAATTCTATTCAACTTTAAGTTTATATACTTTATAATTCAACCATAAAAAGAAGATTGAAAATGCTCCGAATGATATAGCAATATTTAAAATCACCCATAAGTCAGGAAATCTTTGAGGTGGAGGTAATGAAAAGTCAAGTATATGATATACAATCATTAAGAAATATGACCCCTTTATAATCAAACTATAAAATAAATTATGATTTGATAATAATAATTTAGGTCCAATTAACCAATTAATTAAGAAATTACTAACGGCATACTGTAATACTAAATCTTCTTTCTTTAATAATGGATATAAACTGAATGAACCCACATTATTAATCCATTGAATGATATCAATTTGACTAGGATCAATTAATAATAATAATGTGGTGGGTATTAATGGTATTAAAATACTCTTTTCATGAACAAGAAATGAAAATAAATAAAATGCAAATGAATTACCAGCAAATCCATAGATTAAACCCGGAGTTAAATGTTTAGCATTTCTTAATTTAAAGAAAAGAATGATATTAATCGGTAAAAATGCTATAATGGTTGAGATTAATGCTAATTTAGGTAAATCATCAGGATTGAAAATATCCCGATATTTGATGATCACATTGGTAGTACACCAGAAATTCCCCACTTTATCTTCAAATATCCCTCTATGGAATGGGAATACTCTTTGAACAATTTGTAAAATATTATTAGGATCACGAATGAAGGGTAATAAGATAATCAATTGAGTGAAAATAACGGTGAATCCGACAAGAATTAAATCTTGAATTGATTTCAATTGACTTAAAATGAAGACAAATATAAACGTCAGATAATATAATCCCATTTGTTTGAAATTTATACATGCCACAAACCAAATACTAGCTGTCATATAATTCTTTTTGATTAATTCAATTAAGGAATAAATAAATAATCCTAACATGACTGAATTGAATTGAAAATGGCCATGATCAATTAATACTAAATGAGCTTGATTTATAATGATTAACGAAATAATGATTTGATCCATTCTACTTAAATTGAATTTCTTCCCCATTAAATTAGCAATTGATAATACAGCAGGTATATAAAAGATCAATTCACTAGCTAAACTAGTAAATCTCATATAGAATTTAACTGGATTAGTTTCAATTCCTCTAGATGCATTCAATGCAAACCAACTTGGATCAATGAAACTTCCAATCTTACCAAGAATATACAGATGATAAGCTGTTAATGGTGGATAATCCAATCCCCAATATGTTAAATCAAAAAAATACCATTCAGAAAGTGGTAAATGAATAGTAAGTTCCATCCAATGTCTTTGAGCTTCGAAATCTCCATGCATAGGTCCATCACCATATCCCAGAAATCCCCCTAATCCAATAGTAGCCCTCAATATCACTGCAGACATCACAAGAACGTATCTTGCTGTCCATTGATCAGGAGCTTTTTCAAAATTATGCAATAAATCATAGATAGGTGAATTCTTAAATATACTGGTCTGCTGTTTGACAGATGGTGGTTTCACACTTCCACTTGATTTCTTAGTCGGTTTAGACTTCTTCTGAGGACTCTTGGCCATAATTGATCATTTATTATACCTATTCAACCAAGATTGATCTGGTTGATATATGTCTGGTCTGAAAAATCAGCTGTGTGTTATTTTTTGTTTGTGAACTTTTATTTTCGACACGACTCTTTTTTATTTGGTCGGTTCCAAATTGGGCCATTTGATGCAAAAATTGGCATATGAATGATTAGATCTATATTACATTCTTCTATAAATTAAATAAATAAATACTAATACTTGAATACTTTATCTTGATGAACCCATTTCTTGGATTCTAAGTATTCCATATACTCTTTCCATAATTTATCCCCTGCTTTAAGAGTTTTAACATCACCAATCATGATTAATCCATATTTAGCTCTGGTTAAAGCGACATTCAATCTTCTTTCATCTCTTAAGAACCCAATCTTACCAGCTGGATTTGATCTTACACAAGACATGACTAAGAAATTCTTTTCTCTACCTTGGAATGCATCAATCGATGCAATCATGATTTCGCTAACAATATGAATGGTGACTGGTTTCGATTCATTGGTAAGATCATCAACATCAATTTCAATTTTAATTTGTTGACTTTCTGGATTAATTAAATCATCTTGAACAAGAATAGATGAGATTAGATCACGTTGTCCACTATAAGGAGTTATAATACCAATATCTGAACGTTTGATTCCCTTTTCATAGATTAAACTCTTAACTACTTGAGCAATATATTCAATTTCTTTCTTATTACAATAAGTGAATCCACGATCTTCACGTAATCTATTACGAACAGATTGTTCTTCGGCATTACCATTTGTATCCCAGAAATAAACTGGATCACTGATATTTTCAAGTTGTCTCGATTCTTCTCCTATACCATCTTTTAAAACACCACCATAGAATCTATTTCTTGGGAAATCACTAATCTTTGGATGCATACGATATTGAGTATCTAACATATGAGGATTCTTATATGAAGCATTTAATAAAATTCTTTCAAATAATGATAATGATAAACTTGGAAGTAATGAAAAACAACTTAATTGTTTTTGATCTCCGACAAACACAAATTTATCAACTCCTGGCATCGATAAAGGAATTAAAGTAGTTGGTTCGGATGATTGAGTAGCTTCATCCATAATAACTACGGGACATTTAGGGATTGATTTTAACAGCGCCCCACCAGCAGAAACTGTGGTGGTGAATATAACTTTCGCTTGGGCTATTAATTGTTCACTGGTTTCAATCATATCACCCATGAATTTACTATATCCTCTTGGACCAATCTTTAAAGTACCTCTCTTCATATCATCATAAGTTTCTTTATAATTAGCAGATAAGGCATCGTACACTTTATGATGTAAACAGATAGAACCTAATGGATGGGATTTATTATAATCTCTTTCCTTTTCAACCGCCACAATTCTTAAAATATCCTTTTCGTGTTTAACTTTCAATTTTTCAGCAATATTATCAATAGCGATATTGGAAGCTGCCACCACTAAAATTGGATAAGTATGTAATGAATCTAATAATTGTAAGATGATTTCAAAAATGGTGGAAGTCTTACCTGTACCAGGTGGACCTTGTAAGACAGTGATGGCATTATTAAGTACCGATTGAATAGCTACTTTTTGAGAATCATTAAGGGTATCAGTGGTGAATTTCAAAAAGTTATTAAATACGATTTGTTTAATTGGATCATTTCCAAGTAACATCTTTTTGAAACTGGCATTGTTTAGTCTTGACATTGCATATAATACTCTGGTGACAGGTAATGAAGCAGGAAGAAGTTTCAAATACAGCACATTGATTGATTTAGGTAAAGGACGATCATTCCAATTATACATTTGAATAATAATTTCCACAATCTTAGGACCACTCCCGCCTTGCCCTTTGGATCCACCTCTACCTCTACCTCTTCCTCCACGTCCACCTCGGCCTCCTCGGCCACCACGACCTCTACCTCTACCACCACTACCACCTTCACGAACTAAATCTAAAGTAGCAATCGAACCATACCATGGAATCTCATCATTTAAAACAAGGTACATAGCTTGGCCAATGGCAAATGGAGTATCTTTAACTGCACGTAATTTTGGAGGAATGAATCTCTTTTGTAAATCTTCACTTAAAAGCATACTTACTTTGAATTGAGAATTCTTTTTATCGTTATCTTCGTACCATTCAATCACCATATCATCAGCAGTGATCAGATTATCATCATTGGTTAATTGATCTTCTAAGAACATGTTGAAACTAACTTCTCTGAAATAGGAGTCAATATCGGGGAATTGTAATTTTGGTTCTTTTGAAGGATGGAATTTGGTAATGGAGTCAGGTAATTCTTCGTCATCAAGTTGGGTAGTGGTCTCATTTGCTTCCACCTTTTCCACTGGAACTGATTTATTATCTGATTTTTTGACTGGTTTAGCTTTATCTTCAATCTTGTTCTTTGGTCCTTTTTGGTTATCTTTTGTAGGTATGGATTTAGTATCAGTCTTATCACCCTTATTCGTTTCCTTTTTCTTATTAACTTTGTCTTCAGAACCCTTTGGTTTTGGTTTTCCATTAGTCTTAGACTCGGCTCGAACTGTGGAGTTTTGATCTTTTGGAGCTTTATTATCCTTACCTTTGACAGCAGCAGGCCCTTTAGGAGTCTTGTCTTTAGGTGCTGGCCTAGCTTTATTACTCTCAGCTTTTGTTGTATCCACACCACTTGGTTTCTCCTTTTTAGGTCTTTCATTTTTAACTGTATTTGGTCCTTTCTTATCATTAGTTGATGGAGTTGATGGTTTTGAATTAGCTGACTTTGAACCAAGTTCTAATGTTTTCAACTTTGCTACTAACTTATCAGTTTGCATTTCAGTCTTACCATTATTCTTTTCAAATGGTGCATTCTTAGTAGCACCATTTGCTTTACGTTGACCATTAGTTGGTTTTGGAGTTACTGAACCTGAACTCTTTGGCGAGAATTTAGGAGTTGAACTTCTTGAACTGATTGTGGATCTAGCGTTAGGAGTTGCTGAATTAGACTTATTGGCAGCTGGTTTAGAGCCTGTTAATGAAGCGGTTGAACCTATGGCCTTAACGGTTGTTCCTGATTTTATATTAGATACACTTTCCTTCTTAGCAAAGTAATGAGCTACTCTAGCTTCCTTTTCAGCAGTCATCTTAACATCCTTCTTCCTTCCACCACCTCCTATGGATTTGCCTTTACGATGTCTAGTGGATTTCTTTGCATTTACTGTTGTTTCTTTGATTCCAAGTAATTCAAAAAGAAAAGTATCATCATTTTCACTAACGTATTTAACATCAGATGGGAAATTCTCAACACATTTCTTACAAAAAATAAACTGTTTCCCAGTAGATGGTTGATTTCCCACATATAATTTTTCATCAGCTTGACAATTGAAACACGCTATATCTCTAAACTTAAAATATTGATCTATTTTAGAAAAGAAAGCTCCATTGGCTAAAGTATATTGAGTTGATGGCTTTTCACTATTTTCAGTCTTATCCTTATCGAAACATGTATTACATAAAAGCGACATATCTGATAATCCATATCTATTAATAGCCAATTGATGAATATTAGTATCATCACATTCTTCACATCCTATAATTTCATCTAAACGATTAGATCTGATGGCCTTATGTCTGGTGGAGGATAAATGTTTACCAATGATTGGTCCAACATCCTCTTCAGAACATGTGATACACGTGAATGTGTTACTCATGTTGATTGACTTGCTGTTTATTTGAAACAGTGATGTATCATATCTGTCAAATTTACTTTTTTTCATTTTCAACTGCTGCTGCTGCTGCTTTGAAAAATTTAAATATTTTTGTTACTGCGAGTTAAATTTTTTGGCTGCTAATTTTACTGATTAAACATTGTTTTTGGTGTACCGTTTGGGTTTTAAATTGACATGAATTATTAGCAAATAGTATGTCTTTACAAGTAGTTGTGATATACGAAGCAAGAGTCTAAACGGTCATGGAAAATAGTCGTTGGATAATAAATCTAATGTTAGATAAAATATTTATCAGACATTTTTTGCGAAATTTTTCATGAATTCATTTATTATCGTTCCTATTTAATTAAATATGATCAAAATATTTTTGGTGTTTCAATACCAGCTCAAGAAATCAGTTATACGAGGTATGACCTCAAAGCTTGATATAAATACGAACAAAAGAGAAGATTTAAGTCACTACAAACTACAGATCTTAACAATGTAAGGTAATAATTAAATTAAAACGTATATTTGGATAGCGGAGCTACCTCAAACTTCATCCACACAATATATACTCCATTAAAATATAGTTAGTAATATTGATCCTATATGATTTAAAGTTAGTAAAACGAACCTTTAAAGAAAGGTCCGTAGATAAAATTATCTGTTTTTAATTGCAACCAAGAAGGTCACAAAGGGAATAAATGTCGTCCTAGATAGTTAATCATCATTCCTAAATAAATTATGTGAAGGTTAGATTTATAATAACAACCAATAACAAGAAAAACTTTCCATTATTTCTACTAATATAATACTGAAGAAGAAGAAGTAATATTGAAAGTAGGGATTATAAATTATTTTGAATCATACAATTTTATAATCACGCAAATTTATTGCAATTGATTTCGCACGACTAGTCATATGATCAAAAGAGTTGCAAATTAGAATATTGATCCTAAATAATAAAAGGGTATGGCTTTACTTTCTCAGAATGTAGATGATAAATCTTCATCAAATCAAGAAGTCGATTAGATGAATTTTTACTTCAAAGTTTGGAAAAAGGCTGGAACATAGAGAACATTTGAATGGCTACAAACTACAGATATTAACAATGTGTTGTAATAATTTAACTAAATATATATTTGCTGTCTAGGACAGACAGTGGTGCAACCACCAATTTGATTAATATTAACTATGTACCAATAAGTAGTAATACAAATAGTTAGTAATATTTATCCTATATGAATTAATGTTAGTTAATATTTAAAGTAAGAACGATGGGTGCTTTTCCTGTCGAAAAATCGGGCATAAGACCAATAAATGTCCCTAGAAAGTTATATTATAACCTAAATAGAAAAGTTTGTTAAGTTTACTAAAAACTAAAAGTCATTTACTAACCGTACCTTTTACAATAAACGGAGGATTTGAAAAAGTACTATCAAAGATAAAGAATCAAGTGTACTTATCGATAAATAAAGTTTGAATCAAAATTATTAACATCATTACAAAACCAAGTTTTGAGCTCACACGACCGTCACATGATCCAACAGTTACAAATTATTAAAATTTGATTTATATCCTACAATAGATAATAAAGTATATCGTTATTCTATCTCAGATTGTAGATATGATAATTAACTTCAGACCAATATGAATAATTAAGCTATGAAACTTCTGATTCGAAAAAAATCAGAAAAATAAAATTTCTCATACTTTGGATCGTTACCACCAGCCTAACCAATTTTTTTTCACAAATTGGAGGGTTGGCCGAGTGGTCTAAGGCGGCAGACTTAAGATCTGTTGGACGGTGTCCGCGCGAGTTCGAACCTCGCATCCTTCATTATCTTTTTTTTTTTCTTTTTAATTTTTTGAGATCTTAGCTTTATCAAGATCTGATAATCTTATTTTTATTAAAATGCATATATTACAAACAATTGTTAAAAGTACATAACGTAGTCTATTAAAGAGTGACATTTTAGAAATCAAACATGAGAATTATGGTATGGATAGGATTCAATGAATATCAACTGTTCCTAAGGTGATCCATTCATTAACATCTCCTTCACAAAGGACTAATTTTAAAACCCCACCATCCCAACCATAACCATTATCAATTAAATCAGGAGCATCACAATTCTCTATATTTAAATAATCCAGAATTCTTGTTTTGATAGTTCTCCATAATGCATTATCTATAGGGTAAATCTCACTATAAGCTAATGAAAGATGAGGATCGAATTCATGAGCCGACCATTCCGCTGCTTTATAAGCTGCTCTTTCTTGAACAAATTTCAAATCTACTTCTTTAGTAGCTGGATTTGGTTCATTATTAGATCTATTCTTTTTCAGTTTCTTTCGTTTAAGTATTCCATTACTATTTGTGGAATATAAATGAGGATTTATCTTTTGATTTTCTAATTCTATATCTTGAGGTAATATGACGAATAATTCTCGAATGATTCTTGCAAATGATATTAAATTAGGATCTCTCCCTACTTGGAAATAAAGTTTTTTGAAAAACATTCGTTGACTATTTATCCTTCCTAAAGTAACCAAATTAGAATGATTTTTAGGTAAAGAATGAATGGCAGCTGCACATGATGATAAGATTCTATCGACATCTTCTCTTGTTTGCTGAGGATCATCTAAATTGATATCCACATTGGTGGTGATCGTGATATGAGGATCAAATTTAGGAGCTTGACCGGGGAACAATGTATTTAATGAACTCATTAATGTAGTTAATTTATCATTAATGGTGGAATTTTGTTTGGGACATAACCATAATGCAACGCCTAATGCTACACATTGAGCTTAATTAGTATAATTAATTCGATTCAATTGGTTATTACTATAGGATACATACCCATGATCTTGTAATAAATAAAGTATATGAATGATTTAGTAAATGTTTAATGGTTAATTTTGAAGGTTTAAAGTACAATCGTTCGAGGTTTTTTGTGTTTGTTTTACTCTCACTGTTTAATTTTTCTCTATAAGAACCTATTTAAAAAAAATGTCCAATTGGAAAATGTAAGATGTTAATACTTTGAAGCAATGACATTGACACCTTCAATAGCATTATCATCTACAAACCAAGACACTTGAACCCCGGTAGAAATATCATTAACTAATTTTGCTGGTAATTGACTTTGTTTATTACCAAAGATTTCTTTTAAAATATATGCTTTCCCACTTCCTTCAGCAACAAAGGCAATAGCTGTCGCTGATTCTAACACAGGGAATGTGAATGTAATTCTTCTAGGAGGTTGTTTAGGAGAATCATCTATATAAGCAATCAATTTTGATCTTTCTTGTAAGAGTTGATGACCTGGAAATAATGAACATGTATGACCATCCGGACCGCAACCTAATAAAATTACATCAAATTTACCATCTTCGGGTAACTTTGATTGATATTGAAATGCGATTTCTAAATCTTTTTGTTTATCTATCCCATCTAATTGTCCTTCTTTACCTGTGATAAGACTTTCATTAATGGTGATGACTTTGGGTTTAGTAACCACTGAGGATGGTAAATTGTTTAATACTAATTCATTAAATAATCCATAATTGGAGTCAGGATGAGTTAATGGAACTAATCTTTCATCACTGAAATAGACTTCCCATTTATCCCATTTAACTTCAGATGCCACTTGTTTATTATCAATTAAGGCTGATTTCAAAACCTTACCCAATGAACCTCCTGATAAAGCAATCTTAAACGTTGGATTTGATTCTAAGGCAATATTCTGATGTTTGATGATATATTGCCCCACCGACTTGGCCACGTCAATTGATTCAGCATAGGAATAGACTTTTGCAGCAGCCATTTTGATATGATTTATTGATTATACTAATCTGTGTTAACAACAACAACAGTTACAACAAGAAGAGGAACAAGTTAATAAATCGTTGGAAGGACGTGCCGGATTGATGTTGAAAAAGTGACTAAATAAATCGTTACTAATTTTCATGGATGGATGCGAATCGAAATTTGTTCTATTTTTTTTTTTTTTTTTTTTTTTGGGCTTGACAGCAATTTTAAATTATTAATCGACTTATTTTTATTATTAATTGTACATTTCTATATACACATAAATATTTTAAAATCATTTGGTATCACTTATCTCTCTCTCTCTATTCAAGATGATGAGAATACTCAGCACTATCTTTGATTTTATTATTTAAAAACTTCTCCAATTTAGTGGCATTCTTATAATATGTAGTGGTCTCGCCATTATAAGCACGACAATTATTAAAGATAAGACGACAATCATACAAGAATTGATCAAACGAATCATATTTATCATTTTCAAGTTTTTGTTCCATGGTAGATAAATCCATAGGTTCTTTAATCACTTCATAATAATCTTGAACTTCTTCTTTATTAACTGGTACGGCAAATGGCCAGGCTGATGGATGATTGGCCATTTCAGCATATAATGAAGTCATGAAATTATAATGAGGCCCTCGTTTTGGTTTTTGAGCTAATTTATCCATTTCATCCAGCCATCCACTTTCACTTAATCCAGGGATATCCTTGGGATCTAATGTAACATTTTTATTCGTTTTAAATACTTGTAAACCTGGTCTTATAACATGCGATTTTGATCGTAATTTAATTTTCTTCTCTATTGCAGCCTTTTGTAATAATAATATTTTCCCCAGATCTAAATATCTTAATATTCCTGGTAACATTGAACATTGCATTAACGTACCACCTTCATAATCTTTAATATATCCCATCCAAACTGATTTATCAAGAGTGATTTCTTTAGTAAAACCTTGTTTTTTGAAATATCCAATAGCATAATTATCAGCATAAGTTAAGAAATATTTAATTGGTGATGTAGCTCGAACATAATCTTTTAAATGATTCATTAAATGAGCACCATAACCTCTAACTTGTTCGGTAGATGATATAGCACAAAACACAATTTCAGCAAATTCTCGATTCCCAAAGGGACGATAAGTAATACCTCCTACTACCGTTAATGGTTTACGTACTACTGCCATGGATAAATGTGATCTATCATATACTAATCTGGCAATATATTCACGAGGCATTTTGGGTAATTGTTTTTGGAAAATGTTTTTTAAACCAGTTAAAACCATGGAGCTTTCTCTGGTATTATCATTATTAACCACTCGAAATTCTATTTTACCTTCTCTTTCTTCTATTACTGAGGGTCTTTCTTTAAATGAATATATAATTCCATCAAAATTAAAGGTTGTTATTCGTTTTCGTTCTTCTTCTGCTTCATCATCACCTTCATCCTCCTCCTCCTCCTCCTCTTCTTCTTCTTCCTCTTCATCCTCATCATCTTTCACCTCTTTCTTGGTTCCATTCTTATGTTCATCATCATCTGATTCATCATTACTATCTTCATCTTCATCCTCCTCGTCCTCGTCCTCGTCCTTCACTTCAACTTTGACTTTCTTATTTAATGGAACATCATCATCATCCTCATCATCAGACTTTATGGTGGCTACCCGTTTCCTATCTACCATTACACGACCCTGTTACTATGCTATAATTGATTCTATATGATTCGATCTAATGAATCATTTGACTCTATTTCATATAAAGCTTTCCTCCACCTCTTGTTTACTGTGATTACACAAACAAAACCTTTTTCGGTGGATGATTTTTGGAAAATTTTACATGCAGGAAATCAAGTCACGTGAAAACTTTTAAAGTAAAAAAAAGAATTTTTTTTTTTTGGCATACGATGACTTTAATTTGATATAAAATATATATATATGATTTATAATTATTAAGCAAATTATTTATTTTCATAAAGTCAACTAAGGAATTAACTAACCATGTCGACTAACTACTCATATATGGACCAAGGTGCTGGTCCAGTTCAAGGTGTTGCAACTGTGTTGTGTTGTAACTGTGGTGTTCCAATGGATGGATCACAAGGGTTAGTAATGTGTCATGATTGTATAAAATTAACTGTTGATATAACAGAAGGTATACCTAGAGAGGCAAATGTATCATTTTGCAGAAATTGTGAACGTTTTCTTCAACCTCCTCAACAATGGATCAGAGCTGAATTAGAATCAAGAGAATTATTAGCATTATGTTTAAGAAGATTAAAAGGGTTAAATAAAGTAAGGTTGATTGATGCATCATTTATTTGGACTGAACCTCATTCTCGTCGTATTAGAGTGAAGTTAACCGTTCAAGGTGAAGCTCTTCAAAATACTATTGTTCAACAAACTTTTGAAGTTGAATATGTTGTCATTGCTATGCAATGTCCGGATTGTGCAAAATCTTATACTACAAATACATGGAGAGCAACGGTTCAAATCAGACAAAAAGTCCCTCATAAAAGAACTTTCTTATATTTAGAACAATTAATTTTAAAACATAATGCTCATGTCGATACTGTTTCTATTAAAGAATCCAAAGATGGGTTAGATTTCTTTTATGCACAAAAAAATCATGCTGCAAAAATGTTAGATTTCTTATCTGCTGTTGCTCCCATTAAAAATAAGAGATCAGAAGAATTAGTAAGTACTGATATTCATTCTGGTTCATCTCAATATAAATTCTCCTTCTCCGTTGAAATTGTTCCTATATGTCGTGATGATTTAGTTATTTTACCTAAAAAATTAGCTCATTCATTAGGGAATATTTCTCGAGTGGTATTATGTAATAAAGTTACTAATCTGAATCAATATTTGGATCCAAATACTTTACAAACTGCTGATTTACCTGCTTCTGTATATTGGAGAAATCCATTCCCATCATTAATCGATGCAACTCAATTAACTGAATTCATTGTATTGGATGTGGAACCAACTGGTGATATTAAAGGTAAATATGTTTTGGCTGATGTTGAAGTTAGTCGTGCTGTTGATTTAGGAGTTAATGATACCTCATTTTATGTCAGAACTCATTTAGGTGGTATTTTACACCCTGGTGATTCATGTTTAGGTTATTATTTAGTCAATTCCAATTTTAATTCTGATTTATGGGATTCATTGGATTCAGGTAATACTCCAGAAGTGGTATTAGTTAAGAAACATTATGCAAGAAAATCAAAGAAATCTAAGAATAGACAATGGAAATTAAAGAGAATGGCTAAAGAACATAGTGATATTGTGGCCAATGATGATTCAAGACAAGCAAGACAAGAACAAGAACGTGCTGAAAAGGATTATGAATTATTCTTACAAGAGTTAGAAGAAGATGAAGAATTAAGACAAACTATTAATATGTATAAAGCTGGTAATACTGCTCCTGCTGCTGCTGCTGCCACCACTGCCCCAGCAGGTCATGTTGAAGAAGAAGAAGTCGAAGAAGATGAAGATGCACCAGAAATTAATATTGATGACTTATTAGATGAATTAGATGAAATGACTTTAGAAGATCATCCAATGGAATAAGTCAGTCCACATAGCATTATTTAATTTAGTAAATGGGTTAAGGGTTTGTAAAATATATCAAGTAATTATATAGATCATAATAAAAATTATCCGAATTTCCTGCATACCTTTTTTTGTATCGCGCTTAAACACGGGCCAGAAATTTGATAACACAAATTATTCCTTCGTTTGATTAAGCAACCACATATCCAATAGTTAAGAAGAAGTATTCAAATATAGTAAAGAGGAAGAATGTTAGTTGACCCAGTTACACATACCACAGGACCAATCAAATATACTCCTGTAACATCATTCGTGGAATCGTCATTCTTTTCGAAATTGGCGGAGTTGAAATTAAACAAGTTTAAATTAGATGATAATACCCAACCACTAAAAGGATTCATTACTTCACCTCAGAATTTGAGTAGACATGATGATGTTTGTCGACTTAAGATAGATTTTGAAGCATTTGAAACATTTGAGGAAGAATCCAAACTGGAAGTTACACGTAACCTTGCCATTGATGGTGAGATTCTCAATCTTAATACTTTAGAAGCATTCAAGAGTATCAATAAATCACAACTCCTAGAACAATGGGCAAAAGTAATACATGATCAGATCATAACTACCCAACTGTTAAGTTTCCAACTGATCAATAAGTTTTTCATCTTGAGTTTTTCTGATTTAAAGAAATATAAATTTTATTACTGGATTGCCACCCCCACATTAAATTCTCCATGGCAAATTATTGATAAAGGAGAATCACTTGAAAGTAATGGTATCACTATTGATCCAAGTCAATTCCATAAACAATTGTTTTTCCAAATCATCGATAATACGGTTCAAGATGTGTCTAATATCACTTTACATGAAACTGGATCATTCGTTTTTGTGGATACTAGTTTAAGTCCATTACAAGTTCCATCCATCCATTTAAAGAATTACTTATATTTACTAGCTGTGAAAGGATTTAAACAAATAAATTTGGTAATCCATAGACCTCGCGGTATTGATTCCAATTTGAAACTTAAGCTTGATGATAGTTTTGATATTCATGCATTTCCAAAGTTTAATGGTTGGGAAAGAAATAATCAAGGTAAACTTATTCCAAAGATGGCTGATTTAGCTAATTTAATATCTCCCAATAGACTTGCGGAACAAGCAGTTGATCTTAATTTGAAACTAATGAAATGGCGAGTGGCTCCTACTTTGGATCTTGATATAATGAAAACTCAAAAAGTATTATTATTAGGGTCAGGAACCCTTGGAAGTTATGTATCACGAGCATTGTTGGCATGGGGATTTAATACTATCACATTGGTGGATAATGGTAGAGTATCATACTCTAATCCTGTAAGACAACCACTTTTCAAATTTGAAGATTGTTTCAGTGATGAAAATAAAGGAGAATGGAAAGCGGTACAAGCAGCTAAAGCATTGAAGGAAATCTATCCTGGAGTTGATTCAACTGGGATTAATTTGGAAGTTCCAATGATAGGACATCCTATAACTGATGAAGAAGTACAAAAGGGGAATTTCGATAAATTATCACAATTATTTGATGATCATGATATTATATTTTTATTAATGGATTCTCGAGAATCAAGATGGTTACCTACTGTATTAGGTCAAGCCAAGAATAAATTGGTTATCAATGCCGCTTTAGGATATGATAGTTATTTAGTGATAAGACATGGTAGTTCAAAACAAGATGCTAAGGATAGATTAGGATGTTATTATTGTAATGATGTTGTTGCTCCTACAGATAGTACAACTGATAGAACGTTAGATCAAATGTGTACTGTGACTAGACCTGGAGGTGCTTTAATGGCATCATCTTTAGCCGTAGAATTACTTGTTTCTATCTTACAACATCCAGACCATCAACTTGCTGCCAATGATTCAAGTTCTAAATTTGGATCGATTCCTCATCAAATAAGAGGTTATTTAAACAATTTCCAACAAAATAAATTCTTTGTTCCTAACTATAAACATTGCTCAGCATGTTCAGATTATGTTGTTGAAGCTTATTTGGCCGATGGTTGGGAATTTATAAAGAGATGTCTTAATGATGCTACATATCTTGAGGAAGTGAGTGGGTTAACAGAAGTTCAAAAGCAAGCTGAATTAGCAAGCGAAGCTTTATTAGAACAAATGGGATTTTCAGGTGAAGAAGACGATGAAGACGATGAGTGGTTACAATGAACCATGACTATATATATTTTGTACAATTTCGATATAACAGTAAGAAGAACTCTATAAAAGTCAATATATAAATTTTTTGTTGATACTCCAATAATTCTTTTGGGAGCGCGTTACAAATTAAAAAAAGGTAAACAAATCAAAACAACATATTTACAACAGAGGTGTTTCAAACAGTAGTATCATATATCATACACATCAAGATGGCCAGTTTCATATCATCACAGATAGGTGATATAGAACCAGATATTGTACGGCTCCTAGATAATCCTAAGTTAGTGGAGTCAACCATTCAAGGTGCTTTCAAAAGACCAACCAGAATAAGACCAGCTCTTCTTAGTGAAATAGATGATCTTAAGATACAACAAGGATTAATCATCAAGGATCTCTTCTTTGCTTTGTTTGGGTATGAAGGCTGTTATATCAGATATCACGATAACTTCAATTCATCTAGTGTTGATTCTAGGATCAATGGGGCTGATTTCAAAGTGGCTAAACATTTGGATATCAGTTTAAAGACCATAACGAAGAAATTATTAAGATTTGGGAAATATTATTCTGGTTTAATTGAATTCATTAATTATTATGATAAACCTCATTATGGACGTGTGGTTCAACGATTATGTTATGTCATTTCTCAATTAATTGGGGTTTATCAGCAATTAATCTTAGATTTAGAGAAGGAATTCAAATATAATGCTCATTTCAATTTAAATATCCTTGAACATACCATAAATCAAAGTGAAGTGGCGAATAAGATAACTCATTTATATGAAATAGTGAAACAAATCCATCAAATAACTCAAGAAAGACAAGCCCATCCAAGTCAGGATAATAATTTTGATGATTTCTTATCTAATGTGAAACGATCACTTCATGAACCTGGAATTATAGAGACATATAGTAATAGTGGAAGATCTGATGTTTGTAAAGGTGGTTCAGTACTTAAGTTAATACAAGAGAGGATTAATCTATTCAAAGGAGATTTCAACTCATTACAATTCTTAACTGAATTATTTGATAATATAAGTGAACATTATGTCAGTCTGCTTAATAAATGGTTAAGTGAAGGTATAATTGATGATCCATTTGATGAATTTTTAATCCGGGAGAAATCAGTTCCTGATTCGTTAGTGGAGATATTTAATGAAAAGAGTGAACATTATTGGAATGAATTATTCGTAATTAAATCAGATGGATTAATCCAACAATTTAATGGAGTTGAAATTCAATTAAAGTTATTGAATACGGGGAAATATCTTAATATCTTTAAACTTTGTACTGGGATAACTGATTTTGATTTATTAAATGAAAATTTATCACCTATAGTTAAAATTAATTCATCAGATCTTGAATTAAGAATCAATCAATTTTATAATCGAGCTAATAAATTATTAATGAAGTTAATATTTGAAGGATTTTATTTCAAGTCATTAGTGAAGGAATTCCAACTGATGTTTTTATTTGAAAATAGTTTTAATATTGATCAATTTATCGATAAATCATTTAATGAATTAAGACGAGATAGATATTCGATATCATTATCGAGAATACAAAAGAATTATCTTGAAACTCATCAATCCATAGCAAAATTTGAAATAATTGGAAAGAATTTACAATCAGAAACTTCTATAGTAGAATTATTACGTCAAAATCAAAATTTAACGGTATCATCATCTAATTTTTATGAAGTTACTAAAGAAATCATGAATGTACAAACATTTGATCCTGATAGTGTATTTCAAGATGAACCTGATTTACAACGATTTTTAAATCGAAGTTTAGAGAAAAGAAGAGCCCCAATTCAATCATCAGAATCAAATCGTGATCAATCAGGATATGATCAACATCATAGTGATACCTATACCATCTCAAGTATTGATTTAACAGTGACATTACCATTCCCATATAATTTGATTATAAGTCGAGAATTATCGTATCATTATGAATTAATGTTTAAATTACAAATCATTATTAAATTCATTGCTAAGTTTAATGATTTAACATGGAAAGAGATTAATAGTACCACCGTATGGCAGTTCCCTCGATTTTCAAACCCGATGAAGAAATGGATATTAAGATGTAGAATGTTGCATACTAGAATGAGAGATTTAATCAATGAAGTTCAAATATATTTGAATCATGATGTTATTGAATCTGGGTTTAATAAATTTAATGAGACATTGGATTTAACTGAGACTATATTATTAGACAGTGAATTAGGTTCATCGTCAACATCTTCATCTACAGCCACTACTACTACTACCACAACAAATGACAAGTTCAATTCGCTTAATAGATTTAACAATAGTAATGATATATTTGATTCCAAGATTTATAATAATCAAATCAATAAAGGACGAGCTATATCATCAGCTATTAAACCTCAATTACATCATCAACAAGACCAAGCAGATTTAATCAATGTGAGTAATCTCCGAAATAAATTAAGTGAATATTTGAATGGATTAATTAATGATGCCTTAATTACCAAACCAGATTTATTAAATGGTTTAAAACGATTATTTGATTTAATCATTCTGTATAATCATTTCTTAACTCGATTGAAAACGACGGTGATTTTATCAAATGAAGAATTATTCAGTCGTTTCTCTCGTGAGTATCCTGATAAATTTAATGATAAATCAATGGATAATGATCTGATAAATGAACGATTTGAATATTTGAATAATCGATTAAAGGATTATTTTGAAACGTTTGGAGATTCATTAACTGAATTCATTGTATCATTACGAGAATATGGTGAAAGTGAAAATAAGCTGATCTTAATCTTAACTGAAAGATTAGAAGTTTGCTTTCCTGAAAATTAATAGAATAACTAAGTAGAATTATTTTTAATATAATCTTTTTTTATTTTATTTATTTATTTATTTAGAAGTATATGTATACATGTATGTAAAAGGTAGACTTAAGTTGCATCAGCAGCGGCGGCAGCAGTAGTAGTATCATCATCAATTTGTTGTTCATTTAACTCTTTAATAATTTCATCTGTCTTTTCATCACTATAAATTTGGAATCCACCATCAGCTGTAACACTTGCTAATTGAGCATTTTTACAATCCAATTTTTCTTCCATAACTTGTTTTAAAATCTTTAAAGCTAATAATTCAGCTTCTTTTAAAGTTAAAGATTTATGATATTCATTTTGTAATTCAGTTTGAGCTCCTTCAGAACCAGATCCAATGGCTTTAGCATCATATCTATAAAACGTACCCGATGGTTCAGCATGATATAATTGAGGACCTTTATCCTTATCTATACCAGCGATTAAAAGAGCCACACCAAATGGTCTACTCATTAATCTTTTTTCACCTCCAGCTCCTTCACCAAATCGAAGGGCTAAATCACATACTGATTGAGTTAAACTTTCAACTTGAATTTCTTCATCATAATATAAATTATGAGTCAAACTTGAAACTCTAGCATGATCAATCATAGATCTGGCATCAGCAGTTAATCCACTCATGGCACATCCGATATGTTTATCAATTTCAACGATTTTTTCAATGGAGGAATGTTCTAATAATGATGATGTAACTCTTTTTTCAACTCCTAATATCACTCCTTCACTAGTACTGATCCCAATGGCAGTAGATCCTAATTTAATGGCTTCTAATGAATATTCAACTTGGAATAATCTACCTTCTGGTGAGAATGTACTTACACCTCTATCATATTCACTTCTTGTTAAAAACATTATTAGATATGATTATGTATGTGGATATGTATTGTATGGTTGGCTTTCGTAGGGAGTGGTTCACAGATATGGTTAATTACTCTTTGTGGATGTGGATGGGTAATGTACTCTGGTTATGCAATTGAATGGTAAGTAAGTTGAATTGATTGATTGATGATGAATAATAGTATTATAAGATTGTTTGGAGATAATTGGTGAACTTTTTCGCCTTTTGGTGGCAACACCAATTTTTTCTCTCTCTCGTAAGTTTTGTGTAATTATTTTGATATAAGCAAACTACAACTACAATAAATACAATTTAATGCTAATTATTTGTTTTATTTAACAAACATACTTAAAAATTATCTAAGGGAGAATAGTTTTGACATGGGAGTGGAAATTAAAGTTGATTAACTTATGATGGCGGAGCTAATTGAACGATTTTTTCAGCAGCAGGATCTAAATCTTCAAAAGCAAATAATTTTAAACCTGATTGTTCAATTAATTCTTTAGCTTGTTCCATATTTGTACCTTGTAATCTAACCACAACTGGAATTTCTAATTTAAATTTATTAGTAGCAGCAATTAAACCTTTAGCAACATAATCACATCTAACAATACCACCAAAGATATTAACGAAAATACCATTAACTTTTTTATCAGTTAAAATTAATTCAAAAGCTTTTTCAATAGTTTCTGGAGTAGCAGTACCACCACAATCTAAGAAATTAGCTGGTTCACCACCATATAATTTAATAATATCCATAGTAGCCATGGCTAAACCAGCACCATTAACAATATTGGCAATATTACCATCTAATTTAATGAAATTTAATCCATATTTAGATGCTTCAACTTCTTGAGCATCTTCTTGAGTTGGATCTCTCCAACTCCAAACTTCTTCTTGTCTAAATGAAGCATTATCATCAAAACCTAATTTAGCATCCATAGCTAAAACTTTATGATCTGGAGTTTCACTTAATGGATTAATTTCAACTTGAGTACAATCTTTTTCTTCAAAAATTTTATATAAATTTTGAATTGTTTTAGCAGCTTCTGGAATAGCAGCATCAGTATAACCTAAAACTGATGCAACAGCAATAGCTTGTTCATCAGTAACACCAGTATCTATATCAACATAAAAAGTTTTAATAGCATCAGGATCTTTTTCAGCCACCCCTTCAATATCCATACCACCTTGAGCAGATGCAACAATAACTGGTTTTTGACTAGTTCTATCATTTAAAATAGCAACATAAGCTTCAGTTCTAGCATCTCTTCTTTCAACAATATAAACAGCAGTAACTTCTTTACCAGCAGCACCAGTTTGTTTAGTAATAATTTTATGATTTAACATTTGAGCAGCTAAATCTTTAGCTTCTTCAGGAGTACTAATTAATTTAACACCACCTTGTAAACCAGAATCAAAATGACCTTTACCACGACCACCAGTTAAAGCTTGAGCTTTAATGACTAATTCATTAGTACCTAAAGCTTTAGCAGCTTCATAAGCACCTTCTGGAGTAGTAGCAGCAGAACCATTTGGAACACCAATACCATAAGATTTTAAAATGGCAGCAGAACGGTATTCATGTAAAGATAAAAATCTTTTTTGTTGAGCAACAGCCTAGAGAGAAATGAGTTAGTTAGTATATAGAGATTGAATAGTTATAGATGAATGTATTACCATTATGAATTGATGAATTGATGATAATTGACAAGTAATTTTAATTAAGGGGGTTGAACTAAAATGTTTAAAGTTAGGCACGATTTGACGCTCTTAATTTTTTTTTCTTCGGTTTGTTGATGATTAGCGGATGGCAGCCAAATCAATGGATTGATTTGTAGGGATAATGGGATGAATTGGATGATGATAAAGGGATGGAGACGATGGTATGAGTGATGGTAGGTGAGATGTAATTGATATATTCTAGTGGTTGATTGATTGATTGATTGGATAAGTTACACATTAGATTAACTGGGATTGACGGATTTGATTCGATAAGATGGCTGTCAAAGTGAAAGCTCAGGGAGGAGTTGAGGGGAAAACCATTGCAATTCAATAAACAGTAATACATAGGATAGATTGGATACATACTCTTGAAGTACGGGCAATGGATCTTGACAACATGATGGTTGACTATAAATACAATAATAGATATTGAATTGAACTAAGAATAAGAATAAAAGAAAGTGGTTAAATAATTTTTAAATTTAAAACTGAATGAAAATTACAAACCACAACGATTTCCCATCCTCAACAAAATTAAAAATAACAAAAAAAATATTAGACACAAATAGTGAGTACGGTACTCACTATTTTTACCGTTCCTTAGCCTATTTTAGTGTAACAGTGCGAATATTTACTGAGAGAACAAAGTCGTGTCTAAATGATCAAGAATGTTAAAAAAAGGTTCCTCGGACACGATTGCACCGGGTCAAACAGTTAACTTTTTTAACAACTGAAAGGTTACAGGCAGGAAGAAAGTAAAGAAGTAGTGAGTGAGTGGGCCCACCCACTCACTAGCATTCCACCTCATATAATATTAGACGACACTTGAGGCTAATGGGTGGGAGGAACTAACTGATATGGACTCCGAAACCAATCAACTTACGATGATATGATATGATATGATATGATACTATCATCTCTATTATTCTTCATATCATTGGTAGTTCGTTCTACCTATACACTATTTTTATGGTGGTGATGGAAAAACGTTTTTTTTTCTTTTTTTGCAACGACATTTAAATTTAATTTCCCTCACGAGAATTGCCGGGGCCATTAAGAATCAAGGAGGGGATTAAATTCTTTTCCCGATTATCGCAACTTCTCCATTTATTCTATATAGAGAAAAATCAATCACGTGTGGTGTCAATCACGTGATCTAATTTTATCGTTTTTTTGTGTAGATCAATTTAAAACTACACACTACTACAGAATCATACGTATAACATCAATTACAATATAAAATCTTATTTATCATTGATACCATGAATCAAATACCACAAGATCAACAAGAACGAAAAGAACTGGTCGATCAATTAATTCATGATTTGAAAACTGGAGATTTCACAACCTCTGAATTAGAAGAATTGTTAAGCTTAGTAGAGAAAAGGTTAACTTATTTGGATGGCAGAGAGTCGAATCAAGACGACACAAATGAACAGCACATAAATGATGACGGTGGAAATGAAACGGGTAACCAAAATGGTAAATCAACTACTGATGCTAATCAATATTTTGCCCCTGGTGGGAGCCAATTAAATAGATTGGCTAATATAGTTAAGCATGCGGCTAAAGAACAGAGAAAATGTATTAAAACACAGAGAAGATTTGCTAAAGAACAGAGAAGGCTTGCTAAGGAACAGAGAAAATTCGCTAAGGAAACAAGTAAGAAGATAGCAAAGTTGAACCTGATAGTCATTGAATTGTCTAATATAATCAAGAAAGATGCGGTGCATGTAAGATTAGTTGTTTGATAAGTGGGCCTAGTTGATAAATAGTAATGATAATGATCAAGTTTTGTCATAGCGGCTATTAAATTGTTGAATGCTGGTCATATAACATGATACATAGTTTTAACTTCTTTGTCACATTTACAATACAACTATTAAATATACTTTCTTATTAGAATTGGTTAATAATTCTCAAATATATCGTACCGTATGATTTTTGTCAATAGATAGTCTATAGTGATAATCAATTTGATTTTGAATTCAACTCCATTTCGAATAGTCTCTTGAATCATCTAATTTTCTATGGCTGCGGTAACTTGCAGTAAGTATTCATACTTTTTTTTTTCGCATCTCATCTGTTTGGTAGCATCTCTTTCAAAAGTATGAAAAAAAAAATAGTAAATAAATAAATAAAAAAATTATTGTGATAGTTCAAAATTTATAATCTTTGTTTGAAGAACACCTAATAAGGACTATAAATATACTTCATCATGTCATATAAATCAAAGAAATCAAAAGTGATAAGGCCGAAGTATCATGATGATGAAGAAAATGATAGTGATGATGAATTATCCCGAACTTTAAGAAGAGATGAGGAGGCCGATAATGATTCTGATGATGAATTTTCAACTATTTCATTTGGTGCTTTGAATTCTGCTCAAAAGAAGTTACTTGAAGAAGAAAAGAAACTGAAATCCGAAAAGAAAAGTGGTAGTAGTAATAAAAAGTCAAGAGATCAACCTGTAAGGGAATTCATTGATAATGAAGAAGATAGTGAAGCCAGTGAGAATGATAGCGATGATAGTGATGATGATGGTCCACCAACTGAAAGATACATAAGAGGAAATAAAAACCATTCATCGAAGATCAGTAAAAGAAGCAAACATGCTCCAAGCGAATCATCATCAAAGAGACCTGTGAGCAAAATAAGAGAAATTCCCGGTTTAAAGACTCAAAGAGATAGTACATTATATACTGATGTTAGATTTGATGCCGCATATGGTAAAGCTGATTTTCATAAGATTAGAAAAGATTATGCTTTCTTAGATGAATATAGACAAAAGGAAATCAAAGAAATGGAATCTATAGTTAAAGATAAGAAATCATCATCATTTTTATCATATAATGAATTGGAAGAAATTAAATTAAGATTACAATCATTAAAATCAAGAGTTGAAACCATGAAGAATCGTGATTTAGATACTAAGATCTTGAAAGATTATAAGAAGGAACAAATTGATCAATTCAAAACTGGGGAGAAGAATACTCCATTCTTTTTAAAGAGATCTGATAAACGTAAATTATTACAAAAGGCAAGATTTGATAGAATGAAATCGGGTCAAAGAGAAAAAGTAATGGAAAGAAAGAGAAAGAAGAGATTAGGTAAAGAATTTAGACAATTAGAATTTAATCGTCCATCTCATAGTTAAGTATACATGTACATAATAATAAATGTGTAAATTAATAATATTGAGGTTTACTATAGACAAGATAAAAGATGTAGTACAAAACAAAAGTAATAGAGAATGAGTTGGATAAAATAAAGTAAGATAAAAAAAAGGATATATAAATGAAAGCCAAAATAGATTAATTAAAGTTAATAGTATTAAATAAAATTGTATTACAGTTGAGTAGTAGTAGTAGTGATAATAAAAAAAAAAGTATTGTCAAAATGAATCTAATAAATCAATGAAATGATAAGGAATAACAATAGTACAACGGTATAACTAAACGGAAGTAGTAGATGCTGAAGATGATGAAGTTGAAGTTGAAGGAGTAGCAGCAGAATTTTCATGAGCAATCCAATCTTCCCAAGATCCAACGTAATTACCTCTCTTTTTATAACCAAAAGTACATGCTAATTCTTCAGCGGCAGTAGATCTAACACCACCTAAACAATAAAATACTAATTCTTTATCTTGACTTGGTTTATCAAAGCCAAAATTATCTTGGAATTCATCAACACTTAAATCTAATGCACCTGGTGATGATTTGAATGGAATATTTAAAGCCCCTGGAATATGACCATCATTAAATTCAAATGGTTCTCTAACATCAATTAAAACACTATCTTTGAAAGTTTCAGGATTGGTGGCAATGGCTTTGATATCTTCATATTGATAAAGTTTGGCACTTGGATCGTTGGTGATGATACTATAGAATCTAAGGTTGTTAGATAATAATGATGATGATTTATTAACGGCACGATAAGCAGATGATACTGATGATAATGAGGTAGATGAGGAGGGGAAGAAAAATGATCTGGTGGTGGAAGATGATAAGTTTCTTATGAGTAAACTTTTGTAATTGCTTGAAGCAGCTTGTTTAAAACTTCTTAATCCAATAGACATCGTTATTATAGGATATGTATGAAATGATATGTATGAAATGATATGATATATGAATGTATATGTGTGTGGATGGTATGTTATGTTTTTTTTTTTGATTGCGATAGACGATTAATTAGGATCTATAAGGACGATTTCTATGAACTTACCGAGGAGGGTATCGAATGGGATGAAAGTCTATTGAACAGAAGGAAGTATGATCAATTGAATCAATGAGGATAAACTATCAATAATCACTAACAGTAGCGAGTGGCTTGATGGTTTCCAATTTAACTCGATTCGAAAATTAAAAAATTACAACGAGCAGACAATTTTTCTTTTTTTTTGGGAATTTGCCACGCCCGGGTGATTTTTTTAAAATTAGGGAGACAAGGGAAGTTAAAGTGTAGGGTAGGAAGGAGATCATAACGATAGAGATAATTTAAAAAATGGTTGCGATAAATGTGATGTGGTTCAATTTTATTTGCATCCACCAGTTACAAATATCAATGTAGTATGATATAGGTATGATTTTTTTTAACGTGTTGAAACCCCTTTTATTATTAGACTCTAATCTAAACCTATTTATATATATAAAAATAAAATAATCTAACATGATGTGATCTAAAAGTGTATAAGTGTAAAAAGAAAATAAGAAAAGTAAATAAACAATTTAAACATAAAGTAAAATTGAATAAAGAGAAGAAAAATAAGTAAGTAAATAAGTAAATAAAATGCAATTAAAAATTCGTGACATCATCAATTAGTGTTGAAACTTGATAAATATCTTTAATTTTCCTTTTTAACATTCAATCAAGAACAGTAAAAAAGTGAAAAGATGAAATAGTTAACAAAAGAGAAGGAAGGAAAGGAAAGGAAAGGAAAGAAGAAAGGAAATAGAAGACAGAAGAAAACAAAAACCAATTAGAATAATCCATCGATTTCACCATCTTCATTAACTTCAACATTCATAAATCCACAATGAGTTGGTAAACCTGGAATGGTTTGGATTTCAGCAGCTAAAGCATATAAATATCCTGCACCAATAGAAGCTCTAACATCTCTGATTGGGAATTTGAATCCAGTTGGAACCCCCTTTAAGTTAGCATCATGAGATAAAGAATATTGAGTCTTAGCAATACAAATTGGTAAATTACCAAACCCTTGCTTGGTATATAAATCAATCTTCTTTTGAGCTTCTGGTAAAAATTCAACTTCTCCAGCACCATACATTTCCTTAGCAATAGTAGCAATTTTTTCTTCAACTGATGGAGCAGTATCATATAAGAATTTGAAATCTTTATCAATAGAGTTAGCAGCAGAAATAACACCTTCAGCTAATTCAACAGCACCTTTACCACCTTCTTCCCAATGGTTAGAAACAATAGCATCAACGGCACCAGCATTCAAAGCAGCTTCTCTAATGACTTCATGTTCTTTATCACTATCAGAAGACATCTTGTTAATAGCAACAACAACTGGTAAACCATAAGATTTAGCATTAGCAATATGTTTAGCTAAATTAGAACATCCAACTCTTAATAAGTCAACATTTTCTTCAGTATAAGCAGCAGCTAATGGAGCACCAGCTTTAACTTCTGGACCACCACCATGAACTTTCAAAGCTCTAACAGTAGCAACAATAACAATTACATCTGGAACTAAACCGGAAGATCTACATTTAATATTAATAAATCTTTCTCCACCCATGGTGAAATCAAAACCAGCTTCAGTAACAACATAACCTTCTTGTTCTTGTCTTTCTTCTGGACTAAGATCAGCTGAAGTACCAGCTAATTTTAAAGCCATCTTATCAGCTAAGATAGATGAAGCTCCAATAGAAATATTAGCAAATGGACCAGCATGAACGAAAACTGGAGTACCTTCTAAAGTTTGCATAATATTTGGTTTAATAGCATCCTTTAATAAAGCAGTTAAAGCACCAGCACAACCAATATCTTCAGCAGTGATTGGAACACCAGCTTTAGATGAAGCAACAACCATCTTACCTAATCTTTCTCTCATATCTTCTAAAGAGTTAGCTAAAGCAAGAATAGCCATACATTCAGAAGCAACAGAAATATCGAAACCAGTTTGTCTGGTGAATCCTTTTTCAGTTGGAGCTTCACCAATAGTAATACCTCTTAAGAATCTATCATTACAATCAACAACTCTTCTCCAAGTAATAGTTTCTGGATCAATATCTAATCTGGCAAAATTAGTAATTTCTTCTGGAGTTAATTCATTAGGATCAGTTTTAGTAATACCTAATTTATGTAATCTTCTTAACATTGAAGAAGTGAAAGTTCTAACCCCTTTCTTGGCTGGTACTAATCTTTTATATAATGGACCATCCTTTTGAGTACTTTCATGGAAGATTCTAGTATCAATAGCAGCAGCCAATAAGTTATTAGCCATGGTAATAGCATGAATATCACCAGTAACGTGCATATTGAACTCATCCATAGGAATAACTTGAGAGTAACCACCACCAGCAGCACCACCTTTAATACCGAAAGTTGGACCCATAGATGGTTGTCTAACATTGGCAAAAACATTCTTATGTAAATGAGCACCTAAGGCTTGAGCTAAACCAACAGTGGTGGTTGATTTACCTTCACCTAATGGAGTTGGAGTAATACCGGTAACTAAGACATATTTACCATTAACTTTATTGTCTAATCTTTTTAATAAATCTAAAGAAACTTTAGCTTTATAGAAACCAAATGGTTCTAATTCACTATCTAAAATACCAGCTTCTTCAGCAACTTGATTAATTCTTTTTGGTTGTTGAGCTCTTGAAATTTCAAAATCAGATGGAACTGGTTTTAATAAGTTTAATCTTAAAGGATTAGTGAATTTTGGAGTTTCATTATTTTTAGAATAATGTTTTTTAGAAGCTAAGATCACATTTTCTAATAAAGTAGCAACAGTCATTGGACCAACACCACCTGGAACTGGAGTAATTAAAGCAGCTTTATGACTAGCTGATTCAAATTCAACATCACCAACCATTCTTGAACCTGATTTCTTGGTGGCATCTGGAATGAAGTTAGTACCGACATCAATGACAACAGCACCTTCCTTTAACCATTCACCTTTAACGAATTGAGGTTGACCGATAGCAGCAACGACAATATCAGCATGACCAAGATAAGCTTGGATTTGATTTAAAGGAGTTTTAGAATGTAAGACAGTAACAGTAGCATTAGCTTTGGTTAATAAATTGGCAATTGGTTTACCAACAATATCAGATCTACCTAAGATAACGGCATTAGCACCTTCAATAGGAACATTTGAAACATTTAATAAATGAATAATACCCTTTGGAGTACAAGGTAAGAAATTTGGTTGACCACCTTTTTTAGATAATTCACCAACATTGAAAGGACCAAACCCATCAACATCTTTAGAAGCCAAGACAGCTGAAGTAACTTTAGCTTCATCTAAATGAGCTGGTAAAGGTAATTGAACTAAAATACCATCAACATTTAATGAATCATTTAATTTTTGAATTTCATTCAAGATTTCAAATTCAGTGGTTGAATCAGGTAAGTTGATAATCTTACAATCGATATTAGCTTCTTCAGCAGCCTTTAACTTCATTCTAACATAAGTGGAAGAATCTGGTCTTTCACCAACTTGAATAATAGTTAAACTTGGTTTAAAATCAGGATGTTTAGCTTGAATTTGATTGATTTCATCATGAATCGTGGTACGAAGTTGTAAAGCGATAGCCTTACCATCGATCAATTGAGCAACCATCTTTACTTATCTAGAAATAAAGAGAGTGTATGGATAAGTAAGTAAGTAAGAAAGAAACAAGAAGAAAAAGATCAAAATAAGAATGAAAAATTTGAAAATCAAAAGCTTCGAAGATTTTATTTATTTTAGATTTAACGACGTGTGTTGCGTTATAGTGGTTTTGGTTCTGTGATATTTTTTTTTCATTATCAGTAAAAATTTTTTTTTATTTTAACTGCTGCCGTGACAAAAGATAGAGCTTAAAAAGTTTTTGACTCTGATTTATTTATTTTTATGACGTTAAAATTTTGCATTTATTTTAATGAGGTTTAAGTCATAAATGGGTAGAGGTTGCAGATAGATGAGCAGTAAACTGTCAAATGTTTGCGATGACATAGCATATTTTGTGGCTAGGGTGTTTGTTATGTAATTATTTCTTATTTGTTGTTGTTTTGTTCATTGGGGAGTTTAGCTAACAAGTTCCCATAAAACACGCTACAAACCTTCACTAAAGATTCTATCATGACGTACATTACTGACTTTTATTACTATATACACGTGAAAAACATAAGGTTAATGAGCCCTTTTTGGCTTACGGTGTGTGTAATGCCGATCATTATTTAGTATCTTCACTGGATTTAAGGATACTCTTCTCTAATCGACTAAATGTATTTGCACCATCTATGGGAACATTCTCAAATCCATTAAATTTCCCATTTAATGATTTTAAAACATAACCAGGCCCCATATTTACTATAGCTGGGATCTCTTGCTCACGGAAGAAATTTATACTTTTAACCCATTGAACTGGTTGATAATTTACGTTTAACGTGTTTTGAATAGTTGATTTACTATCAAATGAAGGAAGACCAGTTAAATTTGAAATTATTGGTGTTTGTTGATCATTTATGGCGAATTGATTCACATATGCTTCTAATTCTTCTGTTATTGATTTCAATCGATAATTATGAAATGGTATTTTAACATCCAATTTAACACTTTTCACATTAAGATTAGCTACTTTAGTGATAAATAAATTTATTTCCTCACTAATCCCAGAACATACAATTTGTTCAGGACTATTTATATTGGCCAATACATTACAATCTTGAGCTAATTGTAAAACTTGATCAAATAGTTTCTTATCAAATGTGAAGGCGTGCATTCCATAATCATTATCTTCGATAATGTTTTCCATTAATTGACCTCTTTTCCTAACAATTTTCAATATAGATGATAAATCAAATATACGCGATAATAATAAAGCAGTATACTCTCCTAATGAATGTCCTAACAAATATTTCGAGTTCTGAGCTAAATCAACTCCATACTCATGTTTGATCAATTCATGGATTATGAAAGTGGTGAATAAGATAGCTGGTTGAGCATTTGACGTCTTTAAAATCCATTGTTCAGTAATTGAATTTTTATCTTTGTTAAACAAATGATGACTGAAATTTTCTTGTAATGATTCATCTAATACATCTAAATAGGGTTGGATTACAGGTTTGAAGTTTTCAAATGGAACTAAATACCCATACCGGATGATTCCTTGTCCCGGACATGCTAAAGCATATGAGTTCTTAAGTACATATTTCCCAATCATTAGATACTGAGAGTCATATTTTGCTGGTGGAGAGAGTATTTTTCAGTATTTTCATTTGTTATTTTTTTTTTGGCGTAATTGCGTATTTGTGGAGCAGTAATGGTAAGGCATTAACACTATTGATCTGTTGATAATTAACGCGTTCAAAGACAACAGTAGGGGTTAAGAGTTATGAAAAAGTATAGTTTTATTCAATTATGAAGTATTAAGTTCATTTGTGATTGTCAGAAGATCGAATATATCGTTTCTAGTACCTATATAGTTAGTTTGCAACCGTTTTGTATTACTTGACAAAATATTGTTGTCAGTACAAAATGGTAAATTCATGGAACTAAATATGCGTGTCTCTGTATAACTATAATAAAGTGACTAACTAAACAATTAGCCAAATACGTCAACGTAAAAAATTCAAAGTCCTTATCGATTTAGCAGATGATTTTATTATTTTTTTGGGTTACCGAGTTTTTCTGCTAAGAATCCCGTGAGCCGGTAAGTTAAGCTAACCTCACTGCAACCTTATCGTACCATTATCCCCTAACTAATATATAATATATATACACAATTACTACCTTGCTTAACAGTTAATTCGATATCAAAGTATACCTTCACCTCAGCCTAGAGTAAATCTTTATTGTTAAATTTAATCACTGTCGCCCAGTACAATTTATCATTAAAGTTATGAGTATTATCAGAGTCACTCCTTACCGAAGTAGGAGGCGGTAGAATTAAAAAAAAATCAAGAAAAAAAAAATTAACTACTCTCTCACTCCCTAATCACTACAACAAATTACAGAAGGAAAATGAAAACCATCCCATCAGGGATAAGCAAAAATGAAGAAGGAAACAAAAAATGCTCCCTGCCCCGCCCGCTGGCCTTAAAGGGAAAAGAAAAAAAAAAGAAAAAAAATTGTAAGGGAACGGGAGCGATGGGGAAAGAAATAACAACAAACAAAAAAAAACCCGCAAACAAAATCCTAAACGGTAAAAGTATCACCTTTTTTTTCTCGTGCCACGCCAAACTTTCAAGCTAATTTTTGATAAAATTACAATTCCCCCCTAAATTTTAAAATTTAACGATAATTTGTCGACAACCAGCGTCTTTCCCACAAATTTTGAATTTTTCCCTTAAATTTTCTTTTTTTTAACTACACTTCTCTTTTTTTGTTGTGATTTTTATTTTTGTTTTGGCTTGACCTATTTTCTCTGATCTATCATTAATTGTTCAATCAATCTTTGGCCAATCGTCTCCTACTACTTATTGAGTCATCCTACGCCATTCAACTCCATTCAATTGATCAGTTACCATTAGTGTTTGTTTAATTGTTTGTCTCTATATCATACTGCAAATTTTTTGTTGTTGTTTTATTTACTGATAGTTTTGTTTGTACTCCACGCGAAACCATATCATCCTACCTACACCCACAATACCAATTCATACCATCACTAGTCTCTTCTTAGACCAACTAATCATATCATTCCTAAATTTCCCATAATGTCTGATGTTAAAGCTGCCAAGGACTCCTTAGTCGCATCTTTATTTGAATTATCAAAAGCTGCTCAAGATGCCGCTGCTGCAACTGTCAACTTTTATAAAGTATCTCATGAAGGTGCTCCTAATGTTGCATCCTTATCAAGTTTAAGTGAAACTTTAAAGACGGTTGCTAGTGCTGTTAAAGGTTCTACTGCCAATGGTTCTACCAAAGCTTCTGCTCCTGCCGCCACACCAGCCACTACTAAGACTGCTCCAGCTGCTACTACTACTACTGCTCCAGCTGCTGCTACTGCTGCTGCTACCACCTCAACTGTTGCTAAAACAGAAGATGAAACCAAAACTAAAAAGAAAAAGGTTGAAAGAGATCCAAATGCTCCAAAGAAACCTTTGACTATTTATTTCGCCTTTTTATTCCATAATCGTGAAAGAATTAAGGAAGAATTTGAAAAGAAAGGTTTAGATCCTTTATCAGTTAATGATATGAATGAATTAATAAAAGAAAAATGGAATAATATCACTTCTGAAGAAAAAGCTAAATGGCAAAAGAAATATGCCAATGAATTAAAAGAATATCAAAAGGAAAAGGAAAAGTATAAAGCTACTTTAGCTGCCGGTGGTATTCCACCACCAAGAAAAAATGAACCAACTGTTCATTCTGCTCCTGTTGATGATGAACCAGAATCAACTGAAGAATCTCCAAAGAAGAAAGAAAAGAAGAGAAAGTCTGAAAAGTTAGAAAAATCTAAAGATAAAAAAGTTAAGAAATAAATAATTTAATTCAATCAATCAAAGTTAGCTCTTTTTTTTTTTTTTTTCAAATCATATTCTACTAATTAACTATTTTATTGCTATTTTCGATTCTTGGATTGTTTTATTTATACTTTGTCTATATCCTTCCCCTTCTTTGTCTTATTGGTTCAAGTTTCAGTTTTTGTTGATCAAATTTTAATCATGTTTGTATTGTATTACTAAATTTTTCGTATATCTTACTTATATAAATCTTGTCAACCCTTTTTTACAGATTGGGTTAATTTAATTAATTCTTTACATATTATAAATCTTTTATTATCCTGTGTAATGTACAAATTATTTTCTTATATTTATAAAATACATGTATAATCCATAACTAAAACTAATAACCCTTCTTCTTTTGTTTAGTTATATGAGCAGTTAAAACTTTTTGTCTATCTCTTAATGATAATTTTTGTTTACCTTGAACTGCTTTTTTATGAATCATCATAACGAAATTCTTCTTTCTAGCCTTTTCTCTATTAGTAGTAGAATGAGGTTGATCTCTTTGACCTTTTCTTGAACCGAAACTACGATCTTCTTTACCTTCTTTAGCAAGTGCAATCTTTTCTTCTCTTAATTGTTTATACTTAATTTTACCAACTAAAGTAGTAGCATCCACCAGTTCTTCATTAGTTTGTGTTACACCCATTAATTTTTCAACACCGGCTTCAGTACGTAATTCTTCTAATTTAGCAAAATCAGCTGGAGTTAAGATTCTACTGGTTAACAATTCTGTCATGGCTTGTTCAGCGGCTTTCTTTTCTTGTTCTTTAGCTTCAACGGCAGCAGCCATCTTAGATTTTTTAGTTGGTCTTGCCTTTTCTTCTTCATCTTGTTCTTCATCTGAAGATAAGTCCAAATCAGAAACTTCGTTTTCATCGTCAGCTTCAGCTTCAGCGGGAGTTTCTTCATTATTTTCTTCTTCATCTTCTTTATCAGATTCATCATCAGAAATATCATACTCTTTGTCAGAATCAACAGTGACCCAGTCACCTTCAATATCACTGGCATCATCTTCTTCATCAACTTCCCAATTAGCATCGTCATCAGCACCTTCTTCATTACCTAAACCTTGTTCTTTTCTCCATTTGGCTAATAATTCAATACCAGGAATATTTCTAACAGTAGTACCTTCAACCCCGAATTGTGGTAAACCTCTCTTGTCACCCAGTTGAATTCCAATACTGGCGGTCTTACCTCTATCTTTTCTTTGTAACATTTCTGGAGCGACTTCTCTATATAATGTAATCAATGATCTTGCAGCCATCATAACTGCCTTTGATTTAGATTTATTATATTCAGTTAAATCTTGTAATAAATCTTTATCAATCGATAATGGAGCTCTGGTTAAGATTTCTCTAATGGTATTTATACCAGCTGAAGCAACTTCAGCAGCGACACCATCACTGACGAATTCATTAGCAAGTTTTCTGATTATTGGATTGATAGATTCTGGTGGAACTAAATCATGAGAAGCTTGAGCTGAAGCAGCCATAATTTGAGTAACATTTCTTTGTTTTGGAGTTAAATATTTTAAGAAATATGTGTAAATACCTAAAACAATTAATTTATGGGTACCGATTAATCTGGAAATTAAATTCATAAACATAATCTTTTGATCTAAATCAAATTTATTATTTTGTTTACTAGTAAGATGATTAGTAAATATTTGTTCAGCAAATCCTTGAGGATCTCTTAATAAATGAATAGCAGAGAAATTCAAATAAGTGGTGATATTCTTTGCATTATTCTTCTTTTTAACAGCTTTAACAGCAAGATCTAACTTCTTAACTTTCTTTTTAGATTTCTTACTCACTTGCATTTTATGTTTTAAAGCTCCCATATCAAATCCTTCTTCATCAGATGAATTATCATCGAAATTATCTTCTCTTTCTTTATCAGCCCCTAAGAAGAATTTAGCTCCTGCAACAGCAACTTTAACATCAGGATGAACCGCAGCTTGACTCATTAATTCGACAGCTCTAGAATCATCCCAAATACCTCTTCTCCATAATTCTCTAGTTACTTTAGTAGCCCATAACCCTTGATTATCTCTTTGTTCCAATAAATTAAACAACAAAGCTTGAGTTGATCTATTTATTTTTTGATTTTTAGCTCCTGTATTGACTGATTTTAAAAGTGATATTAATGTACTATAAATTTGATGTCTTAAAGCTTTAACATGTTGACCAGTAGTGGAATTACTAGCACTATAAGCAGTTAACAATGGGAAAAGGGTTTGAATCAATGATTCAGCAGTAATGATATCTTTATTTCTTAACATGGTTAAACATTGAATAATCTTTTCTCTTAAATCTGGTGATAAATCACGATGATTATTTAATAAAATCTCTTTCAAATCATTAGGGAAAGTAGCAGTTTCTTTAGGATAACATGCACATACAGCAGACATAAACCCAATTAACTCACCGAATTCAGTACCTTTATCTGAACTACTTGGATTCATTAAGAATATATCTCTTAAGGATTGATAGTGACTATATTGTTGTAAAAATTCATCATGATAAACATCAGGATCACGACGAACCAAGTTCTGTAAAAGAATGATGTTGGTAGGCAACAATGCTGCTCTTCTTCTCTTTGCCATTATATGATTTTCTTCCTTGAAGGTGTAATATTACTAACTATTTGAAGTTGGAGTTCCAGCAATAGAATCAAAGTATAATCCTTTTTAAAGAAAGAAGTTTTTTTTTTGTAGAACTCATCTCCATACAAAAATAATTTTCTTACACAAAAGAGAAATCACAAACAGAAAAATTTAGTGAGAGATAAAATTACTGCAAAAAAAACACAATCGTAACGTTTAACACTTGTATATTATAAAATAAAGTTATATATATCCAATAAAAATAGTCTAATGTCAACATCCTACCTGTATTAACTCCTAACCTGGACCCATGAATAGCATAAATGTATATAAGTGATTGAACTTATATACCAGAACGAGGAAACAATTCCCCAAGAGTAGCATAATTGATCTTTTTGGAGAACGATTTCTTTGATAACATCAATTTAGCACTATCAGCAGCAGTTAAAGGTTCACCTGTCTTTTCATCTACTTCAATACTAGCCAAAGCACTACTGACACCTAAATCATTAAGAACTGGGGCAGCATTGGTCTTTTGTTTCTTCTTACGATTGGCACCAGATGTATTACCAGTTAATTCATCAGCTTCTTCTTTCAATCTCTTTCTCTCTTGTTCAATAATAAAATCATGATTCAAACCTGTCCATATTCTTTCCTTCATGGCTTTTTCTTTATCAGTCAATTCACTTTCGAGAACTATTTCATCATCATCATCTTCCGTTAATTCAACACTTGAACTAACTTTAGATAACACATCAGATGTAGTGGGTAATTTATGTAAATTTCTTGGTTTATCCACATCAACTTTTGATTTTTCTTTATCTTTTGGATCAGTCAATTCAGATGGGTTTTGATATACTGATCCTTTTAATTGATCCTTCTTTCTATTTAAAATTCTTTCCAATTCTTGAGCTATAATATCTTCTGAAACTTCATAATCTCTTAAGATAGTTCTTAACAACATATCTTTATCACCTTCTTCTTTAATATGAAGATTATCTCTCAGTAATTTAGCTCTATTAACTGATTTGATTTCACTTTGTAATTCTTTAGCTGATAAAGTATTAGTTCCATCTTCATCTGGTTTAATATCTGGGATTGGTGCAGGATTCTCTTCCAACATGGTTTTTAATTCTTCATCACTGGCTCTTAATTTATTTTCTTGGGCAAATTTTTGTAATCTTTCCAATCTAGCTTCCTTTTCTTTAACTTGTTGAATCAATTTATGTTCATTTCTTCTATTCTTATCAAATGATGGAGGATTAGCTTGTTCAGTTATTTCAGTTTCTCTAAAATCTTGTACCGTTAAATCACCTGATTTAGTCTTTTTAAATTCATTTAATCTTCTTTGTAATGTTTCTTGTCCAACATGAGAGACCGCTACAATTTCAGCATGAGATCTTCTGAAATTATTCATTCTAGCAGCTAATAATACACAAGCACCTGCTATACCAGCTGGTCTTCTACCTTCCCTTATCCAATCATCAGACATTCTATGAGATAATTTAACCGCATCTTTAACCACTTTAGTTAATTGATCTTTAAAATCTAATTTTTCAGCAAAATGTTGAATAAATAAAGATGGATCAGAAATGGGTAATTGTGTGATATTTAAAGCTTTAACCATTTTAAGGAATGTAGCTCCCAATGAATATACTGATATTTGTAATCTTGAACTAAAATCAATTAACATATGATGGGTCTTTTCTTTTCTACAGGCCACGTATAAACAAGCTGCCAAAACATTTTGTGATCTTCTACCTTGAACGAAATTTTGAGTTAAAGCTAATTTAAACCAAGCACCAGCTGATTCTGCTATATAATCAGGAATCTTTAAAGCTGCCGCTATTCTTCTTATTTTTCTCTTACCATTCAAGATGGTTTGTTCTCTACTTTCCATCGCATTTTGTCTATTACCACCATATGAAGCTCTAGCTTGATCATGACCAACCATAGCCCCTTGAACCATAGCTGCCCCTGACGAAGATTCACCGAATTGAACTTCACTAACAATTGGATTTTCAACTTGAACTGTTCCACATCTTGAACATGAGATATCTCCTGCAGCAGTATACCTATCAACAATCAAATTTGCATGCTTACAGTTACTGCATACCTGTTGACGTTGGACCTTAACACTCATGATGTCTGATAGTAAATGTCCTTAAAATATATCAAATAGTCTTTTCGTCTAATTAGTTATAGATATAATTATTGTTTTGATTTATGTAAATAGAAACTTATAGACAGAAAGAAAAAGAAAAAAAGAAATTAAATTTAAAAAAATATTTGAAATCATCGCACGACCTTTTTCTAATCAATTAGTTGCAACAACGTTTATGTCATATATTATTAATGTAATTACAATATTTGTGTCTTGAATGAACTTGAAATAGTTGTTGTAGGTTCGGCCAATATAACCTTTTTAAAACAATTAAAAAGTGGTGATGATTCCAGTCATCTAGTTTTTATTAGGGCTTAGTTACCAAAATTGATTTGACTTTTTTGCGGAGTGAGAGAATTGATAAATTGTAAACCACAGTTCTTCCATCTTCTTCACAACAAGATCAGACTTAGATTACAACAACTAAACAACATGACTGATGTTAATGATATAGAGGATCAAATAAGAATATATAGACCATCTTTGGGTCCATCTTCACCAACCAATCAAGATGTTCAACAAACCATCCGTCACATCAAACACAATGACAATGACAATGATAATGATACCACGTATAGATCAGTAAGTGAACAACTGGCATTGTTAGATAGCTTCCCATATAGTCTTGTAATGAAAGTATCTAGTTCAGAACCTAGAGATGTGTTACAACTGGAAAGAACTTGTTTAACTTTTATACGGTTCTCAACTTCCTTATTTTTTACTGCTTTAGGGATAATTGTCAATTTTAAATTTAATTCAAGTGGTCAACCTATCGATGATGATAATCCTAGGGGTAGATTTAATGCTTCACTTTATTCCACAATAGTATCTTATGTATTGTTATTACTTTCATTGGCAACTTTGGTTTTAAGTGGTATTAATTATTTTATAACGGTTCAGAGATATGCGAATCATAAGATAAATACATATAGTTTCAATAACTTTTCAACAGTGATAGTTATGACATGTGTGATTATAACATTAATAGCAATTAGTATAAGTTTAATCGTCGAAGGGTATTTAGAACAACGAGAATAGAATATAAACTCACCTATATACAACATAATACATAAACATTCATTTCATTTATTTCTTCTTATTATGACTTGGTTTTTCAACTTTATCACCTTTCTTTTGTCTATTAATCTTTCTCTTAGTACCGAAATTTTGTTTATCCATTTCCATTAATGATTCTCTCTTAGCAACACTGGATGCAGTTAAGGAATCCTTTATAACCTTATCATCATCAATTTCTTCAATTAAAGTCATCTCAGTATTGATTCTTTCTTCAATGGATTTTATTCTATCAATATCCTTTTCAGCAATAATTGATATAGATGTACCTTTTCTACCTGCTCTTGCAGTTCTACCAACTCTATGAATGAAATCATCTGGATCAGCAGGAATATCAAAATTTATCACTAATTCCACTGTCGGTATATCCAACCCTCTTGAAGCAACATCAGTTGCAATTAATACTTTAGCTGCACCAGCTTTGAAACGATGTAAACTATTGGTTCTTTCTGATTGAGGCATTTCTGAATGTAATGATGCAACTCTAAAATCTAATTTTCTTAACATTCTTCTTAATACTTCTGCTTGATAAGTTCTATTCACAAATATAATTGAAGTAGAATCTTTAAATGATGGTAAACTTAATATACTGTTTAAATAAGCTTCTTTGACATATGACGGTACGAATACATATTTTAATGCTAATGTGGATGGAATGGCTATATTATCAATATTTTCAACTTCATGAATGAAAACTGGTGGTTTATTTTTTGGGGTAGGTTTATCCTTTAATGCTCTAACTGCATCTGTAACAGTAGCAGTGAATAAAAGAGTTTGTCTTGCATCTGAACTTGGTAATGCTGAAAAACATCTTTCTAAATCACTACCAAAACTATTACTTAATAATCTATCAGCTTCATCCAATACTAAATATTTGATTCTTTTTAATCCTTCAATAGTTTCTTCACCACTATTCAAAATATGATCTGCTAATCTTCCGGGAGTAGCTATGACGAAATGAGGTTTGTTCTTTAAATTAATAGCTTGTTGAACAAAATCTTCACCACCCACAATAACACTAACTCTAATATTCATAGCACTACCTAAAGCAGCAAATTGTTCAGCAATTTGTAAAGCCAATTCACGAGTTGGAGTTAATACCAATCCAAAGATTCCAAATGGATCTTCAGACCACTGTGATAACATTGGTAAACCAAATGCTATAGTTTTACCACTACCAGTTTTAGCTCCACCAATACAATCATGACCCTTTAAGATCTTAGGTATACAAGCTGATTGAATAGCAGTTGGGTTGTTTATTTTCATGGCGGCTAATGCCTCATCTAACCATTTCGCAACTCCTAATGCTTGAAATGACATGATTTCTTATATATTTATATGGTCGATAGTTAGTTAATTGATTGATCAGTACTGAGATGATCATCTTAGACTAAAATAATTTTTTTACCGCTAGAATTTTTTTTATTTTTTTTTTTTGACATTTTCACGTGAGAAGATTTTAAAGTGAAAAATAAAAAAAATTGAATATCAAGAAGCAATTGTTAAAGTGGATTATACACTCTAGTGCAGATATAAGACAAATATGATTGTAATAAGGCCCATAGTGTGGCGACAGGTACGGTCAGGGATATCGATAAGAAAATTCACCCAATCAATAAGGTATACCTATCAAAATGAAGAATCAAATATAACCACTCAAGAAGAGATTCCAATGTATCCTACTTCTAATCATGAGATCTTAACTGATATTTCAACGGAAGGGTTGCCGGAAGAATACATTAAAAATCCAAGAAATAAAGACAGTTTTATCAAATACTACGATAATGGTATTGATAATTGGGGATACAATTCACGAATTCTTTCATTAGCCGATTATTTTGAAGGTAATTCTCATCATGTTCATCATGTATTCTATAATAATCAACAACAATCACTTATGACTCGTGGGAAACGAGTAGAAAATCGTACTTTCATAGATTTGAAACTTATAAGATGTACCACTGGTAAAGGAGGTAATGGTGCTATTACATTTTTCCGTGATGCTAATCGACCATTAGGACCACCTGATGGTGGTGATGGAGGAGATGGGGGATCTATATATTTCACAGTGGTTGATAAAAATATGAGTTCATTACATAGATTAAAAAGGACCTATGAAGCTGGGAATGGTGTTAATGGGAAAGGGTCACAATTAGATGGTAAGAGAGGTGATGATATAATCATTGAAATTCCAGTGGGGACAACTATAAAATGGATACCTGATCCATTAACCTTAAGGAAATATCTTAGTAGAAGAGAAGGAGAAAAATTAGATGATATAAAATTGAAAATTCAATGTGATCAATTTAATAATATTCAATTAATTAGAGAAACAAATTGGACTGTGGGTGAAGGATGGAGTTTTACAGAAGGAGATCGAGAATTTTATGAAACTCGAGATTATTTTAATGAATTGAATGAAAAAGTGAAAGAAAATGATCATGAAATCATTCAAGAAGAATTAAAATTCGATACATTTCCAATATTAGGCTTAGATTTAAGTAAACCAACTTCCAAACCTGAATTATTATTAAAAGGTGGTAAAGGTGGTATGGGGAATATGCATTTTTTAACTAAAGATATTCGTAATCCAAACTTTAGTAAAAAGGGGAGAGAAGGTATAACATCATTTTTTTTACTTGAATTAAAATTAATTGCTGATTTAGGATTAGTTGGATTACCTAATGCAGGAAAATCAACTTTATTAAGATCAATTTCAAAGGCCAGACCAAGAGTTGGACATTGGGAATTCACTACTTTACAACCAACTGTAGGAACAATATTCACAACTATTGATGAAGATCCATTCACAGTAGCTGATATTCCTGGTATTATTAAAGGAGCATCTGAAAATAAAGGTATGGGATTAGATTTCTTAAGACATATTGAAAGATGTGCTGGATTAGTATTTGTTATATCATTAGAATCGAAAAATCCAATTATAGATTTAGAAGTATTATTGAATGAAGTGGGTGAGAAACGTATGAAGGATAAGAAGATTTTAATTGTGGCTACCAAAGCTGATTTAAATGAAGATGGTGAGAATTATATGAATTTAAAACAATATATTGAACCGAAAGGATGGAAGATTGTACCAGTTTGTGCAATGAAGGGTCAAAATGTTGAAACTTGTATTAAATTGATGAGTGAAGTAGCTTATCTGGGTAAGAAATAAGAGGCTTGTACATTATTTCGTGTCTGTAAATAGTTAAACCGCAAATAAAAGTGTAAATAATATAAAGGATACTGCCAATGGTCTACAGAATACATTTACGAAAAGATCTAACAATTGGAGATGGAAAGTTGCGAAAAATAATTGAAAGGATTTAATAGAAACAACATACAAATAAGCAAATGAAATGAAACAAAAAGAGTAAAACCCAAGACGTAAAACTGATCATAATAATAATAATAATAATAATCATTTAGCGAAATATACGAGATAAATATTTATCATGGAGGTATATCTTATTAACCACAACTAATTCCACAAAGTGAAAGAGTGAGGAAGGGTCGGCGACGATCCCGCTGATAAGCGAGACACAGCGTAAATTTCTGGCCCACTAAAAAATGGAAAAATTTATTATTTAGTGCACGTAAAAGTTCCCAGGCGGTAACCACTAATATATTTTATGCAGAAGTATAACTCATTAGAGGAGGCGGGCGTGTGGTAAAATTAATAAAGTGGAAGAGGATGGTTTTGGAGAGTAGTAAACGAACTATAATACAATTGGTTCAACTGTTTACAGTTTGGATTAGTTTGGTAAGAAGATTGGAATAATACTGGCCTCGTAAATCGAGAGAGGAAGTCGAAGATAAAATCAATAGTAAACTTCCCATTGTCAGAGATAAAGTTTATTTGATAAAAGTAAAGACAAACAAGTAAAAGTTCAGGCGACCTTCAAAATGTTTCAAAACCCTGAGCCTCTGAATTAAATTAAGTTAAGTTCAAGAATTTAAAAATTTAAATTTGTTGAATTATTTTATAAAATTTGACTCAGGCGCTCTGTCTCTTTATATGTTACTGAATAGTTGTTACTGCCAGAGTCTTGAATTTTGAATTTTGAATTTTTTCTCGAGGAAATTTTACCACAAAAATAAAAATAAGCATAATTCAAAAAAAAAAAATCAAAAAATCAAAAAAGCAGAATTTACGTGAAGAATGGCAGGAGGAGGCAAATTACAGAAAAATAAATTATAAAATATAAAATATAAAATTAAGTATTTTAAGGTGTTAAGAAAAAGATATGAATTTAATTTTACTTAATTATACTTATTTGTTATCTATAATGGAAACTGAGAGAGAACGCATTCATACAGTGAATTACATTTGTTCTTATTCTTTAATGGTTTGTTCCATATTTAAAATGAAACTTTTACAAGAAACAAGTAGCGATATCAGTAAATTATACAAAAATAATTTAAAATTGAATTACGAATTCAAAAAAAAATATTTACCAATTATTTTAATTAGGAATTTTTCCGAATGAAAAAGTGTATAACTATAAGAGACAACGTAAACATATAAAATTAATTCACCACAACAAGTTAATTTAGCTGACATCAAATACGAAAGCGAGTTAAGAATTGACACTAATCAGCGAGCATGTAGAGAAAAAGTTTGACGATGTCTTCAATGTATGATGGAAATATGACTTGGAGGCAGGCAGGCAGGCACCCATTATACTCCTACATTCACAAAATAGAGATAATTTAAGTATATATATATATAAAAGATTCACTTGCATATCCATTTTGGCGGGCAACTACCACAGAATAAGAAAGGAGAGGACCAAATAAAAAGGTCATAAATGGAAAGTAAAATCGAAGTGTAAGTAATGTGTGATTTATTTTTTGACAAGAGTTAAGTTTAAGAGAGAAATCTTAAATTGAAAAATGAATTGTTTTTTTATTTTATTTTATTTTATTTTATTTTATTTTGTTTTATTTATTATTTTTTTTTGTCGTAGTTTAGTTCTGTCGTCTCCCCTAAAAATCTCAGTAAGTATGTAAGTTACGCTAGATCTATTATGTTGGGGTTTCATTAGTGTGAGAGAGACATCAAATTACCCTAAGCTATTATTATAATATATCTGTTAACTAAAAAGTTGATATAGAAGCTAATAGACAAGCGATGACCCTTATTATTATTGTTTATCATACATACATAGAATCAGTCTAAGTTTAATTGATATCCTGTTTTACTCTGCCCTTGAAACTGAGCTAAAATGGAAGTTTGAATTTTGCGATGAGAGAATAACGCTGTACATTAAGGAAATCAAAAATACCATAAAAAAAAAAAAGGGAATTAAAAATTAAAAATTGAGTCAAAAAAATAAAAAAAATTCAAAAATGGAAGTATAAAAGAAAAGTGGGGGATTAGAAAAATATAGATCTATACTTACTTTATCATTTTTAGCCTCAAAGTGTATGAACCTTAAATGGGTTATAAAATATATAATATAATAGAATATAATAATAATCGTAGTATAGTAGAGTATAGAAAAGAAAAGTATACAGGCGGTTCACCCTTTATCTAAATATTCTATTCTAACCCTTTTTTATGGTTTGATTATTAGATCAAGACTCACTTGAAGTTAAAAAACAATTGAGTTACACATCCTCTCACATCACATTTTTCTTTTTAGTGGTAATAATTTATTTCTGTTCCCCTTGTGGCCAAGTAATCGTTTCAACCGTTGTCCCAAGAAAACCTAAGTATATATACTACATAAATTTTTGACAAATTGACCTGAAATTGATTTCAGTTTAAACAACTTTAAACCTGAAATTGATCTGTCTCAAAGGCAGTGAATAAATCTTCTTGTTAAGCGCATCAATTTTTTTTTTATTTATTTATTTTCTTTCTTTCACTGTTTGATTTATATGCACACCGAACAATCTAAGGAACAAATTTTTTTTTTTTTTGGTTGATTTGATTTGATTTCTGTTCTCAGTAACATAAGCAGATTTTGACTTTCATTGTCTTTAAGGGGAATCATGAAACTGACAATTATTTTAACCTTTGTATACGATTTTTTTCCCCTTTCATTCTTATCACATTTTAGACTAATACACCATGTATGTACTGAGTAACTTCTTTACTTATTGTGGGAAGTAGACGATATTGTAGATGCCTATACTTGACGTTAACGAATTCTGTTTGTATCATTTAGCGGCGGAAAAATGACTTTTTGGTTAAGTGAACTATTTGTCTATACAACCCATAAAAATAATAAAACCAACAAAGAATGTAGATATCAACCTTAAACAATTATTATATGGTAGGATATATACATTTTATTATTTTGATAGGGAGAATGTGTGAGTTAATGTCTTTACAACTAACAATCAAGATTCTCATCTTACATTATATCTAATGCTTTCAATTAATGTAGAACTACGTTCCCGTATTCTGTTATCGTTATCTACAACCTCATCATTAAATTAATGACGAGTAGTTATAAATAGAATTTTAAATTGATTTGATACCAAGAAATTTGGCATGATTTAGATTAATGAAGTGAGGGTGATTGAATGCATTGAAAGTAAGAATTTCGGTATTCCATTTAATGAATGAGTTTGTTATCAATCAAAATAACGATAACCTTTGATTGCTTGACAATATTATTTTTGACATGGATCAAGACCACTACTACAAATTATGTATATTTCCATATAATACCCCTTTGTCTAATGCTTCTGATGCGTATTGTCTAGTTTTATTATTATTACTATTACTATTATTATTATTATTATTATTATTATGTGTGTGTATATATTATTGTAAAATGATAAAATGTACTACATCCCCAAAACAGATATTTATTCTCATAGTAGCAGTTTAGAGGATGAGAGGTACATATTTCATAAATCCTCATCGGCACATTATACATACACGTCGAGATTATCATTAACCGCGAAACGGGTACAATATGCAAAATCGATTACTATGGATTATTAGACGGGATTTCGGCCTTCTATCCTGATCCCCCAACCCCCATATATATTAGTTTAATCTCCTATATAATGATGATTTCATAATGATCTAATAATTCAAATTAAAGTTGCATGCTTCTGATGTTTCATTACAGTAAAAGGGAATGGAATAATTCATACCTTTGATCGCCAAACCCCGATCCACAAACGACAGCAAAATACAAAAAAAAAAATTGTTTATGATAAATATGTACTGTATACAAATTCAAACTTTCTTTTTCTCTTTTTTTTTTTTTTTTTTTATTTTAGGTTGGTAAATTTTTCCTTAAGGGGGTAAAAAACCAAAAGGGGCGCCATAATGAAAAAGCTCAAAGCTCAAGAGAAAAGGATTTACTGAGATAGATAGAGAGGGGGGTTGCGGGAAAAAAGCCTGCATACAGATCGATTCTCTTTTCTTATACTATTAGAGGGTATCCTGCATATACTTTGCATTAGGCAATTAACAAAACAAAATGAATATTTTTTACCAAAGAACAATGGATTCCATTCAGGGAATAAATAATATCTGCACGAAATAAAAATCTTTTTTTTATTTTTGTTTTTTTTTTAAAGGCGGACTATGTATTTTTTTTTTTTGGTTGATTTGCTTTTTTTTATTTTTCGGTGCTTGAGGAATCCTCTTTTAAACAGATTGTGAATTGTAAATATTGTAATTGCATTTGTATTTAATGAACAAAGTTCCCACAATTTCTAGCGATCAAGTTTATATGATGGACGACTATAGACTATAAGTTCTAGTTATTTGAATTCTATTTTTATTTTGTTTACTATTTTCATCCATTCATTCACTTTCATTACCCAGAAGATAGTTTTTACATCCATTTTAATCTATGATCATATAGAATAATTTTTTACTACACAATGTTAGATATGGAAAGTAAACAGTATACTCATCCTTATATGAATACCACCATCATGTCAAACACTGATAATAAATCTAAGGTTGTGCTTAGTACAGCCACAAGTACCAGTATGAGTACTACCCGTTCATCATCTTCATCAAGTAATTCATCATCTCAATCTTCACAATTTTGTGAATTATTATTACCAACCCCTTCAACTCCATTTTATTATTCAACTTCATTACCTAATAATATTCATGAATCTAATAAAACAGATTATTTCTCCATTATAAAACCAAAATTATCAATTCTGACTGTGGGATCAATTTCTTCATCATCATCTCCAACTCATTTACTTAATCAAGATCAAATCCAATTAAATTCTCCTCCTTTGGATTATAATAGTAGTAGTTCAAGTAATAGTCCTATGGCTGTTCAAGAAGAAGATGAAGAAGATCAAGATGATTTAGAAGAAGATGAAATCGATGAAGAAACAACCTTTGATGATCAAAGTATCTATCTGGATTCAATCCTTTTAAACAAAAAGTTTTTTCAACAACATCAACATATTCCTGCATTTCAATTACCAGTTGAACCTCAACAAATCATATCTCCAGTTGAAGAAGATGATGATGATAATGAAGGTCGTGAACAAGCATTATCATCCATGAAACAAATCAAACCAATTCAACCTCGTATTAATCATAATCCATTTAAATTCCTTATTATTGATGATAATTTAATTAATATTAAAATCTTAGAAAAGATTCTTCATAGATTATATCCAAACGCTACTATAAAGAAATTACAAGATTCTACCAAGGCCATGTCATTCCTTAACAATCATTCATTTGATATGTTATTTCTTGATATTGAAATGCCTCAAGTTTCTGGTATTGAAATAGCTTCACGTTTAAGAAGAACTCATCATCAACATCATCATCATAGTACGAAAGATTTCAAAAATATGGGAATCATAGCGGTTACTACTCGTAGTTTACCAATGGATGTTAAATTATATAAGGATATTGGAGTTGATTTTACCTTTTCCAAACCTTTAGGATTTAATTATGATTATTTCTCAAGTAAAATCGATGAAATCATTGATGTTAGAGGTAGCAATTAAATTACAGGCTACTTCTTTTGGTTTTGATTCTGTTCACATGTATTATTAGTATTATTATTATTATTAATTGTTGTCACAACTAATATAGGTTATGTTTTATGTCATTTTTATTTATTAGGTTCTAGTTTGTTAGCAACGTTGTTATGGTAAACCGGTTTATGTTTGCCAAAAGCTTGTTATTATTTTTATTTATTTAATTTAATGGGTATTATTTTTTATAGAGTAGTTTGTTTTCATTATTGCTTTCCTTTCGAATTCTGTATAGTATAGTCTTTAATATAACGTCTTTAATGTTAAGAAAGTTTTAAGTTAAGCTAAATTAAAAATAAATTACCTATCCATTGCTATCGCATGAAGGTTTGAAATTCTTATCTCATAATATTTTCTTGGTGATTGCTAAATTGCTGTTAAATGAAATGAGATGAACAAACACCAATACCGCAAAACATCGAATTGTTTTCGGTGGGCCGGTTTTTTTCTGTTTGAACTGGGCCGAGAAACGATTTAGAAAAATAAATTTTAGTGAGGGCACTTTGGACACTTAGCGACAGGGAGATACAAAAATTTGTTAGGGAAAAGAATTGTTAGACTGGTCGCAAAATGCAAAGCCTAACAAAGGACAGAGGGAAAAATTAAATATGACCTGACTTTTTTCGTCCCTGATACTCACTAGTCAGACCATTAATCTCATTGTTCAAATGTCGATGGATTCACTAAAATTCCTCGTAGTCAGATACAAGCAAGATGAACGCAACTCTTTTTTCTTGTATATTAAACTGACTACTAAGTTAACGTTAATAAGACTTTTTGAAGAAACAATACGAAAATTAAACATTAAATGATCATCGCGAGACAAGAACAATGAACTGCTTTAATATGTTACGAGATAATCGCCTTTTACATTCCTTTGTGTTTGACAACATCATGTCATATCATTATTAAAGACTACCGATGAAGGTTGAACCCCTCTTTCTTTAGTCGCCATTAAGCGGAATGGGAACTATTAAGTTGAAAGCCCACAAAGACCCCGAAATACTTTAAAAAAAATAAAAAAAAATAAAAATAAAAATAGAATTAAAGAAAGTTGCATAAAAAAGAAACGAATTTTGACATTAAACTAGTTTATACCAACGGGGTTTGATCTTTTATGCAACTACAGGGTCTTTATCCATCAGGATCCTCCAAAACCTTACTTTCAATTTAATAAAGTTTTTCTATTTTTATTTATTTTATTGAAGTTATCGATCATTGCATGCATCCGTTATTCCAATGTAATATAAAGCACTATCGGCAATGCAAGTTGTACATCCTTGATGATGTACTTTGTGTTTCAGCCTTTTGGACTTATATCCCCAAATTAGTAAAACTTTAATTAAATTATCGCAGCGCCATATACACAAACTTACAGTATCCAGATGGTTTACATTTCATGTTTTGACATATTTTAGATTTTACGGCAACAAAAGAAATTTTTCCGTCGCCAATCTAAGGTCTAAATCCTAAAAGTAAGTAAATCCTAATCGTCCCGATTACCGGCACCGTTCTAACCTAATGTACAACTGATGGTAGTCTACTTTTGAGTTGTTTTTGCCATTAATATTGTGATCCATTTGTCCTACACGCCGTTTGAATTAAAGGGGTACTTACCCCACACGAAAAGGTTTTGAAGACGTTAATTAGTTTTTTAGTAAATACATCTAGATGTAGAAATAAATGAAAATGAGCTGATATCTGTTTCAACTGTTTCATGTGCAAGCTATTGTTGAATTTGAAACCAGATCATGGTTTTAATGTCAAATGCAAAGTCTTCATTCTAAGGTGAATCGTTATTGAAGCTTATTCTGGTGGTAGCGTCAGCTTTCACGGTTTTAGCCATTTCCACAAATCCACTTTTTTTTCTTGTCTCAATTTTTTTACAGCCAGATTTTACTGTTGCCAAATACAACCATCCCAAACCATACCATCAATTTAGGTATTCATCAAGATGAATCAATCAAGTAAGTAGTAGAAGTAGGTTACTAAGGGTCAGACAATGTTGTTACTAACTTTAAAATGTAAGCCAATCCTTATAAACGTCCTAAATTTAATACACCTTTTAAACCAGTGATGCAATCTCATTCATCAAGTTCATCAAGTTCATCAGTTAAAACTATAAATACAAATACAACACCGTCATCTACATCATCATTGTTAAGAGGGAGTGATATTGATAGATCGCCTTCTGAATCATCTTCAAGATCAATAATAATCCCCAGTTCACCACTTTCATTAAAGAATAAAAGTTCACGAGTTATTTATTCTAAAGAAGAGAGAGAATTGGATTTACAAATAAGGAATCAAATGAAAGAGAAAGATACATTAGTTAAAGCTGTTAGATATATCAAACAAGAGGAAGATAAGAAATTAACTGATTTGATTAATAAATGGAGAGATGTTTGCTTTAAAAGTTCAAACTATTTGTACAATCATTATTCCATCGAAATGATGAAATATGGTGGTAAGAGGCAGTTCAGACAGAATTATTTAGACAGGCAACTGAAGTTGAACCAGCCTTATGATGAACTAGATCATGATAATCATAATGATGACGACGATGAAGAAGATACTGGCAATGATGGTAAAAGAAAGAGACAAAGCTATCAAGATTATGATGAATACGAACCAACAAAGTATGACGAACACCCAATCAAAGATGATTATGTTGACGATGACGAGTTTACTATGAAAGATCTATACTATTATTTAAATAAGGATCATAAATTAGTATATGAAAGTTAAGGTTAGGTGCCTCACTAAAAGGGAAAAAAAACCGTTGAGTATTTCCCAATCGAGAAAATTAATTGATTACATATCACACAAACAAAATCCTCCACCACTGTTTTCATAGAAGAGATGAAAAAAAAATAATAAAAGTAAAACCAAAAATAGCGGCGCTACTAGTTGTGATATATCACATTTCTTCATATTCCATCATCAATAATCATCAAACAAGATCCCATCACCGATTTTAACGTGTTATATCATCGTAACTTATTTTCACCGTTTTCTCCCCTATTGTGTTTCATAACTTTCAACACTTTATTCACGTAATCTTTATGATTAAGCTATAGTTCTACTTTGTTTTCTTGTTTTGATAGATTTCCATTAGAAATATTAGAGTATTTCCAAAATGCCTCAAGTTATAAAAGAGGGTGGTATACTACAAGAGTTCGATAAGACGAAATTATTAGCTTTCCTTCAAGGATTATCATTTAATCTCGCAGCCAAATATTTGGAACTCGAAGAGATTGTTGATAAAATCGAACATAGCATACCTAGTGAAATTCAATTAAATGAGTTGTTCGAACTAGTTGGTGAAAGTTTAGCTGCCAAAGTTATCTATCATCCTGATTATTCATTAATAGCTGGAAGAGTTATCGCTTATAAATTACACAAACAGATCAATAGAAGCTTTAGTGATAATATCAAATATTTAAGAAGTCAACAAAGATACCCTTCATTAAAACGTCAAAATCGTGAATATTCATTAATCGCAAAACCAGTATACGATTTCATAATTGAAAATGAATCATTTTTAAACTCCTTAGTGGAACCATCTCGAGATTATGATTTAAGTTATTTTGGCCTTAAAACTTTAGAAAAATCATACTTATTAAATGTTAGTGGTCGCGTTTCCGAAACTCCTCAATTCATGTTTTTGAGAGTTGCCATTGGAATACATCAAGATAACCTCGATAATATCGTTGAAACTTATGAATTAATGTCTAATAAGTATTTTATCCATGCTTCTCCCACATTATTTAATGCTGGTACCGATTATAATTATTTATCATCATGTTTCCTTTTAGCAATGGAAGATGATTCCATTGATGGTATTTATAAAACTTTACATAAATCAGCATTGATTTCAAAGGCTTCAGGTGGTATTGGTTTACATGTTCACAATATTCGTGCCAGTGGTGCTGTGATCGGTAGTACCAACGGAACTTCAAGTGGTTTAGTACCTATGTTGAAAGTGTTCAATGATACTGCAAGATATGTTGATCAAGGTGGAAATAAAAGACCAGGTGCTTTTGCGATTTATCTCGAGCCTTGGCATAGTGATATTTTTGATGTCTTAGATTTAAGAAAGAATCACGGTAAAGAAGAAATGAGAGCCCGTGATTTATTTTATGGATTATGGATACCTGATTTGTTCATGAAGAGAGTTAAAGAAGATTTAGATTGGTCATTATTTTCACCAGATGAAGCTCCCGGATTAGCTGATTGTCATAGTGATGAATTTGTTGAATTATACGAAAGTTATGAAAAGCAAGGCATAGCTAGGAGAACAATTAAAGCTCAAAAGTTATGGCATGCTATCTTAGAATCTCAAACTGAAACTGGTGGTCCGTATATGCTATATAAGGATGCTTGTAATTCTAAATCAAACCAGAAGAATTTGGGTACCATTAAGTCCTCAAATTTATGTTGTGAAGTTGTTGAATATTCGTCTTCTGAAGAAACTGCAGTATGTAATTTAGGTTCACTTGCTTTACCATCCTTTATAAGAACTGTCAATACCGATGAAGATGAAGAAGTTTTACAATATGATTTTAAGAAATTACATTCTGTTGCTAAAGTCTTAACTAAGAATCTTAATAAAATCATCGATCTCACAAAATACCCAATTGTATCTTCAAGAATTTCGAATAAGAAACATAGACCAATTGCTTTAGGTGTTCAAGGATTGGCTGATTTGTTTCTTGAATTAAGATTACCATTTGAGTCCGAGGATGCTAAGAAGTTAAATGTTCAAATATTTGAAACTATTTATCATGCCGCTCTTGAAGCATCTATGGAATTAGCTATAAAAGATGGTCCTTACGAGACATTTGAAGGTTCTCCAGCTTCACAAGGATTACTTCAATTTGATTTATGGAACCATAAACCTTCAAATTTATATTGTGATTGGGACGTACTCAAACAAAAGATCAAAGTAAATGGTCTTCGGAATTCACTCTTGGTAGCACCAATGCCTACCGCGTCAACATCGCAAATCTTAGGATTTAATGAGTGTTTCGAACCATATACTTCCAACATATATAATAGAAGAGTATTATCAGGAGAATTTCAAATTGTAAATAAATACTTACTAAAGGATTTGATTGATTTAGGAATTTGGAATTCAGCAATTAGAAATAAAATCATTGTTGATAATGGATCTATACAACATATCCCTAATATTCCCCAAGATATAAAAGACTTGTATAAAACAGTTTGGGAAATATCTCAAAAGGTTATTGTTGATATGGCAGCTGATAGAGGTAAATTTATTGATCAATCTCAAAGTATGAATATTCATTTACAAAATCCAACCTTTGGAAAGTTAACCAGTTGTCACTTTTATTCATGGGAAAAAGGATTAAAAACTGGGATGTATTATTTAAGAACTCAAGCTGCTACTAGAGCTATCCAATTTACGGTTGACAGTGAAGAAGTGAATAAGATTTCCTTTGAATCTGTTGATCTCAAACCTTTACAAAGAAAGAAATATCAAGCTGTCTATGAGGTTGATTTACCTAAAATGAAATTAAGTGAATTAAACTTCTTACCAGAAAGTAAGAGATCAAAGCCCAACTATTATGCTACTCCAGATTCATTAACGAGATCTCCTATTTCATCTCAAGAAAGTAAAGATAATTCAATTGTTGATGATTTAGCTTATAATATTTATGATTCTACGCCTGTTGCTTGTGATCTCAAGTCAGATGATAGTATTTGCAACTCCTGTTCGGGTTAAGTACCCCAATACCCCAATACCCTCATTGTAATTAGCCATTAATATTCATAATAATATTATATATACCTGTACATAGAAAAGAGATTATAATATTTCTAATTAACGTGATAAGAGTTTTATTTAAATTTTCTATTAGCGTAGTTCTTAACTTGATCTAAACCTCCTTCTGTGATAAAGAATTTCTTCTTAGTTTTATCAGACCAAATTAAAACCCCGACTTCTGATGCATAATTTGATAATATTTCAAATTCTTGTTGTGTACTGAAATCTTTGAATAAATATCCATCGAAAGTTTGAATTCTATCTAATTCCAATTGCCAAAGTTTAATTTGATCCACAATATTAGGAGGCAAGATTTCCAACTTATGCTGTTGAACATTTGAATCACTCCCTTTAGATTGTGGTGCACCACCAGCAGTATTAATATTATGACTAGCATCGAATTCTATCTTTTTATCTAATTTCTCCTTAGCAAGCAATTGCATTTGTGGATGGGCATGAGTTTCTAAAAACTTGATTATTTGATCTGCTGTAATTCCATTATATAATGCTTTACGAATAGATTCTCTCGTTATTTGTCCACATACCATATTGGCAAATCTGGTTCTTAAATGTACGAAAAGATTTAATATAGCGATTTCCAATGGAGAATTACTGTATGAATATATTTTGAAGTTGGTCTCCACAATGATTGAACCTTGACTTGAAGATGGAGCTTCAGTAGGTTGTGGGTTATCATTTTCATCTGTAGTTTGTAATGTTTGTTCCAATGCCATGGATGGAGTTTTAAGAGCGGCTGAATCAGATGTTAAAGTAGTTGCAAGTCTTGTAGGATAAAACCTACCTGAACTATCCGATCTTTGATATACCAACCCATAATCACGTAAATCAGCCAACATACTAACTTGGGTAGCACTTAAACTTGATACCATATAACTCTTACCTAGTTCTAAGGAACCTAACATAAATAAGAAATTTAATACATCCACTGGATCCATATTTAATTCTTGAGTTAAATTTAAATATTGTAATAATAAAGTCCAAATTTGAACATTGACATCTTGTAATAAGAACTGGAATCCAGTATTGGTAATCTTTAGACTACTAGCGTGACCTTCCATTAAGCCACCCAGTCTTAACAATGATAAAACTGATTTTGATGGAGTAGCAGTAGACTCAGTCCCCACCATGAAATGCAAGATTGTTTCCCATTTCAGAGAAGCAAATGTATCCAAAAACGCTATATCTACTTTATGTTTATCCACTGCAACACATAAAGTACCAAATGCATTTGAATCTTGTGAACCGGTTAAACAATCACGAAAATTTTGTCGGAATGTTTTATTTAATTGTATATGATTTGCCAATTTATCATCTTCAATGAGATGTAATGACTTCAATCGTTTTAGTGATTCGTATTGTAGTTTCTTAGCTGATGGTTTACACCATCTATCCAAGTCTCGTAACGCCACGGACTGTTCATTAAATAACATTGACATTATATAAAACTTTGCCATAGGAGGTAATAATCGAAAGATAGATAGACATGTAGCAGGAGCTTCATATAATTTGGATTGAACATTTCGAGGTAGACCTTCTAGATACTCATTAACAGTAGCCTTGAACAAATTACCCGATGACATCCCCACCAACACGACAATTGGGATTTAAACTCTATAGATTGAATGATAATCAAATATACAGTTATATTACGTTTACAGAGATATTCCTCACTAAATTTTACCTACACTGATTTTGGATGGTAGTGCGGATTGACCAAATCAGTATTTGTATGCAAAAAAAAATTTGAGGGAGAAGAGCATTTTAGCTTTAAATTTTCAGGCAAGTTTAGTAATACAAAACAGTGATTATAGTAAAGATTTAATTTACTTCATCAATATAACAATTCTGCAAAATGGCTCCGAAGAGGAAGTTAGTGAAGCTTGAGGCTGAATCTGACGAAGCTTTTCAAGAATTGTTACAGCCAGAATATAAGGGTAAAAAGTTGACAGATGAGATCAATACAGCGGAAGACAAATGGAACTTATTACCAGCTTTCTTGAAAGTTAAAGGGTTAGTCAAACAACATTTGGATTCGTTCAATTATTTCGTCGATGTTGATTTGAAAAAGATTATAAATGCCAATGAATTGGTGCTATCAGATGTTGATCCCGAATTTTACTTGAAATATTTAGATATTAGAGTAGGACATAAATCATCATCAGGTCCAGAAGTTAGGGAAGTCATCATGCCACCTCATGAATGTCGTTTGCGTGATTTAACTTATTCAGCTCCAATCTATGTTGATGTGGAATATACCCGAGGTCGTAAGATCATTATGCATAAAGATTTAGAAATTGGAAGAATGCCAATTATGTTAAGATCAAATAAATGTATTCTTGATGGGATTGATGAAAAGAAAATGGCCAGATATGACGAATGTCCATTGGATCCAGGTGGTTATTTCGTGGTTAATGGTACTGAAAAAGTTATTTTAGTTCAAGAACAATTGTCCAAGAATAGAATTATCGTTGAAGCTGATGAAAAGAAGAATATCGTTCAAGCATCAGTAACATCTTCAACTCATGAACGTAAATCCAAAACTTATGTGATCACCAAGAATGATAAGATTTATTTAAAGCATAACTCTATCAGTGAAGATATTCCTATAGTCATTGTATTGAAAGCTGCCGGTATTACTTCTGATTTGGAAATTTTACAATTAGTTTGTGGTGCTGATCCTCAATATCAAGATCTTTTTGTGGTTAATTTTGAAGAAGCTGCCAAATTAGAAATCTTCACTCAACAACAAGCATTAAACTATGTCGGAAGAAGAGTCAAAACTATCAGAAGAGCAGGAGCTCCAAAATTATCTCAATTACAAGAAGGTATTGAAGCCATTGCCACTACAATCATTGCACATATAACAGTATCAGATTTACAATTCCGTGAAAAAGCATTATATATAGCCACCATGGCCAGACGTGTGGTCATGACTATGCACAACCCTAAAATGGTTGATGATAGAGATTATGTGGGTAATAAGAGATTAGAATTAGCTGGTCAATTGATGTCTTTATTATTTGAAGATTTATTTAAAAAGTTCAATTCAGATTTTAAGGCTAATATTGATAAAATTTTAAAGAAACCTAGTAGAACTTCAGAATTTGATGCATTATTATCAATTAACATTCATTCTAATAATATTACTCAAGGGTTAAATAGAGCCATTTCAACTGGTAATTGGTCCTTAAAACGTTTCAAGATGGAAAGAGCCGGTGTTACTCATGTTTTATCAAGATTGTCATATATTTCCGCATTAGGTATGATGACTCGTATTTCATCACAATTCGAAAAATCAAGAAAAGTTTCTGGTCCAAGAGCCTTACAACCTTCTCAATTTGGTATGTTATGTACTTCTGATACACCGGAAGGTGAAGCCTGTGGTTTAGTTAAAAATTTAGCATTAATGACTCATATTACTACTGATGATGAAGAAGCTCCAATTAAAAAGTTGTGTTACGTGCTAGGATGTGAAAATATCTTAGGAATTGATTCAGCTACTTTACATTCTGATGGTAACTTTGGTATATATCTTAATGGTACTTTAATTGGTACCAACAGATTCCCATCCAAATTCGTTTCTGATTTTCGTCGTTTAAGAAGAACAGGTAAAATTTCCGAATTCGTTTCCATCTACACCAATACTCATCAAACTGCCGTTCATATCGCCACTGATGGTGGTAGAATTTGTCGTCCATTAATTCTTGTTCAAAATAATCGTCCAAAAGTTAATGCTGAACATTTACGTAAACTTTTAAATGGCGAATGGGCATTTGATGATTTCTTAGCTCATGGATTAGTGGAATATTTAGATGTCAATGAAGAAAATGATTCTTTAATTGCTTTATATGAGGCAGACATGGAAGATACTGATTCAGCTTTCACTCATTTGGAAATTGAACCATTCACCGTGTTAGGTGCTGTTGCTGGTTTAATTCCATATCCTCATCATAATCAATCACCAAGAAATACTTATCAATGTGCTATGGGTAAGCAAGCTATTGGTGCTATAGCATATAATCAATTTAGAAGAATTGATACCTTATTATATTTCATGGTTTATCCACAACAACCAATGGTTAAGACCAAGACTATTGAATTAATTGATTATGATAAATTACCAGCTGGTCAAAATGCTACTGTGGCAGTTATGTCTTATTCAGGTTATGATATTGAAGATGCTTTAGTGTTAAACAAAGCATCAGTTGATAGAGGTTTTGGTAGATGTCAAGTTGTTCGTAAGAACACTATCCAATTAAAGAGATATCCAAATCATACTAAGGATGTTGTTTCTGGTATGAGAGTTGATGAAGATGGTCAACCAATTTTCGAACATCAAGCTTTAGGTCCAGATGGGTTAGGAGAAATCGGTGCTAGGGTTGTTAATAGTCAAGTTTATGTTAATAAGAGTGTTCCAACCAATGCTGGTGAATCAGTATTGGGTCATAATGAACAAACTCCAAGTATTGAAAGTCATAGAGAAACTCCAGCTTATTATAAGGGACCGGAACCATCATATGTTGATCAAGTTATGATGTCAGTTAGTGATAATGATCAAGCATTAATTAAAGTTCTTTTAAGACAAACTAGAAGACCAGAATTAGGAGATAAGTTTTCTTCAAGACATGGTCAAAAGGGGGTTTGTGGTATTATTGTTCAACAAGAAGATTTACCATTTAATGATGATGGTATTTCTCCTGATATTATTATGAACCCACATGGTTTCCCATCTCGTATGACGGTTGGAAAAATGATTGAATTAATCTCCGGTAAAGCTGGTGTATTGAATGGATCCTTAGAATATGGAACATGTTTTGGAGGATCTAAATTGGAAGATATGTCCAAGATATTAGTTGATAAGGGGTTCAGTTACTCTGGTAAAGATATGTTATATTCTGGTATTACAGGTGAATGTTTACAAGCATATATTTTCTTTGGTCCTATCTATTATCAAAAATTAAAACATATGGTTTTAGATAAGATGCATGCCAGAGCCAGAGGTCCAAGAGCTGTTTTAACCAGACAACCAACAGAAGGTAGATCAAGAGATGGTGGTTTGAGATTGGGAGAAATGGAAAGAGATTGTGTTATCGCATATGGTGCTTCCCAATTATTACTTGAAAGATTGATGATTTCATCTGATGCCTTTGAAGTTGATATTTGTAACAAATGTGGTTTAATGGGTTATCATTCATGGTGTACAACTTGTAAGAGTTCAGAAAATATTATCAGAATGACAATCCCATATGCTGCTAAATTATTATTCCAAGAATTGTTATCAATGAATATCGCTCCAAGATTGAAATTAGGAGACATCTTCTAAACAAGTGTATAGATTAATATTGTATATTAGGAATTAGGTAAGAAACTGGTAAATAACGAAATAATATATAAATGAAAATTCCAGTTATTAACAAATACGGTTACAATTATGAAACCGGTATGGAACACACTTCCTGTATTTGGTTGCAAAGTAAACCACAATTACAGGCGACATTTATTGTCGTGTCGCACGACATTCCCGATTCATTGTTTAATTTTTTTTTTTTACACTAAAGCCTCACGAGAGCTGTTTATCAGAAGATTTTTAATGATCTTAAAAAAGCTTAAATAAGTCTCCACGATTTCAAGTTAAAAAAGTTAGTTTTCATATTACTTCCACAACTATCATTTCATATCATTCCATATCATAACATCTATGGATAGTACAGCATGAGTCCGTACAATTCTACTCGTCCTGTGCCCCGAAGCACGAGACTGGTCCTAAGATCAAAGTTTCTTGTTTTGTGTTTGTTGCTTGTGGTTGTATTGATGATGATGGATAATAATCAATCGAGTCAGTTGGATTTGGAAGATGCTTTGTATTTGACTAAGAATTCGATTAAAGAGTTCAGAGATCAATATTTACCCACTTGGCAACGTGATAATAATGTTAATACTAATAGTTCCTTATCGTTATTTGAAATTGATTATCCTCTTAATAGTGTGATGAATTCTTTCTTTCCTATCGATACATTAATCAGTTATAATACAACCATACCAAATGATGATTCAGGAAATATTACTGTCAATGAGTTAGTGGGGAGATATGCTTCATTTAGTCCTGTCTTGAGTACTGGTCTTGAAAGCAAGTATGTCATTTTCCCTAATAATGCCTGCGAAAAGAAGGATTATTCCAACGATAAAGAGTTCAAGAAGTACTTTAATAAAACGTTGGTTGTTTTAAGAGGTGATTGTACTTTTGTCGATAAAGTTTCTAATTTACTTGAATCAGGCTTAAATCCTACTAGTATCATCGTTGGTAATGATGAGCCTTATCGTGGCTTAATTACGATGTTTTCAGGTAGTTTCAATCAAGATGGTTCTTTAGATGTTCCCATATTATTCATCACCAATGAAGATTATAAAACTTTAAAAGAAATCGAATCAGAAGAATTAACCATCACTATAAGTACACTTTCAATAGGAAGTTGGGTTAATATTCTTGTATCAATGGTATTATCACCACCATTATTAATTCTTTTCTTTTATTCTGTGGTGGTATGTGGTCAAAGATTTAGAAGAAGACAAGCCGATATACGGAATGCAAAGCTTGTGAAGAAATTACCGGTTTATATTTTTAACAAGGATCATTTAATTCATGTTAAGTATTTCATGAATTATTTAAAAATAACTGGTCAAACTTCAGTATTAGCTAAAGATTATGAAAGTACTCTTCCTGAATCACCTAAGAATTCCCCTTCATCATCAACTGCATCATTAAGTAAGATAGTGGTTAATGGTATAGATATCAGATCTTCATCAGGTTCATTGCATGTATTATGTGCTCCAAATAACTTTTATCCTGCTTATAAATGTTCGATTTGTTTGGATAAGTATATTCCCTTGAAATCAAGAGTATTAGTATTAGATTGCAAACACTTTTATCATGAGAAATGTTTATCTAATTGGTTAATCAACTTCAAGAGAACATGTCCATTATGTAATACTATCATCAATCATCTGAATGATCCTTATTTACTTGCTGGTCAAAACAATTCAGGATCCGATTATGGTAGTATGGATGATACTGATCTTGAAGCTGCTCGTAATCTTGTGGAAGATATTCCATATGTCACAGATTCATATTCTCAAATTGAAAGTGATGAAGATGATCGACTTTATCATGATTATAATGTGGCAGGTACTTCAAGTTCAATTATGGAAAGTACCTTAAATACAGGATCTTCCTTATTAGGAGGTCCATTATTAAGACCAGTAACTCCTCCACCTCATGATTTAAATCTACTGAAAACACCCATGACTCCAACAGATTCTCATACTTCAGCATCTTTTGTAACTGCTAATACAAATCTTGAATCCCCCAAAATAAGAGGAGGATCGGGATTAAATTCACCAATTAAGTATGTCTATGCTAGACCTCTGCAAATATTAAGTCAATTTTCATCAATATCAAATCAAAATCAAACGCGTTCAGTTAGTGAATTCAGTAATAGTGTTGATTCAATGGATTGGGAAACTCCGGGAGGAAACGCGATCCGTTCCCCACCTATAAATGAAAATGATGAGACCATAACTTCTAATTATAATGGAAGTTCGTCAACAATCGATCAATCTAACGAAGAAGACGATCAAGATGAGTCTCAAACTATAAATGACTCCGATAATTGAATCAATACAATGCAACAATTGTTTTACTATTCTATTACTTACTTCTACATCATCATTCTTTTCTTACTACATTTTCACTTCTTGTTTTTGGCATAATTATAAAGTTATTATATCCTTGGTATTGTTTTTATTTCATTTCCTCCCTTCTTGTTCTCTTCATTAGTTGATTTATATTTTGTATAATTACATAGTTTCAAAATGCATTTCAGTTGAGGTTTAATTATAAAATCTATTTGCAATCATCCCGGTACTTTTCTCCCGGTACTTCCAGGACTAAATTTGATACTGCACCCCACAGTAAAAAAGAAAAAATCAGGCACGTGACCAGTTTTTGGGTTTACAAGTCAAACTATACACAATAAAGAAATAAAATTCTCATTATATAATAGTTAAAAGTTAAACCATCCCTCCGAGACAGGCCTTGTTTTGGATACAAAAACCTATTCATCTTCTTCCCTTTACTTTCATTACTTTGGCAGTTGACAAGTACTTTGAAAAGCTCCGAAACGGTAGCATCTTATTTACATAATTATTTCATTCCTTACTTAAAGTACAGTTTTCTACGTTGAAATCATGGATTCCGATTCAAGTCAAACGAATAATAATTCAGGAGCTAAACGGGACGACATACCGTTAGATTCAAGTGAAGATGGTGATAATAATAATACGAAATTGAGTCATAGTGTTTCTGAAGAGCCCGGAACTAATAATAATGGTAAGGCTAGGAAACGGAAAAAGAAAGTGGAAATCGCTTGTGTTTATTGTCGTAGATCTCATATGATTTGTGATGATTCTAGACCTTGTCAAAGATGTATAAAGAGAGGCATTGGTCATTTATGTTATGATGAACCATCTAATTTAAGACAACGAAAGAAAGCTGCCTCATTAAGACGATCAACTAGTGATACATCTGGAGCTGTAACACCAGTACTGCTGAGTCCATTTGCTCAATCTCCATTACCTGTCCCACCACTTAGCAATACTCAAAGTACTTCTATTGCATTACCAACCAATTCAGAAGTAGCCACTATTCAAAATCAAAATCAGATTCAACAACAACAACAACTCCCTCCACCACAATCCATTGGCCCAATCAAAAACCTAAGTAGTTCAGTCTTGGCACAAACCTTACCTTATAATCAAGAACCTTTTTTCTATTCAGAGCACGCAGGTAGTGAATTTAGTTCTTTAAATGATTTCTTATCCATGATTGATGATCCTGAACTTGTAAATGGTGCCTTAAATGATGATCCAACTGCAAATGATCCTATGCTTAATTTCAATGTGGGTGGAACAAATGTCAATACTACAAATCCAAATTCTGAAAATTTCACGGCTCCTGTAAATACAAACAATAATAGTGCAACCAATCTTAACAATATTCTTGCATTCTCACCCAATTCAAACCTATTTCCAGCAACATTTCCTAACGAAAATGATAATTCCAATCAACAACAGCAACAACAACTTCAACAATTGCAACAACAGCAGCAACAACAACAACAACAACAGCAACAGCAGCAGCAGCAGCAACAACAGCAGCAGCAACAACAGCAACAGCAGCAGCAGCAGCAGCAGCAGCAACAACAACAACAACAACAGCAAATTCTGCAACAACAGCAAAATCAGTTACAACCACTTCCCAAATCTAAGGCTGATTTCGTCAGACCAGCTTCTGGTAGTATTACTCCAGTTGAAAAGAACGGTAATAATAATCATCAACCAGTAATATCAGATTCAGCTAGAGATAAATTCTTCTTAACCGCTGCTGATCCAACTACAGAAATCTCCCCTGAAGAAAGATTGAAACAAGTCATCAAAGCTAAATTAGAGGCTGGTTTACTTCAACCTTATAACTATGCTAAGGGGTATGCAAGATTACAAAACTATATGGATAATTATATGAATTTATCAAGTCGTCAAAGAATTCTTAAACCATTATCTATTTTCCGTCCTGCTTTCAGAGCCATAGCGAGAACTTTAAAAGATGTTGATTTAGTGTTAGTTGAAGAAAGTTTTGAAAGAATGCTTCTTGATTATGATAGAGTGTTTACTTCTATGGCTATCCCAGCTTGTCTTTGGAGACGTACTGGAGAAATTTATCGTGGTAATAAAGAATTCGCTTCGTTAGTAGGAGTCATGACTGATGATCTTAAAGATGGGAAACTTGCCATTTACGAATTAATGAGTGAAGAAAGTGCTGTTAATTTTTGGGAAAAGTATGGTGCCATTGCATTCGATAAAGGCCAAAAGGCAGTGTTAACCAGTTGTAATTTAAGAACTAAAGATGGTATCAAAAGAAAAAGTTGTTGTTTTAGTTTCACCATTAGAAGAGATAGATATAATATTCCAAGTTGTATTGTTGGAAATTTTATTCCTATAGATCCATAAGTGATACACAACTGCATTGTACAATTAAAACAAAAAAAATTAAAACTTTATGTATTATACATGTATCTATATAACTAATATATGTTCAGGTTACTATTTATTTAATCAGATTCTTCACCTTCATCTTCTTCTTGTTCAGAATCAATCATATCAATATCTTGATCTTCAGCATCTTCATCTTGTTCTTGTTTCTTTTGTTCAGCTTTTTGTTGTTCTTCAGCAGCTAAAGATTCTCTAATGACTCTTAATTTTTCTTCCTTTATTTGTCTATGAACAACATTATATTGACCAAGAGGAGTCTTTTCCCATGCAAAATCATTTAAGAAAAGTTGAACTTCATGTTTATTAGAAGGACCATATTCAACATTTGATCTCTTGGAGATGATGAAAGTAGCATTAGCATTCAATTTTTCTATCAATTGAGTTAATTGTTTATTGAATCTTCCGTTCTTTGATTTCTTAACAAATCTACGTAATGATAAAATAGCTGGAGTAGCTAATTCTGGGAATGCAATACTCTTACAATATAATCCAAAGAAATCACCAGTTAACTCTATGAATTGTTCACAAATACCTTCTTGGAAAACTCTGGTACCAAGATAAGCTTGATTGACTTTAATATTATGTTCGAAATCAACAGCAGCTAAACTTGAACCCTTTGGTGGTTTAGTTATAGTAGTTGAAGTTAAAATTTCGGAAATTAATGGGAAGATTGGAATGAAAACTCCAGTTGATTGAGAAATTCTCATTAATGACCTTATAAGATAAAATCTTAATGGGAAGAATTGAGCAGTTGGAATTAATCTAATAGCACCTAAAGTTACTTGAACTAATGGATAGATTAACTTTCTTAATGGAGATTCTTTTGATTTATGTTTTAATTCTTGTTCTGGATTACAATGTTGAGCAACAACTCTTGACCAGAAATCTAATGAATGACAATATTGCCAGTTATAAATGGTTTTAAAACCTTCTTTAGCATTTGAAGTGGCATTAATACTGTTACGTAAATGAATAGCCAATTGTCTAACATATTCAAAACCAACTTGATAAGATAAAGTTTCATCAACACCATAAAGTTCAGAAGCTGAGTTCTTACAGAAATTAATTTGAGACATGGTATGGATATTAGTCTTACGACAGTTTTGAAGGAAAGCAGTATAGGAAGATTTAAGAACAGTTTCTAATACTGATTTTGGAAATTCCCTTGAAACGTTATTTAAGAAAGCAAAGGTAGCAATTTGTGTGTCGATTTCAGTGGTGATTGACCAAACCTCAACTACAGCACCAATGATTTGTTTCAATAATCTTCTGTGAGATAAATAGTATGGGAATAATTCTTGAATAGAAGCTAAGACTAAAGCAGCAGTTTCAGTATTAGTGATGTCTTTTAATAAAGTAAGGAAAGAAGCAGCGTGTGATTTCAAAATAGTAGAAACTTGAGTAACATTTGGATTCTTTTGAGGAATAGTTCTAACTCCTTGTGGAGTCACTTTATATTTGATTAATTTTTGAATAGCTACTGGAAGTTTCTTCAATACTAAAAGCATTAAATCACCAAAAGCTTTTGGATCAGTGACTGAATACTTATAATCACCATCATCAGAATTGTTGATGTTGACAGCGGCTTTGAAAGCAATCGTGATATTTCTGAGAAGTTTGGTAGATGGTTTTTCTAAAGCTTCATTCCATTTTTGAACTAATTCTAATGTTATTTCAATCTTTTTAACTTCTTCTGGAGTCTTATCAGCTTTAGATTTTTTAACTTTGACTTCATCTTCTTCATCATCATCTTCAACTTCTTCACCATCATCTTCGTCTTCATCATCACTGATGGCATCTAATGGATTGACACCTTCGAAATCTAATAAATCAGTATCGTTATCCTTCAAGTATTTATAAAATTCAGGATCGTTATCTTCTAATTGTTTCAAGTTTTCTTTCATGGCTTCTTCATCTTCTTCTTCAGATGATTCATCATCGTCTTCTTCTTCAGCTACAACTTGCTTCTTATTATTTTTCTTTTCCTTTGGAACTTCAAATCCACCTTCAAAGAAATCATCTACTGACATATCTTCGAACACTTCCTTGGCCTTTCCATTTTTACGGACTGGTCCTGATGGTACTTCTTCTCCATCTTCAGTCTTGGCTGGTTTCTTCTTTCTGAGGTCAAACTTCTTCTTCTTTTTTTGAATCTCTTTACGATTTTCAATCGTATGTTTCAAGTGCTTGTTTTGAAACTTCTTGGTTTGTTTAGAAGTCTTACCCATGATTGTCTTGTTGTATCAAATCAATATATAGTTTATCACTATAACTGCTTTTTAATTTTTTTATACTTAGCGATGAGTGAAAAAAAAAAGTCGTGAAGACCATCTATTTTTTTTTTTAATTTTGTGTCACTTCCTCAAAAGAGGTATATACCAAAATGAGAAATTCAAATTGCAAAACTTATAAACTACACTAAAGCTATGTTCTGTTACTTTATGATAAATAAATACTATAATTACATTGTTTTGTCTATATAAAATCCACAAATTTACCAGAAAAGGCATCTTTTAACCAATGTAAGAGCTTGTCGTATACTACCGATTGTGCATTATGATAATAAATACCATGATCACTATCAGGGAAGAAATGAACATCATAATTCTCGACGAGATTCATGTTCAATTTATCCAATAACCATAACAGATTTTGAATATGCACATTATCATCAGCTGTACCATGCATGAGTAAGAATCTCTTTAATTTTTGTAATGAACTAATATTGTTGATTCTGGAATATAATTGATAATTTTCATTATCAATTGGTTCATTCATATACCTTTCAGTATAAATAGAGTCATAGAATAACCAGTTAGTGACAGGTGCAACTGCCATTCCATATTTAAATACAGATCCAGCATCAAATTCAAGTGTCTTCAATGTAGTGAAACCTCCATATGACCAACCCCAAAGTGCAACTTTTTCTTTATCAACAAAATGACTATTCACTTTAATATAATCAGATACAAAGGTAGTTATATCTCTTGGTTCCCAATATCCAATCATATCTTTAGCAAAAGCTCTGAATTTCCAACCTTGACCACCTGTCCCTCTTGGATCCACAATTAAGACAATTGCATCTAATGTAGCACTAACCACATGTTGAAAATCAATATCAAATCCTTTTTCAACTGTTTGTGATCCAGGTCCACCATAAGCATGAACTAAAATTGGGTACTTGCCACTTCTTTCAGGATTAAAATTAGGAGGAAGAATCTCTATAACGTTGATATTTATTGGTGAATTATCATCATATTTGCCAATTTGGATAGTCTTATAAATCTTGGTAGGCAAATTCACCTTATTTAAATGATTGGAAGTTACTGAAAAGTGATTGATAATTGGCTCACTCTTGATGACGGCATCAATATTTGAATCAACAGATTCATCTTTTAATATATCATGAATCTTACCCATGTTAACTAATCTTTGCCAAGGTTGTAAAGGACCCTTGTAGTATAAGTTCAAATATTGACCATCCTCACTAAAACTGACATCATAACTACCATCTTCATCATGATTGGTTATGGAGATTAATTTATAATCAGCATTAGCCATATCAATAGCCAGTAAATGGGCATCCATTGAACTCTTGATAGTTGATAAGAAATAAACATAATTTTCTTGTTTATCATACACAACTGGTGATGCAGGAAGAACATCCCAATTATCATTGTTCACCAACACTTTCGAATATTCCTTACTTGAAGCAGAATCAAATAATGCTAATGTAGTTCTACCATTAACCACTACTTTATCAATGTACTTATTTTCATTACCATCGCCGTTATTTATAATTGCAATTGGATACTGTTTTTCAACCCAACCATTGTAAGCATCAGCCACATTAATAGAATTAACTTCGATAATTTCATTTGATTTATGAACTTGTAATAATTTCTTGGTAAGGATAGTACTTGTTCTATCAGTTTGTTTCATTAAAAAGTTTTCATTATCAACCCATACAGCATCATATAATATAAAATCTTCACCCACATTCTTATTATTATTCGTAAGTTTTACCGATAATTTTTCTGATATAGTGTATTTATAAAGTGAAACTATAGGATTGGCAGTTCCAGGTTTTGGATACTTGATTGATGTCTTTATAGGGTATTGATTGACTCCTTCATACATATGTTCATCCAGTTCTTTATATTGGGTTCCAACTTCAACTCGATCTTTCACATAATAATCCAATTCATATGATTCCACATAAGTATCATTCAAAGATGCGAATATTAAATGACTTTCATCAGGAGACCACCAGAAAAGCTTATCAGTAGCAAATACTTCTTCTTCATAAACCCAATCTGACTTACCGTTGAAAATGTTTGGAGAACCAGTGTTGGTGATTTGTGTAGTCTCCATATTATTGTTAAGATCAATAAGATATAAATCATGATCAAATCCATATACAATATAATCCCCCTTTGGAGAAAATTGAGCAAAATGCAATTTATCCAATACTTCTTCCTTAAGTATATTATTAGGATCTTTTAATTTCTTTTCATTTTTAGGTGGTTGGATAGGAGTGAATTCTCCTGTCATAGGGTTAAGTAACCAATATAATGCAAATGACAGATGTCTCCATTGAGTAACTTTGTCTGAAGTAACCATATGATAATTGTTATTCAATTGTTCAATGGAATGACCTGGGTTTATTATAAAATCTTCAATTTCAAAGAAATCATTTCTATAGGCGAATTTGTTATCATCAATCACTGTTTCTGAATAATCAGTATCCAATTGCTTTATCACAAAAGTACTCGATGGACCTCTGGAAAGGTAATAACCACCACCTGGATGACTTTGAGGATATTGATTTATATTAAGCCATCTTACATCTGTTCTATATGCATAATAATTACCATTTCTATATTTATCCATAGTCACGTTTGAAAAATTTGGATCATATGCATTTAACGTGATATTTTGACCACTAACTTGAACATTGGTATGACCTTTCAAATCACCAATGATCTGGGTTACTGTATGTCTCAGATATACTATGATTCCTATTATCCAAAGCAACAATACCATACTTCCAAATACTGCAAATATTCTTTTCGCTAGTATATCAGTACCATTATATTTTTGTAGTACTGCTTGGAATACAGGGTTATTATTGAAATCATCAACTTCTTCATCATGTTTCATGGCATATGTTCCTATGTCATTGAATATCTTGGATGATTGTGAGTCTGTTGAATCTCGTGAACTATCATTAAAGTTATCTTCATCTTCTTCATCATAGTTGGTACTATATACATTTTCTTCAGATCCATTATTGGGGCTCGGAGTACTGATTGATCCTGATTGTGACGATGATTGATTTTCAGCCTGATTTACCATCTCATATTCATTAGTTGACTGACTTTCAGCCTGACTTTTGAATAGTCCCTTAAACATTATAGTGTGTGTATGTCTCGCCGTGCCGAAATATGTATAATTGAAAAGCTAACCGACACCCGTTTCCATTCACCACAAGAAAGAAAGCTCTACGAAACTATTTTGAAACTATCAATTGTATCTGAGGAATAATTAGGAATTATATATCTATAATTATACGAATCGAATGATGATGATGATGTAAGATCAGATCCCAATGTTTCAGAGTATACAGGCTGTGATACACGAGTATTTTATTTTTTGCGACCTTTTTACAGGTTATCTGAAACCAATTTTTACTGTTTTGGGACTGCAAAGGAAAAATCTTAAAACACGAGTATTAACCTGTAAAATATTGAATTTATTATTTTACAGTTTATTAGACCGTCAGTTTTCAGATTCTTTTAAATTTCGAAACGATTCATGGTGTTGATTGAATGAAATATTGGGTTAAATCATCAATTGAATTAAGAAGAGGGTCTATATCGTGATAGGGATCAGTCTAGAATGAACCACAATCAGGCTATCAGCCTTTATTCCCAGATATTTAACATTCAAGGATCTAAGAATTCCCAATTCTATAAATCAATTTTTACAACACCAATCCATTCTGAATCATTATTATCAGTGTTAGTATCCAATTCAGAGTTCATATTGAATTATCCATCTCATCAGAACGTATGGATCATACAAGCTATATTAGAGAATGGTATCAGACTATTAGAAGATGCAGTTGAATTCCCTCATGATGAAGAAGCTAAAGCTTCCAAACCAACAGTAAGGAGAAGATCTACCGCAACTAGTCTCTCTGCTAAGGATATTGAATCGATAATTAGTACACCCATGCCACATAATTCATCTTCATATGCATTTGAATTGGATGATGGTGGTGATGATATAACAGCATTGAATGGGAATTTGAATCCCTCTTCTGAATTTGATGATGGAGACGACATAACAAATTTAAAGACTAAAGTCAAATTATCCGTTCTGGTGATTCAAGAGGAGACAGAAGTAGGAAATGGAAATGGCAACGGAAATGGTTCAGAATCGGCAATACCGACAGAATCACCTCTTAAAAATCGACCTTTTGCACTGCCTTCACTGTCAAGTCCAGCTACAAGTAATGGAAATAGTAGAAGAACAAGTACAGTTAGTTTAAGTCAAGGTACTGGCATAAGTGGAAGTGCAACTAATATCACCACTCGTTTACGTAACCCATCATTAACTTCAATGGAACCAAAGGAATTTATTGGTATTGATGAAGGATTAAGAATTGAATTAACTTCTAATATATTATCAATATTGAAAGTGTGGTTCACTTCTGTTAGTGAAGTCAATGATAAATTCAAAAAAAGAAGAGGTAGTAACACCACATCACAATCATCCAGTGAATTACTTACAAACTATTTCGGTACTCCTGGTAATAAACAAACTTTAGACGATAGTTATTTATTACGATTATTAACCATATTGAAATGGTATCTTAACAAGGCTTTGCTTGAAATTGAAGTATCTAATGCTGATGAATTTGCTAATCTTATAGTTCTTAAAGAAATCTTGTTTTTATTGTCAGAAATATTACGATCAATTTATTCATCAATATTATTTTATAAAGAAGGAGATAATGAATTTACTATAATCCAAAGTTTATTATTTACTTTTTATAAGGTTAATTTTTCAAAGATTTTCTCCAAGATGCTAGACTTGACGAATGCAAAGAAAGTTGGAGAAGGAGAGTATGAAGCTTCTAAGATTCGTCTTTCATTAGAAACGTTGACGAAATTATATTCTATATCAAGTATTTTAGTCATGATTCCAGATAGTTTGATTCCTGTTAATCCGATTACATTGTCATCTGATATAACCAATATGCAACATGAATCTCCTAACCCTTATGAACAATACCTTCAATCAGAAGTTAAGTTTGATCAAGAATCGTTCTATTATGATATTTCTCTGAGATTGATTCCTATATTAGCTATAGATTTTAATTATTGTTATCAATTCAGACCTGATATAATGGTTGCCAATATTCAAAGTGGTTCTTTCTTAACTTGGTTTACAGGTTCGAGATTCAATGATGATTTATATATAACATTCGATACAGTACAAAATGTTACTAATATTCAAAATAATTATCAAAATTTAAGTATTACTAAACTGAAAGATGATTCTTACTTAAGTGAATTATTTTCAATATATACAAAACGGATCAAGAAGCAACAGCTTGATACTGATGATGATGAATTACATTTACCTGAATTATTACCTATTACTATGCTACTCTTTACCAATACTATGAAGAATCAATCATTCACTTATCAATTCACGAATCAAATCTATCCCATCCATCATCATATTGAAGATATAGTGGCTAATGAAGATACCACCATTGAAACATTTGATATTTGGTTATCAATCTTATCATATGTCTGCCAATATCAATATAAATCACCATCATTACAATTAATTGTGAAATTATCCTTAATTATATTATTAAGATTGATTAAAACATCAAGTGATAATTTAAAGGTGTATAAAATCAATGAATTCAAATGGAAATTAACACATCAGAAATCACCTATCATCCCAACTAATAATGGAAAATTAGGTATCAAAGGAAGTTTATTTTATATTCTTGATATTATTCAAAATTTGATTAGATTCAATTTAACTAATAAGTTAAATGTGGTTAATTTCAGATTAAGTATTAATATCATATATCAAATCGTGGATATATTTAAAAGAGATAGTGATTTAGAATTAGGGAATTATAATTGGAAAGAATTATTCATAACGATCTTCAATTTATTAAACTTTATTAAACGTCAAAATCTTTTCAATTCGAAATATTTCATCATTTTAAATCAAGTTGATCAATTAAAAGCCATGATTGAAGAAATATTACTTATCTTGGATCAATTATTGATTCCCAGATTTAATCAAATTGTTCAAATTAATAATATTGAAGATACTCATATGATTGGGAATGGAGGATTATTCGGTGCTCATACTTATAAGTCCATCAATTATGATTTAATATATCATATTTTATTGAATTATGAAATGATAAGTCGATATTTATCATTATTTGATCTGAAAAGGTTTAAGAATCTTACCCATTGTTTACAATATTTTGAGAATGAATTCTATTTAACTGAAGAATCTAAGAAGAATGGAACTAGTGATTCGGGTTCAACTAAATTAGATTTGTTCGATCATGATTTCGATAGTCCAGTGCTAATTAAAAAGATTCAATCATTCACATTAGTTGATGTACAGGATACCATAGCACTTAAAGATCCAATGTCTGAAGATGAGTATACATTTAAGGATACGTTGAAATATACAAGACAAGAAAGAGTCACTCTTGAAGATGAAGAATTATTCAAACTATTTCAAAGTTTATTATCATTAAAATTGAATTAGATATATAAATTAATTTAATATATACAAAATTTTAAATTTGTTTTGGCGGTTAATTATTTTTTTTTTAGCTTTTTGCGACTTTGAAAAATTGCAAACTCCTATTTACTTTACTTATTTACCTTCATGAATAGTTCTAAAGAATTCAATGGCAGCAGTATATACCACCAAAAGAATACCACCACCTGGACCTAATCTTAAAACTTTTGGAACGAAACCTTTATATAAAGCGGCAAATCCTTCTTCTTTAGCTACTATGACTAATGATGGATAAGTCCATTTATATCTGGTTGAACCAGCTTGAATTCTTGATTTAACCACATCAAATGGAGTATTTAATATAGTACCAAAAGTACCACCAATCGAACCACAAGTTAAATCGATTAAAGTCTTTTCACCTGAAGTTTTTGGTTTTGGCATTAAACCTCTAACTTGATGAATGACACCGAAATAACCAGCATTCCACCAAATATGTCTCCATAAAGTAGATTCCATACCTTTATATAATCCTAATAAACCATTGTTTTTAACAATATCTTTAACCACATCGAACATACCATTAAATTTAGTACTTTTATCTTGTAATCTAATTTTGATTAATTCGAAAGGAACCACCACGAAGGATTCAGTGGCACCAGCAGTGGCACCAGTTAAAATAGCTAAAGATTGAGTCATTTCACTTACACCAAATTGTTTTCTGTAGAATTTTCCCCATTCATCATTGGCAGCGAATTTAGTTGCTCTCTTTGGAGCTTCCATTAAAATTGGAGCTGAAATCCCTTTATATAATCTTGAGAATCCTTCTTCAGCCACGATTTTCTTTAAACAATTAAGAGTACCATTATAAGCATCGGTAGTGGCTAATTGTTGTCTAGTTTTAACCACATCTAATGGATACATAACCAAGATTTCTGAGACACCAGCAATGGCACCTGCACCAAATTGGTAGATAAAAGGTAAAGGCTTTGGAGCATCAGCAGCAGACATTGTGTATAGAGTTTAAGTTTTGATTGAATTGATGAAAGAATAAAATAATGCAATTGATACCAGATCAAAGATAATATACAATATAATATAATGTAATATGAAAAGATAAGGATGAAAGGAAGGTAGAAGAATGAGTGTTTTTTTTTTTCCCTGGTAAACAAAAAAGTTAGGGGTAAGTCTATTAAATCTATATCGATATCCCTGAGTAAAATGATTAATCAAAGTGGTAATTGATCTAAATCCCTATCTAATTCAAAAGAAATAAGAAAGGAAGGAAGTATTTATAAAAAATCTAAAATTTACAGGAAAAGTTTTCCTTTGAACAAAAAGAGAATTTAAAATTTAATTTGTGTAAATTAAATTACAAAACCTCTCCCCACCTTTGACTCTTTTAATGACAATAAGGCTAAGGTAAAATCCGAGAGGGTTCCCACTATCAGTTATCGCTACTACAACTTTACCCAAGTTACCAGTAAATTGTAGTGATCTACTGGTTAACATTCCTTGTGTATAACACAGATAAGTTGTACTCATCCAACTATTCACTATCAACTACAACTAATGTCATACAATTACATATGACTATTATTACTCGTTTCGATTGTTTATTTTGTGGAGACAGACAATTAGTGTAGAACAATTAGCGGTGAAAAATTTTCAATTTAGTGAGAACTTTTCTTTTAATTAGGGACACAGAAAATTACGCAACCACCACGAACCCACCGCTCTTGACTCACTAATTTTTTTCTTGTTACTGATAGCCTAGGCGGCCGGTTCCGGAACAAAACAATTCACAAAACCTGTAATTACAGCGATCAATCACTAAATTGGATATACCCTTATAAATAGAGTCAATATGATTGATTCAATATAGTATAGTAGTTGATGTATATGGTAGAGTAGTTTGATCAATAACGGTTAAATAAATATTTTAATTCTTACCCTAACTTAATCCAGAATAACCGCTAAATAATCACTCAATCGTTTATGCCATGCCCCTCCCACCCTCCTCCTCACTATTTTGTATCACTGACCGACCCACTACTCCCTCTTTCCCCTACATCTTTCCCCTACAAATTTTAGGTTGAAAGGAAATGGACTTTAGCACTTTGACTTTTTCCATATTTGACATATTATTTGTCGTGCTACTTTTAATTTATATACTTAACTATGTAAAAGTCATTATAGATAGTAGTGTTAGTAATTTCTAGTTATAATTGCTGTTTAGTAGTTTATCAAACGGTTATAATCGGCTACGTCATGTATCACAAGATAGAGTTTCTACCACTACCGTTTTTATGAACCATATTAAGTTACATTAGTACTTAAGCACTACTTTGGTGATCGAAGCCCTGACGTTGTACCTAAATATCCCTATACAACATACCTCCATGTCAACCGTTTATTACTAACTATAAGCCTAGGAGTCGTGTTATCCGGGTAAAACTATTTGTTCCCATACTAAACCTCATTTTTTGGTGATACCTGCATACAATTACACCCTAACTAAAGATTCCATCAGTATAAAGTTGAAAAAAAATTTTTCATATATCAAGTTGTTTTAACAACTTCTTCTTCTTTCTTTCCCCTTTTCTTCTTCGTGCGGCAGCCATAACTATAACCGTGTTGCTTGTCTTTTTCAGATATACCTACGAGTTGGCGAGCGTCAAGTTATGGCGAGATAAACCCCATCTTTTTCACACGAAAAGAAGATCATCTTAATGCCCTTTCATTAGTTTTATCCCATTTGTATATTTGTATGAATATATCTATATGGAAATTGGTGAGGGCTGGTAGATCAAACATTTACATCCTATTAAATTTAAGTTTAATTTTTACTTATCATTACTTCTTTTATATTATGAATAATAAACCTATTTATTCCCTAAATTAAATCCATTGACCTCTAACTATTGCAAATGAAAAATTAATAAACACTCCCACAATCATTGATGTTTTAACTCGTTTATTAAACACAGTATCATCAGCAGCTAAGAATATAACACTTACAACCCCTAAGAATGTCCCCAATAATAATCCAAGTAATAAATCTTCATTACCTTGGACATCATCTAAATCTTGAGATGGAGCTGGAGCTTGGGCTGCCCCTGTCATTCTATCATCAGGATTCACAGTATTTACACCAGCACTATTTCCTCCTGAACCTGGTACATTAGCAGAACTATTAGTTGTGGTGGGAGTCGCCGTCGTACCATTCCCATTCACCGTTGATTCAATCCATCGTTCTTCTAATTGTCGAATATCTCTAGTTCTTTGTTCTTCTTCTTCTAAATCATTAATCTCCCGATTTGCATTCAGCTGTAACATTGATGGACTATAAATCAGATAAAATTGTCGTCTTAAATCATTAATATCATCTTGACTAAACCCTTGTTGTAATAATCGATCAAACCCAATCACTTGAGGAGTAGTACTGATTTCTTGAGGTTTATTGTCTAATTGATTCTCTTCTATCAATTGTTCACTTGTCAATTCTTCTCCAATAACACAATGAATATAAATCTTTTCCCCATCATTTGATGGTGGTTCTGATTGAAGTTGACCTGATGTTTGTTCTTCTTCTTGTTGTTGTTCAATATATCTTAATCGTGGTTCGAATATTTCTGATTTGAAGTTGGTACGTTCATTCAATACTCTCCCATTATAAATTAATCTTAATCGATTACTCTTACATTGTTTAATTCTAGATCGAATAATATTCTTAATCCAACTGATATTGATTAATTTATTAATATCATCTTTACTGAAATTAACACTAATAGGAATGTCCAAATCCTTAACTTGATCTTTGGATGAAACGGTATTCGTGAACCGTATAATCAATGACCACTTCATCTTATGATTGATAGTTTACTATGACTTGTTGTTCCTGTTTGCTCTGGATGTTGCCTTCTGCTTTACCACCCATTTTGTTTGTCACACTAAATTTAGTTTGTGGTTTTTAGAATTTAGACGTGTGAATACCAATAAACTATATACAGGAAATTTGATTCAAATCTAATCAAAAAGTGAAAGAGAGCCATATCTGCAAATGGTATAATTTTTCACTTTAACGATAAGATTCTTCAACAATCTCTTCTTTAAATAAATTTTACTTCACTTTTTGATTTTTCAATCTTCTTTTCAGATATCATTCATTTTACTTTTGATTTACCATAGGACATATTCAAGATGGTAAGTGTTTTACCATTATATGTTTTGATATGCTCGTTGATATGTAATGTTCATGCATCATTAGGTTTACAATCATCATTTGCTGGTCCTCAATTTAACACTATTGTAAATTGGACATTAACCGTTCCTTTCAGATCGATTCAAACCATGCCAGTGGTGGATTTTGTTAATCGTACTTGGATCCAAGTTGAAACTCCAACCTTGAACAACCCAAGATTAGCAGGTAATTTCACTTTGATTGAATTAAAAGCTGCTCCATTTGATTTAATTAAAAAATTCCAAGGTAATACTAATGCAAAGACTATTATTAATAATTTTTCAAGTTATAAATATAATTTCGGTTTAGCTGAAACTTTAACTTATAAATTAAGTTCAATAATAGGTGCTTGGTCACAAAATTATATTTACATTGTATTTCATTATCTTGATTTGGGTGTTGAATTCGCGGCTAGATTTATTAAACTGGCTTTTCGTTTAGCTAAGCTGTATGATTGTGGTGGTCAAATTGTGGAATTTATAATTGAAGGAGATGAAATTCCTTGGATGGTATATGTTGGTACTTGGACTTTAGGTGAAACTTGTCAAATTCCTTCTTCAAATCAAATTATTATAGAGAATGTCCCTGATTGGATTAAAGAAAAGAAAGATCAGAAAGATCAAGGTGAAATTGAAGCATTCACAGTTAAAGTCGATCATAATAATGGTCAATGGTTCTCAGATGTCAAATTTTGTAAAAAGACTGCTAAAAATTATCCATGGCTTATTCCAAATTTACATATACCTAATAAGTATTTGTAAAGCAAGTAAAATTAAGCTTTGCAAGTGACATATTTTCGCAGCTAATACAATTTGTATATAATAGACACTTTAATATAAAACAATGATTTAAGTAAACTCGTACTTTTTGCCATCAAGATCTATGCATTGTACTCTTCCTAATTTAAACGACATCAACAATCATTCTTAAATTTTGAGTCATTAGAGTAAATCATATCGGTAAGTTTTTTGCCATCATAAAATAAATTTCAATTCTTATTTGCCGTTAGACGCCAAATTAATGGCAGCGTGCGAATGCCACAAAATTAAATTATAAAATTCCATAATATGTATAAATAGAGATTGATATGAATCGAATCAAGGGAAGATTTCATCCTAATTGGATTTGTTCAATTCCATTCCATTAGACTCAATTGCAATTATTCTAATTTGTACTTAATAATACTACATTTTCAAATATGTCAACTGTACCATCCAAAGTAGAGGGTTCATTACTGTCAACTTCAACCACGCTTGCTGAAGAAGAGCAAGAATCAGGTTTAAGATACGCCGCTTATGCTAATAGATTTAGAACCATCTTATTAGCTTCTCATAGATATGTGGCTTATACTTCTGATATTGGTGAATCATTCCGTCCCGTGGCTCATCCTTGGTTAGTTAGAATGGGGTACGGTGTATCATGGTTATATATTTTAGGTGATGTTCTGTATTTCTCTTGGATTGTTAAATTGAAATCAGAAGGTCGTTATACTCCAGGTTTAAAACCTTGGCATAATGCTTATCCTGAAGCTGATCCTGAAGCAGCTGCTGCTTTTAAAACTCAAAATCCTTCACTTGTTGATTCAGATTGGAGATTAGTTGCTGTTAAGAGGGGTATTTTCCAAAGTATTGCATCAATGGGTTTACCAGCTTTTACTATTCATAGTGCAGTTAGATATTCTTCCATATTATTTAAAAATTCGGGTATTAATGTCTTAAAAACATATGGTCCAGTGGCAATTGGTTTAGGTATTGTTCCTGTTTTACCTTATATCTTTGATGAACCAGTTGAAGCTGTTGTTGATTGGGTATTTGAAAAGGGTGAACACTTATATAAAGGTAAGAAGTTTGAATAGACGAATAGAATCGATCCATCCTTTAAGTTAAGAATATCCACCTTCTAAATCTTATGATTTTTATATGTTTTTATTTACAAATTGTTATATATATTCGTATCTGAAATTCTTTTAAATCGTTAAATATATTTATATACAAAATATTATAGTCTAAGTCATCGTTTTCGGGTAACTATTATTGAGGTTTAGAGTAATTTAAGGTACCACATTTCTTACAAGTTCTAGCTTCAATATTACCATCAAAGGCAACAATTGCTTCTTTGATTTGAGTACCCAAGTCAGTTAAATAAAATTCATTTTCATTGACTGGTTCTTTACATCCATGACAATACCATCTGACTTTATCATTAACACCTTCTGGTCTATCTTGTTCCACCACTAAACCAATAGTATCAGCAAATCTAACTGGATTATGAGGAGTATTTGGTGGCAATAAGAATGAATCACCTTCATTAATGATAATATCTCTGAATTTACCTTCATCGACGACTTTCAAACACATATGACCCTTTAATTGATGGAAATATTCAGGGGTTTGATTGATATGATAATCAGTTCTTTCATTTGGACCTCCAACTATCATAATGGTGAATCCACCTCTATGAAGACAATAATTATTAACTGGAGGTTGTAATAAATGACTGTTTTCTTCAATCCATTTCTTAATATTTATAGGTTCTGCTAACATCTTGTATAGTTCAGGTAGTGATATGGTATGATGTAAGATGGAAATAAATTTGAAAAAGATGGAGAAATTAAGTGAAATTTATATATTGGCAAAGACGGACCATTACAAATCCGCTGCGTCATATCATACGAGATCCAAATAGTAACGAAAAAAATATTTTAGTTAGAAATAAATATTCATATAGTGATGAATATACGATTATACGACCACTTGTTTGAAATATAAGTGTATATATCTCTGAATGACCATATGACCCCTAGTTCGTTTATATACGTTTGACTAATCGAATTGTTCTAGTCTTCATAGGTTCTTTCTGATTTTTATGATAATTGCAACTTAACTTATCGGAACCTTCATCCGAAAAGTCTACAACTCTTGCAACAATAATTTTAATTCTGCAATATATAAAAATAAAAAAAAAACATTTAAGGAAATCATATAAGCATTATAAAAGTCATCTAGTTGACTGACAATCTAAATAGCTAAAGCTGAGTTACTTTGAAATGGAATAAATAAAAAATTTTCAAAAAAAAAAGCTTCCCCACCAGGAGTCGAACCTGGAATCTTCTGGTTCCAGAAGTGGATACTAAATCGTAGCCAGACGCCTTGACCATTGGGCCATGAGGAACGAAGCTCTAGCAGAAAATATTGTCTGGTTTGTGTAAATAAGTCAAACTTAAACTTCAAAAAATGGTCAAATATCGATATTTTTGGTGATTTAAAGACATAAACGTATTAAATTATATCTTAATAATATGTTTCATGTGTTATTTAACTACTGAGATATTTGTGTGGGCTAATATTCCTAAAATTGAAATATTAGAATTGCAAATCTGAAAAATCTTTGAGATCTACAAACAGTAAAAATTGATAACTAAAAATATAAAAATTGAACTCTTAAACTATTACATTGACCTACTAAAACTATAAATATCTATTTTTATATATGTAATTTATTATTTGCTTTAATTTCAATTCAATGAAGAGAAGAGTATAATATTAAAAATATTTCGCATCCAAAATTTGAAAAACTACTTTGGAGGAATAAAATGCTCTTCTAATACTTCAGTGTTACTTTCACTACTTTCAACTAATTTTTCAGCATCTTTCATTCCCTTCTCAAAATCAACCAAATAATAAAGGGTTATTGAGATTAAAACCAAAAAGAGATTTGGTAAGAATGGAAATCTATCGTTATTTGTTCTGTCTTGAATAGTAGCATTGACCAATGATCCAATCCAACCAGTTGCTACTCCTAACATTATTTCAAGACCAAAATATTGAGCTTCATCACCTTCAGGAAGTAAGGTGCTATAAACGGTTCTATTTAAAGATCTCATTGATGAACTTGAAGCTGAATAGAAAACTTCAAAAACCCAAAATTCCCATCTATGTTTGAAACCAACAGAAGTTTTATTGCTAATACCCAAGCAACCCCAAAAGTTAGTAAATAATGAAAATGCCAAAAAGCCATAACCCCAAGTCTTAATGTTTATTGAACATCTAGGATATAAATACATCCATGAAATAGAACCAATACAAGCAGTAACATATGACATGAAAGTATATACTGTGTATTCTGAATCCGAGGAACCCAAACCAAGAGTTGATCTGAATAAAAGCACAAACATACTCATAAAATTGCTGAAACTAACATTCCAAACGACCCAAGCGATACAATAGAGGAAAGCATTGGGATACTTTTGAATTTCTTCAAGTAAGCTGATAAACCTTTTTATAGTTAAAAATAACAAGATTTCATGTTTTGGTTTTTCCTTACCACGAACATTAGGAATAAAAAATGCTGATATAATTGAAAAAAGAACTGTAATACCACCCGCAATAGAAATAGCTAACAAAAAGTTATGATAACCGTTAACCATAGGACCACCTCTAGTATATGAGATAATTATCCCAATTAATAAAGCCGTAAGACCACCAAGATTTCCAATAAATAATCCCATAACACTAACAACTGAACCTCTTTTCAAAACCATTTCTCTTCTAACATCTTCAGCGACAGACCCTTTAGGAGATGCAGCTCTCAGGAATAAAGGAATATAAGAACCTTCTAATATTTGATAAGTTGAATCAACCACCGAGAGAAGACCATATAAAGCCGACAAAGCCATTAATGTGGGATAATTCTTACCAGTTAATCCTCCAAATGGTAATGCAAGTGTACCATAAACAAAAATTGAAGCGATTAAAAGAATTTTTCTGTAATTGGAATAATCAGCAATACCCATTAAAAATAAACATAACACACCTTCTAAAGCAGTTGCAATAGCTCTCAAATACAAGACATATGATGTATAATGAACAGTTCCAGTACCAAATTTGACATAACAATCGTTTCCTTTAAAACCACATTTTTTTCCAGCTTTGGTTTTTCCAACCTCTCTAGCGACGGATTGTATGGTAGCGGGGATATATGTTCTTGACATTGACGCAACAGGACCTGTTGTATAACAAAGTAATAACCAAGCACGATAGATTGATTTCTTGGTCCATATTGATTCACTTTCAATTACAGACTGTTCAAGATCCAGGGAACGAAGAGTTTTATCACCATCTCCTTGGTTGATACTGTCGTATTTGGAGTTTATTGATGAACTTGCGGAATTTGAAATGTTAGACTGGTCAACCATTTTGTCTGTTGTTATTCATACTCCAAATATATGAGTTTTCAGGTAGCTTTGGGTTGGGTTTTATAGTTTAATGTAAATTCAATACAGCAATACACAACTCCTTTATCGGAATGTTTAAAGAGTTCGAAAGACCATTGCGCAAATTGAAAGGCTTTAACAGGGACTAAAATTTCTTGGGAGTGAGCAAATATATGCACAGAAAATGTGCCTACAATTGCCGCATTGAGAATTATACTTTTGATTCATTGCAAATATATACTTTAATTACAATAAACTATTTACTAGTTCTAGGTAGAGAATATTCATGTCTCCATTTCGAGCCATATTTGAGCAATATTATCACAAATCCAATACCAACAAGGTATGTAAATGCCAATCCCGTGAAACACCACCCATAACCCATCAGTTTAATTAATTTGTCAATAATAACCGAAGAAATAGCGGCAGCTACATTCCTCATCAAGTTTCCGATAGCAACATTAGTAGCTGGCAGACCAGTTGTACACTCAGTCAAGTAAGTCGTATTGGAAACAAAAACCCATGTCATACCAAACCCAGATAAAAATGCAAAGACAAATACTGCAACTACATGAACTTGCTTTTCTATACACCAACCATATCCTACCATTCCAGCCATTGATATAATCAATCCAACAATTTGTAAAGAAAATCTCTTTTCTGGAATATAAGTATCTGCATCCTTTTTCTTAAGCATTTGGCATAATCTATCAGAAGACCATCCACCTAAAAGGGAACCCCCAATCAAGGAAATACCGGGACAAATATATGACAAACTTACATGAAGCTCAGAGAAGTGATATTTCTCTTTCAAGACTCTTGAAAAACTTATACTCATTGCATAGAAAGCCGCAAACAATAAACCACCATTTATAGAACAAAGAAGAACAGGTTTATAGTTTAAAAGTTTCCAGATGAGTTTAATACTTGGTCTTGGTGGTTTAGGAAAGCGTTCACTTTCAGGAACAAGTTTTTCTTGTTTTAGTTTTGGTACCACGAACCATGAACCATTTCCGTAACATTCTCCATCTCCAACAAGATAACGTAAGGTCTCTGGAAGAAAGAAAAGAAGTACCAAGTATACAACAAAACCAAATATAGCCAAAAATCCAAAAATCCATCTCCATTGTCCTTTAGCACCAATAGAACTTAACACAGGTCCAATGATTGGACCAATTTGAGGACCAATCATAAAAATTGATATTGCTTTTCCTCTATCCTTGGGACTGAAAAGATCAGCAACAGTTCCAGCTCCTAATGAAATTACACTGGATGCACCAAATGCTTGAACGATTCTTAAAACGTACAATGCTCCAATGTTAGCTGGAACAACTGCTAATAAGATATTAGCAAGAATGAAAAATACCAACGATACAGAATATAAGATTTTACGACCTCCAAAATCAGCCCAACTTGCCCATAAAAGTGGTGCAAATGCAAATGTAATCATGAATACTGATACAGTTCCATTGATTGTTGTGGCCGAAACATGAAATACATCCTGTAATAATGGTAATAAAGGAATATATATGTTTCCGGAAATTGGACCCAATAATCCAGCTAAGGTGACTAAAGCTAGGATAAAGAACTTTCTCTTCCTAGGAATAACTGAATAAGTTGGTCTCAGAACCTGTTTCTCTATATCTTCCAGATTTGAAGATACTTCTTCTGTCTTCAATTGTAATGGTGTCTCTTTAGCTTCCATGACTCTTAATTTCAGAAACAAGTTTGATAAACATGGTTGAAAAAATAAAAATATTTTAAAAAGTAGATAAATATTTAGGAAAAGGTTAAAAGCCGACTAACTTAAAAATTTGATAAATCAGAAGGCAGTTTTAAAGTTGCCGTATTCTAAATATTTCATCATATAAACAAAACGCGGCAAAATATATGCTCAGTTTAAAAAATAAATTTGCTCATGCAAAGAAAAAAAAAGAGCTGCAAAAATTCTTTTTTAGGAAAGAACAAATTTGCGCTTCCTACAAAAAAAAAATATAGATGACAGGATGATTAATGTATTGACTTTTTATCATGTGTTTCAAACTTAATTTTGAGCATCAAAGGACACACTGGACCAGCTGGTGTTAACTTGTCTTTCCAATTTTCGGCTAAACTAATATCATAATTAGTTAATATTTCAACAACAACAGCTCTTGTTTCTAATAATGCAAACTTCTCACCTAAACATGCTCTCTTTCCTCCATGAAAGGCAGGTAGTTGAGCATTTCTCTTGGCAATGGAATAGTTTGAGTTTATTTCTTCTAGTGTATGGCCCCACCTTTCGGGTTGAAATTGATCTGCATTGTTCCAAATGTTGGCGTCTCTACCAGTTCCAAAATTATTATAACCAACATATACGTTTTGAGGAATTTTTATTTTATTTCCAAGCATTACTGGTCTTGTAGTTCTTCTATTAATAATTTGTCCCAAGGGTGGATACATTCTTAAAGTTTCATAAATCACAGATTGAGTATAGGGTAAATTATCAACCCCTTCAAGAATTTCTTTTCTTATCTGATCTTGAACATGACGATTCTTTGCAATTACGTAAAGTAAAGAGAGCATTAGTAATAAAGGATTTTCATGCCCAGCAACCATTAAAATTATAATGTTATCAGTGAACAGTTTAAAGTTAATACTATTGTTTTGATAAGCTTCTATTAATTTATTACCAGCTAAGTTAGAAGTTTCACCTGATTGTCTTGAGCCAAGAACCAATTGAGCAAAATAATCTCTAAATTTTCTAACTTCTTCCATAGCCTTTTGTCTACTAGGAATAGGTAACATATCCAAGAATGGAAAATTAAGGTATAACGGTTTGAATATCTGCAGTTTCACATATTTTATTTTGTTATGTAATTCATTATCATCTTCTTCCAAGCTTTTAAAATTCATGCCGATAACTGATTCACCAACGTTTGCAAGAGCATATTTTTGAAGAATATCCATAACTGAAAAAGTATCACCCTTATTTGTAATCTGGTCTTGGATTAGTTTAACCAATAATTGTGAATTTTTATGGACTGGTTCTATATTTGGAAATTGAATGGATTGTTGAACGACATTTCTATACAATTTCCATTGTTTACCATGAGCACTTATGATGTTATTCCCAGTATAATTTGCTAAAACTGAATATGGAATCTTTTCTTGATTACCGCTTTTTGCATAAATATCTTCATATTTGAAAACTTCTTGTAAATATTCAGGTTTGGTTACTAGGATATTCCATCTAGAAGCAAAGTATATTTTAACAGCACCGTACTTTTCTAACTTAGCTCTGAGATATTTGTTGTATATTTCTTCTTGATCCATATTGGTATATGTTCCTAAAAATGAGACATAGAAAGGAATGGTTGGGATATTGGTAGGAAATTCGAATGGTGGAATAATAATGGTTGAGATTACATACACAAATACTCCTATCACAACACTTGAAATAGTTCTCAAGTAGAACATATAATCAACCATCTCCAGCATAATTAAAACTTAGTATAAACAGTAAGCCTCAAGCTTTCAAAGTTTCAAAATTGGGAGAAATACAAAAGTACCTACTCTTATACAATGTCTAAGTGAGTATCTTGAGCAAATCTGAAGTTAAAGTACATCACAAAAAAATAAGATGAATTAGGACCCTACTTATACGGCTTCAAAAGTGGAACATGAAAAATTTTCTTAACTCAAACTTATTCTTTCCAAATTCAATAACTTAATATGGTTATATTAGATGATTCTTCTACTGTTGAGTTTTGTCTCAAGTGTAATATAAGACCACCATTGTAGTTACTTTAAAAAAGCAATTTTCCAATTCAGAAGTATATAATCATCAACTTACGACTTTTTGTACTGTATGACTCTATAATATCAAGAAAGTATCAGAATTATAGTGGTAACCTATCACGAATGAAACCATTTGAAAGTTTCTTATGCTTATTATATAAAGTTGGCATTTTCCAACAATAAGCATAACAAAGTTTCTTTGGAAAGCACTAATAAAAAAACACCGAAATGACTGCGACCGAATTTTCTACCAGTTTATCATCTAGCTCGTCTTCGAGCTCAAGCTCAAGTTCAAGTACAAGCGAAGAGTTCAGTTCCAAGAGAACTACTATTTATGAAAGAGTAAGATTAATATATAGCAGAAATGATAATGGTATTATCAGTTATAGAAGCTATAGTAATTTTGATGTTTGTCAAGTTTCCGCTATTGATGTTGTTCTTACTGAGACTGCCAAAAAAATTGGTAATCTTACTATGACTTGTTTTAAAGACTTTAATATTTGGGAAATGGCTAATAGCTCTGATGAAATCATCTCGGGAGTTGTTACCGAAGATTTTGATGCTAATGAATTTGAAATTTGGATGATTGAATTAATTTTGCGTACTACCAATGTTAAATTTCCGCAGCCTGATGTTGAAGAGAGAACATCAGAACGATATACGGGTTTAATTACTGATAAATTTAATAATGAATTGAAGAATAACGTTGAAAATGATCAATGGGATAAAGTTGGAAGATCAGTATTTTATAAGAATGTTGATTTTTTCACTTCAAGAGGTAAACCATTAGAAGCTGTATTACCTGCTTTCCCATGTAAATCGTCCAATGTGGAAAAAGTTTCAGGGCAAATGCCTGATAAAGGAGAAGAATTAGCTTTAAGAAGATTGATTTCCTTTTCAAAATCAATTAAAAAAGTGTATCCACCTGGTATTATTATTTGGATTGTTAGTGATGGTCATGTTTTTAGTGATTGTATTGCTGTTGATGATTCAATGGTTAATAAATATACTCAAGCTTTAAAAGATTTATATCAATCTCTTGTTAAAGAAATTGATGATGAATGTGATCCTATTAAATTTTGCTCATTACCTGATATCTTCTCTTTAAAGACAAAGAAATTTAATGAAGATATTATTGCTGATGTTGAATTGGGTCATTATTTAGGTACAGAAATTGATCCTGAATCGGAGACATGTCGTAAGATATTAGTTACTTCATGTGATACAGATGATGGAAATTTAAAGAAGGATATTAATACTCCAAATCATGCTAGATTACATTTATTTAGAGGATTTTCGAAATTTATGACAGAAGATTTACAATTACATCCAAATGTCGTCAATATGTCAAGAAAGAAGTTTAAAAAAACAGTTGCCAAAGTTGCTTTTGAAATGATTAAAAGAAATGATGCTTATTCAAATTTAGTGGAGTTAATTTTCCCATTCCATTTAAGATTTTCAATTCATGCTCATATCAATAGTGGACCTAAATTTGGTATTCAACTATTAAGTAAACAAGGTCCTGAAAAATGTCAAGTTATCGAAACCATTGATGATCATAAACAACCTCAAACGGCTGACTTATTACATATTCCAACTCCTTGGCATAATTCCATTGTTAGAATTAATAATAATGACACTTACTATGTTATTAAGTCTAGCAGAGTTATGGAAGAAATTGAAAATGGAAGAGGTAAAGGTGGATGGGATGCTAATAAGCGCCATTATACTTTTATCTCCCATTAGGGTTATACCACTATTTGTTTGATTTGTTTATCTTTTTTATTTATTTATCTATCTATTTGTCTGTTTTGTTTTGTCTGTTTTATCTAGCTAGCACATACCTAATAATGTTTAAGTTGTTGTTCTCTTGTATAGCTACCTTTCTTAATTTGTCTTTGTTTTTAATCTCTCTTAATAAATATTGAAATTATCAATCAAATACATGGTAGCAACCATTTTATTGTCGTGTAAAAATATTATGAAAAATGAAAAAAATCACAAAATTGATCAAACTCGAAATTGTACACAAACGAAAATTAAAATGGTAAATATTTATGAAACTAAATCGTTTAAGCAAATCTTCTACTTCACATCAACCAACAGGTCAAAACACCATACAAACAATTCAGGATGTCACCAACACAATTAACCATCAAGGTGAATGCCTTAAAGAGACTTATCAAAGAAGAGACATTATATCAACAAGAAGTCAATGAACAAGAAAGCTATGTTGAAAGTATGAAATCTAATAATGGTGATGAATATGAAATTAAAAAACAAGTTGAAGTATTGGATGAAAGTAAACGTATGATCACTGAATTGAAAAAGAAACTTGTGAGTTATACTGATGATTTGAAGACGTTTGTTGAGAATTATACTGGTGATGAAGATTTATCAAGTGCAAAGGAATTATTGGTATAGAGTTAGATCATATTACTCGTCAAGATATATTGAAATTTGTATATACATATATTACGAAAGATGAATTTTATATTTTTAACATTACTTATAAACAAAATAAAAGAATAAGATTATATTAGATGATTGAAAACCAATCAAAGTAGAACTAAGAAACAATCAATAATAATACTGAAATCCTGACAAAAATTATGAATGAAATAGCGAGTAAAGTAGCAAGCAAAGTGATAAGACAAATTTGACTAATGTTCTAAAATGGTCAAGTTACCAGTAACCACAACATTTTCTAAAATAGAACCATTTGGAATATCAATTCTTTGTCCATCATTACAAACAATAATAACAGTACCCTTTAAGGTAACTCCTCTACCTAAATTAACATTACCAGTTATAGTTAAATGATCTAATTCTAAAATCTTTGGCATATGAGGAATTCTTGATTGGAATCCACTAACTTTTTTAAAATGAGATCCTAATTTAATTAAAGGATTTGAGAATCCATCTCTAGTTGGATCTAATTTTAATGCACCATGTTCTAAAAAGAATAAATCAGATTTAACTAATAATAAATCAGAACATGTTTTAACTGGTAAGAATCTTGATCTTGGAACCACTACACCATGAGCACCATTAAAATGTCTAATGGCAGCACCAACAGCAGTTTCTAATTGTAAAACATTAATTTCACTTGAACCAATTGAAATAGTTTTTTGATTTGGAATAATTTCAGCTTCAATAGCATTTTGTTCAACCAAATTTTTAATAGCTCTTAAATTAATCCATAAATTATTAGTATTAAAATATTTAAATTTTTTAATACTTTTAAATTCTTCAACATGTTCTTTTGGAACTTGAGCAATTTCTAATAATCTAACTTGACCATCATAATTAATTAAAGTACCACCTTTAACATCAGCTCTTGTTTTATCAGTTAATTCCATAAGATATTCAGCACCAGTTTCAATCATATGATTTAAAATTTTAACATCAACTGTAGCACCTAAATTATCACCATTTGAAACAAATAAAATTTCTCTACCTTGAGCTAATAAAGCATCTAATTCACCAGATTGAACTAATGATTCAAATAAATCACCATGACCTGGTGGATACCAAGCTTCTAAATTATCATCATAAGTAGTTGGAACTGGTAATAAAGAATCTCTATAAATTCTTGGGAATCTTGATTGATTAAAAGTTTTAATTCTAATTCTATGACCTTGATATTTTTTAATGATTTTAGCAGTATCATTATCAGTATTAAAAGAATTCATTAATAATAATGGAACATCAGCATCATAATTACGATTTAAATATTCAATTTGTCTAACACTTAAATCTAAAAAGGTATTACCATCTCTAACTTCAATAACTGATTTTGGACCAACACAACCCATTGAAGTACCTAAACCACCATTTAATTTCAATACAGCTAATTTTGATAAATTAGTGGCATCTTTGGCAACTTCGTCAAAAGTTTCATATTGAACCACTTCACTTGGAGTTGGGGACTTTATTTTATCCCAATCTAAAGTGGTACCAGCAGCTTTATCAGTTAAATATCTTCTGAATAAAGCAAAGAAAGAATCCATTTCATTTTCAAATCTTTGTTGTTCATCAGGATTTTCAACGGTATCAGCTATATTATTCAAAGCATTACGCATTTGTGAAGCGGCAACAGTAGTGGTTGCAGTATCAAAAGCCCAAGTCGATTGAGTTCTGATATGTTTTTTAGCAGCAGACATAATGAATGATGGATGATTGATGAATTATTGACTTGTGTTTTAAAGATTAATTGATCAGTATCAAACTAGGTTATGAATATTAATAAATGGGGAGACACACACGCAGTCAGACGAAGGACGGAGAGGTATATGGACCTGGTTTTTTTTTGTTTTGAAATCAATTGAACAAGTCAATTGAAACGCCAATGGGTGGATTGAACTAAGGATATATATCTAATATATAGCTATTCAAAAACTTCAAAATCAGAAGAAGAAAATCAAAACTCAATTGGATGAAATCAGGGTTGGAAGAAATTTGGTTTTATTTATATGGTGATGCATCCATTTTTTTTGGTAAATGTGGGATCGAACGAACCAAAACAAAAAAAAAAAAAAAATTAAAAAAAAAAAAAAAACAAAGTCGTGGGGAGTGGTCAAAACGTAATTTAAACAGAACAAACAGCTAATTACATATCATTGTTTCAATGAACAAATGAAGTTTAGAAATCGATAATCTTTTCTGAATACGTAAAGTGGTAGATGCAGTGGAGTACTTTGATATATACTTATTATAACATAACAATAGCTCGCTTTATTAGACTTGATGGTTATGCCGAGAAAGATCTTATTTTGAAATTTTGTTGAGTGAGTTGCAAATTTTATTACGCAGTAGGGATACTCAATAATTAGCGGGGGAATAATTAAAATTAAGGAGAAATTTTGCTGAGAAATAGGGAAGGTGTGGGTGGGTTGCCCACTACCCATGCCAATAATTTTTAGTGAGTGAGAGTTAAGTGGGGACAATTTAAATTTTCTGCCTTGCTTCACCTTCTTCCCCCCCATCACCCCACCTTCCATACATCATCAACAAAATTTTAATATGGTTGCGATAGATTACAATCACTTATCAAAACAGGTAATCATAACTGACGTAGACAATACCAAGAACTATAACCCAATTAAATTAGCAATAATTTATTATTTTGTATCTAATAGAATAAAAATTTTATGCACAAGAACATAATAATAGGCGATTAATTTTGATATGATTTATTTTATTTTATTTTATTTCATTTCATTTTATTTTAGGTTAGTTTTTATTCTATAGGGAATCAGCCTCGATCATAACCTAAATATAGTAATGCTAATCATATTAGTATTAATATATTTGACTGGTTTTACCTTACGTTACATTAATGTAACCATAACTTAAAATTTTAGCGTTGAAACAAAATTTTCTAGTGGTGTGAGTGAATAGTTTCCTCTATCTTCCGCCTTAGCAAAGGAATTCTATTGGATTAATCATTTTATACTACATCAATAAGCCAAATAGTGTTACATAGCATTAATTTATCATAGTGAATGTTTAGACAAGGTACCTTGATATACCCCTTATTCGTATTCATATCTTCTTCCCTTCATAAATCCATCTTTGTGCCTAGTTTACTTATCTCTTGATTTACCTTTTTGCGGTAAATTTCAGTACTCACAAAATTTCTTTTGTCGAAAAAGAGTCTCCGTTGTCTGATGAACAGTTTCTCCGAACAATACTATTTCGTCACTACTCTTACTTACTGCTAAATCAATTCGCTTAATTCTTAGCTTTGACATCATTTTAAGACGTAATTATAATTCATCGCAAGGCTCAACCCGTACTTATGTTAACGTTGTCTCATACATAATTTTACTTTGGACCATCATCCCATTCGAATTGTCATGTCAAATGTAACAGTTGAAACTTGTCGCAAAATTCATTTTTGTTTATCGATGCTTAACTATGTTGGACAAAACGTTGCGCAAAATGAACGCTTTCCAAAATACTGCTTAATGATATGAAGCTAATTATCCTATGATCTATTTTACCTCTTTGTATACACAGTAGACTATCACCAATTAACCCTTTTTGACTAATTAAAAAAATTCACGTGACTAAATCTCTCTTTAAAACTACAATAAGTAGTGAGATTTTAAATTAACAACTTAATAATTGAAGTTACAGTGGCCGAGCGGTTAAGGCGACGCCCTGCTATTTGTAGCAGCCTAGGCGTTGGGTTTTACCTGCGCAGGTTCGAATCCTGTCTGTGACGTTATTTTTTTATATTCATTTTGTAATATTAAGTCATTTAATTTTTGTATTTTACCTGATCATAATTAATGGGGTGGAAATATATTGGGCGCTGTTTGTTGACGTGTTCAGTAAATATTTATATTTTTTTTGTGTGTGTTTAGCGGGCGGCCTCCCCGCGAGTATTTAATAATTTGAGATTTTCAGTGGGGAACCCGCAAAAGTGATAAGAAAAATAATTATGTTGCAAAAAGAAGCTATTATTTTACAAAACATTTATTACACATTTATCAAATAGTTACACCAATTTACATATCTATATATCGGTTTTTTATATCACATTTGTTTGCCATATATCAACCAAGAACTTGAATCTTGCTTGATTTATGGCATTCACATTAATCACTATCCCTCGTTGACCATCAATAGAATCTCCCACAACATCATAACTACACCAATATGGGAATCCCTTGAATCCACCGAAGTTGTCTTGTTTTATCCAACTTTGAGAGGGTTCTAAATATTGTAAATTCTCACTGAAAATTGGATTGGTAATGGTGGGTGCTTTCATTATGTTTTCAATCACAAGAGGGTTCAATTTCACTTTTGTATCAAATAAGCTTCGATCAACAGTTTGATGCGTCAGATTTGTTCCATCATCATTGACGATGATTTCTTGTTCAATGGCCACATATTTTCTCTCTAAATCTTGTTTGAATTTAAATGAATCTCCAAAGAGATTATCCAATTGATATGAGGTAACATATAACAATTGATCCTTCATATTTATTTGTCCCCAAGATGATGAACAAATCTCTTGAGCCATAGAGACCTTTTCCAGAGCACGATTAATTCTTGGAGTCAAAATACCTGTTCCAACTCCATATTCAAAATTAAAATTAGGCATATGACCTGCTAATTCCTGACCAATCCACATATGTTCTAATTTTAATTGATCCTTAATGGTGAAGAATCTTATCGAAAGCAATTTATAAATTTGGAAATTACAACTTAACAATAACCCACTCATAGCTTCATTCTTGTTAAATATCATCATATGTGAATCGATCAACTTATCGAAATTATCACGATAAATTCTCTTTGTGGCAGTCATATCCTTATCTCTCTTCGGTATGTTGAAATATTCGAAATCTGAATCTGAGGGATATATATGATTCTCAATTAATGATGTAACTTCATGAAACCCTGGGGTGAATTTTTTAATCTTAGAATCTTGATAATAAGAAGGAAGTTTGAATAATAAATGTCCATGTTTTCGATATGATTCATCTTGGAATAATTGTTCAATTTCAATCAAGGGTATCGTATGGGGTGATAATATTATAGCTTCTTCAAATGAATTGAAAATAGTTCCTAAAGTATAAATGAAACTTGGACTGTTATATATATAATTCTTGGCCACCAATGGATGTTGTTTCGTATTCTTTAATGGCGTCAAATCAACAAACCAAATCACTTGTTTGGGGAAATCCTTCTCACTAGCAAATTTAGCCGTTTGATCCCTATGCAAAAGTTCAAAATAGGCTTTGTAGCTGGAAGGCAATTTAGATACATCGGTACGAGCAGCTTCAATGATTTGTTTCATTTCTTGTTCATTCAAATCATTATTACTTTTCATGTATGTGATTTCTATAGGGAGGGTATTTTTCAAAGCTCGTAATACCTTGATTAATCGACATACATTTGATAATTGCCGATCTCGAGCTGAACTAAGAACAATCGGTATGACTATACCTTTACCATTGCTTTTCAACTGAAAATCACGAATGAAAAGATTACTAGATTCACTAGAAGATTTCTTGGATCTATCGTATATGGGAAGTTCATTTGTAGGTAATTTTTCTCCTTTCCAATTTTGAAATATTGGTAATGATTTCGATAGCCATGGATAGAGCTTATTCTCAAAATCGCCAGCTAATTTGTAATCTGGCTGATCTGAACTTTCACCTGTATTGTTGTCTATAAAGCAATTTCCCCATACTCGTAAATGGTTGAAGGTAGTACTTGTTTGACCTTCATGAACGGATAAATTATAACTTCGAAGTATGAATTCTTTTTCTATTTCGATATTATGATGAGGATGGAATCTTTCCCCAATTCCAGCTAACTCTTTCTTCATGGACTTTTCTCTCTCTCTAACCCATTTCTTCTTCTTATATAGATATCTATCAACAGGAGTATACTGTAATACTTCTAGATCAACTATATCATGTGGATATATTTTTTTCAATTGTTGAAAATATGATTGACATTTACTATTGAAACTTAATGCTGAAATTTTTGTAGATTGTCGATCCCATTTATCATAAACTTGATTTGAAAACGCCTCCCTTTGAGCTATAATATCATAGTCCTTTGGTAAGGAAAACACCGAATTATTTGTAAAGTTGAAAAATGGAATCAGTTTTTCAAAATAGATGGTACAGATAACAAACACCACAATAGAGACTAAAAGAAAGAATCTTCGTGATCGTAGTATCGATGCTCTGTACACTCGTTTGATACCCACCTTCCCCATGGTATAAGAAAGCTTCAGTCTTCTTTAGGCGATTCAGGCTGGAATTAGCTTAAGTCGTATATTGTGATATTTACGTTAAAATTTACGATTGTGTTTATATTTGGGCTTTCATGTTTAGACGAGAATGAAAAAAAAGAACAGAGGCGATATCGTGTGAGGTGCTAGCTAATGTTAAATTATAGTTAAGTCAATTGTAACATACATTTAATTAGATTAAACACATCTAATGTTAAGATTATAGTGAAGTTAAGGCAAAATATCAACAAGTGGATGAAAGAGAATCTATTTCAACGCGATTTAGAGCAGAAACTGAAGGTTCCAATTATGCTTTATCTCTTATATACAATTTTAAACAATTGAGATTCGTAGCCAGCTAAAATACCTTCAATTGAATAAGATGTGTAAAATTGATGAAACAGGAACAATTCTGATTGATTGATTCTATAAGACTTTGCCGAATAATTTATCGATTTCATTAACCTCTTGTTCCCCATCTTTCTTATCATCAATAAGTTCACTATTTTGCTGTATAGGACTTGTAACTGTAGACGATACATTCTTCCTTGGTTGCATTACACCTTCAAATGATTCAAAACCAGGGGCAACCTTAATCTTTTGTAAACTTATCCATTCTTTAAATTTCTCTGATTCGGGATTACTAACAATCTTTGATTTAATCGATTCAAGTTCATCAACCCATTTTTGGATATCAGCATCAGTGATATTGATATTAGGAGGTATCACAGTATTGGATAATGTCGGTATTAGTTTACCATAATTGGTTTTTAACGTGATTGATTTTGGGGTTTGATATGAGGGATTCTTAATTAATGGAACCTGTTTTAATATTGGATCAGCTAAATCATGGTATAGTTAGTAAAATACAATTCGAATGTGGTTTGTATCCTAGTGACTACTTACGTTTATCTGTATCATCCATTGCTATTGATTCAATTGATTATATGACTGGTAGAATCAACTTGTGTATATAGAGAATTGTTAGTTTAGATTCATTTTTTGTGTTCAGTGCGATAGAAATTTTGAATGTACAATAGAGTAGATGAACAATATACCAAATTCAGTGTAAATACAACAGCAACAATCCACCATTACATTAAGGTTCTGTAGTCAATTATAAAGATTTAAGCTTGGGTTTTTATTATCAAGATATATATATAAAATGTATAGAGGTATCTATATATATAAAATTATAGTACAGTGAAGAATACAAAGGTTAATTTGTATGAATTAGAAGCCGGGAATCAAGGCTCTTTCATCTATTATGTATTTGATTGAAAAGTGATACCCTCAAAGTTTAATTTGATCTGATTTCGTTAATCAATCAATTAATTATCCTTATATTGACGAACTAAGATGTATGCATTTTCTTGTTTTAAATTACTTAATGATCTATAACCACCTTCTAATCTCATTAATAAACCACCAAAGGAAATATAAACTGACATTTTATCATTATCTTCATTTTCTTCGAATTTATAAATAGTACCATACATGACATAATCATAATCATCAGCTAAAGAATGAGTTTTATCATCAGCCCTTGGAGGTCTCCAAGAACCATTTGAAGTTAACATTGATTTTTCATTACCCAAGGATGAACTCAAAGCAATGGTTAATGAATCATTTTGTTTCACTGGGAATAATTCATTATTTATATCTAAAGTTATTTTAATATCTTTTGAAGTTGATGAATTAGCCACTATACGGGCAACTTTGGTATATCTACCCATGTCAGTAGATTCAACTACGAACATATCTTCGAATAAGATTCCAGACATTATGGTTTGATTGTATGTGTATGTAAATGTATATGATGATGATTCAATGAATATGGAATGAATGATTCAAACATATACATTCTTTGATAGATAATTTTCACTTTTCATCTTTTTTTTGACTTTCCTTGATGACATTTTGAAAAAAAAAATCTGTCATGTGAAAAGTCATGTGATTCAGGAAGACATTTTCATCAAATATTTATAAAAATGGGAACAACATTCGAAATGCGACATTCGTATATTGGATTTTATTTTTTAGTTGCCAGTTTAACATAATTTCGTTTCATGAGTTCTATATAAAATAATTAAAGAATTCTAAATAATTTTTAACACATTCATGGTTGGTCCCTCTACCATTCTTGGGGGATTTAAGTGATAGAACATTCAGTGAGATTTAGTTAAGAGAAATGACACTTTGTTCTTTTGAACAAATTTACACATTTAGAACCATGACCCCTCAAAATATACGAATCTAAAAGTTTAACACGTAATAGTCAACTAATAAGTTATATCTACTTCATATTATAAGTATATATCATACTTTATCCACTACGTCGTATACTACTCTTTACAAGGTTATTCAATTTGCAACTGATTGGTGTAGAAGAAGAAGAAGAAGAAAAATTGAGAGTTGAAAATCTCATAATAAAAAATGTAAACAAAACCACAAAACTGATATTACCATTTTTAGAATTGTAATTAAATAAGAGAAGGGTTTTCTGAAATAGAATGTGTTAAATTTTTTATTCTATATAACCTCCTTAAATCCCTGAATAAAGCTATAGATATTCGATTATTAACTTATTCATGGACTATAGACATCTCAATTAATCATGAATATGTTGGAAAAGGAAAAAGAATTACCTCTTTATTTTAAGGATATTGATGCTAAACAAAACAATGCAAAGAAAAGAAGAAAGACTCTTGGTATTATGGTAGTCGTCTTTCTTATAGGTTTATTATATACATATAACTCAGCAACTATAACAACATATCTCACATCTACTTCAGTTTCCAACTATAGCCCCATTGATTCAAAACCAAATGTAAATCTTGGTAGTATTGCATTATCTTCATCTACATACAATTCAGCTGAAGAAGAACTCAAAAGTACAAATTTATTCATAAATCAAATAGCAACTAGAGATGACACTTCGTCAGACTCGTCATCATCATCGTCAACTAAATCAACTCCAATTTATGATATAGTAGGTGTAAGAATTGGATTTGCATTGGTAGGTTTTGTCTTATTAAATATGATTGCCATTGTCATTCATCATATTTTCTTGAAAGTATCTCGTGCCAGTCAAGCTTATAAGAATGTTGAATTACATTATTCTCCATTTTAGTCATAATTAAAAGTATATAACATCTACGTAGTGCAATATATATATTATATATTATAATGTTAGTCGCTAATGCTCGGTCGCTCGGTGATCCTGCCACTAAGAATTTCTCAGACTCGGTAATTCAAAACTATCCCTAATTTTCTATGTTCAACTTATTTATTTTGCATTAACCCAACATTTCGTACAATTAAATATACGTAAAAACTATTCACATTATAGAACGCTTCAAAATATAATCCATATATAAAGCTACAATCGCAATTATCTCCTGATTCACCTCGGACATACTAGGCTGTCTGGAGTTTAGGGGTGTTAATAAAAATATTTCCGTGACCAAAACTCGCATTTGTGGTTTAAACGTTTTTCAACTATAAATAGATCAAGGTATAGCCCTTTCTTAAATTGAATAATTTAAATTTGTTGAGAAATCAACAATATATTTATCAATTGAGTTACTAAAATGGTTAAAGAACAAGCTTACTATAAGGAAGGTTATGTCAAGGAAATTGCTGATACGCATGCTTGGAGAAACGTAAGCAATTGTGCTGAACATCTTATACCTTTAATTAAGCCAGATTTTAAGATCTTAGATGTTGGGAGTGGACCAGGTACCATCACCATCGACTTTGGTAATTATGTACCAGAAGGTCATGTCACGGGTGTTGAACCTACCATTGAGTTAATTGAACGTTCACGTCAAACTTTAAAGGAAATTGAAGAACTGACGGGTAAGAAAATCACCAATGTTACCTTTGAAGAAGGTTCTATTTATAAATTACCATTTGAAGACAATAGTTTTGATTTAATCCATGCTCATCAAGTTGTGGTTCATTTGGAAGATCCTATTGCTGCTTTAAAGGAATTGAGACGTGTTACCAAAGTTGGTGGATTTGTATGTGTTAAAGATGGTGATTTAAAATCAACTGTGGTTTATCCTGAAAAATTTGCTGAAGTCCTTGGACGCTTTGCTGTTTCAAAGGCCAAAAATTCAACTTCTACCGATATTATCGCTGGTAGATCTTTAAGAGCTAAGGCTATCAAAGCTGGTTATAAGCCAGAATTAATTAAATCTAGTGCATCGATTTGGTGTCTTGCTGACAAGAATACCAAAGAGTTATGGTCTAGAGGTATGAAAGCTAGACTTGCTAAAAGTAAGGAAAAGTTGGTTGTCGATGATGATGAGGCAGACAAAGCAAAGAGGGCCGAGGCTGAAAATGCTTGGAATGAATTTGTTGAAGATGATAATGGATTCTTGACTATGCAAAATGGTCAAATCGTTTACACTAAAGAATAGCTTAAGTAGATCTTAACTTATTAAATAGATGAATTTGATGATTTGTTTTAATATGATTTGACTGATTGATGCAATTTGTAGGCTTAATTATAATTAACATTTGCAGCATTATTTTGCTGCTGCGGAATTTACCGATAGTAGAAATAAAAAAAAATTAATTTTTCAGTGATAGATTTTCTCTCCATCACCCAAATTTTAGAGTCCGCTCAAAAGTACATAAAGAGCAATTGAGCCCTGGTGTATAAAGATTGATTTCCAATTTAAAGATAACAATTTGCTAATTTAAAACTAAAGCTCAGGGATCTGCCAGTGTGTCGCAGAATCAAAGATTTTCTTATTTGCCCTTTTTTATAAGCTTTTGACTTTCAATCTCTGGTGTACCTGATTACAAAGATAAATTTCACCCCACGAAAATATCGGAAGCATAATATACCAAAGCACCACTCCATAGCAATGACTTCAGAACAATCAATACCTTCTCTATCCATTCGAATCCTTCAAATATCAAGTGCTATAATATGGTGTTTATTAGCGGCTGGTCCCGTATTTGGGTTTGCAGCATTGAAACCAATCTTAATTGCTGAACATATTTATGAAAAGAATTGTGATTTAAAAGTAAATCAAACAGGGAGTTTGGCAACTGCTGTTTGTGCAGAACAAGATTTATCTTTGAATTTCTTGTTCACAGTAGCTTGTATGGTCACCAATATTTCAGCGTTACCAGTTGGGTCCATTTTAGATAGTTATGGTCCAAGAGTAACTGGTATAATTGGATCTTTCATCTTAGCATTAGCAGCGTTGACATTGAAATATTCATCCTATATTACTTTATTTGATGGGTATTTGACGGGTTATACTTTATTAGCATTAGCTGGTCCATTTGTATTCATTTCATGTTTCCAATTAGCCAATTCATTTCCAAAGAATTCTGGATTAATATTAGCTTTATTAACTGGTGCATTTGACTCAAGTTCAGCTGTGTTTTTAATTTATAGAATCATTTATACATCAATGTCTAAAATATCGATTGAAAACTTCTTTACCGTTTATTTGATCGTTCCTGTTTTCATTCTTATTTGTCAATTACTGATAATGCCATCTCAATCATATAAGACTATTGGCACATTAGCTAAAATCGCTGAAACTGGAATTGATGAAACTGGAAAACCAATTGATCACGATTTATTATTACCAGAAGATAGGGAAATTCAATCTACTCAAAATAATAGTAGTAGTGCTATTATGGAAGCAGCTGGAGAATACTATCAACCAACAATCAGCGAAACTACAGCTTTATTAATCAGAAGATCGTCGTCAGTAGCTGTGGCTGCTAGTAGAAGAGAATCAGTTATCCTGAGATATTCAGTCGTCTCAGTGAAGTCTGTCTATGAACATGATAAAGATAATGAATTGATTAGTGCTTCAGGTGGAGTATTTGGTATTATGCATGATGCCACTATTAATCAACAATTTCTCTCTCAATGGTTCATATTAATGACGTTATTCACTACTATCCAAATGTTAAGAATAAACTACTTTGTAGCTACTGTTAAATCTCAAGAGTTATATTTATACAATAATAATGAAATCATTGCCACTGCTATAAATCAATTCTTTGATTTGGCGTTACCATTAGGTGGGATCTTTTCAATTCCATTCATTGGATTAATTCTTGATAACTTCACCACCTTGAGTATCTTATACATTTTAACTGGTTTATCATTATTTATTGGTGTAATGGGTATACTTTCATGGATCCCAGCTACATATGCCGGAATTATTGTATTGGTTATTTACCGTCCCTTTTATTATACTGCTGTTAGTGATTATTGTGCTAAAGTATTTGGGTATGATAATTTCGGTACTATTTATGGTACAATCATTGCATTTTCGGGTATTTGTAATATTTTACAACAAGTTATGGATAAATTAACGCATCAATATTTCAATATGAATCCAATTCCAGTAAATTCGATATTAATAGTCTTAACCGCTGTATTTGGTTTTGCATTGATTGGATTTGTGAGATCACAAGAATTACAATTAAAGAGAAAGAGGTTGGAATTAGAAGCTCAAGAAGCCACAAATAGACCAATCCCAACATAATATAGAACATTTACATAAAAACAATCATAGTTTATTTATTTAAATATATTCGTACTTTATCTATTATACATATTTTTGATATTATCCTCTTCTTCTTGTTTTACGAGATTTCTTTTCTTCCTGTAAAGCCAAGTCAGGATCTAATGCCGTTAATTCTGGAATGCAACTTATAGGTTCACCTTCATACGGTATACTTACAAGCTTTGCTTTCTCCCAATCATTATTCTGTTGATTTTCAGCTTCATATTTGTGAGGAAAGTTTGATAGTATATCCTTTACGGTAACCATTATGAAATATTAGTCTATGAAGATGAAGCCTTCTTTTTAGCTTTTTCTTTTTCTTGTCTTTCGATTTGTCTTCTAGAACCCTTAATCAATTCCAAATGACCAACTCTACTAGCAATCAACTTTTCAGTGGATGAGATTAATTGACTTTGATGAACCTTAGTAAAAGTTTGAGCACTCTTTGCAGGAGTCTTCTTAGCTTTGATGACTTTTGGAGCTGCAGCTTTAGGATTTTGTCTTTTCTTAGTAACTCTAGAGATACCACCTTTCGACTTAAGTTTCAGAACACCTTGAGCCATTCTATATTGATTGAAGAGCTTTTGCAGTAAATCAAACTAATTATCTATCTATCTATCTATCTGTATCCTTACACTAAAATGGCAACATCATCTCTTTAAAAAAAAATGTTTGATTTTGTTAGTGCCTGCATGTAATCGCAGAGTCAGAAATAATTTCAAATTCTTCCAGAGTAAAAATCATCGCATTTATAAAATTGGTTGAAAAAAGTTATGATGTTACCAAAAGATTCAAACAGTTCTTCTAGTTCTTTTTAGTGGTTTAGTTTAGTTCTTCATTGATTAACTTATCTTCACAAGAGTAAACCTACTCACAAGGTTGATAATCAAGCCAAAACACAAGAAAACTCAGATTCAACTCGTTCGTTCGTTGGTGTTGTTAGATCATAAAGATTATCTCATCACACATCACATCTCATCATCTAACGCGATTGAATTATGTCTACTGATAAATTCCTTATTTTGCCAGGTCCAAAGGCATTGTCTCAATTCAGAGTTGCTGCTTTGATTCAAGAAATTGAAAAGAAATTGAATCAAGATTCTGTCATTGAAGAAGTTGCTTCCAGCTTTACTCATTACATTAGTTTAAGATCAGAATTAACTACCAAACAATTAGATTTAGTTAAGGTATTATTAACTTATGATTCTCCAGTTGATGTTACCAACAAGTTAAGTCAAGAATTGATTCAAGTTTCCACCATCAGTGGTGATAAAGATACTTCATCAATTGACAAATTGGATTCAAATCTTTTCCTTATTAGAGTGTTACCAAGACCAGGTACCATTTCTCCATGGTCATCTAAAGCTACTGATATTGCTCAAATTTGTGGATTAAGTAGTCAAATTGAAAGAATTGAACGTGGTTTAACCTTATTAATCAAAACCAAACCAGGTTTTTCATTATATGATCATATCTCTCAAGGTGCTATCTTAACTTCAATCTTTGATAGAATGACTCAATCATTATATCTTGGTGCCAATGCTCCTCATTATGAAGATTTATTTGCTCATCATCAACCGAAGCCTCTAGTCCATGTTGATATCATCTCCAATAAAGAAAACTTATTAACCGCTAATAAAGAATTAGGTTTAGCCTTAGATGCTGGTGAAATTGATTATTTAATTAATGCTTTCACTGAAGTTATTGGTAGAAATCCTACCGATGTTGAATTATTCATGTTTGCTCAAGTTAACTCTGAACATTGTCGTCATAAAATCTTTAATGCTGATTGGACCATTGATGATGTTAAAAAGGATCTGTCTTTATTCAAAATGATTAGAAATACTCATCAAAAGAATCCTCAATATACTATAAGTGCTTACTCTGATAATGCTGCTGTATTTGAAGGTCCAGAAGGTTACGTTTACACTCCAGATTATAAAACTAAACAATGGAAATCCATTAAAGAAAGAGTTCATACTTTAGTTAAAGTTGAAACCCATAATCACCCTACCGCTGTTTCTCCCTTCGCTGGTGCTGCCACCGGTTCTGGTGGTGAAATCAGAGATGAAGGTGCTGTTGGTAGAGGATCAAAATCAAAAGCCGGTTTAGCTGGTTTCTCCGTATCTGATTTAAACATTCCAACTTTACCTCAACCATGGGAAAATAAAACTGTTGGTAAACCAAATCATATTGCTTCTTCCTTAGACATTATGATTGAAGCTCCGATTGGTTCTGCTGCTTTCAATAATGAATTCGGTAGACCAGCCATTAATGGTTACTTTAGAACTTTAACTACCACTGTTGAAAACCATAAAGGTGAACCTGAAATCAGAGGTTTCCATAAACCAATTATGTTGGCTGGTGGTATGGGTGCTATCAGACCAGATTTCGCTCTTAAAGATACCAAAATTACTCCAGGATCTAAATTAATTGTTTTAGGTGGTCAATCTATGTTAATTGGTTTAGGTGGTGGTGCTGCTTCATCTATTTCTTCCGGTGAAGGTTCAGCTGATTTAGATTTTGCTTCTGTTCAAAGAGGAAATCCAGAAATTCAAAGAAGAGCTCAACAAGTTATTGATGCTTGTGTCTCATTAGGTAAAGAAAAAACTCCAATTCAATCTATTCATGATGTTGGAGCTGGTGGTTTATCTAATGCTTTACCAGAATTGGTCCATGATAATGATTTAGGTGCTAGATTTGATTTAAGATCAATCTTATCCTTAGAACCAGGTATGTCTCCTATGGAAATCTGGTGTAATGAATCTCAAGAAAGATATGTTTTAGGTGTCAAGCCAGAAGATTTAGCTTTATTTGAAGAAATCTGTCAAAGAGAAAGAGCTCCATTCGCTGTTGTTGGTGTCGCCACTGAAGAACAAAGATTAATCTTAACTGATTCATTATTAAACACAACTCCAATCGATTTGGAAATGTCAATCTTATTTGGTAAACCACCAAAAATGTCAAGAACTGCTATTACTCAAAACTTAAACTTGAAACCATTTGAAACTTCAAGTCTCAACTTAGAAGAATCAATCGAAAGAGTATTACAATTACCAAGTGTTGGTTCTAAGAATTTCTTAATCACTATTGGGGATAGATTTATTACCGGTTTAGTTGATAGAGATCAAATGGTTGGTCCATGGCAAGTACCAGTTGCTGATGTTGGTGTTACCGCCACATCATTAGGTGATACAGTCTTATCTACCGGTGAAGCTTTATCAATGGGTGAAAAGCCAACATTGGCTTTAATTTCTGCTGCTGCTTCCGCTAAAATGTGTGTTGCTGAATCATTATTAAATATCTTTGCCGCTGATATTACTTCTTTAGGTCACATTAAATTATCTGCCAATTGGATGTCTGCCGCTTCCCATGATGGTGAAGGTGCTAAATTATATGAAGCCGTTCAAGCTATTGGTTTAGATTTATGTCCTGATTTAGGAATTTCTATCCCAGTCGGTAAAGATTCTATGTCTATGAAAATGAAATGGGACGATAAAGAAGTTACCGCTCCATTAGCTTTAACTGTTACCGCCTTTGGTCCTGTTGACAACACCAGTAACACTTGGACTCCAGAATTACAAAGAGTTGAAGAATCTGTCTTAGTTTTAGTTGATTTAGCTGCTCAAGTTGAAAAATCATTAGGTGGTTCTGCTTTAGCTCAAGTGTATCAACAAATTGGTGATTCAGCTCCAACTGTTCATTCACATTCAATTTTAAAATCATTCTTACAATCTTTAGTTGTTTTACATAAGCAATTCAATGTTTTAGCATATCACGATAGATCTGAAGGTGGTTTATTCACTACTGTTGTCGAAATGGCTTTTGCTGCTAGAAGTGGTCTTGATTTAGTTCTTGATACCAAAGATGATATTTTCGCCGAATTATTTAATGAAGAATTAGGTGCTGTTTTCCAAATTTCTAAAGCCGATTATTCTAAATTCGTGGAAATCTTTGAAACTAATAACATTTCATCTGAATTTATCAAAGTTGTTGGTCAACCAAACTTCAAGAATCAAGAAATTGCTATAACTTACAATAGTACTTCGGTGTATAAGAGTACAAGAAGTGAATTACAACAATTATGGACTAATACTTCATACCACATTCAAAAATTGAGAGATAATCCAGTTACCCTCCGCTCAAGAATATGCATCTATTAAAGATGATGCTGATCCAGGTTTATCTTATCAATTAACCTTTGATCCAACCGTTAAGAAAGAATACAAATCTAAACCAAAGGTGGCTATTTTAAGAGAACAAGGTGTCAATTCACAACAAGAAATGGCTCACAGTTTCGAACAAGCTGGTTTTGAAGTCTACGACGTTCATATGTCTGATATTTTAACTGGTAAAGTTACTTTAGATAGCTTTGTTGGTTTAGCTGCTTGTGGTGGTTTCTCATATGGTGATGTATTGGGTGCTGGTGCTGGTTGGGCTAAGTCCGTCTTGTTTAATGAAAGAGCTCGTGATGAATTCAAGAAATTCTTCCAAGATAGAGATGATACTTTCGCTTTTGGTGCTTGTAATGGTTGTCAATTCTTCAGTAGAATTGCTGAATTGATCCCAGGTACTGAAAACTGGCCAACTTTTGAAAGAAACTTGAGTGAACAATATGAAGCTAGATTTGTTTTAGTTGAAGTTCAAGATACTGAAGAGAATAATTCTATTTTCTTACAAAACATGAAAGGATCTAAATTACCAATTGCTGTTGCTCATGGTGAAGGTAGAGCTTCATTTAAATCTGAATTCACTAAATCAGCTTTCGATAAGACAGTTGTCAGATATGTTGATAACTACGGTAAAACTACAGAACAATATCCATTTAATCCAAATGGTTCTCCAGAGGGTATTGCTGGTATTGCCAGTGCTAACGGTAGAGTATTAGCTATGATGCCACATCCAGAAAGAGTTACGAGGAAAGAATCCAACAGTTGGTATCCTAAGAAACAAGGTGAAGAATGGGGTTCATTTGGTCCTTGGATTCAATTATTTAAGAACGCCAGAGAATGGGTTGGTGACAATTATTAAATCAAAAACAATGTACATTATATAAAAAAACGCATTTCATATATAGAGAGAAAATTATCAATTTCTGACTTTATAATTTCGTATAAATAAAAATCATTATTAGACAATCGATTACCTGCTGTAGATTTATATGTTGAAATAAAAATTTATTAATAAGTATCTATTTAAATTATAGAGTTGGCCCACGAGAATTGAATGATGAGTATTAATAAAGAAAAAGACATTCGTTCAATCAATCAATGAGCAAATCTAAAGTCTAATCTCTTATTACCTTCATCGGTTGTATTATTGATATAATCTTGCTTTTCTTCAGCAGAAAATTTATTCCAAATCTTGTCTCTGTAACTATTTCTCCAAATATAATAAAATTTAGTCAAGATCAAAATAGGGAACATTGAAATGGCTAAGCCAAAAAGTTGACGATTACCTCTATGATAAAGTGGTTTATCATCTTCTCTATAAATATTAGCGGCATAAACACCACTTAATTGAACCATGATATTATACACTGCACTAGCAACCGATCTTGTTCTAATAGAATTAGCATTTCTTGAAACCCAGGCCACAAGAATAGCGTGAATATAAGGTGAACCTAAAACTAAAGTTGTAACTGCCCAAGTTGGCCAGACACTGATCATTTCTCCTTTCCAGAAAGCTAATACACCAACCAAAGGTACAGTATAAATAGGAACGATTAAACAAACTAATGACTTTTCATTTACTCTTTCAGAAACCCAAGTAACACCTAAAAGCAAGAAAATGTGTATAACATTGGCTGGGATAGTTAACAAGTTGGTATTGAAAGTTGAAAATCCTAACTCTCTAAGATTCAAAGTTTGATAAGCTCCCAATGTTGATGTGGGTGCATAAGCTATTAAACCAATGATATATAATGGAACCAAATCATAATCAGTTAATGATTTCCAAATCATTCTTGGAGTTAATGGTTGTCTGTTATGCATATCACCCTTACTTGGGTCATCTCTTAATACTCTATTAACCACGATTTTTTCTTCTCTTTCGTTAAACCAACCTTTAGGGTGTAATTTATTTTTTGTTTGTAAAGCGGAAGGTACCATAAGGTAAAATGATAAAATACCTACTGCTGAAGTAACTGCACCTTCGATTATAAATAACCATCGCCAACCAGCTAATTCTAAATGTCCCCTAAGTCTCAAGATACCAAAGGCGGCCAAAGAAGCTCCAATACCAACAATGGATAATGTAGTCCAAAACCATGATAATCTAATTGATAATTCTTTACTGGTATAGAAATAACTTAACCATAAAACTAAATCAGCAATAAAACCACCTTCAATCATACCAATAAGAGCTCTGGTAGCATAAAAGGAAGCTTTACCTTTTAAAGCACCTTGACTCAAAGCAACTATACTCCAAGCACACATTTGGATTGGAATAAAAATATCAGGACCTAAACGTTTCGAAATAATTTGGGATGGTAATTCAGCAAGTAAGAAAGTTACAGTGAAAATAGTATTACCTGTATTATAATCATTAGTAGTTAAATTCAAATCATTTAAGAAATTATCAGTAACAGCTTGACCTAAATTTGCACGATCAACTTGTAAAGCAGCAAACATAAGACAAGCACTAAAAGCAACTCTAAAATCTAACTTTCTTACTAATTTTGTTTCTTCTTCTTGGGTCCATTCTAATGCAGGATCGAAGGCACTACGACATTCATACTTTGAATTTTCATAAAGTTGACGATAATGATCAGCAACGATTGGATCTAAGAAAGGATTTTTCAGATCAACTGAATCAACAGAACTAGTGATCGTTTCGACGTCACTATTGATTAACCCATTCTTTTCCTTCTCACCATATGGTTGTTGCTGGTGGGAAACTTGATATTTATCATCCAAGACTTCAACCTCACCTCTAGAATCTGAACTTGACATGATACCAATGATAATTATACTTTATATTGTATATCTGATAGCCAAGACAATAGTTTATTAATTTAACTTCTTGGATATTCAGAGCCATATTTATACATATTTAGTTATCAATTTTTAACTGCAAAAAAGGACATAGCTTACAGCCTAAAATACACACACAAAATATAATTTTGGGGGAAGAAACGAAAATACGTCACGTGCAAAGTGGTATACGCAAAAATGTGGTGGCATTAATGTTGCAACAAAGAAGTATAGATTAAAGACCAAAAATAAGAGATAGATCTAACACAATGAGGAATCTGTAGTTGTAAATTTGTAAGATTTAAGATAGAAATGAAGCTTTGCATCTGTCAGACTAATGGTATGCAATAATGTGGGTAAGTTAGGAAATTTAGGGATAAAATAGCATTGTGGCTAAGATGTTTGACGTGATAAATAATTTTAACCACAAATATTTTTGTTATCTGATCTCCCCTTTTCATAATTTTACTATTTTTTAGGAAGCTTTTAAGTGAATCAAGTTCCGTGCCAAGGCAAGACTGTGAAAGATAAGAATATATATCCATTATATTACTAATTTCTACTATCTAATCTAGTATGTGTGTTGTGTAATGATGTTAACCTGTACCAGTATACTTTTTAATATAGATCGATTGTGTTTTTAAATTACTTTCAATCAGATAAGGTGTTATTCTATTAATTTGTAGTTATATAATTTATGATCAGAAATAGCCGTGTGAAGCCATGAGGTATTGACTATTAGAGGCTTGTTTGCATTTTTCCGTTGAACCCTCCTCCAACTATATTTCACTGATTACTAAAGCTCGATTCTTCCTCTGAAAGGATTTCCGCAAAGTAGGTAGTTAAAATTAATTATTTTAAATCGGGATTAAAGCTTAATTAGAAAAAAATATTTCAAGCGGAATAATTAAACCAAAATTATAAGCCTGTCTACGGACCGATAGTTAATTATCAATCAACTATTATAATGATGTAATTAAAGCCATATGAGAGGGAAGCAAAATCAATAGAAAAAAATACGACGTGTGATCAAATTTTGATTAAGTGTGTATATGTTTCAATGTGTATCTATTGTCTTTGATTACCACCACAATTTATGGGGGAAAAACGCAATCTTCGAATATTATGTGTTGCGAAAGTTAATTGAGACAGAGAATGATGAACATTTTTGATTGTGAATGTGATTTTAAATTAAATGCATTAGATTAGAATCAATTTTGTCATAGAATTATATGATTGACCAATACAATCAATTGAAATGGAAATCAATTGTCATATAGTGGTTATTACGAAGTTTGATTGGTAGCTCTGTAAATTGCGTCTTTGATTTTGTGGAGTTTTTTTTCGGCTTATATTCAACAATCTTTGATTTTGATTCATTTTCATACTAGTTATTGTTCAAATATGGCGATCTCAAACTTTAATAGAGTGACATAGCTTATTTTATACCCATTAATGGTGATCCAAATTGATTTAGTAAGCATGAAAATACTATTTCCATTTGAAGTAACTAATATTTTGTTAATTACATTATTTAGTGGTTTCCGCCGAACTGTTAACGATTTAACGCATTGTTATTGATGAGATTTACAACTAGGTCCTAGCGTATAAGGTGTAATATGTCCTTCATAAATCTAATACTGTTTTATTCATCACTTTGTTTAAATCAATCAACTACTCAATTCTATCAATGACATAAGTTAAGTAAAATACACCACTGAGTATGAGAAATTCTACAAATTGGTTTGAAGAAATAACGAACCATAGTTTGAACTAGAAACTGTCAAGGCTTCAAAAACTAAAAACTGGAGCTACGTAATATTTACATGCCCTCAGTATGAACCAAATGATCGAAGTAGTAGTTATGGGCATAAGAATATCATGAATACAAGGTCAGACTAGAGACCAAGACTTAAGGGTAACTGAATCGGCTATTTTTTTGGAGTTAACTTCTTAATGATATCTTTATGTTGAGGGTAAGTCTCCAATAATTCATGCTCATTGAATAATTTGAATTCTCTGAAATCAAACCCGGGTGCAACCATACAACTTACTATTGCGAATCCTTCTTCAACACTAGAACCAAATATAACTCCAGCAGGAACCTCATATTGAAATACTTCACCTTTGGTAATGTCTCTTCCAAGCATTATTTTTTCATATTTCCCGGTATCAGGGTATATACAGTGTACTGTCAAAGGGCTACCGTTGTGGAAATACCATACTTCGTTTGACTTGATTTGATGGAAGTTGGATGGGTTTTTGTCTTCCAATAAGAAAATAATATTTGTGTATAATGGAACCTGGAGTCCAGTAGACGATTTAATAATTTGGGTAGATGCTCCTGTTTGTTTGAAGTAGCCTCCTTCAGGGTGACCTTCCAAATCGTAATATTTGATCCACTCACTGGCAGATGACATTATTGGATATAAGCTTGACTCTGGTTATTAATTGTATAATTACAGGCCAATTACCAATTTGTGAACTATTCCGTCTTTAGCGGTATAGTTTTAATTGTTTCCACTACAACATTTTTTTTTGATTACCACACTACAAAATTGAAAAATTAAGATTTGAAGTAAAGTACTGCAAATAACAGATAAGATGTTAGTGAAGTGTTTCATTAGTATCTCTATTTACCTTTTTACTTATCAGAAAGAAATTTAACCCATCAGATAGATATCAATTAGTTGATTTGACATTACTCAAATTGATAATAGTAATCCAATTGACTATTGGGATATGGATCTCATATGAAATTCCACTAATCAGTAACAGCGCTATTAACGTGTTAAAATTGTATAAAATGGATGAGACTCTACTTCTAAAAGGATGCCACCAATGCTTATTGTTACTCTCATTATATTAACCACTTAGTCGCGTTACTTGTTAGTCAGGTCAAACTAAGGTTTTTGCGTTTTTGCTAATTATGTCAAGGGTACAGGCGGGTTACGAACGAAGGTGTTGCGTAGCATGAATTTTGAAATATTTTTATTGTGGCCTGTCCCTGTCCCTTATCAGTAGAAAAAAATATTGTCTAATATTCCACTTGACAACAGAAATAAAACGTTCAACCTGCGTCGACTAAATTGTGGCGGTACCTTAAATGGCAGGTGCTCGACTACTTAGCTCTGGCGGCTTAATGGTAATATGCAGCAGTAACTAAATAACAAGATAGCGTTAGCAACTAAATGAGTAGACATTAACTAAAACACCATATAAAGCGAAGAAATTATCAGAACTAAACCACAACTTCACCACTTACTAAACTATAAAACATGACATGGAATTACATTGTTTGCGTATCACAGAAGGTTGGGGCATTAGGCTGCATATGCGATATAAATAAAAAATATCACAAGAAACAGAGTTGATAGACAATGTGTTGATTTCAACTGTTTCAAGTAGGACAATACGTGCAGCATGAATATGTAAATTACAGTTTTATAAAGAAACATTGGTATATTTTTCTCGATTTGTAAAACAACTTATCCTGTCTCAAACAGAATAAATTAAAGAAAACATGTTAAATAGATTGAAAATGTTACTAAGAGAACATATACTAGAGATTCTAACTTTAAATTGTACCTTGAAAATATTTAAGTTCATCAGTATCGTAGTCATATACTTCTTTACCTTCAAAAAATGTTTTATGTACTATAGTGTCAGCAATATTTGGAGCATTAATAAGATCACGATCTAAGAAAATGAAGTTGGCCAATTTACCCTTTTCAATACTACCTTCAATGTTTTCTTTATTAATAGCGTGAGCACCGTTAATGGTGATCATATCAACAACTTCTTTTCTAGTTAAATCCCAGCCGTGTTTATTTTCTGTAATAGCTTGTAGACCAGGGAAAATGTTTGGAGTGTCTGGTGAAAAGACCCAATCTGAACCAATGGTAAGAAGAGCACCGTGATCCTTCAAAGCATTGAATGGATAAACCGACTTTGGATTCACTTCTGGTTGAAATTCTGGATCTTGCCAAATTGCAGGACTCATTTCTGCAGTAATATTCAACTCTTTGTAACGTTTGCAGTCTTCTACTGTAACATCCATATTATGGGCTAGTTCATGTCTTGGTCCATTAGGATTCTTTTTACGTATTTCTTCGAAACAGTCTAAAGCAAATCTGGCAGATCCTTGACCACAAACATGAACTTTACAAGTTCTACCTTCAGAATCAAATTTTTCAATACCTTTTCTGAAAGTTTCTGGGGGAATTAATAACTTACTGAAATCGATTTTATCGTCTTTGATTGCGCAATGAGTTTCGTGTGGAACCCAAGGGACACCATCTAACCAACACTTTGTATATAATGGATCAAAATGTTTTGTTTTATATGTTTCAACATTAGGCTTATAGACAGTATGATGAAGATTACCAATTGATTCAGCCGAAAAAGCTCCAGCACCATACCAAACAACATGAGCAGATATATGAAGACTTAAACCTTTTGTTTTTTCCAATTCTCTTGCTGTATCTAAATAGATTGTATTAGCTGAAGCTTCCTGGACAGACGTAACACCAAAACGATTTAACATTTTGACCCCATACTCAAGTGCCTCGGTATTATACTTCAAGTTATATTTTGGCATACTGTAAAAAATCTTGGACGCAGCCATTTCTACCAATTCTCCAGTAATAGAACCATCTTCACGTCTAACAAAGTATCCACCTGGGGGATCTTCAGGATCATCCTCGTAACCGACAGCTCTTAAAGCAGCAGTGTTCACAAAAATATTGTGAGTTGTATATTCTCTGATAACAACTGGTTGATCACCAAACGCTTCATCTAAGAATTGTCTATCAGGTTTACCATCCTTGAAATTAGCATAATGATAGAAGTTACCAACAAGCCAATTACTAACAGCGTCTAAATGTTTACACCCATCCCTATGCTCCTTCAATTTCTCAACAATTTCTTCAGGTCCAGTAGTGGTACCCAACTTAGCTTCGAAAAGCTTCTCTTGGGAAGCCATTAATAAATGACAATGAGCGTCATGGATACCTGGCATAACAAATCTACCCTTTAAATCAATGACTTCTAATCCTTTGGCCAATGCCAAAATCTCTGCAGTAGTACCAACATCCCCAAAAAAACCATCCTCAGTAACAATAAATGCTTCAGCTGTTGACCTCTTGTCATCAACCGTATAGACGTTTCCGTTGACGTAAGCTTTTGACATTCTTACTTTTTGTAATTTCTTGATCAAATTGTTTGAGTCAACAAAACAATAGGGCAGTATCGTTTTATCTTGCAAATCAGAAACGGATGGGATTATATATTCTTTTCATTATCTCTTTATGTGGGGTAGTCTCGATTAGATAAGACCTCGAGATTGGATTATTCTCGATTAGATAAGAACTCGAGATAAGATGAACTTCATTAATATTTCCTAATACAAGAAATTAATCCTTTTTAATCCATTAGTAGGTATAATATACCCATTCAAAACCGATAACAAGACGTAAAAGTGACCACCACTCAAAGTTCTTATCTGACATTTTTGCTTACTTCTTTTCTTATCAGAAATTCATACACCACTTAACAAAAACATTCTAAAATTCTTGACAATAAAGATATGGGATAGTTTCAATTAACTTCATTAGGACAAAAAGATATATATCACTTGAATTGGAAAACTAATCCAATTAGATTGAATTGATAAAGGATAAATTGTTATCTCATATTGGACCATTAATGGCTTAGTACCTCAAATTAGGAAATTTATTGATTATTTAGGCAAAGCTATATTAATTAATAAAATATCATTTCATGCATCATTAGTTCTTGTTTGACGGCCCCGAAGTAGAATAATTTCGCTCAGTATATTAACTAGATTTTTCCTATGATTGAAAGACTATCTCACATTGAGGTTATTGCATTTCTATTTGTAAATTACTGTTAAACGAAACGTGAAGCTTTTTTGTTTTATTTTGCAGGCTATGCTATCACTAGTTTCATTTTAGAAAAGTGAATTATGAAAGAACTAGTTTTGCGTTCAAAGAAGATGAATTAATGTTAAAGATGACCACTTCTTTAAATCAGGTTAATAAAACTTACTAATCAGTTGAATTCAATAAACCGCAAATAAACGGAGAATAGCGTTAGATCGAAGCTAAACCGGTGCTACTTAACCTAAGGATTAGACTTTTAAACCAGTTCTATACATATTTTGATATATTTTGCCTATTTATTAAAGTATTTTTAGAAATTATATAATACTGCATGATTCATTTGTGCATATATTTTTATCATAAAATATCCCCATTACACAAAACCAAAAACTAGGGGGTGTGTGAATTTCATTGCTGCACAATTTAGACGCCGACTGTTGTTGCTCAAAAAAAAAAAACGGCTGAACCTATTGGCAATTATTTTTTGAGGCAGAATCCGTCAACCGCAGATACCGTTATCGTTGTGATAACAGAATGGTATTTGAATTGGTATACGCTTTTTATTTTTTTGCACCAGAAAGATGTATTAGGTTTAAAGGCTGGGTCTTACTACCCAATTTAGAAAGCGCATATTCACCACCGTTTAAACTGTAAATCTCTAATCTACCACTCATTACATAATTACTTACTTAATTATGTAATTACTTAATTATGTAAAGAGAGACAAAATTTCAAACCAGAACTATTGATTGGTATATTTCAACAATATGCGGTTCCTGACATTTTGATAAGAGATAAGGCATGATATTGAAAAAGCTTTTGCATACTGTATTTCACAGGAGAATGTCGCAGGACACTGAAGTTTTAGACTCTAGGCAATGCTGAAATGATACTGTATTCTGAAAAATGAATCAAATTTTTATAAGGGATTAATTTTAACCAGATCCTGCAATTAAAGTACAATTAAGTAGAGAGTTAAGTTCTTTTAAATAGGATAAATATTTGCTAATGTTGCTTGTTTTAATTGCTCAAGTTATGAAATATATGCTTGCAAACTGAAATTAACTATGGGCATGCCTAACAAACTTAAGTCAAGCGTCATCATCTACTCAGTATTTCATTGAGCTCGAATTCAATTGACTTAGCTGTAGTAATTTAATTTGTCCTTAGTCAAATTGGTTAATTCACTTAACCATATAGTAAACATCCAACTACATAATTGTAAAGCATGATGACATGCAATTCAATATCAGATTAGATTTAATTAATTTCAATGTCTGCCGTATTTCTCATCTTATTTCTCACTATACTTTCATTAAAGAAACTGCGACATTGGTCTGGGAAATCCTTTTTTAACCGGAACTAGGCATATTATCAATATCGAAAGTTCCACGCCAAATTACTCTGGTGTGAAAGACAAATAAATTAAATAATAAATTGTTTGTTTATCATTGAAATTAGATAACAAATCAACCAATGAAATCCTTGCTACACTATTACTTGATTGCAAATGGAGTTTTCTTTCTTTGTTTCAAGTAACGTAGTTCTTTTGATTTTAATTATAATATTTTACTTGGCTGGAATCTTCAATAAAACTTTCTTCGATATTGAGAAAAGTATGAAGTCATAATTATGTTTCTTATTGAAGTAAAAGTAAACGACAACGTACCCCCCGTATTATTCAAATCTCAATAAGATAACCATATTTTGAAATGTCTCTTCTTGTAGTAAAAGTTTCCCATTTATGAATCTAATATTAAGGATTTCTTTTCTTAATCAAAATAAAATACAAACAACAGCTTTGGTAGATGCATTTCACTTTTACTATTGGTACGTTTCGCAATGTACCTTTTTGTAGTAAAAGTTTCCCATCTGTGAATCGAAGATTGGGGATTTCTTTTCTTAATCAATATAGAACATAAACAACAGCTTTGATAAATATATTTCACTTTTATTATTGGTAACAGGATAACCATATTTCAAAATGTCTCTTCTTGCAGTAAAAGTTTCCCATCTGTGAATAGAAGATTGGGGATTTCTTTTCTTAATCAAAATAAAACACAAACAATAGCTTTGATAGATATATTTCACTTTGCTATTGGTGATAGTGATCTTATCTTTTCTTAATCAAAATAAACCTCGAACAACAGCTTTGATAGATATTTCACTTTCAGTATTGGTGATAGTGACTTTATATAAGTGAAGTTGATATTCCATGATCACTGTAAACATCTCAGTCATAATTAAACATATTAATAAATTAATAAATTAACAACGTGAAATGACACAAGAAGAATCTAAATTTGAAGAGGTTAGAATACCTGGAACTATCCATTTGGTGGATCTCGAAGGTACAATGGATGTTAAGCATGAAGAAGGTGATAATATTGTTTTAATTCCTCAACCAACCGATGATCCAGAAGATCCATTGAATTGGAGTAAATGGAGAAAAAGAAAGGTTGCTTTATGTCTTTTATTAGCTGTTTTCGTTGGTGATATTCTTACCACTTCCCTTTCTGCTGTTTTATTAGTTATTGAAGAAGATACTGGTATTACATTGACTGATTTAAATACTGGTGTCGGAGTTCAATACTTATTCTTTGGTTGGTCCAATCTTTTATGGCAGCCTCTTGGTTTAACTTTTGGTAGACGTCCTATTATTTTATTTTGTGGATTAGGATGTATGCTTTGTACAGTCTGGACATCTTATGTGAAAACTACTGGTGAATGGTATGCTAATAGACTTATATGTGGATTTTTCTATGGACCAATTGAGACTCTAATTGAAATCTCCATAGCTGATATATATCAAGTTCATCTTCGTGGAGGTTGGATTGCCTGGTATTGTTGGACTTTATTTAATGTTCCATTCTTAAGTGGTATCGTTGCAGGTTTTATTTCAGATGCTAAAGGATGGAGATGGATTCAATTCATTGCAGCAATCATTTCTTCCTTTTGTCTTATCGTGATGTTTTTCTTCATGGAAGAAACTATGTTTTACCGTGATCCTGCTTTAGAATTAGATCTGGTTGAAGAAGTAAAATCTGACGGATCGTCACTGGAACTTGATCCAAAGAAATCAAACTATAAAGTTGAAGTTGCTAAAGTTCCTAGTACTGAAGATTTACCTGAAGACGTAGAAGTAGCTGAAACTTATCAAATTAAAACATTTTCTCAAAGACTTAAGTTTTGGGGTGCAAGAGATCCAAGACAAAAGAATGTTTTCTTTCAATCGATGTATATGCCATTCGTTCTAGTACAATTCATTCCAATTTTGTACGCTGGTCTTACAGTTGGAGTTGTACTTAGTGTTTTCAATATTGTTAATGCTACCATCTCAACTGTTCTTTCATCTCCTCCTTATAATTTTTCAGCTAACATGATTGGAGTCTTTTTCATTTCTCCTGCCATTGGAATATCCATTGGTTCGTTTTTTGCAGGTGCAATTGTTGATAAATTTACCATTAGACAAGCAAGAAGAGGTAAAGGTTTTAGGGAACCAGAATCACGTCTTTGGCTTGCGGTCGTACCATTGGTGATCCATCCATTGGGATGTTTACTTTATGGAATTGGAGCTTCCCATGGAATTCATTGGGTTGGATTGGCATTTGGGTTAGGTATGATTTGTTCAACCTTTCCAATTGGTTCAGCCATTGCTATCAATTATATCATTGATTGTTATAAAGAAGTGTCTGGTGATGGACTTGTTACAATGATTTTAATTCGTAACACTATGGGTTTTGGCTTTAGTTATGCAGTCACTCCATGGTTATTAGCAGTTGGAACTCAAAATCTTTATATTGCCATTGCTTTTATCGGAGTTTTCTTTTGGTCACTTTCATTTATAATGATTTTGTTTGGTAAGAAGTTGAGAAAGTCAAATGCAGCAACTTACTGGAACTTAGTTAGTAAACATGGATTAAAAGCTCATTAAATCAATGTCTTGTTGGTTGTCTTGACTTTATCTTCTCTTGTTCTATCTGATTTTTCTTACGTTCGTTACCTTATCTTTATCTTTTTTTTTTAATCTTTTTGAACTTAATTCTGGTTATATCCTCTTTAGTTCTTCGTGTGTTCTTTCCTTTAGCTAGCCTAATGCTATGTTTATATGTTTTATAATTTAATAATTAATGTAAACTATTTATATGACCATCCTGTGCATTTAATGATCTATTGTTGACTAAAATGAAATGTAATCGACGAGTGATTTGATTTACCCCCCAGAGTTTTGAGCGGCGCCGCGGGAACAAAGTGCTAGCCTATCTAGTGGTGAAGTATTACAATTAAAATCTATTAATTTTTAAGATATCACTATTCCTCACATGTCTCTCATACATCCACACCAATAGTACATCCTCTACAACCGTAATCCAAGTGTTAATGGTGGATAATAAGCTACAAATTAGGAGGAAAAGAAGAAGTGATAATAACAATGGAGGATTTGATTTTCCTTTCATTTTCTCACTTCCCTTTTAGTAAAACTGGAAACTGGAAGGGCAAAATAATAATTCCACCAGCCTCGTTAATTAATCGGTCGATATAACAATATTACTATGCTATATAGGATTCCTGTTTATTATTCAATTTGACTAATTAATCATCATTCATCAAGATGAGTGAAGCGTTGCCAAGTTATGAAACTGTCATGGACAGTGGAAATGGAAACTCTGCTAACTTGACGAATCTACCGGAAACCAACATGAAAGATGCCTTTGCATTTACCCATATCCTTGCAAATAGTGACTCCCACAAAGACTATACAACGTATAAGTATTACAATGATACACAATTGAATCAACACGTTCCTTCAATTCCTGAAGAAATCACCCACTTAAAGTTGTTGAAAGCTTTTGGAAATTTAAAACAACACATTTGTCAGGGGTTAAATGATGATAAAGATATTGAATGTGTCTGGAAAGCCTTTGTTACCAATTCAGTTAGAAGATTCATAACGTTTGTTAGTGCTTTAAAGGTTACACTTCATGATCCATTCGTCCCACCAATGCAACCACAGGGTGCTACGTTAATTGAACATACTGAGTATTTCAATAAAATACCGAAAAGTAAAGGTTTGGCCGAATCTCTTAATGACATGTTACCTCCTTTAGATATACTTATGGTATGGCATTCATTCTTATTAAATCCCAAAGCTGCTTTTGATACTTTTGCTAGGAATGATTTTTTACCATTTCTATTTCATCCTTTCCCCCTCCAACAAATAGATGAAGCAATTTCGAATACTGACTTTGGATATCATCCAAAGACTTCATATGTAACTCGCTTCAACCAGCTAATGAAAGAATATGGATGTGAACTAGCTTATGAATTTAATGAGCCATTTATCCCTGAAAATATAACTATTCCAATTAGATGCCCCGTTTGCAATATTACGATAGCTGTTTCATGTTTAAGTAATACTATTGCTAATAGTGGATTTGCTGATGGAGACTTTAAATCTGATGTTTTCTCTGACTGTGAATGCAAATGTGGCTATTCTAATACAATTACCCATGATGATTTAAGGAAACGTGAATTACATTCAGATTTAACGGGTGGATTGATTTTACCGGGTATTTATAAACTTAGATCGATCCATATGAGAAAGGATAGGGTGTATCGCTCAGATGTTATGCTAGTTAATGAAGAATTGAAATCAATGTCTCTTCGCTTGAGAGAAAGAAAACGTCTCAGTAATTATCTGACTAGTTTATCAACTACAATTGAAGCTTTTAGTGCCATCCCATCACGCAATATAAGAGCAATTGCTATATACAGAGAGTATTTCAGTATGAATTTAATCCATTTAACCATTCCACGAGCTGACACTATTAAAATTGGGGAAGACTTAGTTGGTTGCGTACTAAGACAAGAAAGATTTATCAAAAAAATGAATGAGATAAATTGGTTAGAATCCCCTTTGATTGATAAAACTTTAACCAATGCAAATATTAGATACTCAAGATTCTGGAAAATGTTGATAAACTCAGATTTTATGGTGGTGCCAACTTTGGATATTGATTTAGTTTGGCATACTCATCAATTATCGTTTCATTATTATCATCAGCAAAGTTCATTGCGTGGCAGGCCCTTTATAGATCATGATGATAAAGTTGATGAATCAATATTAGATAAATGTTATGAAAGAACAGCCAAGACTTACAGAAAACTTTACAATGAAGATTACTCGATTTGTTTATGTTGGTATTGTATAGCGGTTAGAGACAACTCTAAACCGTTGTTTAAAAAGATTTTTAGAAAATCAAAAGAGTCTGACAAAAAAGATGAATACGATGTTGTTTATTCTGGTGGTAACGATTCGAGTCATGTAAGTATTCATAATGCCATATCTTTCCCTTCGTCAAAAGCAGCAAAAGGTCATAATAACTTGATGAAAAAATATAATGTTTCCAAAGATGCCAATTTGCCTTTTAGCGACCCTGTTCTTGGAGGTGGTGCTTATATGTATCCTTACCTTTATGTTATTCCTCCATTAGCACCAATTCCACTTCTTGGTATGGGATTTTATGGAAATACATTCTGTGGAGGAGCTGGAGGAGGTCTAGGCCTTGGAGCTTGTGGTAGTGGTGCTTGTTCTGGCAGTTCAGCATGTGCAAATGGTGGAGGAGGTGTCTGTGGTGGAGGAGCATTCGGTGGAGGAGGAGGAGGATGTGGAGGAGGAGGTGGATGTGGTGGAGGAGGTGGATGTGGTGGAGGAGGGTGTGGTGGAGGAGGAAATTAGTTTATAGGTTATTTAGTAATAAGTTGCGAAACTTTTCACGATTTTTATAAATTTTCAATATAGAAATAAATGATTTTAAAAAGCCGTTTAAATCATATTATTGATAAATTAATGAATCGAGGCATGGTTTAAATATCTTCCTCAGTAGATTCTCTCGATATTATTGGAAAATAAATTACTTCAATATGTAAATGTGAGATCTTGCTTAATTGCGCAAAGATTCATTTCAAGATATTACAACCTAGCACAATGCCAACATTCATTTCCAATGGGATGGTTTCCAATCTTTACTTCAACATTACATGAATCAGACGAGATTACCAACTACATTATATTATTATCTGTTAAGATCCCATTTTTATAACTCAATTTACTAATTAGATAAAATGTTAAAACTAAGCCCTTTCGTAAAATCACCAGCGCTCCCCTCCCTCTAAAGTATCTATTGTCTCCGATTGTTTGATATCCAGCAGATGAAAATTTATGTTGTAACCTGTTTAACTTGGTATTAAGGGGCAAAGGGCAAGTTAATAGATTTTCTGCCATTGTTACGTCATAGTATATTGAATCCCGTAACGCTTCCCCTTTTTAACATGAACTTTAAATTCTCTTAGTATAGAGGTTACTGAAGTGGGTTATGGGTTTTGGGTTATGGTTTTATTGTTTCTAATATATGTCAAACAATTCTTATTGTAGTATGGGCAATTATAAGCTAGAATTTATGTTTGATCCTTATTCAAATGGTATAATAACTATATAATGGAATTAAATATCCTTTCATCATTATAATTGAATTTAATTGAATTGAATATTACTAAATCAATAAACCCAAAATGACTTCATTCGATCATATTTTCATTTCAGGTGCAACAGGATACATTGCTCTACATATTATATCTCAATTATTATCATCAGGCAGGACAGTTATTGGATCAGTTAGATCCATTGAAAAAGGTGAATATCTCGTTAAACTATTCGACAACTCTAAATTCTCGTATGTGGTAGTCCCCATTTTAGAAAAAGAAGGAGCGTTTGATGAAGCTCTAAAAGCAAATCTTGAAGTAACAATCTTCTTACATACTGCTTCACCGCTTCAACCCATTCTCAATAGTGAACATCCTGAACAGGAAATCTTAATCCCAGCTATAGATGGAACTAAATATGTACTTAAATCAATCAAGGAACATGCACCCCAGATTAAAAGAGTGGTTTATACAAGTTCAATCGCTGCATGCGCTACGCCTGATCAACTTGCTGATCCAACTTATAAAAGTGGAGAATCTACATGGACGGATATAAGTTATGAATTAGGTAAATCGAATTCATATTTAGCATATGTTGTATCGAAAACATTTGCAGAACGTGAAGCATGGGATTTTGTCAAATCTGAATCACCCAATTTCACTCTCTCTAGTATAAATCCCACATTTGCTTTTGGACCTCAAATTGATCCAAGTAAGACAAAGGATTTAAACTTTTCGGCACAAATTGTAGGTAATGTTCTAAATTTCAAAAATAATGAACCAATCCCAACTTTTATAGGAGCAATGATTGATGTTAGAGATATTGCAAAAGCTCATATCTTAGCATTTGAAAAGGATGAAGCACAAGGGAAGAGATTTGTTCTTAATGAAGGTTTGTTTACTAATCAAACTTTAGTTGATATTATTAGAAAAGAGTTTCCTCAATTATATGATGTTTTACCGGTTGGAGTTCCCTATGATTATGATTCGATAATAGTTGGAGCATATGATGATCATAATGCTAGGTCGATTTTAAAAATTAATTATATTTCTATTGAAGAATCAGTTAATGATACGATTAGACAAATTTTAGAAAATTAATTAATTATTAGTAAATAAATTTTTAAATATACAAATAAGTTGCGAAATTATTCAAAATTGTCCCCTTTAATGAATTTTAAGATTTTTTACCATAAACACATAATATGCATAATACGTAAAAGCTTTCGTTCTTTTCTTTCTTAATATCTTAACATTAATAGTAAGAAAACCGACGAATCTAGGTATCTTCATATCTAGTCCCACCTCCATCCTCCAGCTTTCTGTACTTTGTTTCTCAATTCTATCTATGTTTATAATCTCCTAGAGAAGAGTGTTAAATTCAAAATAATTCTAACACTCTCTCAACTCGTTATATAATGTTTCCTTAATCAGATTTTAAAGCTTTCATATTGAAATTTAAAGTAATAATATAAACTGTTAATTACTGTGTAACCCCATACTCAAATAATTGCAATCATTATTGCTTTCTCAATCCTTACATAATCCATTCATACAAAATTACATAATCATAGATTTCTCAAATTTTTTTGAAATCTTTAAAAGTCGTGCATCAACACAAAAAATGATGAAAATTTTTTCAAGTCGTTTGAGAGTTGAGTATAGAAAATTTTTTTTTTCATTCATAATTTTAACTATTAACGTTTATTCTTTTAATTAATTAATCAATCAAACTTATTACAATGGTTAACGCAATTTTATCTAAAAAAAGAAAGTTAGTAGCCGACGGTGTTTTCTTCGCCGAATTAAATGAATTCTTCACCAGAGAATTAGCTGCTGAAGGTTATGCTGGTGTTGAAGTTAGAAAAACTCCAACCAAATTAGAAGTTATTGTTAAAGCTTCCAACACCAAAGATGTTTTAGGTGAACAAGGTAGAAGAATCCATGAATTAACTTCATTAATTGTTAAGAGATTCAAATTATCCCCAGAAGGTATTGTTATCTATGCTGAAAGAGTTGAAGAACGTGGTTTAAGTGCTGCTGTTCAAGCTGAAGGTTTAAAAGCCAAATTATTATCTGGTTTACCAATCAGAAGAGCTGCTTATGGTGTTTTAAGATTTGCTATGGGTGCTGGTGCCAAGGGTGTTGAAGTTGTTATTTCTGGTAAATTAAGAGCTGCCAGAGCTAAATCTCAAAAATATGCTGATGGTTTCATGATTCATTCTGGTCAACCAACCAATGATTTCATTGATATTGCCATTAGACATGTTTTAATGAGACAAGGTGTTTTAGGTGTTAAAGTTAAGATTATGAAGGATCCAGCTGCCAATAAGAGAGGTCCAAAAGCTTTACCTGATGCTGTTAAAATCGATGAAGTTAAAGATGAAGGAGAAATCATTAGAGCCCCAACTGTTAAGTCTCATAAACAAGCTCCAGCTCCAGCCCCAGTTGCTGCTGCTCCAGCTGTTGAAACTGCTGAACCAGTTGCTGCTTAAGTTAATTAAAATTTGTTAATAATCATATAATATAATACATTTTTTTAATTTTCTTATACCAAATATTTGTGATTGTAGATTTGTAGTAATAATGAGAGAAATTTTAGTTAAGTAGATGTTAAAAGGTGAAATGGTATCATAGTAATAGATGTAATCTTCATAAGTGATACTTTTTGATTAAGTATATGTGAAGAGATAGTTTTGGTTTAAAATTGAAAAACTAATCATGTGACAAATCACATGATCTATTTTTTTCGTAACGCTTACATAATCAGGGGATAAACGACTCAAAAATAAATGGCAACGCAAAGCGATAAAATGAATCATCTAAAAACAAAAAAGAAGAAGGAAAAAATACATAATTAAAATAAACATCAGTTGATAAATTACCAAGAATAAATAGTGGCTATAATAATTAAGCATATTATTAGTTTAAGTATGGGGGATGTACCTTATAGCTCGGTTAACTAAGTATGATATGATATGATTGTAAGTATTTGATTGATTGGTGACCTAAGTAATGAAATCATAACATGGTATGGTGGTGGTAGTCGTAGTCGTAGTAGTCATAGATAGAGATGACTTAAGACAGAGATGATCACAAAATCAATTTAGTGTTAAGATAGGAGTTAGCTAATCTATTAAAGTGCTATTAAATTAAGTTGTAAAGTAACACTATCTGGAGAAAAAGAGGGGAAGTACTTTAAAATTAGTTAGTTCATCTTACTATGACTATTACATTATGGAAGTACATGTCCATAAAAACGTTGTGGGTTTTTTAATGAAATGAAATGAAATGAAAAAAACTTCTATTATTTGAGTAAATAATAATAACAAAACAAATCATCGTAACTGAAAAATTTGTCTCTCCTATTTTTTATAATTATTAATCAGTATAATTGCCATCGGCAATAAATGATTGATTGAGTGAGTCGGCTCATGGATCATAGTTATAGTTATAGCCTTGAGATAACCATAAGTTGATGTTATATAATATATGTACAGTTAAGACGTCATTTATCCCCCATAGTAAAGTAAAGTAAAATAAAATAAACTCCCTCAATCAGTCAGTGATTTTAATTTTGCTTCCTCTACTCCGAGGATGTAACAGAAAAAAAAACTTCTTCTCTCTTAACTATGAGTACTCCGAAATACTACACAAAATAAATATTTACATCATTTATATTTTATAAGCCATAGTTAAGCAAGGAAGGAGATGGATGGATGATTAATTGATAAGTCGGAGTTTAATGTCCCCGAACCTTAGTATATAATTATGATATGAAAATATTGATATAAATAAATATCATTTCCCCCAGATCTATAAACTTTTTCAAATTTATTAATTTTCATTCTTTATTCATCATATACATACAACCATAACTAATCTACCATGACTTTCAATAGTAATCATAAATTTTTAATTTTATCAAATGAAATTTCAGAACCATTTGTTATTCCAAATGTTTCTCCTGTTTCTTCACCTCAATTATTAGCTATTCCAACTTCAAATCCTCCCACTACTCAATTTAGAAGATTATCAAATACTGTAACTGAACCAATCCCAATCATTGATCATAAACATGAATCTGAATCAGAAGCTACCTTAGTTTCTGAAAGAGATATGTCAATTATTGACTTGAATTAGTAGGTTTATTACTACTATTCCATTTCATTCATTCATTCATTTCATACAGTTTATTTTTTCAGTTCAGTTATTTTGAGTTAGTTAAAGGTTTCTTATTCAGGTTTTCAAATTATACAAATTATACATTATTATTATTTCTTCCATATTTATCATATCAACATTGGTTTTTAAAAAAAGGTTTATGAATCATAAATAAATAAATAAATAAAAATATTCCCTTCATTTCATAAAAGAGAAAGATATCATGAATATTTAATGATATTTTCATTTAATCAATCATTTTTCTTATATATATATATATAATTATTATTATACATACAAAAATATATTTTTTTATTTCTACTAAATTCGTAAAACATGTAATCATATAATCATAGTTACTATATACTTTATTTACCCTATTTTATTTACAAATGGTTAAGGGGAAATATTTTGATGGCTTAACAACTGATAAAATTCAATTCTAACGAATTGAATCTAAAAGAATGGATAAAATTCATTATACTTCTTCAAATAATAACCAGTACCTAAACTTCCTAACCCAATTAAAACCAAAGGTAAAGGTTTCTTAAATTGAGTTTTAACCCCTCTAGATAACCCTGCTAATAATAAAACCGTTGAATTAAACACTGCTAATTCTAATCCATAATCACCATTTTGTTTTAATAAATATCCACTAACCCCATATAATGAACCTAAAGTGACACCGGCAATTAAGGATGGTAACGATCCTTTACGAGTATATCCTATGATACCTCCGATGGTACATAATCCTGATAATGTGAATGCTGGATGTTCCATTGTATTAATTAGTTAAATTGATTAAAGTTGATTAATTGATGGATTGATTGATTAATGTTGTTTGTTGATTTGCCATCTGATAAATTTGTCTTCAGACTTCAATTTTTGTTCGGTAATTCGGTCTTACTTTTATACTATAATCCACACCTAAGAAATTTATGAGTATGTAAGAAATTACGTAAGGACGAGAATTAAAAAAAATAAAATAATAATAAAATGTACCACAATCATAGTTTTTAGTAGTAACTATACGTACGTTATGTAGGTAAAGTGAGAGTCATAGAGAGATATCCCATAATAATTACAGTGAATATATATGAATGAGTTAGTGTCAATCTGTACGATTCACAATTATATTATCATTATGTCGATGGTATATTGAATGTCTGACATATTTGAACCGTTTCATCCACACAAAATTACTAAAAAGTATCACCAAAAATATTGGTGATAATTTCAATTAAAAGATATTTTGGCTGCTAAACATAGCATCATCATAGTATATCTCTATATGAATCAATCAATCCATAAACTTCATTGATTGATAGGATAAATGATTGAGTTGTTCTATTAACTAATTAAAGTTCTAGATTGTTCGATCGTCATAATAATTTATTATTCTATTACGCGTACTTTGTCTGATTGTCTTCCTGTCTTTCTGTCTGTCTTTCTGTCTGTTTAATTTTTTTTGTCTGGTCTTTTTTTTTTGTCGTCGATTGCCCAACACTAAACACTAAGCACTCTGTCTGCCCCTCTATCATTATAGTGACAGTAACTAATTAAACATCAACTAAAGACAGAAGTCATCCATTTCTAATGTAACAAGATTATAGACATGTAGACACTATGTAGATACTGATATATCATCAATTTACTCCTTTCAAACTATGTTACTATATAATTTTTACCAACGGTTAATTGAAAATATATTCAGCGGTTAAATTTCTCTCTCTCTCTCTCTCTCTCTCTGTTTAAATTTTGTCGCTTTTTTTTTTTTCGTTGTTGTTGTCACCTGTTAAGTTTGATTGGTTGGCTGTTTGTTTGTTTGTTGCCTTTGCCATTTAGCAGAACTTAACTTGAACTTTGAATTGGTTAATTCAATCACTTCATCCCATCCCATAATCACCCATCAATCAAATCAGTTCAACTATAGTATATGTATGGATTGAGATCATATCTAATTTCACATAATGAATATCTCTTCCATGCTATCTAATGATAGTAATAATTCAACTCCAACTCCATCCCTACCACCCCAATTAGATACCATATCTGAATCAACCACATCATCAGCCACTACTACTAATCAATCAGATCTATCTCATAATGGTCATGATCTTAATGGTGCAACCACATCTATAGAATTACCATCCTCTTCAAATGATTCAAAATCATCATCATCATCAAAGCATACCAATAATAATAATAACAATATTACAGCCAACTCATTACAATTTGAATCAAGTCAATTCAATGACCCAGCTATTGATTCAATCATTTCAAAATCAATCTTATCCGATCATGATTCTGATCTTGGCCATCTAAGTCAAATTGATGTTGATTATAAAACTATTTTTCAACAAAATATAAATCATATTAATCAATTAGATGAATCAGTTAATCTATCTCATGATTTAAAATTATTAAAATTTAATCAATTAAAATTAAATAAATTAATCTTAAAATCTTCTGAATTTTCATTTAATTATCTTAATCGAGTTATTGCTGAAGATATAAGTTCAAGAAATAATAAAATTAGTGATACTAATAAAAATAAAGATTTAATTCCATTGGATTATTCAAAACCTTTACATCATAATACAACTAGAGGGAAAGAATTCAAATGGGGGTCAACTAGAGAAATCAATAAAGTTGATGCCAAGGGGAAAAGAAAACGTCCCTCTTCTTCTTCAACTACAACTCCTTCTGCTGTGGCTGCCAGAAGTTCAGCTTCTCCAGGTGCAAGTCCAACTAATACTTCTTCAGGTGGTTCTGGTCCAAGATTAATCAGACCTAAACGAAAAATTGAAGATCTTTCATCTATATCTTCTGGTGATTCTACCGTTGCTCATCCTAAACGACAAAGAAGAAAACCAGCATTATATGGGGATGAAAATTCTAAAAATGATGAAAATAGTACTGGTAGTACTACATCAAATGGTAAAGTTAAACTTAAATTGAATTTAAAAAGAGCAAGTGGATCAGCATCTAGTACTGGTACTAATGCAAATTCAAAATTGAAAGATGATTCATCAAAGGCCAATACTGCTCCTGTTGCTGCTCCTGCGGCATCATCATCTAATTCTAAAGAATTAAAAGTCATTGTTAAACAATATGATAATACTTATGTTGCTATTTGGAAAGATTTATCTAGAAAAGATGGTCCAAAAGTAAGTCGATTAATGCAACAATCTACTCAAGCAAAATTAATTAATCATAAAAAGACAGCTATTTTAGCTGCTAGAGAAGCTAAAAGATGGCAATTAAAAAATAATAAAGGTCAAAAGGATTTAACCACAAAGGCAAGAAGAGCTATGAGAGAAATGTTTAATTTCTGGAAACGTAATGAAAGAATTGAAAGAGAATTAAAGAAAAAACATGAAAAGGAATTATTAGATAAAGCTAAAAAGGAAGAAGAAGAAAGAGAAGCTAAACGTCAATCTCGAAAATTAAATTTCCTTATTACTCAAACTGAATTATATTCTCATTTTATTGGTAAAAAAATTAAAACTGATGAAATTGAAGGTTCAGATTCTGATCCAAATATAAGTTCTTTATCTAATAAGAATAATAATCTGAATTCTCATTATGATAAATATACTGATATAAATCATTCTGATCATAGAGTTGATGATATTAATACTATTGATTTCGATAATGCTGATGAAGAAGATTTAACTAAAGCAGCAGCAGCAAATGCTCAAAATGCCATGTTAGCAGCTCAATCTAAAGCTAAACAATTTGATCAAAATCATAGCAATGAAGAAGATGATGAAAATGATCCATTAAAAAATCCAGATACAAATGGTGAAGAAATGAATTTCCAAAATCCAACTTTATTAGGAGATATCACAATCCCGCAACCAAATTTATTAAAATGTACATTAAAGGAATATCAATTAAAGGGTTTAAATTGGTTAGCTAATCTTTATGAACAAGGTATTAATGGTATTTTAGCGGATGAAATGGGATTAGGTAAAACTGTTCAATCTATTTCGGTATTATCTTATTTAGCTGAAACTCATAATATTTGGGGTCCATTTTTAGTAGTAACTCCTGCATCAACCTTACATAATTGGCAACAAGAAATAAGTCGATTTGTACCTGATTTTAAAGTTTTACCCTATTGGGGGAATGCCAAAGATCGTAAAATTTTAAGAAAATTTTGGGATCGTAAATCATTTAGATATGGTAGAGATGCTCCATTTCATGTATTGGTTACTTCTTATCAATTAGTGGTGGTTGATGCTCCATATTTTCAAAAGATGAAATGGCAATATATGATTCTTGATGAAGCTCAAGCTATTAAATCATCACAATCTTCTCGTTGGAAATCATTATTATCATTCAGTTGTCGTAATAGATTATTATTAACTGGTACACCTATTCAAAATTCAATGCAAGAATTATGGGCTTTATTACATTTTATTATGCCATCATTATTTGATTCTCATGATGAATTTAGTGATTGGTTTTCTAAGGATATTGAAAGTCATGCTGCGGCAAATACTGGGTTAGATGAACAACAATTAAGAAGATTACATGTTATTTTAAAACCATTTATGTTAAGAAGAATTAAAAAGAATGTTCAAAGTGAATTAGGAGATAAAGTTGAAATTGATCTTTTCTGTGATTTAACTAATCGTCAAAAGAAATATTATCAAATGTTAAGATCTCAAATTTCTATTGCCGATTTATTAGAAACTTCATCAACTGCCACTGGTGAAGATGCAACTTCATTAATTAATTTAGTCATGCAATTTAGAAAAGTTTGTAATCATCCTGATTTATTTGAAAGAGCGGATGTTAAATCTCCATTTGCATTTGGGAAATTTGCTGAAACTGGTTCATTTTTAAGAGAAACTAATGATTTAGAAATGAATTATTCAACTCAGAATCTTATTGAATATAATTTACCTAAATTAATTTATGATGAATTATTAATACCAAGTTTTGAGAATGATGTTAAGACTAAACAATCAACCATTTTAAATAAATTTAATATTTTTAATCCTGAAAATATTTTATCATCATCGAATGAAGAAGATGGTAGTTTTAATTGGTTAAAATTCGTTGATGTTTCAAGTCAAGAAGTTTCAAATTTATCCAAACAAAATATCTTGGAAAGAGCTGTGGGTTTAAAACAATATACTGATAAGAATTATGAAAAGATTAATCGATTCAAATATCTATATGATGATGAAGATGATAATTCTTTCCTTCCTATTAATAAATCATTATTAATCGCCGAATATAATAATGACCATGCATTAATTAACAACTCAATTCATATTAAACAATTATATTCCATTAAAACTAAAGTATATCAAGATATGTATATTAATGCAATGAAACCTGCTGCTGAACCAATTGCTTCTGCACCACCAATCACCTTCAATTGTTCTCATAGATCATTTTCACATAAATTAGAAGATGCATTATTTAATTCATCCATAAAATCAAGTCTTTTACCTTTATCATTAAATGTTGAATATGATTTATTAACTAAAAATATTGCGGTGGAAAATTTCCCAAAGAAGGAATTATTACCAACTCCAATTAATAATTTAATTGATTATTCCAATATTAGAATGCCATCAATGTTACGTTTCATTACTGAATCAGGTAAATTAGCTAAATTAGATGAATTATTAGTAGAATTAAAAAAGAATGATCATCGTGTGCTTATTTATTTCCAAATGACAAGAATGATGGATTTAATGGAAGAATATTTGACTTATAGACAACATACTTATATTCGATTAGATGGTTCATCGAAATTAGATGATCGTCGTGATTTAGTTCATGATTGGCAAACTAAACCGGAAATATTTATTTTCCTTTTAAGTACTCGTGCTGGTGGGTTAGGTATTAATTTAACTGCGGCTGATACTGTTATATTTTATGATTCAGATTGGAATCCAACCATTGATTCTCAAGCTATGGATCGTGCTCATAGATTAGGTCAAACTCGTCAAGTTACCGTATATAGATTATTAACTCGTGGTACTATTGAAGAAAGAATGAGAGATCGTGCTAAACAAAAGGAACAAGTTCAACAAGTGGTTATGGAAGGTAAAGCTACTACCATGATAAATAAAAAGGATGAAGCTGCTAATAAAAAGAAAGATGTGGCATTTTTATTATTAGGTGAAGAAGGTACAAATGATGAAAGTAGTACTGAAAAATCAACTGGTACAACTCCAACTCCCGATGGAAATGGTTTTATTGCTCCACCCAAGAAAAAGAAAAGAAAATTAAGTGCTGATGATGCATTAAGTAGTAAAAGACTTGAAGAATTATATCATGAAGGTGAAGGGTCATTCTCCGGGAATGCAACACCTGCTCCTTAAAGTCAATTAATAGATAGATAGATACGTAAGTAGGTAAGAACATTCATACATACAGACGGCACTGACAATAAATTATAATTTATGTATATTATTATTAAAATATAATTAATACAAAACGTAAGTAAGTGTAGTTATATTATCTAAATGGGATCTAAGTGGGTATCTAAGAATTAAGAAAAAAAGTGTATTAGTAGAATGAAAGGTAAAAATAAATAAATAAATAAATAAGTAAAAATTACAATTAGCCTCCGCAAGAGATATTTTAATTAAGGTTATCCTTGTAAATGAGGTTGTGATAATTTATGAGATAAAACATGATCTAACTCAGTTAAGAAAGATGGTGTGGATGATGGATTATTATTATTCACCACAATAGTATTGTTCGTTAATGTTGTGGTTATTTCATTAGTAGTAGTATTATTCGTAATGGTATTATTGGCATATAAGGTGATATCTTCTCCTTTTAATTTTTTATTTTCATTTTCTAAATTATATATTCGATTAAAACTTTCCTCAAGTTTTAATTTTAATTGTGATTTCGAATATTTGCCTTGAACTTCACCATTCACATTCGTATCAGGATTCGGATTAGAATTATCTTCAATTAATTCTTCATTGTATGATGTAATATGACTTGAATTAATCAAATCCGTTATACCACTTATATTTGAATTGACTGAATTTAAAGAATAATGAGCTTGAGGATGAGAAGTTTGATTATTGGTTTGACTATTACTACTTAGTTTATTGAATGCTTCTTGATTATAACTTTCATAATTAATATTAGTCGCATAATTATCCATATCTAATGAAACTCTACCTCCATTAGATCTACGATTGTTTAATGAAGTAGTAAGTGAATGCTTATTTTGTTGAGAATCTTCAAAAACAGTTAATAAACCTAGTTGCAAACCAGTTGATAATCTTTTATATTTCTTACCAGAAGAAATTGATGACGGTGGTTGAAGCTCCTTTGGAGAAGGTATAGTTAGTGATGGTGATCGAGAATTTGTTGTTGATATGCCTGTCCTACTTGATGATCTTATCTTCGTATGACCTGAAGAAGTTGAAGTATGGAATGATTTCAAACTGAACTCACCCGTATTGATGTTATCATTTGGTTGATCAAGTGAAGAACGATGAGAATTAGTTGATACTGATGGAGTATTCTGTTGTTGTCTTTGGCGTTCGAATTCAAATACTTCGTTGTTTAAATCATTTTGATTAGATTGATACAATTGTTTGATTTTAGTTAAATCATCATTAAATTGATTAAATATTAAGATTTTTTCATTTAATTCATCAATATTATTAATTTCTTTAATCGATTGATTGTATTTTTGAAAATATTTTAAATTAGTAGTTAAATTTGATAATTTAGAAATCAATTGATTCAAATTGGAATCACTATCGTTGGAAATGAGTCCACTATCCAAGGTTGTTGTCGTTGATAAATTCAAAATATTCTGATCTTCTTGTGATGTAGATTGGGATGACGAATTATAGATTAAATCAAAATTAGTGAAATTGGCATGCATATTATTTATACAAGAATTATGATTTTCTAATACATTTTGAAGGATGGTTAATTTATCAAGATTATTAATATGAGTAATTTCGTCAGACTTTCCATTTCTATCAAATTGATCCTCCAACTTATAAATGAAAAAGTTCTTCTTTATGGAGGATTCATTAAGAGTTAATAATTGACAAATTAATAATCTTCTTAATTGATTAAATTTATTAATTTGATTAACAATATAATTGATTGATCTTGGTTCTTCCTCATCTGAATCAGCTTCATTATCATCAGGTATAATGATATTATTAATATTAAAATACAGTTCTAACAATTCACCATTTAGATAAGGTAATAATTGTTTTATGGATGATTTTAAATTTAAATTCAAAAAGCTTAATGAATCAATGACATGAGATTTCAATTGTTGTTTATAAGCGCTATCATCATCTTCAATATTTTCCGGATGATGGATTTGACCTGGTTTTAAAAACTTAAACATTTCCAATTCTTTCAATATGATTAAATTTTGTATCAATCGTTTATTTATCTTATAATTCAATAGCAAAAATGTATTCAAAGATGATAAGATTTGATTTGATTGAATGGACCATTTGAATTTATAAAATTTAATCAACTTAGACGATATGAGAATTAAGTATTTGAAAAGCTTGTATTGACTTTGAGTAGGATGTACTGGTTGTTGTTTTAATTGATTTAGTAGTTTGATGATCAAACTGATAACCAATAGAACTGAATTTAAACTATATGATCCACTATGATCAATTCGATAAGATTTATTTAAAATGGTTAGTTTAGATTGATTGAAATCATCATAAAACTTAACATTTCGTAATGTTTCATTACTTTCTTCAGTATCTTTAATGGCATGTTCTAAATTAATCAATGATTGCTCATTTTTAGATAAAATCATGGAATTATCTAAGAAATCAGATATTACAAGATTATATTTGAACTTCTCCCAAAACTTATGCACTGAATGTTCCATACTAAGATATTTATGAATAAATTTAGAAAAGTTCTCCGTATTACCTTTAATAATGACATGTGAAATTGGTGGTTCAACTCGATCATAATAGGGATAACCTTGATAAAAGTCATGATTGACTTGATTATGTTGATGATATTTGTTAACACTCAGATTTCTTGAATTAACAGGGTATAAATGGGGTAGCTGTTGAGGTTGATGATATTGATGAATATTATGGTTAGTCGGTATGGGGTATAACTGTTGATTTGATAGCGTAGGAGAAGAAACTGATTCTTCTATACCCCAATCACTCACTTCCATAGGATTAACAAACGTTTCAAAGTCATTAGATAGTACCACCAGTGGTTGTCTTTGATTATTATGATTATTCAATTCATCGGATTTATCATTATTATTGATATTCTTACCAGCTACTCCACTAAATGATAAATATCGTGATAGGGGATTCAACCTATCGAAATTCATGATTCAGTAGTAGTGGGATTGATGATATTATATGGGTGCCATGAGATGGTATGGTAAGTTGAATGAATTATGGATGTCTAAGCGTATAAAAGCTAAATGCTGCCAAAAAATTAAAAACCTTTGATCTGATCAATCTGACAGGGAGTAATTCACTTTGATTTCAAACTAGTCCGTCAATGATTCTTTGATTCAATTGCCCTTTTGAACTTATCTCTGAATCAGATGAATTAGGTCTAAAATTGATATTGAACCCTTGGTTAGTTACCTCTTGCCTTTTATCTTTGTTAAGGGTTTGAAGTTGTAAATTTTGTTTTTTTGTTTTTGTTTTGATTTCTTTAAAATTTAAGATTGTCCTGCACACAACGTCATGTGAAAAGTGGATTTGATTTACCGAGGAAATTTGTGGGGAGGGAGTCTCAAAGGGAGGGAAGTATAAGGACGAAATAGATTAATAGGAAATAGGTGGTGGTTATTTGCCTCGCTAAATATCGTATGATAACTTTACACCATATTTAAAGAGATAATTGAAGAATATGCTATTGTTGTAATGTAACTCATTTGGGTAATTCACATAAGGTTTACTACACTCTCTAACCATTGCCTTTGTTTCATAAATTGTTTATTGTTTATTTATAGGCTTTACGCTTAATTTGACCTATATTATATGAATATGTTGTTTATATATATATATATATATATAAATATGTAAGCTGTCTGTATTATTGCGTATAATTATACAAATCCAGGACCAGAACCCATCAGACTTAACCAATCGGTTTCAATGGCCCCTCCACTATTATCATCTTTAAGATTCAAATCACCACCATTATTTGCACCTCCTCTTGATTGATTAGGTTGGTTTGGATTATTTCCTCCCACTTGTAATTGACCATCCTTATTCTGAGGAACGGCAATCAAATTGGAATTAACGTTCAATCCACCACCACCACTTAAATCAAGAGAATTACCATTACTATTAACATTAGAATTAGTTCCACTATTAGAACCACTTGATTGTATTTGTTGGTTTTGATGTTGTAAGTGTAAATTCTGTTGTTGAATGAATTTCATTCGTTCTTGTTGTAATTGGTATTGCATATTGAATTGATTCTGTTGTTGAGCTGATACATTTGAATTATCATTAAGTGTCGTAAGAATATCCTTTGAAGGATCGAAATTTAACATTAAATCAGCATCAGAAGGGTTGTTGTTAACCCCTTGTTGCTGTGCTTGTTGTTGTTGTTGAGCTTGCTGCTGCTGCTGTTGTTGTTGTTGCTGTTTGGCTTGTAACATTTGAAACATAATCTGTTGACGGTGTTGTTGAGCTTGTATACCCAATTGATCAATAGATCCTCTTCTTAAATCTTGATTTGCATTACCTATCAATTGTTGTTCACCATTAGCATTAATACTACTATTATTCATCGATGGTGACATTTGAGGTTGTTGTTTCATCAAGAATTGTTTCTTTTGTAAATCATTTTGATTCTCCATCCTCAATAAACTTAATTGATAATCATTAATCGCTTGATTATTAGCCGCATTAAGATTATCATTACCAGTGGCATTTGTAGATTGAGGACCTAATCGATTAGATAATAAAGGAGATTGAAGAGTTTGACCTGCATTATTATTACCGGTATTAGCTGAAGCTCCATTATTACCCCCAGATTGTTGTTGCTGTTGTTGTTGTTGGAATTGTAATTTCATCTGTTGTAATCTCAACTGTTGTTGATATTGATGTAGACTATTCTTCGATGATTGTTGAGCTTGATTTGGCGTACCTTGTGATTGTGGTTGTGTTTGATTAGGTTGAGCACCAAGTGGATTTGGAGGTAACATTTTATTATTGTTTGATACTGGTACTACTGATGAATTCGATGATATTGAACTTTGACGTGCACCAGGAGTAACTGCATTGGCAGCTCCTGTTGAAGCATTACCAGAATTAGCTGCCATTTGTTGTTGCTGAAGTAACATCCGTTGTTGAATCAATTGTTGTTGTTGTTGTGGAGTTGGAGGAACACCAGTAGTTATAACCGCTGGAGCTTGGGGTTGTTGAAATTGTTGTTGTTGTTGCTGTAATTGTTGTTGCCGTTGGTAATATTGTTGTTGTTGGAGTTGAAGTTGTTGTTGTTGATTAAGAAGTTGTTGAGGAGGTTGTTGTCCTTGATTTTGAGCTTGATGTTGTTGTTGTTGTAAGAACTGTTGTTGTTGTTGAAGTTGTAATTGATGTTGCATTTGTTGTTGTTGAAACTGTTGTTGTTGCTGTTGTTGTTGTTGTAAGAATTGTTGTTGTTGTTGCAATTGTTGTTGTTGTTGAGGATTCAATGTTTGACCAGGTTGTTGACCTGGCTGTTGTTGTTGTTGTTGATTTAAATTAAGATTTTGTAATTCATTCTTAATAAATGGATTTGAACCATTTAATAATTGATTTAAATTTGGATTCATATTTGATTGTAAAGTCCATAATATAATCCACCATTGTAAAAGATAAGGATCAGTTTCACCATCGATAAGATTATGATTTATATTTGATAATTGAGATTGAACAAACTTATTATTTATAATTGCCATTGGATTTGAAGTTGATTCTTGTAATAAAGATTTAGCGGAATCATGTAATCCAATTTCTTTTAAATAATTATAAAGAAATGCTAATAATAATTGATGACGATCTTGGTCCAGGATATTAGGATCATTACCGTTTAAATTATTGATGCCATTAGTGGAGGGATTAGGATTGGAATTCCCAGGATGAGATGAACCCGGGTTGGAACTGGTAGTAATATATGAAGTTAAAATATCATTTATGACATTTTGATGAGACATTGTAAATGATGAGAGCTAAGGCGGGCCAGGTAGGTAATTAACATAGACCACACCACACCACGACGCAAAGACAGTACTAATCAGATACAAATGGGATGGATGAATGAATGGATGATATACCAGATGGAGAGAGAGATGGAAGTAGATTTGAAGGAATGGAATATGAATTGAGGTAATAACTATTTTTGATGGTGGTACTATCAATTAAACCTGCTAAAGGTTTTGTTTGTTTGTTTGTTTGTGGGGGGAGGGGTGGTGAGCACAGTTAAGACGGTCAAGTCAGACAAAAAAAAAAATTATTTTTATAACAAATTACGATAAATGAAGTTAACTTAGTTGTCAAAACGATATAACGTGAATTTTTCGATGACGATGATGATGATGATAGTTTAATGATGGTTGGAGGTTTACGAGAAAGAAAGAAAGTAAAATAATAATAATATATAGTTTAAATTAAATAGAATGGTTGTGGTAGTTTTGTTGTTGGTTAAATAAACTTTCAGTTACAAAAGTGTCTGTCTGTCTGAATTAATTTAGTGTCCCTTTTTTTGTCTGACTTTTTTGTTTTTTGTCTTTTTTTTTGTCTTTTGGTTTAAGGACAAATGACAGACAGACAGAAAAACTTTAATCACTAATTAGGGGGAAACCAACTCTATAGTCATTAACTATCCCACCACTATTTATTTATAATATATATATATGTATATATAGCCAAGACATAGTATATAGGTTTGTTATATATGACGTGACTATATATAATGGTAGGATAAATATCTTTAATGACCATAATACTATAACATTTTCATACGCCTTAATTGAAATTAATTATGCATTTTAAATCTCGTAAGATATATGGCTGAACTAAACATTAAGGGGAACACCCACCGTAGTTGAGTGGTATGGCAATTATTTTCATTTTCACACATTTTTCCTGCTAATACTATTTCACTCAATGTTTACATAGTCTATTCTAATTATTAAATTGTCTTTATTATAGTTCGAGGAAGTATTAGCCGTCTTAAATTGTCTGATATTCCATTCATCTCCTTCAGGCTTTGTACTCTATTTGAAGTTTTTTCTTACCCATTGCCGTAGTGACAGCAAAATTTCAACTACAATTTCAGTTGGTAAATTTCTCTTCTATATTGACTCTGTTACCCATTATAACTATCAGATTTATATTTTAGGGTCAGCTAAGTGTTTTGACACAACTGAGTTTCGTTACGGAAAATCAGACAATTATCTACAATTGTATACCCCTTTTATTCGAGCTCTCTTTATTTATCTTATATATTACTATATAATTTTACGTAGAGAACCATCTCAATCCGTATAATCTCATAACCAGCTTGATCTCATACATATCAAAATAACCCTTATACTAACCCATTGTACCAATAATAATAACCATATATTTTCACCATTTACTTAGTTACTTTCGATTTTTAAAATATCCAAATTTAACATCTGGTTTAATATTATGATCAATTTCATGTCTCTTTACCTCCAAAAACTCGGTGGGATACTCATAATCATCATAAATTGGTAATAACTTACCCACATCTTTATTAAACTCATAATAAATCCCATGAATCATTAAATTATTTAAATTTAAAAATATCGATTGTAAATATTCCACAATCGGATTCAATTGATGAATAATATAAATCGTTACTAAATTATCAATATTAGTAGATCTTAACCCATTCACATCTCCATCCATCAGTTCTTCACATCCACATAAACTATCACCATCATACTTATTAGTATGGAATGCATTATGTAATGTATGCGGTTGTCCCTTGTATACTGGATAACTATTATAATGAACGGTTGATTCCTTTATCGGTATACAAACTTCTCTATCCGCTTGTAATTTCCCTAATATATATCCAATAACCATATAAAGAGTTGATTCAATATCAAGACTTGAACTCATAGGATTTTGAACCGTTGGGAATCCCTCAAATGAATCAATTGGATAAAATAAATCTTTTAATTTTTCTAATAAGATTTGACATCCCCAACATTGACATGTATGTAATAAATTTTCATAAAAATCCGGTTTATAATAAATAAAACTAGTTAAAAAATCTTGTAAATATAATTGTTTTAAATTTGCCAATACGTTTTTATTAGCTCCATCTTCAGTTTCATTATCAAAGAAACATAGGAAGAATGCTTCGATTAATCTTTCATTTAATTTATTTAATAAATGTGTTGATAATCCAATGGAATTATCAAACATTTTATACCCTGGAGTGGAGAAATCAATCGTTAAACGATTTAATCCATTCAAAGTTCGGATGAAACTTCCTAAAGGAGTTAAAATATCTTCTAACATTTGATGAGGTCTTAACCATTCTAAATTGGGGAATGATTCAATTTCAAATGAATTTAAATTAGGTAATCCACCATTCAACAGACTGAAATTACTAAAATCTTTAAAAAAAGTTTCAAAACATTTACAATTATTCAATCGATGTTCAACACAATCAATCTTAAGGTATAAATGTTGAAGATTAATTAAATCAACCTTACTCTCAATACTATGGAAATGTAATCGTTTATCAATCGATTTTAAATATTCAATCACAATCTCATTATGTTCATCATCCAAGTCATGTAATTTGGGTTGGGATGATAAATCTTCAATGCGAGGGATATCATTTTCAATCGCATTATCAATTTCTAACCCTTCTCGTATATGATTATACATTTCATTTAAAGTATGCAAAGTTTCATCTTGATCATGTTCGGGATTAGTTAAATTCTCTTTATGGAAATGAAATATGGTTAACCCTTTCAATTTTAATTTTATAGCAGGATCAATTAATTTAATTTCATTTAGAATCTCTAATCCAAGTTGTTTATTAGTTGAACATGTTAACGTGAATAATGAATAAAATATGTCATAGGGGTATGTGGATAAATCAAAGGTATAATCATCTTTAATGAATTCAAACTCATTCAACATAAGGAATAAATTAGTTAAACTTTGAGGTATGACAGGTTCGAATAAATCAGTGGTATTGGTGATAAATAATTTAAATATCTTTGATCGAATATTTTCATTCTTTAAAAATTTGGTTAATTTAAGAATCCCAGTAAGAAAATCAATGAATGTAATATGTAAAAAGTTAATCTCATGAGAACTCTTCCCAAAGAATTCAATTACTTTGAATTGTATATGATTAATATCGATAATAGTATTGATATAACATTTATCAAAAATAAAGAATTTTACTTTTTGAATCAAACTAGCATTTAAATTTAATATCCCAAATAATTTTAGAAGATTCTCAATATTAAGGATGATTGAACTATTCATATATTTGATTCCATTATCTCTGACAAATTGTTTGGCATCTCCTTTATACCTAATGGGGAATTCTCCATTCAATATGACTGTAATCCGTCGATATAATCGAGTGATACTAATACCGTACATTTGTTTACAAGTCAACAGTAAATTCACAAGATCATATTGATCGATATGTTCACATATCTCTTGTAATATATTATCGGGGAGGATATTAACTATGGAATTGACGGGTTGTTTAATTTGACTATGATGATGGGAGTGAGTATGGGTATTATTGTGGGGGTATTGATGTCGACGACGAGTCAATGATGTAGTATTGGTGGAAGTTGATTTTGATATGATACTAGGAAGTATAGGACATTCCAATAATGGTGTGAAACTGTCTTCCTCTATATCCATCCCGTTAACATCCTGTTCTGACTCTACCTCAGCTTCAATTTCTACTTCAGGATCCATACCTTTCATATTATCAGGCCAAATTTCTAAGGATGTTTCAGGAGTAGGAATCTCACCAAGCTCTATATCTGGACTATCACCTTCATCCATATTGAATATAGTGGTTGTATCCAATCCAGCTTATAAATGAATATTGCTGCTCTAACTGTTGCAACTAATTTCAATCGAGCAAGTTAAGGTATCGTGAGTGAGTTCTTACTGTCCCCTATTTTTTTTAGTAAGGTAATGTCACCAAAATTACACAAAATCAAAATACGAATAAATGGGATGCTACCATCACTTGATTTTTACAAAACGAATATCTATTTCATTAACTATATCAAAAAGTGTATACATATAAAGAGAGACAGCAAGTCTGACGAATTAAAAGAGGATGTCTGAAGCTAGGAATAACTATCTTATAATCTAGTACCTAAGTTAACATGAACAGCTTTAGCTTGAGTATACATTGATAAACCATATTCACCTAATTCTCTACCAACACCACTTAATTTAACCCCACCGAATGGAATGTGAATATCAGAATCATTAGAAGAGTTGATCCACACCATACCAGCTTCGATATCACTGGCCATATTGTGAGCAACAGTAATATCTTTGGTGAAGATAGCAGCACCTAAACCATATTGAGTACTATTAGCGTATTTAACAACTTCTTCATCGGTCTTGAATTTACCAACTACAACAACAGGACCAAAGATTTCTTCATTGACGATTCTCATATGTGGTTGAACTTCAGTGAAAATAGTTGGTTTAATGAAATAACCCTTGGATAAAGCACCATCAGTATTCTTTTCACCACCTAAAACAATTTTAGCACCTTCTTCTTTACCAATAGAAATATAATTTAAGATTTTATCATGTTGAACTTTAGAAACTTGAGGACCAACAACAGCGTCACCATCGAACATTTCCCCTTGTTTATAATCAGCAATAACATGAGCTTTATATTGTTCAACAAATTCATCATGAATATCTTCATGAACATAAATTCTTGAAGTAGAAGTACAAATTTGACCTTGATTACTCATGATACCAATAGCAGCCCATTTAACAGCTTGTTCTATATCAGCATCACTTCTAACGATTAATGGAGATTTACCACCACATTCTAAAGTAACAGCCTTTAAGTTTGCTGAAGCAGCTTGTTGAATTAATTTACCAGTCGCAGTTGAACCAGTGAAAGCAATTTTATCAACACCCAAATGAGATGCTAAAGATTTACCAGCAGTAGCACCATAACCACTTAAAATATTAACCACACCAGGTGGGAAACCAACTTTTTTAAAGATTTTAGCCACATATAATAATGATAATGGAGTAAGTTCAGAAGTTTTCAAGACAACAACATTACCAGCAGCTAAAGCTGGAGCCAATTTCCAAGCAGCCATTAATAAAGGATAATTCCATGGAATGATTTGACCACAAACACCAAATGGTTCATGAACAGTATAAGCTAATTTCTTAGCATCATTTTGAATTAATTTACCTTGGATTTTATCAGCCCAACCAGCATAATATCTGAAAACAGCAATACATTCTTCAACATCATAAATGGCATTTTGATCTTTGGTTTTACCTGAATCCCAAGCTTCAATGGAACTTAATAAAGCTTGTTGTTTTTCAAATTCATCAGCAAATTTGAATAAAAGTTTACCTCTGTCAACACCACTAACTTTTTTCCATGATTTGAAAGCAGTTCTAGCAGCATCAACAGCAATATCAACATCTTCAGCCTCAGCAGCATAAACTGAACCATTTACTTCACCAGTAGCTGGATTAATGGAATCAATGGTTTTACCACTGACAGATTTGACAAATTCATTATTAATGAATAAACCTGCTGGTTGTTCGAATTTTTTACCATCTGGTAAAGTAACTTCATATTCAACTGGAACGGACACGGTCATTGTATTATTAGATCTGGAAGTATGAATATATTAGAATGAATGAAATTATATAAGGAAACTAAGCCAAAAGAAAAGAAATTCTAAAAAAAAGGCAAAAACAATCGTAAGTAAAATTAGCGGTATTTTAAATTGCTTTTATACCTGTTGAATAATTTTATCTCTGAATCCGTTTGTGGAGTTGAGTTTGATAGCGGGCGAACGAAAATTAATTTTTCACCCTAATAAAAAAAAAAAAGAATTAAAATTATTAGTGGTGAAGCAATTGATTAAGCAGGAGAATTGAGAGGGGTGATGTTTTAGTTTAAGTTAAGCGGGAATTGGTAATATTATTTTTAACGGTGTGGGATTGGGTTGCATTTCACCTCTTGGGATTATGTGGTTATCTTATCTAGTTTTGGTATTTACCACTCCGTTCAGATAACAGATCAACAGTAGTACATGATCTATTTGACTCTAAGAAGCTATACAATTTTTGAGATACACACAGTATTCCATCAATTGACTTTAATGAACTACTTCCCTTAACTGGTTGGCAATTAGAAGTTGTTGACCCGCTTAATTAACTTGATTTCATCACTATTTGTAATTATGAATCTGATTTGATTTACCGCGCATTGGCCCAAATAGGAAATGTGAATTCGTCCTCTAAGGAATCACTTGCCGCATTGGGAATCCTCATGCGAATCTGTTAAATAGTAGTTACTCTTCACTTAAGTAAAGGACAACTTGATCTTGTTACTATAGATTCAGATGTGCAAATCTTAAGTTTCAGTCAGTATTATAAATAGTAACGAAAGTCCAAATATAAAATAAAGGCACTGTTAGTTGCTAAATTATGCTTTATTCCCCTTATGAAAAGTACATTCTTATTAGAGATATAATATCCCCACATTGAAGTAACATTACTATTAACTATGACACATCCTTAATATTGCTATCCTAATCTATTCCATTCCATTATTTTCTCTTCCTTTCTACTCTACTCCTATTCTAATCGTAACAATTTGTAAGCCGTTATCATACCTTGTCGCCTTAATCTTATTTGAGTGAAAAAGTTATATACCGGAACATCCATACACACATACATTACCTAATTTATGACTAACACCGATAACATTCGACTGGCTCTGATATAAGAATACTGAAAAATCTGCTATTATCGCTTTATCTATTTCGATTCTTTCATTGATCCCTTGTTCATAACGATATCATTTAATTTCAGAGCTTTAATTGAATTCATTAATTATGTCTGCTTCATTTGCTAATTTTACAAGCCAAAGTCCGGCTCATAATGAATTTCGTAGTGATACCTTCACTACTCCAACTTTATCTATGATTGAGTCATTAGCTAATTCCTCCTTAGGTGATGCTGTCTATAATGAAGATAATTCGACCATTCAATTAGAAAAGAAAGTAGCTGCTATTGCTGGTAAAGAAGCTGGTCTTTATTGTGTTAGTGGTACTTTATCAAATCAAATTGGTCTTCGTACTAATCTTTTCCAACCTCCTTATAGTATTTTATGTGATTATAGAGGTCATGTATATGTTCATGAAGCTGGTGGATTATCAACTTTATCACAAGCTATGGTTCAACCTATCATTCCAAAAAATGGTAAATACTTAACTTTAGTTGATGATATTTTACCTGTATTTATACCTGATGATGGTGAAATTCATGGAGCTCCAACCAAATTAATCTCCTTAGAAAATACTTTACATGGTATGATCTTCCCCTTAGAAGAAATCAAATTAATTTCTAATTTCTGTAAGAAGAATGGTGTTAGATTACATTTAGATGGGGCTAGATTATGGAATGCTTCAGTTGCAACTGGGATTTCTATAAAAGAATATTGTTCATATTTCGATAGTGTTTCATTATGTCTTTCTAAGACTTTAGGAGCTCCAATTGGTTCAGTATTAGTTAGTGATAAAAAATTCATTTTAAAAGCTAATCATTTTAAAAAACAAAATGGGGGTGGTATTAGACAAAGTGGATTATTAGCTGTCATGGCTATAACTGCTATTGATGAAAATTTACCAAAATTAAAAAAGACTCATGAATGGGCTGCTGAATTAGGTCAAATATGTCAAGAAAAAGGGATAATTTTAGAACATCCAGTAGAGACTAATTTTGTATTTGTTGATTTAAAAGCTAATAAAATCGATGTGAAGAAATTAGTTGAAATTTCTGATAAATATGGTGTTAAAGTATATGCTGGTAGAATTGCATTCCATTATCAAGTAAGTGAAGCTAGTTTTGAAGCTGTTAAGAAAGTGGTAGTTGAAGCTTTTGAATATGCTCAATTACATCCTTACAATGGTGAAGATACAATCAGATTCTATAGTGCCACTGATGATGAATAAATTAAATAGATCATATAGACTGTATACTTGTTTTAATCATAATCTTTTCATTATAGATTTCATTGTTGCAAAAGAGTAAAAGTTAGTCATATCTTGGTATGATGAAAATGTACTGCATATTATGATATGACTAAAAAGTTTAAATCAGATATCATTTCATCGATATTTACAAACCTAAGTTAGTTAACATACATCTTGAAAGACAAGCTTGAACCATTCAATGTTCGTAATATGACATCAACTCCATTATTATCATCTGATAATGATATTGATAACGAGATCTTTTCACAACTAGAAACAATAATCAACAAAAGGAAATATGAATCACCTTCATCATCAAGTAATGTAATCATCTTCACTACAACATTAACTTCAGAGTTAATTGACTTTCTATCAGATGATTTCAATTTCGAAATTAGTTTACGATTAGTGGGAAATTTCAAAGAGCAAGTTAAAATATCCAATATTAAGGATAAGCCATTACGATTTAAAGCATTGATTCAAAATTTATTTACAAGATTGGTATTAAATTACTTAAATAATAATCAGAAAGTATGGGCTCGAATCAGATTCTCGTATAATGAATATGGGAAACCATCTATATTAGGGCAAACTTTCGCTTTTAACTCATCAAGTTCAAACACAATAATGAGTATGGTAGTAGAGTATAGTTTTGAAGACAATGGTAAATCAATAGGAATAGATTTATCTCATTCATTACAGAATGGAATCTCAACCACTGATTTTATGAATGAATTCAAGCCTATTTTCTCCCCGAAAGAGTATGAAGTGTTGAATTCAACTGAAGAGAAGTATCGATATTTCGTGTTTAATCATATTTGGACTTTAAAGGAATCATTTACAAAGTTATTAGGGTGTGGATTGAATATTGATTTATCACAGTTTGAGTTTGATATTGAGAGATCTTTGAACTATGATAAGGAAGAAGATGTAGTGGAAAATAACTATCGTGATGAAGTGGCTTTTGGATATAATCTCAATTGGAATAATAATATTAAAATCAATGTGGCTAAATTAATTGAGAATAAGAATCAATTCATTTTAAAAGTAATTGATGATCAAAAACAAAACACACCCCAGTTCTATATTCACTCAGCCATACTCAAACCCAAATCAAATGGTCAATTGCCGGTTATCTTATCTTTCATAGGTCAAAATCAAAATATTACAATTTCAAATTTTGAAATTAATTTTTTAGATATACTAAGAAAATATGCATAATACACTAAACTTATTTATATCTCATCTAACAAATACACATCCAATCCACTTTTTGATCTAATCAGTATATATTTATATCTATAAACGGTTAATATTAATGTAAATAGAGGCGCAATATAAAGAGCACTGCCTTCGAATTCGCAAGCGCAACCTTCATTGCAAAAAATACTTTAAACAAAACATTTTTGTGTGGGGCAGGGCTAAGCTGGTTAGAACGCTACTTTAATTCCCATCTCACCACTATACTTTGCACCTTTTCTATTACTCTTATTGCTTAATTTGGAATCTTGGATGAACTTGAATATCATAGCCGTGTTTACAATGTCTTCATTGTTTAACCCCTTATGAATTCTATCATGGTTATGATTATTATTATTATTGTGGTTGTTATTATTGACGATTAAAAATGAAGTAACGAATTTATTTTTATATTTCAAATTATAAACCAATTGAGCTAATTTGACACTGGATGGATGATTGAAATTGGCATTTGAATTGAAATCAACTAATAAACTTCGGCTGATTGAGGTTACCAATAATGAATTCTTTTCTCCTGTACCAGAATCTTTCGTACCTTCCTTCTTATTATTCATAAACATGTTCAATTGATCTTTGGGTAATTTATATAATACATACTTGAAAGTAATTTCCTCTTTATCTGATTTGGTATTCCTTAATGTCCATCTGTAGTAGACATCTCTATATTTAACATCTGTTATGGGTAATGTATTATGAACTAACATTGACACTGGATGAGGTTCGTTATCAATGATATACTTTTTATAGATTGAGTTATTAGAAGTAATCAAAATCTTGGGAATATTTTGTTCATATAAGCTTTTAATAGCTAAATACTTCTGAACACTCTTAATCATTGACTTTTTGTATTTATTATATTCTAATAATGGAACTAATGATAACTCGTCAGTCAATTGAGTTTTAAAATACGAACTTTCATTAGGAGATCCTTTCGACCAATTTAAAAAGTTTAGTACTTCAAATAGTACTACCACGTCGCCTGATAAAGCATTTTTCTGAAAGAAATAGACGTTACTAACTTTAGTTGATGTTGGTGATATTTCCTGCTTTAACAATTCATGAAATTCTCGAAGTTCATCAAGTGTAGTCATGGCTTATTATTATTAATAAGCTATTGGATGGATCTAAGATGAGAAAATATAAATTAGCAATTGAGATTTGGAGGAATGTATGACTATATATTTCCTGATTAGATCATGATAATTGCCACCAAAATGATCATCGTACGAATTATATCGATAACTGAAGAATTAAAATAATCACCATAACGGAATTTAAACGGGTTGTATGCAATATCAAACTTTAACTACGACGTTTCCTATACACTTTAATTTGGGGCTCAAATTCAATTCACCCTCTCTCGATTTTTTTTATATTATCCGCTTTGTGGATGTTTACATTTATTTTTGATCATTTATATCTGATAATAAATTGTAACAACAACTGTGGTTGAACCTAAGTATTGCGGCCAGATCATCATTACATTATCAGTTATAAGGTATATCGTTATAATCGCTACAGCCTTTATTTGTGTAATGCCTAACACCACCATAAAAGATTCCAAGAAAATTTTATATCCCAAATGAGCCGTTAGAAATCTCTTCAAGATATGTGTAGAGGTAGAGGCACAGAAAGCTTACAGACTTGGTATTTACATGTACTTTTGGTATACATAAACATTTACCATAAACATTATTTAATTAAAAAATCACTCATAAACATTTGGAAATAGAATCAATAACTTCTAATTGGAATCAGAATTGAAAATAGACATTTAGAAAAAAATCCTAAAAAGGTTAAATCCGCCCAAGCGGCTTTAACTTTCCTGATTGGGATTTACGTCCCGTTCCCTCCCTCACAAAAAAAATTACTTCTAAAAATACCCTCTAGACCACATGAGCTTTGGTCATGTGGTTGCAAAAATATTAACAGAACACCAACTAAAGTAAAACAACTCCTTTCTTACTAGTTAAACTGGTAAGATTAGATAAGTTTTCATATTTGGAATCTTCCATATATCTAAAAACAATGGTGGAATTGATAATATCATTTTCAGTTAATCTTAAATTATGAAGACTTCTCTTTAATACCAAATAAGAACTAATGATATTAGTTTTTAAATCAACTTCATATTTGAATTCAGCTAAAATTTGAAAGGCATTCGTTCTTTCATCTAATTTTAATACTTCTTGAGCATAGGTTGGTCTCTTTTTATCAGTGAATAATCCATTTACTTCAAACATATTAGTAGGACAATCATCTGGAATCTTGTATAAAATATATTTAAACGAGAATTTATTGGTTGTAGTCATACTTGTTAAATAACACCATCTGTAATATTCATAAGAAGTATTACCAACTCTCATATCAACAATTGGTTCTTTATGATCAACTAAAATAGTCATCAATTCTCCCTTTTTTTGTTCATAATGAATCAATTTAGCAGTTAAAACCATATATTTATTAAAATTTCTTAATTTTCTTTCTAAAATTTGAATATGTTGAGTCATAGTACTAGTTTCTAAAATCATATTCTTATTTGGATCAGGAGCTTCTTCTTTCTTTAAAACGCTATATTCAAATTTTGGAACAAATTTAATATCATCTTCATCTTTAACCATAGAAGCATTTTCACCTTCCCAAACAATATAATTCATTGGAGACATCGACGATGATGATGAATCTGTACTATCAGTAGATAACATATTTTGATCTTGTTCTGATTTTTCCTTTTTATCTAAGATGAATAATTTCTTTGAATTCTCAAGATCTAAATCCATAAATCTTGGTTCCTTGGTATCAGAACTACTGTGTAATTGAGTTTGAAGATTCTGATGAATGTTACTTTGTGGGTGTGCAGCAATCATTTTAAATTAAATTTTAGAGAGGTTTAGTTATTTACTGATATCAAATACTATTCAGAAAACTAATGATTATAACAATTACACATACTTACCATCAATGTGGGCATTTACTGAACTATTTATATTTCCCACAAACTCCATCAAAATGTAAACACACGTTACGTTCTTATTATTATTATCAACTAATGAGCTTAATCAATTTACAGTAATAACATTGATCCTATCTATATAATAATAGATAAACGAAATCACCTACAAAAATATTAACCAATTAAATCCCCACATCTTATCTTTATTATAATCACTTTTACATTAATTAACTTGTTTACTCATCAAAATTTTACCATTAATTCCAATATAAAGTGATTTTGAGCCTCTTTACAATATTATAATGAAACTAATTGTATTCAAGCAAATTACCCTCCTTAAAATATTTGTTAATGGGTTATTTTCCCCATACTTAAAGCTTAAAAAATAAAGTGGTGTGCAAAAATTAGCCATGACTATATTTTTTTTGGTTCTAATTAAAAAATGCGGAGAACATTTGCAGAATTGAGGTATTTTTAATTAACAACCGTATTTCATAGATAAACTAATACAGACAGACAATACATTATCAGACAGACAGATATTCTTTTGTTTAAAAACAGTAGTTTATTAATGTTAAAACTTTTTAAGCTGTGTATTTAAAAAAATATAACTAATTGTAAATATATAAAAATAAAAACAATGGATCGCCATTTGTATCTAAATCAATAATGATCCAACAACAGCGGCTGCAAATGCGAACCCATAAGCTGTGTTTCCAAGATTTTGTGGACTGCCAGCAGCAGCATTACTAGATGAGGATCCACTAGCAGTTGATGATCCAGAGGCATGAGATCCACTGGCAGTACCTGATGAACCTGATCCTCCAGCAGATGCTGAGGCTCCGACCCCCAAAATTGAATCTAATCCTCCACTTCCACTTCCACCAGATGGAGATGATCCACTATCTGTTTCAGTAGCAGCTCCTGCTCCAGTTTCTGCTGCAGCTCCACTTTCAGCATCAGCACTTCCACCTTCGGTAGCAACACTAGCTCCGCTGGCTGTATCATCAGCAGCAGCGGATGCGGCTGGAGAACCAACTCCTCCATCAGAATTAACACCAACGAGTCCACTTGCAGTGCTTGCCAGATCATCAGAAGCCGCAGTTGCACCTGCTCCAGTTTCAGTTCCAGCTCCAGTTTGAGCATCAACGGCTGGTAATGATGCTGCAGCTGAATCTGCACCACTTCCATCGGCAGTGGATTCTGCTCTCTTTACAGCTTCCCTAACCACTAAATCATCTAATACTAATACTTGGGCATTAATGGTTGCAGCAGCGGCAATTAAAAAAGATAATTGTGAAAATTTCATTATGATTTGTTATATATGAGTTGAGTTGAATTTTTTAAGGTTGGCTTTGGGTCAATTTTTTAAGTTAAAATTGTTGGTTGTACTAATAATATGGTTGATTTATAGAGATTACAGATATAAAACATCAAATATTCCATCATATTTATACCTTTTCAATCAATCTAAGGAATAGGAGAATGATATACCTAGTCTTAAGTTATGGTAAATACGTGGTTGGTTAGTTTTCAACTACAATAATAAATGTGGTGTTACAGGTATATAAAAGTTGCTGTTACAATAGTTAAAAGTCTATTAAAAGTTTGCAATTTCACCTATTTAGGAAACTTGTTTCACCCAACTATCCATAGCAATTGAAAAGATCTTACTACACAAGTATGTAATAATCGGATAGAATGGTGGTTCATACTCCTGTTATATGTTCTCCCACAATTGTTTAAACCTTGTATTAAAACCAGGAACAAAGCCCTTACAGCCTTCAATTCTTTCCTTTGTGTGCCCTTAAACAAACCATAAACATGGTATCGCCACGAACCTTTTCTTTTTTTGTTCATATTGAAGGTGGTAAATATACCATGTTGAAACAATAAGAACCATACCTTACACAAACCAAATAGAACCAACACGGGTACATGATTCGGTAGAACTTATGAGTTTTAGATCATCATAGATACATATATAGTGATTACATATGTCAACCAATTTTGTTCTAAGAATCGCGTACCTTACATACTCTAATTTTTATAGACCAAAATTCCCGAGATCAGGATAGCAATTAAAAGTGTTATGATATCAACAATTTCATATGATTCAATTTTGATTGTTACTATTTATAGAGTTACACGATTCAACTTATTTGAATATCGTGATGATTCTATTATTTAATATAAATGTTCTATATTTATCAATGTCTCTTGTTTTAATTATTGCGGTATGGATGTTATACTTTTGAACAATAGTTACCCATTTAAATGTAGGAACAATAATTACATCATAATTGGGTTTAACCTAGATATTAACCGTGTATGATTTAAACACAGCCAACATTTGGATTAATAACTGAATAACGTAAATCCATTCAGTCCAATTACATTCAAACGTTTGCTTTTAAGTTCTTTCCTCAATGACAACAACACAGCAGTTATACATTGATAAACATGAAAAATTCTTTAATCGATTCCTAAGTGTGTTACCATCCAAATTACAATCAGAAGATTCAAATAAACTAGCCATTATATATTTCAGTCTATATGGATTATCAATCATCAAACGATTCAAATTCAGTGAGGTTGAGCGGAAACTATTCATCAATTCCATTTATGATCTGCATTTAATCGATACTGAAATTTATACTGCTTTTAGAGCTACTTCATATTTCAAATCTGATGATCATAAATCTCATAAATATGACTTACCTAACCTTGCATCGAGTTTATTTTCATTACAGATATTATTAGTTTTGAAGGATGATTTCTCAAAACGAATCAATAATCATAAGATCATGAAATTTCTTCAATTGAGTCAAATTAAATCAGGTGTGAACAAAGGTTCATTCTCTCCAACTTTGATAAACACTGATTCATCAATTACAGTCAATTATGGAGAAACTGATATAAGATTATGTTATATTGCCGCCAGTATACGGAAATTAATCAAATATGATCAATTACAACCATCACAAAGAATAAATGATATTGATATTCCTTTAGTCGTATCATTTATAAAGTCACGATTAAATGCCAATGGAGGATTTAGTTCAGAAATATTGGATGAAAGTCATTTGGGATATACTTATTGTGCATTGGCATGTTTAAGATTATTGGATTACGATATTGAGAGTGATATAGAGTTAGGGAAAGTTGTGAACTGGTTAGTTCATCGTCAAGTTGATTTTCCTGAACCCTTATACACTAAAGACGAAGATGAAGAGTATGACTATGAATATTACAGAGATGTAGATATTGGCAGTTTCAATGGGAGAGAGAATAAATTCGGAGATACTTGTTATTCATGGTGGTGTTTAGGAAGTTTAAAAGTTATAAATCACGATTATGTAAATTTAATCAATTTACAAACCAATTATAAATATTTATTGAATCAAGTCCAAAATAAATTATTAGGAGGGTTCAGTAAAGATCCATTTTCAAATCCTGATCCCCAACATTCATTTTTAGCATTAGCAAGTTTATCATTAACCAATGATTTCTCGGAAGAATTAGATGAAATTGATGAATCATTAGTAATCACAGGTCAGCTGAAACAATATTGGTTAAAGCATATAAATTACCCTTCATAGATCATCATCGAAATCCATATTTTGCATTCAATAATTGTAAACATGCTTTGTAGAAAACATCCGTGTTTGTCCATATAATTAGAATTAAACTCGTTTTCTGTATAAAGGTGAGCGCAGCCATATATAATAGAACAAAAAAAAAATATTTAGTCTGTGGGTTTTGAAAAATTTACGATAATCATACAATTATATAATTCAAGTGTAATTAACTAGAAGAAAACATATGAAGACGATAGTATAGTATACTTATGATAGTGACGACAACCATTCAATGAATAATAGTAATAATAGTCCAAATACGATAATAATAAGACATGACTCACTCTCAGACAATAAGGTAGCAGCAACTTTACCATTACCAATACTTCCAAAAGCGGTACCTGAAGCCAAAGTTCATTTAATATCAGGTGGTATCGCTGGATTAGTTTCTGCAATCACTTTACAACCATTGGATTTGTTAAAGACAAGATTACAACAACAACATAAGATTGAAAATAAATATGTTAGAACCACTATAACTGAAGAATTAAAAAAATTAACCCAATTAAAAGATTTATGGAGAGGTGCTTTACCCTCGACTTTAAGAACTTCGATTGGAGCTGGATTATATTTCACAACGTTATCTCATTTAAGATCATCATTAGCCACTTATAAATCGAAAACGATAGCCACATCGTCATCATCTACTTCTATATTACCTAAATTATCACCATTAGAGAATTTATCCATAGGGTTTATAGCCCGTGCTACGGTGGGTCTTATTACTATGCCAGTTACAGTGGTTAAGACAAGATATGAATCCAATATATATAATTATCGATCAATCCTCGATAGTATAGTAGGGATCTATAAGAATGATGATTTAACTAATAAAGGATCATTTAAGAATTTCTTTAAAGGGTCCATAGCTACATTAGCTCGAGATTGTCCATATGCTGGATTATATGTGTTATTTTATGAAAGTTTTAAGAATGAATTGTTACCTAGGTTTATTCCTGCTAATGATACAACTAATAAAAATGGAGCTCAAATTATAAATTCATCAGCCGCCGTTTTAGCAGCAAGTTTATCAACCACCATAACAGCTCCCTTCGATGCTATAAAGACAAGATTACAACTATCCGATGTTAGAAATGGACAACAGCAGAAATCAATCTTACAAATTACCAAAGTATTAGTTAATGAAGAAGGAGGAATTAGTAATTTATTCAGAGGATTATCGTTAAGACTTGGTAGAAAAGCCATTAGTGCTGGTATAAGTTGGTGTATTTATGAAGAATTGATCAAAAGTTCGATATTCTCCACTAAAAAGTTTTCCTAATGATATTTAATGTATAACTTATTCCATATTAGACTTGTAAATAGCTTTAGATCTATAATGAAATCATATAAGAACAACTTTTCCTGTATACAAACCCCACTCTCTTTTGAACCTCGGAACAAAGCATCATTTTTTTTTGGTTGAACTTCCTCCACCTTAAAACGACGAAGAAAAAGAAAAAAGCTGGAGAAATACAAAATTAGTTATCAATCAGTAAGAACCAATCTAATCAGATCAAAGATGAATGACGATTTGATCAAGAGTGCTGTTGCATTCCTTAATGATCATAATGTTTCTTCTTCTCCCTTAACTAAAAAAATCGAGTTTTTAGAATCAAAAGGGCTTAATCAAACTGAAATTGAAGAAGCTTTAAAAAGAGTTAATGAAGCTTCTGATTCTAGTGTTGCCAGTTCAAATAGTACTTCTACTATTCATAATCAATCAAATAATAATACATCCTATCCATCGCAACCACCAATAGATTACTATAACACTGCGCCACCACTTCCAGAAAGATCATGGAAGGATTATTTCATTATGGCCACTGCTACTGCTGGGGTTAGTTATGGATTATATCAAGTTATAAATAAATATTTGATTCCAGCTATTATACCTCCTAGTCAAGAGACTATTGAATCCGATATAGAATATATTGGGCATGAGTTTGAAAAGATTGATAAGGTTTTAGAACAATTAACTAAGGATCAAGAACAAATTAAAACTGATAATGAAGCTAAATTAAAGGATATTGATACTGTGATTGATAATGTAAATGATTTCTTAACTAAATATAATAAAGATAAATTGAAATTTGATGATGATTTAAAACTAATGAAATTAGAAGTGGATAATTTAAATAATAGTGTGGAAAAGAATATGAAGCTTAATAAGGAGAATATTCAAGATGAATTATCAGATATTAATGAAGAATTACAATCATTGAAGGAATTAATTAAATCAAGATCAGCTGTTTCAAATGGTGCCAGTAATGGTACTGCAGTTGAAAGAAAATTAGTATCAGCTTCATCAATTCCATCTGCTTCTGAAATATTAAAGAGAGCTAAAGAAAAGGCAAATAGTCCTAAAGTTGAATCATCCACTCCAGTTACTGCCGCCACTACCAGTCCAACCATTCCATCGGTTGCTCCAGTATCAGCTCCAGTTCCAGCTGTAACACCACCTCCAGTTCCAGCAGCATCTTATCAATCCCCAGTAAATAACACTAGATCAGGAGGTGTCACTTATGGTGGAGTATCAGCTGCCGGTATTCCAGCTTGGCAATTACAACATAAAGCCGCAGAAGAACAAGAAGAACAACCACCATCATCATCATCAACTTCTATTAAAGATGAAGAACCAATTGTGGCACCAACTGAAGAACAAATTCAACAAAAGATTGCAAATGTTGGTATCCCTGCTTGGCAATTAAGTTCAAACCCTACCCCAACTGAAGGATCTTCTGCTACTGCTGCTGTATCTGGTATTCCAGCTTGGCAATTGAATAATGCCCAACAATCCTAGTTCCATTAGTACTACTTCTATACATATGTCTAACTTTGAAATGATAACATACGCTTTCTAATAATAATACGATTGAACCCTTTATATTAAATTTTAATGTAAGCCTTAACCTCATACGAACGGCGCGGCGCGTTTTCCAAAACTGGAAATTTTTTTTGTCTTATTCTTTTCTGGTCGTTCGTCCACTGAAAAATAAAAATAAAATAAAAATAAAAATAATAAAAAAAAAAAAGATCAAATTGGATTTATCAACAAAGCAATAGGTTAGAATAATCAAATAGGTTCTTACCAGTATTTATATTTAGTTATAAGTATCAAGTGAGTTCAGAGCATAGGTCGACGTGTCAGTGGTTGTGTTTGTTTTGGGTCTGTGAAAAAAAGAGTACCAGATTAAGACAAACTATCAGTGGAGTTCACAAAAAGGTCCAACTTACGTGTTAATAGAGCCTACCAATAAGAAAGCATACAAAGTGTCAGGCATCACCATAAATTGAATCTTTCATTCATTCATTCGTTCATTCGTTTATTCGATCAGTCCTTCGTTCATTAGTCTCATTCATTCGTTCGTTCAGTCATTCGTTCATTCATTCGTTTAATATTCTCTCCATTCTAGTCGTTGTTGTTAACGTTTTTAAGGACATTTTTCAATTTTGATTCTTCTTATCCATTATCAACCTAAATCCATATTTCTATGAATTGTAATCATATTCTTAATATTATCAACTAAAATTATCAACATGTCAATCGATTCATCATCCACCATACCTTTTAATCAAGCCGATAAATCTCATTTATCGACTTCAAGTCATTCTTCTGGATCTCATTCAAATTCAACGTCAGTATTTGCATCCAATGTTTCTTTATCAGTGTTTCCTAAACGAGAGTTGGAATTGATTCCATTCAATTGTCAGCTTGAATTCATTGAGAAAACTACTGTTGCATTAAGTAAACACCAATCAAATTCAAATCAATTCGGTGCTTATTCAAGATACAATAATAATCACAATAATAATAATAATAATAATAATACAGGTCATTACAATAACAACAATAACAATATCAATCATCATAATCATAATTCTCATCATCAACAACAACTGAATAAGTACGCTTATGCCGCTGTTGCTGCTGCCGCTGCTGTTCAACATCAACAACAACAGAATTATTTGATTCAACAACAACAGCAACAGTATTATGCCTATAACCAAAAGCAACAACAGCAACAAAATCAAAATCAAAATCAAAACCACAATCAACAACAGCAACAGCAACAACAACAACAGTCGCATCATCAATCACAACAACATCAGCAACAACAAGTACAACAGAATCAATATCAACAACAACATCAACAACATCAGCAACAACATCAACATCAACAGCCACCATCATCCCAACAACAGCAACAATATCAACAGCAGTCAAATCAACAACAAAATAATACTTTTCAACAATTTCAAGAACCGCAACAAGCACAATACCAACAACAACAACAACAACAGCAGCACAATCAACAACAACAACAACAACAACTTCAACAACAACAAAATTCCTATCAACAATTTCAACAACCTCGTCAAAGTATTCCTCAAGTTTTCTCTGGTTCTGATAACTCTCAAGATAGTGGATCAAGTTATTCTGCATCTAGTTCTGCCGTCTTTTCAGACACGTATTCCTTATTGAATCAGCAAAATAATATTCTTTCTAATACTAGTTCAAATAGGGTTGCACCATCATCATCAGGAGCATCTACTACTGCTGTACCACCTCAAGGTATTGATCTTAAAACTAATTTCTTAATGTTTAATGATAGTACTACTGCTGTTTCTTCACCAACTTCTCAATTCATGTTGCAACAGAATTCTTCTCAACAACAACAAACTCCAACTAAAGTTATGCCACCTCAAATTCATACTAAATTATTTGATCAAATCAGTAATAATTCAACTAATAATTCGCCTATTTTATTACCACCAACAAGTTCAAACTCGAATAAGAATTCTCCACCTAATTTATTTTTATCTTCAACTCCAACTACAACCAATACTACTCCTATGAAATTAAGTCAATCAAGTGCTAGTTCATCTACTACTAATAATAGTACTTCTGCCAATGGTTTTCTTAATTCGCCATCTTTATTACCTACTGTTTTAGCTAGCAATTCGACGGTTACAGGAATCAATTGGGGTACTTCAAATGTTAACTCCAGTACTACTCCTACTGCTTCTTCCACTATAACCACCGCTAATTCAACTGGTGGTTCTATTTGGGGAAGTAATCCAATCGCCTCTACTAAGTCTGGCAACCCATTAGGTTCTGTTGTTGCTACTGCTGGTTCCACTCTTAATAAGAATATCATTGGATTTGGTAATTCCAGTGTATGGTGATTACTTATCTTTATATTTATCTTTGTTTATTCGTCTGTTTGTTTGCTTTCTAGTTCGTGCTGTGTCTTTATTGGTGCTGGTTAATAATGTCTCATTTTATTCATATACTTCATTTTAATTTTGTTTCAATCACCATTTTTGTTTATTTTTGTCTAATCTTATCTTGTTTTGTTTTATCTTATCTTATTTTATTTGTTTTTATCACACGGATGGGTGTGAAAAGGAATATTGTCTTATTAGTTTTACTTAGCTTCCTTTCCATCATTTTGTCATTTACAGTTTTAGACTCATCATTTTTTAATTTATATTTTTGTCACCCCTTGTTTTTTTTTATTATGTTGATCAACCACATTTTGATTTGACTGATTCATGAAAGTCACTCCAAATTATACTTGACTTATCCTATCTATCTTATTTAATGTTTAATTGTTGATTTATTCTTTTTTAAAGTTTGCCTTTTTTTTATATCTTATTTTACATCCTTAGTTTTATCGTTGGTCGAGTTTTTTGTTTCTAAAAATGGGACTTTGTTATATACTTGTTACATAATTATATTATTCTTATATATTCTTAATTATTAAAATTAGAACATTCTTAATTATTATTCATTTCGATATTTGTAACTGTTGATGGTATAAAATCAGCTTTAAGTATTGCGTTTTGGATGTTTATTTCCGAACTTTCTGATCGTAATTAAAATCGAGAGCATTTTTCAAAAATATGGAATCAAAATGGTGGTTGGAAGGCTTAAGCTCATAGACTATTCAGTAATGACAACTGAAATATCACTTAGGAGGTTGGTTAGACGTGCTAGGAGTAAGCAATTGCAGAGTAAAGTATTCATATCGTTGTATGAGGAGTTGAATGAACGGAAAGCCATAGACGGAAATGAATATGTCACTGAGTTATTGGAATCCACTGAGGAGTCAGGTTCAACTAGTAATTATCAAGTTAGATTGGTATTAGATTTGGCCTTTAGTTCATATGATAGGCTTGTTAACTTCTGGACTAATTTAAGTAAGATATCACCAAGATTACAGATCACTTATATTTCTCAATTACATAAACTTTTCAATTCAAATAAACTACAACAACAACCAGGTTTAAAGATCGAGAAAGATATCATAAAGAGGTTTGTTAACGTTCAGTTCAAACAATATGTTTCACAGCTTACTTCAGAATCAGATAAAAATATCATATCATTAACTAACCACGTTGTAACGTTTGCCATTTATATTTTTAAGAGTGATAAATATGGTGCGTTGATTGAGGAACAAGCTACTAGTCAGTTAGTTCTGACGATTGTTGCTTTATTGAAATCGTTAAAATTGAATCAATTGCTCAATTTCTTTATTTTAAAGATCAAATCGGTCATAAATGAAACTCAAATGATTGAAATTGTTTCTCATAGTAAAGATACTACTAAAGCCAAAGTTGATGAAAAGCATACATCATCCACAACTGCAACTACTGTTTCAACATCATCAACGTTTAAGAATCTTAATATTTCAAGTTTATCTCCACCTAAGCTTGAGAACTTTAGTGATACTCAAAAATTCATCTGGTTTAGTAAAATCATGAAGACTTGGAAGTTTGATAATAATGAAGCTTTCCTTAAGAGTTTTATTAATAATTTTGTTCCTCAAGATAAGAGGAAAAATCCATATTTCATCACATCTGAATTAATCAAAGTATCATTTCGAGGATTTGGTTATTCTGTATTGAATAATGAACCAAGATACGTTTTATTTAATTGGAAGAATTTCATCATTTCTCGAATTCCTATTATCTTATCACAATTAAAAGTCAACAACAGCAATAGTAGTAGTAATAATAATAGTGAAGAGATTGAAACTCTTGACAAGGCTATCTTATATGGTTTCAATTCTCAAAGTGATTCCATCATTAAAGTGTTAACCAATTTAAGAATTGGAAGCATTAAGAGTTATGATTTAAGACAAATCTTCATCAAAACCTTAATCTTTAATAAGCTATTAGTTCCATCATCATTCCAAACATTCTTTCCTATGGAATCTAAAATCACTCATCAAATGATTGTCAATGAATTGAATCAATTTAACTTTGAATTAAATATTAGACTGAAATTTAAAGAAAAATTGATTAACATAAATGGAGAATTCACTTCTTTGGAAGAATCAGGGTTATTGGCTTATTGTAATTCATTACCTACTTTATTAGAGTATCTGTACAAACGTCAACATGAGTTAAGTTCAGTGGTATATGATATTATGAAAGATTTAATTCAATTGAAGCAACATGAAAAGTTAAATCGTTTATTGTTATCAATATTTAATAATATCCAATTATTGAATATCATTGTATTCAATTTAGGACCTGAAAAGATCTTGGATTTATTAATTAATTTCATTGATTCTGAGAATTATGATGTAGGAAATGATGATGATGAAAATTTTCAAGAAGCTTATTCATATTGTGGGGTTATAATATTGGGAATAATCTTAATCATTGAAACTTTTAAGATTGATTTATCTTCATTACAAATAAAGAATTCATTTATAATCAATTATATTAATGATTTTTATTATCGTCTATGTGATAATTTATCGAATCAATCACCTACCATTAAGGATAATGAAGAAGAAGATTCAATCATCATTATCAATTATAATAATCTATTAACAGATTGGGTTAATGCATTGTTTGATGATGCTAATGATGGATTATCAGATGAATTGATCAAATCAATTGGAATTAAACAGATTTATAAATTGATTCCTATTGTTTATCAACAAGCTATATTTGCTACTAAGTTAGGTAAGATTGATTTTAATATCTTAAATAACGGAATTGATTACTTATCTCAAGTTTTCTTAATCCCTTGTATTATAAATATCATTAAATGGTTATTAAAAGAGATCTTATTAGTCAAGCATGATAATGATAGTATATTTATAAAAGTGTTATCTGAAATTATAAGATCAAATTATAATAAAAACAACAGTAATGCTAATAGTGGCACCAACAACAATAATAGTCATAATAATAGTAATAGTCATGATTTATCGACGTTAATATTTAAAATCATCATTAATATTAGTGGTAGTAATATTCTTTTAACATTAAAGAAATTAAAGGATTGGGAATCATCAATAAAGATTAAAGAAATCATAGGTATTATCACCAGTGAATTAGATACTAATTATGTTGAAATTGAATCAACCTTGAATGAAGCTGGTAAGATTCAAAACTTGAACATTGTTGAAGAAGTTAAGAATCATTTAGTTAATTTCCAACAAAATTTCGATACCAATTCGAATTCATTATCATTAACTCGAAATAATTCATCATCAGCCATTATAACTAGTAATGGTAATAATGGTGGACATAATCACCATATGTTATCACCTCCATTTGATCAACAGACATTTTTCTTTCATAATTATTTGAATAGACATTTTAGTCAATTGGTTAGATTATTGATATTAGAAACTCAATCATTTCAAAAGTCAAATAATGAATCTACGAAAATTTTCATAAATTTGAGTATTTATTTAATCATTATGAATCTGATTAATACATCTGAAGATAAGAAATATTGGAAGGATCAATTACAACAACAGCCTCAATCAAATGTTGAAAAAGAGAATAAGATTAAGAAACAAATCAAATTTGATCAACAGTTTAATTCAAGTATGGAAAATCATTATTCTAGTATTTTCAATGATTCAAATAGTAATGATTCCAACAATGATCAATCGAATGATCAAGTCAAGAAGGAAGAAGATCAACCAATGGATGTGATTGATGATTTTTCATCGATGTTGAAAGATGTGGATGAGGATGATTTAATGTTGGGAGAAGAAGATGATTTGTTTAATGATAAAGGGCTCATGAATAATTTAGATGGATTAGTTCAGTCTAATGGAATTGAGAATGTTACTGTTAGTACTAGTAAAGTACTTGATGAGTTCAATGCTAAGATTAATCATCATAATAATTTGTTAAGACAATTCAATCTTATTAGATTAAGAGAGAAGCCTGAAAGTCCATTGAGTAGAACTTTGAGTATCTTGAATGATAAATTCATTGAAGAAATTGATGCGTTCTATATATGATGTATGTGTATATGAACTTATATATAAGATGAATAAATAAATGCTATAACTATGTTGTAAATGAATGCTAAGTAAAATGCTGTAAATCCAAAAAGGAATATGCTAATGATGACGATGTTTGGTTGATGACATGAATGAGTTACTTATATTGTAATTGATAAATATACTTTCTTAATTGATTATTCTCTTCATTCTTCTTAATAATCTCTTGATCTTTTAACTTTAAATTTAATAACAAATTATTATTCTTTAGTTCAACCATATCCAATTTGGCATTTAATTGATTGATTTCAACTTCTAGATCTGACTTTGAAACCGTCAACTTATTCAATTTGTCATTCAACTTTAGATTTATTAATAAAAGATCATTGATATTCTCCCCTAACTTTTGATAATAGACTGCCAATTGATTATTATTACGAGCAATCTGTTCACTTAGATCGTCATCATCTATATCATCTTCAATAGCAGCCTTCTTGGCTGTGATTGATGATGATAAATGGGATAATTTTGTAGTATTTGCAGCGGTTGTGGTGATGTTCTTGTTGTTGGTCGTCATGAATAGATTTTGGCAACAGTATATAATGAGCGCCAGTGAATCAACTGAAGAAGAAGCAGAACAAGAATGAATGGAAGGTAATGATGGTTGTTGCTACAAATACTATGATGATGATTGATTGATGGGATTCATTCAACTTGATCCCTACCCCTTGGTCATTCTAAGGGTTGACTGACACATTCCCAGTTCTGTCTGGTTGTAAGTTTAAGGTGTGGGATCGACCGTACAGGATTAAAATCCTGAAAAATGCAAAAAAAGAGAGTTTTGATAAGAAGGTGGTGGTGATGTTGATAGTAACTACCAGAAAATAAAATTTGATGCAACAGAAAATTTGTTTGCAGTCAATTACGATTTGAATTACAATCAAATGTTATCAATAGTGTTCTATGCCTTGTTCTTCTTCTTTTTAAATTACAATCTATTGGTACCTAATCCGCTAACGTTACTTAACTATGAGCAGCAAACAATAGTGAGTTTGTGTCATATTGTTAGCGGATATGTCATTTCTGTTTTGTGTCATTTTGTATAGTTAGTGGAAGAGAAATGCCGTTCCATAAATATATCAAAACACTATTATAATTGACAATCATGCAGAAAATGTAAAGCCTAAACCTGACTTAACTTAGTATCACTTACGATTCAAGTAATTGATGTGAGGGGACTGTTAATGGAATGGTTATTTCTTCTGATTAGAAACATTCCATTAATTTGAGCTATAAAAAAGAGTTATTTAGCGGATACTTAATTTGGTTTGGTCTACAGGCATCACTAAAAGTTACGATCTAATTTTATCACTAAACGATTTGGCATTTTCTTTCTTTCGCTAGAAGGTATTAACATTAGGTCAACTTCTATTCTCTCATCATCTACACCGCATTAACTTACTCCATTCATATTTAAACATTAACCCTATAAACTGTGTACGAAAATTGTGGTGTTGGAACTAATTTCGGTTCGGGCAGGATAGTGAGAAAAGCTCAGTAAAATTCTCCTCATCCCACTAAACTAAAAATCGGGTCACAGAAGTGTAGCAAAATAATAATTATAATTGTTGTGAAAAATGCCTTAACAGATTAAAGATTCAACATCATCACTTCTACATAGGGCATATTGTCATTATTAAACTTTAATAAGATTTTTAAAAAAAGAAATTTCTGCAACTTGATAAGCCATTTACCGCTACCGTAGGATAGATCGGGCCTGGATCAATTTCTTAACTGGTTATAATTCTACGGTATAACTATATGAATTATAATATTATTTTATCTCTTTAATGGTTCCACTTAATTTTAATTACGAAAATTTTCTATTATTTTATAATCATGGTAATAATAATATCATCTATTGTGGAGTAAACCCCATTTAAAGTAAATCATAAACCATTATTGGCTCTCTTCAATTTGGTTGATCTATCCAATAATGATAGTTTTAAAAGATAAAAAAGTCTTAACTATCTGGTCTCAAGATAAGACCACTATCATAGCGGCATGTCATAACATTAATTCTATAAAGCTTGACTTATACAAACATAAAGCAAGAGGCTTGTAGCAGCCTCACATTTTTAGTGGACTTTAAAATAGCGGTAACTGGTCTAGAATTACCTCATTGGGAATAACTCGTTTTTGTACCCAATAGTCACAAAATATAATTTTTATTTTAGTGGAGTGAAAAATTAATTATCTCCAACAATCAACCTCCACTTGTCTTATCCTGCCTTAATGACGTGAAGCCTCAGTTTAAACTTGAAAAATATTAAACTTTAAACCGTTAATTAATCTATCATAACCAATGTCTTCGAGAAATTATTTCATTTAAATACACCTTACTCTTCCCATATTTTTAAAAATTGAATTTTGTAATTTTCTCTAAAATCATATATCAAATCACAATCACAATAACTTTCAAATGTCTCTGGCAGTTCATTCTCTTAAATCAAGAACTGAAGATCATCTTCATGCTGTATTATCTCATAGATCGGAAATCAGATCGATAGATCCATTACATGCTGCTAATGATGATGAACTTTTAGCTCAAATCGGGTATAAACAAGAATTAAATAGACATTACTCCACTCTACAAGTGTTTGGTATTGCCTATAGTATTATGGGTCTTTTACCGTCTATTGTATCAACAGCTTATACAGGTTTAGAAGCTGGTCCAGTTGGTTTTGTGTGGGGTTGGTTTGTTTCAGGGTTATTTATTTTATGTACTGGTACATCAATGACTCTTCTAGGTTCTTCCATGCCTACTTCGGGTGGGTTATATTATTATACTAATTATTATGCTCCTGATGCTATTAGAGTTCCATTAAGTTTTATGATTGCTTGTGCTAATTCTCTTGGTTTAATTGGTGGTATTTGTTCTATTTGTTACGGTTTTGCAGTGGAAATTTTATCTTGTGTCTATATTAATTCAGATGGAACTTTTGAAATTACAAATGCAAAATGTTATGGTATATTTGCTGCTTGTGTTATTTCAAATGTTATTATTTGTTGTTTAACCACTAAACATACTGCAACTTTACAAACTGTTTCGATCGTGGTTAACACTTTTCTTTGTGTTTTATACATAATTGCTGTCCCAGTAGGTGTCAGTAAAAACTTTTCATTCAATGATGCTCTGTATATCTTTGGTAGTTTGGAAAATACTAGAAGTTGGCCTTCAGGTTGGTCGTTCATGCTTTCTTGGATGCCACTTATTTGGACCATTGGTTCATTTGATTCAGTTATTCATTGTTCAGAAGAAGCTAAGAATGCTCAAAGAGCTATTCCTTTTGGTATATTAGGTTCCATCACCGTTTGTTGGATTCTTGGTTGGGTTATTGTTATTGTTACTGTCGCTTGCATTAAAGATGGTGATACTGCTGCTATTTTAGATTCAGCTACTGGATCTCCTATGGCTCAAGTTATTTATGATGCTCTTGGCAAACAATGGGCCGTGGCATTCATGGCCTTAATCGCTATTGGACAATATTTAATGGCATGTTCTATCATGATTGCTGCTTCCAGACAAATCTGGGCTTTTGCTAGAGATGAAGGTTTACCATTTGTGTATAACTTTGTTAAATATGTTGATCCAAAAATTAAAGTTCCAATCAGAGCCACTATGTTTGCTGGATGTATTGCTTTATTATTAGGTTTATTAGTATTGATTAATGGTTCTGCTGGTTCAGGTGCTTTATTCTCCTTAGCAGTGGCTTCAAATGCCTTGGCTTGGGGTATGCCTGTTTTATTGGTTATTTTACCATATGGTAGAAAAAGATTCATTCCTGGTCCTTTCTATCTTGGTAAAGTAGGTTCATTCTTAGTTAATTTCACTACTGTATTATGGATCACTTTTGAAATCATATATTTAATGTTCCCAGATCAAAGATTTGTTGATAGAAATTCCATGAATTATACTTGTGTCATTAACGTTAGTATTTGGGGATTGTCATTGGTTTATTATTTCATTTGGGGTTATAAAACTTATTCTGGTCCTAAGCCAAATATTGAAGAGTTTGATACAATTGATGCTGAAGTTGAAACTCAAAATGTTGATGAACTCTTATCTAATGAAAAAGGATATTAATCACAATCAAATTTGGTTTCAACTTGCTTATATTACTTTGTAATTTCTTATTTTTAGTTCTTTTACTTCTATATTTGATAGATATCTATATCTAGGTTTAATATTACAATTTATTCTTTATTGGTTTATATATGGTTGCAAAATCTGTAAAATATGATCACGTTCAAATACTCACGTGCCTTCATTTGTGGATGTAAATTTGTCATCCGAAAAGAGGAGTTACAATTTTTATCTCCGACCCATTGACAAATTTAACACCGAGTGACAAGGTATAAATGCAACAATTCTTCGGTATAAGATTAGAAATAAACACCGAGTGTTATACCAGCTGCTAAAATGGAATCTAAGCTTTCCTCTCATCACTAAAATATTTACTTAACCAATATTTATCAATTATCAAAAGGTGGCAAACAGCTATTAATTACCTCGGTGTTATATCCATATAAACCAATTAGTACCAGGCAAGCAAGTCTTATTCAAAGGTTGGTTATTACTCAACTACTTCCTGCTCCATTCTATCTATATAAACTTTATTCAAAATTCAGTATCATCTTTCCAACTGGACTAAGAAAAGTGAGTCCACTTCGATGGTTGATCCACTTGCTCCAGCCCCACCACCTGCAAACCAACTGACTAGAAAGAGAAATAGAGTCACTTTAGTCTGTAATGTTTGTAAGTTCAGAAAAGTCAAGTGTGATAGGAATCTGCCGTGTAACTCGTGTATCAAGTATAATACGGCTGATGTTTGTTCGTATACGGAGCCTTACAATGGAGATCATCCAAGTAAAAGGTTAAACTCCAATAACGCGTCTGAATCAAAGACTAATGAATCTAAACCAGAATCAGACAATCCAGCATCCATAAATGAAATAGCCTTGCCCACACCATGTACTGAGTCTATTTCTGAGGTGTCTAAATATACTCCACTTGAGCAAACTTACGGTGACGAAACCTGTTCATCTGTGGTACAAGATCCTCTGAACGTTGGTGAATGCACTCTTTCATTAAGTACTATTGAAGATCCTACTACTAATTCCAGTGGTACTAAATCTATTCAAGAAGCAGTTGCTCCGCCAATACAATCAACAGTATCAAATTCTATACCCAAGCCTATCAGAAGGTCTCCTCCAATTGCAACCAGTGTGAATAAAGTCCAAAACTATGGTTATAATAATGGTAGAGCTAAGCATAACCTGATTAGTAGTTCTGATTTGGATAATTCAAGTTTCGGAGGAAGTAGTATTACAGGAAGATCTCATACCAATCCAACTACAGCTGTTAACTCTATATCAACTCCGGGTTCTTTGTCGTCACCTGGTTTACCCTTCGAATACCCAACACATCAAGAATATACTACACCATCAAAGAATAGAATTTTCTTAGTTGCAAAACTGTACTCTGATATTTACATGAATTTGAAGGATGCACAATCTTATGTGGGTATCAATCCAATAGGTTCTCCTGATGAAACCATAAATTTCCATAGATATAGTGCTATTTCCGAAGGTCCTGATCAAACTTTACAAAATCTGGGACCATTAACGTTTTGTGCCATTATGAGATTAGATCCAGCCTTATTTGATTTATGGTCATTCCTTTCGTTGCAATCAAAAGATTTCAATGCCCAGACAGAAGCATTGATGTCAAGTCTACAAGAACAACTTTCTAAATCAAATGATCCAACTGGGTTTTCCAAACATTTCAATTGGAGTAATACTCCATTCCAAGTTTTACAAAGAATTAATATAAGTGCCATTAAGATGTTTGATCCAGCTCAACATAAAATTAATAATTTTTCAGTTCCGTTAGGATTAAATTTCATTTCTGATGAAGAAATTCGTAGTGGGAAGGATTTTGATTTAAAATTGAATATTTTGAAAGTATTACCCACTAAGAGAGTTATTTGGATTCATGTTAATAGATTTTTTAAGTTTATCTATCCTTTTATACCATTATTGGATGAAGTATCTTTTAAAGAACAAATTGCAAAATTAATCGGTGAAGAATCATTCTCTGATGACAAAGTGACGGAAATAAATATTCAAGAGAATTTGGATTATGCATATATAGGTATTTTATTAGTTGTTTTAAGAATGAGTTATCTTGGGTTGATTTCCAATAATAAAGAAGTTGACAATTTCAATTTGAATTTCATATCGGGTATGAATCTACGTCCTCCTCAAAATGAAACTCATCAATTAACTGATAATGAAAGGAAGAATCTTAGAATGCTATTAGAGAACTCAATAGGGATTGAAGTTATTGTATTAGCCAGAAGTTGCTTAAATCAATTTCAATTATTTCAAAAGATTAATTTAACAATTTTACAATTAGCCTTATTCATGAGAATGTATATCTTTATTGCACCTGAAGATTCAGAAGGACCTGATCAAAATCAATTTCAAACATTTACTGGTACTTTAATTCTGATGGCTTATTCTATTGGATTACATCGTGATCCAAAAACATTTACTGATATCGAAATGGAACCCAAATTAGCCAATTTAAGAAGAAAAATCTGGTTTCAGTTAAACTTTATTGATTTGTTTGAATCATTTTCTTATGGTGTTCCATTAACAACACAGATTCCATTTGCAGATGCTAAATTCCCATGTGATGAAAAGACCAATAACAATATAACATTTCTGAATTTAGAAAAATACACCATTGAATCCTGGAAAATTTTGGATCCAATTTTGATAAAATTAAGATTAATTTTAAATGAGATTTTGAATGTTAATCGAGAAGTTTCAATGCCCAAGCTTGTTGAACAATTGAATGACTTGGAAATATTTGTGGCAAAGTATCTTGGCTCTAATGTTGAATCATTCCTTTCGAGCACTAACAGAGACAGTAATGATACTGGGATCGATAAATATCTTCAACTTCATAATTATATTCAAATTAAATTCTTTTTTGTTTCAATTTATCATCACTTTTATATTTATTATGAAAAGCTTGGTAATACTGATTTAACTAATTTTTATCTTAAAAAGATATTCTCGATCCTTATTGAAGAATTTTTACCTCAATATGCTAGAATCTTAGATATGCAACATTATTATTTCAATTATGCAGCAAATTTATTTTTGAATCCAATTTTGGAATCAGCCATGCATAGAGCAAGTGGATTTATGATGAGTCTTATAGTGAGATTAAATTATTCAATAAGAGTATTAACTAAAGTTAAACATGCTGAACATGCCATAAAAATGGAAAAGGATCGTGATTATAAAACATATTTTGAAAACTTGGAGGAATTGCTATACTTTTGTAACAAGTCTGTGAAGTTGAATACTTTATATTTCGTGAGGTTAGGTAACAGATATTTACATTCCTGGAGAGTTAGTAAATGTCATATTTATTTACTTAAAGCCATCGATAGTGATGAGTTTTATACTGCGTTTGATGCTAAAGCAGATGGTGAACCTGAATCGGAATCAATCAGCGGTCTTGAAACTAAGCAACTATTATTTAAATTCAATTTGAATCCTGGATTGGTAGCAGATTTATCAACAGTGATTTATACAGCATTAGCCAAACTTCGGTACCATGGTGGTTCGAAAGTCCGTGAAGAATGGACTGAATTTTATGGACCAGCCACTCATAAGGATATGCAAACAATTGCCAAAATTGAATCAAGAATTGATAAAGATGGTATTAAGAGAAGAAAGCTTACTGATGATGGTGATTATCAGGAAAATTTTGAAATACCAAAGTTTAATGATACATTTTCAGTTGATACACCTACTTCAGTTAATATTGATGAATTATTTGCTATGTTAAGTGCGGGTAAATCTCAAAATAATAGTCAAGACAATTATGAGACTGGACCTTCAGGTACTACGTCTACCACTCCACCCGATATGGGAGTTAATTTACCTAGTTATCAAGAGAATCTTGATAATGTGTTGGAAAGATATTATGCTTTAGATGATCCACATTTTGAAATATTTAATAAGCTTCCTCTTAGTAAGCTTTTAGATAGTTTTGATGGATCAAAATAGTGAGTTAGGGTTATAGTAGGGGACTAATTTTGTACATAGTTTAGATTGATTTGGTTTGATTTTATAAAATTGTAAATAAAAAATACAAGGATGTGATAATAAACAATAATTTATGTAGATTGTACAACATTGATAACAAATATTCATGGAATAATAAAAACTTCATGTCGAAAAGTTGCAAAATTTTGCAACTTATAGTTCAAAATTCCAAACAACTAGACTTCAACCTTAAGACCTGCAACTAGTCTTTCATCTCTAGAATACTTTTTATTACTAATTATATCTACCATACACTTCATTTACATATCTCTAGCTAAATAATTTAACCACTTACAACTCCATTAACAATAATTATACACGCTTATACCACAAATCGCACAAACATCCTTGCCGCAGTATATACAATCTTGCGAAGCTTTCCGGGATTTTCGGCCTTTTATGGGTGAATCGTTAACTATTGGTTCAGGTATATTACTACATAATAATACCTATAAATGTCATAAAACTTTCCACTTAAAGATAACAATACATTGTTTATAGAGTATATTAATAACCTATAATGATAAATATCATTATAATCTAAGAATATATTATAATTTATTGATATTAAATATACGTCCAAATCACATGACCACCATCACATGACCGACCCCATAAATTTTCTTTACGGAGTCGCATAGTTAACGACATCCAATGAGATTAATTTAATTTGTAACAGTAGAGCACCCCCGGGAACCATTCCGGGCAGAAAGAGAAAATTTTGTATGACAGAAATTTTTAAAAAAGTTCCAACTGGGAAACAAAACAATAATCAATTAATCCTTTCTTTGATAAGTGATAATTGTTAGTTATAATTATTGTACATATACTTTTGTAAATCACAGATGTTCAGATCAATTCTTCGTCAATCTAGAGCCTTCAATGGTACTACTACTAGAAATTTAGCCACTGCTACTACTACTAGTGTAACTCCAAGAATAAAGACTTTTAAAATTTATAGATGGAATCCAGATACTCCTGAAGTTGAACCAAAAATGCAAAGTTATGATATTGATTTAAATCATTGTGGTCCAATGGTTTTAGATGCTATTTTAAAAATCAAAAATGAACAAGATTCAACTTTAACATTTAGAAGATCATGTCGTGAAGGGATTTGTGGATCTTGTGCTATGAATATTGGAGGTAGAAATACTTTAGCTTGTTTATGTCGTATAGAAACTGATACTGCTAAAGAAACCAAGATTTATCCATTACCTCATATGTTCGTGGTGAGAGATTTAGTACCTGATTTAACTCATTTCTATAAACAATATAAATCAATTCAACCATATTTACAAACTGAAAATCATCCTGCTGATGGTAGAGAAAATTTACAAAGTATTGAAGATAGAGCTAAATTAGATGGGTTATATGAATGTATTTTATGTGCTTGTTGTTCAACTTCTTGTCCTTCATATTGGTGGAATCAACAAGAATATTTGGGTCCAGCTGTTTTAATGCAAGCTTATAGATGGTTAATCGATTCAAGAGATCAAGCTTCAAGAGTTAGAAAAGAAATGTTACAAAACTCTATGTCATTATATAGATGTCATACCATTATGAATTGTGCTAGAACTTGTCCAAAAGGTTTAAATCCTGGTAAAGCCATTGCTGAAATCAAAAAACAATTAGCTTTTGATTAATTTTAAAGATTAAACTGATATAAGTAAGATTATAATAGATTTATTATCTTACTTGTTATTCTTTAATGATTCCTTTTTAGTTTAACAAAAATAAAGAATAAAAAAAAGAGACGAAATGAAAGGAAAATAACTTCACTACCTATCTCACACAATCGGCACCTAAGGCAATATTATCATATATGAATGAAAGGTTTTCATTCATACACCACCACATTATACCAGTCAATTAACCATTCACTGAATACTTTGCATTTTTTATTTCAAATTGAAACTTCGAAATATGATTATTTCGAAAGTTACACTTTGATTAACAACACAACTTTCTCCCCTTCCCATCTTTATGTTTAGTATTATAACTCTAAACCGTCTTTTTGTTTCCTTAATTTTCCCTTTTATTTGATCTTTATTTATGATTTTACTTTTATTTATTCACTTTTTATAGTATATTTATATAATACAAACACCCATTTTGCATTTAATTTTGAAAAAGATTATCGTAATTAGTTTAAAGTTATCTATCCCTATTAACATCCCTCGTTGGTCAGCTTCCCAAATAGGAAATGATGAAGTAACGTGCACAGGGCAACGTGATCCGGTATGTTATTTTCTTTTCCCGCGACAATTTATTTTTTGGTCCCCCACAAAAATTTCCCGTTTCAAATGTTCATGCAGGACACCACTGATCATAACTGGTTGATGGTGGTTGATACATCAACAAAGTTTCAAATAAGTCCGGAATGACAGGGACATGCTTCGAGGTATGATTAAATTAGAAGTTTCAATTGATAATAATATTCAATTGAGTTATATTATCGATGAGAAATTAAACTAATTAGCGATTATTATTAGTGCTGGCCTACCCCTAACTTCGAGGAGAATGTCCGAAAATAAATTAACCAACAAACACAGAAAGAGAAAACAACTCGGAAAAGGTGCTATTGATTTTTTTCAAAGCCAAGATTAGAACATTCTAGCCAATCAATGATATTAGTCAATAAAAATTGTCTATAGTGGTTACGTAGATCTACAGCAAATTTGACATAAAAGATTACCACAGCGATAAAAAAGGAGAGAGTGAGTTTTTTATATGACATAAAACTAAAAAATGGCTATTCACATTTGGTTTATGTAGCAACTTTCCCGTCTGGGGTAAAATTTACAGCGGGGTTGCAACAATAAAGACGAATTCATTTTTACCAGCTTAAATTTGATTCTTACCTCCTAAAATGCCCAATTTATAATATTTTAATAATAAAAATTACGTAGAAAATGGCTAATTGGGTCGGAGCTTAACTAAATTTAGCCTTGGTGTGTGGTTGTCCAACTCCTAACCTAATCAATTGAGTTTGGTTTTGATTTTGACTTCTTTGTCTCTTTTATTTTTATTTTTCAAATTTTTGGTTTGTGGAGATATTTGTCCCTCTCTTAACCCCCTCTCTCTATGTAAAAACTGTTATACGATAATTTGAAGTTTAAATGTCTCGGAATGAGATCATTCAATTTAATTCAATTCAATTGTACTTGTCCTTCTTTCCAATGGTATATATAAAGCGTCAAATCTCTTCAAATTAATTCAGAATTTTAAATTGTTATAAATCATCAAGATCAATTCCATTCAATTGAACTTATACTCAAATCAAACAATCATCTTAAATCAACTTAATTAACAATGGCTAAAGGAAAAGTTTTATTGGTTCTTTACGAAGGTGGTCACCACGCCAAACAAGAATCTAAATTATTAGGTGCTTTAGAAAATGAATTAGGAATTAGAAAATTTATTGAAGATAACGGTTATGAATTAGTCGCTACCCATGATAAAGATCCTGAACCAGATTCGGTTGTTGATAAAGAATTAGAAGATGCTGAAATTGTTATCACTACTCCTTTCTTCCCAGCTTATATCACTGGTACTAGAATCGCTGAAGCAAAGAAATTGAAAATGTGTATTACCGCCGGTGTTGGTTCTGATCATGTTGATCTTAACGCTGCTAACGCCAGAAAAATTACTGTTACTGAAGTTACTGGTTCTAATGTCGTTTCTGTTGCTGAACATGTTCTTATGACTATGTTAGTTTTGGTTAGAAATTTCGTTCCAGCTCATGAACAAGCTATTACTGGTAAATGGGATATTGCTGGAATTGCCAAACAAGAATATGATTTAGAAGATAAAATCGTTTCAACTGTTGGTGCTGGTAGAATTGGTTATCGTGTTTTAGAAAGATTAGTTGCCTTTAACCCAAAGAAATTATACTATTACGATTATCAAGCTTTACCTGAAGCCGCTATTAAGAAATTAAATGATCTTTCACTTATCTTAAATGGTAGAGGTGATATTGTTGAAAAAGTTGATTCATTAGAAGAAATGGTTTCTGTTTCTGATATTGTTACTATCAATTGTCCATTACATGAAAAGAGTAAAGGTTTATTTAACAAAGAATTGATCTCAAAAATGAAAAAAGGTGCTTATTTAGTTAACACTGCTAGAGGTGCTATTTGTATCGAAGATGATGTTGCCGATGCTGTTAACTCTGGTCATTTAGCTGGTTATGGTGGTGATGTCTGGTACCCTCAACCAGCTCCACATTCTCATCCATGGAGACACATGAAAAACCCATACGGTGGTGGTAATGCTATGACTCCTCATGTTTCTGGTACTTCTCTTGATGCTCAAGCTAGATATGCTCAAGGTGTTAAGAATATCTTGGAAAGTTATTTCACTGGTAAACATGATTACAGACCTCAAGATGTTATTGTCATTGATGGTGATTATGCTACTAAAGCTTATGGTGAAAGAAAGAAGTAAATTTGATTTTTTTCATAATTTATATAATGCTGATTTCAATCACTAGTTATTAGTGATTTCTACCAACCCCTTTTTTTTATTCAAGTTTGCCTTTTTATCTATTATTATTGTTGTGTTATGAATTGAAGACCTTATGTTGTTTATGATAGTCTAAAATATATATACTTTATAGTGTTTCAAAAAGAAAAATATATATTCAAAATCAGTATAAAGTTAATTACTGCAAAAAAAAGATGTAGTTTAAATATTTACGCGAGCTCTAAAACCAAAATAAAAAATAGAACATTGAGAAAATGTACGATGAATTGTTTGGTATGATCAGATTAGTATGGATAGAATTCAACTATCTATATTAAAGAAACTATCACCATCTTATTTGAATGAATTGGAGATAGTAAAACATGACCATGAAGACGAAGATGAGTTTCTTCGAAGTGTGTTCTTCAATAATGACAGTTCTATGACAACGATCGAACAATCATATTTTACTAAAATCAATCATACGGATGGATCCAAGACTGTACGATTCCAAGATGCATCAGGATTACGAGAGTTGAAAGTAAACCTTTCCCATTCGAAACCAAGATCAAAATCGAAATCAAAGAAGACCACTAAAACGAACAAGAGCACATCACCATCCTTTCCAGCTTTGATAGGGTCTGATCTAAGTGAAGGGTTTCAAAAGTTTATACCAGAATCGATAGAGAATATTTATAGTTTAGAGGATTTATTTAAATCAATTCAATATGTCATGAGCGATGGATCAATGAGTCTAAGTGAGTTTAAGATAGTCACCTTAAGACGAAATCTAATGTCATTATTATTACTTCCCATCAAAAGGAAACCCATTCGATTCAATATCATATATTGGAAACATTTGATAATCATAGATTATGATTGGGAATTTGAGGACAACAATCATCAATTCAGCAAACTGCAATATTGTGGATTCAAATTTGAAGATGTGATAACGAAACCATTTACTAAAGCAACAGATGTCCTAGATGAAGATGATATTATAGAAAAGCTTCAAAATTTATCCGTATCCGAAGATGATCAAAAGATGTCCTACTACACAGTAGTCAAGCTGGAGATCAACAAAATTCCAATATTCTTCACAGCAGAGATAGATTCTGGAATTAAAGGGAATACACCTGGTATTCAGAATTACGTTGAATTAAAGACTCATAGTAATAATTCGTCATCTTCAATTGATGTTAATTCCAAACCACCTTCATTCGCATTAAAATCCAAATTGGTAAGTACTTATTGTCAGAATAGATTAATAAATGCTCAACATGCTATTATAGGTTTCAGATCAACTCAATTTAGATTGAACTCTATCAAGTGCTTTGAAAATAATGATATTGGTAATCTTATCAATAAATATCCTTTAGATTTGACTGACGACTGCTTAGTTAATGGAGGTCGTTTATTTAAATGGTATGCATTGCTAATGCATTGGATTGATCATCATCATGAGAAATTTACAAAAGAAAAGGATATGAACACCCCTCAGGTTTTTAAATTAGAGTTTAAACCGGCGTCACCACAAATGCTTGATGGTTATTTAATGTTTACTGAAATAAAATCAGATGTCGAATCAAAAGCAATCTTCAACGAGACTATACCGGAATGGTTTCAAACATATGTAAATAGTTTATAGATAGTACAGGAAATAGAATTTAACCGAATTAAATGTATATTATTATGCAAAAATGAATGGAAGTATATGTACAAGAATTGATGGAGAATATGTAAAGTGGTTCAGATCTTAATCGGAGATAGCTTCCTTAATAGCCAATTTTCTAGAATGGGAATCGAAATGATCTCTTAAATCATTGATAGACATGGTATTTGGATCGGCAGTCATGACAGTTTTATCTTTAAATGTCACTTGTATTTCTGGCTTTTCCTTTGAATTAGCAGTTAATACTTTTGTTTCTAATTTGGCACTCAGTGGGACTCTTGAAAGGAATAATCTGGCTGACACACCACCTGGACTGAATGGATTGAATTTCACTGCCACATTAGCAAAGTATTTCGTTATCATATTGTTGTGGTATGTTCGTTTATAGTTAGGATTCACTTTGATATTTGGATTGAAAGACTTAAATCTTTTTTTTATGTGTTAAAATTTTTCATTCACTTTTACACGCACTAAGAGTAAATTTCAGTCCAATTACACTATATATAATTTTATATATCTAGTGATAGCTATAACAAGGAATACAGAGATTGGAAATAAAGCAAGGTATACTCAAACGAACGAAAACCGTAGCAGAATGTTATGCCAAGTTATTAAATGGCGAAAAAGGTTGCAGCTTCACGTTTTAGCATAACTTCATTTTCATCATCTATGCTAAGCTATAGCCATTATTATTTGATGATCTTACTAAATTGTCATCTTCTTATCATATATATGTTCAGAAAGGCTAATCTAATATAGAGTTGTTTTGTAGTTTGAAATGACTCACCAATTTCAGAAATAGTATATATATGACTCTGATAAGGATAATTGGTGCGAATTTATCGATAACCCATAAATATTGCAGCTAGACAAGGTCAAGACAACTTATGGAACTATGTCGTCTACTGAACTGATTGAACTAACAAATAGGACCAGAAATGATCTAGAAAACAATTCAACTAGATCATTTGATCTGGTGGTTATCAGTTTACGTGGTGCAGCTTCCGAAGAAGTACCGGAACAGGAGGAAGAATACTATCCAGATGGTGGAATTGAAGCTTATTTAGTCATTGCTGGTTCATTCCTTGGATTGGTAGTGAATTTAGGTATAATAAACTCAATTGGGGCCATTCAAGCGTATGTGTCAACCCATCAATTGGCATTAGTTCTGGCTTCTTCAATTTCTTGGATTTTCTCCATTTACTTATCGTTAGCTTATATCACAGGAATATTTGTAGGTCCAATGTTCGATAGACACGGTCCCTTACAATTATTGCTTGCTGCTACAGCTTTCATATTTATAGGTTTAATGCTGTTGGCAAGTAGTATTGAAGTCTATCAATTTATTATGAGCTTTGTTGCTTTGGGATTAGGAAATGGGCTTGGTATGACTCCTTTGATTGGAATTATTAGTCATTGGTTTTTAAAGAGAAGAGGAAATTTCACGGGAGTAGCAACGAGTGGTGGATCGGTAGGAGGATTAGCCTTTCCATTAATGTTAAGACACTCTTATGCAGCTTTTGGTTTCACTTGGGCTATTAGAATATTTGCTTTTACTTGTTTGGCTTGCATGCTTTTATCCATCATATTAGTCAAAGGAAGATTTAAATCAACTCTGCTGTCGGATCAGCATTTCAATTCTAAATGGGACAAATTCAAACATAAATTGACTTTGAAAAACTTGAAATTGAATGATGCAAAATATAACTTTGTCGTTGCTGGTTCATTTTTCACAGAGTTGTCTTTGGTATTGCTTCTTACTTATTTTCCTACATATGCAATTGCACAAGGAGTTTCTGAATCAACAGCACTTTTACTATTAACAGTTTGGAATGGGTTTGGAATACTAGGAAGATGGGTTCCGAGTTATGCATCCGATCACATTGGACATTTCAATATCAATATTGTCATGTTAATTATATATAGTATTTGTATTTACGTGATGTGGCTTCCATTTGGTTACAATACTAAAGTACTATTTGCCTTTGCCTCATTTGGAGGATTTTGTCAAGGATCTATACTGAGTCTTCTACCTGCTTGTCTTTCTCAAATAACACCAGTTAATGAAATTGGGTATAAATTTGGCGTCTTGAACTCATTCTTAAGTATTGCTAATTTGTTTGGTATTCCATTAGCCAGTACTGTCATAGGAAATGGTAGTGTTCATCACTATAATAACTTTGTAATTCTAGTGGGATTAATCTCAATTGCAGGAACTATATTTTGGTATTGTAGTAGGTACGCTATGGTAGGATTTAAACTAAATGCCAAGGTTTGAATACAGTATATAATTTGTATTAGAACCTTATAGAATAATTAGAAATACGAGCTGCGAAAAATCTGACTCACAACCCTCAAAAAAAATCTATAAAAAGCAGAAAAGTAAGCCTCTTTCTGATCAGAGACATGTAGATTTGAAGGTTCTTCAATATACAATGGTCAGGACCCAACAAGTGGAAGTTACTCATAGAGGTAGAAGTGACATAGAACTAGACTCCATAGGATCAGACAGTCCCATCGGAACTTTATCTCTTTCATCAGAAGAACAACAGGAAGAAGAAGCTGAAGATGAAGAAGATTATCCAGATGGAGGTCTAAAGGCATACTCAGTTATTATAGGATCATTCTTAGGTTTGATCGTCAATTTAGGAATAATCAATTCAATCGGTGCTGTGCAGGCATATGTTTCCACCCATCAATTGGCTTTGGTGAAAGCTTCATCAATTTCGTGGATTTTCTCCATTTATTTGTCATTGGCTTACGCGTTAGGTTTGGTTGCTGGACCAATCTTTGACAGAAGAGGTCCATTAGAGTTACTCGTTGTGTCTACAGTCCTTATCTTTGTGGGTTTAATGCTGTCTGCAAATAGTACAAAAGTTTATCAATTCATCTTAAGTTTTGTGTGTTTGGGTCTTGGTAATGGACTTGGAATGACTCCATTGATTGGAGTTATCAGTCACTGGTTCTTAAAGAAGAGGGGTAATTTCACAGGAATAGCCACTAGTGGTGGATCTGTAGGAGGGTTGGTGTTTCCATTAATGTTAAGACATAGCTATGCAACGTATGGGTATGTTTGGGCCATGAGAATATTGGCCTTTACATGTTTAGGGTGCATGTTACTTGCTCTTGCCTTAGTTAGAGGAAGATTGAAGAGATTTCCAGAGCAATCAGATGAAGAATTCGATTCTAAATGGGATAAATTTAGAAGTAAATTAAGTTTTTCAACTTGGAAGTTGAATGATAAGAAGTATATTTTTGTTATCGCTGGAGCATTCTTTGCAGAATTATCATTAGTCTTACTTCTTACATATTTTGCTACATATGCAATTGCACAAGGTGTATCAGAATCAACTTCACTTTTATTATTAACTGTATGGAATGGGGCTGGTATATTAGGTAGATGGTTACCTGGCTATATATCCGATCATATTGGAAGATTCAATGTCAATATTCTTATGTTGACGCTGTATACGCTATGCATTCTTGTGATGTGGCTACCTTTCGGTTATAGTTTGAAAGTTTTATTTGCATTTTCAACTATCGCAGGTTTCTGTCTGGGATCGATCTTAAGTCTTCTTCCCGCTTGTTTATCACAAATAACTCCTGTCAATGAAATTGGATCCAAATACGGATTATTAAACGCCATTCTTAGTATTGCCAACTTGTTTGGTGTACCAATTGCCAGTACAATAATTGGAAATGGAAGTGTTCATCATTATAATAATTTCGTGATCTTGGTTGCTTGTTTAGCTGTTTTAGGTACATGCTTTTGGACTTTAAGTAGGGTTACTATTGCTGGAGTGAAATTGAATGTTAAAGTGTAGGACATTTAATACATATTATTGAGTTTAGTTATTCACCTCTCTTAATTCTATTTCTTCTGGAATAGAAGGAATAGCCGTAGTAGCAGCAGGTTGTGTTCTTTCATTGGCTACCGAATTCTTGATTCGCTCTCTCTTCTCAATAACCTCCACATACTTCACTTGTCTTCTCCTTTTCAAATAACCCCAGGTAAAATAAGCTATTGGAACATATGCCAACAAGACAAATTTTAAAAGATAATCATAGATCAGATCTTCCAAGACGAATTCAAGACTTAAAAAGATAAGAATCATTTCTGCCAAAAGTGATATAGGATATATTAAATAGAAATTAGAGAACTCTAACCAAAAAAGGAATCTTGGAGATGCTCTTGTTTTTGTCTTGAATGTATAATAACTATAATGAATCAAATTTCCCACACAATAAGATAGTATTAAAAATGAGTATGATGTATGTTTAGCAATCTTAGGGTGAGGAAATATTACTCCATAACAGATCCAAGCCATTTTGATACCATTTGTATAACCCCAAATATCCTTTAATGAGAAACTTGGCTCAAGGAGTAACTTGTTAAAGAAGAACCCAATCAAAGGGATAAGTGATATACCATGAAAGAAATCAGCTATGCCACCAGGTAAGAACCTCCTTCCTACCAATGGTAATAATATTAAGAATCTTGCCAAACAACAGAACCATAGCATTGTAGCGGCTGCATCATAGAAGAAAATGAATTTCCACTTTGTTGATAATGGATATAGATTGGCCATTGTTTCTAGAACGATGATATGATATATGGGGCTATGTTAATGTTGGTTGAATCAATTGATCAAAAAGGCAGTTACAAATTATAATTGCAGACAAAAGACACCTCTGAATCAAAAATTTTCGCAGAGGCACAGACGCGAGTGAAAATTGAGAAATTAGCATCCATATTGAACATGATGATGACGGTTGTTTCGTTTATCTATCTCTAATTCACCAAGTAATCCAGTTATGAAGTTGTTAAGCTTAGTGCTTTCAGTAGTACTATTCTTTACAGTTGTTAAAGCAGCACACTGGAGCAAAGAAGATTATGAAATCTTCAATTTAAATGATTTAATTTTGGAAGATTTAGGTTTAGATGTTACTTTCTATTCATGGTTAGGATTGGAAAATGGTCCAAAATCAACATTACAAGAGATCACTAAGGCTTATAGAAAGAAATCTAGACAATTACATCCTGATAAAGTGTCTACAACCGTTAGAAGTGTTAAAAAGAAGGCCGAAGAACGTTTTCAAAGATTATCATTGGTAGGAAATATCTTAAGAGATCAAGAATTAAAAAGAAGGTATGACTACTTTCTTTCAAAGGGATTTCCTAAATGGAAGGGTACGGGATATTTCTATACTAAATTCCGTCCTGGTTTTATTTTGACTATTTTTGGTTTATTTTTACTTGTCGGTACTTTCCATTATGTATCTTTAAAGATTAACAGAAAACAAGATCACAATAGAATTGTTCAATTGAAGAATACTTTGAAAACTCAAGCATGGGGTGGTTCTGTTATTCCTCCAGCTGATGGCTCCGACAGAAAGCTTTACCACGAAGAGACTGGTAAGTCATTTGTTGTTAAAGTGGATGGTAGTGTATGGATTGTTGATTCAGAGAATGCAGAAAATTTAGTTGAATTCGAAGAGGATGAAATTAACATCAATCCAAGTTTTAAGGAAACTCTTTTTTTCAAAGTACCTGCTTATTTATGGAATGTTAGTATCGGAAAGTTTACAAAACCAATTGATACTACTATTGTTTATGAAAGACCAGAGAAGAAACAAGAACAAACTGAAGCTAAACCAAAACCAAAAAAGAAGATCCAACGTGGTGAAAAGAAGGAACTTAAAAACGGTACGGTTGTCTACAGTAGACCAACTAGAGGTGGAAGAAAGTAGGGTAGATATTAAATGTACGATTAATTGTTATTTTGTATAAATTAGTATAAAATAAATAATGCTTAAAATATTATAGACAGAATTTTTAATTATTCATTGTGTTTCGGTACTCTTCGTAACTCATTACTATGCTCCTCTTCTTCATCTGAAGAACTGGATCCTGATAAATTTTCTAAAAAGTCATTCTCTTGATATTCTGTTTGAAACCCACCATTCAGAGCATAACCTTCATCTGTATCGTTACCATTTCTCTTGGGTACACCGGTAGGGGACATATTCTGTATTCTGATATCAGGGATATCCAATTCTTCCATGGAGTCACCATTTTCATTTTCGTTTTCATCATCTTCATCAATATTACCATTAGCATCCAACGCCAGTTTATCATTGATGAACAATTCATGATTTGAGCTGTCTCCAAGAATTATGATATTTTTATTACTGTTTTCATATGAATCCAAATCAAGATATCCGACTGAAGAAGCATCAAAACCACTTCCTGGTTCACCAGTTTCAGCTTTTCCATTTTCAAGTTCTTCTGGCTCAGCTCCTAAAACAACATTATAAACTTCTCGTGTCTTCAATAAAACTTCTTCAACGAACCAATCCCATTCTTCAAGCGAAATGGCTTCGACAATGATTGGAGAAATAAGATCTGGTTTATACAAGGATGTGAATTTGACAACTTCTTCACTGATAAGAATCAAATGACCTCTATAACCGGGCTTTGGTTCTTCATCTTCCTTATATTTCAGAACAATCAAATCAATCAAATTGCATTTGTTGTTTTTAAACAATTCCACAATTAAAAATGAATTATATGAGTTTAATTTACCATTAAAAATTTGTTGAATTAAATCAAACACAACATTATGAAAGAAATTATGCCATGGAAATTGGGTGAACATTGAAATTATATCCACCAAAATGCTCAGATCAATTAACTTGATTTTGAAATAGTCACCAACACATGGGTTAGAGCGAATGATACTATCTCTATCCTTACATACAAATGGATTTTCAGGAGAAATGGATGGCTCATCATCATCTGAATCTTCAATTGTTTCTAATGATTCCATTATATTTCTGTAGTTTCCCTCTCCAAATATAGTATCGTTATTGGCTGTTTCAAAATGGATGTCATCAAGGGAAACATCATCCAAACCCATTGTAACATCATGAATTGATTCATCAAGTTCTGGAAAATCAATAGTTTCGTTTAATGCTTTCTTAAGTCTCTTAGTCTGTTGAGACCTAACATGATCTCTAATCTTAATGATCTTTTTAATTTTTTTGCTATTTAACAATATCATGTTTGAGCAATGAAGGAGTTCTGCAACTAATTCAGAAATTTTAAATCTTGTAAATCCAAGAACATTAGTCTCAACATTTGCAGGAGGTATTGGGGTTAAATCCAAGATTCCAGCAAATTGTTCAAGACTATCTGAAAATATAGAAAGCATTTCTCCCAAATAAATAGGGTCCCTTGGACCTGGTGGATTCTGGTCAAAATCCTTTAACCATTGAAACATCACAAATGAGTTAACCTCCCCAGGACCATTTTCACCATTTTGAACCATATCACTGTATGTACCACAATATAAATCATAATCAGAATTATTCTTTCTTATGAGCTCTATGACAATGCCCACACAATTACTGATTCCATGTTTGTTGGTATATTGTTGGCCATCTTCCGTGATTGGTGGCCTGTACAACATAATATCATTAATCATAGTCTTGATTATTGGTGGAGATACTAATTGTCTGGTTAACGGGTTTGGACCAATGTTTGTTTCCAATACAACAGCCAATGCAGTGTTTGAAGAAATAGTGACCAAAGCTTTAATGAAGTCTGTACTAGCAGTTTGCTTGAAAAATAAATTTTGATTTGGAATTTTTGAATCCTGAACAAACTGTGATGGATGCGGTTTTAAAATATCGATTAATTTTGGAATCATGTTTTGTTGGGACAATACTTCGATAATTCCTGTTGGAGATTGGGGTTTATCCGTTTGAATAATTCTTAAGAAGAAATCCATTAACATTGGGATTTCAACTTTTGCCAAAAACGTATCTACTAGATTTTCTTGTCGCCTCACAAAGTTTAATAATTCTATGCTATTAGTATCCATAAGTTGATCTAAAATATGGATTACAAATGTGACAGTTGGGATGCTTTCAGTTAAATTCTCCAAAGATAAAATCAGCCACAATTTGGTCATAATAGCAGGAGTCTCTATGATTCTATTCAGTATAATCCATAAATCTATAGAGAGGATATCAGATGAGGCCTGAACACAACGACGAAACTTTTCATCTTCTGTTTCCTTATTTTCTTCTTCATCCTTGTCACTCTTCACATCTTCATTTTCTTCTGCATCCTGCTCCTCAACTGGTTGCACAACTGATTCTTCATCTTCACTTTTTAAGTCAATTTGTACATCTCCATTCTCCGTATTTTCTAATTTTTCAAGCTCTTTTATGTTCTGATTATGATAGTAGTCGACACTATCCACTAAATGATCAAGGAATCCACTTAGTATATGCGGTTGTAAAAGTAACTCCACTAATTTGACACCCCTAGCATCTTTTGTGTTACCAGCAGCATTATCGTTATTGGACGAAGTTAACGACACAACATCTGAGTTTGAACTGTTGAACGTATTAGGGGTTTCATTATTCTGTAGTTGCAGCAGAAATTGGAAATTACTGACGTTACTTTTGTAACTACCCTTAATATTATGAAGTTCACTGATTAACTCTTGCAGAAGACCTGCATCGTTAAAGATATCAGCTACCGTTATAAGTGAGAAATCCAGTATACCATCTAGAAACTTTTGTAACTGATTGGTGCTATTCAAAGTGTTGGAAAACGGCCAGAATGACATTGCTGATCCTATCAAGTTGTTGGTGCTTCTCTTTTATTTTTAACAATATCTCTTAACGGGTAAAAGAAGAGAAGTCCTTGATATGTGAATGTATTTATACTGGTCCAAAAGCCTAGCTTCACCTTTCAATATTATGAGTTGCTTAATAATTGAATGTTTTATTGCTGTTGAAACAGTATCAAATGCTTATATCGAAAACCTCACTGATGATAAGATCATTCTGCCACTGAACGGCAAGTGCAGGAGGAAACCAAAAAACTTGAAATCTCACAAAAATTAAATCACGTGCGCAAATAAAATTATTTTGTTGACTGCAAATTACAAATCTACTTATTAATTTATATTAATATTCTATATCCAATTATAATATATACTCAATTCACTGAGATTTATTTGAAACTGAAGTATAATCTCGTTCTGTATCCTGATTCCCCAAAACTTCTTCTACTTTAGATATTGCTCGGCGATAACCCTGTATCAAATGCTCATTCATATCTCCACATAACTCCAACACCAATCCATGGCAAATTGAAGCAGCATCATCCATCCACTCTTTTATTGTCATCTCTTTTTCATTATCAGGCATTTCAGCTATGAAACGAGTAAGCTTACCTGGATCGTCGACAAGATCGTGTCCCGATGAAGCTAACTCCAGGAACTCTTCAACAGCATCTCGAATAATATTTAATCTTTCAATAAATGGTGATAGCGAACTGGATACCCATTGATCATCAAACTGAATCAATTCTCTTCCAAATACATCCTGCTTTTGTGGCGTGCTTGAACTTAAATCACTGAAATTACCAGATAATCCGTCGAACTGTTCAGTATGTTCACTTCTTGCGGTTACATCTGCCGCTGCAATATTGTCAGTCAATTTTTCTTTCTTATCTATGGTTGCTTGTACTTCTTCTTCTCCCTCATCTGGAATCTTGGACCTATCTATACTAGCATGAACAGAACTTGGCAAATTTTCTGAGTTTTTCAGTATATCAATGTCCGAATCTTCTATATTCAGTTGAAGATTTTCAATTGGGGCTGAACTGAGAAGTTTTGGTTCAAGGGTAACATCAGCTAAAACATCAGGTTCTTTCATGATGACATCTTGCATATCCGAGTCTAGTATATGAGAATCTCGTGGTCTGTTATCGCTCGAAACACCATAGTCATCCTTTTCTAAAGTTAAATCATTTTTTACTGGAGGAAGAGACAATTGACCAGATACTTTATTCAGAGCCGGAGATCTTGTTCGCATCTCTGAATTTACTTCCTTTGACATCAGTGTTGAATCAACATCAACTTTCACACTCTGAACTGGTTGATTTATATTCAAGTCTTCTTCCATATTAGCAACAACCTCTGCATCCTTCTCACTTGGAGAGCTGTCCTTATCTTGTCTATCAAAGGAGAATTTGACTTGATTTCCATCTAATGAAGCTTCATTACTTCCGGTAGTATTTCTAATTACACCAACACCCTCATCTTCAACAATCTTGAACTCCGAGTCCTGTCTTTTTGAATCAACAGTTTCAGAACTCTCCAATTGCTTCTTGCGTTGAGCTGTATCGAATAACAATTTCATACGTTTTGCAATTTCTTTATTAATATCGGTAATATCCTGAACAACATTAGATAAGTCAACATCTTTATCTTCTTCAGCACTTTCATCAAATGTAAAAAATGGTTTGGCCTTGAATGAATCTCTCTTACTAGAGTTAAGACTATCTCTTGCACTTTTATTTGAAGTACCATTAGCATCATCTATTGATTTCTCAGGCTGATTGTTTTTTTCGTCTATCATGCTGATGTCTTCATTTTCTTGTTCCTGTTTATTGATAATCTCATTTTGTTGTTCTTCCTCTATGGTATCGTCTTTTTCAGGTACACTATCAACTTGTTCCTCAACATATCTTTCAATTTCAGGTTGTTCTTCTGCGTCTGCAAAAACTTCATCATCTTCCAAGATATTAATTACATCTTCACTTACTTGCGAATCCTCCTCTTTCTTTGATGCTTTTTTAGAATCAGACTTCGCTTTGGAATTCTCGACTTCAAAATCATTCTCCGGCTCTTTAGCTTCGGTCCATGTTGATATTTTTTGCTCCTTCTTTTGTCTTTGATTTATTGATTTAGATTCCGGTATAGGGAGATTTCTGATAGATAATGTATGCTTACTTGTAGTTGGTGTATCATAAGTCTCAAGATCAAATGAAGTATCAAATATACTTGGTTCATTCTTTGTTCTGAACGGCCTTGCAACAATATCATTCACAACAGCATCAATGCCTTTAAATTCACGTCTTTTAGATGGAGCTGCTAGTTTAAAAGGACTTAGTTTAGTTTCAACTTTTGGCATATCTCGTTTAATACTTGCCTTCGGCCTCTCTTCACGACTTACAAAGTTATCATCTCCATATTCGTCTATTTCTTCATCGGATTCTGCAAAAACTGGAATAGCAGGAGAAAAAGAACGCCTTACTAGTCTTAGCTTCTTTGATTTCAGTGGGGATTCATTTTCAATCTTTTGGAAATCGACATTAGTTTGAGTACCTTCCCGTAATTTCTTTCCAATTTTCTTGGTATCGTTCTTAACTTTTTTAACTTTCGATTCCTTCTTCGTAGACTTGCTTTTCTTCTTTCCAATTGACAGCTCCTTTGGTAATTCAAGGGCTATTTCTTTAATGGGACTTCCATCACCACGTAGTCTTCTAACTCTGGCAGACCTTCGTAATGGAGCATTCAGATCATTGGCTGTGTAATCATTGGCTGTAGTATCATTGGCTGTAGAATCATGATCACTCTTTAGTGCAACTTCTTCATCCTCGGATTCATCAGTAAAATCATCATCATTCATGTCACTATCCAGATCACTAGGTTCATTTGACCCTTCGTCAGATTCAATATATTCGACTCTTTGAGGTTTTGTTTCATTAAGGAAACTTTTTCGTACAGGCTTATCGCTAGTGTAAGAATCATCATTTGCAGCACCTACTCCTTCAACTGATTCGTTAACATCTTCATCTTCATCTTCTTGACTTACCTGAAGTGAGTCTATTACTTCAGGAGACTTGAAATCTTCCTCTTCTGATATAAGTACTTCTTCAGGAGAATTGTAATTATTCTCTTCAGCTTCATCACTGAATAATCCTAGAAAGACATTCTTTTTCTTTGGAGCTGGCTTTGATTTAGATTTAGCTTTTGAGTTTTTCAGTTTAGTTTCATCTGTTTTCTTTGCTTGATTATATTGGTCTAGAAAGTAACAGAACTTTGTATTACTAGCATGTTCTTCAATTGGTACATCTTCTTCTTCCCAATGATCTAATGAACTTCCACAATAAATGCATACTACTCTATCGTCATTGAATTCAACTGGAGAATAGACAAATCCAGCTTCCGATAATGACTTACTATTGGGTATGAAATCTTCCAATTTATCTAATGGATAATCCTTCCCATATGATTCCAATCTGAATAATTTCGATTCTTCACTTAATGGATGTCGTATTATGTTCTGTTCATGTGTAGTCCAGTACTTGACTATGGCACTTCTTGACTTATGTTGATCTCTCGCTAAACTTGAAATTAGAACTAATGATAGTGAACAGTTTTTATTCTTTTCATAATGTCTGGTTGGTAGTATGCTTACATCTGATTCATCGATAACATTTTCAGGTTTATGACAATAGGAACATAATACTCGATTTAGATTTGATTTTATAGGACTATAGTAGAATCCAGAGTCTATCAATGGACCAACTAAACTCTCATCGTGTGAATCAATCCAACTAACTGATTTACTGACTCCTTTAACTTTAACTGGTTCTTCAAATGTCTGTTGACGATTCTGTCTATACTTCATATCTGAATCATTTTTGGCTGCCATAACGCGTTTGATATCGCAAAATGTGTTGATATAACAGACGTGATGATAAAAAATTCCAACAACAATTGATTACCTCTAACTATGATACAGTATAATGATATCTCTTTTCAACGGTCCACAACTAGGCTATACTATATAAATGAAGGGTAGATGTAACATTTACAACCAAAATTGTCTGTTTATATATTTTCTATTTTTTCATATTTTGATCTCGCGCAGCAACAAACAGCAAAGTGCAGAAAATATAAGACGTTTTATTGATATAAGATAAATATAAAAAGTGTATGAAATAAAATTGAAGAATTAAGTATAAAAAGGATGATTTATAAAGAAGTAAAAACAAAGTCAATAGTAGGAGAATCTCTTTATGACTTAAAAACTGTGTCCAACTAATAATTGGATAGCTTTTAAGGCTTCATATTTCAATTCATTATCACCACCATTGTTATCTAAAAATGACATAATTAATAATTTATATTCTCCATTCTTTTCAGTGTTAATAAAGTTAACTAAATCTTGACCAATGTTTTTAATTAAGAATTGTAAATCATTTAATAAAATGACTTTAATCTTTGAATTTGGATAATCTTTAGAAGATAAAATTTCAAATATCTTTTTAACTAATTTATAACTTTGATCTTTGAATTTACCTGAATTTTCTATCCAGAATTCACTTGATTTATGAGTTGGTGATGACCAACTTAAAAGATTTGGATTTTCTAATTCAGTTAAATATTCATCAAATGAAGTTAATCTATCACTAACAATAGCATTTAATAAATCAGATAAATAAATCAAATCATTGGATAATTCTTCATCACTACCATTAGATGCAAATTTTCTTTCCCTTAAAGTATTTATAGATGATAAACCATCGTGGAATAATAAGATTTTAACGGTTTTAAATTGTTCATTTGGTGATAAAGTAACAGCAGTGAAATTCTTTAAAATCCCAACTGAAATTCTAACGATTTTTAATTTAATTGATTCTTTGGCAATAGTTAATAAGTTTCCTACTAATTCAGGGAAGTTATGAACTAAAATTTTATTAATTGATCCACTAAATGATAAAATCCATGTGGTTAATAATACATTATAAGATAATTGTAAACCAGTTGAATTGGCACTCTTAGCCAGGCTTGCGATTAATTGATTGACAGATTTAAAATTTGTGATAAAGTTGGAACTTTCATAAACTTGTTTGAATGATTTAACAATCAATAATTCTTGTAATAATTGAATACCAATAAATTGAGAATTTATATTTTGAGTATTACCAATGAATTCATTGGATGATAATAAATCAAATACTTTAATCAAGACTTCTTGATCAATCTTAGAAGCATATTCAGAAGATTTAGATGCTTTTGATAATAATATAGTAAGATTATATAATCCTAAAGCTTTAATGATGAAATCTTTATTATCTAATAATTTAAGAAATGGTGAATATGGTAATGCAGAATCAACAGTGGATAATTTTAATAATGAATCTAAAAACTCTTGACCTGGTAATTCTAATAAGAAATCATTAGTTAATGCTAAAATATTCTTTAAAACATCTTCTTTACCACTCAGTTCAGCTTTATCTAAAATATTTAAAATGGTATTGGTATATAATTCTAATTGATTTAATAAAGTTGAATTTTTATTTTCAGTGGATTGTTTCTCTAAGATCTTAATATGTTTAACATCATCTTCAGAAACAGCACCAGATCTAGAATAACCTTCCCAGGCTATGATCTTTTCTTTAATGATCTTTTTAGAATCACTTAAGAATGTACTATCAATGACCAATGGAGTCTAGATAAGAATTTAAACTGTTAGTATTTCGTTTTATTCACTTCAAAAACAAACAATTGTCATTCAATTGAGTTTATACATACGAATTCAGTTGCCATTGCGATCGATATTAACTTCTTTATGAATGAAAGTTGGATTGGTAGTATCAGAATGATATTATAACTTTATATCTTTCAAAGGCATGGAAATCCCAATGGTCAATTTCCCTTGAGACCTCATTTTAAAATTATGATTTTGTGCACGACCTAATAATTCTAACCACTGTGATGGAAGACAGATTAGACATTATTATAGAACCACAATTAAAGAAAATTGATTAATGATTACCTAGACGAACTGAAGTTCAAGCTTAACGTTATTCAAACTAAAAATAAAACGAATTAAAATAAACAATAAGGTAGATATTGAAAATGCAAAAAAATTGAATTAACTGCCGGTCCCAGGAATCGAACCTGGGTCTCAACGGCCACAACGATGCGTACTTACCACTATACTAGACCGGCTAATTTTTCTGAAAAAAAATATTTCGTGGTCACCAAAATCAAGCTTGATCACGTGCAAAATTTGTTGAAAATATTGACGCTACCATCTACATTTTATAATATTCATTATGAACTTCATGTTTAATAATAGAAGTAAAGCTGTAACTAGTAAACTCTGAGCAATGTGGAGTAATGGTGTTGATCTTTCTTTGTTTGTAGTATTATTGAATCCCTTCTTCCACTATCTTTTGTTGTGATGAAACATTGAGGTTTGAAATTATACTAATAATATCTACATCATGGATCTTTTGATAATAAGAAAGTTAAACATCTTGAAAGGGAACAGAATATCGTAGTAGTAGACTCAAAATATGAAGGTAATTGTATTTGGTCCTGATTTGCTGGGTCAAAGTTGGAGTGAAGATACCATTGCAAATGTTTGCAATTCATTTCAACCACTCGATTACACTTTTGTCTCAATGTAGGGGTATTGCTGAGTGCAAGATATGATGAGTAATGTGTCAGTAGGCTTGACTTCTTTAGTATCTCTTACTTGTTATCTTCATTAGAGCAAAGGACGTATAGACAGACACCATAAGAAATAGCGCACTAAACGGGAAATGTGTCCCGCCGTAGCGTTCATTTCTATTATTGTTGCAACTAAGGAACACAATGAAAAGCTTCCTTTTGCAATCAAGTCTCGGAAGTGAGTTCCATTCAGATATTAAAGATTTGGAGTAATGAAAAGGATCTGGAAATAAAAATCCGGATTAATCTTGCTCTAGAAAATTTCTTTTTTTTTAGGGTTTTGTTACAAATTTGAAAGTCATTAGCGAGAGAACCAAAAAAAGAAAAAAATAATGGAACACAAATTTGACAGACAGAAAAAGAAAATAAGGCTGGATGACAATTGGGAATCATATTCCGATGGGAAACCTCTCATAAATACATATTTCATAGCCTAAATGGGGATCACGAATTCCGCTTTTGTATCCAATTTTTAAGTTTCTAACTATAGCATATAGTATCAGGAGTTGTAGTCTAGACTTTAATGAGGTTGTTTGTACGTTATAGGTCATTTGAATTAGTCATTATTTAATTTCATGAGACAAGTTACTCATATTAGCATCTGATATTATTATATAGAGTTAAGCCAACAATACATACTGAAAATAACTTTAAAGACAATAAACATAAATAATAATACCTCATGAATGAAGGAACGAATGTCCTCGAAACACGGTTTAGGAAATTAAACGGAATCCGAAACCATCGATGCTGTCAATTCAATTCACTTTAATTCAATTCATGACAAGCCTCTCATTCTTTTAATTTAAGCAACCAACGGAAAATCTTCAACTAGTACTGTTTAATTGCTTTTTTCTTTTTACTTTTCTCTTTTAATTGCTTTTTACGTTTCACAAGAAGAAGCTTGCTAATTTAATAGAATAGAATATATTCACAACCCATCAATCATTCATCGAATATTTTTCACAGACTGAAAGTGTAAGAGAAAATCCTAAAACAGTAACAGAAACTGAAAAAAGAAACGCCAAAAGAAGACATCGATCTTCAACGCCTTATGTGCAGGTTTCCTTTCAACCGCTTCCAATGGATCAGCGGTTAAACCAAAGGTTGATAATCAAAATATATCAAAGCATATTACTCTAAACTCTACAATTTATCCAAATTGATTTTAATCAATTACATATTTCAATGTGAAAAAAGGTATATATCCATCTATATATATTAACTTTAAAAAAGGAGTTGAGAGGAAATTGTAGTAAAAAATGAAGATAAATCCTCTATCAAATGGAAGTTTGATAAAGAGTAAAATTTTATATCAATATATATATATAAATAAAAATCAACTTTATTTATTTTAATAACGACATTAACAATGAATAGAAAAGAAAGGAAAAGTAAAGAAATAAACAAAATATAATTGTAAATATTATTAAACAGTAAGCTTTTTTACACAATCAAAAAATCTAATCAGAACTTTCTCTGGCAAATTCTTTAGTCATATCAGCATCTGGAATTGAACCACAAATGGTTTCAACCATAATACCAGTAACTAAATATGGATCAATGTTAGAAGCTGGTCTTCTATCTTCGAAATAACCATATCCTTCTTTAGCAACAGATCTTGGGATTCTAATAGAAGCACCTCTGTTAGCAACACCAGATGAAAAAGTTTCAATAGAAGCAGTTTCATGACGACCAGTTAATCTTAATTCATTATCAGTACCATATAATAAAACATGTTCCTTATGTCTTTTAGCTAATTTACTTAAAGCAACTTCAATATCTTTCATACCACCTGGAACTCTCATAGATTTGGTTGAAACATTGGTGTGACAACCAGCACCATTCCAATCTCCCTTTAATGGTTTTGGATGGAAAGAAATCTTAACCCCAAATTCTTCAGCAACTCTTTGTAATAAATAACGAGCAATCCATAATTCATCACCCATGTTGATACCAACACATGGACCAACTTGGAATTCCCATTGAGATGGCATAACTTCAGCATTAATACCAGAAATAGTAACACCAGCATATAAACAAGCTCTGTAATGAGCTTCAATGACATCTCTAGCATAAACTTTACCAGTACCAACACCACAGTAGTAAGGACCTTGAGGAGCTGGGAAACCACCCTTTGGCCATGCGTAAACTTGATCAAATTGATCAAATAAAGTATATTCTTGTTCTAAACCAAACCAAACCACTTCATCAGAATGAGCAGTCATTAATTTGGCACATTCATGTCTATGATTAAATTTGTTTGGAGTACCATCATTATTCCAACATTCAGTTAAAACAATAATGTTATCCCCCTTTCTGAATGGATCATCATAATAAGCAACTGGTCTTAAATAAACATCAGAATCATGACCTGGAGCTTGACCAGTTGATGAACCATCAAAATTCCATTCTGGTAAATCATCAATACTAGCTGGTTTAGAATCTAAAGTTCTACACTTTGATCTAGTACCACCTTCAGCATCAATCCAGACGTATTCAGCTAAGATTTTACCCCTTTGAGGTAAATCTAAATATTTGGCTAAAATAGCAGTTTGTTCAGTAATTCCAACCATTGTGATTGTAATATATGATATGTATGTATGAATATAATTTCTATGTATAGTAGGACCCAATTGAATTGACCAATGACTAAAACAATAAATGAAAGAAAAGGATTATAAAATAAGGGTGAAAGAAGAAGATAAGGAATTCAGAAAATTTTTTATGAAAACGATAATGAATTACTTTTATATTATAATCTCTTTAGGTTTTGACCCTTTTCTTTTTTTGGTAAATTAAAGCATTTTGTTAACCGCTGATAGTAAAAACACTTAAAAAAGAAAATAAATAAATAAAAAAAAAAAAAAAAACCGAAAGACAAAAAAAAATATAATTTTGTGTCTGATCCGGTTAAGACGAGTTTTGAGGCAAAATGACAATTTTATTAATACTCATATTTTTTATCTTAGCCAATCACACGTCATGATCATTTTTTAAAGTACTATAAATTAAATTAATCCTGATGAGACAGAGGTCTATGATTTTGATTTAACAGGTTTCTGTCGAATGTGTCCGGAATCAATAATCCGTCCGTCTTCTGGTGGTTAAAAAATGTCTGGAAAATTGATTCTTTTGAGATTCCCTCTCATTTTAGGATTCTGGTCGTAAGGAATGAATCAAAATGGCTGTTAATACAATGTATAGTAATAATAACAACGGAGTAAATCTATTATACCCTATTTGACTCTTCTTATGAGTATTTGTATATATCAGAAGTCGTTAATTGAAAGGTTTACTAAACCTAAACTCCAGAATTGTCAGGTTAAATAACTAGTAGTGAATGGTGAGGAGACAAAATTACAAGAATAATATATTAAATTACAGTTTAATCTTATCGCCCCAACTCAACTCAACTCCAAAATTCAAATAATCAAGTCCAATTAAACTCGTTCATAATGTTATTACACTATATTATTACTTACTCCTTTTCTATCTGTAACAGCCTCTTGACCGCTCCTTTCCGATTGTATGCAGGATTTACAGCGACTTCGCTGTAAATTTTTTATGGAGGACCTTCCTAATTAAGTAAATGAACGATTGAGTATTTAAATTTTGAGCCAATTACCTTAGAATTAAACATAATCAGTAATTAACTGACAATGACGATGTTAAAGTTAAATTAACACACCTCGCTCTATAAATTATGAGCAAATGTTAAATAAAATAATGAAAATATAAATCAATTCCTCGATGTTTCACTCAATCCATAATTTTAATTCAACTATAAGAAGTGAAATCTGTTTCAATGGCTAGAGAAGGAATCAAACTAATCTAATCAACAATTACTTCTAATAATAAAGCTAAACAATTAAATCAGACAAAAAATAAATTAAATTAGATTAAATTAAAATCTAGGGTCAGACAGAGAAATTCCTTATCTATCAAGACTAAAAATTGACTATTTTATAATAAAAAAGCTCCCATTTCAACTCTAAATTAGGTCTCCCTTCTCTCTCAATTACCTCCCAAGTGAATGGATTCAATATTTAATTTTAAATTTTGAACACAATAACTAGGTTTGATTAAAAATTTCAACTCCCCACTCTTTATCATTATGCCCCTCTCTGTCTCTCTCTCTTTATCAGTGCTTAATTTTTCATGGTTCTCGATTTCTCCACGAATGGGTCCGATAGCGTCAAACACATGTACTAACTCCTATTCAAGATATTCGCCTCAAGGTCTGCTTCTCTTCACCCAATTGGCTCCTCTTATACTTTTTTAAACCATTAACAATAGGTTCCAGAAGTCTGCAATTTCATCAGAGCTACAAATTACCTAGACTAAACTAAACGAAACGAATTGAACATAATTGAAAATTATTCAACTTATTATTACATAATTAAATTGCGAATCTAATTATAATAGAGATGTTCTTTACCCACGACCCCCAAGAACGCAATATGCCAAATTAAGAGATATCTGAAATTAATCAATCAATAAATCAATTAATCAATCAATTAATATAATTAAATTAGTTGCAATAATCTAAATTGATTAATCTCAAATTATGTCAATACAATAAAATCAAATCTAATCAGTTAAATTAATCCAAGATTGTCGTCCAATGGTTATTTACCCCTATTATTCAACAAAAGGTACTGATTATACGATTTCCTTCCTTTCTAAAATTGAACTGTTCTATACGTCCTACTAAACTCTAAAAATATTTCAATTTTTAATCGTCACGTGCGAGCATGGCATTAATTTTTGCAATAATTAATTAACTGTCAATTGACTTAATATTACATTAGTCTTTATTTATATATACACACATTACACAAGTAGTTACTTAAATAAGAAATAACACACTAAAGGGGATTATTATTAGATAGATCTAGATCCTAAATTGAATTTGATAACACGTTGTTGACCGCTTCGAAACTCTTTCTTCTTCGTTTATGTTCTTCTCTATGTTTTTTGATATCTTCTGATCTTTTCAAAAGGATTGCCATACAAACATAAGTTGATGTTTGTAAATCTACTGAATTGATACTATAATAATCAATTGGTTTAGCAACATTATAATTGGTATCTTGGAGTTCAAAATCAGTGTCAAGTTTATAGCTTCCAATACGTATACGTTTTCGTTTTTCTTCAAGAGTACCAAGGTTCACACTTGAATAATATTCATCTCGAGGATATTTATCTCTCTTATTGAATAATTTCTTCATATATCCTTGAAGTAAAGGATTATCCTTTGACTTTTCAAAGTCAATCTTATTAATTGATTTATCAACATGACGAGCTATACAATGTTGATTATCATCTAATAAGTAATGACTATAAGTATATCTCAATTCCTTAGTTGAATAACCATAAATCCATCTATAGAATTTTCCTTTGTATTCATAATCTATAACTGGAACGATATAATGAGCATATAGTACAAGTTCAAAATCAAGGTTGGAATTTTTAGGATCTGGGGTAAATTTAAGCACATAAGTTCTATATTGAGCATGAGAACTTTGACTCACATGACAGAATTGGAAATAATCAGTTTCGGGATTAAACCCCTTTTGATGGAATGTATCATGATTGATATAATATTTATAAATAGTTATCATATTTGAAATTGAAAATTTATGATTCTTAACCCAAAATAATGGTACACCAATTCCATCAAATTGACTATCTCTAGCTTTTGAATTTTGAGGCTCATCTTTAAGGGAAAGATACTTTTGAATAGAGCTCTTTGAAGTAAACACAGTCAATCGATCAAAAGTCTTAGCACAAATCATAAATTTCCAGCCGTGTACATCATCGGCATTATCTAAAGTTTCATCAAATGATTCCGCGACAGTTTCACCTTCATATGACTCTTTCTCATCTAGATGACTATCATCATAGTCTTCATCATGAGGGTAGGGAGGCAATTCTTCGTCTACAGAGAAAGACATCTAACTAGCTAATGAAAGCTCTTGTTGTTGTTGACTTGATACATTCATTTTCAAATTTATTATCGTACGTCACTCGGTAAGGCTTTATATATATAGACCACGCCCCAGACTCACTATATTTTTATTTGTGGTTTTGTAAACTTTAATTTTTCTTTTAGGCACAATTTACAAAAACCCCTCAAGATCTCACAATTTGAGTGATTTGATTTACAACCCGTTATACAAACCATCCCAATTATCTATATATCAAGCTCACGTGGAAGCTAATAGATCAATGAACTCAGACAACTAATGGTCATTGAGTTCAATTGACATGACTCGATATAGATTTGTTGGATTTTGTATCAAACGTATATTGTAGGTATATATATAGAGATTTGAAATTACGTCATTCATTTTTTTTTAATATGTGTATGAATTTATTGGATCGTTGTATATAATAATAATCCTCGATATAGGATCTGACGTAGAGTAGCATATGAACAATAGTATAAATGTCTATAAAAAATTTGGGTATGACCAAAGTAATAATAATATTTACTTGTCTTAAAATTATTTAATTTTTTTTTGCAATCTAATCACTTCAATAATAAAGATAAATATAAATGTTACAGGAGGGAGGGAGGGAGGTATAAATTATTGAACATTGTTAGATTCATTAGAAAAAAAGCAAACTTGATGATGATAGGGAGGAGGATTCTTCAATCATGTTCATATCCTTGATGAATAGTTCTCTTCAAAGCTCTCAATTTCTTAATCTGAATTTTCTGATTCAAAAACTGATTCACCGTCAGTTTCCTCTGACAGTCCCTCTCCTTCTGGTTGAGGTTGCTCAGGAATATCTTCTTCTGGAACTTCGATTGGTTGTTCGGTTTCTTCTTCGACTTTTTCAGCAGGTATTTCTTCAGCTTCTTCTTCCTTTACGTCTTCCAGTTTCTTCTCTTCGACTTCTTCTGGAACTTCTTCCTCCACTTCCTCTTCAGCTGCTTCTGGAACTTCTTCTTCCTTTTCTTCAGCTTCTACTACAACTTCTTCTTCCTTTTGTTCAGTTTCTACTGGAACTTCTTCTTCCTTTTCCTCAACTGCTTCTGGAACTTCTTCTTCTACTTCTTTTTCTTGAGCTTCTTCCTCTGGCACTGCTTCTTCTACCACTTCTTCATTAACTTTTTCTTCGTCATCCTTTATTTCTTCTTCGACAACAGGTTCCGCATCCTGTACTGGAACTTCAGAAGCAGATTCTTCACTTTTTTCAACAGGCACTTTTTCTTCAGGTACAGCTTCAACATGTTCGTGAGATTCTTCAATACGTTCAATTGGCTTTTCAGCGGCAGCCTTTGCTGCAAGTAATTCACGTACAATCTCTTCTCTAGCTTGGAAAGCAACATTCGCTTGAGCTCTTATTACTTTAAGATAATCATCATTATCTCTGTTAACGTAATTCATATGGAATTCGATATTCTTGACGAATTCATTCCACACCTTTAATCCAATAACATCATCAAATTCAGTGGTTACATTTCCATTGTTATAATTAAATTGTTCAGCGCCATCATAGATAAGATCTCTGAATTCAAATACTTCTTCCTTTATTTTATGAAATTTCTTCCAGAATTTCCAGGTAACATCACTATCACTTTCTTCTAATGATTCAATCAAAGTTGATAAATTATTAGAAAATTCTTTAAAAGTTGATTCGGAAAATGATTCTAAAATATCAATGGTATCTTGAATGACTTTATAATATTCAATGATCACAAGTTCATGATTATCAATTAAAATCTTTTGGATTTCAGCCATACCTTCTTCAAAGATTTCATGACCTTTTTTAATATCGTCTCTGATTTCTTGTCTAGTGACAGTTTGAAAATCAGTATCATGGGTCAGTTTGATATGTTCATAATCTCTATTGATATTGATAATTTTTTGATGTAAGAGTTTATAATTACTATGAGAATCTTTATGTAATTGAGTGAAAACATCAGTAATCAATACTTTGATGGTTTCAATGGTTTCATTAACAAATGGTTCAGTTTCAACTTCAAGATTATGTGTGGCTAATTGTAAAGTCTTGTTAACTTTTGCTTCCCAACGTTCTAATTCTTGATTGATATGTTCAATTTCTTTATTAACTGATGGTTCCCCGGTTGATGATTCTTCATTAGTAACAGTAACAGTTGAAGTTAAAAGAACAGTTTCAGGTTCTTCGTCAGAATAATCAGAAACTTCTTCAACAACATCATCAACAATAACTTCTTTCTTTTCTTCTGGTACATCTTTGTCAATTGGGAGTTTCTTTTCTTTAGAAACTTTGCTTAAAATATCTTTAACCAATTCAACGATATTTTTCTTGGTTTGTTTAAATTTAGTTGAAGATTTAATCTTGTTTCTAGTTTCATTGAATTTAACTAAATTTTTAAATTCTTGTTTGATGAATTCAGATTTTTCATGAAATTTAAATGATGATTTAGTATTGATTAAAGTTTGAACAAAATTATTATAAGATTGAGTTAAATCAGCAATGAATTTAATTGATTTTAATTGAGTTAATCCATTATCAACATATTCTAAAACACCAGAATCAACAATGTAGACATGAATAACTGAAATAAGATTGTGAACTTGAACTGATAATAATTGATAATAAAGTTTCAAATGTTGAGAACTGACTTCAAGGGTAAGAATAAGTTGAGGATAGATTACAGTTGAAACATAAGAATCAACGGCACTGATAACCACTTGAGATTTATCAGCTACAACTTGGAACTTTTCTTGTAATTCTAACTTGGTACTCAATTCTTCCACTGAAACCTTAACCTTGTCAAAATTCTGTTGAACATTGAATGATTCATCAAGTTGATGTAAACTTGGTTCAATATATTGTTGATAATTTGGTAAGATTGTGGAGTGAAACACCGGTTTCAAATATTGATGACTAAATTCACAAGTATGATGGAGTAATGGGGTTAATCTTGTGGTTGTTGATGATGCTTGAAATGAATTGACATCATTGATAGGACAAATGTATGTTAGTGTGTAAGTAAGGTACCCGATGATACCTGTTATAAGCAACAAGTTGAACTTGCTAAATCCAGCCATTTTAATCCTAGTATCTTTTCCTCTGACAATGAGCTTCGTGTATGTCTATAATCAAATATCCAAGTAGTATGAACAGATTGGATTGATTGTCAAAAACTGAAAGCGTATGATTGAGTAGCTGATGAGGATATATATGTTGCCAACTGTTACAAATTGCCAACCAAATCAATCAATCACTTTTTAAACCAAAAAAAAAAAAAAAAAAAAAATGAGTTGTTATTATTTTTGTATGCAGGAAATGATGATGATAATTTGTACAACTAGCTTAGGAATATGATGATCTGCTTCTTAGTAGTTGAAGCACAAAGACTAAGTAAGGCATTTAGAGTTGGAAATATTTTCTGGTGTTGTAATGGTCAATGGTAAGAGATATCATATTGGAGATAGAACATCATCACATGGTGAAGATTTTATTAAGGAAATTATCAGAGGAAGATATCTTTTTTACAGCCGTACCGATGATACTCACACGTTTTTTAACAACTTTAATGTATGGTTTAACATTGATAGAGTACAGTTTTCACTTGGATTCAGTTCTACTGATGTTGAATCATATGTTGTATAGGATTGTGATGGTTCGTGAAGATCATTCAGATCATCTCACCTTGTTTTACGTAACTAATGATACTTATTGTACAGCTGTTAATTATATTTGACCACAAACCAGTTATATACAGGATGGCTCTATTTTTCTTAGGATTAAATATAGAGTTTCTATACGAGTTGAAGATGGTCTGAGTGTCATTAGATTTAAATGAGAGATATAAATAGGTGGAAATATCTCAGAATGAACAGATTTAGATATTTGGAACTTTCTAGAAAGGTTAATTATGGTGCAAGATGAATATTTTAGATCAAGTTTGAGTTTTGCATTTTTTTTGCATCATTAATAAAATTAGTTACTATTAATATATCAAGTTAAGCCGCTTTTGAAGTTTAATATGTAAAGCCTCATCTTAAGTTTCAAATATCATGATTTATGAAAGTAAATTTATCGATTGAGAAACCGGATCAGCAAACAAATCTCCCAAACTAGAATCTTAGCTTACTTCTTTCCTTGATTTCAGGATCAAGAAATTTCTTATCTCGGTATTATTACTCTTAAGATATCTGATTACCAGTTACAAGAGTAGATGAAACCAATCCACGGTCAGTTCTCACAAACATAATGCCATTTATATATATATTTAACAATCGGCATAATGCAAAAATACTCAACCATAATTGCAAATTCTGATCGATCGGTCTAGAATGGTTGTTTGTTTTAAACCACAAAAAGGTTTAAACATCTAACGAACGATTCAAAAGGCACATCCATTTACGATACTCCAAAACAACCAATTACGTGGAAGTCCGCAGGAGTTGTGGTATTGTAGTAGGATGCCAACAATCGATATCGTCCTCTTATTCAACCATCAACCTGTTCATTTATTATTCAATCCCCACTTTAGATTAAGCTTTTGTGTAATGTGGGTTATTTTTACCTATGTAGAACTAGTCAAATTACATTGTTCCAATATGAATATATTTTTCAATACGATCAATAATAGTTATGACATGATTAAGACAATTGGTTTACACACATGGATCTAATCATTATTCATAACTAAAATATTTGTTGAGTTTGGTCTTTAGCTATAATTACTTTCCTCGCTCAATGTTCTATACTCCAAATTAGTGTGATTGCAGATCCACACTAACCTTATTGAATCCCATTATTAACCAGTCTTTGTGTATCGTATTAACTACTCGAACCTCTAAGGCAACAAATCATTCTGTACCTTTGCACCTCCAAAATTATAAATATACTAAATCAAAATCAAAACTTACTGAAATTAAATTATTCCGAGAATGCAACCTTGAAAGTGCAATTAACTATTGCAGTTTGGATTTTCCCCATAAAGTTTTTCTCTCAGTTACTTCTTTCAGAAATCCGTAAAAGGAAATAGGCAAGGCTATCAAATTTTTTTTATTAAGCTATAAATACTAATTAAGATTTCTTAGTTTTATTATTCCACTTTTACAAATAATTTTTAGCCATAACATCGTTGTAACTTGGGGAATTTCACTATTAGACTGTTAGATATACTTCAATTGGTTTAGATTTTATATTTTGTCTTCTTTTCATTTTTTTGCTTCTTTATTGTGGTTTTTGCTATTTAATCGTTAATTTGCTATTATTCATTAATTTATTCATTTCATACTAATTATTCCTTTTATTACCCTTTCATATAAAATCAGCATACCATGGTTCGTCGTAATTCAAATGCCCCTTCAATTCCAGTGGTTGCCACTATCGATGTAGGTACAACATCTACCAGAGCCATCTTATTCTCTCAGAATGGTGAAGAGCTCGCTAAGCATCAAATTGAATATTCCACCACTGCATCGGAAGCTCCCGATGAATCAACCAACACAGATCAATTCAGAAGAAGATCATCCTTAATGAGACACAACGAACCGATCTTCACTGCAGAAGGTATTGCCATTTCTATCACTGATGATATTGAAATTGAAAATAATCAAGCAAGTGTGGGTCCTACTTTAAGATTTCCCCAACCAGGTTGGGTAGAATGTATGCCTGTTCATATCTTAGCTAATGCAGTTCAATGTTTAGTGGCATGTTTAATAACTCTTCGAAAAATCAATCAAAATCCAGAATTAAAAGTTAAATATAAAGTTAAAGCTATTGGGATTGCTAATATGAGAGAAACTACTATTGTTTGGCATAGAAAAACTGGTAAACCTTTAAGTGGAGGTATTACTTGGACTGATACTAGAACTTCAGAAATCATTCAACATTTAGAAAGAATCACAGATCAATCCAAAAAAGATGAATTAAAACAAAAAACTGGGTTACCTTTATCAACATATTTCTCAGCATCAAAATTAAGATGGTTATTAGATAATGATGATGCTATCCGTGAAGAATACGAAAAGGGTGAAGGTAATCTTATGTTTGGTACAGTTGATACATGGTTGATTTATCATTTAACCAGAGAAAAGACTTTCGTATCCGATGTTACCAATGCTTCTCGTACTTATTTTATGGATCTTGAAACTAAAGATTATGATGATGAATTATTAGACTTCTGGGATATTGATCCAACTAGAATCCATTTACCTAAAATTGTTTCCAGTTCGGAATTTTATGGATCTTTCAATTCCCCTAATTTATCAAATTTAGGATTTCATAACAAAATCACCCAAGAAGCTTATGATATTCTTAAAACCATCAGTGGTGTTCCTATTTGTGGTTGTCTTGGTGATCAATCTGCATCCTTAGTGGGTCAATTGGCTGTTAAACCAGGGTCAGCTAAATGTACTTATGGTACTGGTTGTTTCCTCTTATATAACACAGGTACAAGAAAATTAATCTCCAATCATGGTACTTTAACCACATTAGGTTATTGGTTCCCAACCTTAAAGGGAGATGATGGAAAACCACATTATGCATTAGAAGGTTCTATTGCTGTGGCAGGATCGATTGTTCAATGGTTAAGAGATAATTTAAAGTTAATCGAAGATGCAAAAGATATTGGTCCCTTAGCTTCAAGAGTTAGTAATTCAGGGGGTGTGGTATTCATTCCTGCCTTTTCAGGTTTATATGCTCCATATTGGGATGGTGGTTCAAGAGGTACTATTTTTGGTATGACTCAATATACCAGTTCAAGTCATATTGCTAGAGCTGCTTTAGAAGGGGTTTGTTTCCAAGTTCGTGCTATTTTAAGAGCCATGGCTGAAGATGCTGGTGGATCTAGGGATTTCCTTGAAGAAGCATTAAATACTCAACATGAAAACCAACCATTAAGTCAATTAGCGGTTGATGGTGGTATGTCAAAGGCCAATGAAGTGTTACAAATTCAAGCTGATATTTTAGGTCCTTGTGTGACTGTTAAAAGAGCAGCTATTTCAGAATGTACAGCCTTAGGAGCTGCCATTGCTGCTGGGTTATCGTTCAAAGATGAACAAGATAGAGTCTGGAAAGATTTAGATGATGTGATTGAAAAAATAAATGGTGACGATGATGCCAACAATACATTCACCGCCAAATTACCTGATGTCGATAGAAGAAAGATCTGGAAGCGTTGGGAGAAAGCGGTTGATAGAGCTAAAGGTTGGTTAGAAGATGATGCTTGAAAAGGCAGATGTATTATGCAAGAATTTATAGATGTATATAATGATATAGATATTTTTTTATGCTATAGAAAACTATTCGTCATCTTCGAATGAACTATTATAATCGTCAATATCAACAATTTCACTTCGACTTATACCGGTATCATCATCATCTTCAGTGACATCACTGGTTTCGTAAATGACATTTAAGTGATCATTTGTATGATGATCCATGGAAAGATTTTCAAAAGTAAATGAACTGTTGATTAAATCTTCTTCATTGTAGAGTGAAGTTGGGGTCATTGACTTTATGGGGAAATTTTTCGATAAGATGTTTTTTTGGATATTATTGATGGTATTATTGAATGTATTATTAATCTTATTAAGATTTTCATTTGTCTTCTTTGGAGAAAAGTTTTCTAAAACTTCATTAAAGAATTTTGATGTTTTTGTAGACAATTCATTTGGAGAAGTCGATGCAGTTGTATTAGTATTGAACATTTTAGAGACGGATTCCAATTCATTCTTGAAATTCTTTTCAACTATGAAAGATGCTTTTTTCTTTAAGACATCAATGGAAGGAAAATTTGAATTTTGGCTAAATTTCAATGGCAGTGAAGGCGGTGATTTAATGATTTTAATTTGACTAAGTTGAGCAGTAGTTTGAGAATGGATCTGTTTATAGAAATCAGTTTCATGATTATTTCTATCTTTTAAGTTTTGGATTCGTTCTTCTCTTTTACAATTTTCTAATTTAGTTGAAATCTCTAATAATTCAAATTTAACCAATTCAATTTGTTTTTCAAACTTTAACAATTCCTTTTGCTTTTGGGTATACTGATCTAGCAACTCTTGCTCAATTTGATGATAATCAGTTTGGGAATTATTCAATGCAGTAGTTGGTTTTAATTCAACTTGTGGTTGTTCAGGTTTTTCTTGTATAGGGATATAAACTGGTAAACCTAATTTCTTTGGACTTGAAAGTGTACTTGAAGTATTTGACCTATTTGGAGATCCATTTGCAGATGCTGAATTCGATGCTAATGAGAATTTAACTAATCCAGTTGATTCACTTATGATTCTTTCTTTCTCAAGTTTGGAGGCATTAAGTGATTTTAAATTAGGTGAATACGAAGATACATTAGACACAGGAGTCAAGATTGAGTATGATTTTCTGGTATGCAACCTAGTTGGAGTTTGAGGATTTTCTTTATCCATAAATGTAGACATATTGACCAACTGTAATGATATATGATGATGCTTAAAACTTAAGAAGCAAGAAGCAAGACGATTAATAAAATTTTCAAGAATCTACGAGCATCAACACAATGAAAATCAATCCCTTAATTTGAGAGTAAAACAAATTCATTTATGCATTTAATTTATCAAACACTATCTTCACTCACATACTGAATAACTCATTACTACATTTTAGGTCGAAATCACAACAAAAGCTACCATTAACTTCAATTTTTTGCAATTTAACAACATTATTTCCCAATTAGGAAATGTCATAACAAACATAATAAATGCAGACTTATGTACAGGAATTTCTAATTTATCACAGTCATTTAAATTTTTTTGAAAACAAATTCCATCACGTGCCCTTTTATTATTCTTAAAAATACCCAAAAGTCAAAAAGTCATTTTTCAAATTCAAATTTATAAATTTAAAACTGTTCGCCACGACGACTTTATATCTGTTTCTTTCTTCTTTAAGCTTATTGCAATTTAGTTTAAGAGGTTAATCATATATTCCTTTTCAGTTGAATTTCAGAAGTATCAGTGAACGATTCAATTGATTCCAACTTAACCCCTAGATCAAATCAACTTAGTTTTACCAAAATGGCTTTATTTGCAAAAATCAAATGCTTTGTTGCATCATTCCTTTTATTCTATACCATTTATTTATACAACTACAAATGTGTTGAGTTAAAAGAAACTTCCTTTGAACATGCTGCTGAATCAGTTCTCCATCCATTATCTCACCATCACAGTCAAGCATGTGAAGTTTTGGATACTGCTGCTGGTTACGTTCATCCATACATTGTTCAAACTCAAGCTTTCTTAGATGAACACGTTCATTCTCATCCATTATTCATTGAATATGGTATCCATGAAAAACTTGTTTCTGTTCAAGATGCTTTTGTCACCTATGTTTATCCATACATCCATCAACTCTTCCAATATTTCGCTGTTGTTGAAACCGCTGTTTATGATCAATTTTCTGAACATTTAGCTACTCTCCAAGGTTTATACGAAGAACATTTTGGTTCTAAATAAGCTTAAGACGTATAAGTTGTTTTAATGGTTTGCACTTTGCTTCCCAGGTTGAAAAATCTCTAAAATTGAAAATGAAAAAAAAAAAAAATTAGTTGAAAAGATCCACAAAGTTGATGAAAGGTTTAAATCAAAGCTAGAAACGAAAAGAACAGTAGAGAAGGGAAGATTAATCACTCTATCAATTTATAAATCATATTATTACCCAACAAAGTAAGAAAATCAAAAAAATGATCTAATGATTTATGTTCCATATACCATTTTTATATTTTCATTCATTCATGATTAATATTTATTTACTAATTTGTTTTCACTTGTATTACTTTTAAGTTTACGGTTGTTTCGTTCTTTCTTTCTTTCTACCTTTTTTTTCTTCTATTTGTTTTTATCAGCTAGTTCAATTGACAAAGCTCTTATTTTTACGTGTTTGTCAATTGTATAAACTTGTCTTGGCTTGCCTTTATATCCTTATTATTAGTTACAATTCTTTAAATATATAATTATCGTTTTACACTGGTTTAAAAATCCTCAAAACCTGAAATTGTCCCATTATATTTATTGCTGTAGTAAAATGTAGAGTCAGTAAACAATAAACAAATGACGGATACGGAGCGTCGTCTTACTTGCGGACAATTCAAAGTTTTTAAAATTTACCCGGACAAGTAAACCATTTTGGTTTTGTGGTAAATATGGGGTAAATCGTAAATTTTCACCAGTTAAAGGTATGACCTGTAACGATATCAAGTTTGATCAATAGGAAAGAGTGATATGATATGGTAGATGAAACATCACATTTGCTTGTGCTGAGTGAGGTTCAAGGGCAACATCAGCAGTATGAAGAACATCATCAACATGTACATACCAAGAGATTACTTCAATCAAGACATATAGAAATGATAAGTCTAGGTGGTATCATAGGTACTGGATTATTCATAGGAGTACGATCTCAGTTAGTAACTGGTCCTATCATAAGTTTGCTATCTTATGCATATATCAGTATCATATGCTATACCATAATACAATCAGTTGGTGAAATGTCCTGTTTCATGCCGATTAATGGGTCTATATGTCAATTTCAATTTAAATTCTTATCAAATAGTATAGGGTTATCGATTAATATCATTTACTGGATTAGTTGGTCTATCACTTTGGCATTAGAGTTATCATTGATTTATGAAATGTTAACGTTTTGGGAGTTTCAATTCATCCAGGATAATCCAATCTTAATTATCTTCAGTATCTGGTTAATCCTAACCTTGTTTAATTTATTTCCTGTGAACTACTATGGAGAAATCGAATTTATGATATCTATTCTTAAAGTTTTATTCATCATTTGTTGGATCTTTATCAGTATTTATCTTATATTGCATAACAACATTGGGTTTAAAAATTGGGATAGAAAGTTAATCTGGGGAATTGATACTATTCATATCATCAAAAATCCAATCCAATCAAAGGCAGTCAACATATTAAGTACATTGGTATCCAGTTGTTTTACTTTTCAATCAATAGAATCAATAGCCATATGTTCTGGTGAAATCAAGGATGCTCATACAAGCTTACCAAAAGCTATCAAGTACATCCTTGTTAGAATTGTGGTGTTCTATATGTTAACATTATTCTTATTAACCATATTAATCAAATGCGATGATCCAAACTTAACCAATGATAACAATGATATCTTCTCATCTCCATTCTTGATAGGTTTGATAAACTGTGGTATAAGTTCATCGTCCTTCATCTTAGGTACGTTCAATTCAATTATCATTATATGTATGTTATCAGCGGCAAATTCAAACATTTACTTTGGATCTCGTTGCTTGATTTCAATAATTGAATCTGAGTCAGACTTGGATGCTCCTCCACATATGTTTGAATTCTTAAGTATTACCGATTCTCATGGAGTTCCTTATCCTGCCATATTGCTAACATCTAGTATTGGCCTCATATCATTATTTTCAAAATATAAAACGATAGAGATCTTATTCAAATTATTGATTAATCTATGTGCTACTTCAGGTTTGATAATGTGGTTATTCATCCTGATTTGTTATCTTCGATTCCTTAAGATTTTGAAATTTAATAATTTAAACTATAACCATTTGAATTTTAAATCATCAATCAAATTGAAATGGTTGAATTGGTTTGCCATTATAAATATCATCTTGATCATCTTTAGTAATGGCCTAATCAATATTTGGAAATTCGATTGGGATAATTTCATTAGTTGTTATTTAACCCTGATTATTCTAGTTATTTGTACGTTTTCATTATCTTGGTATTGGAATGAACCAATAATCAGACCAATTGAGGCGATCGATATCTTTACTGATCAATCTCCTTATGCATTCTCTAAATAGAGACTTATAGACTTTTTTTAATTATTATTATTATTATTATTTTATATTGCAGAATTAAATATAATATACATAGAGCAAAGAAAATCAAAGAAGTAAAACTTAAATATTTAAAAACCACGAAATTTCTTTTTATATACATGAGTAGGTAGTAATGACCAACTACCTATTCTGAAATACCTTCATCATCTTCATAAAGATAAGTTGGATATGTGATATTGAATGGATCTTGATCATTATCTTCTTCATCTTCATCATCTTCATTTTCAGCATAACTATCAAGCCATTCATTTTGTCCACTGAATTGAGATTTATGATCTTGTAAGACTTTAAATGCTTGATTTGAATCAATATATTCAAAACCTTGACTTACAATTTTAAATATCAATTTGAAATAGGCAATTAATGAAGTTAAACCTCTTAAATAACCTAAATCGGGTAAACTAGGATGATATGGTGGAATACTGGCATTAATATTTTCATCTTGATCCGAGATATCTGATTGAGCAAAATCAATGATACGAACTTTGATAGTATCATTAGCATCACCAACACCATCATACATTAATAAAATTGAAGATCCATACATTCTATAACCAATTAATTTTGAAAATATGGAATATAACTCTTCTAATTGATCAATCAAAGGTGGGATTTTACTCAAGATGGAATAGTTATCGTTACCATTGTATAAGAATTTAGATAATATTTTACAAAATTGAATTCCAATCCTAATTCTTCTCCCAAAATATTTATCCTTAACTAAATGACCACCACCGCGTTTAAAAATTTGTAATCCACAAACTCTAACACCTAATTTTCTCGATGTAGTTGATAAACATTTCCGACGTTGAGATTTTTGTTTTGATTCACTGGCTTCAATCCCATATTGTCTCGTACCCATTTTTAAATCCAACACACATGGCTTTTGCATATTGGTAGTTAAATCTTCTAATAATATAAATCTTTCAAATCTGGTATGTTTTCTTAATACTGGTCCTGCCGTAATTGATGATGATAATTCATTATTATTATTATTGCTACTGTTACTGCTTGTAGCTTCTGTATTTTCACTGATACTGTTGTTGTTATTGGCGATAGGTTGTAAACTTGGTGAAGATACAACTGAAAAATCCAGAAACTGTTTACTTTCATCATCATCCATAGCAAAGATCTCATCATTTGGATTAATAGCAGTAACACTATTATTTAAACCAGTACTACTATGTAATTTAAGGGTAGGTTGAAAGACTTCTTGTAAAACTTGAACTTGTAAATCAGTATTAATAGTAGTAGAACCAATATTATTAACATTACCGTTTAATCTAGGAGAGTTAATAGATGAAGATACTGAACCATTATGAAGACTATTATGGAAACTATTACTTATAGCATCATTTAAACCATTTTGTCTATTTACAAATGAATCTGGAACTGAAGAAGGTATTGAATTGGAGTATTGATGCCATAAGGAATCCGGAATTATATGCTTATTATCATCCAACACAACTTCTGGTAATTCTTCTGCATCATCAATATCAGCTATGGAATGATGATGGTGATGACCGCGAATATCTATGCCTTTAGAATGGCATTTTGAAATTGATTTTACCTTCTTTAATGTTGGAACGTGAGTAGTATTCTTTGGATCAGAACTTTCATTATTAATGGTATTTACAGCTGTTAATTGATCTACAATATCAACATTTTCATTATTAATCTCGGTATCATTTTCAATGTCATTTTCATTTTCATTGATTAAACTCGAATATCTGACATTTAAAACTCCAATATATTTAGGCATGAAATTTAATAATTCAGGATGTCTTAATTCAACAGTTTCATAAAACAAATTTTCTCTATTCATTAAAGCTTTACAAACAGCACGTTTTGAAAAACTGAAAATAGCAGTATGACCTCCAACTTTATTTTTGAATGGTCTTAATTCCACCGCTAATGGAAATGATTCATTCAATTGAGGTGAATGAAGTTGAGATTGAGATGGTTGAGAAATGTTTTTTGGAATTTCTTCTTCAAGTTTCTGATGATGATGATGATTATGGTGGTGGTGGTGGTTGTGGTGTGAATGTGAGCGAGGAATCACTTCGTCTGAATGATGGTTTATCTCCAACACAGGTGATGAAGATCTTGAAAAGCTAACGATTGTCTTTTCAATTTCTACTATACTTTTCTTAACTGGTTGTCGACCTTCAAGTTCATTAAAAGTTTTAACAGTAGTTTTTCTACTGGATGTAGTTGAAGAAGTAGTTGTGGTTATATTGGTAGTAGTGCTTTCATTATTAAGAATATTAGTAATATCACCATTTGAAGAATGATCAAATTCCACATTTGCAGTTAAATGCTGAGTATGAGGGATAGAAGCACGATGATGTGGTTTATGATGAGGATGTTGATGACTATGAGTTGATGAAAGTGGATCATGAAAATGACTTGAATGCTGTGAATTGGTTGGACTAAGTAAAGGATCGAAAATATCATTCGATTTTTGATCGGCAGGAGTATGAGGAAAATAAGTTGCAGAAGAAACTGGTTCTAAATCTATAGGTTGATGATCTATTATTTTATCTGTATAAGGTATGTTTGATGGCGTTGTGATTGTATTTAAAGGACTGATAGTGGTAGTAGTTGGTATATTTGCTGTATTAATGTTTACAGTAGTATTGATAGGAGATGTAGTATGGGAATTTTCATGAACAATATCACTATCTTCAGAAATATCCAAGGATGATAAATGAGGAAGTTCTTCATTTACATTAGGTACATTTCTAAACAATCGAAGAGAACGAGCAGCTTTTCTACCTGAGATTGATGCAGTAGTTAAAGTTAAATCAGAAGTTGATGAATGATTTGATATGGTTGGTTCTGGAGGTTGAAGAAATGGATGAGATTGTTGATTGTTATGAGGATGAGGATGCAGATGCAGAACTTGTAAGTCAGGAAAAGGTACAGGAGAAGTAGATGGTTGATGTATGGTAGTTTGTTCCATTTTGATTAGCTAATGATCTTTTTTTATAATAGATTATGCTTTGATAGGATAGGATGTATACATAAGGGGGGGTTATTATCTCATAAAGTCAAACTGGTTGCACTAATAGGAATAGTAATATAAGTAAAACAACAACAGGAAGGAGATATTATGGATGTTATTGGCGACATAAAAGGTTTGAAGAATATAGCACACAATGTGGGATTTCTAAATTAGAATTGATTTGATTAGACCTGGAGGGGGAAAATGGTATGAATGATATGGAGCAAAAACAAAAGGAGGAGCAGGTAGGTTCAGCTGTAAGTATATATGATTGCTATAAGGATTAAAAGGATGCTAGATTAGTTTCAGACAGTTTAGTCTAATAATAAACAACAGTAGCAGTTATAGTAATTTATAGTACAAAGATAAAGAAAAATGACTTGTATACGATAGGAACAGTAGTCTAGTGTAAATCGAATGAAAGATTGAGGGAAAGGATGGGCAATGGCAAGGAAGGTAACTATGGTTCAGTTATTTTAAAGGTGATATGAAATTGTAAATAAGGAAGTGAATCGAAGGATGGTAGAGGAAAGAAAGATATTTACATTTTTATTTATTTTTGTTTTGGTATAGATTTTTTTTAAAGATGGTCTCTCTGCTGCTTCCAGGCTCTTTCTGTGTGTCTCAGTCTTTTTCTTCTTCGCTCTTCTTCTGCTGTGTCTATTTTTCTGCATTAACCGCTGCCTAATTTTTGTTTTCTCGCTGTTTTTGTATTACAATTTTGAGATAACCGATTCGATTTATGACAATAAAATGAATTTACAGCATTTGGTTATATAGATACACAAGGAAGAAGATGTAGACGTATATAGAGGTAGTGCTTACTACTGTAGAGTAGATAAAGTTAAAGAATGTAGGTTAAGAAATATCCCCTAAATTGAAAATAAAGCTTGATGATTTTAATTAGAACAGTGCAACCAGATGAGAGATGATAATTGACATGATGGGTTGGATGTAAAAAAAAGACATAAATAACAACAACAACACCAATCGACCAGAAATAGAAAGTGAAAGAGAAAGAAGAATCTAAAAAACTGAAATCGAATAAATAGAAACGTGGTGAGTAAATGATTATGAGAAAAAGAAAGAAAGTAACGAAACGAAACGATAATCAAATCAAAAGCAAACATGGTGATGTATTATCACTGATAGTGGTGGTGGTGAATGTGTAGTAAAGGATGGCAACGGATGGAAAGGGAATTACGTAAATTTACTTCAATCTCCACTAACACTACCACTACCACTATCACTACCACTACCACCACCAACCACAAATAAATCAAAACATTACTGAGCCACTTAATTATAGTCGTCACTGTCTTTCCCCCCACAGACTTCTATACTGAACTTAATTATAATTAAAATTTTGTAGGCACAGCCAAAATTAGTGACAATATGAGAAATTCTGGCTAAGAAAAACTATCTAATTTACCGATAACCCACCAGGCCACTACAAGAACTCAACAAACAGATACAGATCCACCCACCCACCCACAACACAATGACACAATTCAACACCATTCATTATATGTCGAAACATGCGTCGGGTGTTTGATGAAACTAGTGAGGGGTGGGGATAGTGAATAAATCTGAAATTTAATACCGATGAAGCCATTCACGTTGTTGCTGGCTTTAATTAAAATAAGGTCCCTGTGGGCCTCCCCTAAAAGCATTTCTTTTTTTAGTGGTTTTCTTTTGTGTTGTTGTTCTTTTTCTCTGCTTTCTTTTTTTGATTTTTTGCACCTCATTAATTTTGTGTCATAAGACAAGATTTATGGTCACCTGATAAGTCATGCGGATTTAATCACATGTCGCTGTTTTTTAAAATTATTGAAACAATAGTATGGAATACCATCATAAACGATATCCAATAGATAATAATATTCATAAATCATTAACCTAACATAGCCTCAATAGAAGATTTACATCACTTGGCATGTGGGCAAGATATGTATTGAATCGGTTTTTCATATGATTGGCTATATACTATTTGCAGCATGTACTCTTAATAAAGTCTATTTATAGATAGTATGAACATTTTCATATAGTTAATCATACCATTAACGGTTAATTGCGTTTTAACGTTATTCTAATTATAAAAACTTATGGTAATGATTTAAACTTACCTTATTGACTTCTCTAACATTACTGTAGCTGGCCAAGAAAAAAAAGTTCCCTAATTGATCTCCCTACAAACTTTAAATTACTGAGATCTTTCCCGCTACTGATCTCTTTTTTCAAAGTAGTCCATTCAATTAACGAGAGCAACCCAAAAAAACACAGATGAAATCGCATTTCATACGCGATGTTCACTGGGAAATCAACGTTAATAATTAATGAATAATATATATAGGTGATGGTCAACATAGCGAATAGATTGTCGAGGCACTATGCTATGGTGCTATCACCATCCATCGTAATACTTTTATCATTTGTGGTTTATCAATATTTCACTCGTCGACAATATATACTGGAAGATGAATTTCAGGGGTACATAATTCATGATTCGATTAATATAACGAGTTCAAAAAATGAATCTCATATTATAAATGATGTGGTTTACGATTATGAATATGGATGGGATTTTCAACGGTCAAATCAAGAGAATATGATTAAAATTGATGAATTAATCGATAATATATCTCCAGAGCAGATTAATCAGAAATTCATAATTCATAAATACATTAATGAAACAAACTTATATCATAGAGAAAAGGCGACGTTTTTAATCTTATGTCGAAATTCAGATTTAATAGATATATTAGAAACCATTCAAAATGTTGAAGATCGATTTAATAAAAATTTCCATTATGATTATACATTTCTTAATGATGAGAAATTTACTAATGAATTCATATATTTAATTTCATCATTCATACCATTTGGAACCATCAATTTTGGATCGATCCCCGCTGAACATTGGGAAATACCTCAATTTATCGATTTAGATCGATTTGATCTTGCTTTAAATCAAGATATGAGAGATATAGTATATGGAGATTCAATTTCGTATCGAAAGATGTGTCGATTCTTCTCGGGATTCTTTTATAAACATGAATTAGTTAAGCCATATCAATATTATTGGAGAATTGAACCCGGGATAAAATTATATTGTGATATTAATTATGATGTATTTGAATTCATGCATAGTAATCACAAAAAGTATGGTTTCACATTAACTATGTTTGAATATGAAAATACCATTCCTAGTTTATGGAGTGATTTTCAACAATTTATAACCATGTATGATGATGATGAGAATCAATATAATCTGAATGAATTAATGAAATTAATTCAAAATCAATCATCAAATACATATAATTTATGTCATTTCTGGACAAATTTTGAAATCGGCGATTTCTCATTATTTACCAGTGATGCATATGAGAAATTATTTACATTTTTTGATTATAAAGGTGGATTCTTTTATGAAAGATGGGGGGATGCCCCTATTCATTCATTGGCTATTGCCATTTCTTTAAAAAAATCAGATTTACATTGGTTTGGAGATATAGGTTATTATCATAAACCATATTTACAATGTCCCAAATCATCCCTTATGTTCATTAATAATAAATGTTCTTGTAATCAAGATGATGATTTTAGCTTTACTGATTTAAGTTGTACTAATCATTTTTTAAATGTCATTAATGGATTATAGATAGATGGGTGGTTATGAGAATTGTCCCTAATACGAATTAAAGTTATAGATAGATATAGATTATAGTATTTTTTAAATAAGGTAGGAAACGGATAGGGAAGGAGGTGCATAAATTAATATACATAATACAGATACGCATCTGACTAATTTGACATCAAAATTAGCATAAATTGTATTGTTTATATTAATGCAAGGAAAGGACTCGTAAAATGTGTTTTTGTTTTCTTCGAATTGTTGACGATACGAATTTTGAAAAAGAAAGATCTAACGTTACCACAAGCGACATTAGCCATGTTGAAAACAAAATCTAAACATTCGATTGTGTCATTCGCTCTTGCTTCGTGTATGCTACAGTTGCTGTAAAGACAAGACAGATTTGTTGATCAATTTACAACCACCCCCCTCTCTTCTCATCTCTTATCGTCCATCCCCCTTGTATACTCTTGCTCGCCCGCCCTTAGATGAAAAATTAACACATTCAGTCCCTCTGGGCGCACACGTTAAGCAAAAAAAAACACCAGCAGACAAAAAATAAAATAATTATCCCACACGCAAAGTTTTTACAGTAAACAATTATTATACAGGGCCAGTTATCATTAAATGGTAAAGATTTAAAAATTTTTAATTTCCTGATTGTGATACAAATCAAAAAAAAATTAGCGATTGTGTACGGTGTCTTCTTAATTGGAAATAGCGTTGGTCACAAGTCCACTTCTTCTTTGTATATATCATCCATCATCTATCATCGATTCATCTTCATCGCTGGGTTCAACTGTTCTAGTGGAGAAACACAATCATAATAATAATAACAACCACCACCACTAATATCAAACAATTATTATTATATAATCGCGTAACCCAAACTTCCCCAATTGCATCACATTAGTTAACAACGACTTGTGTCAAAAAAGTTCACCCAGACCTATGTATCTTCATTCATTCCATTTCATATTGCATTTACTCATTACTCAATTCACATCATGTTAATGACCATATCATTAAGAATAAAATCATTTCTACGTCGAAGACATAAGTTTTCCTTATTATATTCCTTAATAATCTTCATAGTGATAGCATATTTCATAATAGTACCTAATTTGGCATTACTGCATCATTCTGGAACTGAATCAACTACCAATGCAGATTCTCCAACTAGTAATTTGATTGATGATCTTACCAATGATAAAAATTATCTAGAATCGTTAGTATTAAAACTGATATCTTATATAACATATTTCATTACTGGTCAAGATAATCAAGTTGATAAGGACGGTAATCCCAAAAAATCATCCTCTACCAATAATACCAATAATAACACTAATAATAATAAAAATAATCATGATAAAAATCAAAATCAAAATCAAAATCAAAATCAAAATCCAGGAGATGTTATAGAAACTTTACAACAAAATGAATATGATGAAGAACAAAAGGAACAACAAGAACAAGATAAAAAAATCGAATTAACTCCTGAACAACGAGAACTTAAAAAGCAAGAAGATATTCGAAAAATAAGAATCATAAAGGATTCTATGAAAAAAATTAATAGTAAAACAAGATATAATTATTTTCAACAAATATTTCAAGATTTTTATGATAATAGACCTCAAGTACCACCTTTGAATAATTATTTAACTTCAAAAAGAATCTATCATGCAAGATATGATACATCCCATAGAAATCCTCTTGCCAAAAAATCAAAACCCGTCAGAATAAAAAAGAGTTCTAATGCTGAAGATATTATAACTCAAGATCAAGATGAAGAACGAATCATCTTTAGTGAATCATATTTAAATCAATTCTTACAAATCGATGATAATGAATTAAAATCAATGACCGATTCTCATGCTAATTTAGTAGCAAATCTTGCTGATCAAGCTCCTCCAGGAGTTTATAAAGGGGATGGGATAGTATTTGTTGGAGGTGGTTCATTTAATTGGTTAACTCTTTTATCAGTTAAATCAGTTAGAGCTATGGGTTCTGCTTTACCAATTGAAATTCTTATTCCTCAATTAGATGAATATGAATTAGATATTTGTGCAAGAATCTATCCTGCCTTAGGTGCTAGATGTATCTATTTACCTTATGCATTACGAGATCCTGATGATATGGATCTGGAACAAAATGAAGAACCAGAAGAAATCATAGATAATGAAGAAAATAATAAAGAAAAACAAATGAGAGATTCAACTACTTCAAATAAGAAAGAAAATATTATTAATAAATTCAAATTTAAAGGTTATCAATATAAAGCTTTAGCTATATTATTACTGAGTTTTGAAAATGTTTTATTATTAGATAGTGATAATATTCCAGTTCATAAACCGGATTATTTATTTTCAAGTGAACCATTTACAGATCATGGATTAATTGTTTGGCCTGATTTTTGGAGACGTGCTACATCACCTATTTATTATAAAATAGCGGGTATTGAAATAAGTCATACTGAATTATTACCTAAATATGATGAAGTTAATGGAGCTTATATTCCTTATGATTCACCTCCTATATTATATGAAAATGAAGACAATAAAGATGGAGGCGAGAATAAAGATGATGAAGGGGACGTATTTTATGGAGATTATGATGATTACCAAGAAGAACAAGAGAGTGAATCATTTTTACGTATTCGTAGATCTGGTACACCCAAAAAATTAAATTTAAAACGTATTCCACTTCATCAAAGAAAAGGTGCTATTCCTGATCCTACTAGTGAATCAGGTCAATTAATGATTTCCAAAAAGTCTCATAACAAAGCTTTATTACTTGCATTATATTATAATCTTTATGGACCTGATTATTTTTATCCCTTATTTTCACAAGGTTCAGATGGTGAAGGAGATAAAGAAACATTTTTAGCTGCTACTGTTGCATTACAAAAACCATTTTATCAAGTTTCAAAGTTTTTAAATGCGTTTGGATATTTCAATAGTAAGAATGAATTCATTGGTACAGGAATGGGACAATATGATCCTGTTGAAGATTATGAATATTCAAAACAATGGACTTTAAATATTAAGAATCCTGCTAATTGGGAATTTTTAAAGAAAAAGGATCCATTAATTGAAAATGGTCCTCGAATTTTATTTGTTCATTCAAATTTTCCTAAATTAAATCCTTGGAAATTAAAAACCGAAAATAAAATCATTGATAAAGAATCAGGGAATAGAATAAGATTATATGGAACTGGTATGAAAGTTCGAACCGGTTATGATTTTGAATATGTTCAATGGACAAATATGAAATTCTTATTATGTGATTTAAAAATTGAATTAGAAACATTTAAAAAAGTAAATCGACTGAATCTATGTAAAGAGATTCATGAACATATTCAATTTTTAAAATCAACCATGGGAACTATGGAATGATCTTTATTAAATAAGATATGTATATATATATACAATTGCAAATAGATTAATTTTTACATTTCTCAGTAAATAATTTATATACAGGAGTTTTTTTTTGCATTTTCATTAAAAATATCAAAACAACACGAACAAAAAAATGACAAAAGGTGAGTTACGAGATCAACAGCGATATCAATCATTAACCATAACTACAACTAGTACCCCCCAGAACCAGTCAATCAATCTATATAAATACCCATAACAACCACTACAATCATGGCTATACAGTTTTTATACCTTTTATCAAGACAAGGGAAAGTAAGACTATCGAAATGGTATCAAACCAATTCACAAAAGGAAAAAGCCAAGATAACTCGAGAATTATCAACGTTAATATTAAGTAGAAGACCTAAGATGTGTAATGTGATTGAATATAGAGATATCAAGATCATATATAAACGATATGCATCTTTGTTTTTCATAATTGGGATTGATAGTGAGGATAATGAATTGATTGGATTAGAGATTATTCATCGATTTGTTGAACAAATGGATCGATTCTTTGGAAATGTATGTGAATTAGATATTATCTTTGGGTTTGAAAAGGCTTATCATATTTTAGATGAATTATTGATTGATGGTTATATTCAAGAAAGTTCTAAGAAGGAGATTTTAAGAAGAATTGGTCAACAAGATGAATTAGAGAATTTAGATGAATTTGATAATATATTAAGCTAGGGATAGGATAGAGGAGATGATGATGATGATGGATTTCAATTATTCATATTTGTTACATATAGAATTTGTATAAGAATATGTATAATTGAAATTGTAATAGCATAAAAAATTACTAATATCAAACTAATAATCAGTTATATGATAATGTAGAAGTGTAGATGGATTTTGAGAAAATGAGGAGTGTCAGACGGTAAAGTAGAGGGGGTTGATTGTACAACGGTACAGAATATGAAGAATAAAGAAACAACTGTGCTGTCAATTCTGTAAATGGAAAACAAAGCTACAGATTAGGGAGAATTCAAACAATAGGACAATAGGGTACCATCATCAAAATTCTCCACAATAAATTGGAAACTATATATGTCTCAGAAGTAAACATATAGGAGAAGAGGAGTCCAATTGACGAGAATGAGATGAGATTAACCATTGATAGAATACAGGTTAGATATTATAAACAATATTACGTGACGTAATAGTTTTAGTCTTTGTTATAAAGCTTTAAACTATGTTTTCCCCCTCTTCTACTCAGAAGGTCCCCCATTTCGATTTTGACAGCACTAAAAATATTCGTAAGTTAATTTTATGTATGTATGTATGAATGAATAATGTTTAAAATCTAATCTATATAAATCTTTTTTGCGCTAAAAGTTTTTGAATGGGTGACTTGATGCCGTGGAGCCGTAGAATGCTGTTAGAAAGATTATCTATATTTACAATTTATACCTTAAGTACGGGGTATGTGTTGCCAGTGTTATCTGTATTGAATACGATACGAGGTGTTGTTAATAACACAATTTCTGGTTGTTGTTGACTTATATGTTTACTTTTTCCGTAAGGTTTGTAATTAGAAAGTGGTAAATAAAGTTGATATTTTTTTAGAATTTATAGTGAGGTATCCTTTAAAAACATGGGGAGGGAGAATATACGGAGGATAGAAACAGAGAGAGATTATGGATCGATATAACCATGATTGAAAATTTCATATTAGGGATTATCATTACCTTGATAATGATATTGTTGTAGAGTACATCCCAATCTTTGTTATAATAATATGAAATGAAATAGCTAGACTGACAGACAGACTGTAGAGACAGATGAAAGAACTGTCAGATCGATATATGCAGTACACGACATCTAACTAAAAAACCAGTGATGATAATGAATGTCAATGTTACATTTTATTGTTTAGTGATTACAAGTTTCATTAATGTCATTGCTCACCTTGTGTTGTCAACTCCTTTTCCCATTCCCAATTCCCAATTCCCATTCCTTTCTGACTATAAAATTTATGGTTAATTTCCCCAAAATTTCGGTTAACAATTGAGATGCATAAATTGCAGTGTTAAACGAAAGAAATTTTAGCAGAGTTAAAAAAAAAAAGAAAACATGAATTACAGTTTACTTCTTTTTACTTGCTTAAAATCCCTCAAGGATAGGATTTACCCAATTATTCTTAGATTTACCCCAATAATTAAACTAAAACAATTACGCGGTTTGGAAATAAAATTTTATTTCCACTGAGAAGATGCACCCCAAAAAGAGAATTCTCATTTTCCTAATTAGGGAAGGTTTGAGGGATTAAAAGTGTCAGAGGCCTGTGCGACTATGACAAAAGAAAAAAAATGGTGTGTGTTGGCCTGTATAGAGCAGAACCCACACAATCTTCACCCCTACAGTTTAGTACTCCAGTACCTGCTTATTTCCACGAAACTAAAAGGGTAAAACATGAAAAGTTGGCTTTGCCCTTTTAACCTGTAAAATTACTTCCAAGTGATATTTTACTTAAACCTTATTATTATTACAATTGCTCCTAATTGGAATTATCATTTGCGCTTACTATTTCGAAATTAATTAGCTTCCGCTAAAAAATTTTATTAATAGTGAGTAAAGTGTAGTATGTGTCAGTAGGTGAGACTGAGATGAGTAACATTATGTTACGCAACTATTTTATTATTATTATTATTACTTCCTCGTAATGATTTAATTAATTTTTCGTAATCTACCATAGTCAACTACTTGTCTTGCGTTACTTTCCTCGATCAAGTAACTAAGTTAGTTGATAAGTTTTAATGGTTAGAAAATGAAAAGACGACATAGTGTAAACTATAAACCAAAATTTTATTCATTGGCGGTCAGTCAAAATGAGAATGAAAATGAAAACAAAACAAATTAAAACTTGTAAAAAAAACGTCAACCTGTAAAAATGCAACATAATTTCTTTCTTTTTTTTAATGTGTAAAAACGGAATTTTACACCTTTTCTTTTTTTTTTTTTTTCTACCCTGTTCACTTTGCCATGACTGACTGGTCATAATGAGAGAAGAAAATTTTTTACATCGGGTTGTGAAGTAACAATAGTCATAAGCACTTATTATCTATGACTATTTTCCATATGAGAATGTATATAGCCTTATAATAATTATTATTATTATTCCTTTTTTTTTTGTAATTTTATGTTATGCCCACCCACCACTTATTTCTCTTCTCTTCCACACGTATTATTTTTTTTATTTAGTCTGCTCGAAATTTTTTTATATTTTTATTTTTACAGGTTAAATAATTTTTTATATTTAACAAATTCAGATTTCCAGAATTTCAAAATTTTATTTATTTTTGAATTTGTTAATTTGTTATTCAAAAGCTATTATATATATATAATATATATATAGTATATATATCTCGTTCAGGAGATCATATCACATTTACATCATCATCAGAATCATCCACTAGGTCATTGTTGATAAGAACTACCGTGGTGAAATCATTTTGAAACATTTTATCACCACCTCCTCCCCCCCAAGAAAAAAATAAACCTTACAGGGTCAGCCCTAGTTAAAAGTCACGGTCTCTTATTTTTTTTCACACCCAAAAAAAATACCCTATATATATAAAGCTATAATTATTCCTGATTTTAGTTTTACATAACAACTTTCCTTCATCAAGTCAACTCAACTCAGTCAGTCAGTCAACTTATATCCATTCCTTTATTGTATTCCTATTTATTTATTAATTAATTGATTCTACCAAGAAATCATTATTTATTACGTTTTATTTATTTTTAATTTATTTTTGTTTTTTTAAAAAGTGTACCATAAGAAGATTTAGTATTATTAATTTCCAGGATGATGTATTAACAATTTGTTGTAAATCTTCATCATAAGTATATTCAATCAATTCAATTTATCATCTTAATCTATTAGAGAATTTAAATTTCATCTAATATCTTAGTTTTATCCTCAAATTTTTTAAAAAAAAGCTTTATCTTAATTAAAACAACTATTACCAATCATCATTATCATGTCTTTATTTGGAAGTAAAAAGAAGTCCTCGGTGACTTCGATTTCATCAGCCACCTCAAATTCATCATCTTCATCAAGAAGATCTTCTAATGCTTCTACTTCAAATTATACTTTTTCAAGTACAAAACATACTCAACAACATCAACAACAACAACATAATAATTCTTCTTTTGTTAAATTCGATGAAAAGAAAGATTACGCAAGAAGATGTTCTATCAAACATTCAAATGCTCCATCCACAAAAACTTGTCCAAAATCAATCACTTTTTGTTTAGGTAAGTAAGTAAGTTGAATTCTTACTTCTTAGCTACGTTACGTTTAAAAAAACCAACCAACCAACCCCACAATATCTAGCCATATAATTAGTCTAGTATTGTTGTATATTTATTTCCTACCCTGACTACATCACAGTGATTATTCATATTACTTTACATTTATGTCAGTTTGACGGCCGTCCATGTTTCATTCATTTTATCTTTTTATCACGTTTTTTTTTTTAATTAGTATTACTGTTCTATGACAGTTTTATCTCTTTTTTATACAAATTTCTGGGTTTCTTTTCTAAGTTATTATTAGTTATTATTTTAACAGGGTTTAATATTTTTATTCGTTTTCTTGTTGTTTATAGGAGTTTGTCCTTTTTTAAGCAAACTTATCTATCTAAAATTAAGAAAACTGGTTTAATCATATAACAAAATATATACATTGTTTATAATATTTACCAAGTCTGTAAAGCTGGTTGTTGTTATTGTTGTTCATTGTTATGCTGTAAATTTTAATAATTTGAAGTCACATGAGCAGTCGCGTGACCAATTTTTATTTTTTTTAATGTCATTGTTCTCAGATTGAATGACCATCACACACACACTGTAATCAAGTTGACTTCAGATGTGTAAAAGCTAGACCCCTATCCCAGTTTGGTAATGGCCACCTATTCCAGTACTGTAAACATTCATTCTAGTGTAACATCCATCTACTCCAAGAATGCGGAGAACATTCTATCTATTATTAGATATTACGATTAAACTCAAAAGTTAATACTATATAATTAGTGTAGTTTCTTAACTCTCTATTCTCTTAATGATACCAAAAATTCTGATCAGGTGTTATTTTTGGATTTCTTTTTTTCTGTTCCAATTTTTTTTTTTTTCGCAGTCTCGTTATTTTTTAAAATATTTATAGGAGAAACGGAGGGGGTGGGGTTTACATCACCAGTTAGAACATATCTTGTCGGTTTATATTAACCATTTCTTTATCATGCAATTATGATGATGATGATGAATTGAGTTTATGAATGGTCGCTTTTATAGTTTAAATCAGTAGCTTACACTCTAATTTATTATTATTATTTATAGTTACTTTAGTCTTAATTAAGCCGATCTTACCTAATTATATCAAAAAGAAATCTTTAAACCACATGGAGATTATAGTTCATGGGGTATGTATAAATAGATCATCAATAGTCCTCGTTATCCTCTAAAGGCATAAATTAATTTCATATTTTTCAAAACATTGTTTTCTTGGTAAACAAATAATTCATATATATATTCAAACTTATAAAAAATGAGAGGTATCGTATATCACGGTAATAAAGATGTCAGATTTAATCCTGATTGTCCTGAACCAGAAATTAAACATCCAACTCAAGTTAAAATCAAAGTTGATTATTGTGGGATTTGTGGAAGTGATTTACATGAATATTTAGATGGACCAATTTTCTTTAAAAATGAATATAATGTTACAAGTCATAATCATTTTAAACAAATTATGGGTCATGAAATCTCTGGAGAAATTGTTGAATTAGGTTCAAATGCCAATAAAAATTTAAAAGTTGGTGATAAAGTCGTCATTGAAGCTACGGGAACGTGTACTGATAAACCAATGTTAGAATCAAAAGATGTAACTCAATGTGGTTCTTGTGCTCAAGGTTATTATAATGCTTGTGATAACATTTCTTTCTATGGTTTAGCGTTTGATAATGGAGGATTTTCTGAATATTTAGTAGTGGGAGATCATCATGTTATTCAATATCCTAAAGAATTGATTAGACCTGATATTGCTGCTTTATGTGAACCATTAGCTGTTAGTTGGCATGGAGTGAGAACTTCTCAAATTAAACCTGGTGAATCAGCTTTAATCTTAGGTGCAGGTCCCATTGGTCTTTCAACTATCTTAGCTTTAAAAGGTAATAATATTACTGATATAGTTATTAGTGAACCAGCTTTAGCAAGACGTAAATTAGCTCAAACTTTAGGAGCTAAAATATTCGATCCAACTCCATTTGGTGATGAAGATGAAGAACCTTTAACTAAAGAATTATTAAAATTAAGTCCTGATGGTTGGGGTTTCCATCATATTTATGATTGTTCTGGTATTCAACAAACTTTCGATATGTCAATTAGTACATTAAGAACGGGGGGGTTAGCTACTAATTTAGCTATTTGGCATCATAAACCAATTCCATTCTATCCAATGGATTTAACTCTTCATGAAAAATTCATTACTGGTTCAATGTGTTATACTAGAATTGATTTTGAACAAGTTATTGAAGCTTATAAAAAGAAATTAATTGATCCAAAAGAAGTAGAATTATTAATTACAGCTAAAATCGCTATTGAAGATGGGTTTGAAAAAGGATTTATGGAATTAATTAATCATAAAGAAAAACATATCAAAATTTTAGTATCTCCAAATCCTTAATTAATGTCATTTGTTTAATCTTTATCTATTTTAACTTATTTTATTTTATTTTATTTTAGTTTATTTATTTATTTCTTCTTTATTGTGTACTTATCGCTGTGTTATCTATTATCTTTTTACTGCATTAATAAGCTTATATTTGAATATATATAGCTAAGGTTTTAATAAATAATTATGTAATGAATCAACTTTAACTCTTTTCGATAATCCAACTCTAACTCGTTTAGTAGTAGATGTTTGATTACATATATCAGCTAAAGATTTATGTTTGGCAACTCGATGTCGTTTATGAGAAGTCAGATTTGATTCAGTTGGTGGAGTATTCTCTTTATCAGAATCATTATGACATTCAGTAACATTTTCTTCTATTATTGCTTCAGATATATTCCGTATTTCCGTATTAACCGAATCATGAATATCTGATCCCTTATCTGTATTGTCTTCTTCTTGTTGTTCTGATATCTCTACGTCATGGTTGTCGTTAACACCTTCTTCAGGTTCAACTGCAGATTCATCCTCTTCAGCCTGCTTTGAGTGACTTTCTTCTTCAACCACTTTCATTTCATTTTGATAATTCTCGTCTAATGGCTCTTCATCATCTGATATAAGTTCAATTTCCACAGGTTGAGAGTATGATTCAATTTCTCCTTCGATAGGACTATGTTGATTCTCATCATACATTATCAATTCTTCATCCTCATGATGATAAGTAGGCATTTGAGAGTAGTTAATTCGTTCAGCTGAGTCCTCATCAATATTATATATAATACTTTCATCACTATCAAACTGTGAATTATTGCCTTCATTGTAATCATTTCCATTTTCTTCTACTAGTATCACTTCTTCATTATCTTCAACGAAACTTGTATTAACAGTAACTTCATGCTCGGTTCTTATAGTAGAACTTCTAGATGGAAATGAAGAGCTTGTTAATGGTTCCATTTCTTCTTCACTGTCAGCAACACTATCTGAATCTGATAATCTCTTAGTTGGACTTTCTTGATCCTTAGTTGGAATAACTTTCAATAACGAAGCAGAGTCCTGCTCTTCAACGAAATTCTTCTTGACTTTATTATCCTTTGGCTTATTTACACCAATCTCCTTTAATGTATTTGCTTTCTTTTTATTTAACTTGATCAAAGATCGAGGTTGGATTATAGCTCCTTCATCTCCATATATGTGAATAGTCTTCCTTCGTTTTGGTTGTGACTTTTTGGCTGTAAATATATCATGAGTAGTAGTTGTATTACTAGGTAGGGCGGCTGGACTGCTCTGAGGTCTACCCATCGGTATCAATGGAGCCTCATCTAGATGTTTTCTAATCCACATCTTCTATATGTCTACCTGATGCTGATTACCATGGAATTGGTCTATGGTCTATATGATCGTCATCAACACAATATTCATTTGGCAGCACACAGTGTAAACAAATATATTAACAAATTTTATGGTGGTGAGATGCATTATATGCACACCAGTGGAAATTTTGTAAACATAAATTGTTAAAATTTGGATCTTGAAATATCGATGATGAGTTCTTTCTCTTAGAGGATTCTTTTATCAAATTCTCGGGGATATAGTTAAAGGGAAGAATTTCATTTGATCGTTATCGGAACTACCGATATTGCTCCAAAGGTCCATGTGCCAGAGGTATGTGTGTTTGATACGTTCCTTAAGTTGTCTAACTTGAGATCTAGCGTTTGAACGCGTCGGATTCATCTGACGATTGTTCATATGTTTTAACGTTCATTTTTATAGCCATTACGACCTTGTTTATATGGAACGTCATAAAGTTCTATTCATGTTTTATTCTACTGTTTTGCTTTTAAGAGATTTATGTTTGCTGTGGGTTTTTCTTTTTGTTATTATTGATGAGATATATTTTGGACAGTCAAATCATATGGGGAAGTTGAAAGCTCTCAAATCAAACGGTGATTCGTGTTTATTTTTTCAGTTGTTAGAAATAAGAAATCTTATATATGAGGTTATTTTCTTGAATATGATCTGTCCTAAAGTTTTTGAAAATTAATAACGACTACCATTACATCTCAGAATTTATTCAATACTTGCATGGGGTTGAAAGTAATATAAGCTTGGAAATTAAGATAGTTGTGACAAACATCCATGCCACTCGAACGTACAAACTGACGTTGTCGAATATTAGATTGAAAGATAGGTAAGGATATTGATTCGCTTGGTGTGACTAGAGAGATAATAATATGAAATTAGTTATCTTGACCTTTGAGAGGTATGTTTAATTGAGTCAATATAAAGGGGATTGAGTGTTGGACCTAGAGAATGCACTTCGATTAACTCCATGAATAATTGGATTTTATGCTTGTTTAACAACATTCTATATTGGGTTGTAGAATTACCGCTTAAACAAATAATCGTGTTTTTTGAAATAAGGATTATTAGCGATGAAAATACGAGATTTTAAGAATGATCAAAGTACAGAATATAATGGTTGTTTCTACACAAAGATTGAAGAAGTTTTATCCGTTATGTATGAAGGTTATCCTCTCAATGCATTATGTAAAAGGAGGACTCTTCTTCTAGAGTAGTGATTTCCACTGCTTTAAAATACGACCATTTTGATATTCCGGTGCTGCTTTGGTTAATTTCATATCAAATAGAATTTCAAATTTATTTGTGAGGTTATTTCATATATGTGTTATTGTCAATAATTTAATTCAATACCCTATTGATTTATACTGATTTTTGGTTTACTGATTTCATTTATATACTTTTTTAATCATCCAACAGCATAATTTATATCCACTAAAGTCTGATTGAAAATATGGTCCTCGACAAAATACATTATATCACAAAGCCTTGGGCACCCTTTAATTCTTATTTTTTTTTACTTTCATCGGTTTCATTTATTTTTCAATAAGTTGGTTCTTTGGTAGAATTGAAGGGATTGTGATCCATTAAAAATAAAGAAGATGAATTGGAAAAATTCAAAGAGCAGGATATTTTATTCTGATTTCTTTTTTTGATTCAATTTGTTGAGAAATCGAATATATCTAATTTTCAAGAAGGGAGAGATTATAGCAAACCTTAAAGCTAATTACTTTTACCTAATTGAAATGCAATTTTACAAAATGGAGTGTGATATAAAGTTACAGGGTTTGAAGATTCATTGGACGTCATTTTGATAGCAATATAACTTCATTAATATATTATTTCATTTAACATATTGAGGAATAGACCGACCCTTTTGATAATACTGTTATGGTGGGGAGTGATCAGATTAGGATAATTTTGAGAATGTAAGGTAAGACTTAGTAATTTTTTCAAATGGAATTCAAAACGGAAATTATATTGAATTATAGATTCATGAAATGTTTTTATCTTTGTTGGATTGGACCTCCAAAATAATGGGTTGTTTCGAAATGGGACGAACGTACAATTTTTTTTACCAAATTTATTGATGTCACAGGCTATTCTATACTGATTTATTTGGTTGAGAGGATAGATCCAATATGTTAAAGAATTTACGTATGTTGTGATAGAAAGAGACTTGGTATAAAATTAGTATTAGTAACTCACGAGATATGATTGCGTTGTCCACAATGGATGAAATAACCGATTCTAAATTTAAAAGTTTCTTGGATTCAGTATGAAAATACAGAACGGTTTTACGCTGAGGAAATCTTTACTGTATTCTTGTCAAGGCTTCTAATATGATTAGTACAAGATAAGTCCTCAGTAAGATGCAGAAGGAGTGTGGGTTGCTAATGTAAATCTCACGCTTGAAGCTAGTCTATATAAACATAAATGAAAGAACTAGTAACATATAAGTGAACCTGTTATGGTGAATTAAGTGGATAAGAGACCGAGAGATGACTGAGGGAGTACACCTTTGGAGATAGATCTAATTATGATTCCTTTTACTTATCCTTTTTTTTTAGGTATGTATTTACCAGGTATATTTTACCAGGCTAATTTTTTTTCCTAGGAATTTGTTTGCGAACAAATTTTGACTTTTTTTGCAGCAACTATCAGCGAAATGAGACTTTACATTTTTTTACTAACAATTTTTTTTCTATGATCGATGGCTGAGCTCAGTTACGCGTGTGAAGGTTACAACATTATTTGTAAGGGGAATTATATATACCCAGAATATTATCTATAACATTATTTATTAAAATTTTTATGAATTGATCAATCGTTCTAATAGTTTATGTATGTGTATGAGAGTAAATACAAAAACAAAGAATAAACAAATAGAGAGGTAGAATGATGAGAACCGTGTAAATAAAGATAAGGTTAGCAAAACAATGAAGGTATTAAAAAAAGGGAATGATTAAATAAGGACACTAATAATGTAACATTAAGGAAGAATTTTTGAAAGTTTTTTAAAGTTGGGGATGGTAGCCATATTACATTATTATACATTTAAGACAAGAACTCTTTTCAGCAGTTGCAGCAGTAGTAGTAGCAGTTTGTTGAGTTCTTTGAGCAACTTTTTGAGGAGCAGCAGCTACTTTTTCAACTTTTTCCTTAGTTTCAGAAACAGCTGTCTTTGAACTTGATTTTGATTCGACTGGAGTTGAAGCAGTAAAGAATTTAACAGCAGATCTAGTGAAAGCTTCACCTTGAGCCTTAGCAATTCTAAGTTCAAGTTCAGTTGGAGATCTTGAACCATCACCACCAGCATAAGTACCAGCACCATAAGGAGAACCACCATGGAATTCATCTAAATTGGTAAGATCAGCAAATACTGGAGCATAACCTAATGGAATATATGGTAAACCATGATGAGCTAAATAAGTAATGGCATTTCTAGCAGTAGTTTCTTGACCTCCACCTGGAGTACCAGTTGAAACGAAAATACCAGCTGGTTTACCGTATAAAGCACCTTTAGCCCATAAACCACCGGTTTGACCCCAAAACTCAATCCATTGAGCTGGTAAATGACCAAATCTGGTTGGAATACCGAATAAAAAGGCATCATATTCTTCTAAAATATCAATAGTAGCAACAGGGATATCTTTGGGTTTTTCAGGAGCATGAATTAATTTTAGAACTTCAGGAGATAAAGTTTCTGGAATTTGATAAATATCAACTTGAGATGCAAGTTTCGATTCTTCAACCCCTTGTTTAATTGACTTGGATAAGCCGATGATATGACCATAAGTGGAATATATGATGATAGCTACCTTCATTTTGTGTGAGTGTGAGTGTGAGTGTGAGTATGAGTATGTGGTATGAGTGTTGTTTGGTACTTGGTTCTAGTGAATTAAAGGAAAATAAAACTCAATTGAACTGAAGTAAACTGAAGAATTGAAAAAAGTAAATAAACACAATTCCAATCAGGATATCATAAGGTAGATAAATGAATTAAAAAGGTTCAAATTTATCGAAACCAGTAATTGGATATTACTAAAATTTATTCAAATTTGAAAAATACTTAAACAAGGATTATAGATATTACACAAAATTAAAAAATAAATACAGACAGACATTTGTAATTTTTGTCAGACAGACAAAACGTCCCAATTTTAGTAATGGATTACATTGAGTGAAAACCCCAAAAATAGCAATCCCCAAACAAATAAATAAATAAATTATAATTTGTAAACCGGCATTACATGGGCTTAATCAAAGATGGATGGATACGAGTAGAAGTTTCTTTTTCAATTGATCTAATAGAATCTGTCTAACCTAAATTCCATGACCATTAAAGAAAATTTACTGTCAATGTGAGATGGTAAGGGGATTCCACCGGTCGCACTGATCTGGTCCTATCCCTGACAATTTTTTTGACTCCCTCCCCCCACCTTTTCACCGCCTATTTACAGTATTTAAGAAGTAAATAAATAACTTTCAGCCCTTTCGATGTGGTGTTTTCCGAACCGTGGCAGTAGCTAAAAATCTAATTATGGTATAGTTAGTTATTTGTATGTACACTTTATAATTAAACCCCAACTTTTAACTATATACTATATAGTACATACAATAATTAATAGTAATGAATTGGTCATAATTAAATATTACTAATCGTTCTGACCACACTACATAATCCAAATGACGAAATCAACATCCTGTTACAGTTCAATTATAAATTAGCTAATAACCACAAATAGTTAATAGTTAATAGTTAATCGTTTCCATCTTTCCCTCCTTGTCGTGTACTCTGGTAGTCTAAATTTCTCAATTTGTAAAATGTTAGTAAAAATAATTCAGACAGACAGACAAAAAATTTGTTCTTTAATAATGGATTACACAAAACCATTATCCACAATTTCTTTGCTTCTGCTCCCTTACTAAAAATGATGAAAAATTAACCAAACCCAAAACCATATCCTTACCCTATTTTGGAATATATAAATAAACGAATCTCCTGTTCATTTTTCATCAATTCATTTAGTTTTAATGTTTTAATTCATCATTCTTATTATCATACTATCAATTGATCTTATATAATAATAATAATAACAATCATCATCATCAATCACAATGGCTCCAAAACTTGCAATCATTATTTATACCACTTATGGTCATATTGCCAAATTAGCTGAAGAAGTTAAAAAAGGGGTTGAATCTGCTGGTGGTAAGGCTGATATTTATCAAGTTCCTGAAACTTTATCTCCTGAAGTTTTAGCATTATTACATGCTCCAGCTAAACCAGATTATCCAATTGCTTCTAATGAAACTTTAACTGAATATGATGCTTTCTTATTTGGTATTCCAACCAGATATGGTAACTATCCAGCTCAATTCAAAGCTTTCTGGGATGCTACTGGTGGTTTATGGGCTAGTGGTGCTTTATACGGTAAACCAGCTGGTATTTTCGTTTCTACTGGTACTCCAGGTGGAGGTCAAGAAACTACTGTTTTAAACGCTCTTTCCGTTTTAGTCCATCATGGTATTATTTTCGTTCCATTAGGTTATGCTAAAGCTTTCCCTCAAATCACCTCTTTTGAAGAAGTTCATGGTTCTTCTCCATGGGGTGCTGGTACCTTTGCCGGTGCTGATGGTTCAAGATCTCCAAATAAGACTGAAATTGAAATTGCTCAAATTCAAGGTAAAGTCTTTTGGGAAACTATCCAAAAATTTTAAATCTAAATATATAGATTATACAATTAGCTCTCTTTGTTTTAGTTATTAATTGTTTAAAAATGAATGAAAATATTTTATCTTATGTTTTGTATAATTTTAATTTAAAGTGTAGAATCTATTTTTTTGCAGCAGCAGCAGGATTTTTTTGATGAACTAGTGCACACTTTAAAGAAGAGGAAAAACCATATAAAATTGACTGCCAAACTTTGGATGATAGTTGATCAATGTCAGCATCAATCAATCAGAGATTAGGTCTTTCAGATTACATAGTTCTAGTTTAGGAATCTGCAGTGGTGAATTTGTTTCAAAACTTCCTTCAAAGATGAGCGCAATTGATCAAATGGAATCATCAATGTTTGACAACCAAGATTCAATCACAAACAACAATATTTCCACCATTACACTGTTTGACAATGAAAATGAAGATGAATCAATCAACATGACTTCGATTGAACAAACTATACCTCATGAACTCTGCAAGAATAATCAATCACAACTTCAATTGATTCATTTACCTCAACTCCAACCTCCATTCCAAACAAAAGATCTATACCAATGCAGTAAATGCTTTATTCAGTTTGATAAACTTTCTCATATCATTATTCACACCAAATTTTGTTACGATAGACCTTATTTTCAATGTATAAGGTGTTTAGAAGTCCTAGTTAGCTTCAAATTGGTTTCAATTCATCTCAATAATCATTTATCATCTTGCTCAAAAGTATGTGATATTTGCTGCGAATCCTTTTCAAATCTTAATATTTATGATATTCACATTTATACTCATAAATTAAACTTAACAAAGATAGAGATAGAAGAAGATGAAGATGTTGAAGTTGGACTCATTGTTAAACCAAGCGATTCAAATGTTAGCCGCAAGATAATGATTTGTAATTTACGGTCTGGAATTGATAGATGCTATGTTATCAACAAAAGAATTTCAAAAATAAAGCACAATGATACAGCTGCGAAAACAAAATTTATTTGTAGTAATTGCAATCTCAGCTTTACAACCAGAGTAAGATATAATTTACATCGTATATCATCATGTCCACTTAATTCAATCATAGAAGTTAAAGAATCTACTGTTTAATAAATGTCTCCAAAAATATATTTACATTATGCCCCCTATATACTCATGCTATTACAACTATTCTTCGTCGCTACTTTCATCTTCATTAAAGTTAAATCCAAATGAAAATCCTCCAGCTGAAGCAGTTTGATTATCTTCTCCTTTAGTTTCAATTAATTTCTCCCAAGTTTGGGATTTACCAGTAAGTCTTTCATAATTTTTCAATTCAATCTTGATCAATCTTTCCAATCCCTCATTTAATTGCTCTGATTTATTATTAATGATCATTAATTGTTTAAATAATTCAAAAATTGGCATTGGTGGTAAATCACTCATTTCTCCACAATCTTCATCAATCAATTCATCACTTAAATTCAATGAATTGAATTGATCCCGATATTCACGAAGTTTAATAATATCTTCATTTTTATCTTGTCCTTCTTCACCAGCTAATAAAGTATCTAAAACATAATCTAATGTATGTTTCACACTACTAGGATGAAATCCACTTAATTGTTCACGTTTATTCTTTAAGAAATTTAAAGCATTTGGTAATTTCGACATAGGAACGAAATTTTGGGTTAAAGCTACTGAATCATCAATATTAATAACAGAATGCCACCAACCAGAAGGAACATACATACATTCACCTGGGAATGTGACAGCTATTAAGCATTCCGGTATCTTTAAACAATCATTGAAAAATCCGGCTATAACCCATTCACCAATCCCTACTGGTGATGTAACTTCACTTTCTTCTTCATCAGCTCCAACTCCAGGTGGTGCCATATTAGGAGGCAACATAATCCATAACTTTCTACCGGTTAAAGCTGCATTCCAAGCTGAAGTATAATTAGGATCTTTATGAAAGGTTGATCCTGAACGTTTTGGACCTACGATTAACCAAGCATGATCAGGACGACAATTATGTTTAAGATCATTAACATTGAAATATTTGAATAAATCTTGATCAAACACCTGTGGAACTTGATATTCTTGTCTTAATGTTTTCATCGCTATACTATTACAATCGAATAAATATAATGGATTTTCATCATGATTTGATTTGGTATAAGTAGAATAATCAGCGAGATTCCATTCGACTGCTTCTTGTCTGAATTTAACCAGGGGGAATCTATCCAATAATGATGCTAAACTCCATTGGGGCCATCTGTCTTTATTATTGTTTGTTAATATGAATGGTTGATCATGATATTCATCATTGAATTGTTGTAAATCGAGATCTGATTCAGGGATTCTGGCAATTCTCCCACTTGGTAAAGGTCTTAAATTATTCTGCAATGCATCATTATGATAAATTTCTTCTTCGTTAATGATATTCTTGAAAATGAGTTCATAATTAATTTGGGAGATTTGATATGGTCGATATAATAAATCAGAACATAATAAATTATCAGCTAATTTGATCTTTGCTTGATTTTTAGGATTTGATTTTAATACTGTATTTTTCCAAGATCCTCTCCATTCAATGTTTTCAAACTTATGTTTGATATAAACTTGTTTCCAAAAATCTTCATCATATAAAAATGCATACATTATTTTAGAAACTTGGGATAAATTCTTTAAAGTCTCAATATCATCAATGAAAGATATCAACTCCATGATTAAATCATCGGGAAATAAATTCAAGCTTCCTAACAGGTTTGATCTAGCTTGGATTAAGTCTTGGTTATCTAACATTAGGAATGAGTTCCCACTAGGTTTGACATTTAATGGATGCTTATGACTACTTATGCTATACGTGGAGATTGTTCTGGAAACATTGGGGTATGGTGATTCTGATCGTTGTTGTGGTTGAGCTCCTTGCTTTCTTTTCAAGTCGGGTTGATTAATTAGTTCGTCAACATTTTCAACTTTTCGTATTCTATCTTCTGCAGCAATCATGTTTGAAAATCAACTCTTGAATGCTTACTTCTTGATAGATGCCAAAAAGTTTTCATAATCAGTAAATATTTTTTTTAGGAGATGTTGCATGCTCATCTTTTCAAATTTTTTAGCAGTAAGTTTTTATTATCGTAAGATTTTATATAAAACTACGAAAATATTTTTGAATCAGCCTGAAATGTTTACATTTGAAATATTAAATGTTTCTTCGGGGTGATTCTTCTATTATTGACTATCGTCATTTGCACGTCAACAGAAAATTAGACTTCAAGTATGTTAGCTTAGTGATAGGTTATTAATATACGAGTAGCTAAGTAAAATACGAGAAAAGGTCCTTTATTAATGTTAGGCAATAACAACAATTAATAGAACTACCGATCATCTACTCGAAGCATAACCCCATATTCTCGAGGCTCAAATTTATAACCATAACAATAGCAATATTTTTTATGAAAAATGTAGAAAGTAAAGACGACTGATGGATGATTTCGCATAGTCTAAATAATATGTCACCACATAAAAAATCAATGAGTAATAATCACCACCACCAAAAAAATTAATCACTCTTTCTCTAACTTAATGTTTAAAAGACCAATTTTCAGTCAAATTATTCAAGCTACAACTATTGCAAGGAACAATTGCTTGTTGAATAAGGCACCTATAAGTTTATCAATTAGAACCATGTCATCAAAACCAGAACACGAGACTCAAAAGCCAATACTTTTCGCTCCCGAAACTTATCAATATACTAAAGGGCATTTAAATGTGGAAGATGTTGATTTAGACCCTTTACTTCAATTTAACAGATGGTTCAAACAAGCCCAAGAAACTTTACCAAAAGGATCAGATTTGATACCTGAATCAACTAACTTTTCAACTGCAAGATTACCCTCTGGTAGAGTATCTTCAAGAATTGTTTTATTAAAGGAATTAGACAAATATGGATTTGTAGTTTATTCAAACTGGGGTACTTCTAAAAAAGCAGCTGATTTCGAAAGTAATAAATATGCCTCGTTAACTTTCTTCTGGCCTTATATTCAAAGACAAGTTAGAGTTGAAGGTTTAATGGAGCCAGTGACTAGAGAAACATCAATTAGATATTTCAATACTAGACCAAGAGGATCTAAAATTGGAGCTTGGGCTTCAGCACAATCATCAGTTATACAATCAAGAGATGATTTAGATCAAATAAATACCGAATATACTAATAAATTCAAACCCTTGAAAGATGAAGAAATTCCATGTCCTGAACATTGGGGTGGAATTAGAATTGTACCATTAGAAATTGAATTTTGGCAAGGTGGTAATAGTAGATTACATGATAGAATTACTTATAAGAGAGAATCTACTGATGATAAATTATGGGACATTACTAGATTAGCTCCATGAGATATCATTTACAGACAGTTTTTTCTTTTAAACCGAACTTGAAGTTCATATATATGAAAATAATATATACAGTATATATACAAGAAAATAATATTACTACTATTAAAAATATGAATGAATGTAAAGGGAATGCAATAAATTTTGGTTTAAGATTACCTTGATTTCTTAGTATGTCTATGTTCACCAAGTTTAAACATTAAAGTTTTTTCTCTAACTGGAATCCATTCCTTTTGTTTAAATCTAACTTCATTAGGTCTATCAACTTTAGTTGGATAAATAAGATCTTTATCAGCAGCATCTAAATCAGATTGAGGATTCACAGGATCTTTAATGATACCATTTTCTCTTTTTAAAACTTTTATGAATGATTTGATTTCATAATAACAGTTCATACACATGAAATGACTTCTTTTAACATGACCACAAGCTGGACATCTGACGATATTATTTAAAGGATGAATTTGTTTATTTCCTGGGGCATATAATTTAGCTCTATGTTTAGCATGAGATAATTTCTTCTTAGGAGCTGCTCTTAAAATCATACCATTATCAATCATGAAAGGTGGATTTCCATTATTATTCTCTATTTGTTGTCTTAAATCTTGTAATCTTTCATCTTCTTGGGAAGTTATATTTTCTGATGCATTGGCTGTTATTCTTGGTTTAAGGGTTATACTCAATCCTATAGCAGGAAGACTAGGCAATCCTCCTCTCAACGCCTGTTGAATAGTAGGAAAGAGTCCTCCAACTCGTAATGCTAAAGACATATCTTTATAACTAATATATCGAACAATCTTTCAAATTGATCTGATTCTATTCATCTAAACCCATTCAACAATCAAATTTTTTTTCCTCTCTCATAAGAACTGAAAAATTAAAAAAATCCAAAAAAAAAAGATCATGTGACTTTAATGAACTGCATATAAACGCTATCCCAAATAGGAAGGAGTCGTGTGAATCGACTCAAACCTCCAGACGCGTTAGAGATCAGTATGAAGAAAACCTTTACCGCAATAATTAACCCAAATTAAGTAAGGGAAAACGTAAACAAAATCTATTGAGGTACCAAACAGTTTGTAACGAACAGCAAAAAATCAAAAGGGAAAAAAAAAAGAGACGATATTTATTTACAACACAATTTTTGATATAGGTCTTTAAATTGAATTGATTTCGATTTATAAGTTCATTATAGCGTCTGTCCATAAAGGAATAGAATCATATCATCATCATTAACTTACTTATACAAGATGTCTACTACTGTTGATGGAGTTCAATTCAATCAACCACAGAAATATGTTGGTTTTGATACTATCACTACTCAAATTGAAAATAGATTATTAAAAAGAGGATTTCAATTCAATGTTATGGTTGTGGGTAGATCTGGTTTAGGTAAGAGTACTTTAGTCAATACTTTATTCTCATCCAAATTAACTGAATCAAGTGGTCGTAGATCACCAACTGAACCAACTGAAAAGACCACCACTATTGATATTAGTTCTCATACTTTAATTGAAAATAATGTTAGATTAAATATTAATGTTATTGATACTCCTGGTTTTGGAGATCAAATTAATAATGAAAAATGTTGGGAACCATTAGTTAAATATATTAAAGAACAACATTCACAATATTTAAGAAAAGAATTAACCGCTCAAAGAGAAAGATATATTACTGATTCAAGAGTTCATTGTGTTTTATATTTCATTGCTCCAACTGGTAAAAAATTAAATCAATTAGATGTATTAGCATTAAAGAAACTTTCTGAAATTGCTAATGTGGTTCCAGTTATTGCCAAATCAGATTCTTTAACTCTTGATGAAAGAGCTGAATTTAAAAAGATTTTACAAAATGAATTCATTAATTATAATTTTAATATTTATCCTTATGATAGTGAAGATTTATATGATGAAGAAAGGCAATTAAATGAAGATATTAAATCATTAATTCCATTTGCAATTGCTGGTTCTGAACAAGAAATTGAAATTAATGGTGAAAAAGTTAGAGGTAGAAAAAGTAAATGGGGAGCTATTAATATTGAAGATGTTAGTCAATGTGAATTTGTATTTTTAAGAGATTTCTTAACTAGAACTCATTTACAAGATTTAATTGAAACTACTGCCATTGTTCATTATGAAACCTTTAGATCAAAACAATTGATTGCCTTGAAAGAAAATGCTAATCCAAATAGACAATCAGTTCCAATTCAACCTCAACCTCCAACTGCTCAACCATCTCAACAAGATATTAAATCTCTGGCCTCAAATGGAGCTATATTTCCTCCAACTAATAGTCTTCTTTAGATTTTAGATGTAAGCCTGTTATTTTTTGGGGTCATGATATATTTTCAAAGTTTTTAGTTCTACATATATATATATATATATATATATATGTCATCATTAATAGTAGTTTTAGTTACTTTTAGTGTTTCAAAGTTTTTCAAATATAAAGTTGTATAAATTTATTTATTATGTATATACATACGCGAGATGAACGCGTTAGCTGTAGTTAAAAAAAAATTCGAAAATTTAAATTTGGTGATATCAATTATTTTATCTTAGAGTTAGAAGTCAATTAAGCAATTCACAACTGGTAATAATGGGTGTTAAGGGTATGTATATCGTCTCCATTGTATCTTAAATCAAGATTTATCATACTAACTTTTTTAATTACTAGGTCTTAATCAACTTATCAAAGAACATTCTCCTGGTGCTTATAGAGAGTTCCAGTTAAAGAACTTATTTGGAAGAAAAGTTGCCATTGATGCTTCCATGTGTTTATATCAATTCTTGATTGCTGTTAGACAATCTGATGGACAACAATTGACTAATGAAGATGGTGAGACTACTTCCCATTTATCAGGTATGTTTTATAGAACCATTAGATTAGTTGAGCATAATATCAAGCCTGTATTTGTCTTTGATGGGAAACCCCCAGTTTTAAAAGGTGGGGAATTAGAAAAGAGACTCTTAAAGAGAGAAGAAGCTCAGAAACAATTGGATTTAATTAAGGATGATGGTACTGTTGCTGATGTTTTGAAATATGAGAAGAGATTAGTTAGAGCTTCAAGAGAACAAAATGAAGATGCAAAGAAATTATTAAAACTTATGGGTATACCTTATATCAATGCCCCGTGTGAAGCTGAAGCCCAATGTGCAGAATTAGCTCGTGGTGGGAAAGTGTTTGCTGCTGCTTCTGAAGATATGGATACTTTATGTTATGAACCACCTTATTTATTAAGACATTTAACTTTTGCTGAAGCTAGAAAAATGCCAATTGATCAAATCGCTTATAGTGATGCTATGGCCGGATTGGATATGACCAAGGAACAATTCATAGATTTATGTATTCTTTTAGGTTGTGATTATTGTGAAACTATAAAAGGAGTAGGTCCAGTAACTGCCTATAAATTGATTAAACAACATGGATCATTAGATAAAATTGTTGAATTCATAAAGGAAAACCCTGACAAGACCAAATATAAACTTCCTGAAAATTGGCCATATGATGAAGCAAGACAATTATTTTTAAATCCTGAAGTCACTAAAGCCAGTGATGTCTCTTTTAAATGGGTTGAACCTGATGTCGATGGATTGATAGAATTTATGGTTAGACAAAAAGGTTTCAGTGAAGATAGAATTAGATCTGGTGCTGAGAAATTAAAGAAAGGTTTAAAATCGGGAGTTCAAGGAAGATTAGATGGATTCTTTTCTGTGGTTCCAAAGGCAGCTCTGCCAAATGATAAAAAGAGAAAAGATGATAGTAAGAACTCCAAATCAAATAAAAAGACAAAGAGAAAGTGAGTTAAATCTTGTATAATAGTTTTGTATCATATTAAATCAGTTCGTATATTATGCTTTATAATGCAAAAAGGTTTTTGTATAAATTTCTACAACTATAAAGGCCTAAATCATCTCTAATCTCTAGTTTTCTTCTTCTTTTCTGATTCAGCTTCCTTTTCAGCTTCTATTTCATCGACATATTTTTTAATTTCATCTTCATCTAAGGTTTGAATCACATTTCCTGCTTTCAATACTGAGACTTCAATGTTCTTGGCTCCGGTTTGAACAACTTCTAATAAGGACTTTATAGTTAATTTTACAGTTTTTTCATCATCTAATTCTTCTTCATAATGTTTTTCCAAAAATTCTCTTACAGTCTTGGATGATTTACCAATAGCATGAGCTTTCCAAGCATTATAAACACCAGAAGGTTCAGTTTGATATAATTTTGGAACGGTATCATTACTATCGAACCCTGCGATAATAGTAGCTATACCGAACGGTCTAACACCTCCTGATTGAGTATATTTTTGTTGAACACCAGCTACGTATTTGGTTAAATATTCAATGGATACAGCATCTTCCAATGTTAATCTATGTGATTGGGCTTCTACTCTAGCTTTATCCACTAAAATTCTTGCATCAGCATTTAACCCAGCAAATACTAATAATGCATGATTATCAATTTTACATATTTTAGATGGAGTAATACGAGGATCTTGTAATTTTAAAGTAGTTCTCTTTTCACAACCCAATACCACACATTCTTTTCCTTTCACACCAACTGCACAGGTACCTCTTTTAACAGCTTCTGAAGCATATTCAACCTCTAAAAAGATAAAAAAAAGTTAGTAATTGATTTCTAGAATTAAATTCAGTACATTAAATAGTAGAATTACATACGGAAAACATGTCCATCAGGTCTATATTTCATTAAATGTTAGTAATAAGTTCACATTCGTTAACTTTTGCAAAATCTAAAGGGTGGCAAGTTGAAACTCTTGAACTAGATCCACTCTTCAATTGATCTCTTTAATATACATACGAGAAAATAGACAAAGCACTATCGTATCCACTCATTATATTAGATAGTTTATATTATATTTCTTTGGTTAATTGGTTATTAAATAGATGATAATTCGAATCGTTAAACTGTTAAGATATTTGGTAGTGGTCGAGTTTTGAAAAACTAACCTAAACATTTTGCCTCTTTGATTTTTGTACATATCTCACGACATCAATAAAAATGTCGCATCGAAAATTTGCAGAATATGATCTGTGCAAATAGACATAGATATATCAGAATACTACATGCAAATGAAGGAGTAAATAACAATGGCTGGTAGTAAGAATAAAGAAAGTAAGCTGAAAGTGCCGAAGGTAGTACCTCAAAAAGATCATTATTCCAGAATTTCATATCTTTTGAATGCCTCAAATTTGTTCAGTGCAGACTCCAAATATGATATTCTTGCAAGAGGCTATTCAAGAAATTTAGATTTAGTATCAAAGAAGACTGTCATAAAGCTAGCTCCAGCTTTAAAGAGATCATTGTGTAAGAAATGCAATACATTGTTGATACCAGGTTTAACAATGTCCATGTCCATAGAGAACACTTCCAAAAAGCAGTCTCCACATAATGATATACTTATACACAAATGTATAAGTTGCAATACAGTCAAACGATTCCCCGTAGGATCTAATAGAGAATATGTTGTATTCAGCGAAAGGGAAGATGTTAAGATAACGTCTGAATGATTCATATCACGAATAATGTTTTTTTAATGATTTTAACGAACTTAAATAGAATATAGATTACTATTAAATAATTAATTAATATAGAGTTTATTTTGGTCCAAGCATATTTTCAGGTCTAACCCATTGATGAAATTCTTCTTCAGTTAACATATTTAACTCAAGACATGATTCTTTCAAAGTTAATCCTTTCTTATGAGCATTTTTAGCAACTTTTGATGCATTATCATAACCAATCTTTGGATTTAAAGCGGTAACTAACATCAAAGATTCATTCAAAAGTTTTTCAATTTTATCTTCATTAGCAATAATACCTTCAACACAATGTATTCTGAATGAACGACAAGCATCACCAAGTAATCTAACAGAAGATAATAAATTGTAAGCCATAACTGGTTTGAAAACATTCAATTCAAATTGACCAGATGCACCGGAAAAGGTAATAGTAGTATGATTACCCATAACTTGAGCACAAACCATAGTTAAAGCTTCATTTTGAGTTGGATTAACTTTACCAGGCATGATTGAAGAACCTGGTTCATTTTCTGGTAATGATAATTCACCATAACCACATCTTGGTCCTGAACCTAAGTATCTAATATCGTTGGCGATTTTGAATAATGAAACAGCTAAGGTGTTTAAAGCACCGGAAGCTTCAACGATGGCATCATGAGCAGCTAAGGCTTCGAACTTATTCGGAGCGGTTTTGAATGGTAATCCAGTAAGTTTAGAAACTTCTTCAGCAACTTTAACATCAAAATTTTTTCTGGTGTTTAATCCAGTACCAACAGCAGTACCACCTTGGGCTAATAAAGATAATCTTGGTAAGGTCAGTTCGACTCTTTCAATACCAAAGGTTAATTGTTGAACGTAACCAGAAAATTCTTGACCTAAGGTCAATGGAGTAGCATCTTGTAAATGGGTTCTACCAATCTTTATAATTTTACTGAATTCTTGAGATTTCTTTTCGAAAGCATCACGTAAATCTCTCAAATTTGGTAAAAGACCATTAGAGATTTCAGTAACAGCTGCAATATGCATAACGGTAGGGAAAGTATCATTAGAAGATTGAGACATATTAACATGATCATTTGGATGAACTGGCTTTTTAGAACCTTTAACACCACCTAAGATTTCAATGGCTCTATTGGAAATAACTTCATTTGCATTCATATTAGATTGAGTACCTGACCCAGTTTGATAGATAACTAATGGGAAATGATCAGTCAATTTACCATCAGCAACTTCAGTGGCAGCTTCTTTAATGGCAGCACCAATTTTTGGATCTAAGGCACCAAGATCTTCATTAACTATAGCAGCTGCTTTCTTTAAAATACCAAATGATTTAACAATTGAAGGAGGCATCTTAATATCTCCAATTTCAAAATTTCCTAAGGATCTTTGACTTTGAGCACCCCAATATTTATCGGAGGCAACTTCAATTTCACCGAAAGCATCGGATTCAATTCTTGTAGACGACATGGTTATATCAATTGATAGATAAGTATATGGTAATTATAACTATCGATCAAATTAAAGATGAAAAATTATATTATTTAAATAATTTATTCTGATCCCTCCAAAATCAACGGAACAAATGTCCGCGATGCAACCTAATTTTTGACTCTTCCCCGGAGTCATTATTCCTTAAAATTCCGTTATTGGAGACCACAAAGATTATTACTACTGTAGGTAAGGTTAGTAAGTTAGGTCTGAAATAACTTTAAATGAAACTGAATTCTTTAATGTTTGAATTATATAATTATATGTTAAAATATGTATACTAGAAATGAAGAAAAAGTATGGTGAAAAAAACTAAAGAAATTTAGACTGGTTTTGTCTAGCTCTTGCTTCCATTCTTCTAGGTGGCGTAACTCTAGCACCAAACCAATTGTACCTGAATCCTATTTCATGAGCTAAAATTTCACCAAATCCAAGCATCATACCGTTTATAAATGGTAATACCAAGTTGATTGATCCTTTTATTAGTATATCCAAAATGTTGAATGAAACTACTACTTTATTTTGATTACTTGTTTCTTCAACTTCATAATCTACTTCTTCTTCATCTTGTTCGTCTTGTTTACTTTGTTTGATCAATTCTTCTATTTTCAATATATCGGAATCATTCACTATTTCATCAGATGACATTTGAGTTTCTAAAACCGTTAAATCGTTGGATTCAGTTAAAGCATCTACTCCAGCAGGAACTGAATCTACTTCAGCATCTTTGGATGATCCAGCAAATATTATATTACTTTCTCTGTTACTACTGAACACCGTTTCTTCTGATTCACTTAATCCACTAGTTGAATATTCTTCAGGTGTACGAATTGCTTCCTTTTCAATTGAACTTGACATTTTAGGAATCCCTTTGCTATTGCGTATGTATGTATCAATGATGGATTACACCACTTAATGTATTTAGTGACACCGGTAATGACAGACTGGTATGAATGGCAAATAGTTTGGTTGTCGTTTAGAAAAAGCTGCTTTTTTGACAAAAATGGTTTTGCCCGCAAAAAAAAAAATCTTGGAGAGGTGTACAAACAGGACAGATCTATAAGTAAAATAAATTTAATATATACGGTAGAGGAAAATGACAAAAACACTACTTAGACTCTAATATACTCTACAGTGGATCTACGACCTGTTCTCTTAAGCTTTGACACCAACTGATTTTCCTTCCTTTAATCTCTTTTGAGTCAAAGCAGCAATAATAGCAGCACCAGCACCAGATCCATCTTCAGCTGGGACAATTATAATTGGATCTTCCTTTGATTCCCATTCAAATATATCTCTTAATGCTTTAGCAGCTCTTTCTTTAAATCCTGGATATTTGTTGTAGACTGAACCGTCAGCAGCACAATGGGCGGTTTTATAACCTCTCTTCTTACAAATAGCAGCAATACCACAAACGGATAATCTAGCTGATCTTTCACCAATTAATTCAGCTAAACGACGAATAAGTTTTCTTTCACCAGAAGTAGTGGTGATGGATAATACTGATTCAAATAATTCTTGAACGTCAGATAAGTTTTCAAAAGGATCTTCTTCGATTTTAGATGGAAATGAAGTATCTAAAATGAATGGTTTTGATAATTTAGTTAAATCTTGATTTTTAAAGATTAATTTAAAGTTGGAAGCTAAATCAATTAAGATTAATCTTAATACTTCACCTAAATAATAACCAGAAATCATCTTTTCGAATGATTGTTGACCTGGTCTTGGAGATTCAGCATCAATTTGAAGATCATATTTAGTTCTGGGTAACACTAAATGTTCATTATCAAAAGCACCATATTCACAATTGATAGCCATTGGAGAATCTTGAGCAACATCAGCTGATAATTTACCTTCCAATTTTGGAATATCACTAACGACATCATAATAAGCACCATTACAACCAGTACCGAAAATTAAACCCATTTTAGCTTCTGGATCAGTATACATAGATGCAACTAAAGTACCAGTTGTATCATTAATTAAAGCAACTACTTCAATTGGAACTTTAAACTTTTCAATGGATTCTTGTAATTGAGGAACAACATCATGACCTTCAACACCTGGAATATCAAAACCTTTAGTCCATCTTTGTAAAACACCTTCATTAATGGAATTTTGACTAGCTGGATAAGAAAATGTAAAACCTAAAGGTAATGGTGATTCAACTCCTTCAGGGAATTCTTCATCCACAAATTTCTTTAAACATTCAGCAATGAAATCCCATAATTCTTCTTTTTTAGCAGTTCTCATGGTTTCTGGTAAAGCGTATTTTGATTGAGTAGTATCAAAATCATGATTACCACCTAATTTAACCAAGACAACTCTTAAATTGGTTCCACCTAAATCAATGGCTAAATAATCTCCGGATTCTTTCCCAGTTGGGAAATCTAATACCCAACCTGGAATCATTGGAATATTACCTCCTTGTTTGGTTAAACCTTTTTCTAATTCAGTAACGAAATGATCAGTTATGGTTTGTAAGGTTTTACCTGAAACAGTTAATAATGATTCAAGGTTGTTCAATTCATTTAACAAAGCTTCAGGAACATCAAAGTATGATCCCTTTCTATGTTGAGGGGCTTTTGGACCTAAATGAACCATTGTATAATTCGATTAATTATAATTATATTCGATGATGTAATGTGTAATTCAGGTGAAAATTAATACTGAAATATGGTAATTAATCTTAAAACTGTTCTAACTAACTCTGAAGTATATTTATATACGTCAATCAAGAAAATCAAACTTTAATTGTAAATATATCAACAGTATGATTATGATGTTCAGCGTTATTGAAATTTTGTTGGCATATCGGAGTTCACTCGTACTTTTTTTGTCTTACCGAACGAAAAGGAAAATTTTAGCGTGTTATAGCGGTAAATATTGCGTGAGAATTTTATGTCAATGTAATTTAGCGGGATTTAAAATACGTTAATTATATCTTTAGGTTAATTAGTTGGGTGGGAGTAGTCTCGTTGTGGTCTGTAGTGGTTGCAGGCGGTTTCCAGAGTCAATAGTTTCAATTTTAGGGAGTTAAGTCTTTTTCAAATTTATGAATCATTCATTAAAATTACTTGGAAAATATTAAATGCATAAAATTATAGGCACTTTTTGCATTCATTATTCAATCTGGTGACTACAGTTTATACAGGAGTTTAAAGAATAACGGCTACCTGCTAATGGGTTTACTATTAATCATTATCTTATATTAAATCATTTCAGATCAGTTTTGGTGTTACCTGCACACTCTCTATGTATCTATTATAGCTACTCTCTATTAATTTACCATTGTTCTTTAGTAGTTTCATCAAATTTCTTCATTGATGTGGCTACTGCTTTCAAATCATCCTTTATCTGAGCTATGTATTTATTCATCTCATCCAAGTTTTGCTTTCTATTAAATAATTCTCTAGTATGCTTTTCTTTTTCATCATCATCAAAGAATTCATTTAATTTCTCTTGTCTTGAAATACCTGCTTCTTTCCCCTTGACTTTATTACTCTCATAATCAAGCTCGTTTGAAGCTACTGTTCTTTGTGACGATTGTGATTTCATTAATGTTTTTTGAGCTTCTTTGGTTTTTAAATCATCAAAATGTTGTGTAGACATTGTTTTTAAGAGATTGTTTTGCAGGCTTTTCAAATTATTTAACTCTTCTTCAAACTTCAGATTAAAGAAAGATCCCTTTTGTCTAACTTCTTCTGCCATCGCTTTAACATCATCTAACACATCAATCTGGGTCCACAATTTATCCAGATAAGTAACACTCGGTCTAGCACTCGGTATTCTATCAATCGTACGAAGACTTTGGGTTTCATTGGCAATGTTACCACCCACATTCGTATTAATGAAAGCTTCAGCACTGTTCGTAGTTGGACCCATCCGTACACCACTTGAACTTGATCTATTTGCTTTAGTTGAATTAAAGATTTGAGCGTTGAAACTTGATCCCACAGAAGATGCTGAAGCATTGTATGCATGACGTGGACCAGTGTTTTGTCTTTCACTATTCATTATATTTATCCACCTTAGTTAAGCTTGATTGTGATGATCAATACTTACTATAGTGATAATCGTGGTATCAAATTAATTTTGATGATGTTTTTTCTGTACAACACGAATTTCTCAAATTGAAAATGATTGCAACAAAAACTTGTCCTGATCTCCTCTTTATGCTTAAGGTCGCCACCCATATACTTATTTAATGGCTAATGAATTGTTAATACGGCAGAGTAGTCCTGGTCCCAAACATACTCCCAGTCCTCTTCTAAGGAGAGTGCCGTCGTGGAAGAAATTACTTTATTTGAAACAATCATATCCAGATAATTACACTGATAAATCATTCTTATCTCAATTGAAGAGAAACACTACGGTGGCTAAATATTCTTATTTCAATCTAGTTGATGATTTCTGCTTGATTCTATTATACATATCTAGTTTATTATTGGTGGTGTTAATGTTCTCAGGTATTTATCTTCACCGATGGAATTCAATTTTACCAACTATTGTTAGCAGTATATTTTCTATACTTGGGTTTGGTATAGTTCAAATATATGATAAGTCAGTTAAACCATCCACTAGGCCATCTCAATCTAGTGAATTGAATTTGAAATCGTTTATTCTTATCATATTTATCTTATTGATTCTTTCACCCATATTAAAGTCATTAACTAAATCAGCCGCATCAGATTCTGCTTGGGCTCTTTCATTTGCATTATGTTTATGTAATACCATATTCCACGACTATTCAATGAATTCATCTTTCATTCATGGTAAACAATCCCAACAGATATTTTCTCAATATAAACCAATATTATCTACCAATATTTCCTTATCTAATGCTATTGTATTAGCATCTAGATTAACTTCTACATCTCAGGTTTTCTTCTTCATCTTATTTGCAGTTCAGATTAATATACTACTTCCTTTATTGGACTTCAACATTCGAAGACTAAAATTACACATCTTACATTATTCATTGTTATTTGTATTATTCAATTTAGTTAATTATTTAATCTTTACATTACTAGGGTCAAAAATTCTTATATATTGGTTTATCTGTGTTTTCTTCATTGTGTTTGGAATGCCATCATACTTTTTATTCCTTCAAAGATATAAAAATGAATTACAAGGTCCATGGGATATGCATAAACCTATTATCAATAAAAATTAGACTATAAATATTTTAATATTTTGTATAACATTAATATATATCCTTTTTCATTAATGGTACTAACTAAGTCCCTTTAAATATAGAAAAAGTTCCTAAAAATATAGTCAATTAGTTAGCTCGCTATATATCGCATACAAACACAATAGCATTTCATAAAACTTACTCTATAATCTTGTATCTCCCCAGTATATTAATTGCAATTGTAATTGTAATTGCTATTTAAAAATTTATATCTGATTTTCATGGTCGTGTGGATTTACAAAATATTATTTCGAATTATTTGACTGAATAAAAAACATATCAGAGAGCTATCTGATTATAAAGGGTTAGTTGATTCAATTAATCATTCCATACATCATCACATCCACATCATAAATGGCTGATAGGAACAATAATCAAGCTGGGGAGAATAAACCAATCCAGGATCCTACTACCAGTGTGCAAGGTGGGGCACCTCCAGCACAACAAAGACAACCACAGCCAAATGCTCGAACTGCTAGAGTCCAACAACCTCAATTCTCTCAAGCAGATTTGAATAAAATCGTGTTGGAATATCTTAATAAGAAGGGTTATCATAAGACTGAATCAATGTTAAGATTGGAAAGTTCGAATACTCCAACACCAGCAGTGCCTGCTGTGAATCCATCAAATTCAAAATTGGCTAGTCCTAGTGAGATTGAATCTGCAAATTTAAAACGAGAAAAGGATTTGAAAGATAAAGTAACTAAAACTGAAAGAGAGTTGCGAGACTTAAGAGATAGACAAGTGAAGATAGAACGAGAATTGAGAGAAACAAGAGATAGAGAAATAAGATTATCTAAAGAGAAAGATTTACGTGATTTAAAGGATTTAGAAGAGAAAATGAAACGTGAAAATGATCCTTCAATATATTTTACAGCTTATAGAATGTTAAGAAAATGGGTAGATACTTCTTTGGATCTTTATAAACCGGAATTAACAAGAGTATTATATCCTTTATTTGTTCATTGTTTCTTAGAATTGATTTCAAAGAGCTTTTTAACAGAAGCCAAAGAATTTTTTGATAAATTTAATTCAGACCATTCCATCTTACATGGCTTAGAAGTCAATCAACTAGCAGGAATATCTTTACCTGAACATCTTAAAGAAAATGAGTTGGCAATTGCCTTTAGAGATAACAAATATAAAATTATTGTCTCCAAAACATCAATGAATTTATTATTATATTTTTTACACGAAAATGAAGCTGTTGGTGGAGCAATTTTAATCAGAATTATAAATCAATACTTAGATGCAGTGATATCAACCACAAGACCTGATAAACAAAATGAAGAAGGTGCATCAAATCCAGAGGAAGGTATTCCATCTTTTGTTGCTCGTACAAATGAAATTGAAAAGTTTAATGAGCAACCTGTCAAATTAGGAAAATATCCTTTGGATCCAGAAGTTCAAAAAGAAATAGAAGCAGAATTGAAAATAAAAGATGAGCAAATAGAACCAGTTAATGGTAAAACCTTGGTTTCGGAATTCCAAGAAATGACTAAACCAGAAGCGGATTCACCTGCAAGAGAGACATTACCATTACCTTTAAAGGATTCTTCCGATATCAAACGTATGATTTTGGAAGTTGAAGATTCACGTTCAAAGATCAAATTAGGAACTATCCAAGCTTCTTCACCATCGGTTTGTATGTATACATTCCATAATAGTATTAATGAAATGACATGTATAAATTTCAATGAAGACTCCAATATGGTGGCCACTGGTTTTCAAGACAGTTATGTTAAATTATGGACCTTGGATGGAAACCCATTGAAGTCTGTATTCAAGAAAGATCGTTATAATAATGATAACTCGAGGAAATTAATAGGTCATAGTGGTCCAGTTTATGGAGTGTCATTCTCCCCAGATAATCGTTTTTTAATTTCAGGTTCAGAAGATAAAACAGTGAGATTATGGTCTCTAGATACTTATACCGCTTTAGTGTCGTATAAAGGTCATACTCAACCAATTTGGGACGTTAAATTTTCACCATTAGGACATTATTTTGCTACCGCTTCCCATGACCAAACTGCAAGATTATGGGCAACAGATCATATATACCCATTGAGAATATTTGCAGGACATATTAATGACGTTGATTGTGTTGAATTCCATCCTAATTCAAACTATGTTTTCACTGGTTCATCTGATAAGACGTGTCGTATGTGGGATGTTCAAAGTGGGAATTGTGTTCGTGTGTTTATGGGTCATAGTGGTGCTGTTAATTGTATGGCTGTCTCTCCAGATGGTAGATGGTTAGCTAGTGCTGGAGAGGACAGTGTAGTTAATATCTGGGATGCTGGATCTGGTAGAAGGCTAAAGACTATGAAAGGGCACGGAAGATCTTCAATTTATTCCTTGGCATTTTCTAAAGACGGTGGAGTATTGGTTAGTGGTGGTGCTGATAATTCTATAAGAGTTTGGGATGTCAAAAGAAACACAAATGATGCAGGTCCAGAACCAGAAGTCTTTTCAACTGAAAATGGTAGTGCCAATGATAGATCAAAGGCGGTCGGCGTAAATAAAAAGGAAATTATCGCTAGTAGTGATCATATGACAGCATATTTTACGAAAAAGACGCCTGTGTACAAAGTTCATTTTACAAAGCGTAATTTATGTCTTGCTGGGGGGGTTTTTGTAAAGTAGTTAGTCTTGTATTATTCAAATGTATTTTTACTATTTTTAGAAACCACGTATTGTAGGCATGGCTCCTATTTTTACATTTTGAAATAATAAGGGCTGCATGTACCGGTTAAGTATCTAGATCAAATAAACTTCTAAAAATAAGGCAATTCGTGTTGTTTATAAACTTTATTTTTTTACTTCTTTTTATTATAAATAACTCAAAGAACGTAATATGAACCACATGTAACGATCAGTCTGAGGTGTCTTTAAGTAAACAGAAATATAAAGTTTTACTGTTTGCTATTGTTGAGTAAATTCACCACACTAAAAATAGCTCTAAAAGGGCTTGGAAATGATATTTTTTTCGGCCAATGCAGTCCTATTAATGTTGCAACCAATTAAACGACGGTAATCTGCTATGGCGTAAGTTAAGGTTAAGAGGCGTCTATTAAATTTATGATTGCTGAATCGTAATGGTTAAAGCGAATTATAAATAAAGTTGTAAGTCCTAAGTTTCAGCTTCAAATGAAATAATTTTAGAGTAAAGATCATTCAACAAAATGAAATTCACCACCACTGCTATTACTATCTTATTCACACTTAATGTTGCCTTTGCTGCTTCAAGTTCATCTTCAGCACATGTTGCATCCGCTTCAAGTGTCGTAAAAAGTTCTTCTGCTGCTAGTGCTGCAAAAGTTTCATCAAGTGCATCTGCTGCTGCTAAAACTTCAACTCCCGCCTCTTCAGCTGCTAAGAGTTCAGCACCCGCTTCTTCGGCTGCTAAATCTTCTTCTAGTTCTAAGGCTGAAGCTGTTGGATATGGTGAAGGAGGTGTTGCTGCTGGTGCTTTAGCCGCTTTAGCTGGTATGATTTTGTTATAGATCAATTCGGTTTGAAATTTGGGCCTGTTTTCCAATTGATGTTAAGTTTCTTCTCAAACATTGTAGGACCAATATTTGTTCGTACATCTATTTTATATAATAAATATATATCATGTTTCCCAAATCATATCCTGGTAAAGTAATCTCTTGAATAAACTTGAAGATGATTTCAAAGCTAAAAGCTTGGTATTTTAAATACCATGAAGGTACTCATCTAGTTCGTAACATATAACAATCAATTTCCTAATTAGGAAATTTTGGCAATTAAATTTTTTTTCTTTGGCGCGGGTTCCCCATATTTTTAAAAATTCACCTTTCCTATTTTGAATAACTCTGATTTCGTTGATAGTCTGAAATATGAGCTATAAAAGCGTTGAAATATTCCCTTAATTTTAGATAAAACTTATACTTCGACTTTTTAATACCATCCATACCCTTTTTAATAGAACACTTCCTGCTTCATAAGCAATAATGCAATTAAATACCATTTTATTAGTCTCCAGTGTGCTTTTCGGTCTCACTAAAGCTGCTGATTCATCAGATGCTGCTTTTTTAACTGCCTTTGTTGGTGATTTTAATAGCAATAAGAAAGAATATATTCAATTTATTGCCACAGCTACAGGGGTTCCAGCAGTTGTAACATCATTGGCCCTTGAGGTTGCTACTTATACCGATGATTCATATACTACCTTATTAGATGATCCAAATATCAATGTATCTAGTTTGGAGGCTTTTGCTACAAATTTACCTTGGTATACCAGAATTGTTGCTGAAGCTGATGGTGCCATTGCTTCGAGTGCTGCTTCCAGTGGTCCTTCAGCTTCCGCTGCCACTTCATCACCTGCATCAACTACATCTGCTGCTTCTACTACTTCATCAGCAGCAAAATCTACATCTTCTTCCGCCACAACAGCATCCTCATCTTCTCACGCTGCAGGTTCAGCATTATTTGTTCCTGTTGGAAGTGTTCTTGCAGCTGTTGCAGCTGTTTTATTATAAAGTTAATCACAAACTAATAGATGATACGAAACTAATAACGTTATAAAAATACATAGATCGAACTTGTTAGCATTCGTTTAATAAAAGTATTTTATTCATGAAAATGAAGTTGTAAGACTGTAGTCGTAATATAGATTTGACTTTACTGTTTATTAGAAAACACTTGAAGACTTTTCACTTAACAATAAAATTTTCAGATCATTGGAGATTCTTTCATAATCGAAAAGAAACAACAATGAAATATTACTAACCATACCTAGTTACTGCTAAATTATATAAAGACTAATTAAGGGCAAATTTCCTAATTAGGAAATTTCATGGTGCGCCATCCTTCCTAATTGGGCCACTGATTCGTCCTAAAAAGGAAATCGCTAAACTCTACATTTGATTGTAAAAGCTATTAGTTATGTATATTCTAGAAAATATTACCGTTGTATTAGTTGGCATCATCGTGTTCAATGGGAGCGGTGATGAAAAGAAGAAGGTATTGTAAGTTCCATAAGAAGTTATCTAAACAATCAATTGGAATATTATTTGAAATTTTGCCCTTTTTAGTGATTTGACTGAAATTATTGAAATTGGTAGTTACTTTACCTATTAAGAATACCAAATTCTTGTTTAGCAAACTTAGCCCCTGTTCAAATTCATAATTCCGAAGTTGAGATACATTCCCTGAATCTTCTGGTTTAGAAATTCTTTCTGTTTTGGAATGATCGTAGTACAAGTCATGTAACAAGACCTGGGACTGATCAAGCAGGTCGTGCTTGACTTTAGAATTACGCATGTTGTCAGATATTGGATCTAAAACTATGCTACGACTGCCAAAAACTAACATTTTGTATCTTAAATTACAATTTGTTATTATTGCAATAATATTAATTATTTCAACAATGTACGAAATGCCCGCATTTATTTGTTCAATGCTTGCTCTATTATTGGTATTGTCCAAAGTTGTACCAGAGTTGAAATTAATCAATTTCTTTTCATCATAGTAACATATGTTCAACAATTCTTTGATGCTTGAAGGAAACTCTAAACCCATTATCGAAAATCTTACCGAATTGTTGATATTTTGAATAAGAAATGCTTCTGATAAAACCTTACCAAATATTTGAATTTCTTTTATTATTGAAGGAAAAACATATTGCAGTAGAGTTTCTTCGATCGGATCCAACTGTGCTTCAATTAAGTCGATCAGATTATTAGCCATTTCGACAATCAATTCCAATCTATTGTCAATAATTTCTCGTATCTTATTCATCCTTATCTTTGTTGTGAGAATCTCAGATATTAAATTATCATTTAAACCTTTTTGTTTTAAGAGAGATTTCTCCAAAATAGATTTCTGAAATTTCAATCTTGACAATGTTTTCCCTGGTGTCTCCAAATTAGATTTTATGGTTAGCTCTTCTGTGAGATCTTTAACCTGCTTTGATAGATTATGTTTTGTTATTCTTAGTTCATTGAGTGAATTACTTAATTTTAATATTGATCTAATTGCATCAAACGAATATGAATTAGCGATTAACTTTCCATGTGAAGTACTCTTTCTCGTATGCCTGATTACAGGTGGTCGTGAAAATTTCCGTTTCATAGAATGTGGCAACGTATAGAATCTTCCATTTAAATTTAGTATCAAACTGTTTCTCTGTAACAATTCTTCCACGTCGTCTGTCTTTATTCCCAAGTATATTAGCCTTTTAAGATTTATATTATATTTTGATAGGTGTAGCCACAGCAGGCTCTTCTGTTTGACTTCAATTGATTCAAAAGATGTTTTACACCACAAGTTTATGATGATTTTATGACTCTGAGATGTTGTTGGAATATATGGTAATGATACACCTGCGAAATTGGGGTTCATATCTGAAGTTTGAACTTCACTAATGTATACCAATTTTTCTTCTTCACCATCAATCGGCACATGCAAGGTGTAAAATGAATCTAGTAAAGATCTCCTATTAATATCTATTAATTGAAACTCTCCATCTTCTGTATCAATTGTTGGAATAGATGGTAATATACTACCACGTCGAACCAATAAATCTGAATTGATGGCAGCAGTTGCATTTTGAGAAACCTTTAAATGGGTACTTTGACTTTGGCTCTTCTCGCCACAATCAATATATAGATTACGTATTGAGACGCTCTTAAGATGCCCCAACTTATCATCCCTATACCCAAACATGATTCATCTTCGTATACAATTCTTAGATATACTAAAGCTTTAAACTGATAGTAACAAATTAACATTGTTTTTTTTACGAGCACTAAAGCGAATATTAAAAAAAAAAATTCTATAACAAGATCATTCATAAGTTCCATTTACAGCATTAAAGCAATATTAAACAAGTAACTTTTATATCGTAAGATATTAGTATTCAATTATGTTCAATCATAAAGGTATACTGCCATTCCTAGAATATGGTGAAGAGTCGAGTAGTGGAGCAGAAGGAGTTCATAGAGAAGCATTTGAGTCTGCTCTGGAGGACTCAGTGCCATTGAACTTGTCATCTTTGAAACAATCACTTGGTGTTGACACAGATGTCGACAGTGGTCAACTACATGAATTACAAGATAGTCCAATAATCACACCGGTTTTGAAAACTCACATGCGACGAAAGCCACCCCCACCCATGCACATATCAGATCTGTCTCTGTTAGGTGAAAGTTCGTTCGTTGATGTTTTAAGTTCTCCAAGTCCTGATCATCATAATAGTCATTATAGTGTTGAACCATCCGAAACTGTACCTTTTGAAGAGAACGAAAGTGAATATTCTGAAGAAAATTCGAATTCAGAATTGCCGGTGCCAGATGTATCTCCAGGAGTTGATTCACCATCTTACTATCAGGAAGCACCATATCCATTGGATGCAACTTATTATGGAACAAATTCATATGATGAATCAAATTCTTATGAGGAAAAGCCGTATGGTTTTGATAATGGCTTACAACAAGCTGCCTTTTACCCAATAGAGCTGTCTGCTAGTAATTCGTCATCTATAAGTGATTCAAGCCGACAATCAAGTGACAAAATAACCACACTACCATATTCTAAAGGTCTTGGAGTTAGTCCAGGTGTTGTTCCTAAATTCTCAAATAATTCCGTGAATGCTTGGAGTGGTCAAAGCATGTCAAGGGCTCCTATAACACCTACGCAGCTGTCAAGACTACCTCAAGTTACATCACCACTTACACCAATTGATTCACAGAATGATCACTTACCTAAGACCAAGTTGGGCCAAGTAGCAAACCACAGACATTCCAGTTCTCTTGGTTCTATTTACAGTAATGCTTCTAATGGATATGTTAATTTGTCAACCTTGAAGAAACAACTTGCATTAAAGCCTGGAGAAGGGGACAGATCAAACTATGTGCTAAGTATAAGAAAGATTGCTGGTACTGCATTTAATGAAACAGGCCCAGGGAAATGGAAGCTCCCAGTGGGTATTTCTCCTCTTGAAAAATCATCAAGTTATGCTTCCTCTAATTTGTATTTAAGAAGAGATGCTTTTGGCAAAAATAAAAAGAGTGGTCTTAGACATTGGCGTTTAGAAAAGACGTTATTGGCAGATGAAATTGATGACAAAACAATTGACAGTTCTAATGATGTTAGTATAATGAATTCTTCTTCATCGAAAGCTAGCAGTTTAAAGATGGTGGACTCTGGTGTATTGACTGATCCAAGTTCGTCTGGTGATTACACTCTTCATAGGTCTTCAACAGAGATTTCAAACGATCAAGTATCTACTGACCAAGGTTCGACTGATCAAAGTTCTTCTGGTTCTCCCTCTGGTCATGGTTCTGATACAGGTTTTGGATTTTATCAACATAAAGGTTACAGGGAAGACGAAATTACAGACGATGATAATTCTACAGAAGTTGATTTAGAAGACTATCAATTCGGGTTAGACAGTGAAGAGGGTCACAGGTTGACCATCGCAAATCCTGATGATGAGTAAAACATTTATATATATATATATATATATATATATATATTCTATACAATGATTAGTCCAGTTAATAATAGTAGCCTTTTTGCATTCTATAGTTGTAAATTTTACTCAGTGATTTTTTTGGTGTTTTTGCACGACCCAAACAAATCAACACGTCGAGGTATTTGAGAACAAAATGATTTGAACAGACTAATGAATAATAATAAACAGTGAATAGTTCCAAATTATCAATTACGGGTCATCGTTGGGTTTGAAGTATGAGTTATACGTTAATTTATGAGCCCAATGCGGCTGCTAAAACCTCTGTTAGTGAATTCAAGACTTTATTAGAAAAAAGTAAAGATGATGTCAAAATCGATACTATGAAAAAAATCTTGATCACTATCATCAATGGAGATCCATTGCCAGATTTATTGATGCATATCATTAGATTTGTTATGCCATCCAAGAATAAGGAATTGAAGAAGTTGTTGTACTTTTACTGGGAAGTTTGTCCAAAGCTTGATGAAAGTGGTAAAATGAGACATGAAATGATTTTAGTATGTAATGCTATTCAACGTGATCTTCAACATCCTAATGAATATATTAGAGGTAGTACCTTACGTTACTTAACCAAATTGAAGGAACCTGATTTATTAGAAACTCTTGTTCCAAATGTTCGTCAATGTCTTGAACATCGTCATGCTTATGTCAGAAAGAACGCTGTTTTAGCACTTTATTCTATTCACAAAGTCTCCGATCACTTAGTTCCAGATGCTGATGAATTGATTTACAGATACTTATATGATGAAAATGATTCGGTTTGTAAAAGAAATGCTTTTGTTTGTTTAGGTGATTTAAATAGAGATGCAGCTTTACAATATGTTCAAGATAACATCTCAATTATAGAAACTTTAGATCCTTTATTACAATTGGCTTTTATTGAATTCGTCAGAAAAGATTCAGCTTCTAATCCATCAATGAAATCACAATACGCACAATTGATTACCGAAATCATTGAAAGTCCTTCAAATGTTGTTGTTTATGAAGCTGCCAACACCTTGACAGTTTTAACTTCAAACCCTCAATCCATTCTTTTAGCTGCAAGCAAATTCGTTGATTTAGCTACTAAAGAAGCAGACAATAATGTCAAGATTATCACTTTACAAATGATCAGTAACTTAAATAAGGCTCATCCAGGTGTCTTACAAGAATTATCTTTAGAAATCTTGAGAATTTTATCCTCGCAAGATTTAGATGTCCGTAAGAAGGCTATCGAAGTCACCTTAAAATTTGTTACTACAAGAAATGTGGAAGATGTTGTCAAGTTATTAAAGAAAGAATTAGAAAAAACCATGTCTTCAAATGAAGATAAAACCTCAGAATACAGACAATTGTTGATTAATGCTATCCATCAATTAGCTATCCAATTTGTTGAGGTCGCAGCAAATGTTATTGACTTATTATTAGATTCAATCAGTGATTTAAATAATACCGCAGCATATGATGTTATAACTTTTGTAAAAGAAGTTGTTGAAAAATTCCCAGACTTAAGACAGTCCATAATATCAAGATTGGTTTCCGCTTTACCAGCAGTTAAAAGTGGTAAAGTATTCAGAGGTGCATTGTGGATTATTGGTGAATATTCTTTGGAAGATTCTTCAGTTCAAGAAGCATGGAAATATATAAGATCCAGTATCGGTGAAGTTCCAATTATTGCAAGTGAAAGAAGAGCATTGGAAGGTGGAAATGCCAGCGAAGAATATACAAATGGATCTTCTGAGAAAGCATCCAAGAAGGGACCTGTTGTTCTTCCAGATGGAACTTATGCTACTGAAAATGCATTAACTGTGGAGGCAGATTCACATGAAGATTCTAAACCACCTCTTCGTAAACACATTTTAGGAGGTGATTTTTATCTTGCTGCTGTTTTATCTTCTACATTGGTTAAATTGATTTTAAGACTTCAACGTCTTCAAACTAATGAAAAGATTTTGAATGCTTTAAAAGCTGAAGCTTTGTTAATTATGGTTTCTATTTTAAGAGTTGGTGAATCATCATATGTCGCTAAAAAGATTGATGAAGATTCTGCTGACAGAATCCTTTCATATATCAAATTCCTTAATGAAGAAGATGATTCTGCTGTTATTGAATCAAGCTTCTTAGATGATACTAAAGAAGCATTCAAGGCTCAAATAGAACTGGCCGAAGCCAAAAAGGCTGAATTGGAAGCCAAAACTTTACATCAAAATGCTGAGCAAATTGATGATGCTGTTTCATTTAGACAATTTGATAAAGACGGTGGCTCTAAGTCTACCGCTGTAGATGATATTGCCTTAGACTCGGATAGTGGTGTTAAGAAAGAAGATTTATCTTCAAGATTGAATAAGATCCTTCAATTAACTGGTTTCTCTGATCCTATTTATGCTGAAGCATTTGTTAAAGTACATCAATATGACGTCGTCTTGGATGTATTATTAGTCAATCAAACCACCAATACTTTACGTAACTTATCAGTTGAATTTGCTACTCTTGGTGATTTAAAGGTAGTTGACAAACCAGCTACTGCAAATGTTGGACCTCACGGTTTCTACAAAATTCAAACTACAATCAAAGTTACTTCAGCTGATACTGGTGTTATTTTTGGTAACTTGGTATATGATGGTCAACATTCTGACGACTCTACTATTGTTATCTTGAATGATGTTCATGTTGATATCATGGATTACATTAAACCAGCCACCTGTTCTGAAAGTCAATTCCGTAAAATGTGGAATGAATTTGAATGGGAAAATAAGATTACTATTAAATCTCCAATTGATTCTTTAAAACAATACTTGGATGAATTAATGAAGGGAACAAATATGAATTGTTTAACTCCGGGTGCTGTTATTGGTGAAGAATGTCAATTCTTGTCTGCTAATCTTTACTCGAGATCGACATTTGGTGAAGATGCTTTAGCAAATTTATGTATAGAAAAGCAAACAAATGGTCCTATTATTGGACATGTAAGGATCAGATCAAAGGGTCAAGGTTTGGCTTTATCATTGGGAGACAGAGTTGCAAATATATCTAGAAAAGCTAAGTCCCACAGTGTTTCTGTGATCTAGTTTATCTTACATCTTAGATCATTTTTTTAACAACAATTTTGTAAATTAAGTACATCATGAATAAAAATTAACTAATTATTTTGAGTATATATATGTAAGAGGCTTGTGATTAGTCTCACTCCTCTCGGACAAATCTTTAGCATGAAGGTTTGAATCATGAAAGCCATAAACTTTTGATGTTGGAACATTGCTGGATACATTTGTTGACCATTTCATAATATCACTAAATAATTCTTGGAAACTCCCTGTCAATCTTCTAGTCGTACTATGTTTGTGCGCCTCTTCTTTCATGTTCGATTGTGTAGTTGAATACAACCTTAAATGGTAGTTGGTAGATCTTAACGTATACACATATCTTTTGATCGGTATCGTGTTGAACTTTGAATTTATTATAAATGTAATGAACACTGCAAATCTAGCAATTGATTCCCTTTCACCTGTTATAGACATGAATCTATCTATAGAATCTGGATGTTTTGCCGATATAGATACATCAAGAACCAGAAATTCCTCCTTTAATTGCTCTAATCTATCTGCATCAGATTCAAAATAATCTGCTTCAGAATCACATAGTATTATCTGAACCATTACTGACTCTTTATTGCTTTGATACGTAGGCTTCAATGTCTTTAAATAACTTTTGACTGACTTGTCAGTAATTTCTGGTACTATAACTGATTCCTCTTTCTTATTTTCTAATTCTAAGACATTTTTTATAGGAATATACTTCGATGTTATGCTAGAACTCTCTCTAGCCCTCTTCTTTTTACCTTGTTGATTGGATGACATCATCTATAATACAAGTAATCAAGATTGTTGCAAACAAATACTTAAATGAACTCCATTATATAAAATATTCAAAGTGCGTGTACCAGATCAAATATTTTTGATTTTTAGCAGTGCTCTTTTGGAGCCATCGCTAACAGAAATTTTTTTAAATTTTCACTTTAGTAGTAGAATCTTTAGTTAAGGAAACGATACTATTAAAATGGCTAAGAAGGAAAAGGTTAGTAAATCAGAGGAATCAGAAGACAACTACGAAAAGAGGTTGTCTGCCGTTTTACCTTTCGCTAAACCATTAGCTCCAAAGAAATTAAATAAAAAAGTTTTAAAGACTGTCAAAAAAGCATCAAAGGCTAAACATGTCAAGAGAGGTGTTAAAGAAGTTGTCAAAGCTTTAAGAAAGGGAGAAAAGGGTTTAGTGATCATTGCCGGTGATATTTCTCCAGCTGATGTCATCTCCCATATTCCAGTTTTATGTGAAGATACCGCTGTTCCATACGTTTTCATTCCATCTAAAGAAGATTTAGGATCTGCAGGTGCTACTAAGAGACCAACTTCATGTGTTATGATTGTTCCAGGTGGAGGAAAGTCTAAAAAGAATGCTGACAAAACTGAAGAATACAGAGAAGCTTACGATGAAGTTGTCAAGGAAATACCAGCTTTAGATTAAATCTAGCTTTGAAATTGAATATAATCTCAAGCGTCGTTGGTATTTAAATATCTTCTCTTATGATAGTCAAATAATGGTGGGAGGCATAAAGCCAATAATTGATGATGTTAATCGTTACTGGTGTTTCTTCATAAATATCTCAGTCGTAACTTTTTCATACACTTACGACAAATTACAAACTTTTTCTTATACATGTATTTTAGTAAATTAGTAATATATTAACATCCTGAAACTTGATAGTTATGTAGATTTCATTGTCATCAATCATGGTGTGAATGATTTATACCTTTAGAATTCAAGCAAATATGATTAATCAGTGCTTTAGTTAATTCTCAGTAGTACGAGAAAAATAAAAACAATTATATATACTAATGCGTCTTATCTAGAACAACTAAGATCATGTCACAACAATCAGAGGATGCAATCACAGCCATTGACTATATACAATCACAGGAGAGACTAGAGAAGGAGGCTAAGCGGTTGATGCCATTTGAGCCTGATGATTGTACATACTCATTGGGTGAAATAAGGCAACCTATATTTGCTTGTTTAACATGCTCAAAGGAGAATAACAATACATCCATCGGTGTCTGTTATTCATGTTCAATTCAGTGTCACTCAACCCATGAACTTGTTGAATTGTTTAGCAAGAGGAACTATGTTTGTGATTGTGGTACTCTGAGAATGAAACATACTATCAATGGTGCATGTAAATTAAGAAATCAAGTTAATGAAGAAAATCCTCGGAGTCGATCCTCATCTGGAGTTTTTAAAAGACCAATTTCATTCCCTGCAGATGATATTCCATCCCTGTCAAATGTATATAATCAAAACTTCAAAGGGCTATTCTGTTCATGTGAAAAACAATATGATCCAGTGAAAGAAACTGGGAATATGATACAGTGTTTCTTAGGATCTGTTTGTGGGGAAGATTGGTATCACGAGGAGTGTATCTTGGGATACGAGCCAGGTACGTTCACATCTGTTACTAAATCAGATATTAAAGAAGATATTAAATCAGAAGAGAATGCAAAAGAGCTGAGTGTTGGTGAAATAAATGAAAACCTGGACGTAAAGGTTCCTCATTTTCCCGATCTCGAAAGCTTTGATCTGTTTATATGTTGGAAATGTGTATCATATTATGAATCCGTGTTTCAAGCTTTGAAGGATGATACTGAAATAATTCATTCGATTCTCCCTCATTTTGATCAAATATCAAACTCAAAAGAGTGGTATCAGAAATACCAAAATTTTAAATCACAATCTAATCAGTCGGAATCTGTTGGCAAAAAGATTAAGTTAGAAAAGGACCCGACTAAAGCGACATATTCAATATTCTTAAAACTTGGGTTTAAGGAGAAGATGAAAGATCTTATTGAAATTTTAGGAAAGGAAACAGAGCTATATCAATTTTTAATTAGCAACGACTTTCTTTACAACAATGATCCAATATATGAACCCCCTGAAGAGGATAGTGACGATGGTGCATCCTCAACTACTGGCTCTTTGTTGGATTTAGGTTCAGAGGCATTACTGACTCTTCCAAGAGAAAAAGCAATTGAAGGTATACAGGCATTGGATAAAATCAGTTCAAAACTTCGTGACTTCTTGAAGCCGTTTGCAGAACAAGGTAAAGTAGTAACAGAAGATGAGGTGAGAGACTTCTTCGCAAAGGTTAAAGAGAAACAATTACAAAAATGATATAGTCAAATAAAATATGTACAATTTATTAACGTATATAGATAATGCAAATTATGCTTCCTTAGAAGTTGGCTTATTTTTTAGAATTTTGATTCTTGTTTTTCTTTTCTTCCAACTTAACAAATTCTTCCTTCCAGACACTGTTTCCGTATTCTGGGGTGACATCTGGGAATATCTTATCAAAAACTTCTTGGTACCATTCAACTGGAATGAATGTAACTCCTTCTTTAACTTCTTCTGGAATTTCTTCCAACTCATTTTCAATGTCCTTAGGGAAAATTATGGTATTACATCCATATCTCTTAGCTCCCAAAATTTTTTCTCTTAATCCACCAACGGCCAATACTCTACCTGTAACTGTGATTTCTCCGGTCATAGCAACAGTTGGTGGTAACGATTTATTCAAAGCAAGAGATACCAATGATGAGGTGAAAGAAATACCTGCTGATGGACCATCCTTTGGAATAGCTCCATCTGGACAATGAACATGGATTTCAGCAGCTTCAAAGAATCTGTTGTCAGGGAATGACTTCACCATGTACAGTTTTGCAAATGAATATGCAATGGATGCAGATTCTTTCATCACATCTTTCAAGCTACCAGTAACGTGCATGCTGGCATGACCAGAACCAGAACTAATGGAATGAGTTAATATAGATTCTATATAAAGCGCATCACCATTACCAGATGTACTGTATGAAAGACCTGTCGCAACACCTGGTGGTGGAACATCATAAACTCTATCTCTAGTATAGATTTCTGGTCCAACATAATCCTTTAAATTAGATGGAGAAATTGTGAGAACTATGTCTTCTGGAATAACTAATTTGGAATGTTCCTCTTCTTCTGTTTCTGCTTCAACAGCAGGTTGTTCCTTGTCACCTTCAGGGGCAGTGGCAGGGGCACTAGTACTAGCTTCTTCACTTTCGACCTTAGACTCACTCGAAGGAGGAACGGTTGTTTCTGCTGCGACAGTCTCTGCAGGCTTTTCCTTTGCAGCCTCTAATTTCTCAATTTGCTCTTGTCTTTCTTCAACCTCTTCCACAATTTTCAAGGAGGCCTTACTGAAAATTCTTGAAATAAGTTTCTTGATATTTCTTAACCCACTTTCTCTGCAATACTTTTCGATTAAACGAGAAATTGTTTCCGAATCAATTACAACCTTTCCATCTTCTAAACCAGCCTTTTTGCTAGCATCTGGAATAAGATGTCTTTTGGCAATTTCAATTTTTTCATTATTAGTATAACCTGAAACATCAATAATTTCCATACGATCTCTTAAGGGCGGAGGGATATTACCTAAATAGTTGGCAGTACAAACAAATAAAACCTTAGAAAGATCGACTTTAACATCGATATAATTATCGACGAACGCATTATTTTGTTCTGGATCTAAGATCTCTAAGAATGCCGAAGCAGCACCACCAGAACGACTCAAATCAAGTTTATCTATTTCATCAATCAACATAAGCGGGTTAGAAGTTTTTGCTTGTTTCAAAGCATGGATGATTCTCCCTGGAATTGAACCAACATAGGTTCTTCTATGACCCTTCACTTCATGAACGTCTTGGATACCACCCATAGCAATTCTAACATATTTACGGTCTAAAGCTTCGGCGATAGATTTAGCAATCGATGTCTTACCTGTACCTGGTGGTCCAGCTAAACATAAAATCTTACCATCTACTTTTCCGGAAACTCTACCTTGTGAAATGAATTCAAGAATTCTCTCCTTGACATCTTTTAAACCATAATGATCTCTATCTAATATTTTTCTAGCTTCCTTGATATTAAATCTATCTTTGGAATAAATTCCCCATGGAATGGAAGTCAACCAATCTAAATATCTTTCACTAACACCAAGTTCACTAGAATGATCATTCAGGCTCTCCATCTTTGCTTTTTCGGTATTATATGCTTCTAACGCCTCTTCAGTTAACTTTAAAGTCTTCAATCTTTCATCAAATTTTGAAGTCTTTTTGTATTCAGACTCGACAATCCCAGTTCTCTTTTGAAGCTCCTTAATAAACTCCTTAATAAAAAGTCTTGTTTGATATTCGTCAGCTTTTGCGCTTAAATTATGAATTGTTGTCTCTTTCAAGGTACTAGCCTTTAGTTCAACCTTTAATAACTCAAGTGCCTTTTGAAGTCTTGTCTCAATGTTCAATGCTTCTAATAATTCTTGGATTTGTTTTGGATTACCATGAATTGTTGAACCAACGAAATCAGCAAACTTTGATGGATCATTCACTAAGAGTGTACCTTCCTTGATTTGCAATTTTTGGAGTGGATTTTTTCCTCCTAATTTACCCAAAAGAGCCTTGAGGGAATCCACTAAAGATTTAATGTCTGTTGATTCAGGATCATATGGTTCATCTTTAACTGGTCTTACAGTAGCATAGGAAACTTTGAAATTATTAAGGTGGAAAGAATTAAGTGAGTCATCTTTATTATCCTTAGATTTTCTAGTTTTTGGTGTACTAAGTTCTTCCAACTTACATCTTTCAAGAGGGAAACCAACTAAATTGAAAATTCCTGGCTTTGGTGTAGAATGTTTTAAAATGTGACAGTGTACACCTATATTATGTACAGAAGCCTTACTCTGGATCACGTCCGCATCCGGTTCATTTTGATCTTTCACATGGAATAAAACAAAGTTGGCTTCACCTCTACCTTCAATGGTATAAATAGAATTTATAACGGCACTATCTGTTAAGTTGATTGCAAATGGACGACCAGGAAGAGGAGGACGATCCTTCATAGGTATTGCTAGCAATGGCGGATATAAACCGGTATCAGGATCAAGTTTTTCTCTGGCTCCAGATATGTCATCATCATCACCTTTCCCTTTACCACCATTATTATTGCCATTTCCATTACCACCCGGTGGTACACCAATTTGAGCTCCAGAACTTCCTGTAGCAATTGGTACTGAATTATTCTCTTCAGTTATAGTTGAACTTTCATTTTTGTCATCGTCCGGTACAATTTCCGAATCGGAATCTTTCTTTTCTTCTGATTCCTTTTCCTCGTTTATTATACTGTCTTCCTCTGAAGTTTCGGTTGTTTCTTTTGAATCCCCGGACTTTTCAGATAAAATTAATCTTTCAAACTGATTAAAGCTGTTGATCGGTAATGGACTAAACTTCGTTATAAATCTTTCTGACTCAATCGATCTAGATGCAAACCGAAGACTCAATCTCGATGATCTGACACTGAATTTGACAAGTGCGCTAACTTGACCTCTATTCACTATCATGATCTACTCAAAAAGAGACTATGAAGTATATTTCTATTGAATCCACTTTAACCTAGTGGCAAAATAATTACTAAAAAAGTTGCAGTATTGGTTTTTGAGTCGATTACAATTTTATTTCGAATATTATATGCAGGTCACAATATAGTCACGTGATTTGAATTTATATTTGATTTTTAAAATTGTCTAATTATACAGTTTTAATCTATCTTAAAAATGTTCTTCTTTTGCTTTTTATGGCCCATTTCTTCTTCAGGTAACTGCTCAGCTGGTCTTTTCTTGTTGCCAAACTTTACCGGACTATCATCGTTTAAAAAGTTCTCATCATCGTAGAAATTAAGTGAATTCACATTTTCATCCTCTAATCCTAAACTATGGGATCTTTTCTCTATAGGAATCAGCTGTTTAGTTCTTTCTGACTTCCATAATTGAAGCTTCTTTCTCTTCTTCTTTTTAGATTCGTCTCCTGAAAATGTTGATTGGTTACTAGCTCCAGAAGAATTGGCACTCGTAAAAGTATCGTCTGCTACAAGCCTGATTTGACTGTCCTGTGAATCTTGTGATTGTGTGATATCTGTTTTACTGGTTTCCGAAACTTGCAGCTTGTTTATTGATGCCTTTGAAGGAGTTGCATTGGGTGAGTCGGGGTCCGATGGAGATGGTGATGGTGATGAAATATCAAAGTCTTTTACAAAAGCCTTTGCCGAAGGTGCACTATCATTCAGTTGTGGGTTAGATGCTGTCGACAAAACTATTCTTGAACCGTTGCTTGAGTCAGAGTTTTGGAGTATACTTGGTGTAACTTTTTCTCGAGTATGTATCCGTGTTAAAGGACTCTTCATTAGATGCATGACATTTGATGTAATATATTTCCTTTTTGGTGGTCTCTTCTTAGAGATTGGAGTCAAAATCTTACCATCAGAGATTGTTGATCTATTAATTGAGTTGAATGTGGGTAATAAATAATTCTCTGACCTACCTATTGAACGATCAGTGTTACTAATGACATCACGTTTAGCAGTATCCTTTGCTTGTTTCTCTAATTTCTTCTTTAAACTTAAATTTTCCAATACTAATAACGATAATCTGGCTTCCATTCCAATCAATTTAGTCGAATGGTCCTGTTTTAATTTATTCATCGTAAGTTCATAATCATCAACCTTTCCTTTCAAACTATCAGTATCAACATTTTTATGTTTATCAGCTTTTAAAACAATCTGCAAAACCGCCAACTTGATAAGACTCTTTCTTTCTTGGTCTTCCACTAGTATCCTTTCTAATTCTTCCCTTCCCTCATAATGTTCTGCGATTAAGTTGAAATCAACCATCTCTTTGTCATATAGTTTGATTAGATGACTTGTAATTAACTGGAAAGCATAATTTTTAATATTTGTAAATAAACAATCGCGTTTACAAAAACAAAAAAAAAGTATCAAATATCTGGTTCATTTTTTTTCCAAGCCATCTCAGATCACATTCCATATATCAATTATAAAAGACATGGTTACGAAAGGGAACGATGTAAGACGACTGTCGACTTATAGTAAGAATGTCTATCTGTACTCAAGTGGTGAAATCCATACTCAAAGATTATTTAATAAAAGAGCTATTTCAAACTCTCCGTTTCACTCTATAAATGATACTGGTAATGGATTGGAAATACTGCTTGATAAAGATGCAACTGACTTTGAAGATGTTATATTAAGATCAGGAACAACTATCCCACCAGATGAAATATTGGGTTCAGCTAATCCAGGAAGGATAAAAATTCCTATAAAGCATAGAAACGAATTTCCCAAAGATAAACAACTACCATCATCAGATTTGTTACAGATTCTTCATTATTTTACAAGTAAAAAGTTGACTAAATCAGATCTGCCATCTATGAGTATACGAAAGATGGATGAAACTTCATTGCTAGCACTCGGTATAATGATTGAGCTGTGGATTGATGATATGGTAGATGAAGACACAGCGAAGATGTTTCTACAATTCAATAAGGACGCAAAAACGAATAGTCTGCTTCAAAGCTTTTTATCATCAATGTCTTCGCCCAACAGATCCGACGGAAGCAGTATTGAAAGCGCTACTGACGATGAGGAAGAGCTGTCAGAAGATACTTCTGATTAATTACACATGTGCTACATAAACTTATGATATTACGAATTTTTATATTATTTACAACTTCTTTCTACAATACACAAAATTTTCATGCTTCAGGACTTTCAGTAGCAGAAACTTGAACACTAGAATCAGGTTCAACAGATTCTCTAGCTTTCTTTTCAGCTTCAACCTTCTTTTGGTAGACAGCTTCTTTCCCTTGATCCTTAGATGAGGTTTCAATATCAAATACTCTATAAAGTAACTCGTGAGTATCTTTCTTATTGACCATTAAATTTACATTAGATTTTCCTTTCCATAATGGTAAGAATAAATCTTCTAAATTATCCCTTTTCACAGTTAAAAAGATACAACCTTCTTCCATGGTATCTAATCTTTGTGAAAATTCTGGATCAATTCCAGATGCTCTGATTTCATTAACCTTTGGAAATGCTTCTTGGAATAAAACTTCTAAAAGCTTCATGTTACAAGTTAATTGTCTTTTCTCACCTAAGAATGTTCTGATGGTATGTAATGATTCATTTTGAACTCTCCATGGACAATTTCCAGCATCATTACGTTGAGCAACAAATAATTTGATACCTGATTGAATAACTTTAAGTTTTTGTTCCTCTATAGTTAAGATTTCCTTTATTATTGGAGCAACATAATAGATAGTCCTCAATGGTTCACCAGTGGCATTTCTAACTAAAGTAGAATCTTTAGGGAATGAATCCTTAAAATCATAAAATGGCCAACATTTTTCAAGCTCTGGGTGTTCAGGGTTTAAGAAGATGAAAGGTTCTTCATTTGCATCTCTTGGTAATTTTTCTTTTCTTTGAGGTCTGTGCTTAACATCGGTGGAGACATTATCAGTCTTTACCTTTTTTACAACACTTTCTTCAGCGGCATCATCGAGTGATCTCTTACCTGATTCTGGATCTAACTTTTCAAAAACGGTAATAAAGAAACCACCAGTATTTTGTAAATGAGGATAGACTCTAATACAACGGTTTAAATTGAATTTGGCAGCTTCTTCTTCTGATGGAGGGAAAACAGTCTCTGGAACATCTTCTGCTCCTCTTTCTCTGACTTCCATATCTTTTCCAAACACTTGCCACTCATTAATACCTTGGCGTCTAATTAAACCTTTTAATTCTTGATCACAATCAACTAATTTAATTTGGTCTCCCCATTTTCTTAAAGCTGCTGAAACAACAGCTTCATTTTCTACTGGTGACATAGAACAAGTTGAATATACTAATCTTCCACCTTTCTTTAATAATTGTAAACCTCTATTCAAGATGTTAATTTGTAATGGATGTAATCCTAAACCATTACCAACGGTGAAATCTTTCCATACATTAACATTTTTTCTCATAGTACCATCACCTGAACATGGCACATCACATAAGATTCTATCATATTTTAAGAATTCAGTAGCATTATTCAACTTAATTCTTGGGAAAAGGGTTGCATCATGATTGACAACCATGAAGTTTGGAGAATTTAATCTTTTGACTTGATGGACTAACATATGAGATCTTTTATAATCTGAATCATTGGCAATGACAAACCCAGTGGCTAATTTCTTATCGTCATCAGCATGTAAAGCTTCCACTAATTGGGCAGTTTTAGAACCTGGAGCTGCACACATATCTAAGACAGCATGATGTGGTTTCACATCCATTAATAATGGTGGAATCATCGATACAGCTTCTTGTCTTGAAATATTACCTACTTCAGTTTCAATGACTAAGAAACGTTGAGTTTTGGCAAACTCTTTTTGTTTTCTAATTACGCCTTTAGAAACATGTAATTGCCATCCAAGATCATCAGGATAATATGCTAAAGTATTTGGAGTTAATTTGATGCCTTCAAATTCTGTATCCCTTAATTTTGAGACATGATCGTTGATGAATTTTTCTTTGATTTCATTGGCATGGGCTCTGGAACCTGTAATTCTGAAAGTCAAAGGAAGACTGTCTTGACATGCACTTTTGAAACTATCCCATTCATCTTCTGGAATAATATTCATAGCCTTATAATACTTTTCCCATTTTTCACTTTCTCTAACTGCTTCGGTCCAGCTACTACCTCTATCGTCACCACTAGCTTCTGGTCTCTTACCAAAGTTTTTCTTATCACTTCTACCTCTTCTGAAATTTCTCTTTCCCATGTTGGCTATTACTTTAGAGATATATCGGCTACTAAGCATGTATATTTAAAAATATAATTTTCTGAGATGTGATAAAAAAATTTCGCAGTTTATAGATTGTTAGAAATTTTGGTAGTGTAAAGATAAAATTTCGATAGACCATACCACAATCACTATCAACTACTATGTCTTGCAATGAATGTAATAATATCTACAATGTATTTCTTCAAATTGATAGGAAATCATAATTATTTGTACATTTTTGTTTTATTTTTATTCGTTTACTAAAAGGCAATCTCTTTGATTTTAAATTTACAGGAAGACATATAAAAAGAATTGAAGAATTTGTTTTACTTTATTTTAATTGAATTACAGATTGTGACATTTTCCATTACCTCTAGAAGAATCACGATTCATTTTAATAGAATCATTTTAACCCAAGAATCCCAATTTACCCCAAAATTTCAGAAATAACTATCTGATCCTCCGTTCGCTATTCCCGCCGCAATAGTATCAATGTCTGGTTCATCATGTGTAAGCTGTTTCGTCAATTCATCGATATTAGGATGACCTTTAGAACCGGTATGGAGGTGTAAATCATCATTGGGCTCATCAGTAATAAAATCATCATATCTGTAGTCTTCGATATCTTCTTTTGAACCAGGTATATTATTTGATTCATTCCCATTGTGGTGTAAGTCTTCAGATTCTTGTTTAACCTTTACATCTGTTCCTTCAAATTGGGAAAATAATGCTGGCAGATCTCCGTTTGCTGTGGCTTCAGTTGTTTCAGCTTCGATATTACTTTGTTCTTCTGGTGCAACAACGCCATGGATAATGTGTTCTTCATTAATAAATCCATCTTGGGATTCAGGATCTAATTGTTCTTCCATATATTGTGATTCTTCGCCAATTTCCTCGGGATGTTCTCCTGTCAAAGGAGTATCTGTATTAGAAGCAGCATTCAGGTATGAGTTACTGTCTATTATTTCATTCAGCTTTAAGGATTCTTCTGGTGAATCTCCTGAAGCAGCAGCTGCAGCTGCTGCTTGTTTGGCTTGTCTCTTTGAAGCTCTTGTTTCTCCACGTTCTTGTCTAATAGCTTGTTGTTCTCTATATTTTGCTAAATATATCTTTAAAACTTCAGCATAGTTTTCAAACCCTAAATCATGCATGGAGTATAATATATCTTCACCATTTATAGTTTTACGTTTTTCTCTTAAGCATTTATCACTAGCTTCACTAGTTATAAACGATATAAATTCAGATACACATTCTTGCATACATTCTTTAGCATCCTTAGAAACCTTGGCTGTGGTTGGTAAAGTATTTTTCATTAGTCTAGCAACATTGGCTATTGGTAACCACCGATCTTGTTCGCGTAACTCCACATCTTGAGTATTAATACTATTGGGATCCATTTTTCAATTAATTCAAACAAAATCTCAAATTATATCTTTGCAGCATGTATATATTAAAAGAAAGGTACAAGCTGGATTGGTGATGTGAAACACAACAGTAAAACAACACTATATTGATTTAAAATGTAATTTTCAGTACTATGAAGTAATATTACAAAAGACTGGTTCGTCAATGGTTATTTTTTTTGGAGTTCATTTTTTAAAAATGGTTGAATTTTCGCTTTGGGAGTAACACTATTTTTTACATGTTGTGTTAAGCATTATAACAATTTACATGTTAATTTTTTTTTTTGATTCGTGTGGAGATTATTTATTGGATTGAATCAATAGATTTTGGTGGTGAATGTCTGATCACACTAGTTTACAGACCTCTGATGATAAGGCTGGTTCTGATGATAAAGAAAATGTGTCCATTGGAGGCTCAGTCGGTGGTGCCTCGTTATTAATGGCAGTTCAAATCATTACGAAATTATTTACTTTTGCATTAAATCAATATCTTATACAGTTCATTTCTCCTAACGTATTTGGAATATCAGCATATTTGGAATTCTTGATTTCTTCAATTTTATTTTTCAGTCGAGAAGGTATTAGAATAGCGATTCAAAAATTGAGTTTGACAGATCCTGTTACAGATGAAAATAAGGATGAGGTAGATCATCTTTCAAAGGTTGGTTTGAACCAAAGTATTATAAACAAAGGGTTCTTGCCCTTGATTGTTGGTATTCCAATCACTATACTCATAGGAATATGGCAATACAACTCACACAGCTTCGAGACTGGTTTGCAACAATTAAATTATCATCATTATACCATATTAATTACAGTTATTCTGATTTTTGTTGAATTGGCCATTGAACCAATCTATGTATTAAACCAATTCTTGTTGAATATTAAGAGAAGATCACAAATCGAAGGTTTGGCTGTTTTCTTTAGATGTGTTATTATTGTTGGTATTATTTTGGTGATCAATAAGTTTGAATTACTAGAAGATGATTTTACTGGCGTTGCAGTCCTTGCATTTGCTTTAGGTCAATTGGCATATTCTTTAGTTTTAGCCGTTGGTTACTTATCAGTCTTTATTTGGGAAAACAAAAGAGGTGATAATGAGAAATTACAATTAAAGATTCAACGTATTTTCTATAAATCTGAAAAGTCACTTTACTTTCATCCAAAAGCTTTGAAGACTTGGAAAAATTTATTTTTACAAATGATATTTAAGCAAATGTTAACTGAAGGTGATAAAATGCTAGTTAATTATTTCTTTTCAGTCAAGCAACAGGGTATTTATTCCGTTATGTCAAATTATGGTTCTATTTTAGCTAGATTGGTGTTTCAACCAATTGAAGAAACGGTTAGATTGCTGTTCAGTAAAAGTCTTTCTGCTTTAGATTGTAACATTAATGAAGTTAAGCAATCATATAAGTCATTAAAGTTGATCTCATTGCTTTATTTTAATCTTTCAATATTAATACTATTGGCAGGAACCACGAATGCTTCTTATTTGCTAACCATAATATTGGGCCGTGGAGGATCTTCGAAGTGGGTAGGGAGTGAGATATTCAGCTTGTTTCCTACATATATATCGTATCTTCCACTTTTAGCATTCAATGGTATATTTGAAGCTCTCTTCAGTAGCTTGGCTACAGATAAGGATATTAGACAATCTTCTGTGTTTATGACATCATTGACTATTTCGAGTTTACTCTTACTGGTGGTACTTATAGAATATTTTCATTTGGGACTTACAGGTTTAATTGTTTCAAATGCTTTCAATATGGCACTGAGAATTACTTACTGTGCATCCAAAATAACAGCCTTTTATTCTTCATTCGGGATTCAAGTGTCTATTTGGAAAATTATTAATTATTTGAAAAGTAGTATTCTTGTCGCTGCTATATTTGCATTTGTTCAATATAAATTTGTGCTTAAAGGAGAAGGTTTATCCACAAAGAGTCACTTGCAATTTTTTGAAAGTTGTTTAGTGGCGTTATTATGCTTGATACTGTTGCTTTTGTTGGAACTTAAGTCTATCAAGGAAACAATTGGAGCCAGAAGATCAAAAGTTAAGTCTTTGTGAAATATATAGAACGTAATTAGGAATTAAAAAAACAATAAAAGTTTCAGGTATTTTGTTTAAAAATGTATCTACAATTTAGTTTATCTTTAGTGAAGACGTTCAGTAAAAAAAAATTGAGTTGTCACAACAAATACTAACAAGAATCCTTACCATAGCCAAAGACATGCCATCCACTTCGCCTCCACCACGGGTAACATGCTGTGCTGAATTTCTTCCCTCCAGCGATATTGTTACTCATTACCCAGTACCGTTCAGTTGATTACTCAAACTGTATTGAACTATACCGCAGGGATCGAACTGGACATCTCAATGTAATAAGATTTCTGAAGTACACGGTCATCGCGCTTCTGCCAACGGCCATCACAGCCAATTTCTAAAATTTTTCAGTAATCGATAAGTTCTTCGTATCACGATCTTTTTATCACGTGTTCGTTTTTTAAATGGGTAATTACTATCTAAATAATTAAGAAATGTAACCTTTTGTACCTTTATATATGTATATAATAACGGGAAGTAGTATATACATTCAGCTTGAACAAATTTGCATATTTTCTTGTTCAAAAATTCGAAGGATTAATTTTGGTGGATTTGAGCTGTTAAATTGAACCGTAAAAAAGAGAAGAATGAAGGATGAGACTCTTAATCCACAGACTACTTCTAAGGTTTAACTATAGTCTGAATCTTTATGATAATATAGCATTGGAATTCAAATTCAACGACAATGTCAATTGTTGATTTGCTGAAAACTGTGGAAAATTTGGCAAAGGTTGTAAATCAAAAGAATAAAGAGCTCGAAGAACTTAAGAAGGAATATGATGAAAAGTTACAAATAATAAACTCCTATATACTGAAAATTCAAAGTATAGCTCCTTCTACTGAGTCTAAAACTCTTCTCGAGGTAGAAAGTTCAAGCTTAGACATTTCCGAATTCCTGCTGGTTATTTCAAGTACAATTAATTGTAATAAATGTGATGCTATGATTTGGGATAATCAGAAAGAGACAGATTTTGTATTAATTCCAAGACATAAACTTCAATATTTACTAGCATCTACAAAAGATGTGCTGCCAGAATCTACCTTACTGGATGTCACCGAACAAGTGAAAGCATTTAGCATTCGTAAGACTCCTGTGCTGGAAAATTCTACAATTCACAACACTCCACATAGCTCCTACAGTAATAAATCAAAAAGACTCTGTTCATTCTGTAAAAAGCCAGGACATTCTAGAGCTAAATGTAACCTACGTTTAAGTATGCCGATTAACGAACTGCAATCATTGGAATAGATTTTTCTGTTAGTGGATAAAGATCTGTGTTGGAAGTTTCTATTTAGAATTTGTATAGTAACAATGTAAACTTAAAATAATTCGTATATTACACTAATTTATTATTTAAATAACCTATTTAGCCGATTGGACTAAAGCTTCTATAAGTTAAAATGTTAGTAAAGGCTTTGTAAAATATTGTGGGAAAAAGAATAAACTTACCTCTTCTGGAAGCATCTTGTAATAATGTACAATCCACAGATGAAGAACTCAAGTGAACATAACGAACAGTCGAACCTCTTATGAATAAGGTCTTTACTGACTTTAGATGTGGGTATTTGCTTTCGTTGACTGTTGAAATATTATCTATTTTCAAATTTAAATATTGGTCGACTGATTTTAAAGTTCCTCTGATTTCAATATCATTCTTTAATTCAACTGTGACTTCTTGATCAACAAGAGTTTTGAAGAAACTGAAAAATAGCATCTTCTATGTATTATATGATGGATATGCTAATATGATTATGATTTGTTCTATATGATTAAACATTTTAGAAGAAAATTTAGCACCAGTTCAAATTCAAGTTGAAGAAAAAAAAAATGTTAACTTTTGCTTATATAATCAGTTATCTATACACTATATAATTAATGTATACCTCTAAAATCCATTTTGAATAACAATTGCTCCAGAACATCAGTATGTATAAGATCTTGATAGCATTTTTGGGTTGACACAGATGTCTGATGACATTGTTTTACTCAAATTTAAACTTTTTGTAGATGCTGATACTGGACTAGATGCTAATCTTAAATCAATTTTAGAAACTGGTTTGATTGGGCTTGAGAAAAACTTTGGTATAAGCGTTGGTCTGTATGAATGAAGGCCTGTTCTTAGTTTTCTCTTTTCGACGACAATCCCATGCTTTTCTAACTCATTTAATTTATAATTAGTTGGTAGGTTAAAATTTGCATAGACGGGGAAGTCTAATACAGCTGTTTTCTCTAACACAGGTTCTGCTTTCTCATTAGATTTAAAATACTCATTTATTGAATCTAAGCTTCCTCTGCTTGGTAATCCTTTAATTGGTTGGGTATCATTATCTTTTGAAATTGATAAATTTTCTTGTTTGGATATTTCACAGCTTTTCGCAACAACATTGAAATTTTTCATTTTAGCAAAGTACTTATTTTCAATATTTTTGCCACCTCTAATATTACTGTATAATGGCTTCACAACTTTATATTCCTGAATAAACTTGGTGTTCTTCTCATTGAGGACATTCAATCCAAATACCACCTTCAAATTTGATGACGTTTCCACGATAAGAGTAGAATCCGTTCTTGTGAATGTAGAGCTGCTCTCTTTTGCCTTTTTAACTGGTGCAACTTCCTTATCTGAACGTGGTTTAATAGGTATTTTCAAATTACACTTCGCTTCTTTAGCAGGAGTTTCGGAATTAACTTTTGAATTAGGCAACTGGACATTTTGTTTCAATCCTTTATAATTGGATGGAGACCTACCTCGTATTATTAGTGATGGCGTGTGAGAATATGCCACTAATAGCTTCTCGCCGGTTTCAGTTACTCCCATTAATTCAACTCGAAGCCTGAAATGTTTGCTAGTTGTAACTGTCTTTTTACAATCCAATGAAGAGGCAAATTGTACTCTCTCATATTTGCAAACCTTTGTAATTTGATTGTTTGGATAACTTCTTAATATAGAATCTTTCGATAATTTCCCATAATTTGAAATTTCACCTTTAAACATTTGATTGAAAAGAGCGATCTTCTTGTCATTTCTAATATTGGCTACCAGTTTAATAATTTCATGTCCTGGAAGTTCACTTGTAATAACCGGAAGCTCTGGTGGTGGATATTGTGGACCACGATCTCTTTTAGCTGTATGCTGGACCAACGGCAGTTCTAAGTCGTCTTCACAACACAAGGAAACCAATCTCATAGTAAAATAAGTGATATTTATAGTACTGTCACCATCCACAATTTTGAATCTTTCCTTTAGAAATAAGGATTCATCTTGATTTTTAAATTGAAATGATGCTACCAACGTGAAGTAGTTTCTCTTATACCCTATCCAAAGATCATTTATTTTATCAAAACCCCTATCAACACGAGCTGTAACAATGGGGATTATTACTTTGTTATTCAGCTTCAAGATGATGGATCGAATTATATGTGTGTTACTGAATGGAGGTCCTACCTTATACTGCTCTCCCGATCTTGGTGCTGTCTTTTTCTTGGTGAACATGGTTGGATAATTTGGTTTATTGAGATTATCTGACTTATGTATTAGGATTTCAACTATCTTATTAACAAATGAATACTTCTGAATTAGAAATCTTTAAGTAGGAGATAATTCTATTTGTGGTAAACAATTTGTAAATATTAAAATGTGTTTTCGAAAATAAGCGCTGGAAATAATCCGTGATCGCGAATTTTGCAATCACATACAAACGAGATAGAATCATCATTTTTGATAAATAATTCCTGAGTAAAGCACTTGAAAAGAGTTAAGTGAGACTAACCATCTTCAGAAACACTCTTCAACCAACTCCTGGAGATTCTGGTACTTTGGAATCAGGTTGTAAACAAACTATTAGGCTACCATATTTTGCAATATTTCTTTGGTAACCGCACGAATCTGCTAGATCAAATAGTTCAAAAAAAATTATTTGAGCGATGCCTTGGATAAATTTATTGAACTATTACTAGACCAACCATACAAAGAACTATCATCAATGGGTAAAAAAGCAATCGATGCCCGTATACCGGCTCTTATAAGGAATGGTGTTCAACTGAAGGAAAGAAGTTTTTTCTTTATTGTGGGTGATAGAGCTCGTAATCAGTTACCAAACTTGCATTATTTAATGATGTCTGCCGACTTAAAGATGAATAAATCAGTGTTGTGGGCTTATAAAAAGAAATTGTTAGGATTCACTTCTCATAGACAAAAGAGAGAAGCCAAGATCAAGAAAGATGTTAAAAGAGGTATAAGAGAAATCAACGAACAAGATCCATTTGAAGCTTTTATATCGAATCAAAATATTAGATATGTCTATTATAAAGAAACTGAAAAAATCTTAGGTAATACCTATGGTATGTGTATCTTACAAGATTTTGAAGGTCTTACTCCTAATTTATTGGCCAGAACTATTGAAACAGTAGAAGGTGGAGGTTTAGTGGTTATATTATTGAAATCCATGACATCTTTAAAACAATTATATACTATGACTATGGATATTCATTCAAGATATAGAACCGAAGCACATGACGATGTTGTTGCCAGATTCAATGAAAGATTCTTATTATCATTAGGATCTTGTGAAAATTGTTTAGTTGTTGATGATGAGTTAAATGTTTTACCTATTTCAGGTGGTAAGCACGTCAAGGCATTACCCCCACAAGATGACGACGAACTCACTCCTAAAGCACAAGAATTAAAGGATTTGAAGGAAAATCTTGCTGATGTTCAGCCTGCAGGTTCTTTGGTTGCTTTAACCAAGACAGTCAATCAAGCACAAGCAGTGTTAACTTTTGTAGATGTTATTTCAGAAAAAAGTTTAAGAAACACAGTAACTTTGACTGCTGGTAGAGGTAGAGGTAAATCAGCTGCTCTTGGTATTGCTATTGCTGCTGCAGTTTCTCATGGATATTCCAACATCTTTGTTACTTCTCCATCTCCAGAAAATTTAAAAACCTTGTTTGAATTTATCTTCAAAGGTTTTGATGCATTAGGTTATTCTGAGCATTTAGATTATGATATCATCCAATCTACCAACCCATCATTCAATAAAGCCATTGTAAGGGTTGATGTGAAAAGAGAACATAGACAAACCATTCAATATATCTCCCCTAATGACAATCAAGTTTTAGGTCAAGCTGAATTACTTATTATTGATGAAGCTGCCGCTATTCCACTTCCAGTAGTCAAAAAATTAATGGGTCCATATTTGATTTTTATGGCTTCAACCATCAATGGTTATGAAGGTACTGGTAGATCATTATCATTGAAATTAATCCAACAATTACGTAATCAATCAAATGCCGATTCTGATAACAATGATACTGTTGTTGTCTCAAGAGGTAAGAATTCAAATTATGAACCTGAAGTACGTGGTAGAAAATTACGTGAAGTTGTTTTAGATGAACCAATCAGATATGCTCCAGGTGATCCTGTTGAAAAATGGTTAAACAAATTGTTATGTTTAGACGTTTCATTGTCTAAGAATGCCAAATTTGCAACTAAAGGAACTCCACATCCTTCACAATGTAATCTTTTCTATGTTAACAGAGATACTTTGTTTTCTTATCATCCAGTTTCAGAAGCATTCTTACAAAAAATGATGGCTCTTTATGTTGCATCACATTATAAGAATTCTCCTAATGATTTACAATTAATGAGTGATGCTCCAGCACATCAATTATACGTTCTTTTACCACCTATTGAAGATGGGGACAATAGAATCCCTGATCCATTGTGTGTGGTTCAACTTGCATTAGAAGGGGAAATTTCCAAGGAAAGTGTTCGTAAATCATTATCTCGTGGTCAAAGAGCAGGTGGTGATTTAATCCCATGGTTAGTTTCTCAACAATTCCAGGATGATGAATTTGCGTCATTATCAGGAGCAAGAGTTGTTAGAATTGCTACTAATCCAGAGTATTCTGGTATGGGTTATGGTTCAAGAGCTCTTGAATTTTTACAAGATTACTTTGAAGGGAAATTCACTGATATTAGTGAATCTAATGTTTTAGATGATCACACTATTACTAGAGTTTCTGACAAAGAGTTAGCCAACGCCTCATTAAAAGACGAAATTAAACTTAGAGATGCTAAGACATTACCACCTTTATTATTAAAATTATCTGAAAGACCGCCTTACTTCTTACATTATTTGGGTGTTTCATATGGTTTAACCCCACAATTACACAAGTTCTGGAAAAGATCCGGATTCGTGCCTGTTTATTTAAGACAAACTGCTAATGAACTTACAGGTGAACATACCTCAGTCATGATTAAAACCTTGGAAGGAAGAGAAAGTGGATGGTTGAAAGAATTTTCTAAAGATTTTCATAAAAGATTTTTAGAATTATTATCTTACGAATTTAAGAAATTCTCTGCTGTTCAATCTTTAAATATCATTGAAGCAACTGGTTTCGAAGAAACTAGCAAGAAACTTGATCGTACTTATGTTGATGATTATCTTACTCCATTTGATTTGAAACGTTTGGACTCTTATGCTAACAATTTGTTAGACTATCATGTGATTGTTGATATGTTACCATTCATTTCACGTATCTATTTTTCCAAGAGGGTAGGAAGTGAAGTCAATTTATCATCTGTCCAAGCTGCTATTTTATTAGCCGTTGGTTTACAACATAAAGACATGGATCAAATTTCAAGTGAATTAAATTTACCCTCCAATCAATCTATGGCTATGTTTGCTAAAATTATTCGTAAATTTGCTGTTTATTTCAGAAGTGTTTTGAGTAGAGCTATTGAAGAACAAATGCCTGCTTTAGAAGATGAAGCTGTTAAGGAAATGGATGGAAACTCTGAACATGTTGATTATGATGCCATTGAAAAAGAATTAGAGGATGATTTGCAAGAAGCTGGTAATGAGGCTATAAAGGAATTAAGAATGAAACAAAAAGAGTTGATTAATGCCATAAATTTGGATAAATATTCCATAGCTGATGATGGTGATTGGAATGCCGCTGAAGATTCCTTAAAAGCTGCTGCCAAAGGAAAAGGTGTGGTTAGTGTTAAAAGTGCTAAAAAGAGAAAATCTACAAGTAATGCTACTGAAATCTATGAAAGTGAAATGAAGAGCGTTTCTAAAAAGCCAAAAAAGAGTCAAAAGCAAAAATAAAATGATATAATTAAATAGAATATCTCATTGTATATAACTGTATATTACTATATTAAAGCCAATATATTAAAAGTATCAAGGTAACCGGACCTTATTGAATGCAACACGTAAAAGTTCTAAAGTTCTAAAATATTAATAATTTACTTGATCTCCTCTATAACCGAGTCCAATGACCAATCCACAAGGTCATATAAAGTATTCCCATTATCGTTCTTAATATCATGAATTCTATATTGTTGTTTTTTCAATGGTATCAAGTTCAGACTCACATCCTCATTTTCAAACAAATAGGAATGACTGCTTACAAAAGCTGGCCAAACAATTTTTTCAAAATAATGAGGAGGATCAACCCAAAACCCTTCCACAGTACTATACCCTTTTCTTGATTCTCTTCTATCTTTAAGAGTTTCAAATGAAGCACGGAAGAATAAGCTGACATCAAATAATTCCATTAATCTTGGATCATGGAAAAGCATGAAACCATCTATCAACACAAACAAAGTTTTATCAGCATCTGGAATGTTAGTTTTAATCTTTTTTGTAAAATGTTGTTCCTCCTCTTCTGTTAATTTAAGATCAACCTTTGCTTCTAATGAGTCTAGTTTCTTAGATAATCCCTTTCCCTGTTTCAAATTCTTAATATATTCAATAAATCCTTCAAAATTTATAGCTTCAGGACAATCCCAGTTTTCAAGCTTAGTAACTGGATCGATAGGGATTTGTGAATCAGGTAAATAAAAATCATCTAAATGAACAAGGATAGAATGTTTGAATAAAGCTTTGACAGCAGCTGAAGAAGTAGTTTTCCCTGAAGAAGAAGGCCCTCCAAATGCAACTAATACGATTTTATGGAATTTATGTACAGGGTCTTCTCGTGTCATTGTGTGGTTTATCACCTTCCATTCATTCAAAAGAAGACTTCTGATAATGAATAATATTCCCTATCAAATTAATCAGGTTTTTTTTTTTTTCCTTTCTTTCTTTCTTTTTTTTTTGATAGTGACTCATCTCTTAATTTAAGGATGGGTCACCGACACAAATATGCGCTAAAGTGTAGATAGGGTCATCACCATAGTTAAGGGTGTAAATAAAATACTCAATGTTAGAGTCAACCTAGTTAATGTAGATTATTTATAGAAGTAGACATTATTGGTGATAGCTTGGTCAATTTACCATCGGAGTTGTAGAGAGTCTTAGTAATTGTCGATCAGTTATCATATCAGGGCACCATTTCATAGCTTACTAAACGCTCACTCAAAATTCTAAAACTGTTGAGACAAACCCCACGAATAGTATGTTACATTTCCATGACTGTAACCTTAATACATATGAATGTACCAACAATCTTATAGATAACGTGGAGAAGGAGGGGACCGGAGGAACTAAGTTTAAAATATGTAAAGATAACAATAAACAAATAAAAAGGAGTAGGAGTGAAAAGGAAAGTTTAAGAGGAGGAGTTTAGAACTTTAGTTTGGAAGCAGCTTCGAATTAGAGTTGAGTTGCATGGGTTGTACCCTTTAGTAAACTTTTGACTTAAATGTTCCTTACATTTCTCCCCTCGCTCGTACTCATCATTATGTTAGGTTTTATGATTATCCATTTCCGAAATTGGATTGGACCTTCATTAACCAACATATACTTGATTTAAATTTAATTTTATTATATTAAAAGTAAGGAGTACTTTGAGGAGTAGGAGGCGGCTAGTTTTATTTTGCAATTTATGAACCACAAATCATGATGAGACAAGGATTTTATTTTATATGTATAATAGGCCCACATTTTCGATATCCTTAAGGTTATACCACTTGGTAAACTAATAATAATTAATTTTTAAAATGTGTTAAATTAGCCATCGCCATTAATTATCGTAAATATAAAGTGATGATAAGGGTAAAGCTAAAAAATATGATAAGTAGTATATTAAATGGAACTAAAAACTGCATTTTATAGCGAAATTTAACCTTTTAACAACATTAACCCTTTAAAGTAATTCAATAAAATAATAATTTAAGACAGTTTTAACCAAGTTTGAAATGCAAATCTTTATAAAACATGATCTATATCTGTGGGAATCCCTTAACTTGCAGCACGATAAAAGATCAAATCGTTAAAGCCTAAACACACGACATCAAACCATTGATAATGATAAAAGACTCTATAGAATAGCAATCTATGCCAACATAAGTATGTGGTACCTTGATGCAAAAGACGGAGAACCAATTATTGAAAAATAAACATATAATGAACATTAGTGGAAGTAATTACTATGCATCAACCTTTACTGAATCTTTTTAGGAACTAAAATTTCAAGTTTTGGCTGCCCAACAATGCACCCTTAAGTCCTGCACTGCGGGCACTCACTAGTATCATTTACTAATTAAGTATTGAAATAATGGATAACTTGAATTAATTAAAATTTCCAAATGTAGACTTTACTGTATCAGAAATCAATATTGTATCCCAAAATGGTTAAAGATTATAGTTTAACGCTAAATTTTCATTACATTTCCCAATTAGGAAAAGATGAAAAAAAAAATTGCGATCACAAATTTTATTATTTTTTTTTGTACGATAATTAATAGCAGCTAAAATTTCTATTTGGTTACTTAAATTATAACCATAGGGTGTTGCTCAATTCAAGTTATTTTATTTGTGTTTTATGTACTATATTGTATAGTATATGTATATATATAACTAAAATCAATTCCTTAAAAATTTCATAAGATAATTTTAATAATTTTGGTAAAGGATTTTTTATTTCTTTCTTCATTTCTCAAGGGAAAAGTCCGTCGCCCCTGTTCCTTTGGTTATATATAACTTGTCTTTCCTAAATTGTTTAAATTTTTGCTTTAAACTATCATATATACCCCAGATTTATCATATTCTATCTTACTCCTCCGCAAATAGAATTTGTTTCATTCACCTTTTGAAAGGGGCTATCACATTTTATACCTTTTTTTCTGAGTCTCCTAGCTTTTTTTTTGCATTCATTCGTTTTTTGTTGTTGTGATAACTATCTATTTGCAATTCAAGTGTTTATAGTCGTTACATTTCAATACCTTCAAATCCCTACATTCAGACTTGTTTTTAATTTAAATCCTTTTTGTTGTGATTTGCTTTCTATGAATTTTTAAATAACCATTATCAAGCTGTTATCCCTAATTAATCTAATGAGTGCGTCTCCGGCAAATGAGTTGGCCCTGCCTTCCGCCACAAGCACAACTTACGAACAATCATATCAACCAAAATCTTTCCAAAGGAAGGAATTTCAGGTTTCATCTTCAACTGCAAATGCAACCCCTCCAGCACAGATTATACCCCAAGAAAATCCGGTACCAGTAGCGAGTAAAGAAGCTTCAGTACCAGAAAGCCTGGTGGAGATCATAGAAAATAACGAAGTGAATAAAGAAAAAGAAGTTATAGAAGATGCTACTCCAGAGTCTGGTGACGATGATTCCAAGAAAATCTCACCTTCAAGTCAAAAGTTTCTTTCCAACTTGAAGAGTTTTAATATTGATAGGACTAAATATAAACATTATGGACATCAATCTCTGATGAATGCTCAATCATTAACTAAAATTATTAGTGAAGCTCAAGTTAAACAAGAATATAACTCTTCTAATAATTCTCCCATTTCAAACAATAGAATAGTTATAGATGAGAGAATATCTCAAATTTTAGGTTTACCTCAACAAGTTACTGAAGAAGAATCATTTTGGCCATATAATATAGATACGCTTAACGAAATACTTCGATTTAAAGTTGAACAAGAAAAAACCAGACAGGAATCTATTAAAAGTGAATTTGGAACTACTGCAGTTGAATTATTAAAATTAGCTAAATCAATGAATATTAGTGGTGATTTGATTCCATTTTTGTTTATATCAAATGCTGTCTCAGTGGATAATTTAAAGGTTAAGATTGAAAAGTTGAAAAATGAACCTCAAGAATTGATCGATGAATTAGCTCAAAATTCAAGAGAGTTAGCTCCAGAGATATCAAGATTTAGTTCTATCATGTCTCATAATAACAATACATCAATCGAAACCATGGCATCATCAACTTCAGGAAACAATGTGATGGGTCTAAAAAGAAAATTCTCTGATACCCAATTGCCATCATTTTCTGAAACGGCTGAAAGCATTAAAGCCAGCAATAGTAGTTTTGTATCTCCTACCACAAGATCACCAAATAAACTGCCTACTGCTGGCCATAGAAGAGTTAGCTCTGATACATCTGAAGCTACCAAAGTGACAACTTCTCCACCTTCTAAAACTCATTTACCATTACCACCTACGAGCTATCCTCAACTCCAACAGCAACCACTGCATCAACAACAACCTCAACATTATCTGCCGGATTTGCAACCACAAATGGCTCCACAGAATACTTCTTATCCTGTTTATTATACCCCTCAACCCATGGTTCATCCTAAGGATCAAGCAGCAGGAAAAGTATTAGGATCACCATATTCACAAAAATATCAACCAGTGTTATACCAAACTCCTGGTCCACATAGTGTACCACCTCAATCTCAACCACCTCAAGCTCATTATCAAGGTGAATATATTGCCCAACCTCCACAACAACATTATCAATATTATATTCCATCACCTCCAAATAATGCTGGTCAATATATGATTCAAGGTCCTGGCATGGTTAGAATGCCTCCACAACAACAACCGCAACAACAAAGGCCACCACCACCGCATCATATTCCACCTCCCCCACAGGAACAACCTGTACCGACCCATCAATTTCAATCACCACCAGATCTGAGTAACAATAGAGGAGTACCAATATTCAAATCGGCTGAGATTCATGAGGATACTAGTCCATATAAGAAACAAAGGTCATCTTCAAAGAATACTAGTATTAACTTTATGATTACTACACCTAAGAACCCTCCTGCTAGAAAGTACAATAATCCTCATAAAGATAAATAACTAACTAACTAACTGAAAAGTGAAAATTCAAATCTATTTGCTTTCATTCAATTCTACAGTATCATAATATAAATTGCATAACGTGTGCTATTTAATTGATATATACAATTATATAGTCTATACCCTTTTTTAAGTCTACTTCTCTGAATTTCATAATTTACATTCTATTTAATTTAATTTCTATCAATCACATGTAATGATTTAGTCATTTGGACTACTGCAAAAAAGCCATTTATTTTCCCTTTAGTCCCCACAGATATGGCTCCAAAAAACGTTTTATTAAAATTATAAGGTTGATTTTTGCGCTTGCGGGTAAAAGGTCCGATACCAAACGACATTATTTTTTTGTCTCTTCCAGATAGCCGTTGCCTGAGCCGGGTCGGTATAGCTAAGCTCATATTAAAAAAAATATGACATGAAATCAAAAAAAAATAAAAAAAAAGAAATTCACAAAAATTTAAAATTTTAAAGAAAAATATAAAATCAGTACAATCTGCCCGGTTTACTAACCAAAAGTCCGGTATTTAAAAACGTCATGATATGCCAAAAGTGTTAGTCATATATACAACAACTGATTAAGATCTGGCGACTTTTCCCTTCATCATCTAGAGTGATAGACGTTACATTGATATACGAGTTAGAGATCTATATATAGCTCTGATTCAGCCCTTTAAATTAAGTTTTCAATTTACGAAGTCATTTTTCCGGTTATTTTATTTCATGACAATTAGTAATCTCGTGCTAAGCACATTTCATATACTTTCAAACATATAATGGTAGATAGTGAAGCTTCCATACATAACTATGATGATGATATCAAGGTCCAAAAGGATCTTGAACTTAATGGTGTTGAAAGTCAAAGAGAATTAGAACCTCCTTATACAATCTTTAATCAACATGAAAAATATCTTTTGATATTAATTCTTTCTATGGTAGGGTTTTGGAGTACAGTATCAAGTCCAATCTATTTCCCCGCCTTGCCTACTTTATCTAGATATTTCAATACAACTCCTGCTATTATGAACCTTTCAGTGGTAGCTTATTTATTATTTCAAGGAATTGCCCCCACGCTATCTTCAAATCTTGCTGATAGTTTCGGAAAAAGACCTTTAATCATTGCATCAATCCTCATTTATGTGGCATCCTGTATAGCTCTTTCTCAAACTAATGTGTACTGGTTATTAGCAGTGCTAAGATGTATTCAAGCTGCTGGTATTGCACCAGTTATTGCTATTAGTTCAGGTGTGGCGGGTGATGTTTGTACAGCTGTTGATAGAGGTGGCTTTGTCGGTGTGGTAGCAGGATTCCAATTAGTTGGAAATGGGTTAGGTGGTTTAATTGGTGCCGTACTTATCAGTCAATTCAATACATGGAGAGCAATCTTTATATTTTTGGCTATAGGTGCTGGAGTAACATTGTTGTTTTCATTGGTTTGTTTACCTGAAACAGCAAGAAACTTGGTCGGAAATGGATCAGTTATTCCTAAGAATATAATTAATAAATCAGGAATGATTTATCTTCCTCATTTCAGAAAGAAGTTGAATAATGAAGTAAGTACTTTAGCTGATAAGAATCCATTTGATTTCTGGAGTCCATTTAGAATCTTCTTCAAAATGGAAGTATTCTTCACTTTATTACCAGTTGGTATGCAATTTGCTGCCTGGACCATGGCTTTGACTTCGATTTCAACTGTCTTGGAACAAAAAGATGGTTACAACTATAGTGTGATGAAAGTGGGGTTAATTTATTTACCTCAAGGTATAGCCTGTTTCTTTGGTTCTGTGGTTACTGGAAGAGCGTTAAATGCATATTATAGATACAGAAGAAAGGGATATGAAGAAAAATACCAAAATGAATTTGAAAGACCACCATTTAATATTGTCAGAACCAGATTAGATATTTGCATTCCTCCTGCTATCATGATGATAGTTGGATTAGTTATTTTTGGATGGTGTTTGCAATATCAACAACACATTGCATCTATTATTATTTCGACTTGTTTAATTTCATTTGCTTCTTCGGCATTCATTTCAGCTGCAACCACCATGTTGGTAGATTTATATCCTGGTAAGGGAAGTGCTTCAACTAGTTGTTTAAATCTTATGCGTTGTTGGTTGGCCGCTTTAGGTTCAGGAGTTTTGGATAAAATGATTTCAGGTTTAGGTTTAGGAGGTTGCTATACTCTTGTAGCAGGTCTTTGCTTGATTGCTGATTTGAGTTTATTTTACGTTTTGCATGGTATTTCAAAGAAGTTAAAGAAATCTGTTCCAAATTCCCCAGTTGCCACAGATTAGAGAAATTCCCCCCAACTTCTTTACTTTTTTATTTGCATTTTATTAGGGATATTTTTTGTATAATTTTCATCATGCTTTTTACATTTACGGGTTATTTAAAAGATGGTTGTGTTTCATCAATTACGCTTTATTGTTGCTACCATTTTCATATTTTTATTTTTGTTTACGATTACGATTACATTAATCAGCATTTTTATAGAGAAAGAGCTTATAGATACATATACAATGGCATTTAATTACATAATTACTATTATTTCATCAACAGCTTGTAGCTAACCCGAACTATTACTCTTAGAACCGTATTCATACCAATTGATATGGCTATATATTCGGGCCACTTCATTTTGGATGCTAAAGGCTGACCGTATTAAGGTCAATTTCCTAATTGAGAAATAAGCCCGCGCGGCACACCATCTTTCCGCTTGCCGTAAGTGTGAGATCAATTTAAAGCCGAAACCGTTGAGAAAAACATTACGCAACCTTAAAAGGTATAAAAGCATGTTAATAGCTGTCTAGTTTTGCAACAAATCATTAATTCATATGCTATAAAATAAACACCAACATACTTGATAATAATTGATATGTCAAGTGAGAAAGAAATAAAAGAAGAAAAATTAGCAGAAACGGAAAATATCCAACCCCAAGATGATACAACAGCCACCGATCTTTCTAATGAAGAGAATCAAATCGGAGTTGATATTATAGAACCTCCATATTCAATCTTAACAGATGCTGAAAAGTATACCATGGTGGGTCTTATCAGTATATCTGGTATATGGTCCACTTTATCTTCCTCCATTTATTTCCCTGCATTGCCAATATTGGCCCACAAATTTAATGTATCATCATCAGTTATAAACATTTCCGTTGTTGCATATTTACTATTTCAAGGTCTTGCACCTTCATTCCTAGCACCACTAGCTGATACATTCGGAAGAAGACCAATGGTGATTTTCTGTACTATTTCATATTGTGCAGTTTGTATTGGTCTTGCAAAGACTAACGTATATTGGCTCTTAGCATTTTTAAGATGTATTCAAGCTGCTGTTATTGCCCCCATTATTGCTGTATCATCAGGAATAAATTCTGATATGATCACAAGAAGAGAAAGAGGTAAGTTTATTGGTTTAACCAGTGGTATCCAATTACTTGGACAAGGTTTCGGTGCTTTGGTCGGTGCTGCATTAGTCCATGGATTTGGATGGAGAGGAATTTTCGTGGCATTGGCTATAGGAAGTGGGTTTGCTGGTATTTGTGATATATTCCTCCTTCCAGAAACCAATAGATCCATTGTAGGTAATGGGTCAATTGCTCCAACAAATATTTTAAACATAGCGCCTATATTGGCTCTTCCTCGCTATAAGAAAAGAATGACTAATGATATTTCTACTAAGAGAGAACGTCCGCCAGCCGACGTTTTGGAAGTTTATAAAATTTTCCTCAAGAAGGAAGTATTCATCACTTTACTTCCAGCTGCTTTTCAATTTGCTACTTGGACTATGTCTCTTACAACGTTATCTACTTCGTTAGAGCAAAGGTATGGTTTGTCTGTGATACATATTGGGTTGTGTTACTTAGCTCCAGGTATTGGGACTTTGCTTGGATCTGTTATCACAGGAAGGATAATGGATCGTATTTATAAAGCGAAAAAAGCAAAGTATGATATCAAATATCAAGACGTGCCAAAGGAAGAAAGACCAGAATTTGATATTCTTACAACTAGAGTTCAATTTACAATTTATCCAACAATTATAACCATCATCTTCACCATTATATATGGATGGTGTATCCAGAAGACAGTAAACCTTTCGATCGTTTTGATTTCAGCCTTTATAATGTCCTATTGTGCTGTGGCATACTTAGGGGCTATGATGACTCTTTTAGTTGATCTTTTCCCTGATAATGGATCTGCTGCTTCTGGTTGTCTTAATCTTATTAGATGTCTCCTTGGAGCTGCTGGTGTCGGAGCTCTTCAACCGATGGTTTCAAGCATGGGTGAAGGAGGATGTTATACTTTAATGGCGGGTTTTTGCTTTATATCTTATGGAATGTTATATTTCATGATTAAGCTGAGAAATAGAAAAAACAATTAAAAGTTCTTTATAATCTACAAACTTGTGTAAAATTTCAAAAAAATATATAGACCTATTAGTACATATATAAATATAAAAAAATAACTAAAAATTATAAGAAGGGAATAATTAAGAAAAGCTCTATCTAAAATAAATTCTCTTTAAGGGAAATTTATACATATACCAATTGTCAAACACCTTATATGAGTTGCTAATCTATTGAGATGCACATTGGACACCTTGACCTTGTTGACCTTCTTCTTCGTCTGAATCGTATGCATCACGTCTGGAACCAGCATTATGTTTATATGGATCAACATCAACAACAGAAACTTCATCAACTTCAGCACCCTTTGGAATTGAAACAGCAGCTCTGGCTGGTAAAATAGATTCTAATTGTTTTAATTTATCTTCATCGGCAAAACCGTTGGCTGGGAATTTAACAGTGAATTTAATGAATAAATTACCTCTACCTCCTTGTCTATAGATTGGCATACCTTGACGTTCAATAACCTTGACGGAGCCAGGAGATATAACTTCACCAGATGAGAGTGTTACCTTTACGTAATCACCAGAAACATGTTTAAAGGCAAAATCACCACCAGCTAAAGCGGTTAATAAATCAATTTCAGCTTCATAGTATAAATCATTACCTTTTCTAGTGAATTTATCATGAGGTCTTTCATCAACAGCGAATATAACATCACCTGGAGTAATACCTGGTTCTTGATCACCTTCACCAGAGAATACAACTCTTTGGCCATCTTTCATACCTGGATCAATATGAACTTGTAATATTTTACGTTCTTGTTGAGTCTTCTTACCTGAACATGTAGTACAACGATCTTTTGGATCACAGATATCACCAGTACCTTGACAGGTATCACAAACAGTTTGCAATCTTTGAATCATTGGACCCATTTGTCTAGTAACAAATCTAGTACCAGAACCATTACAACCAGAACATTTCTTAACTTTACCTTCTTTACCACCTAAACCATTACATGTTTTACATAAAACAGTTTTATTCAAGGCTAACTTGGCGGTTCTTCCTTTATATAATTCTTCTAATGTACAAGAAATAGCATGTTTGATATCTTTTCCTCTGGTTGGACGAGCAGAAGCACCACCAAATGATCCACCAAAGAATTGAGAAAATATATCTTCAGCACCCATTCCACCTGGTCCCCCCCCTTGACCTGATAAACCATCTTCACCATAGCTATCATATACTTCTCTCTTTTGATCATCGGATAAGACATCATATGCGTGTGAAATTTCCTTGAACTTTTCAGCAGCTTCTGGTGAAGAATTCTTATCTGGATGGTACTTCAAAGCAGCCTTTCTGTAAGCTTTCTTTAATTCAGTATCAGAAGCACTTGGTGATACTCCTAAAAGATCATAAAATTTAGTTTCTTTAACCATATTGATATGACGATTACAAACTTGTGATTTATCAATGTATCAGCAAAACAAAGTATTCAATAGTATTATAAAACCTTAGGGGCGATAGAATACAATAAATAACTTAAACCTTGGGTTTATTATTAGAAATCAGATAGTGAGAAGAGAGAGATATTATTAACTATTGGTAATATTAGAATGTTCTTTGGAATTCTATGAGAAAACGCCAAAAAAAAAATTTTTTTTTTTCAAGCAGATTAAACTATTACATACAGGATCATTGATAATGATTGTAATTTGCAACTTAATTGTATATATTTTTGAAAACGATGATAAATTAGAAAAGTATGGTATCTAACCCTTGTGTTCTACTACTTCACTAACTAACTTTCCATTCTTAACGGAGTGGACGAATTGTTCTGGTGCAGCATGCTCTTCGTAATCACCCTCGGTTGGTACATTCACGTTTAAAGCCGTGGTACTACTAGTAAAAATTTGAGTTTCAGCTTCTACGGATTCCTTAGATAAGTAAATGTTAACCTCATCTGATTTATCAACACTGATTATTGGAGCGATATTAATCACTTGAAGGCCAACTTTGTAAGATTTAATAATATCTACTCCGGAAATTAAAGAGTCTAAAACCACACCCACATTACTTGCTTCGGAAATAGAGATTGCGTTAGCCTTACCCTTCAATTGAATAGTAATACCATCAACATTACCAATGAAAACTGATTGATGCATTTCAACATCAATAACTAATGGTTGACCACTTGGAATGTCTGTCTTTGCATAATTTTGGATAATCCATTTGGTTCCATCTACTAACTCTTTCTTAGCTGGCTTCTTCTTGACTGTAGTTGATAAACTGGCAGGCTTCTTTGGAAGAAAAGGTTTCTTAGATTCGAGTGGAGCAGCTTCTCTTAAGGCTGGGTTCTTATGGGTCATTTCTGACTTGTCAACTTTTTTCAATCCAGAAGTAATTCCTTCTCCTTTATTCAAATCAGCAAAGACTGCATTAATACCACCAGCTGGTTTCTTGTCATCTTCGAAGAGAGATGCTGGAGGTGGAGGAGGTGGAGGTGGTGGCGGAGGTGGGGCACCTCCCGCAACAGGAGCAGGTGCAACTTCCTTTGAGCTCAGTTCAAGGACTTGACCTAAAGGTTCACCAGATGGATTCCATTTCACACCTGTAGTATGATATTCCTTCACATAAACTTTTAAATCATCAAAAATAGTTAAAAGTTGTTTAACCCATTCAGCATGTTGTGGATCTTTATCCTTATATTCTTTAGAAACTCTATCACTCCAGAATTTAGTACTATCCTTAAAGTCCGAAATGGCAGAAACTGGAGTGTCTGAAACAACCCATCCAACAATTGCAGCACCTTCGGCTAAAGAATTCAAGTGGTTGAAGTATGGAGATTTTCTATTTGCATCCTTTATATCAATAACTTTCGTCACATTTTCAGTGATTGGTGTCAAGACTTTAACAAAGTTAGGATCACTTAAATCTGGTTTCTTTGATTTGGTTGAAGTTTTGAGGAAACTCGATTGTTCAGCAAATGCCTTTGCAAAATATTCAGCTGATTTCCCAACTACTGGATCAATTTGTTTGGAGCTGGCCACAAAAGGGGTAACGTGGCTCTTGATAAATTCATTAAATTCGACAATTGATTTTGGTTCAGCTACAACTGGAGCTTCAATTGCCTTACTTGAACTTGAAGCAACACCAGCTGGGGCAGCAATGGCATTTGGAGCGTCTCCATCCACAGCTTTTGTGGTATCTTGTTGTTTAAAGGCATCCTCTTGAAAGATAGTGATATCTTCAAGACGAGAAGTTGCAGCTTCTAATCTTTTAAGAATAGTAACAATATTGTAACCTTGGACGTTGAATTGACTTTCTTCACCCGACATGATATTGAATTATAGTCAATTGATGAATTTGGTATTTTTAGGGTATAGCCTGATTGATAATGATCTTGATTTCCGTTATGGCAAAAGCTCAGAAATAACCACAACAAAATCTTTGAGTGGTGCACGAAAATCAAAAATCAAAAGTATATCAAATTATTTCATTCATATACTACTGAATTATTGTGTATAAATATATAACATTCAATTCATAGATTAGAGATAATGGCTCCTTCAAAAATCAAGTCTGAAGGTTCAGATTCACAACCACAAGAGGTTCATCTATTACGAGATATAACACCCCCAACAGATTCAGAACCATTTTACGGCAATTACGAACAAGGTATTCCAATAGCTTTAGACATTGGTACATCTTCATTTAAGATAGGGTTGACTAACTCAGATGGTCCAAGCAATGTATTTGATTCAGTTATTGCCCGTTATAGAGATAGAAAGGCATTGAAGACACTTACCATTGTTGGAAATGATGTATATCTCGATTCATCACTTAAATCATCCATCAAGACACCCTTTGATGGTGCATTAATTACAAACTGGGATTATATGGAATTGATGTTGGACTACTCCTTCGAGCATTTAGGAGTTTCTAGTGATAATGGAAGATTGAACAATCCTATAATAATGACAGAACCTGTGGCATGTCCATTTAGTCAGAGGAAGAACATGTATGAATTATTATTTGAAGCATATCAAGCTCCAAAAGTGACATTTGGTATTGATTCACTCTTTTCATATCATGCCAATTCTACTGGAAAATCTAATGGTTTAGTTATCGGTACAGGTCATGAACTGACTCATGTAATTCCTGTCTTAAATGGTAAAGGAATACTCCTGCAAACAAGAAGAATTGACTGGGGTGGAGATCAATCTCAACAATTTATAGCTAAATTACTCGCCTTAAAATATCCTTACTTTCCTTCAAAGCTTAATTCACATCATACTACAAATTTATTCAAAGACTTCTGTTACATCCTGGAAAATTATCAAGATGATCTTTCTAACTACATGAGCATGGATGTTTTAGAATCAAAAGATATTGTGGTTCAAGCTCCAGTAGATATAACTGTCAATAATGAAAAGAAGAAAACTGAAGAAGAATTGGCCTTGCAGACTCAAAAAAGAAAAGAACAAGGTAGAAGATTACAAGAACAAGCTCAGCAAAAACGTATTGAGAAATTAATTCAGAAACGAGAAGAATTTGCTTATTATTCAAAATTCAGAGACGACTTTCCAAATTTATCTCAGGATGAAATCACTAAAAGATTAGCAAAAGATGGTTTCGATGATCTCGACGATTTCAATAAATATATGACTTCTATAGAGAAATCTTTGAAAAATGCCGATTCGAATGGTAACGAGGAAGAAGAAGTCCAGATAGATCCATCTAGTACTTGGCCTCTAGTAGATATTCCAGATGACCAATTAGCCGAAGATCAAATCAAAGAGAAGAGAAAACAAAGACTCCATAAAGCAAATTATGAAGCTAGAGAGAGAACTAAAGAATTAAAAAGAGAACAGGAAGAGGCTCAAGCACAATATGAAAAAGAACAAGAAGATTGGCGTACTCGTGATTTAGATGATTGGTCCACCTCCAAAAGATTACAATTGGCTGAATTGATCAGTAAATATAAAGAGACAGCTAAGTTAATGGAATCGTTTAAAGACAGGAAATCAGTCGCTGCCCAACAACGTATGAAGAACATTGCTGATTTAGCGAATGATGAAAATGGTTCTACTTCAGCAGCCACTCGTAAGAGACGTCGTAATGTAAACTCTACTATCGATAATGATCCTAACGATACCTTTGGTGCAGATGATGATGATTGGGGTGTTTATCGTGATATAAGTAGCGTTAGTTTGAAAGAGGAACAAGTGGTGACCAACAATCAAATTCTTAGTTTAGAGGAAGAATTATTAAAATATGATCCTGAATTTCATCACGAGGATACATTTGCAGCATCTCAAACATTTGATTGGGCAAGTCTGACTTTACACAAATTCATACATGGTCCAAGACAAAATATAACGATTGCAATGCAAGCTGAAGGCATTGATCCAGAAGAGATCGCTAATCATCCTGAAATTATTAAAAAGAATCATCAAATACATTTGAATGTCGAAAGAATAAGAGTTCCAGAAATTCTTTTCCGTCCGCATATAGCCGGTCTTGATCAAGCTGGTATATCAGAAATCCTGGAAGATTTACTCAGAAGACAATTTGATGGTAACTTCTCCAATGGTGGTCAATCTAACAGTATAATTCAAGATATTTTCATCACTGGTGGTCTTGCAAATCTTCCGAACTTTACGACTAGGGTTGTTAATGACTTCACAAGCTTTTTACCAGCTGGTGCTCCGTTAAAAGTTAGAAAGGCTACAAATCCAATCACAGATGCTTGGAGAGGTATGAAAAAATGGTCTAGCTCAGAAGAGTGCGAATCTAGTTATATATCTAAGGCAGATTATGAAGAGTATGGTCCTGATTACATTAAAGAACATGGCTTAGGAAATGTTGCTTTTCAATAGATATTTGTATTTAATATAAAATAATGCAGTAATGTACAGTGTAATTATAAATTTCATCCTTGGGATTTTTTACCATTTGGATTGATTCCCTTTCTCTTTAAATTTCTCTTAACTGATTGTTCAATAATAGATTTATCAGCATCTTCATCGAATTCAGCGAAATCACCATTGATGATACCTTCTTCTTCAGCTTCAGCTCTAGCCAATGATTCTTTTTCTTTGGCACCAGCTTTTGACACATCATGTGGAGATGGAGCAATCTTCTTGAACTTAGCGACATAAAAACCATCAACATTATAAGTATGAGGATAATAACGTCTGGTCAATGAAAGTTTTGGATTGAAACGTTTTCCTCTGTATGAAGTGAAACCTTCTTTACCTATTTGTAATCCAGTTTCAACAAGCTTAACATTTGGTCTTTTTCTTAATGCATAATCAACAACAGATTCATTTTCATCAACAGCAACGGAACAAGTAGAATACACGATAATACCACCAGTTGCAGAATTAGCATCAACTGAATCAATGGCAGATAAAAGTAATTGTTTTTGTAAATGTGGAATTTGTATAAAATCTTTCTCAGTACGACTGACTTTAACTGATTCATCCTTGGCGATAACACCTGTACCAGAACATGGAGCATCTAATAAGACTCTGTCAAACCCTCCAATAACCTTTGGAAATTCTCTAGCATCGTAGTTACATACAATGGTATTCTTACAACCAAGCCTGTGAATATTGGCAATTAAGGATTTAGTACGAGCTTTATTAGCATCATTGGCGAAGACACAACCGGTATTCTTCATTAATGCAGAGATGTATGTAGTTTTACCACCTGGAGCAGCAGCCATATCAAGAACACGTTCATTTTCTTGTGGATCCATAGCAATAACTGGTAAAAATGATGAAGCAGCTTGCAATATATAATGACCGGCAAGGTATTCTGGAGTAGCACCAATTGGAACCTGAGAATCGAATACTTGTAACCCGACCTTAGTCCATGACCCTATTGGTTGTAAGTTAACCCCACGGTTAACAAGAGCTTGAGCCAAATCTCTACGTCTAGTTTTTAAAGTATTGGTTCTGATAGTAACTGGACGAGCAATTTCATTTGCTTCAAAGAATTCCATAGCTTCAGAAGGAGAAAACAAATTGAATAACTTTTCAGCTAAGAATTCAGAATAACCAAAATATTCTGAAATATCTTTAAGTAATCTGTTGACATATTCGGTACGAGATCTACCTTCTTCAGCTAAGTCTTTAAAATTTTCCAAGACCTTCACGATTTCAATCATTCTAGTTCTAACCATGGTAACATCCTGTGGACCGGAACCAATAGCTTCAAGTTCTTCTTCTGATGGCAAGATCTTTGCTCTTGGTTGTATTTGTGATTCTTGTAATTCTTTTTCAGCTTCTTCAGCTTCTAATTCTTCTTCTTCTTCAAGTCTACGGGAGTATTCTTCCATATTGGCAGCATTTAAATTCTCTAAATCATCTTCATCATCATCTGAAAACATTGGTCTACTACGTTCTTCTTCATCTGAATCAAAGAATTCTTCTTCACCTTCCACATCAAACTCATCACCTTGTTCTAATTCTTCTTCTGAATCATCAAATAAAGATTTCTTAGCAGATGATAACTCTTCTAAATCGACTTGTGGTAAATCTGGAGCATCTTCAACGATATCTTCCTTTTGTTTCTTTTCTGGCTTAGATCTCTTTTCTGGTTTTGACTTTGGTTGATTATTTTTCTTATTATTGAAATTCTTTTGCTTTTTGGTTGGATATTTGTTGTTGTGGTCTGAATCTCCTCTTCTCTTCAGTTCTCTTCTTTCTTTATTAGCTTGAATCTCTTCAAACGTAGGAGGTAATCCTTGCTTGGGCTTTTGTCTACTACCCATTGTCACTGATAACTATCTTATTAAGCTGTTATATACTAATTATCTAAATAATTTTAATTTTTCAAATATAGTGTGCGATGAGTACTGAAAAAAAAATAAGCTCTACCTCAAATCCACGACCTCACTCTTTAAAGACTGCAAACATTTTTTGGCATCGAATATCAGAAGCATACTATCTAAATATTAACGTTAGAACTTCAAAATGAGTTCAGATATTGAAGTTAAACCTGTGAAGAATGAAAAAGTTATTTCTTTTAATCAGCATGTGTTGATTCGTTTGCCTTCTGAAGGTGTAAAGATAGCATACTTAAAGGAAGAAGGTATTATTAATTTAGGAAAATTTGGATCCTTCCAAGCAAGCGGTGTTGTTGGATATAACTTCGGTCAATCGTTCGAAATCATTGAAGATGAGAATGTGAATCCAATTAGCTTCATCGGAGAAGTTGCCGATGCCAGTGAAAGAGAAGATACTCCTGAGTTAAGCAAAGATGAACTTACCATGATGTTTTCCAACAGTGCTGAGAACAATCAAAATATCATAAACATAGGATCCAAAGTACAGCAACTTTCTAATGCTGATATAGATGAATTAAAAAAATCAGGAGCATCTTCAAACATTGGTCAACAGATTATTGAAAAGATGATCTCTGGTCATGGTGGATTTGATAAGAAGACAATCTTTTCTCAACAAAAGTATTTGAAAAGAAAGCAGCAAAAGTTCCTTAGACGTTTTACAGTAGAATATATTGGCTCTTCAGAACTTTTAGAGTATTTCATTGTGAAAGATCTTCCAAGGGTTCATGGTATAAGTGAAGAAACTCTTGGATCGATATTATCTTACGGAAATATACGACCAGGTGGTAACTATTTAGTCATTGATGAGACTGGTGGGGTTGTAATATATGCAATGTTGGAAAGAATGAAAGGTGAAGGTAGCATGGTTGTGGTTCATGAAAACGAACATGTCAATTTTTCGGCTCTTAAGTATGCTGATTATCCTGAAGATTTACAGAATGAGATGGTTAAAACTATTAATTGGTTGCAATTCCTTGAACCAGAGAATGAAAAAATTTTATGGGAAGATGTTGATGATGAAGAATTTGCCAATATGAAGACTTCCAAAAAGGCTCAGTATGAACGTCGTTCTAAAAGAGCAAACTATATAAACTCTGTTATTGAAGTTGCAAAGAAGGGAAATTTTGATGCCTTAATCTGTGTCAGCACATTGCATCTTCCAACATTGTTGCCTGAGATTCTTCCAAAGATAGGTGGATCTAGACCTATCGTAGTATACAGTCAATTTAAAGAGCTTTTATTAGATACCCAACACTGTATGATGAGTGACAAAAGGGTCTTGGCTCCTTCGATTATTGAAACTAGAGTCCGTAAATATCAGACAATTCCAGGAAGACTTCATCCTTTGATGACCCTGAGAGGTTATGGAGGTTATATTTTGTGGGGGACTAGAGTGATTCCTCAAGAGTCTGGAATCACTGCTGTTGGAAGAGGAATTACTAAAAAGAGAAAGGAAAATCCAGAACTGACTCCAACCCAAGAGGCTGACACCACAGAAACTGACACTCCAGAGACTACCACTGCATCGTAAATAGCTTGTATACTAGTTAATATTATATCTATTTAATCTATTCTATTCGTAAGTAAAAGTACATAGCTGGCCTAGGGCGCTCATTGGAGAATCATCTTTCCATCCTATCACACATCGAATGTTGGATGCACTATCTTTGAGTAGACCTACATTCCAATTTCTTGTCTTCATTAGTTTATGGACATTGTCAGCTTGTTCTTGATAACCTAATTCAAAAATGAAACCCTTTGCTTTGGAAGGAAGAACTAAATTAGTTATTAATGCTTCGTAAAATTCATTTTCTCCAATAAGAGCTAATGATGGTTCAAAATTACGAACTGATCGAGATATCCCATTCAACACGACAGAGTTATTATAATCTTTAGGCGGTATATATGGAGGGTTTGAAGTGACTAAATCCACATTTCGAACATCCAAATTAGATAAAAGTGACGAACTGAACAAATCTGCCTTAGCAAAACTAACATTGGAAGCACTTGAAGGGTACATTTTGGTATATGAGTGAAGATTCTTATTTGATAACTTGTGGGCTGTGGGAGATAAATCAAAGCCTTTGATTCGTGAGTTTAAGTTGGCCAATTGGTTTAACTCATAATTCAATAATAACGGTATGCATCCAGTACCAGAACAAGAATCCAAGATATTTAGGTTTTTCATACCCAACACAGATAATACAGATGATAGCTTTAAACACCATTCCTCCGTTTCCCATCGCGGTATTAATACCCCTTGCTCGCATATTATATCTAACGATCCAAACGGTTGTGATTTAAGAATGTATTGTAATGGTTCGTGATTATGACGACGTTTAGCGGCTTCAATCCATTGATTCTCAGGTAATTCAGATTGTACCCATTGAAGCTCCCGCTTTGCTTGATCTAAGGATGCATTCGCCCTTAGAAAATAAGGAAGTAAAGGCGATACCTTCTTGGCTTCCCTTATTAACTTTGTTGAAACCCTGGGCATGGATGTAGAGCTGGTGGATCTGCTCTTCGCTCATCTCATAAATCTCACTAATCTTACTTATCTCAGTTATCTACAGAAGTGCCCAAAAAAAAAGATCTAAAATTACTTTTTACTATATACAGAAATTTTTGATATTTATCTACATACCTTTTCTAACATAATGCATGTATGCTCTTTCGTGGACATGATCTGGGAATGGAGTTATAACTTCCGATTGACCAGGTCTAGCGATTGGATCTCTTAAATAGACCGCATGACAAGTTTTAAAGGAGATTTCAAGATGGGCTGGTAAAATTGCAAAACAACCAATAAATGGTCTTGGATTCCATGGAGTGAAATAAGGCTTTGATGGATCTTTACGACCAAATAACCCTCTTTGCCATGGTAAATCTACCTGAGCTTTGGTTTCATCTTCAGTTGCTTGTTCTTTGTCCAACTTAGGATGAAACTTTAAGTTATTAGTGAATTCACTTGTAAATGGTATAGACTTATCAGAAGATGATAATTTTGATTGTTCGGAGTCTAAACGTATTTGCTCCCATCTTGATCTTTCGATTTCACCAAGAACTAGCTTGATTTGTCTTAATAAATGCTTTTCATCTTGATTTTGGATATCATCTTTTTTAATTGAAAGATATTTTGAAACTTCACCATGTGAATGACTTTCAATCAAGCTATGCTTTGAGTCTACCAACTTTTGGTAAATTAAATTACATTTTGGTGCATCGCTACCGAATTCAACGAATGTTTCAGCTCCTACGGGTACTTCTGAAGTCTTTGCAGTTCTCAAGATCTTACCTAAAATACTTTGCTTAGTGACTCTCTTTTGTTTTGCTTTCATATTCTTTTCAATTTGCACATTGAAGTTTTTAATTGTATCTTTATTTGAAAGTGACTTTGAATTTATTGTGTCTAATGATTTTGGTTTAGCTTGCATTAATTCCCAGACCACTCTTGGGTTTTCAATAGCAGCCTTGACATGTTTATTCCAAGTGATTATTTGCTTGGTGTCTGTTTTTAAAGCGACATCTAATGAAGGCTTTTTTCTTCCCATAGCATAAAGAACCTTTTCAGGATCTACACTAAACACATCCCCACCTCTAAGAGGAAATGATGGATGTTTTATGGTGACTCCATTAACCTTTACATTACCAGCAATGATGAATTCTCTTGCTTGCCTGACGGAAGAAGCAAACATAGCTCTGAATATAGCAAATTCAAGTCTCTTTTCCAAACTAGCATACGTTTGTAAAGCCATAGGAGTTGGAGCTACTTTTGAACCTTTTAAAGAAGCATCCAATTGAGCAACAGTTTCCAATGAAGGATTAAATATAGTCTTCCAACGTGATTCAGTTAAATGTTCACCATGATATGCTCTAGTTTCGGCCTTGGAGGTCCATTTTTGTTGATATAAAGTTCTACCATTATATCTTATGGGTGATTTTTTGTACAAGTTGAACAAATTGTACTTGTTCATAGAAGCACGAATATACCCTCTACTCAAAGAGTTTATATTCTGTGTCTTTCTAGGCATGATGATCTGTCCACTGTTGTATTACTCTATGGTCTTATTCAATCCAATTTTTCAAAATTTTTTTATGGTTAAAATAAAATGTCGTGTGAAGACTCAACTTTTCAAATTCTCAAGAAATTTGGTCATGTGACCGATTTTTTTGATCAAAAGTCAAAAACCCATTAATATTATAGTTACTTCTGAATTAAATGAAAAGTTAACTGGTTCCTATCGAATATCGAATAAATAACATAGAATCGGATTATAATGAGGAAATGGACAGTTGATGAAGAAATCAAGTTGTTTAATCTAATATGTGAGTTTAAACCAGCTGGAAAGAACAAACATAAGCATATTGACTCAATAGTTCAAAATCTAAACGAAGAAAACAAACTATAATATAACGGCTGATGATATATGGAGCAAGCTAAAACAATTGTACAGTTTGGCTCAGTTGGACATATTAGAAGATTACAAGGAAGGTGATGAAATCAAAGAAGAAAGTGAACAAGGGGAAGAAGAAGAAGAAGAAATAGTTTCACCACAGCTGGCAGAAGACTCTGATAGTGAAGTTAAGGATGAACATAAGAAGTCCAACATCAACAAATCTAAAAAGTCGAATACCAAAGAGGTTTCAGAAACAGTGGAAAGTAGCGAGGCTGAAGAAGATGACAATGAATCGGGTACTGATGAGGGTACCCCAGAAATCGAGGATGATGTAGAAGCAGAATCACCTTCAAAAAGAGCCACAAGAGGTGGTGCTAGAAAGCAAGTCTCTACAGAGACAAAAGGTAAGTTAAAGAAGCGTACTCGCTCTTCAGCTAGACTTGATTCCATAGAAACTACTCCTCCAGCTTCTAAAAGAAGACAATCCAAAGCTACCACCTCTTCCCCACAATCACAGAACTTTAGAAGACGCACAAGGTCGGAAACGCATAATGATGATTCAGAAGCTCCTGAAGATACTCCTATCAAACTGGAGTCCGATAAAGATAAAGAAACCTTTAGTGGGAAAAACAAAGAAACGGATCCAGACACAGATAAAGAGAAGGATACAGAGAAAGAGAAAGATAAGGATTCCGAAGAGGATCTGAAGCCTCAAACGAGAAGGTCAACTAGAGGAAGTGCTCCTAAAGCTCAACAACAGCCTATAAGAAGAAGTAGCAGGAAAAAATAGTGGAGAATGAAATCAACAGAGGATATACTGTAGACGATTTATAGTTTGATAGTCTAAAGTCAGATCAATAACTGACTGTGTAATATATTTTTAATTAGGAAAAGGCGGCTGGTCGAGCTTATGCTTTTTTTAACTGTAGATATGATATAATTAGACGATATTGTAATATTGTTGCAACATTAAAAATTTGAGTCTGTATATAGTTCACAGAATTTTTCAGATCAAATCAAGACGCGATTTAATTAACATATGTGATACATCACTACAAGTTTACTACTCTCAATTATATATTGCTAGAGAGGCATGATAGTTTCCAAGTCAATAGCGAGTATTTTGCTAACTTCTTCACGAAGGAGTCATGTCATAGTACGTGCCTTGGGCCTGACTAGCTATCTATTAGCGTCAAAATCAAAAAGATTAGAATCAGAAGCTGCAACATCGCAAAAACCAATACTAGGACTCACACCTTCACTAGATTGGGATCGTGGTGGGAGGAAAGAGAAAGAAAGTCTAAGCCCGTTATATGCTTTAGCTAAGAAACTAGTGGAATCTCATCCTAATTGTGTTTCCTTAATACAAGTTGGAAGTTTTTATGAACTTTATTTTGAGCAAGCTGAAGAATTTGGCCCTAAGCTAGGTCTTAGGGTTGCTACAAGAAAGACTACTAATTTTGCTATTCCTATGGCAGGATTTCCAGTAAGTCAGTTACAAAAATTCGTGAAGATTTTGGTTCAAGATTTGTCTGAAAATGTTGCTATTGTTGATCAATATCCTGAAAGAGAAACCACTGCCGATATTATTCATCGAAAAGTATCTCGTATTATAACGCCAGGGACGTTAGTCGATGAAACATTTCTCAATTATGGTCAAAATAATTATTTGGCTTCAATATATCTACCTCCTAACTGTACAGATCATCGGGCTGATCCAGACATCCCAGTCGGTATATCTTGGATTGATTTATCAGTTGGTGATTTCTACGTCCAACAGACCACACTTGGAGAAATTGATTCTGATATTTCAAGAATAAATCCTAGTGAAATTATTCTTCCAAAAGATTTTCAAGATAAGAATTTAATCAATGGGAAATGGTATGCACCATTTCAACAATTAAGAAAATATTTCATTCGTTATCATAAGACAATGTCTAACGATTTAAAATCAAAATTCAAAAGTAGGCATCAAGTTACAAAGAAAACGATGGAAGGCTTTTCAACTGGAGAAATAGCGGCAATGAACATGGTGTTGTCATATATTCAAGTAAATCTTCCCGATTCAAACCCTCAATTAGATGTTCCACTTCAATACTGGAATAGCAAATATATGCAATTAGATCCTAGAACCAGAGAAGCATTGGAATTAACAGAGAGGTCTACTGGTGGTCGTAGTTCAACAGTTGGATCCCTCTTCACGACTATAAAACGAACTGTTACACAATCTGGGTCAAGACTACTTACTCAATATTTGAGATCCCCAACTTTGGATATTAAAGAAATTGTTAGAAGACAGTCTTATGTTTCGATGTTTGTCGAAAACAGCATTCTAAAGACATCTTTGAGGGCGCATTTAACTCAGCTAGGAGATTTCGTTCGCTCTCTTCAACGATTATCTTTTGGGGCAGGTGATCTGGTTCAGCATTTATTATCTATTGGAGAGGGCCTTCAAAAGTTAGAGAACTTAGAAACTTTCTTAATTGAAGAATATAAGAACAATAGAAAGCTGTTGAAAGCATTGGGAGATTTCCTTCAGCAATTTCAAGTTCCTATAGATATTTCGAGGGAAATCAGCTCTACTCTTCATGTTGAAAGCATTCCAATCATGGAACCAAAAGAAGAAATTACTTCAGAAATAGAAGTTGAAGACGAGACATATTCCGATTCAGGATCTTATTCCAATGCGTCATTGGAAAAATACAGGCATCAATCTCCGGTGGAAGCTAAGACATTCGATTTTTCAGTTAAGAGAGACTTCAATGAAGTGCTTTCTGGTTTGCATGATGAGTTGGAATCACTTTTGACGGAACAGGATGTTATGTTTGATACATTACGTAAAACTTTAACTGAGATAGATCCTAAATTGGTAGTTTCGAAGAAAGATCAACATGGCCGATTTGTGAATGTCATCCACATTAAGGGTAATGAAAAGCTGGTAGAAGAAGTAAGCAGGATTTATAAATCAGATATTCGAGAGAAAAGAAAAGGAATCGTCTTATTCAAGCCAATGAATTGGAGTAAATTACAAAACCTGATCGAAAGCGTGAAAGAAGAAATTCGATTAGTTGAAAAGGAGATTGTCGAGAATTTAAGAGCTAACGTCTTAGAGAGAATTAGTTCTATAAGGAAGGTTAGTAAATTGGTAGACTTCCTAGACGTGACGATATCATACTCCATTTTGGCCGAAGAATATAAGCTAGTATGTCCCAAGTTTGTTAAGACTAATACATTAAATATTCTGGAAGGGAGACATCTAGTTGTCGAAGCTGCTTTAAAGGAAGTTGGAGTCAATTTCACACCCAATGATACAAAAGTATCACCATCAGAAAGTATGTGGATTATTTCAGGTCCAAACATGGGTGGTAAAAGTACATTCTTGAGACAGAATGCTTTAATTGTGATTCTTGCTCAAATAGGATGTTTTGTACCAGCTTCAAAAGCAAGTATTGGATTGGTGGACAAAATATTTACCAGGATTGGTGCTTCGGATGATTTGTACAATGATTTAAGTACATTTATGGTTGAGATGGTTGAAACAAGTAACATTTTAAAGAATGCCACTCCCAGATCATTGGCTATAGTTGATGAAATAGGTAGAGGTACTAGTGGAAAGGAAGGTTTAGCATTGGCATATGCAACGTTGATAAACTTGTTGACAGTTAATAAATGTCGAACACTTTTCGCAACTCATTTTGGAATAGAATTAAAGAAATTATTAGAGGAAAATAAAATTGATCAGAATAAAATTGAATTTTTAAGAACTAGAGTGTTGTCAAATGATATAGATACTCTCACTACTGACTTGGCCAATATAATTATAGATCATACCTTAGAACCAGGTATTAGTGAAAGATCATTTGCCCTTGAAGTTGCAGCCATGGCTGGATTCCCTGAGGCGGCGCTTAAAAATGCAGCAACAGCATATAAATGTTTAGTAGTTAACTAAATGATGCATTGTATATATTTAATTAATATAGATAGAATAATATATATCTACTTTTAATTTCCTTGGTTATTGTTTCCTTGTTGGTTATTACCATTTTGTAATTGTCTCATAATAAGTTGTTGTAATTGTAGCAATTGATCCGGTTGTAACTGAGTGTTGTTATTCCAGTTGTTTTGGTTATTGTTGAACTGTGGGTTTTGTTGTTGATAATTTGCATGTGGATTTATATTCACAGAAGGAGGATATTGTTGATGGTTAGGATATTGAGGGGGTTGATTTGGATTTGGATATTGATACGGGTTTTGATATTGTTGCGTTTGGTTTGGATACTGATATTGATTTGGATATTGCTGAGATTGGTTTGGATATTGATGATTTTGATTTTGATTTTGATATGTTTGATTGTTCTGATTGTTCTGATAGAACTGATTTTGGGCTTGAGGGTGCGCTTGTTGGAATGGAACTCCATATGGATTAGCTTGATAAGCTACAGGCTGTACTTCCTGAGGCGGGCGGTGTTGATTGGCTGTAGTGCCTCTGCTATGCAATGGATTATAAACTGAAGTAGTAGTATGACTTTGATTCACTCTTGGCAGTTTGGCATATCCATATGGTTGAAATCTTTTTGGTGAGCCCTGTGGTTGACCTACAGTAGAAGGTTCTGGTCTTTTTCTATCCCTTGATGTAACTGGTTTGTCTGGATTTTCTTTATCCTTGTTCTTTGATTTGTTCTTCTTCTTCTTTGAACGTTTGGCTTCAAGTTCCATTTCATCATCTGAGAACTCTTGTTCCTCTTCTGGAAGTTCTTCGTCATGACAATTACTAGCGTCGGAACCCTTGATACTTTTGATTGCATCGGTGTAAAGGAACTCAGAATCAGGAACGACATAATATGCAACTTGGCCTTTTGTATCTTTAAATTTCTCAAATTCTTCTTTTGAATTGAATTTAATAGAATAAATTGGCTCTTGAACTCTTCCAAAGGTTTCAAAAAGCATTCCAATTATAGTTCTATCTTGTAAACAGAATATAGATTTATCTTTTAATACACGGAATTCACCTGAAGTATTAGCTTTAATAACCATTGAATTTTCAACTAAGGCAATGATCTCACCAATTGGTTCTATAGGAGCATTTTCTGCTAAACTATATCCCTCAGGAATTGATGGTGCAAGTTCGTTGGTGACTTCATTCTTGGATAAAATAGGACCTCCAGATGCTTCGCCTTCTTCATCATCGTCAAAGTTTTCCTCTAAATCAGAATCATTTTTTGCCTTGGATGCTTCTTCGCCATCAGAAAAGTCTTCGGATTCTGAGTCTGAGTCTGAGTCTGAATCAGAGTCTGAATCAAAGTCACTGTCAGAAGAGATATCATCAACGTTTATTTCCTCGTCTGATAAAGCTTGGGTGTCGATTATTATATCTACTACTGGAGGAGAATCAGCATAATCCTGTTGCACTTGATTTTTATCAGGTAATTCTTGTTCCTCTACAGGTTCTTCTTTCTGTTCCTTTATTTCCTCTTGTACCTGAGTTTCGGGTTGTGTATCTTCCTCTAGTTGTGATTCAGTCGGTATTTGCTCTTGAACTGGCTCTTCAGTCTCTTCCTCGTTTACCTTTTCTTCTTCTTCTTGTACGGTTGAATTTGATTCCACTTCAGGTTCATCTTCTGCTAATTTAGCAACTTCGTCGGAAGCTTCATCGGTATTTGTGAGTGGTATGGATTCATTTACCTCAGGACTGTCATTTGATATCTCTGGTTTAACATCTTCTATTGGTTGATCTTCATTATCTATGCTGTGAGAAGCTAACTCGTTCTCATGCGTTGTAGTGATTTCTTCATTGGAATTCTCTATTTGAACATCTTCAATGTCGATATTCTTTATAACTTCAGTCGAATCTGACATTTCAATTAGATTTCAATGGATAATAACTATTGAAAATTAGATCAGTTTATATTTATATGTATTTATTTTTTTTGCACTATATTTTTGTAATGCTCATCTGATAAAGTGCGCTACCAACTAAATGGTTTCTGGGTTATTTGACCTTGGTTAATGAACAACGGACATAAATTGAACTTGAATCAATTTTCAGGATCTCCTTCAATACTCTTTTCACTTATTGATGGAACACACCTTGATAAGGAAAATATTGCTAAAAACTCAGTTTATGTTAGGTATTTCGCAAGTATATTTAAAAATATTATTTATGAATTAGATAAAGAATTACAGTACCATAAATTTTCATCTAAAGTATCTTAAATTGAAATTATAACGACAGTAAAAGCATATTATAAGCCTTTCTTATATATTTATTAATATTGCATCATGTTAAACGTAGTATAACCACACTAGCATTATGTCACCTCATAGATTAATCCCTTTATAACTAGTAACAAATTGAATTAAAGTTCTAATATTAGGACTCAAGCACATTAATGTAGATATAATATGATGTAATGTACAATGACATATATATTGGTTGATATAGACCCAGTTTAATCTAAGAACAAGATATAGAAAGACAGTGTGTAAACGTGACCAAAACAACGTGACTTATCAGTTGAGTAAAATTCAGAACAACAAACATTTGAGTACTAACAAATGAGAAGTTACCCGCACAATCTTTAAAAATCTCAAAAACCTTTTTTTTGTGTGCCCCTTCACAGAGCAGCATCAAAGTTCAAACTGTTATACCAACTGAAAAAAAATTTTTCACTTTAAAAAATTTATCAAATTTATTTCACTTTTACTTTTAATCGTTATACACTACAACAGTTAAAATGGGTGCCTACAAATATTTAGAAGAATTACAAAGAAAGAAGCAATCTGATGTTATGCGTTTCTTATTACGTGTCAGATGTTGGGAATACAGACAAAAGAATGTTATTCACAGAGCTTCAAGACCATCAAGACCAGACAAGGCTAGAAGATTAGGTTACAAGGCCAAACAAGGTTTTGTTATCTACAGAGTCAGAGTCAGAAGAGGTGGTAGAAAGAGACCTGTTCCAAAGGGTGCTACTTACGGTAAACCAACCAACCAAGGTGTTAACCAATTAAAATACCAAAGATCCTTAAGATCTACTGCTGAAGAAAGAGTCGGTAGAAGAGCTGCTAATTTAAGAGTCTTAAACTCTTACTGGATTAATCAAGATTCTACTTACAAATATTTCGAAGTTATCTTAATCGACCCATCCCACAAGGCTATTAGAAGAGATGCTAGATACAACTGGATCGCTAACCCAGTCCACAAACACAGAGAATCCAGAGGTTTAACTTCCGCCGGAAAGAAATCCAGAGGTATCAACAAGGGTCACTTATTCACCAACACCAAAGCTGGTCGTCGTCACACCTGGAAGAGACAAAACACTTTATCTTTATGGAGATACAGATCTTAGATTTGATTCGAAGAAGTTTATTATTAAGTTTCCACAATCTATTTTAAGAACCATATTTTCACTAAAGAGTTGGGTAAGTGTATTTCTTTTTATGTAAAGCTTTGATTTATGTATCGATATTATATATAGGTTTATTACTTCAATTTTTGAAATTTTTTTAAATATACTTTTTCAATTGGTGTTAAAAATTTAATTAATCTTTATTGATCTTGTAAGAGAGTCGTTAAGTGTCATTAATTAAACTATTTGAAATTAACAAAAAGCCCAAGATTATCACAAGAGAGGAGACTTGTAGCTAATCTTTACACCATCCAAATCAACTATTGTATCACACAATAGAGATGTCCTAATTACATAGTAATTTAAACTAAGCTAATAAAACTTCTCAGAGTCAAAAAAATTGACTTCTCTCAGTAACAAATAGTGAGAGAATTTTTCAGATATATAAATCAACAAATTATCAAACAAAAAAAAAAAAGACGTAACCACTGAGATTAAACATCCCATCAATCCATCATTTCAATTCAATTCCAGTAAAGATCCTGTTCTTTTCTTGCTTTGAAACATAATTGCATAGTTCACACTTACTAATTGAAGATCTAATCGTTTTGTTCATTGATTTATATCTTGTTCTTCATTACTGATTTCATTTCCAATTTCTCAACAAAACCCCTGCCCACCCCCTTTCCTTTCAAATAATAATTTCAAGAAGATGGCCTACACCAAAACTGCAATTTTATCAGTCTACGATAAAACTGGTTTATTAGACTTAGCCAAAGGTTTAGCTGCTGCCAATGTCAGAATCTTAGCTTCTGGTGGTACTGCTAGATTAGTCCGTGAAGGTGGTTTCCCAGTTGAAGATGTTTCTTCAATCACTCATGCTCCAGAAATGTTAGGTGGTAGAGTTAAAACCTTACATCCTGCCGTTCATGGTGGTATTTTAGCTAGAAACTTAGAAAGTGATGAAGCTGATTTATCTGCCCAAGGTATTGAAAAAGTTGACTTTGTGGTTTGTAATTTATATCCATTTAAAGAAACCATCTCAAAAGTTGCTGTTACCATTGATGAAGCTGTTGAAGAAATTGATATTGGTGGTGTTACCTTATTAAGAGCTGCTGCCAAAAATCATTCTAGAGTTGTCATTTTATCCGATCCAAATGATTATGCTGGTTTCTTACAAGAATTAAAGACTGGTGAAATTTCAAGTGAAACTAGAAATAGATTTGCTTTAAAAGCTTTTGAACATACTGCTGATTATGATGTTGCTATTTCTGATTTCTTCAGAAAACAATATTCAGAAAATGTTTCTCAATTACCATTAAGATATGGTGCCAACCCACATCAAAAACCAGCTCAAGCTTTTGTTTCTCAAGGTGATTTACCATTCAAAGTATTGGCTGGTTCTCCAGGTTATATAAATTTATTGGATGCTTTAAATTCATGGCCATTAGTTAAGGAATTATCCGCTTCATTAAACTTACCAGCCGCTGCTTCTTTCAAACATGTTTCCCCAGCTGGTGTTGCTGTTGGTTTACCATTAACCGATGTTGAAAAGAAAATCTACTTTGTTGAAGATATTGAAAACTTATCTCCTTTAGCCAATGCTTATGCCAGAGCTAGAGGTGCCGATAGAATGTCTTCTTTTGGTGATTTCATTGCTTTATCTAACATTGTTGATGTTCCAACTGCTCAAATCATTTCCAAAGAAGTTTCTGATGGTGTTATTGCTCCAGGTTATGAAGAAGAAGCTTTAGCCATCTTAAAGAAAAAGAAGGGTGGTAAATATTGTATTTTACAAATTGATCCAAACTTCAACCCAGATACTACTGAATCAAGACAAGTTTATGGTATTACTTTACAACAAAAGAGAAATGATGCTATTATTAAAGGTTCTTCATTCAAAGAAATTGTTTCTAAAAACAAAGATTTAACTGAACAAGGTGTTGTTGATTTAACTGTTGCTACCATTGCTTTAAAATATACTCAATCCAATTCTGTTTGTTACGCTAAAAACGGTATGGTTATAGGTTTAGGTGCTGGTCAACAATCTCGTATTCATTGTACTAGATTAGCTGGTGATAAAGCTGATAACTGGTGGTTTAGACAACATCCAAATGTTTTAGGATTCAAATGGGCTAAAGGTGTTAAGAGACCAGAAAAATCCAATGCTATTGATTTATATGTTACAGGTCAAATTCCAACCACTGAACCAGAAAAATCAGAATATGAATCTAAATTCGCTGTATTACCAGTTCCATTAACTGCAACTGAAAGAGAAGAATGGATCTCCAAGTTAAATAATGTTGCTTTATCTTCTGATGCCTTCTTCCCATTCCCAGATAATGTGTACAGAGCCGCCAGATCAGGGGTTAAATTCATCGCTGCTCCATCTGGTTCAGTTATGGATAAAGCTGTCTTTTCAGCTGCTGATTCTCATGACATTGTTTACGTTGAAAATCCAATTCGTTTATTCCATCATTAAACAAAATGAAGCATAACAAAAAAAGGGATTAATATTTATTTGAAAAAAGTCATTTTTTACTTCTTTCTTCTTTCTTATTCTTTTTTTTATTTTTTGTTTGAAACAATATCTGTATTTTAGTTCATAGGAAGTCTAATTTCCTTTCCAAACCTTTTATATATCCTTAACTTTCTTTCGTTAATACATAAATTATTATAAATGTTTTAAGTAAGTGGTAGTTTAACGTTTCATTCTCTTTAGTTCTACAACCTTCGATTCAAGTTATAATACATTTATTTTATACATGATTTATTCTCACAGTCGATGCAACTTCAGCTATATTAAGAACCTTCTAGAGTTGTTTACAAACTTGTAGAATTATATTTAAACAGGTCTTCTTCTTCTGTTACAGTTTTTTTTGCAGATGAAATATTTTTAGTTAACACTTTTTTTTTTTGAATTCCGACACGTCAATACAACAAAAGAGAAGTTGAAAATTCTGAACTATTTAAAAATTGCCGTAATAAATCAAAAGTCAGAAACACAGATAGATCAACACAACAACCAATCAATAGAATGGCTTCGTCTTCTCAGTATACATATGATGAAGAAGGTGAGGTATGGCCTTTCTTCGTGTTAGCCCTTCTCAGTTTCATCTTGGTTCCATTGACGGTTCTGTGGTTCTATAACGCTTTTATTGCCGTTGATACAATTTCTTCCAATTCAAAGATTAAAGGAGCAATCCTTGAAACTGCTGATTCAATCGATGTCGCTAACGCTAATGAAATCAAGAAATACAGAAGTAAACAAAAGTCATCCAAAATCTTTAATAAAACTTTGATTGTGTTGATTATTGGTTGGGGTATTGTATTTTACATTAATAAATACTTGACTAAATATGCTGACATCAAGACTATCTTTGATCCATATCTTATTTTAGATATCTCTTCTTCTGCTACAGATAGAGAAATCAAAAGTAAATATAGAAAATTATCTTTGAAATTCCATCCTGATAAACTTCCAAAGGATATCACTGAAGCAGAAAAACTTGATATGGAAACTACCTTTATTAGAATCAATTCTGCTTATAAAGCTTTAACTGATGAAGTTACTAGAAGCAATTTCTTGAAATATGGTCATCCAGATGGTCCTCAAGATGTTAGTCATGGTATTGCTCTTCCAAAATTCCTTGTTGAAGGTAAATATTCTCCACTTATGATTGTGGTTTATTTCTTATTGATTGGGGTTTTATTACCTTCAATTGTTGGAATCTGGTGGAATAATGTTAAATCTCACACCAAGAAAGGATTACACGTTGATACTGCTGCTTTATTCACTAGAAGATTAACTGATAGAAATCCAGCCAAAATTGTTACTCCATTAAGTGTTTTAGATTGGGTTCTTGATAGTGTTGAAATTAAACAAGCTTTCAAGCATTTAACTAAAGATCAACTTAAAGTATTAGTTGAACAACATCTTAATCGTGAATTTACTTCAGACGCCCAATCAGAATCAGATAAAGTTAAACTTGTTTCTATGTTACCTAACTTAATTAGTGGATTCCTTGATATTGCTGTGATATTTAGAAATCTTGAAGTTATTCTTCCTGCCACTGATTTAAGAAAATCAATCTTACAAGCAGTTAAACCAAATGGAAAATATCAAGAAATTTTACAATTACCATATGTTGACCCAAAAGTTGTTCAAGCCCAAAATGTTAAGAAGTTAGGAAAGTTATTCACATTATCAAAGGAAGAAGTATCAAAAGCATTAGGAATAACTGATCTTAAAAAGGTTGAAAAGGCATTGGAAATTGCTGCTCACATACCGTCACTTAGAATTATAGATTCTACTTTTGTGGTTCCAGGAGAAGATGTTGTTCCTCCACAATCATCAGCTCATTTATCATTAAAATTCTTAGTTAAATCACCTAGATTAAAGTCATGTCCAAGTATTGATGATGACAGATTAAAGGAGGAAGAAACTATGGATTATTTAAGAAATCCATTAAAATCAAATGAAACTCAACCACAATTACCATTTTCATATGCACCATATTTTTCATATTATGTTCGTAATAACTGGACTGGTTATTTAATTTCACAAAAGGATAATAAATTAGTGGAAGGAAGTTTGGGATATGAATTAGAAAATATTGATTTAAGTAATTTAGAAATCACTCAAGAAGAATGGATAGATGGTAAAGATGTCATTATTGGTAGTTTTAAAATTCCATTAACAACTCCAACTCCACCAAATATAGGTACTGTTCCATACAGAATTATATTAAAGAATAATGCATACTTTGGATCTGATGTTGATATTCCAGTTGATTTAGAAGTTGAAAATCCAATTAGAAAACAACCGTTAAACCTTGGTCGTAAAGAACAAGTGGATAGTGATGACGAAAGTGATATTTCTGATCCAGAAGAAGATTCAATAGCTGGTGCTCTTGCTGCTTTAAGAGGTCAATCAGTTAAGAAGTCACAAATTACTGAATTAAACGACGACGACGAAGAAGATGAAAGTGATAATGAAAGTGTATTTACTGATATCGATACTGATACTGAAGATGAAAAGGAATAGATCTAGTCTATCGATTTCGCATCCATTCTATTATATTCTATATATAAATTATTTATAGGTACATAAAAAAATGTAAGAGTTAATTATTATTTACAGAGATTTAGACTTTTAAGGTCAAGATGTAAGCATCTGGATTTTCCAAACCTTGAGCTTTATAGTAATCTTTAACTATATCATCATCTTTAATGAATCCATGTTTTTCATACCATTCTATAGTAGTCTTATTATCTATATGAACATGTAATAAGATTTCATGAACGAATTTATTCTTAGTTTCTTCAATTATAAAATCAAGTAATTTCTTACCAATGCCAACACCTCTATAAGCAGGCAAGACTGCAAAACTTTCAATATAAACAGCATTGGGGATAATTTTGGAATTTATTTGTTGTTGTTGCATATGTTCATAAGTACCAGCTTTATGAGATGTATTGATGGTTTTAGCTTTGATTGCAGCCACTGGTAATTCGGAATAATAAGCAAGCTTAACGATTTGATCAGCATTTAATGAATCTTTATACCATTGTTCAGGATAACTAGTTGGTAAGACCACTTCATTTATTTTCTTGAACACTCCTAAATTGTTGACGGTTAAATCATCTAATGATACAATATCTCTACCCATGTTGAATGCTTTGAGTTAGACAGTTAAATATACACTATCAATCTATTTAATCATATGCCTCCCGTTTGATGAAAAATCCTCCTCCTCCAAAACCTGATTTTTTTTCCTATTTAAGAAAGTCACGTGAAGCTTATTTTGTTGGAAATTGTGTCGTTTACAATTGGAACCCAAATGGAACCATTATTTAAGTAGCAATCTTTTCTTCTTCTTCTTTTAAGGTAACATCGGTGTGTGAAGATCTTTCATAGTGTAATCAGTGTAATTAGGAATAAATATCAAATAACAATTGCAATGCTTACTACTATTTTATTAGTTTTGGTTGTGCTTTGGTTGGCCAGAAGTCTTTTATCAGATGTAAGTTTAAATCCATTCAGTACTAAAGCAAAAGAAGACGATGTGGTAATTGAAGGTAAATTCACTCCTAAAACTTTAGCCAAATACAATGGTACTGATCATCCTAAGATATTTATGGCAGTTAGAAGAAGAGTATTTGATGTTAGTCAAGGTGGATCATTCTATGGACCTGGGGGTCCATATGCTAATTTCGCTGGTAGAGATGCTTCTCGTGGTTTAGCATTGAATTCATTTGATTTAGAATGCTTAACTGATATCAATGAGAAAATTGATACTTTACATAACTTATCTAGTACTGAAAAGGAATCATTGGATAGTTGGGAAGAACACTTTGAAAATAAGTATCCAATTGTGGGTTCTTTACATGAAAATGATTAGGATCCTACCATTAGCATACTTATCATCCTTCGTATTATCCATAAACAACCAATTACCTACATACATAATTAGCTTAAAATATTTATATATCTACATAGCCAACAGTAATTAATGACTAATGACCACTGTTATTGCCTATTTATGAAAAATGATTGTAAATGAAGTAATTATAACTATAAAGCATAACCTATATACATAGCAGCATAACAAATATTTTTGGGTCGTGTCTTATTCCCAAAGCTAGATGCGAAAAAAAAAACATTGAATTTTATGAAAGACCAGAAAAACATCTTCAATGCTAAAAATAAGACCAATACTGAAAAACTATTGGCTGTGCTATTTCAATTATCCTAACTCGAACCATTAGAATTCCTCATAATGAGTTATCGTGGAAGAGGAAGAGGTGGTGGTTACCACAACTACAATAACAACAACAACAACAATGGAAGAGCCAACTTCAATCATAATCAGGTTGATCTGTACATTGCACAAAATTCTATACCGATTGAAATCATGGGTTGGAATGGAGCTAGTCTGGATGAATGTGTTAATTTTATATCGAGAAAATGTAAAGTGGTGGTGATGAATCATGTGGTGGACCCCGCCACTGGTGTCTTAAAAGGTTATGTCAAAACTCAACAAATGGCCAATGACTTATTAGAGTGGTCTGGAGTTAAATTTGCTGGTCAATCATTGAAATTCAGTAAAGGTGGGGATACATTCTCCAATAAAATAAATCCTGGTAATACCATTGACGTTATAACTCAATTTATCAAATCAAGATATCAACCAGAATTCAAAATGCTTAATTTAAGTGCAGTTAAACATGATCCTATACTTGTGAATCAAGGTTTCTTTAATTCAATTTCAACTACTTCCAAATTCTTCCCAGCTTTAATGAAAATTGCAGCAGATCTTAAACTTGAAGTACTTAGTGTTGATTTATCAGGAAATGAATTAACTGATTTATCTACTTTATCAGCCATGGCTGCTACTTTCCCTCAATTACAAAATTTATCATTACAAAATAATAATTTATCCAGAATTAAAGTTTTTGAAACTTGGAAACATAAATTAAACTTTTTAAGAGAATTATTACTTAGAGGTAATCCATTATTAGCAAACTTAACTAGTGCAAGTGATGTGGAAAATATTAAATTGGAAATTATGAGAGCTTTCCCAAGATTAATTGTCGTTGATGGTGAAATACTAAGAAATGAACATGTGTTAAATGAATCCTTATCATTCGGATTCCCAAGTGGAGGATCTATGTTCTTTCAAGATGATGAAATTAGAAATATGGCCACCAATTTCATTTCTAATTATTTAAATTTATGGGATTCAAATAGAGCTGATTTAATGGTTCTTTATCAAGCCGAATCTCAATTTTCTATGCAAGTTGATACTTCTCATCCATATTTGCTTGAATCAAAAACCAATAATAGTGCTGGAACAGACTTTGGATATTACTTACCAAACTCTCGTAATCTAACTAGAGTATCATCAGCCAAAACCAGATCAAGTCGTGTTGCCGTTGGTCAAGAACAAATTTTTAAAGCATTTTCTCAATTACCAAAGACCAAACATGATTTATTAGCTAAACCAGAAAATTTTAGTGTTGAAAGTTACAGATATTCTCAAGTAAATGGAGTGATAATAACTATCCATGGTAGTTTTAATGAAACTGATAAACCAGATAATTTGGATGGATTACAATCTTCAGTTCCAAGTGGACCAAGAAATAGATTTGCTTACAATCAAAATAAGAAGGCAATTGCCTTAGGTCATAAAAGTTTTGATAGAACTTTGGTTGTCATACCTGCTCCAAATGGAGCCATGATAGTTGCTAGTGATCTTTTATTAATAAGACCATTTGCTTCAAAAGATGCTTGGAAACAACCCCAACTGTATCAAATAACACCACCAAGTTCAGCTCAATCATCGAACCCATCACCAGTTCCAGCAGTTACAGTCCATGGTGCTCCTTCAGCCAACGACTTACCTCCAGAAATAAAATCCAGCCTTAATCCCGCACAGCAAGAATTATTAGTAAAGGTGGTATTGGAGACTAAATTAACTCTCCAATATGGTATTATGTTATGCGAACAAAGTAGTTGGGATTACCAACAATGTATCATAAATTTCAAAAACTCAGTTGCTTCGCTTCCAAGGGAAGCATACACTACATAGATAAATTCTGACCAATATGTCATTATATAGAATTTATAGCATATATTTAGTAATAAGGACATAATTTATATGTATTTTTAAATATTAAAATATCTGTTTGGACCAAATATTTTTTTTTTTTGTATTTTCAGCTTGCGGTGTGTGCAAAAAGATTACAACAGCACATCATAGCTGTAATTAGAGTGATCTTGCAATTAAACCACTACAACTATAGAAGATGATATAACGAAGAATAATATGGGTCATAACATAGCAATGGTATCAGATTTCTTCTTCCCCCAACCTGGGGGAGTGGAATTTCACGTGTATCATTTATCTCAAAAATTGATTGATTTAGGTCATTCTGTAATTATAATTACCCATGATCATGGTTCTAGAAACGGGGTACGTACTCTAACCAATGGTCTAAAAGTGTATTACGTACCGTTTGTTGCTGTCTACAGAAACTCCACTTATCCATCTGTATTCCTGGGTTTTCCAATTTTAAGAAACATCTTCATCAGAGAACAGATCGATATCGTTCATGGACATGGATCATTATCAAATTTATGCCACGAAGCTATTTTGCATGGACGAACAATGGGATTGAAAACAGTATTCACGGACCATTCTTTATTAGGATTTGCTGATGTGTCGTCCATTATGGGTAATAAAATATTGAAATTTGCCTTAAGTGATATTGGTCATGTTATATGTGTTTCTCATACATGTAAAGAAAATACAGTATTAAGAGGATCGTTAGATCCTTTAAATGTATCTGTCATTCCCAATGCTGTTGTATCAGAAGATTTTTCCCCATTAGCCATTAAACCGAAGCGTGACAAAATAACCATAGTGGTCATCACTAGATTGTTTCCCAATAAAGGTGCTGATCTCCTTACAGCCATCATCCCAGAAATATGTCGTGAAAGACCAGAAGTGAACTTTCTAATAGCAGGTGATGGTCCAAAATTCTTAGATTTAGAGCAAATGAGAGAGAAATACTTCTTACAAGAAAGAGTTGCTTTAATAGGTGCCATAAAGCACGAAGAGGTAAGAGATGTCATGGTTCAAGGTGATATATACCTTCATCCTTCATTAACAGAAGCATTTGGTACAGTATTAGTGGAGGCAGCATCTTGTGGTTTATACGTGGTCACCACCAAAGTAGGAGGAATACCAGAAGTATTACCTAGTCATATGACTAGTTTTGCTGAGCCCATACAAGATTCGTTGGTAAAGGCAACACTAGGTGCCATTGACGTTGTACAAAAAGGTAACTTAGATACTTCAAAGTTTCATGCCGAAGTTGCGAAGATGTATAGTTGGCAAAACATTGCTAAACGAACTGAAAATGTTTATGAATCGTTAGACATTGGTGATGTTAATGAAGACTTATACCTACGATTGAAAAAATATTACTGCTGTGGATTAGTAGCTGGAAAACTATTTGTATTAATTGTAATTGTGGATATATTCGTATATGTGATACTTGAATGGGTATATCCTTCTGATGAAATTGATAGAGCTACAAAATGGCCCAAACAGAAAAAGGGTCATAAAAATAATAATGATGATAATGAAGTAATGTATTAGTTAGTTAAATAATTAATTTAATATTCCTTTTAAAGATGTATCAAGTCGTATAATTTGCTCTTTTAACTGCAGATTATATCGTTTCCTTGAATTCGTAGTCCTTTGATTGTGGAAATCCACAACTGCAATTGTTTTCACCTGTAATGCTAATTCTCTAACCTTGTTCGCATATAAACGTTTATCTTGAGTTTTTGGATTCATCTTGATTTTGACATTAGGTATCAAGGGGGATTTTAAGAACATCACATCAGATATATCTTGCTTGGGTATAGAACGTTTGACAATGCTCTTTAATAATTGAACTTCATTTAATAATGCAGTGTGTTCGATAAATTTTGACTCGTGATCTAAATCTTGAAATTTCTCTGTGACGATAGTCTTTTCAACTGAATTAAGTCTCTCTATTTCAGAATCCAAAGCCTTATTCTCTTGTTCTAGGGATTGATATTGTTGTTTGATTCTCTCATAATCCTCTTGTAGGTTTGAAATTGCAATTGAATTCTTTTCGTTAACGTCTGTGTGCTTATCATTTAATGATTTTACACTATTTTCCAACATCTGAATATTAAGATGAAGATCATTTAAGACTCTTTCTTTTTCAAGTAACTTAACCTTTAAACTATCCAATTCCTCACTGTTGTCAGATACTATAGTAGCAGAAGTCACTTTTGCATCATTCAAAACAAGCTCTGTTATTGGAGTCACCGTTATATTTTTGGAAGAAAATTTGACGGCCAACAACTTATCATAGTCTATGAAATGATGTGCCCATCGATCAACATTCAACGAGTTCCCGGTTTCACAATCATGAATTGTATCGATTGTTTCCCACATAGATGAAATGGCTGCGGTAAAATTGATTCCTAATGTATCATCACTTGCTTCTAAGTCTTCCGTTACATCATCTTCATGAAAATTAATTTGCCCGAATGAAGTGATATATTTTGATAATTGTTTCATAAAGGCTTCCTTTTCTTCGACATTTTGATGGATAAGCGTCCTATCATAGATGTAATCTATGTGACGTTGATAGACCTGGGACAAAAATAAGAGACAATATTTGAGTTCAAATGTTTGATGGAAGCTTCCAATATTGAATAACTCCAACCACAGATTTATAAAGTCTCTTGCAAATGTAGTGTTGATAAAATTATCATTTTTAATTGATTCAATTGTTAGGTTGAGTGCATCAAGTAGAATTGACAAAGTCTCAAGGATTTCATCAGCAGAAGAATTTGAATAGTTATATTCCCAAAGGGTTAAGACCAATTCTAAGAATCTGGTTAAAAGTTCTATCGATAATACGGATTTGGTAGACACGGAGAATTCCTGGATGCACTTTGATAGAGCCAAACATTTTTTTATTTGGTAATATATATTAAAAATTCCATGTTGATCTGCTTGGTCAAGAATCAATAGATGTTCTTCTGCCAAGACTGAGACTGCATTAGCTACTTTGACTTCAAACAAATTTGTTTTGTTTAATGCAATAGACTTCTTTACTTCCAACTTTAAGTTCTCAATCTGAATATTTGCTTCCTGGATTTGTTTATCATTGTCTGTTGAATTGGATTTATTTTCAAGATTGGTTTTGAGCTCTTCAAGGTGCAATTGATCATTCTTGACTCTTAGTTCCAAACTTGCTATATCTGCCTGTAACTTGGTTTCTATGATTTTATGGTTTTCTTCAATGTTTCTATCTAGTTCATGCAATTCATCGATGTTCTTTGTCAAATCCGATACCGATTCTTTTAATTGTTCATTCTCGGTTGTTAAATGTTCGACCAATGACTGCAAATTGAGAGTGGAATCCAATTGATCTTGTAAATGCGTAATTTTCTGTTCAGCATGAGATAACTTAGAGGTGATTTGCTTCAAGTTCTCCTTTAACTCGACAGTCGATTCAGATCCTGAGGATAACATTTCAATTTCATTTTTCAAATTAATTTCATTACTTTGACTGACTTTATGCAAACTTTCCAAGGCTAATTCCAATTGTTTATTTCGCAGTAAGATCACCAACACATTTTCATCAGTCGTATCTTGTAATTGTTCCTTTATTTCTAATTCAATTTGATTATTGATATCCAATTCCTCTTTCAAAGACATATAATCATCTTCCAAGTCCTCATAGTTCTTCTGTAGTATTGACAATCGATCTCTCAACTCATCCTGGCTAGTACTATTATAATCCTTATCTATGATAGTCATTTCTAGTTGTTGCTTCAACTCAATTATTTCGTAATCTTTATCCTGTAAGAGATCTTGTAAAGATTTGATATCATCTTTATAAGCAGCAATGGTAGCTATGGCAGCATGAAGCTTAGCTTGAAGTTTATCGACCACAAGATATAAATTAGAACTATTGGGTTCGGGACTAAGAGGTACTCTTTCTACTGAAACCATTGCTTCTCTAACAAACACCCCATACAAACCATCTGTTTTGTCAGTATCGAAATATTTTATCCCATTAATTGAACCATCATTCTTCCCCTGTGCTTTATCTAATTCGACACCAATCCAATTGCCTGGAGCGAATTGAGTAGGTCCAATAAACTTGATCTTGGCACTATCATTTCTAACATACACTTTCTGGCCTATATGTAGGGACATTGATGTGGTAGCTTCATTTGTTGAGTCGTTAGATCATTTTAAAGGTGTAAGACGCGCTTTTGAAACAAATTTTGATTTTTTTTGATATTGGATCTGGTTAACCTCAATTTTTCTATTCTTTTTGATTTAATCTATAATCTTTTTCATGAATCCAACATTGATACACCTTTCAAGCAATTGAGTAACAGAGTATTGGAAGTTCAATATAACAGTAAGAGATATAACACTGATCAAATGTCTCAGCAATATAATATTAGTTCTGGTGTGGGAGGGACCAACAACAACAACAATAATAATACATCTAATAAGAGGAATATTGGAGGTGGAGCTGGTATAGGAAATCTTAAGACAGAGTTATTGAATGAACAAAAGCAAGAGATAAGAGAGGCGTTCTCATTGTTTGATATGAATAATGATGGATGCTTGGATTACCATGAGTTAAAAGTTGCATTCAGGGCACTTGGGTTTGATTTATCTAAACGTGAAGTTTTAGATATATTGCATGAATATGATACTGATGACTCTAATCTTATCACTTATGAAAACTTTTTCAAAGCAGTAGGAGAAAAGATATTGAGACGAGATCCATTAGATGAAATAAAAAGAGCATTCAAGTTATTTGACGATGATAATACCGGTAAGATCAGTTTAAGAAATTTACGAAGGGTTGCAAAAGAATTAGGTGAGAATTTAACCGATGATGAATTAAGAGCCATGATCGATGAGTTTGATTTAGATGAAGATGGTGAAATCAATGAACAAGAGTTCATAAATATCTGTACCGAATAGTGTTACTCCCATTCGTTTAACCCCAGTGGGAAAACAATATGCTTGTATTATTAGAATTTTTTTAATTTATTTTGTATTTGGACTTCTGTGTACCATTATTACATGAAAAATGATTTATATCATTATTATTAATAGATAGATTTATCACAAATTGTAGTTATTGAAGTATTATATCCTATTCCTACTATACAAATATTGGGTATACTAATTAAAATCAGAAAGGTCGTGCACACAATCAATTTTGTGAACTTTTCACGATTTTTTTTTCAGACCATTTATCAATTAACTTCACTGTTCAGAATTGTTGGAACATATACCTTAAAATACAATAAATATGTCGTGGCATACTGCTGGAAACAGGTTTGCCGTGGAGGTAAGCAATCCTAGAATAACAAAAACTGTTTATGACAAAATCATGAGAGCTAATAAATTACCTCTTCAAGGTGAAGCTCCAGGAGTTCGTATTGCAAAAAGAGATCAACAATCTGAGTTTGAAAAGGGTATAGTGACTGGTGATTTGGTATATGTGAATGCTGGGGAACACAAGGGAACTATTTCTACAGTGATATCTTACACTGCAAGTACCAATACTCTTTACTTATCAAATGTTACACAGAAGTCCATTATTCCAGGTCATTTGAAACCAGAAAGTTTTCCTTCTCATCTTATTGAACGTCCAAAACCAGTTCCTTTTAATCAAGTCAAACTTGCTGGTAAAGAAAAGGATGAAAATGGAAAAATCAATTATATTGTTGCTGAAGATTTCGAATTTAAAGAAAAATACTTTGATGAAAGATATCAAAGATGGTTACCAAGACGTGTGGCTAAACATCATAATGAAATTGAAATTCCATGGCCACAACCAGAATTACTTAAAGATGATAGATATTCCACCCAAGAAAACATAGCATTAGAAAAATCTTACGAAGTTCAAACTATAGCTAGACCACCAATACCTAGAGAAGCCTTAGCTGAATTTAGAAATCCATATTCCAAACATAAGAAGAGAGTATTCTCTGAATTACAAGTGAGAAGAGTCAATGCTCCTAAAATGCCACTTTCAATCGAACAAAAGATTTACTTGGCCAAAAATGAAGGTAAAGAAAAGAAAGTTTATCAACCATTATCTGAAGAAATTAAAGAATTTATTGGATCAAAGATGGCTGATCATATTAGTAAGATAGACAACCCAGCATTACTTAGTCATTTAGATGCATTATCTAATTCAAAGATTCCAGATTTTGAAAAAACATTAGCTAATTCAGAATCAAAATCTGAAAACTCTACATAGTACTATTCTGAAAAGAATTCATCTTGTATATATATATATATTAATTTACAGAAATTATAATTTTTCATATTCTAACTTTCCTTCTAACTTTTTAACGTCTGCTACTTTTCTAACAGCTTTCAATAAGTCATTTTGAAGTATATAATCTCTATCATCACGAATGGCAAAGAAACCACCTTCAGTAATAACATTTCTGATATCAGCACCATTGAATCCATCACTCATCTTCACTAAAGCTTCAAAATCGAATTCACCTTGTTTGGAAACTTTAGAAGTATGAATTTTAAAGATTTCTAATCTTCCAGCTTCATTTGGTAATGGAATTTCAATCTTTCTATCCAATCTACCAGCTCTTAATAATGCAGGATCCAAAGTATCTGGTCTATTAGTTGCCATAATGATTTTAGTTTGCCCAAGAGTATCAAAACCATCCATTTGATTTAATAATTCCATTAATGTTCTTTGAATTTCTCTATCAGCAGAAGTACCTTCACTGAATCTACGACCACCAATAGCATCAACTTCATCCATAAAAATAATACAAGGTTCATGTTCTTTAGCATAAGCAAACATTTCTCTTATTAATCTGGCTGATTCACCAATATATTTATCAACAATAGCAGATGCAGGTGAAAAAATGAAATTAGCTCCAATAGTAGCAGCTACTGCTTTTGCTAAAAGAGTTTTACCAGTACCAGGAGGACCATATAATAATACACCCTTAGGAGGCTTTATACCAACTCTTATGAATAATTCAGGATTCTTTAATGGTAATTCAATGACTTCTCTTAATTCTCTAATTTGATCTGTTAAACCACCAATACCATTAAACGATATATCTCCTGGTTCGAATGTAGTCATATTATAAACCAATGGATCAACTTCTCTTGGTAAAATTCTCATAATAGTTAATGTGGTCATATCCAATGATACTCTAATTCCATTCTTTAAACTTTCCTTTTTAATTGTATTACGACATCCTACTATATAACGTGGACCACTTGAAGCTTTAACAATAAATCTATCATCATCCAATTGTTTTAAAACTTCACCGATTATTTGCCCTACTGATTGCAATGCTTTAATATCATTTTCAGTTTTATCATAATCTTTATCTAAATCTCGAATATGAAGTCTAAGTTGCTTTAATTTAGCATCCCAATTCCTATGATCTACCAACTTCTCTTTGAATTTTCGTAAAGCTTGTGCTCGTTGTGGATCAACTGGTGCTGCCTCTGGTTGAGCATCTGTTCCTGCTTCTTCTCCGTTTTCAGCATTTAAGGCAGCTAAAAGTGGATCAGTTTCTTCTGCACTCATATTTTCCAACTGTGTTGATGTGTTATGAATAATGCAATTGTTATAAATTGAATATAGTGTTTTCCAAATAATGGTGGGTAACGTTCAAATCGATCTTCTGGTAAGTGGCAAAGACACTAAAAGAGAGAGAGAGCAAAGAAAATTGATCAATTCACACGACATAAATCCAGTCACGTGAATTTCTTAAAACATCAACGAAAAAAAAATTTAAACTATCAAACGGTATGAATAAGTCATTGCTTGGTTAGTGACTCAGATTTAAACAGACTATATATATAGATTATCAAAATGGAGTTCCACGCTATAATTGTTTGTGGAAAGGGGAAGGCCCTTGCTCCATTTTCCCAAACAAGATCTACTGGGGTGGCCAAACCATTGTTACCAATAGCTAATAAGCCAATGATTAATTATGTTTTGGAATGGTGTGAAAAAGCATTCTTTCCAAAGGTTACAATTGTGACTGATTCTGCATCAAAAGAGGAGATTGAACGAGCAGTGTTGAAGTTCAAAGCCGATTATAAGATACATACCAAATCAGAGGAAGAAGGTAATGAAGCTGACTATAATCTTGAACATTCAAGTGTTATTAATGTTTTAGATCTTGATACTGATAATTCTGGTGAAATTCTCCTTCATCTTTATAAATCATCTCAAAATGATAATTCTAAGAATTTCGTTATATTACCCTGTGATTTCGTTACTAATTTACCACCTCAAGTATTAATTGAAGCTTATAGAAATAGAGAGGACACTGATGTTGGTTTATTAGTTACTTATTACAATCAATTTGAAATCGAAGATAAAAAATTCAAAATATTCCCCAAAAATTACTCCATTTATACTGAATTATCAGATGGAAAGCATCAATTATTGGATATGTATTCTAGTGAAGATATTGACTTTCATAAAGCATTACAAATAAGAACTCAAATGTGTTGGAGACATGGAAATTCAACCATTAGTACTAAAATGTTAAACAGTTCTATTTTCTTTGGAGCTAAACAAGATATTTTTAATATATTTAGTCAACATTCTGATAAGTTCACTGATTCATACTTTAAGAATCGTTCCATCACCAAGATCATAAGAGATTTAGGTAGAAGATCATGGAGACATTCATCAACCAAGGAAACCATTGCATTTTTAACATTACCTTCTCAAGCTACCTTCTTCAGAAGTAACAACTTACCAGTATTGATGGAAGCTAATAGATACTTTATGAAAGCCCAAGCTATTTCCAAAGCAAGAAGCCAGGGACAACCACAAAAGGATAAACTTGCCGCCAACATTGGTATTGATTCATTAGTTGGTGAAAGCACCACCTTGGGAGAAAAAACTAATGTTAAAAGAAGTGTGGTTGGATCAAATTGCATAATTGGTAAACGTGTCAAATTGACAGGTTCATTAATATTGGACAATGTTACAATCGAAGATGATGTTCAATTAGAGAATTGTATTATAGGTAAGAATGCCATAATTCACAATAAGTCACGATTAACAAATTGTAATGTTGAATCCACAAATGAGGTTGCAAAAGGAACTCAAGCTAAGGGAGAAACCTTATTATGCTTGAGTTTAGAGGGTATAGTAGAACAAGGAGATGATACATCAGAATATGAGGATGATTCCGAACTGGATGATGATGGTAGCGATGACGATGAAGATGAATACGACGAGAATGAAGATGAATATGCTGGAAATGAAGATGGTTTATTTGCCTACTGATTAATAGAGAAAATCTATCATTCTAAAATAAACGATTGTATATAATAAACTGATATATATAAAGCTATATATATATTTAAAACTAATTTAATCCAAACCGAATTGAAAACACCTTGTAACACCTCTATATATGTAAACCAAACAAAATAATTAAAAAGACATAAAGAAACATTCGTAGAATATATTATAAAAGTCAGAAATGTGATATTGAAGATATCACAAAGTTTTCTTTTTCTTGGATGAAGGGCCCAAATTATTTTGAACACCTTTTCTTTTGGATAAATGTGCTTCGCTATCAGCGTCATCTTCTGAAGATGATTGAGATTCTCTATCTGTAGTATTTGAATCAACGTCTTCTTCATCTTGTGAATTACTTGATGGAATATTTGACTTTAATCTGAGCTTTCTTCTAAGGATCGGATCGAACTTCCGACTGGTTTTAATATTTAATCGTTGTTTATAGGTATGTTGAAGTGATAATGGAGTTATGGATGATCTAAAATGACCATTTGGTTTGATATCCAGACTTAAAGTGAAGTCATAATCTGATGGTATTTGGAAATCGGATGAAACAGGATCGATATCTCGTTGATTAGTATCAACTACACTTGCGGGAGGAGATGAGCTTATATTGCTCGATATCGAAGATGTTGTATGATTAGTATTATTATGCAGATTTGTAATTTCAGCCCTTTTAGTAAGGGCCCAGTTTTCAACGTCACCTTTGACTGTAATAAGTTCCAATAAGTCATCAAGACAATCTAAATAACCTTTTTGATAAACCAATGAAGTATTGTTATGAGTGATACGATATAAAGCAGAAACCGATTTAGCGGCATTGGCAAATTCCACTTTAGTTGAGGCAGACCCATCTCCAGTAGCTGAAACAGAATTATATAATGATGCAACCGATCTAGCAGCGTTTTTGAATTCATTGGTTATTTCTCGACTTAAGTCACTCATTGAAGTATCATTGACAGATTTGGTGGGCGGGAGATCTGAGGAAAGCGTGGATAAATCCATACTCTTCTTCGACGACATAATAGACTCTTTTTCCTTCTATTTTCAAACACCTTCTATGTTGTAGTATCTAATAAACACACAGCTATCTGACCTTTGGGTTGGAGGTTTATTTATTTATTTACAATCACGAAAAGGATCTTTAAATTTTTGATACTCTATTACTAAATTAGGCTTACTACACAGAAAAAAAAAAAAAAAATTCTCCCCTATGACAATCCATGTGACCGGAATTGGAAGAGAAAGTCCGGCATACAAAATATACCGAAAGGAAAGTAGAAGTTGACAACTTTAAATTGAATTGATTGAGATGAAATATTTAGGGCAGGGCAGGGCAAGGTAAGGCAAGGCAAATATATCGTGTTTTACAGTGTGTAACAATAGATAAAAGATGGTGAGATCAACGTTGATATATAGATATGATGGTATGTGTCAATCATTTGAGATTTCATATTTGTGGTTAGCAAGATGAAAAAACAACGAATAAAATCAGAGATAGAACAATGATACTAACAACCAATTGTATAGCACTTCCATTATGTGGATCAGTTGACGATGATAATGATTCATCATTGATGGATCAAAAGAAGAAATGTAAGATTATCATTAGTCGAATTACTCCCAATTCAGAGACTCAAGCTACCATTGAATCTGGAAATTATAATATTAATTATTTAATATCAAATAATATCATATATCTTTGTATATGTGATAAATCATATCCTAGGAAGTTATCATTTTCATATTTACAAGAAATAAGTAGTGAATTCCAAAATTCACATGGTCAAGAAGCATTGAGTAAAACTGCTAGACCATATGGATTCAGTTCATTTGATAATTTCTTAAGTAAAACTAAAAAGATTTATCAAGATCAAAGAGCACAATCAAATTTAGATAAATTAAATAATGATTTAGCTGATGTCAAAAAGGTTATGACCAAGAATATAGAAGATTTGTTATATAGAGGTGATTCACTTGATAAAATGAGTGATTTATCATCCATATTAAAGAATGATTCATTGAAATATAAAAGAAGAGCCCAAAGAATAAATTTAGAAGCTTTAATAAGACAATATATTCCTGTTGTTGGTGCTGGTTTAGTATTTGTATTCTTGGTTTGGTACATGTTCCTTAGACGATAATTGTATAAGTATATATATATATATATCTCATAATAATAATGATTATAATCCATAGTAATAATATTTGATAGAATTTTAAATGGCTGTAAATCCATTTCGATCCGCAAAACAGGGTAAACAAAAACCCAAACAAAAAAATAAAGAGGTGATACTCCAGATTTTAAGGATTAATCCAATACTTTTACAACAATTGATGTCTAGCCAAGGTAATGATACATCTAGTGCCAATGCACCCCCTCATGATGATAGAGAAAGTATACCGAGGTTATTAATAACGCCTCCATCGTTGACACCTACTTCAATACTACCTCCGTCTATTAGTCAACCGACTTTGGCAGTCAACTTAGAAAATGTCAGTAATGGTATCATAAAAGCAATTGATTATTCAAATAGTACTCCAGATCAATTACTTAGCTCAGGACCTAAATTATCTGTCGTAAGTAGTGAATCGTCTGAATATGGAGTTCGAAGTCCTATCAGTCAAGAGGAATATGAAAACTTGACCGATCATTTCACTGATGAATATGATGATAATGACAATACTGAAGACAATGAAGAATTACAAAATCTAATCAGTGATATAATACGGTATGAACATAGTCATTCCATTAACTTGGATCATAATAATAAACTAATGTCTGAATCATCTTATCTTGATTTCAATATTTTCCCAAACCATGATTCAATAACCGATGAATTAGAGTATTACAATAAGTATATCAAACTAAGCAAAACAAATAATGAAGAAGAATTCCATGATAAATTAAAGCACTTTTTTATATTTTCTATGGCTGGTAAACCAATTTATAGTTTTAATGGTGCTGACGAACTTGTTATGGGATATGCCGGTATTTTAACGACTATCATATCTACATTTGAAGAAAATATTAATGAAGAAATCAAATCAATTACAGTGGGGGATAACTTAAAAATAGTGGCTATAAATAGAAATCCATTGGTTCTTGTTTCCATATCTTCTATAAGTTATGAATTGATGTCATTTTCTAAGAATGATGTTGGTTTGGAAATTCCAGATGATACTGAACAAGAGATTAAAGATACAGATAACGACCATACATTACGAAACAACCAAGATTTAATTCTCATAAATCAATTAAACACCTTATACAACTATTTGCTTTCAATTCTTTCAAAGCCTGTCATAGAGAAGAATTTTATGAATAGAATGAATTATGACTTACGAAGAATATTAACTAGTTTGGATTTTGATAATATAGATGCTTTGTGCATGAGATTGAGTTATGGGTTACCAATTACAGAAGAAATTGAAAATAACTTGTTGGATACATCAAGTTTTGATTTCTTTATTAGTGAATTATTGGATTCATCAATTCAAAGTATTAAAATTACAAACACGACAAGAACAAGACTCAATAAAATCTTATTAGCAAGTAAAAAATTAAAGGTAAAGCAACAGCAAATATCTTCAACAGAAACAGGTTCCACTGCAGGAACTATTTCATCATATTTCCCATCAGTAGGAGGGTCAACTTTAGTAGAAGAAAAGTTTTTAGGTGATGATTTATTGTTTTCGTTGTTGGCTACCTCCCATAACAACAAAATATTAAGTTATATGAAACCTAAGAATCACTCCTTATCAAATGATGATCTTAAGTTGCTTTTGAATGTTATTCATTCTAGTCAAAACTCATTGGATTATACTGAAGATTTATGGATTCCACTTTGTCTCCCCAATTTCAATCCAAATGGGTTTTTGTATGTGTTTGTCAAACAGATCAATTTATCCGATTATTTCAAATCAGGAATAGTAGTACAGCCATTAACTATAATATTGATTAGTAGTAATAAGAACTCCTTTTACCAGATGCAAGAGATTTCCAACTATATTATTTATATGATTATCAAGGATGAAGCAGTGTTAAATACGCTTGCCCAGGAATTGATAAACTCAAGTAGATTATCGATCATAAAGGATATAAATGTGCCATCCATCAAACATTTCATTTACAAATCAAAGAAGTGTAATCAATTTATTATGAATGATTTAATTCATTTCAATAACGATCGGAGTATGAATAGTTTACTACAATTGGTGTATTTCTATTCAGTCCTCCATAACACGAAAGCAGTCAAGATTAAGAGTAGATTAAAGTCAACTTACAATCAATCAACTTCATCCAATAATCAAACGTCATCTTCATCAAGCTTTCAAAATAAAAAGTTAACATATGCGAAATGGACTTTACAAGATAATTCAGTGACAGGTTTTATGTTAGCTGATAATGAATATGAATTCTATTGTTTAAGCAATTCACTGATAAAATCGAATGACTTAATAAATCATAGTCTAAAGATCATAAAATGGTGTGAAAAGAACCAGAAGCGTTTATTTTTTGGTTCAGGAGTAGTATTTTAAATACTATGTACAAGTAATATATATACAAGAAGTCTTATTTTAAAATTGCTGCTTCAGCAGTTTTAAAAGACTCAGTTAATTTATCTACATACTGTTTATGTAATTTATCGAATTTTGTTAATTCTTTTAATTCAGAGTCTTTCTTTTTATGACTTTTCAATTGTTTTTCGAATTTTGACCTTATTTCAGTTCTGATAATGGCCAAGGATGGAGAACTCTTTGTATTTCCATTCTTGAACTTTTCAAATATTTCTTTCAACTGTTTAGCACTTTCCTTTTTGGTTTCTGAAGTTATGGAAGGTAATGGAACTTTTAAGGTATATTTATTGGTAGGATCTGCTTGAGCACTTAAATTTAAATCGGAACCTAAGATACTATTGATGATATGTTTACCATTACTTGGATCGAACAAAGTGATAATGAAATTACGACCCTTAATAGACGTTTGAGCTAATGAAGTAAATGGTTGTTCTTCAGCATCAATGGTGACTTGAAGTTTATCGAAAATCTTTGGATTAGTCTTACCCATTTTAATTTCCAGAGCAGATTTATTAAACTTTTGAATTAAATCATCGAATTTGTCTGTAGCAGCATCGAAATCAATAGAAATCTCTTCAGTATTTTTTTCTTCTTCCTCCTCTTTAACTGAACCCTTCTTGTTATTACTTTTCTTATTCTTTGGTTTAGCCAACAATGCTGGGGAAAAGTGGAATGACCTTTGTGGAATAAAGTTTATTGGTGTTATTGGTTTGACAGTGGTGAATCTAGCCAATCTAGATACGGAATATACTGCTCTAAACATGTTTGAATTCAGTATATTTGCTATGGTCAGATTAGTTTAAAGAATTTTTCATTTTTAACTTTTTTTATTTTTCTGGTACTTGGATATCGCTCTACATTCTTGAGGGTTCTGCTAACAAAGTTTGAATTTATTACTACCTACAATATATATCTATATCTAGATTATTCATTTTCTTTATCTTTTTCCAATTCTGCTTTGAATTGTTCAAGTAATGAAATACAACCTTTAGCCTCTTTACCTGCTTCTCCACCTTCCTTAACGAGATTATTTAAATTTTTCATCAATGGTGCCATGAAAACATCACTGACAATCTTTCTTCTGGTGGAAATATCTTCAGACGATAAGGTATCTAAATCAGATATATAAAATTTACCATCATCAACTTGTGAGTTTTTGTCATCGCCGGTAGTTGTACTTGGTCCTGAGGTTCTTGATGGTTCAACAATGAATAACTTCAATGAATTATATGGTTGCGTTGCAGTTGGCACTAAATATTTCAATGATTGAGCATGAGGAAGAATAACGTCTTCAGGGTTTATTTCTTGTGAGGATTCTTCTTCTAAGAATAATGCTGTCTTTAAAAAAGATTTTAATATTGACAAATGATGGATTCTGGATTTCTTTAATGAGGAGTTATTTATACTGGAACTAGTAGTAATTGCTAATGAGATTGACTTTTTATCATTTGTTAATGTCCAAGACATCAATGTGAAATAACTTCTCAATGTCTTTATGAAATATGACTTAACTAAAGAATGAGATGCATGTTCAATTAAAATAGCTAAAAACTTAGTTGATGAGTTTCTAATCTCTGGTTGAATATGGGTCATTGCTGAGTGAATAAATAATATGATAGCTCTTATATGCAAATCCAACAAACCTGGCTGTTTAGCAGCACATTCATTTAAAAGACTTACAAGTTGTGTTCTTACTTGGAGGGATGAGTCCAATATTAACGGTATTACTGATGTTAAAATTTGTTTGTAAAGTGATGGATTATGAGATGGTAAATGATTTTGGATATATAATAGCACTTCTTTTCTGGTTGAAGAAGAATGATGCTTTGTTAATGATAACTGATGTGTCAAGTCAACTTCGAATTTATCCTTTTCCTGGCTATTAGCTGTAGCGGAAACAGTATTGGATACTTTTGCTTTGATTGATTGATTTGGTAATGAGATGGTTTTGGCTGTGAAAGAAGTATCGGTATAATTATCTGGTTTCTTGGCGGTTTTACCTACCTTCAACTTTGCCTTCACAAAATCCTTTTGCTTCTCTACTCTCTTTCTCTTAGATGCCATGGTTAATAATCAATGATATGGTATATGTAGATGAAGTGATGCTTATTATTCTTCTTTCTAATTCTTCACCTCTTCGCTTCAAATTAAAGTAATTTTTTTTTGGTCTTCTGCGCACAGAAAATAATATTTTTGATTTTGTAAACAAACAAAGATCAAAATCAATTGATCGATAATCAAATTGGTATAGTTTGAATAAGACCACGGTTAGATCAGAACGATGTCATCGTATGTACGGTATAATCAGAACAATAACAATGATTTCGATGGAAGATTCTTAAACTCTCTTAGTTTGGAAGATACAGAAACAGATTCACATTATACGACTGCGGATCATCAAAGTCAAACTAGATATTTGACGGCGGAAGAAGAAGACGAAGATGATTTCATGGATATAGATCATACATATGATACTTTATTACATCAGATTTCTAACAGATCAGTGAATTATGATTCTACTAGATTTCATTCCGCGATTGGAGACGATAATTATGATTTTGACAATGAAATGGATGCTTTAATAAGAGAAACAAGACAGTTGACACCAGTTGGTAAGATCACCATCGATGAAGGTTTACAATCAACACCAAACGATGAGAATAGAATAGATAAAAACGTGACAGTGACTGAATACGACACAGATGAAGAGGAAGAAGAAACTGAAGAAGAAGAAGAAGGTCATACAAGTTTTGTCTCTCATTTGTTTTCCCCTACTACATTAGGAGCTCAATTAGCAATTAGAAAACCACAATTGTTGTTGTTACCACCCCCAACTGCTTCATCTAATCCAGAAACTTCAATAGATTCTACCAGCAATGATATTCTGGAAAGTATAGATTATGATTATGATTTCACTATATCTAATAACAATAACGTAAGGCATTTAACTACATATACTCCTAAAGTTAATGCTAGCTCTCTTTTCGGCAACTCTTCAGGCAGTAGTCGAAATGCTTCTTCTGCTAGAGTTGAAATTCAAGAAGCTGATGAAGAAATGGAGGAAGCTTATTATCCAAATAATGGAGCAAACATATTTCCTAATCAACATTTACAAAGGAATAATATGGAATCACCATTTATTCAATCACATCATCAACATATACATAATCATAATCAACCAGTACAGATCTTACATCAACACCAGCATCATCATCATTATTATAGTAACAATAATGAAGGGAAAAAGAGTAAGAAACAAGATACTCAAAGCTCTCCAATATCTCCTGAACATAATGATAAACTGGTCGTATCTCAACAACACGATTCTTATCCTAAAGAAGCCAATTTACCCTTACCATGGGAATCAAATATTACTCCATCAGAAAGAATTCCCTATTTATTATCATCATATTTACAATTATTAATCAATATCATTGTATACAGCTATGCTCTTTATTTAGTTGTTAAAGTAGTGAGTGTGGTCAAAAAAGATATCAATGTGAAGTTAAACCAGTTTACATCGAATATGTTGGTGGAAATTGAAAGTTGTAAACGTTCCTATTATGAAAATAATTGTTCACCAGAGTTAAGATCTCCAGTAATCGATAGGCAGTGCACACATTGGGAAAAATGTATGAATCGAATCACTGCTAATGGAGGCGGGCACATTTCAGTAGTTAGTGCTGAAACTGTTGGAATTATTTTGAATGCATTTGTTGAACCACTCGGATTAAAATTCTTTATGATGTTAACTTTCGTGGTATTAATATTATTTTTATTTAATTTTGTGTTTGGTTATATTAGAGCAAAGACTTATTATGGATGGCATAATAAAGAAAGATATTTATATGAGAGTAATGAAAGTAGTAGGATAATGGGAGAGTCACGGTCAAGATTAGTATCACCAAGGAAACAACTGCCTATAAAGGAGCAACGTTTATTGACTCCCTCACAAAATGGAGGCAGAACAACCCAATTTCAATTACAGTATTAGATTATTTATGAGTATATAGAAAAATATATTTAAAATATTTAAATGGTTGCGAAATTAGTAGTTCCTGGTGATTCATAAAGACCAAATAACGGTAGTCATCTCATCCAATCAAGGTTATGTAACTAAAAGGTGTCAACCTTTATACGCGTCAAAAATAATTTAACTTCACCCCATGTGCCGAGGATGTAAAAAAAAAGAAAAGACAAGAAAATATACCACTTTAATATCTGAGACAAAAACAAGATGCCATCCTAGTATAGTTAAACATTCCGTCTAATATAGCTTGTTTTGCTTAGCCTTCTATCTCATCTCGAATCTAAATAGTTTAATACACCCGTTTAAATCCTTAAGTACTAGTTTAAGGTTGTGGGCCGCTAATTCCTGCCACAAATCAAAGGTGAGACAGGCAAAAAACAATTTTGTTTTTTGAATCACCAGGTTCTTTTGATTGAGTGATTGGAAACAATAACGTCATATAATTATTTTTTCAAAATTTCTTTTCTATGCCACGATCTTAGAGGTATATATGTAGATACACATTCCCCCTACAATGAGCCAATTGCCAAACCCGCCCGCCCTTTATCTCTTTCTTTTCTCTTCATATAGAATTTATAGAATATAATCATTTCATCATTTCATTCGAAGCTTTTGGTTTTGCAATACTGTTTCAATCAAATTCGCACTTTTAGTAATTGACACTAGCAAAAAGTTTCGCAGCAAGATAACCAATCATGGGTATATTTGGTACTTCTCGAGAAGAAGAAGAGCAATTAAGACAGGCATCGCTCCAAATAGGTTCGGCTAGTCAGGATGCTAGTCGTCAGTCGATTTCCTCTTCTACTGGTGAAAGTTCATATTATGTAACTGCCGATGAAGGAGAAGAAGATGAAGAGGAAGAAGAAGCAGAAGAAGAAAGTGACGGTAAAGGAGAAGATGAAATTCAACAATATAACAAGGAACAACCAAAAGAAGATAAACTTGAACCTGAGGAAACAGCTAGTTTGGATAGTGATTCAGATAATCAAGATGACACCGATGTCGAAACCATACCATATAATAAACCTTCAATTCCATCAGCTCCTGAATCAGTATCACCAACAATTGCCGAAGGCTTAGATGCTGAACCATATGATCCTTCGGATGATGAACGTTCCTTAAGAAGAAAACGGACTTTAGAAAAAATTCATTCTCATAGATCTATTGACTTACAACTTCATACCCAATTATCAAGAACTTTAACTGTGTTAAGTGAAAAAGAAATCGCTGCTGGATATCTGAATATAAATGATTTAGATTGGGACTCCTTACAAGATCCAGCTAATCCTGATAATTGGTCTAAATTGAAAAAATGGTATATTACTTGTGTGGTGGCATTATTATGTTTATGTTGTACCTTAGGATCTTCATTATATACTTCTAGTATTCCTGAATTGATGATGCAATTTGGTGCTTCTCAAGAACTTTGCATATCTGGTTTAACCTTCTATATGCTTGGGTTAGGACTTGGTCCAGTATTCACAGCTCCACTTTCCGAAATTATTGGTAGAAGATATATTTATTCAATTTCGTTACCAATTGGGATGTTATTCACTTTAGGAGTACTGTTTTCTACCAATATGAGAACTATATTAGTACTTAGATTCTTTTGTGGATATTTCTTATCACCTGCATTATCAATCGCTGGAGGAACTATATCTGAAATCTGGGCATCTGATCCTCAAGAATTAGGAACAGCAGTAGCATTATTTTGTTTAGCACCATTCTTAGGTCCAACCATTGGTCCAGTTATTGGAGGGTTTGCAGCTGAAAATAAAGGGTGGAAATGGTCTGCCAGTTATATCCTTTTAATGTTCAGTGGTTTGATTTTACCATGTTTGCTTATTATACCTGAAACCTATAAACCTATCATTTTAGAAAGAAGAGCCAAGAAAAGAAATATTAAAGTAAGGGGTCCACAATTTAGTTGGGATTTTATTAAAAAGATCATAAAGAATGATTTATTTAGACCATTTAAAATGTTATTCACCGATGCTATAGTTTTCTTTTTATCAATTTATTTTTCATTCGTCATGGCCGTATTATTTGGTTTCTTTGAGGCTTATCCAATCATTTTTGTGGGGGTTTACCATATGAATTTGGGTGTTTCAGGATTACCATTTATTGGAATTGGAATTGGATTAGTTGCGGGGATCTTCTTCTTTGGAGTTTTCAGTAAATTGGTATTCTTTAATAAGGATGGTACGGAAAATGAAAAATATTCTTCTCCAGAATCAACTTTAATTATAGGAAAAATTGGATCTTTCTGTTTACCAGTATCATTATTTTGGTTAGGTTGGTCTGCTAGACCTTCAGTTCATTATATGGTTCCAGTTGCTGCGGGGGTACCATTTGGGTTTGGATTAGTGTTAATATTTTTCACTGTTTTATTGTATTTTTCAAAATGTTTTCCTGCTAGCAACGTTGCATCTGCCTTAGCTGCAAACAATGTATTAAGGTATACTTTCGCCTCAGTATTTCCATTATTTACGGTACAAATGTATGATAATCTAGGAATTGGATGGGCATCATCTGTATTTGCATTTATTTCATTAGCCTTAGTTCCAGTTCCATTTGTATTTTCCATGTATGGTGAAAGATTTAGACAAAAATCGAAATTCGGTTACGAAGCTTATGCGGACGAAATTGATTTACCATCAGAATCATTAGATAACAAATAGAAGTTCGTATTGCAGAGACAACAATAAAAAATTACTTGATAGAAAAAGTTCGTATCTTGATGCAAGAAGCTTCCAAACAGGAGGGGAGAGCTAGTAGAGTTTTGAACAATGGGTGTAACCAACGGCATTGTTTGGTTTCGAGGAATACTATATAGAGAAAAAATTCCGATGGAATAAATTTAATATAATAAAATAAAATAACATAATTTAAATAATATTAATGAATTTTATCATGTGTAAATGTGGTTTTAACAAATGAAAAAAATATTATTAATCATTAACAATTATTAAAAATCAAGTTAAGGCTAACTAAAAGCTTTTAGTTAACGTCTTTAAGTCATTATATGAATTATATACGAATATTTATGTAACATGCTTAATCATTGTCGAAAACGAAGAGATACAAGGGCTGAAAATGATAATAAAATCTATCTGCCTTTATAAGGGATTAATGATTTGAGGCGAAAATATGAATCAAATCAGCTAATACTCATCTGATCTTCAAACTGGTAACAGATTCATTCACCAACTAAAATATTTTAAGGGTCACTACCGTTCAAGGCGCCTTTAATTTCATTTGCAGAAAATGTGACAAAAATGGCGCAAAAATACTGGCAAACAATCAGGCAGACACAAAAAGCAAAATTTCGTAAATTAAAATATTAAATTTTAACTCCCTCCCTTATCATCTTCGATTCGTAAAAATATTTTATATTTTCTATGTCTGTTTTACCACATTCTTCTTTGATAAAATTATAATCGAACACGGCGTTTTAGAAACTGTTAAACTCTAAAAATAGTGAAAATAGCAAAGAAAGATGATCTAAATTGTTCTATAGCACTGTAAACGAGGTTCTGCAACTAAAAATAAACCTCCTTACAATGTTCCATTATTGCTTCTAGAATGAGGAGTTTAGGTTTCCTAAACCCAAAAAAAGGCTTCCATATAGATTGTTATTGGACAAAACTGACGATAACAGAAGATTTTTTTCTATTTCATTAGATTCATAGTTGAAAAATAATTTGTGGAAGGACAATAATAAAATTCTTATACACTTCGATTTGGACTGTTTTGTGCTTCGTTTGCAAATATATCACAGTTGCTGATCACAGCACAGTTTAAATTAATGTGGTCGCCTGTAAAAATACCCGATATCTATCTATGTACAACAGGCGGAATAGTAGGGTACTGTCTCATTGATACACGTACATTTCACATTCAATGCCGAAAATAGAAGCACGCATATAGTTACAGCTAAAAAATAATATATCTGAGATACCATTATGATTTATCTATTTACCATACTTATTATTTTCTAATTATTTTCTAATTAAACTTTTCTAGTTCACCGTTTTAAACACCTCCTTCTTCGTCTTCATTATATACTTGCTATATATATTAATTGGACTTTTATGTGTCATTTTTAGGGGAGAACGGGAGGAGTCTTATTCGGAAAATATTCTGAGATTTCATAAATTAGCTAGTCTAAGAGATTTGACGGTGGAAGTTGGCTCCACTTGCAGTATTAGATTATATTTCAACTCTAGATTCGTAATTTTGTTATACATACTAATTTTCAAATAAAAATTCTATATAAAGAGCTGTAAATTCTAGTCTTTTAATCTCTTTGGCTAGATCCAAATTAAGATTCAAAAAGTCTTTGCTTTTCGGGAGTTAAAGCTTTAATTTTTTTTTGCAACAAAACTAAAAATGTCTACCACAGAACAATTAGAAGTATCACTACTGTCAAACCATACTATAAGTTCTCATAGAAAAAGTAATGAAACAGTTACAGAAGAAAACTTGCCATTAGATGAAGAAAGTCCATTAGAAGAAGAAAGACCCATTGGAGATATTCGCCAGAATTCTGAATCAACAATGGTAACTTCTACAATTGACAAGGTTGAAGAGAAACCATTCATTGAACAAATTTCAACCGACGATATAGAAGATATATCACAAGGAGAAAAATACATAGTATTTAAAGAAGATAGTGAAGAATTAAGTTTCCATAAAGAACAATTCGTGGATTATAATGAGTTAGATTATGATTCAGAGGATGATCCTGATGATCCTGCTAATTGGCCCTTGAGAAAAAAGTGGTTTATTATAATAACACTTTCATTGATTTGCTTTTGCTGTACTTTGGGATCTTCTATCTATATTGCTGGTGTTCCAGAAATGATGGTAGTATTTGGTAAATCCAGAGAGATTTGTATTTCAGGGTTAACTCTTTATTTATTGGGGTTATCTTTTGGTCCCTTTTTCACTGCTCCATTATCTGAAGTCATTGGTAGAAGAATCATCTACATCTCAAGTTTTCCAATAGGTATGTTATTCGTATTAGGTATTGGTTTTGCCAAAAATATTGAAACTGTTTTGGTGTTAAGATTCTTCGCTGGTTATTTTTCCTCTCCTGCTTTATCATTAGTGGGTGGAACTATATCAGATTTATTTCATAAAGACCCCCAACTTATGTCGAAAGCAATTGCAATGTTTTGTTTAGCTCCATTTGCAGGTCCAGTTCTTGGACCAGTCATTGGAGGTTATGCTGCTCAGTACAAAAATTGGAAATGGCCAACTTCGTAAGTATTATTGATGTTTTACGGTCTCGTATTACCATTCTTAATGACAGTGCCAGAAACTTACAAACCGATTCTTTTAGTTAAGAGAGCTAAAAAGAGAGGAATAAATATTCAAGGTCCAACATTTTCCAAGAAATATTTCATTCAGATGGCTCAAAATGATTTAGTTAAACCGATTAAAATGTTTATTTCTGATCCAATAGTTTCAGTCTTATCTATCTATATTGCTTTCGTGTTTGCAGTTTTATTTGCATTCTTCGAAGCCTACCCTGTTATATTTATGGAAGTTTATCAAATGGATGTTGGGGAAGCTGGATTACCATTTTTAGGTATTGGTATTGGTGTTGTATCTGGTTTAGCAACATTTGCAATCATTAATAAATATTTATTCTTTCCAAAAGAAGGAAAAGTTAACAAATATACCACACCAGAATCTACATTTATTGTCTGCAAAATTGGTAGTGTTTGTTTACCAATATCTTTATTTTGGTTAGGATGGACTTCAAAACCAAGTATTCATCCCTTGGTTCCAATTGCGGCTGGAATACCATTTGGATTTGGTTTATTATTGGTTTTCTTTAATGTTTTACTTTATTTTTCAAAATGTTATCCTCCATCAAATGTTGCTTCTGCTGTTGCCGTGAATAATTTGTTTCGTTATTTTGTGGCTGCAATTTTTCCTTTATTCACAGTACAAATGTTTACCAATTTACAAATCAAATGGGCATGTTCTTTATTTGGATTTATTGCTTTAGGTATGGTATCAGTTCCATTTATATTTGAAAGATATGGAGCAAAACTCAGAGCAAATTCAAAATACTGTGGCGTAGATAAAGATGAACAACGTGAAATTTCAGAAGTTTAACTACAAATAATCTTCAATCTCTACTAATCCCTATACTTGACTCAATACTCTTATTTTCATTTTATTTCTTTGTTTACGGTTCGGTTCTTTAAATAGGTATTTTAATGTAAAAAAACAATGTACGTATGTTAGTAAAAAATCACTTTAGTATTGGTGTATGGATGTTCTCTTTTGTCTTGCTTAAATTTGGAGTGAGAATAAATAAATCAAGAAAAAAAAATTGATTAGAAAATCAGTTAGTGTTATAGATTAGACTTAAAGATATTTGAATCAATCAACTTACTGAGTTCAATCAATCATATTAACAGTGTTTGATAGTGTTAAACTAGGTACAAAGTAGGATACGTGTAAAAATGTCGTCTCAGAATAATCAGAGGAATCCAAATCCTAATCAGAATGGTAATCAAAACGGGAGCCAAAATGGGAACCAAAATTCTAATCAAGCAAGAATAGCAGCTATTCAACCTAGTCAAGTAAATCAACTTCTTCAAATCTTAAATACCGCAAATGAATCTGCAAGGAATGCTAAAACTGAAGCAGAAAGAATGCAATATCAACAGAAAGCTGATAACATTAAAAAGATATTGTTGAATTATCAGGCTCACCAAAGGGCCAAACAAGCTCAGTTACAGCAACAACAAGTGCAAGCACCTCAACAACAAGGTAGAAATATTCAACTGCAGCAGTCACAGGGTCAATCACAACCACAAAGTCAACCTCAGGCACTGAGTCAAGCTTCGTTTTCACAAGCCCAACAAACACAACTTCAACAACAACAACAACAATTACAACGTCAGCAACAATTAAATCAACAGATGAATTTTCAAAGGCAACAACAACAGCTTCAACAACAGAAGCAACAACTGCAGCAACAGCTTCAACAACAACTGCAACAACTGCCAGCGATGCAGTCTCCTTTAATGAGACAAAGACTACCATCTAATGCTCCAACTCCGGCTGCAATGCAATCACCTAATTTGCCCCAACAGCAGATACGACAATCACCTGTTATGCAAAATCAACAAGCTGCCCAGTCTCCAATGATTCAACAATCATTGCAATCGGCTAGACAATCACCAGTTATGATGCAACGTCCTTCTCCACAAATGCAACAACAAATGAGAGCTTCTCCAGCAGCATCACAGGGTTCTCCTCCTCCATCAAGTAATGGGATGCCTACTATACCTGCAAATATGGTTACTATGGAGCGATTCCAGCAAGTTAGACAGAGGCTAGCTGATGTGCATAAACGAATTCAAGTGATAGAAGCCAGTAAAACGGCCAATGGAATTACTCCTGATGCCCTAGTTCAATTGGAAAAAGAAGAACTTGAGATGAAATCTAGATTCCGTCAATTTCAAAAGGTTGCTATAATTATGAAAAACCAATTGGTGCGTCAACAACAAGCATCCAATAATGTTTCTTCACCTGGCACTAACCAAAACTTAGCTCAACAACAAAATCAGATTCAGACTCCTGTAGTCAATGCTCAACAGGGCCAAGTTGCTGATTTGAATAATACGACAAAGACTTTACAGCAACAAAGACAAGCACAGATTCGTCAACAACAACAACAACAACAACAACAACAACAACAACAACAACAGCAAGTGCAACCTCAATTACAACAACAAACGCAACCTCAACAACAGCAACAGTTACAACAGCAACAGCAATTACAACAGAAACTTCAACAACAACAACAACTGTTGCAACAACAGCAACTGCAAGGTCCACAAGTTCTGCAAATTCAACAACAAAATCAACAACGTCAACAAGTCCAACAACAACAATCTACACAACAAGGTCAAGTTAGACCTTCTCCTCAGGTAGTTAATAGACAACAGCAATTACAACAGGCTCAATTGGTACAACAACAGCAACAGAGGCAATTGGCTCAACAGCAGGCAAAGCAAACTCAGAATCAACTGCAAGCGCATCCTGCTATTGCTAGCAGACAGCCTTCGTCGACACCACAAGCATTAACACAGGCACAATCAACTCCTTCGTCGGTTGCTAGTAGAAATCAATCTGCAGTTCCAAATAGTGGTCAAAATAATCAATCTCCTCCTACTGGGCCAATTAACACTCAAGCTGGTACTCCTGTGGGTGGTATCGCTACAGATGCGCAAACTGCAGCTATATCTTCAGCGCAAGCGAGCGCTCCTGGCCCTTCGAGCTCTGATGATGTAAAGTCGGAATCTCAGAAGTCTACATCAGCAGGACGCCCACCTTCAGTGCCCAATGTTGCAGGTATTACCAAGCCTGCGGTTCCTTTAATCCCAATATCTTCTACTATAAATGTCAAACCTCCTACTATCGTCACTTTTAAATCAAATAGTGATGATACTAGACCAACATTAACAGGTGGTGCTGCTAATAGTTTGAGTGTCTTTTTAAATACTCCCGCCATTACTAAATTACCTACTTTTGATTTGTCAAGTGGAGGAGCTGCAGGATCATTTTCTGCTGAAAATGCAGGAGGAAGGGTTCTCACGAAAAGAAAGTTAAGTGAAATCATCAGTACCACAGGAGTAGATGAGGGTGATGGTAAGACTAACGTTGATGGAAATGTGGAAGAGCTTTTATTGGAATTGGCGGACGAATTTATTCATTCCGTTACTAGTTTTGCTTGCAGACTTGCCAAGCATCGTAAAGTTGATACCATAGAGACAAAGGATGTTCAATTGCACTTGGAGAAGAATTGGAATATAAGAATTCCAGGATATGCCATGGATGAAATTAGATCTACGAGAAAAATACAGCCTTCTCAAACATACAATCAAAAGATTCAAGGTGTTGAGATTGCTAGATCGGTAAATGGTGATTTAAATGGATAAATATATATAGTTTATATTATTAATGTACTTTTCGAATTTATAAACTTATTATATAAATGTCGTAAAACATATGTCTTACCTTTATCACTTATCATTTTCAGACTTATCTTTAAGTAATTTTCTAATACCTTTTGCCCAAACCTTAACATCTTTATCGAATAAACCTTCTATTGTACCTTTTAGGAATCCTTCAGTATCATCTAATAGTTCAGAAGGCGATTTCCGTACGTTATCATCCTTAATCAAACAAAAATCGATGAACTGACATAAAGAGGGATCATATGCAGTTTTTGTAATGGGGTTAACTTTATTAGTCAAACTTGGTGGGGTTTCATTGACTATTCTTTGTAACAAATCCAAAATACCTTCTGGTCCAGTTGACTTGGTATCTTCATACCAAACCGGTTTACCACTAGCCAATTCAATCAACATTAAACCCATTGACCAAACATCTGACTTGACACCATATGTCAAACCTTGAATTCTTTCCGGTGACATATAAGTGGAAGTTCCCACGAATGTATCAGCCATGGCGATAGAATTGTTTAATTCACGAGAAACTCCAAAATCACATAGTTTGAATTCTCCCTTATGACTCATTAAAACATTACTAGGTTTAATATCTCTATGAATGATTTTATGAGTGGTGTACAAATATGATAAACCTGATAAAATAGAAAATGCCAATTTCTTTAATATAGGAAGTGGAAATTGTCCATTAGGCGATAAAGATAAGATTTTATCTAAAGAACCACAATTGCAATATTCCATACATATCACAATAGTATTATTATTATTAATGAAAGCACCATAAAATTCAATAATGTAAGGTGATCTACATTCATGCAATATTCTTAACTCTCTTATTATTTGGGCTTGAATCACAGTCTCCAGATCGATTGGTATCACCTTTTTAGCCATAATCTTTTGTGTAGGTATATGTAATATTTTTGATACAGTACCGGAATTTCCCGAACCCAAATTCTTAAGTGTTAATAAATCATTAATATTCAACTTGAAAGTAGAAGAAGTGGATATAGGAGATAAATTGCTGGTATTATTATTGTTATTGCTGGCAGCAAAATGTAACAGTTGAGCCTTTATATCTGATGGAGAGGATGCAGTTGATTTGGTGGGGGAAATAGACGATATAATGGTTTGTCTTTTTCTTGTGAATGTAGTTGTTGATGTACCCGTTGTTGGATCATTTCTTATAACTGTAGTTGATTTAAGTCCAGTTTGAGTTTCAGGAGCTAATAATGTAGATGTGGATGATGGGGCCTTTAAGGTTGTGGTGGATAGATCAAGATTCGTCATTTGATTTATGATTGAGTGTTCTTCACCGGAACCATTGAAGTCTTGAATAATTGAATTGTCATTGACAGTAATACTGTTGTTATTAGGCTTTAAGTTCAACAATAGAGGAGCCGGCCTCAAGTTATTTCTCTTTTGAAGTAAGGAAGTTGATTTAAAGTCGTCTGGAATTTCATCATAATCATATTCACTGGTGGTTGGAGGTGATGTTAAGGACAATTTTTTAAAGTTCTTCCGTTTCAAGGTTTTAGCTTGTAACAAATGGTCATCGTCTGCTTTCTTGGGAGGAATTGGTGGTAGATCTTTGTCTTTGTTTGATCCTAAAGACGACAGTGATTCATTACTTAGGCGCATCATCTTCACAAAATTTCAATTTTTTAATATGAAATAAAAGTATGTAACTTGATTCTATATGCTGATAGTGCCTTATAAATGAGATGGAGGGTACAGGTCCGTTGATTGTTAACAAATATGGATGATATTAATGATAATGAATCAATGATATGATGTTGAGATTGAGATTGATAATGATGATGATGATTGTATCTCGTATTTACAAAAGCGAGTAATGAGATTAGTTCTATTTTGACACTGAATGAATCACAACTAGGATCACTTCAACTTGAGCAATGTATTCTACGTAATGGCTAACTGATCACGGATAGTGTTCCAAATTGATTGGATTTGAGGCAGTTTGAAACATTTCTAATTTTGGAGAGACAAAATCTCAAACGAACAAAATCCACGCATCAACAAACAAACAACAACAAAAGAAAAAAACTAATTTTGGGTTTGTGTAATCTTTGTATAATATTTATGATGTCTAATTAAAGATAAGTTATAGATTGGTTAAAAGTGTAACTAACTACTATATAAACTATATAAAACTATATAAAGAAACAGGACAAGCAACTGGAAGTAGAATAATAATAATAATAATAATAATAATAAGAAGAAGAAGAATGTAGGAATAAAATAATTATATCCCATTTGTTTTGAAATATATGTATATATAAAAAGGAGAAACCTAGCTTGGTTGGTTGGTTTCATTGATGAGGGATGTAGTTATTTTGGTAATCGTCTTTGATCATGTATTGTTGTTGTCTTGGAATTTGTTGTTGCTGCTGTTGAGGTGGTTGTTGGGGTGGTAGTTGCATTAATGGTTGATTGTACTGAGGTGCAAATGGAAGTTGATTATATTGTTGCTGCGAAATTGATGGCGCGTATTGATTTAAGGGTCCTCCATATGGAACAGATCCATCGTTAGGTCCTGTCATCATACCCATAGATTGTTGATCAGGAGGAATCATTGACATTTGGTGGGATCCAGGAATCGGTATTGGGCCAGGTACAGGATGACCATGAATTGGAAAATGTGATGGGTGAGGTGCAATACCAGCTGCAACTGCTGCCATCATTGAATTCGTAACATCTTGGGATGGATTTGAATCAGTAGTCGAATTATATTTTAAATCAGTATTAGTAATACCAGTATTAATATTACTTTGTGATTGACTCTGATGAAGTCTTCTTTTCTTATTACGACAATTCGAACACACTTTATGTTTCCCCCTATCAAATTCATCTAAAGTCTTTGCACACCTATTACATTTCTCTAATTTCTCTAAATTAGTTCTTCTAATCTTATCATTCTCTCGACATCTTTGACATACTTTATAATTAGCTTTTGAAGTTTTACTACTATTGTTAGTTGTTGTGGTAGTCGTCGTCGTAGTAGTACTACTTGTAGTAGAATTCTCATCTACTTTTTGATCAGTTATAATAGATGCATCTAAAGGACCAGAACAATGAACACATTTCCCTTGAGCTGCTCGATTAGCCTTTCTAGTTCGTAAATTTTGACGGCAAGAAGGACATAATACAAATTTTTGTTCTTCAGGGGGTATTTCGCTACCACATCTACGACAAACCCCTTGCTTATCTTTGGTTTTCTTTTGCCATCTTCTTGATCTTTGACGTTGTAATTCACGACAATGATGACATAACTTAAAAATCTTTGGCTCAGCCAAAAATTTATTTCCACTACCAAGTCTTTGTTGAGGAATAATAATATGTTGATCAAATTCTTTTTTACATCTAGAACAAGAAGACCTTAACATTTGATCTCCTTGACCGGTGGGTAAACTTGTAGAAGTATTCGAAATCGATGTTGAACCATTAAATGAAGTAGATAAAGCAGTTGTTGGATTTGACATTGTTGATGCGATAGAGTCTCTACCTACATTGGAAACATCTTCAGATTTAATTTCAGAACTATTGACTAACTGTTGTTGAATATGTAATGGTGGAATGGGAGGTACTAAATCTTTATCACCTCTACCTTGTTGATGTAAATCATCATAACCAAGAGAGTGAGACTGTAATTGATTGCTATTTTGACTTTGATTTTGCTGAGATAAATGATTTAAACTTGGTGAATTATACTGGGAATTCATATGATGAGAATGGAATTGATAAGACATTTGAAATTGTTGGTTATATCGAGGATCATACTGTGGTTGGTTTGTAACAATGTTAGAATTATTTAAGTCGTATTGATTATTAATTTTGGGGGTACTCAAAACTGACGAAGCAAATGCTTGGTTTGAAGGTGGGCCATTTAGGGCTCTAGGTTGTTGAGGGATTAAATTATGATGAAACTGCTGTTGATACTGAGTTTGAGGTGATTGTTGTTGAGAATACTGTTGAAGTTGTTGCACTCTTTGACCTTGCATCTGGGTATGTTGGGGCAATTGTTGTTGCTGTTGTTGTTGCTGTTGATTAACTGAATTGTGCAGTTGATATAAATTTGCATCTAATGGAGGCTCGACCCCTAAGAATTGTTGTTCCATCTTTAATGTTTATAGGAATTCAAATAATGATTAAAATCAAAAAAATCAATGAATGGTTGTAATACCAAATTTGCAATAAATTGACTTAATCAAAAAAAAAATATGATTGAATGAAATAGTGAAGATACTTATTATCCTTAATGTAAGTTTATAACATGTGCAATAATGAAGATCCTGTTATTTTCTTTAATGAATAATTTTTTATAATAAAATCCCAAAATTTTTAACCCAAAACTTTCCGGAATAAATAATACTAAAATCAAAAGCTTAAATCGAAGTTGATTAATTAAAAATAAATACTAGAATGAATGAATTAATGAATGATTAAACTAACCAAATGAAAAAATAATGAAATAATACAATGAATAACCAGTAATACTCAATAAAATATTTGAATATTATTTATAAAAATTAAAATTTGAAGAAAGAACCCTGTGTGTTGACTAGTTATTGTCGAAGATAATTGGATAATTGGATAATTAGTAAACAATAATTTGGAGATAAAGTTGAATAGGATTGATCGTTCAAAATTTATCCAAAAAATATTAACAAAACCAATTCGGTGATTAATAATATAAAAAGGAAAGGGAATTAATTTTTAATAATGGGTTGGAAGTCCGTTTAAATAGAAAATCCTCCAAATTTGAAAACACTGGAATAGATATAGAATTAGAAATCAATTTCTTCAAATAATCTAGAACGATAGTGGGGATGATTTTATTTGACCTTTTAAACTTGTTTGATATACCAAAGAATTAATCGATAAGTGATAGGATTAATATAAGTAACTATAGCCTAATAAATACGTAAATTAAACTGTACAGTGGCGAATGTGTATATATGACACTTCAATGGTTTGTCAACTGTTGCTTGGTTAGATACTAATTTTAGACTGTACCACTATGTTTCGTAATGAAGATCTTTTGACTGAAGAGTGGGTAAACAAAAACCAGGTTATATGGATATGTGACCAAAATAATAAATATGAAAATCCACAAATATGAAAATAATTAGAAGTGGAAATCTAATTGTCTTTATTACCTTTCTTTCCAGACCTACCCCGTTTAAAACAATGGCTCTGATACCGATATGGTTTTGATTTTATAAAGTGGGTTGGATAAAATTAAAAAATAAAATATTCAACGCAAAAGTTTGTCAATGGTGATATACAAATAAAAATACAATGTGGATTGAAGTACGACGTAGATGGAAATGTGATATTACTTAATTGTCAAGTTCTAATCGAAAATTAGACGTATGTAGCTGTAGACGTAACCAACGGGGAATATAACCGTTCAAAACCACTTAACAAACAATTCACACACTCACACACAGACACTCTTAAATGTTATGAATAAATAAATTGGACGATAATACAAGAACAAGAAAAGAAAGTAAAAAACCAAATAAATAAATAAATCAATGAATGAATTAGTAACCAAATAATTTTTATAAAAAAAGTAGGAATGCAGCTATATCTCTTAAATAAAAATAAAAAAATATCAAAAAAAAAAACCTGGAAGTTGGTTTAGAAGTCTGGAAAAAAAAAAAGCCAAAATGAATGGTTGTGAATATTTAGTTGATGCTGTAGTAGAATCACGTCTTGGATAATATTATTTTACCGTTTCGGTATTTATGAACTGAAATTATTTTAGATTTTACCAAATGGTTTGAATAAAATGCAATCTAAAAAAAAACAATTTGGCTTTTAAGATGAAAAAGGTGATATTGAATGGAAAGTCTACCCTACTTTATTAAAAAAAAATACTCCTCTATTTCTCGACTCTGCAAGTTTAAATGACAATAATGGCGAGTGGGCCAAAATGGAACAGCAATCTCTGGTTTAGTGAGATTGAATTTAAACTTCAATGTTAATTATAATTGAAAGAAGAGTAAAAAACCTGGAGTTCCGCTTGGGTTTATTTATATACTTCTTTTCATTATAATTATTTTTTTTTAATTTATCTAATTATTTTTTTTTAATTTATTCTTTTTTATTTTTATTTTTTTTTATTTTTTTATTTTTTTTTTCAATTTCCATATTTGTGTAATTTACATTTTTGTGTACTGATTTACATCAGTCATTCAGCGAGAATTATATTGTTTTATTTTTTATATTTTAAAGTTGCTTTTAGAATCTGTTGCCCTAGGTTGTACCGAGCTCGAAATAAATTTATAAAGGGGCCATTGAAAATTCATTATAGATCAATATACATGTTATCTTCGAGCAACTGAATTTCGGGGTTGTTCGCAGACACGGAATTCGATGATCAATTTGATATTTAGTGATCAAAATGCAATCACCCTGCTTTTATGATGTTAGATTCTATGTGGGAAAAAAGAATAAATTAAGCAGCATATATGTACAGTAAAATAAGCGGAATTGATTGACGTTTTTGGTCTTCTTTTTTATTTTATTTTTTATTTTTTTTTCTTCACCTTTTTAGTTTTGTGTCTTGTGTTCTCATGTTGCTTTGGTGGAGGTGTGGTGGAAGCGAGTGATTTCGCTACTAACACTTGAATAAATCATGTTATATGGAGAATGATGATGATTAGGCTGGTCAATTATGTTAGTGTAGAAGCGCAAAAATAATAGAATGATATTATAAGGTTAAATGGCGTTGCGATAGTTTCTAATAAGTAAACTTTGCCTAAAACATGAAAAGAAGAAAGCAAAGGTTATGAATAATTGCTCATTTCATGGCAATTCCGTTTGAAGCTCTGAAATTTTTCTATCAATTAAGTTTAAAAAAAAAAATAAACAGAAAAAATTCAACGAATGGTGTATGCAATGGCATCAAATGCCTTTATTTTTATACGAGTTTAGAAATTATGGTATCGAAGTTTGGTTAGTAGTATAAATTACCATTAATCAGTCAGGGGTATGATAGACCATCTAGGGGAACTTATTGAGATTGCTTAAATTACTACGATCTGATCCAATTATAATTAACGCAAGACTTTGTAATTAAGTATCGTCTTCAAAAATTGCTGTAAAAATATTTAGCTTCGGAGAAGTCCATGGTGGATAAAAACTGAGCCGCTGGATCGTACTAGAATCTTTTTTTGTTCTTTTAAAATCAGTTCAGCGGTATGAAATAAGGGGAAAAAAATGAGTGACAATAATATGTAAGATCTGGCATGTGCTCAATTTCGCTGTAAATAGGCTACTAGTTACATACATCATCCATACGGAAAATATTTATGCAATTACCGTTATTGTTCAGAAGTGGTTCAATTAATATTTAAGCTTCAAATGACCAAGAGTACTCAGACTTTTACTTTATTTTTATGTTTTTGTTTAGGAAAAGAACATATACGCATATGTATGTATGTGTCTTGGCTCTTCTATATTACAAATAACGTTATGTTATGCTGAAACGATATAATATATCTTTTGTGGAATTAAAATTAGACTTTAGCCTCTATTAAGACTCTCACAATTTAAAACTTTATGGTTTTCCTTCCTCGATGTCCTTCGATTTAAATTACATCTTTGGCAGAGGTATAATTGATATGAATTAATGTATTTTTTTTTTTAATTTTTTTATTTTTTATTTTTTTTATTTTTTTTTAAAAAAAAATACTTTTTTTTTTGTTTTACCTTTTGGGGGGCCGGGGTGGTGGGTGGTAGAAAAACATTAGCTGCACCTGATAAAGTAAGCAAAATATTTATCTCGCCAAAAGTTCTATTAGTGGGCTAACACTTCCTCCAGATTTTTTGGTTTAAGTCAATATAAGCTTAAAATGAAGTTACAATATATTCTGGGATCTATGGTATTTCATAGTTCTTAGAAACTTCTATTTTTCTCCTAAATCACACGTAACTCGGTACGAATCTCGCTGCCATGTTGCAAATGCAATGTTGCAGTCACATTCTTCAGTTATATCCAGGAGTCGTAATCAGGTCAATTTCCTGTACTTCAATCCCTGATTGACAATCTCAGATTCGGTAATTAATTTTCTAATTAGATCTAGTTGCTTGTAAATCGTTCATAAAATTACCGTAGATCAAGAAATAATTTTCAATTTTCTGTAACTCGCACATAAGCCATGGGCTGGGCTTTTTCGCGACTCTTTATTTGTATTTATTTTTATTGTCTCAAGCCTTGCATAGGACAAAGGAAAGAGTTCCTAATCATGATTCAAGTCTTTAATTATAATTAAGTGAAAAAAGGGGACTACGTTGAACTAAGTAATGTGTTTATTTTTTGTTCAATGATTAAGTATGCTGAGTGTGATAAATATTTTGCATAATATTTTATCACAAAACAACGTCTGACCAAAACACCACTTAACTTGCATTGACAGATTCCCGGATCATAACTCCAATGCTGTGCTTGTCACATTCACTCAATTTGAGAAATATATCACCTCTACTATACTTTATCTTTGGTATGGTAACATTTACAGATGATTTAGTTATAAAACGTGTGATTAATTATATGCTTTATTGTAATTATACGTCTATAATGGCATACTTCTTTTAATGCAAGAAATTATTTTTTAGGGCGTAATAAGGGAATTGGTGACACCAGAAAAAAATAGTATATCCTTGCAAAAAAAATTTTAACATCGAAGGACTGTAGAGTCTTGCAGCCATTCGCTATCTGAAGCTTTGAATATGTTATCTATAGACGAGTATCAGATCCCCTAGATCATTGACTTATGGCCATCTACCTAGCTCATAAGCTAAGCGATGATTTTCCGCTAATGCCATGGTTTTGAATATGGACTATGGCCAGGTTAAACTTGTGTATATAAATTTAATCGATAAATTTAATGATACAATTAAAATCTCTCCACCTCTCACCATAACCATTTTTATTTTTTAAATGGTTAGAATATCTAAAAGTTATGGTTAGACTTTTGAATTTTTTTTTTTAAAAAAAAAATATTTTAATTTTCTTTTTTTTTGGGCTTTTTTTTTTTTTTGGATTTAATTCTCTTTTTTTTTTTTTTTTGAACCATAATTTAGTTTACCTTTTTACTCAGTGAGTATTCAGTTAACTTCTCTAATTTCTTTAAATTAAGTCTTTAGACAACTGAATCTCTGTTTTTTACTTCTGTTATTTTAGTCTATACATGGTATTATAGGTGTCAAAAAAGTATAGATGATGTCAATAATATAAAAAGAAAGTAATCTTGGAAGTGTGTTTATACAAAATTATGTCCATTTGTTACACTTGTCCCGCCTTTCCAATCAAGTCTGCGATTGGAGACCTCCTATCTATTGAAGGGTTATAATTGGGTATAATGTTCGGTCTGATCCTGCAGGCAGTAACCCATATACGTGGGTTTCCGGAATAAGACATTTTATGTAACGGTTATGCAACCCAGGTATGGGTAAAATAGTTAATCGAGATGAAATTGGTGTGGGTAACTGAAAGTCTTAGTTAGACCAATTTACGATTAGCACTAGAGTAAACAACAAAGAATTAAAGAGATATAGTTTTAATTTACTTTGTTAATTGTTGTCTAGTTTTTTTAAACTTTTACTATACTTTGTAAATAAGACAAGATCATCATCCTTAAGGGATCGATAAAATCTCCTCTGATAGCACCACACAACATGGTTACTTCCGCCTCACTTAAGTTTTGTGATGAAATTTAGTCCTCAGACAAAAAAATCCCTTGTAATTAGCATATAAGTTAGAGCGGGATTATATGATTTAAAAAAAAAACAATGTATCAGTAGTTTTAAGAAGTTAAATTTTATGTTTACATTAAGTCTAATGTCGCCTTATGCTTAATTGTTCTAAAATTAACATGAGTTGAATATCCCGTGGATGCTATTCTTATCAATCTCATGCCAGGTGCATAAACAAACAGATAATTATCAAAAAATAAAAAAAGGATTTATTTTTTTCTTTTCCCCGATATTTCATCTGGTGTTTCAGACCATAATACAACCATTTAATAATAATGTGATAACAATGATCACATAATAGTGAGGAAATTAGTTTCCGCTTTATATAATAAAGAGTGTGTGATATTAAAGTTCTATTCAGAAATTTCATTTGATTTATATACAAGTCATATATTTCATTTATCTATCGTTAAATCATAATTCTATTTACATTTTATCTATACCATTAATATATCTATTTACAGGCTGGCTTTCAAGTAAGCGTATAAAGCTTACTTCTTAATCATTGAAATTTTCTCTTCCAAATCATTTGAATTACTTCTCCAGCTCTATAGGCACCCAATCCAAACACCAAGATTCCAACTCCCTTAACTGATTTTTGCCACCATAATGGATGCTTAACTAGATCAATCTTTCCTGTGGTACTATCTTTAAATGGTAACAGTGAACTGAAATAAACACCTCCTCCTAAAGCTACTATCGATTGAATCGTAGTACATGGTAAACAATCTTCTTCAGATGGTATGCTCGAGACTCTACCACTGCCACTCTCTGAACTTTCTCCTGTTGATGGAAAGAATACCTTCAAAATATTAGACATCATCGTGTCTTTGGTTGACTTCTATGATGACCTTTGAAAGCAAATAGTTAGTTAGATGATTCAGTTTTCTCTCATTTTTCATGTCTGATTTGGCCATCTGATGTTCTGATGTTTCCGTTTGAAAATTCTGTCACGTGAATATTTTTAATTTTGGTGACAAGAAAAAATAAGGCAATATCCAAGTCAGATATGAATCATTATTCCATTAATAGAATAGTTTAACTGAACTGTAACACCCATCAAGTATGTTATCACGATCAGGTACCAAATTACCTAGCGTTTGTGTACGATGGTTACAAAAATCAACACCAATAAGGATACCAATGCATCGGTTTTATTCCTCAGGACAATATAATTATTATCAGCAATATAATCCTCCTCCCCCACCAAGATCATCATTCTTTAAACGATTTGTATATACTACAGTAGGAATAACAATTGTTGGTGGTTACTTGTATTATATGTTTTGGCCGAAACATACTTTCCCTTCCTCTGTGGCTAAGATATTAAGAAAAGGTTTATGGGCTGAAAGTGATCGAGGAGAACATGATTATCAATTAGCTTTAAAATATTATTTAGAAAGTTTGAAACATTATGATGACATTGGAGTTGATCATTTAAGTGATGAGTATACTGGGATTCAATTAAAAGTTGGGGAAATGTTTGAACGTTTGAATATGTTGGAAGATGCTGCTTTTGTGTATAATGAGATTGCTACTTTATATTTAACTGTATTAAGTGCTCAAGCTAATTCAGAACAAGGTAAACGTATTAAGAATATCAATCATAAACGTCATTTGATTCAAAAAGATTTAAGAATCGCCATGAAATTAGTTGAATTGAATAAACACAATGTTCAATTATCAAAATCAATCTTAATAACGCATTTAATAATTGCTCAAGATGAAATAAATAAGCATTATAAGTCTTCATCAATATACAATCTGAGTAGAAGCATTCAAACTCCTAATGATGGTAAGAACGATAATATAGTTAATGTTGTGCTTAGTAAAGATACCATGACAGTAATTGGGGCAAATGGTGAAGCTGTATTTAATAAAGCCCCTGGAATTTGGGAACCATTCACTGATGAATATTTCAATGCTATGGATTTATTATCTGCCTTATCTATTTCTACTGGTGATTTGACAATGGCTTTACAGATTAAGATCATGACTATTGAATCTATGTTAGTTGCTGATGTTGAACCTTCAAAGCTTTTGATCAACCAATGTAATTTGGGTTCATTGTTATATTTACAAGCTGAAGAATATCAAGCTCAAGAGATTGTATTAAAGAGGAAAATTTCCAAGACTTTAAATATTGATTATGATAAATTAAACAATGAAGAAATATTTTCCAAAACCACTAAACTAGGCAATAAAATCATAAAGTCTACTAAAATATTACCTCATGAAAAGGTTGATTTAGAAACAGCAGTGCTTTCAAAGGATAGATGTTTACAATTATCTCAAGAATCATTTGAAGGGGTGATTCAATTTGCTAAATTGATTCCTCAAGAAGTTATATCCCAGAATAATTCCATTAATGAGACTGTTGCGTTGGCAACTTATGGATTAGGGGTTATTCATTTACATTTATCGCAATATGATATTGCGGAACGATTACTACGTGAATCAAGAGTTAGATCGAAAAGTTGTGGTTATGATCATTTGTTAATTGAAATTGAACAAGAATTAGAAAAATTATTTAAAGAAAAGAAGAGTTTAACTTTACTTAACTCTTCATCAGATGAAATTGGTCAAAGAAATATTCAAATGGATATCCAATTAAGTAAATAAGTTTTAGATATTGTATTTATATTGTGTATATTCTAAATTCTAATCTAAAATGAATACTATATATGATGTGTAAAAAGTGGGATCAATTACCATTTAGCAATTGATTCTCTTGATCTGTATTATTCTTTGGTGGGAATATGGAATTATATAAATATGAAATTGGATTCGATTTCTTATTCTGTTCAATTTCATTCAATTTATATTGATAGATTATATCGAACGTTGGAGGTTCAATTTCTTCTGGGATAGTGTTGGAAGGTAGTATACCTTCTACTGAGATAGCGGATGAACCAGAATAATCGGATTTGACCCCTGTAATAGATGAAGTAGAACCCATTACATTATTACTTCCTCCTATATTTAATAAATTTGATGTTTCTGATGCGACTGGCCTCATAAGTGAACGACTTCTGGCAATTGAAGCAGCTGATGCATTAATCGCTGATGTTGATCCACTTCTACTTCTACTTGGTTCATTATTAGAACCAAAACCGGAATGAAATGAAAATACTGACGAATTATCATCAAATACTGATCCCATATCTTCTAATGATAACCCTTTAGTTTCCGGAAATAAAAATTCGACAGCTAAAAATGATATAAAGCATGATGTACCTGGAATAAGATAAGTTTTCCATTCAATTAAATCCAATAAAATTGGGGTCATTTCTCCCACAATGAAATTAAATAACCAATTAGTAGCAGTTGAAATGGCGGCCCCTTTAGATCTAACACTATTAGGGAAGACTTCACTCATTAACCAAGGGACTGGACCCCAACTATATCCAAAAGCTGCATTGGTGATAATAACACTAATGACAACGGTATTTGGGGTATATTCATTGTTTAAGAATAATGAATAAGCAATGACAAATAATGGAATTCCCATTAAGATGGCTCCGGATAATAATAATGGTTTTCTACCCCATTCATCAACTAAATACCATGGAGGGATAGTACTAAAGATATAGATAATTGAATTTATACCTGTCATAAGAATGGCATCTCTACCAACCCAACCTGCAGATTCAAAAATCATCGGAGCATAATAAGAAATGATATTGATACCATTCATTTGAGCAAACATTTGGGAGAAACAAGCGATTGATAATCTTTTAGGATATTTTTGTAATAAATATTGATAAGATCTTTCTCCACCTTCTATTCTAGCTAATAAAACACTTTCCTTTATATTTCTATATTCTTTAATAGCTTCTTCATCTTCAACATCTCCATCTCCATATAAATCAGAAATAACGATCATACCTTCTATATCATGATTATGATCTAATAACCATCTTGGAGTTTCAACAATGACAAATGAACCTAACCATAATAAAGAACCAATGAAACATTGAAGTAATAAAGGAGATCTCCAACTTAAATCATTATCAATATATGAAAAAGCAAAATCTACCCAAATGGATGAAGAATATCCAATGATATTCCCGGTGAATTCCAAACATGCGTAAAACCCTCTATCATCGGCAGGACTGATTTCAGATTGATAACATGGAATAATCGTAGTTAAGAATCCAATAGCGATACCACTGATTAATCTTCCAAATCCAAGATTCATAATATTGATGGAAGTACCTTGAATCAAGCCTCCTACGATGAAAATGAAAGATCCATATCTGATAGTACGTCTTCTACCTATAACATCACCAATTTTACCAGCATAGAATGATGAAAATAATGCACCTATTTCTAATATAGCAATCATAGTCCCAATTTCAAAGGGAGTTGGGTTTTGATAATAGTTTTTAAAGTGAGTATTGGTTAATAATGAAGACATTAAACCTTGTTCAAATCCAAATATGAATACACCTAATGATACAAAAATGGATGTGAAGTTTAATAGGGCTCTTCCTACAAAGTATGAATCTTTGATTTGGATATGATGATGAGTATCTTGATGCAGCTCCATGATGTGAGGTTGTATGATATGGTAAGATGAGGAAAGTATCAAGTTAAAAGGAAATGAAAGAACAAACTCAAGTTAACTTGAAAGAAGAAGTGAAAAATCGAAGATTGATAAAGTCTAGCCCTTTTTGGGGGATTGTTTCTTTTTTCGGCTTATTGCTGTCTGACTCCTGTATGTAAACCAGTATCACGATAAGGAAATTATTAATATCTATTTGATAAGTAAGTAAGGCAACTATATATATATAGTATAGTTATGTTTAACTATTTGTTGTTGTTCAGATTTGTGATGATAGATGATTACTTTCAATATCGATAATATCATCTATTATTATTCTATTCATTGTAAGATCTGACAGTTTTGAGCTGTAACAAAGACATGTTAAGTCTTGTATACAGTCCGGATTACGTCATATCATTGTAAACATATAATACAAACATAATTGAAAAGAATGTGGAGAAGTTAACCTTATAATTAAACGGCAAGTATCACTAAATCAAACTTAGTAATATGTCAGATGCTTGTAAACTTTGATAGGTGAAAAGATAGGATGATAGCTGCATTTTATTGATTTCCAGTACATTGTAAATTTGCAACCGAGAAGGTATGTATTTAGTATGGATCAATACGATACAAAATAATAGAAGGAAAAGGAACTAGAAACTTTGTTTACATCACATAAGCTAACTCTGAAGATCTGAAGTCGTTATAGTTTTAAGCAACAAGTTCATGAAGTAAACACAAATATAAACATAAACACGTACTAAAGAAATCTCATTATTGACACTTTAGTTTGTTTACTATAGTCAAAAGTTAATAGCTTAATCAGGACAACAATAAAAATACTGTAGAAATGATAAACTAGGCTAAATTTAGAGGATTTTATAATAAGTAAGAAGTTTAGGTCGATTTACCATGCAGGAATGATTTATCAAGATATTTTGATATGGGATTCAAATTGACTATAGTAATAATTCCAGTAAAGTGTAATAAACAAATAATACAAGGAAATACCACATCAACTGTAACAATGAAAATACTAACAGAAGACCATAAACAAATAACTCATAACAACCAACAAAAATCTACCCAACTCCATCTAACCCCTCCCCTCAGAACCAAAAAACTTTTTCAAAAAATAAAAAAAGTCCGAGATTTTTGGTTTGTGTTTTATGTGTTAAGGGATAATTAACATCACCACAACAACAACTACCACCGTAAGTCATGTAACCATTTGTATATATGATCAGTATATGTGTATATCTTAGTTAAATATGCACATAAAGGTGTGTGAGGATACACACCCATTCTATTAAATGGAAATGGTAGGGCTATAATTAGAGTTAAATTTTAACACGTTGTAAATAGTATTTGTTAAAGGTATGCCAAAAGAGGGAAGAGCCAAAATAAAGCAGGAAGAAAAATAAAAAAAAATTTCTTTTTTGCATTTCATATAATTATAAAGTGTCAAAAACGTTGGCATAGTAATAAAGAAAGGATTAACTATTTAGAATTGGAACTGTACCACTTGAAGCTGCAACCTCGTTGAAAACCATATTATTATTATTATTATTATTTGGTATTATTATTTTTGTTAGTTGTTATAAATATCCCACTCATTCTCTAAAAGTTTTATTTGTAAGTAAATTTTAAATTCATTATGTCATTCTATGTTTCCAATAATAATATCATTCATACAGATAATATAGATCAAAGTCTAACCAAACTACCTTCACTGTCAACCATAACTTCTGATCCTAAAAGAAGAAAATTAAATCATCCTATACCTATCCATTTTAAAATGAACTCAAATTATCCATCAACCACTATAATAAATAATACCATTATTAATAATAAAACCGGTACTATTACTCCTGTATTTAATGAAGAACAAGATGTGGTTATGATTGAAGATTCCAAATCTGATTCTAAAGATTGTCCATGTGGTTATTTACATGGTCCAGGTCAAGGTCATGATCATGATATTAATGCTGTTGGTTTTTCAAGTTATCCTTTATTAAAAGGACCTGAATAAAAAAGTTTTCACATCTAATAATAATAATAATAATAATAATAATAATAATCTTTAATAAGTTTGACTTTTCAAGTGTTGTTAACTTAACTTTTAAATACTTAATATAATGTTTTTCTATTAACTAACCCCATATAGGGTTAGTTAATGTGTGCGTATAAATAGATAGTTATATAAAAAGACTCTTTATAAATAACTTCCATAAATTATAATAATTTATAATACTTAATATATTCTTTGGGTGGATTTTCATACATGTTATTGGTGTAGTAATTTAATATTATGGTAGTAGTTTATAGTATAGTACATTTGTCTCAATAATTATAGAATTAAATAGTTGCGAAATTCATCTGAGATGTATGTGCATATATACATAACTTTAAACTGAATAAAGAAATGGCTGCAATACCATTTACATTATGTAAATCATAAATCGACCCATTTTAATACTATAATACTGGAAACCGTTATATAGTTAGCAGATTTATATACTCTATAAAATGGTGTTATATACAGTACAAGTCAATTTATCCCAATTAGGAAAGACAAATAAATTAAACGCGTCAAAAAATCTTTTTTGTGTTTATACCAAATTTTTCTTTAAACAGATTTCAAAATTCAATTTATTTCAATCAATCAATTCACATTTACTTCTTCATAGGGAACTTGTTTAGATACAGATCAAAATCATTAAGTAATAAGTAAGATGTCTAGTCCAACCCCATCACCTATTCGTAATAGAAGGAAAAGACAAGCTGATGATGATGATGACGATCAAAATAATTATAATAGACTGCAACAACCTTCATCACCTATCTTAGCATCAAGTCCTCAAGCTTTACCTCCTTCATCTCCTGCTGCTGTTTTCGACGATGCAGTTGATGTTGATGATGATGAAATTGAAGTTCATGATGAAATCAATGATTTACAAGATGAAGAAATTGATGGAGATGATGAAGATGATGAAGAAGGAGAAGATTTAATGGATAATATGGAACGAGATTATATTAGAAAAGATGATGAGGATCGTTATGATTTAGGAGATAATATCGATGATGATGAATATGATGCTATGGATCCATCTATGAGAAGAAGAATCGATGAACAATTGAATCGTCGTGATAATTTATTAAATATTAATTCAAGATCAAGAAAACAAGCATTTTTAGATTATGGTGATGAAGATCAAGATGATGATGAAGATGGTGCCTTTGGTGGCCAATTGGATCAATATGGTTTACCTATTCAAAGAAGAAGAAGAAGAAGACATGATGATGATATGGAAGGAGGTGAAGATGATATCGATGATATTGAAATTGATCCATTAAATGAAGAATTATCATTAGAAAGTTTAACTGATATAAAAGCTCCAAGTATTACGGAATGGATTACTCAACCAGCAGTTCAAAGATCAATTTCTCGTGAATTAAAATCATTCTTATTAGAATATACTGATGATAAAGGTAGATCTGTTTATGGGGCAAGAATTAGAACTTTAGGTGAAATTAATGCTGAATCATTAGATGTTAGTTATGATCATTTAGCTGATTCAAAAGCTATCTTAGCCTTATTCTTAGCTACTTCACCAGCTGAAATCTTATCTATTTTTGATATTGTTGCTATGGAAGCTACTGAATTACATTATCCAAATTATTCTCAAATTCATTCTGAAATTCATGTTAGAATTATAAATTTTCCAAAATTATTAAATTTAAGAGATTTACGTGAAAATAATTTAAATCAATTGATTAAAGTAAGTGGTGTTGTCACCAGAAGAACTGGTGTGTTTCCACAATTAAAATATGTTAAATTTGATTGTCAAAAATGTGGTATTGTATTAGGTCCATTCGTTCAAGATTCAAATACCGAAGTTAAAATTCAATATTGTTCAAATTGTCAATCAAAAGGTCCATTTAAATTAAATTCTGAAAAAACCTTATATAGAAATTATCAAAGAATAACCTTACAAGAGGCTCCTGGTACGGTTCCAGCCGGTAGATTACCAAGACATCGTGAAGTGATCTTATTGAGTGATTTAGTCGATGTGGCTAAACCAGGTGAAGCTATTGAAGTTACTGGTATTTATAAAAATAATTATGATGGAAATTTAAATGTTAAGAATGGATTCCCGGTGTTTGCAACTATACTTGAAGCTAATTCTATTCAAAAGAAAGATCTTTCAAGTAATTCAAGTTTATATACTGAAGAAGAAGAACGTGAATTTAGGAATTTAAGTAAACAAAGAGGTATCATTGATAAAATCATTTCATCAGTTGCTCCATCGATTTATGGTCATAAAGATATTAAAACTGCACTTGCATGTTCATTATTTGGTGGGGTTCCAAAAGATGTTAATGGTAAACATTCTATTAGAGGAGATATAAATGTATTATTATTAGGTGATCCTGGTACTGCCAAATCTCAATTTTTAAAATATGCTGAAAAATCAGCTAATAGAGCAGTATTTGCTACTGGTCAAGGTGCTTCTGCTGTTGGTTTAACTGCATCAGTTAGAAAAGATCCTATTACAAGAGAATGGACTTTAGAAGGTGGTGCATTAGTATTGGCAGATAAAGGAACTTGTTTAATTGATGAATTTGATAAAATGAATGATCAAGATAGAACTTCGATTCATGAAGCTATGGAACAACAATCGATTTCGATTTCTAAAGCTGGTATTGTTACTACTTTACAAGCTAGATGTGCTATTATAGCCGCTGCTAATCCAAATGGTGGGAGATATAATTCTACATTACCATTATCTGCTAATGTTGATTTAACTGAACCTATTTTATCAAGATTTGATATTTTATGTGTGGTACGTGATTTAGTTAATCCTGAACTGGATGAAAGATTAGCTAGTTTTGTGATTGATAGTCATATGAGATCACATCCTTCAAATGCTGATGAATTAGAAGATGATGAAATCAATATGGATGATGAAAATAATAATGATCAAGATTCTCATTTAAGAACAAGAAATGAAAAGTTAAATGATTTAAATAAACAAAAGGAAAGTGAAATCTCTCCTATTAGTCAAGATTTATTAGTGAAATATATTAATTATGCTAGAGTTAAAGTCCATCCAAAATTACATCAAATGGATATGGATAAAGTTGCTCGAGTTTATGCCGAATTAAGAAAAGAATCAATGGCAACTGGATCATTCCCAATTACAGTTCGTCATTTAGAAAGTATATTAAGAATAGCTGAAGCATTTGCCAAGATGAGATTAAGTGATTTCGTTAGTCAAAGTGATTTAAATAGAGCTATTAAAGTAAGTATTGATAGTTTTGTGGGAACTCAAAAAGTAAGTGTTAAAAAACAATTACAAGCTAAATTCCAAAAATTCACCTTACCAACCAGATCAAAACAAGTATGATTATCCTGGGGGTATACTTTCTTGTATGGTTATAGTTAAATGTTAGTTTCTTTCTTTTCTTCTTATATATATATGTATTATTATAAAATCTTTTGCAATATAAATCTTAAATGTGTCTAATCTGAGTTTGAGGTCCAGACCACTATGAAAAATCTTGAAAACGCGTATCACCAAAACAAAAATGAAAATCGCGAGTTGATGATTAATCCTTAACAAATTCTAGATATCATCAGTCAAAGTTAATGAAAGAAAAGAAACATATAACAGTGGGCCAAGAATATGTTAAATCTAGATGAGTAAGTATACCTATATTGCATTGATCGAAAGAGAATGAATGATACTAACTAGTTTTTATAGGACTATTGAGAAGATCAAACTATGCAAACATATCCCGGAGGAAGATGTCGAAGAATTGTGTACCAAAGTAATTGAACTATTGATTGAAGAAGCCAATATACAGCATGTGGATACTCCTGTGACGATCTGTGGGGATATTCATGGACAATTACATGATTTATTAACTTTGTTTAAAACAGGTGGAGAATGTCCAACAACTCAATATTTATTCTTAGGAGATTTTGTTGATCGAGGGTTTTATTCATTAGAAAGTTTTTTATTATTAATGAGTTTGAAAGTTCGTTATCCTGATCGTATTACTTTGATTAGAGGTAATCATGAATCAAGACAAATCACTACTGTATATGGATTTTATGATGAATGTGTTCGAAAATATGGATCAGTAAATGTGTGGCGATATTGTTGTGAAGTATTTGATTATTTATCATTAGGAGCTATAGTAGGTGGTAAAGGGGGAGTATTTTGTATTCATGGAGGTTTAAGTCCTGATATTGAATCAATTGATCAAATTCGAATTTTAGATCGAAAACAAGAAGTACCTCATGAAGGTGGAATGTGTGATTTATTATGGTCCGATCCTGAAGAAGTTAGTGGATGGGCTATAAGTCCAAGAGGAGCCGGATTTTTATTTGGTGAGAATGAAGTTAATAGTTTTTTACATACTAATAATATCTCGTTAATTGCTAGAGCTCATCAATTGGTGATGGAAGGTTATAAAGAAATGTTTAATCAAGGATTAGTTACCGTTTGGTCAGCCCCTAATTATTGTTATCGATGTGGAAATATAGCATCGGTATTAACTATTGATGATAATTTAAATCGAGATTATAAAGTGTTCGAAGCGGCAACTCAAGATGTTAGTTCTATACCGTCTAAAAAGCCAGCTATAGAGTATTTTATTTAGGTTGGTGACCATTTGGTATGATTAATGATTAACGATGATAGTTATATGTTTTTGTTATATTTTATTTTATTTATATAGATTTATTCTTTATCCCTCTGTATTATTAGAAATTGTATAAGATATTTATGGAAATGTACTTGTAATATTATATTTTGCAACAAAAGATAAACAAATTAGTGATAAATGATCCAATCTACACAAATAGAGTATTGTTTAAATTATTGTTGTAGCTGATTAACCTAAATGAGAACAAAACACCAGAAGGAAAGAGATGCCGTGAAAAATGTCAGTAAATAATTCCAGACATTATGCAAGTCATTTAAAAAAAATTAAGACAAAAAAAAATAAATTAGGGAGAGAAATTAGGGAGGATTGGAATTTTAGGGCGTTGAGGGAGATACCGTCAAGTACAGAAACAGGTCGTTAACCAATTCAGGGTACTTTGAACCTGATATTTAAGGGGGTGATATAAAGTATCTATCTATTATATTTTTTAATCAAACAGCTGTTTACAGTTGATTATTATAATCTATTTTAGGGATTGGATGGTTGGTTAGTTACAAATTTGCATGGTAGAACATGATGATGATTCCAATGTGTTTCAAGTTTATACCTATAATTAGTTCTATTATCATTACAATAATTGACAACAGTTTACAGTTTTTTTTTTTTATGAAGATGCTCTATTTTCGGTAAAGGAAAAGACCAAAAAAGAGATTATTTTTGTCTCATTAAAATCTAATGAGCATTCTTTTATTGTCTTTTTTCTTTTTGTTTGTTTGTTTGTTTGTTTTTGTTTACGATTTCAGTTGTCAGGAAGACTAACACAAATTACTGTTTACCATTCTTCATCGTTTTTATTTTTAGTAGTATGTAGAAACAGTCAAATATCATCATTAGATCTATGTACTAATATACTACTGTCTAGGGGGTTCGTAATACCCACTAGATCAATGAGAATGATAATTGACCTTCAAGTTTCTTCAGTAAATTCCTTTATCTTGATAATCGACAAGATTTATCCGGAACAAAGAGATAATAGTAAAAATGACATTTTTACAGTTTGTCCCATAATTTTATAAGCATTCTGTACCAATTTGTTTTTTTTGCGCCTACTTGGTTTTGTGTTTGTGTCTGAACTTTGTTTTACAGTTTATAATTTATAATTTAAAACATTCTTTTTGTTTTTTTTTTGTCAGTTACAACTTCTCAGTTAGTACAATACAACCCTAAAATTGCTACGTAGACCATCTTAATAAATGAAACAAGTCATCGGCAGTTACTTTTTAGTTAGGACCGACCCTATGCAGTGTTTAAAGCGAATTGATGGTTATATCAAGCACCATGATAGTTATTCGTGGCCTTTTATAGAAGTTGATTCAGCATGTGCTTAATCACTAATGGTAATCTTATAAAAAGTTGTTGCAGATTCACAGGGGGGGTTTTACACACATACACAAATTCCCACACACAGGGACCAATTCATTTCAAAAGTATCACCACCACATGAATTTTAGGCTTAAAATTTGTCTTTTTTTATTAGTTCATTATTATTACAGTTATTGTTCTAGTTATTTCAATTTAGTACAATGCAACTAGATATTTCCGAATGTTTTTATTCGTTAAAATATATACTCATTAACCTTGACAAATTAGATTAATAATAAAAGTTTGAATCATCTTACTCGTTGTTAATTTATAGTTAGGTTAATATAATTGGATTAGACTTCCTAGCCATCGGTATGCTGATGTACTATGAAGTGCTTCGAGCAATTTCAATCTAACCTTAACAATTCTTGGTTACCGCTTATCATAAGTTGATTCAGAAATTTTTTTATTTTATATTTTATATTTAACTTTTTTTTTCTGGTATGTTAGTTTGTTTTTTGTCGGTAAATAATTCAATTTCTTTTTTTTTTGGTTGTGATTTACTCCCTAAAAATAAAAATACCCACAGACTAGACAAGGGAGGGAGGGAAGGCTGAAGCGATAAAATAATAATAATTATTTATTTTAGTAAAAAAAAATTGTCTCGAATCAAATTTCAATTTCAATTCTAATTCTGCTTAATTTTAACCTTCCTTGTCCTTAATGATCCTTCTTTACAGGTATTTCATATTATTATATAAATGAAATGTGGGTTCCTCGAATTATTATTTTGTAGATGCTTTCCTCTTTTTATAATTTATCTATATATATATATATATATATATATAACAGGGGATATCCTTTCTATATTGGCTTTGGGTCAGTCAATTTTTCTAATCGTTACAGCTGTCATTCTTCTCATATAATTAACTCATCTTCGTCATCATCATTTGCATCACATCTAATAAATTTTTGTGGCACACTCATTTACAACCGATTCAATTTTTGTCAGATTTTATTTTTATTTACATTAAAATTCTAATTTTTATTTTTTTAAGCTTCCCTAGCTTTTTTTAGAAACCTCATTTGTGACTGATCTGTTTTGAGTTTTACAAGCCATCTACATATATATATACATACATATATCACCAACTTTCCCAATAACATCTACTTCTTCATCGTCCATACCTTTTGTTAAAGACTTTGATCTTTTTATTTGATTTTTTTTTTTTTCATTCGTTATTTATCAGTTTATCTAGCTGCTGATCAAATCTGATAAGAAAAAGATAACCAATAACCTCAAAAAATAGGGTATTCATTCGTTTACACTTGTTGTTATACATCACAAACTTTGAGCATTTAACATTATCATTTTGTTATCAACCGTCTTATTTTATCCTTTTTGCATTTCTTTTCAAGAATCATATTCATTAAAATCAAAAAGTATTTCATTGAAAATCGATATATAACTTTATCACCATGAAGATTGATTTATTTATCCATTTTTTAATTGCATTATTCATCACTTCAATCAGTTTTGTTAAAGCTGATGATGATACGGAAACTGAAACTGAAACTAGTGCCACTCCTACTTTAGTTTGGGTCACAGGTACAAATTCATTGGGGGTAACTGTTACTACTCAATCTCCATATATTCAAGAATTTTATACTCTTTATTCAGCAGTACCAGCAGTATTATCAGGTGCTATTGGTATGGGAAGTATATCTAATGATGGTAGTTTAGGTGATATTAGAACTTATCCACAAGTTACAATTGCCAATTCAGGTAGATCCATTATTAATTCTGGGATTAGTTCTACAAATGGAGTCAGTCTTCAATATATTTTTGCATTAGTTGGTTTATTCATTATTCCATTTATCTCTACGGTTGTTTTCTTGTGAATGTTGCTGGGTATGGATATTGCTTTTATCGTTACCATTTTTCCAAAATTTTATTTTCATATATATATATATATATACACAAACAGTTCATTCATTATAACATATACATTTCATACGAACTAGTTTAGTTCAGTTTAGTTTACTTTACTTTACTTTTTTTGCATAGGGGGGTCATTATCTAGTAGTTTATACATTTATAAATCAATATCTTAGATTATTAATACATTACATCATTAATTATTACAATGTGTAAATTATCTAGGTTCTTAGCCAAGAATACTTTTGACAATCTAAGCGCACATTTTTTAGTTTTCTCCCTATTTCAAATGAAGACATGGTAGCCTTGTTTTCATACCGCAAAAAAAGCCATCAAAATTTCAGCAGACAAAAAATATCAGACATTTTTTAAAATTTTTGTGCCTTCATGAGATACGCAACCCTTTTTTTTAATTTTTTCTTTTATTGCTGTTTTTAATTAGTAGCCCCAGCAAAATTTACTGTTTGTTTTGTTTGTTCATTTCTCATCACTAATTGTCTCAGTAAAAATTTCACGAGAGCGTAAAATTTCACACTATTATTATTTATTTATAAATAGTATATTTACGTGATTATTATTAGATCTGCTGGCATTAAATAATATTCATTTGGCAATTAATTACATTATACAAACATCCAACCACACCATATGATTAATTTCAAACTCGTATCAGATACATCTCTCTAACTTCCCTCCTGCCCCTCCTAATTTAAAGTATTTTTATCCCCTACTGGCAGGGAGGGCCGAATTGTGCGGTAAAAATTTTTCGCGAAGTAGGCGTTTACTAATTAATTTTGACGTAAAATTATGTCATGATGGAATCAGATACAAAAACTAAGTTAAGAGTTTTACCGGCTATGGTTTTCAATTTCTTCGTTTACAATTACAATTAGTAATGATTAATTATACAAATCCTTTTTCATCGGTTGTTCTTCTGCAGTTGACTATAAAAGCTTATATTTACGTTTCGCGAATTTAAGTCAATACACAAAGGTTAAAATGAATAAACTGCAAAATAAAAATTGTCTGAATTAAGAGTTTGATATATTTAGTAGGAAAGCAATCGTATTCAAATCGTAAACAAATCACGGGTATATTGCTGTGTTTTTTTTACTAATACAAATTGACAATCTAAATCGCATGCGCTACCAAAACGAGTAAATTGTAAAAATAAGGAAACAATCTTCTTCATATGGATGAATAGATGTGGGCAAGTTATATTGTATTCTCGAATAGCATTAATTTCTATCCGAGAAGTTTGATTTATTTTAATTTTCTATACAAAGTATTAGCTTTCAGTTGAACTGCTAACTTGAAATTTATATAAAATAATTGCAAAAACTATAAATACACCAACACTTTATAAAACTCTTGATAACTATTGCAATTTACCTATTGAAACAGATTTCAACTCATCTCAACCTACTTCTTTCACTAAATGACCTCTAACAACCATGAACTATTACTTAATAGCTACAATTACAACAAATATCAACTTGTGGGTATTGTCAATAATATACAGGAAATAAAGCTATGTCACGCGCACTACCCTAATTTCACAGTATTTGATTGTGGCTACTATGTTTAATATTTAAATGGTGATCAAATATTGAAAAAGCCTACTAATAACATCATTAATCTTGATAATAATATAATATATATCTATTGATAACTGGCTTATCAAAATTGGATAATTTCCTCCTTTTTTTAATTCTTGTTCATGACTACTTTCTAACTCATTTAATTTGCTCATTCATAATCATAATGTCAAGTCCTGCCCCGCATCGGAAATCTACATATGATGCAGTAATTGATTCTACCAATAGATCACGACCACAAGTTCAACCAGGAAGTAGAAAGTCATCCACCCATTCAGTAAGATTAGCTAATTCAGCGGGAACATCCGTGGTAGGAGCTGTAACAGAACAAGAACAAGAAGAAGAAGAGAGTATTAAAATACCACCTACTGTCACGTTGCTTGAATCAATTAATGTATTTAAATTCACATCATTATCATTGGAAAATAAAGGAAGTGTAGCAAGAGATCATTTAGCAAATGAAAGAACCTTTTTAGCCTGGTTAAGAACATCATTATCATTTATAACCATTGGGATTGGTGTGACGCAATTATTTCGATTAGAAGATAAAACAAGTTCAGTTCATGTTAATGATTCAATTTTAATACTTTCTAATGATGATAAATCAATTACGATAAATAAATATGGTAAACCATTAGGATCAACGTTTATAATATTAGGGATTATAACGTTATTGTTTGGAGTATCAAGATTCTTTCAAGTTCAAAGTATGTTAACAAAGAATTATTATCCTGCTTCAAGATTATCGATATTAAGTTTAATTATTGTAGTGTTGGGAGTTATATTAGTGACATTCTATATGGTTTTAGAATCATCGATAAATAATTAAACTTGATAGTTTATAAAATAGTATTTATATAATATAATATAATATAATATAAAGTAAATGACATTAATCAAGTAATAGAACATACGTTATCAATGTAGAATATAATCTCAGATAAAGTTGCAACATCTATTGGATCTGATTTGATAATCAAAAATAGAGATAGATAGATAGATACCACCAGGGTTCAACCCTAAGCATACCCCATCACACGTGATTAGATGGGACACCAATCTCAACTTAATCTGTAAAACCAATAACATGTAAAACATCATAAAAGTGCGAGTTGGAGACTTAACCTGTAAACTCTCTCAATTTTCGCTTTGTCTCTCAAAAGTTCAATCCTTGTTCCAAAAAAACTAAAAAAAATTTTCCCTTATTAATTTACTCTTGGGATAGTCATATCAATATACTTATACACAAATTAATACAAAATGGTATGTGAAAGTGATCATAAAGGAGAGGTGAATAGTGTAGATCATGAAAGAATAAGACTGAGTGTCGTGGAAATCATATTTAAGGTGTTTGATCGAAGAAAGATTCAATAGTATCAATCAAAGGCAACAGAAGTAATCATGAAAATATTGTCATTATAGAACCAACCACAGTTTGAATCGATCAATCGGAATGTATCCATCAAGAAAGTAAAGAAGAAGTATCTCATTCAAGCAGACTCAGCTTCATTCAATATGTGAAATCAAAGTAAACAAATCATTCAATATAGTAGTTTTTCAATATATATTAAACAAGTCGAGATTAAACCAATCACAGTTATTCCAGATCCAATCATTCAAATTCATTCAATAAGATCAATCATATATGAATGCGACTTTACAGCTTCAATCGCTGGATCCTATGTCGATAGATAATACATCCTTCAATACAACTATCACTTAAGTCTATTTTTATTCAATCTATTCTAAATCATCTCTCCCCATTTGTTTCTTATTAAAGATAACATCTTACTAACATTCATTAACTTATAGGGTAAAGTTCATGGTTCCTTAGCTCGTGCTGGTAAAGTTAAATCTCAAACTCCAAAAGTTGATAAACAAGAAAAACCAAAAAAACCAAAGGGTAGAGCTTACAAAAGATTATTGTACACCAGAAGATTCATCAATGTTACTTTAACCAACGGTAAAAGAAAGATGAACCCAGGTCCTTCTTCTCAATAGATTCATTAAACTTGTTGTCATAAGTTTTACTTCTATAAAATAACGGATCGATGGCTTGATTTTCTTTTAATTTTTTCATGTATAACAACATATCTAAAGAGGAATATTATATATATATATCTACAAGTTTCACTTGATAATTAATTTATAAAATTGAAAGCTGCTTCATTTATAAATGTTTTTCTTACCGTATATTACAAAAATAATATATAAATCATTCATAGTATAAATCATTGATTATTTATTGTAGTTTCTATAAAAAAACTCTATATGCAAGGGGAGGAAGAAGTAAATTCACTTACCAGTCAGGATACAAGTAGAATGAATAAACTCGGGATCTGATTTCAACTGTTTCTTCATCTTCTTCAAACATTGGATTCCAATTCACTAAATCAATCTTTTCCGATTTAAATTGATATTCCTTTGCCGTTTCAAAAAATTGTAAATCATCGTTTAATAAATGAGGTCTATGAGGAGAGAATACCACTAAACATTTCCCTGTCTTTTTTAAACTCTTACGACATGTATGTAATAATTTATGATGTTCAGTATGATTGAAAACTAAATCGGAAAGGATAATTAAATCATATAAATCACTTTCAGGAATTTGGGATTGTTCTTGTTCAGTTAATTCTTCATTTTGTTCAGGATATATTATAGGTCCAACATTATTACCCCAAATATAACCTTTCACTATATAGTTTGATAATTTTGCTTCTTTATCAAGATGATCGAAATTATATTGAATATTGGATATTAAATCAGGATCAGGATAATCAGTTGATACGATAGTTTGAGCTCCATTAATAGCACAGATTAACCCGGGTAATCCTGAAGCAGCTCCTAATTCCAATACTCTTTGATGTTTAATTAAAGTAGAAGCATGTTTATCTAAGTAATCAGCCGTGAAAATACCTGCATTCCAAAGAAGATGACCCCATAATGGTGATTTTCCTACTAATCTTAATGGTATTTCAACTGGTGAAACATTGGTTAATTTTCTGGTATAACTGACGAAATGAGAAGTATCTTTAGGTGGCAATGAGTCTTCTGGTTCTTCAAATAAACCACCTGCTCCTTCAAAACTCTCTGTATCTGACATGTCTTCCATAAAGTTGTATGAATGTTTGGTGGAGGTATCTATTGTCTTCAGATTGTTATAAATTTTTTATCAATTTTTTCAAACTTCATCTGGTGCGATATTACACTGTAAGATAGACAGTAAAGTTTAGTTCAGGATACTACCAATTAATAGTGGATGAAACTTCTGAGAAGTAATTTCAATAGATGTATATCAAATAAATCGATCTACTATTCAATTTGAAGATAGATACCAAATTGTATCCATAATATCGTACTTCATCACTCTCCAGCTAAATAAAGATTTCGCATCCATCAAAATTTTATTGAGCAGATATCAAAACCCACAAAAAAAACTTAAACTTACAACTTCAACTGTTACAGATCACATAAATCATCCATCATCATCACGACATATCTATCAACATGGAGGATAACATCATCAATCCAAGTTGGTCGAAGGTGTCCACCCAATTAATCAGTGATCCTGATAATCTTCAATTATGGGAAGATCTCATCAAAGCATCAGAATCAAATAATAAACATGGTATAACGAAATCAACCCCCATTGAAGAATTAACTTTATTACGAGTTACTTATGAGAAATTATTAGAGAAATACCCTTTGTTGGTTAATTATTGGATCAAATATGCCGATTGGGAGTTTAAACTTGGTCATACTGATAAATCAATCCATATTTATCAAACTAGTCTTCAATATTTATCATCATCAATTGAGCTTTGGATAAGTTATTTACAATTCAGGATCATAACGATCAAGGATGATATTGATGAAGTGTTGAAAGTATTTGAAGTGGCTCGTCGCGAGATTGGATATCATTTCCATGGTGCTGAGTTTTATAAATTATATTTAAATTTCCTACAATCGTATAGCACCGAAACCAATCAATTTGATCAAAAATATTATACGTTATTAAGAATCATTCTTGAAATCCCATTATATCATTATGAATACTTCTTTAAATTATTCTTTGATATCATTGCCTCTATCCAAACTGAAAAGGAACCCTCCAAGATAATATCATACCTCGTATCTGAGAAAGATTCCAAAGCTGTCAAAATAACAGATAATAAATCAGCCTCATCCCAATTAAAGAAAATATTCATCGATGTTTATATCACCACTCAATATAAAGTATATGAATTATATTACTTTGAGAAACAATTGATAAAACCATATTTCGATTTATCTCCTATTTCAATCCAACAATTACAAATTTGGGATAAGTATCTTGATTTCCTTGAATTAAGAGATTATCCATCGTCATATATTGAATTCGTCTATAATCGATGTTTATTATCGTCAGCCACATTATATGCTCAAATCTGGATAAAGTTTACTGATTATTACATATTAAGGAAAGATTATGATCAGGCTGAAACGATATTAATGAGAGGGGTACGTCATTGTGAAGATTATACATTATTTTTAAAATTAGTTGATTTAACCTTGTTTAATGAAGAAATTATTCGAGCTCGGGATTTAATATTGGGATATATTAAGAATTCAATTCATGTTCCATTCCCGATATATGAGAAATTAATCAATATTGAACGATTATTAAATCATAAAGATGATGAATATTTGATTAATATATTTCGAGAAATCATCAAAAAGACCAATAACGATTGGTTTTTCCATCATTTATTAAATTATACCGTATCTCATGAATTGAAATTGAAATTATTCCTTGAATTTGAATCAACATTTAAGAAATCTGCCCCTTACAAACAAGCCTTACAAAAATTAAATAAATATTCCCTAAACATAGAAGAAGAAGAAGAAAAAGAAAAAGAAGAAGAAGAAACCACCCGTGGTTCTTCTTCTTATGATGATGAGATTGAATCATTTCTCTAAATAACAATTCAATCCCGTTATAAATACATACCAAATAAGTAAAATTATCCCTGCCCGTCTATCAAACACCCAATGATTCAAAGGAATATAAATCAAATAAAACATCACCGTAATGATTAATGCCACGGTACTGACTACCACATTTATACTTAAGTTGAATCTTATAGGCTCATGAGTGATCGATTTCCCAATCACTAAACATCCATTGAATCCAATCCCTAATAAAATCACAATTAATGGTGATCCTAAACATGCATTTATCCCCAAGATAGGATTTATCTTAGTGGAGATAGTTAAATTTGTAATTAAATCATTTATAGAATTACTTATGGAAAATACTAATAACCCTAATAAATAATCTGAAATTCTCCAAATGAGACCGAAATTCTTTAATATTTTTAATATCTCGACCGTGAATTCTGATAATATGATTAATGAGATGATAATTCCCATGATATTGATGAGACAATGACGTAAATTGGGATAACTTGAAAGGATGAACGTTGATATTAAATGTAGACATATACTAGTGATGATTAAATAGGGGATGAAAGTTATCCAATCTAATTTTAAAAATTGATAATTTAAAAGGATGGGGATTTCAACATAAAACCAATAATGGAATGGTTTCCATTGATAAAGTTTGAATTTCCAATGAGTCTCATTAAACTCTTCATCATGCAAGGTTAATGGGACTAATATACAAAACATCATATCGATGCTATTTACAATGTATTGTGAGATTGAGATGGAATCTTCAATCATGATATGTTCAATCTCAGCGATTTTATAGGAATGATTACTATCGGATGATTTAGTAGGAGTTATAGGGGTTAAAAGGGATCCGTAATTCGGTATACTTTCAGATGGGGATTCAGGTTCGAGTAAGATTGGACTGGATGATCTGGTGGACGGATTACTTAATTGATGTTCTTCGTTTGATAAGATACTTAATGCATCTTCGATATTGAACTGTTCATGAAGATACTGTTGTTGAATATTATTATGATCAGTATGATAAATTAATAATGCTTGATGTTCATCATCATTTGATAATTTTTCTTTATCGAAATAACATAAGAATATGATATATGCCCCATAACAAATCACCATAACAACGGATTCCACTAAAGTTATTATCCCATCTGACATGATATGAAAGAAAATCACAAGGATAATCAATACCCAAATGAAATCAATCGACATCATACGTTTATGAATGACTAGGAATGGACCATTCATAATACAAATCAATCCCACAATGATAGTGAATGTGATAAATATCGAACCCACCAATTGTCCAATGACCAAATCTGAAGATCCAACATTCAAAGCGATATTATAATTGATTAAATCAGGGAATGTATTGGTGAGGGGGACTAACATGAATCCTAAAATTTGATTATTGATATGTAATCGTTTGGTTAAATCATTTAAATTTTTGAAAAGATAATTGGATACCAAGATACTTAATGATATAAGAATGATAGTTAAACCTATCATAATAAGGGCTGATACTAGTAAAAGATAAGGTATGGAGTGAGAGTATTGGGAACAATAGTAGAAAGTTGATATGAGAAAGTAATTTGAATCACAATTATCTTTGATATATTCACAAGAGGTGGAATATTGAGTTTGCTTCGAAGGGATATGACATTGTTGGTTGAGGGTATTACTACTACTTGAGGATGATGATAAACTACTGGATAATGATGGTTGAATCAATACAATGATAAGCGAGATTAAACCCCATAATTTTAAGCCTATTTTCATTATGGGAGGAGCAAGAACGATTTACAGCAACAATTGATAAGACATAAAGGGAGGAGAGGAGGGTGTTATGAGAATGTCTTGGGATGTCTAGGATGAGCAAGGTGGATAGATAGGATTGGTTGAATACTTTACATATATGATTTAAGCAAATGATAGTAGTTAATATGAAGAGGAAGTGGGATAGCAATTGATAATTTCAATTTTAAAGGTCTAAATTTAAAAATGGGTCATACTAATTAAAGCCATTTATCCTGTATATAACTTTATCTTATCAAATTTTTAACAGCCAAGCCAAGATAACATAACTGATAATGATATCAAGTCAATAATAGTATATGATTGATGATATTGAAGTTAGATGTAAGGTATCAGCCAATTACACGTCAATGCTAAAGGTTGTAACTACTATGTATCCAACTTAATCCATATTATGTCATATGCTCTGAATCATTGATGCTGTACTACAGATACATATTACTACATCTAAATCCATAACTCTATTAACGTTTATTAAATATAAATAACAATGATCTAATGATTGACTAGACTTAGAAGTCAATCCAACTATATAACAAGACATGACGTAACATAACATACCATTAATGCAAACAATGAATAAACAACTTCATTTACAACTTATCTTTAAATTGACGATAAGCTTCTTTTTCTAATAACACTTGCTTTGCAATACTTATATCAAGATTAATATCATCAATTAAAGCTTGTTTGGTAGTATAATTCAATTCAGGACGAATATACCCTAATACATTATATTTCAAAGAAGCACCATAAAAATCACAATCGAATTTATGGATAATATGAACTTCGGCTGCTTTTTCTTTATTATGATAGAATGGATTCCATCCAATCGACATCACCATAGGTAAAATGGTTAATTCTGATTTACAAAGGGTTCGACCATGATTTATAATCACCTCATTACCATTCTTACGAATAAATTTCTCATCATTTTCTTGAACATGAGGAATCACTTTACACCATCCGTAGTATATACCCGTATCTAATTGATTTAAATCAGGAGTGATGGGGATATTGGCGGTGGGTATACCTAATTCAGATGAACCTCTACCGAACCCACTTATGATTCTTGATTCATGAGTGATAGGGAAGGGAGATTCTGGTTCAGGAGGGATTATAGTTTCTGGTCGTGTCATAGTGATGTAAGTTCTTGTATATGTGTATGTGATGAATGATGGATTGAATGAATGGATTGAAGACTTTATATACTTTATCATATAAGTGTAATTGATTGATGTAATTATGATTTATAATTTGAATGTCAATTGTTACTAAATCAGACAATCAGACAAAAAAGAAATTAAAAGAAAAAAAGAAATAAATAAATAAATAAAAATGTCACGACATTCTTCCAAGACGACATTGAGATCAAAACAACGCGACATTTCACTTTTTAAATTCTAAATGACCAAACAAGAAGGTCAACACAGACAGACACTTAATTACGATAATAACAATTGATGATATATAAATTATGATGATGATTTATTTTTAATTATTAATAGAAAAACTACTACTTAAATAAACAGCAATCAGTTAAAAAAAACATAAACTGATGATACTCCTCAATTGACAATGATAATCAACTTTATTAAAATCTTTCTTCTAATTGTTTTAATAAAGTTACAGCATCTTTACCAAAAGCTCTAATACCTTGGGATAATTTTTCAGTAGCCATAGCATCTTCATTTAAAGCTAATCTAAAAGCTGGTTCATCATCAACAAAAGTGACTTTTTCAAATGATGAAGATTTAGCTTCAGTTGGATCTAAAACTTTTGGAACTGGTTCATTTGAATTATATAATTCTTCTAATAATTTAGGAGCCACAGTTAAGAAATCAACCCCTGCTAAAGCTTTAATTTCTCCAACATTTCTAAATGAAGCACCCATAACAATGGTTTTATAACCAAATTTCTTATAATAATTATAAATACCTCTAACTGAAATCACACCAGGATCAGTTTCACCAGTATAAGTTTCACCAGTTGAAGCTTTATACCAATCTAAAATTCTACCAACAAATGGAGAAATTAAAGTAACACCAGCTTCAGCAGCAGCAACAGCTTGAGCAAAAGAGAATAATAAAGTTAAATTAACATGAATATCATATTTTGATTCTAATTCTCTTGCAGCTTGAATACCTTCCCAAGTGGAAGCAATTTTAATTAAAACACGATCTTTTGAAATTCCAATTGATTTATATAATTCAATTAATTCAAGAGCTTTCTTAACCGTAGCTTCTTTATCAAATGATAATCTAGCATCAACTTCAGTTGAAACTCTACCTGGAACAATCGATAAAATTTCTTTACCAAATTCAACTAATAAACGATCTAAAGCAATATTAGCTTTTTCTTCTTTGGTGGATCCTTTAGATTTAGCGTAATCAATGGCAACATCAATAACTTTAGCATAAGCTGGGTTTTTAGCAGCAGCCAAGATTAATGAAGGATTAGTGGTGGCATCTTGAGGAGTATATTTAGCAATTTGTTCGAATTCCCCGGTATCGGTGACAATAACAGTACCAGTAGCTTTTAATTGTTCTAATGAATTGGATGACATAGTGTGTGTGTAGGTGTTAATTACTTTATGATGATGATAATAATTAAATAATCAAAGAAGGAATTGAAAAGAAAGAAGGAATTGAAATTGAAATTGAAAATAAATAAATAAATTATGGTATATATATATATATATTCCATTAATTGATTCTCGTGGGGGTTATTCAACCGAAGAAATTTATTCACCACACACTCACTCACTCAACAATTAAAGAGTACCCGACATTATTACTAAGAGGTGGGGGAGACATTTACATTTCATGCGACATCTTATGAATCTAGAATTAATAATAATTTACAATTATCAATTAGTTATACTAATAGCTATATGATTTAAATGACCATGGTTTTATTAATTAGTAAATATTTACAGAATGATGAGTTGAACTTATAACAAATTATCCAACAACCCTTAGAATTAATTTATAGTTGTTGTTTAATAATGATGATACTCTATTATGCGATTACCGTTAATTAATTACTTGTCATTCAAATTTGAAGGTCTACCCATCACCACGACAAATTATTCAAAGAAGGTCAAATCATATAGTAGTAATAAATTGTAATTGTAATAGTAATAGTAATAGTAATAGTAATTTCAAATGGTATCATTGAATCACATAATCATAATCATCATCATGAACTCATCATGATCATAATTACTCCTATAAATGGATCGGATTAATTTAATCCTTAATTGTTAGTAGTTAATTAATTTGTCTTGTCTGTCTGACTGTCTGACTGTCTGACTGTCTGACTTACCCCGGAGAAATTCGTCATTTCAAATTTTGTCTGTCTGTCTGTTTCCGTTGGTTCCATAAAAAATGACAGACAGACAAAAAATGAATGCGACATTCACTTTTGTCAGACAGACAGACAATTTAAAGAGTTATGTCAATTGTCTGGTTATGTCAAATTTGTTATGTCGAGAAATGAATTGACAAGATAATGAAAAAATGACATAAGATTAGTTTGCTGTCTGATCGTCTATCATCAATAGCAATCACAAACCCAAACCATAACCATACCCGTAAAATTAGATCCCGAGATATCCACCCCATTCATCCATTTTATATATACATACCCTTTTCATCATACCAATCAATATTTTGTAAACATAAACAATTATCTTTCTAACTACTTTTATTTTTAACCTTTGTTTCGTTTACCTTAATTCATTTATTTATTTATTCATTCACTTAATTATTCACTTACTTACTTATTCATGACAGTTAAACGATTACATATTAGAGCTTCAAATAACTACAATCTCGAGGATTCCATAGTTATTCCTATAAACACCAATAATCCCATTGAAATCAATTCCCCTATTGGAACTTTCAAAATCATCATTAATATTAAACAATTCGATGGTTCAAATCCTCATCAATCAAATAGTTTAACCAATATCAATGATTCAACTTATTTAAATCATGAACCAATTGATTCATCCCAGGTTAATTCGATTAATATTAAAGATACCCAACCTAATTTAAGAATTGATATTGTATTTAAACCATCCATACCTATTTCTGGATCAGAATTAATCTTTGGTAATGATTTTACGGTTCCGATTAGAAATTATGTCCCTACAACAATCTTAGCTACCGGATTGAAATTCTTTACTTGGTTCATTAATAAAACCGTCAAGGGGGATATCTATAGTGATAAACCATATCTTTATGGACTTGTATTGAATAGTTTTACTAATATGTCAATTATAGATGATAATGATGAAATGAAAATCTTTTCTGATGAAGATAATTCAAATTCAAGTGAAAGTATTAGTGATAGTTCCAAACCAGGGATACTTCGAAATCCATTATCAAGAAAGAAAACCAAGAAATCTCTGATGTTAGATAGAATCAATCATCATGAGAATTTAAATGATAATATTGATAATACTTTAAAGATTCCGAATCATTCAATCGATAGAATTAAATTCTTTACTAATATTGAACCATGTCAAGAATTTATCTTCACTCCAAATGATACTAAATCATATTTTTTCCAATTTGATACTGATTTTGTTAAATTGGCTAATTCAAGTTATGCCGTAAGTATCCCTACATATTGGAATAAAACATTTGATATTAATGTATCGAGTTTTGCTAATGATAATTTAAATAATTTCAATTGGGTTATTAAACAAGGTGGATATGATGGAGTTGATGATGGGATTGTGGGGTTAATTATAAATTTTGCATTATTAGATGAGGAGGAAGAAGAAGAATGATTAATCTCGAAGAGATTGATCATTTGATTTGATTAGATTTGATTAGATTGATTCATTACTTGTCATTCCAGTTACTCGCTCATACTATTATTTATTTGTATTATATATCTTTATAATAAACAATCCGTATCTATATATATATATGATTTTGCAGTATAAATTAAAAATTGGTAGCATACACTCCACGACATTGTCGCATCAGAAATTAAAAATTAAAAAATTAAAAAATTATAAAATGTCGCGCCAAACCAGGGTATCATCACATCTCATACAAATAAAATAAAAAAAAAGCAGTCACTTTATAAAAAGCAGTCACAACCTAATTTCATCGTTTAATTGCAAAATCATTAATTACCACTTTAAGACAATGACTTTTGCATCCATCAGTCATGATGATAACGATGATGATAACGATGATCATGATGATATACAACAACAACAACAACAACAACAACAAGTTCAAACTGTGATAGATGATACCATAACTAATAGTAATAACAATGATAATGAAATCACAACAATCATAAATCATAATAATGAGGAATTGCAGCCAAACCTTGAATCGCAACAACAACAACAACAACAACGAGATGATGATGATGGGGATGGGGATGATTTGGAAAATGCTATTAATAATGCCTTTGGACAATTTGATATGACAACCTTTAATGACATTAATACTAATGATAATAATAATAATAATACCACTAATAATGATAATCAGGAGATACGGCACCAATCATCACATCAAGTTGAACAAGGTGAAGAGGAAGAATTCAATTTCGATGATGTGATAGGTAAAGCATTTGATAATGCCATTGAACAACATCAACAAGAACAAGAACAACAACAAGAAGTATCAACGGAATCACAACAACAACAACAACAACAACAACCACATCAAAGTATGGGGTCGGATAATGTTGATAACAATCATGAACAGTTAAGTCTAGACGATGCTATTGATAAAGCATTTGAAAATGCCATGGGTGAACATCAGACTGACGAGCAATCACAATCCATTGAAGAATCATCCGCACCGACTAATGACGGTGATAATAAAGATTCAAATGTTGATGATTTGAGTTTAGATGACGCCATTGGGAAAGCGTTTGAGAATGCTATTGGTGAACATCATCAGAATGAAGAACCTATTAAAGATACTTCAAAGGAGAATCATGAGGAAGAGTTAAACTTAGAGGATGCTATTGGTAAGGCTTTTGAAAACGCCATTGGTGAACAACCATCTGAAGACCATCATCCTATCGAAGAAACAAAGGAATCGAGACCCATCAACGAAACTCATGCTAATGAAGATGAGTTGAACTTGAATGACGCTATCGGTAAAGCCTTTGAAAATGCTATTGGAGAACCACGAACTGAAGAATATCATCCCGTTGAAGATTCAACAAAGGAATCTAAACACACTAATGAAGTTGAAGCTAATGATGAGGAGTCGAATTTAGACGATGCTATTGGTAAAGCTTTCGAAAATGCTCTTGGTGAACATCAAGATCAACAACAAGAAACTAAAGAAGATCATAACGATGTCAGTTTAGATGACGCAATAGGTAAGGCATTTGAAGATGCCGTTGCAGAGCATCAACAAGAGGAAACCACTAAAACTTCACCCGAAGTAGAACAAGCCCATAAGGATACAGACGAAGATATTAATCTAGATGATGCCATCGGGAAGGCATTCGAATCAGCTATTCAAGATGAATCTCATAAAGAGTCTTCAGAAGTCAAGAAAGATGAGACTGTGGCTGATCAAACTAATGATGTTGATTTAGATAATGCCATTGGACTGGCATTTGAAAGTGTCATGGGTCAAAGCAAACCCATTGAAACAGAACCACCAACAGAACCTCAACCTACAAAAGATAATGATAATGATTTAAATTTGGATGATGCCATTGGTGCTGCTTTTGAAAATGCCATCAAGGATCAAACTACTACTATTGAAGCTCCATCTCAAAAATCTGAAGATGAAATTCTTGATGATGCTATTGGTAAAGCTTTCGAAAATGCCATTCAAGGGGAGCACACTAATTCAGATTCACAAGTTGCTGAAACTTCTCAAGAACCTCCTCATGAGACTCATGATGATGAGGATGAGTTGAATTTAGATGAAGCTATAGGAAATGCATTTAAGAATGCATTTGGTAACGAAGCCAATAATAATGAAACTCAACCTCAAGAAGAAGCCAAGCATTCTAATGAATTTGAATCAAGTCATCCTTTACCCGATTCAACTGAAGAAGCAGCGGATGATAAAGATTTAGAAAATGCTATTGGAAGTGCCTTCAATACCATTTTATATCAAGAAGATACAACCCATAAAACTGAACCAGAAGTAAAACATCATATTGGGCCGGTTCCAAATCATGATAAACAACCAGTTAATGAAAAACATCAACCAGACGACGATTTTGATGATGATTTAAATTTGGATGAAGCTATTGGTAATGCATTTAAAAATCTTATTCCAAATCAAATCATCCCTGAAAAATCCAAACCTGAAGAAAAGAAAGATGATGATGCAGAATTAGAAAATGCTATTGGTGCCGCATTTAGATATATCAATCAAAATGCTCCGTCTGCACCTACTGCTCCACCTGATCACGACATGGATAGAGCTGTTAATGAAGATGAATTAAGTTCGATCATTGCTGCTTCATTCCAACAAGCTATTTCTGGAGTTGAAACTGTTTCATCAAAACAAGGTTCAAGTTCCCAATCAAGAGGCCGTTCAAATAGTCAATCACAATCTAAAAGAAGTGATATCCCAGTTGATGTATCTAGTTTAGTTCAATCCTTGGTGAATCAAATGGCAAATCAAGATGATTCAACTATTGTCGATCATGATAAATTACCTATTTCTGAAGATATTCTTCAAGAATTAGCCGCTGAAATCACTAATCAAGTTCAATTTCATTTATCAGAGAATGATGCATCCAAAAAACCATCAACTGCCGTATCGGCCTTACCTCAAATTGATGATAATGTGTTTGCTCATTTCCAACAAGAAGCTCATAAGGAAGATATCAGGAAAGTTCAAACTAGTGAAATAGTAAGAAATAATGTTATGACCCGACCATCATTTTCAATCCCACCTCCTAAGGAGAAAGAAGGTGATTTGGAACAACTTCAAATGAATGATATTTTACAAAATGCTTTCAAAATGGCAATGGAAAATCCTCAAGAATTATTAACTGATTTGGAGACAGATGACGGGGTTATTAGTACTAAAGTTGCAGCTGAGACTACTACTACACAAGTTGAACCGGAACCAGTTGTAGAACCACCAGTTGCTCCTCAAGCTTCTTCCACGGCTAGATTCCTTGAAACTTTAAACAGATCAACTGATATAGATCTTGATGGTAAAAGAACAGGTAGTTCTTCAGAACAAGCTAAGAAGAAAAGTTTATCCATTGCCGAAACTCTTGCATTGCATAGATCAGCCATGGCAACAGGAGCATCTAACTTTGCTAATATCGGTTCTTCAGATAGTAATAAAGGATCACTTTATGATTATGGAGCTTTAAATTCCCAAATTTCTCAAGCTTTAAGTTCGATAACTTCCCGAATCAATAATGGATCAGGATCAAATGAAAATTTATTAAATATCATTAGACAAATGACCAATTCCTTCACTACAGGATTACAATCATCTTCATCGACTAATAATTCGTTAAATGCCAATGAAATCATTTCAAGTTATGCCGATAAACCGGAAAAAGATACCATTATAAATTCATTATTATTAGCGAAAAAGTATCTTTATGATCAAAGTGAAACCCATGCTCCTGAAGCTTCAAGTAATTCATTAGCAGCAACTTTACTTGATAAAGTCTTGAATCAATTTGATACAACTTCAAAGATTGATCCCAGTTTGTCAAAACCCACTTCAGTTAATGCATTTTCAGCCGATAGAGCTCCCAATATTAGAAATGAATTCATTTCAAGTATTGGTAAATCCGTAGTTGCGGCCATTTCCAATTTTTCATCGAATATCTCTGGTAGACGTTCATTGAATTCGGATAAGCCTGCTATTGATTCACCTGAATATAAAGAAAAGATAAGGTTGGAAAATAGAGAACGGAAAAAGAGATGGAGAGAAGAAAATTCAGATAGGAATAAAGATAATGATTTAAGATCTAGAGTTTTGAAACGTGCTGCTGTAATGTTTGGTGAACAAGAGAGTCCTGAGAAGAAAGCTTGGGCAGATCAAGAATTTAATAGAAGAAGAGATAGAAGAATTGCCAAGGAAGAGAAGAAAGAAGGTGATAAACCTCCTACCAGTCCAACTCAAGATAAATTATATGCCAAAGGAAAGGAAACCATCACCAAATTAGCTCAAGATATCGAACTTTATAAACCAGTTACTGATATTTTCAATATTGTTTCAAGTGCAACACAACAAGAAAATCCTCAAGCTTCTCTTGCTGCCACAGCTGCTGCCACTGCTACCATAGCAGCAATGTATGCTGATAGAAATCAAAATGTCACTTATAAACAAGTTGAATCTGCGGTTGGATCGATTCTTACTTCATTAATGGAATCAGCCAATTCATTAGGGTTGAATGATCGTTTAAACAGTCTTTCAAAAGGTATCAGTGCTAGTTTTCAATTCAGTAGATCTCCAAGTTTACAAGCTTCACCTTCTACTTTACCATCGAGGTTTTCCAATACTGATTTAGGGGCTGCTTTAAAGATGCCAACTACTCCAAGTTCGAGTATTCTTAATAGAATTTCTACAAATATTAGAGATAGCAGCGGTCCACTTAGTTATGATTCATTACTGGGATTTAAGAATTTGAATTTACAAGAGAAGAGGAAGAGTGATGTTGGGTTAGGTTCAGATCCAAAAAGAGCCAAAGTTACTTTGGATACGGATAATTTAATTACTGAACGTGATTCATTTTCTAAGATTGCCTCTAATTTAGATCAAATGAGAACTTCATTAACCACTGGTTCCACATCACAATTATGGGGATCGGTGAATTCTTTACGTATGCCACTGTATAAAAAATCATCTGATATCACCACTGGGAAATCGGATCAACCAGCTGTCAAATTGGAATATTCAACATTATCATTACCTACATCATCACCATTTATTTCGAATAAGATTCATACTGGAATTACAGCTTCTTCAAGTGGGGTTAGTGCAGGTTTAAGAAGACCTGGTAGTTTTCAAAAACCTAGTGCTAAAGTAGATAAAACTAAGGCTAAAAGTCTTGGTTTTCCAAGATTATTTTCTCCATCTACATAAATTAATTGTTAATTAATAGATTTAATATACAATTTTTAATATTATTATAAGTATATATATATCTAAATCAGTAATGGTTCAACTTCTTTAGTCAACCAATTATAAGCTCTTTTATCCCCCATCTCTAACAACTTCTCACCGAAATCTTCTTTAACACTCTTATGATATTCATTTATCCAATTAATTTCAACTGGAGATAATATACTTGTGTCTATTAATTTCCGACAGAATGGTACTTTAGTCAAATATCCAAATCCTAAAAAGTTATCTCCACTTCTAGTTTTACCCACTGCTTCTCCACATTCAACTATTTCAAGTTCACTTTCAATTCTGAATCCAACTTCTCCATCAACATAATAACCTGGTTCATCAGTTAAAATACCTCCTGGTTTATAAACATCAATTTGGCTTGGACCTCCGGTAGTGGTCAGTATCGATAAGGGACCTTCATGAACATTACCAAAACTTCCTACCCCATGACCTGTACCATGATTAAAATCTAATCCTTCATTCCATAATGGTTGTCTGGCATACCCATCGAGGATAGCCCCTGTATTTTTTGAATTGGGAGGAAATTTAGCCATAGCAACGGCTAAATGTCCCTTTAACACTAAGGTATAGAACTTTTTATATCTATCATTTAAACCATCATATCCGAATTTATAAGTTCTGGTTATATCAGTAGTACCTTCTAAATAATGAGCTCCCGAATCAATAAGGTAAATCTTCTTAGGATCGATGATTGCATTATCATCTTTGGTAGGAGCATAATGAATGATGGCAGCATTAGGTCCAGTGGAAGAAATCGTTTCATATGATAACCCTTTAAAATTAGGTAATTTTTCTCTGATGGAATATATTTTACAGGCGGCATCATATTCGGAAATCACTTTTCTTTTCTTGACTAATTGATGATTTAACCATGATGAAAATAAGATGAAAGCTAAGGAATCTTTATATTGAGCGATTTTGGCATTGAATAATTCAGTTGAGTTCTTGAAGATTTTCATATTGGAGACAATCGATTCATGAATGACTGATCTTTTAGCAACTGATATTGGTAAAGAATCAAATAACGCAAAAGTAGTTGCTTCTTTGGTAGGTAAAACAATAGCAAGTTCTGAATTATCAACTGTAACTTTCAATTCTGATAAATCAGCGTAAAATGATTCATATTGTTTGATTTCCAAACCGGTAATAGAATCCAAATAAGCATGAAGTTCTGGAGTTCCATTATCAATCTTAACTTTATTAACATATAAAATAACTGAATCTAAAGTGATAATGGCATTAGAAAAGAAAGTTGGATTGAATGGAATATCAGTATCAGATCTTAAATTGAATAACCAAGCGATTTCATCAAGAGCAGTAACTATCAAATGAGTACTGTTATATTTAGGAGATTTTAATAATTCTCTGATATCAGCTATTTTATCATTGGTATGTTTACCGGAGAATTTCAAAGGTAAATGATAAATTGGATCTAAAGATCTTGGAGGTTTTTCTGAACCCCAAACTTGATCAATCAAGTTTACTTCATATAAAGGTTTGAATTCAAATTTACTTCTATAATTTAATAATCTTACTCTATTAAAATATTCTCCGATAGTTAAATTAATTAATTTTGGATCACAAGAAATAACATTACTAAAATCATTATGAATAGCTTTTTCAATAGCGAATTTATTCCAAGTTGGATTTGATGGTAAACCTTGTTTTAATAATTTCCAATGTTTAGGATCTAATTGTTTTTCAGCTTGTAAAAAGTATCTTCCATCTGTTGATAAGGCTGCTTCCCCCGTTAATTTCTCACCATCATCAAGAGTTACAACGGCAATACCTGCACTTCCAGTAAAACCAGAGATGAATTCTCTTCCTTTATCAGTTAAAGCAGTATATTCCGATTGATGTTCATCTTCTGATGGGATAATATAGACTCCGATGTTATGATGTTTCATAAGTTTTCTTAACTCGGTCAATTTATCGGCTTGACTTAAGGCAGAAACACTTAAAGTGATTGGTTTAACAACATAAGGTAAATCAGGTAATTCATCATCATCATCAGAATAATCGATATCTTCATCGTCTGTCATATAAGTTTCTTTCAATTGTTTGGTTAATTGAGGTAAACATTGGAATGGTTTTGTTAATAATGACGTAAATGAAGGGCAAGTGATGGTTGAAATCTCTGATTCATGAGGTAATGAACGTTTACGACCTAACAATGGATCCTTTTCTGAATAGTAACTCATGGTGTAGATGTGGTGGTGGTGGTGTTATAAAGAAGAAGAGGAGTAGAAATAAAAGGTGGTATAGGGATTTGAAATTGAAGTTGAAGTTGTAAGCGATATCTAAAATGTTCCAGTCTCCGTGTGGCTCTTTACTATTTTTGGAGACAGAGATAATGGTGACAATCGCACACTAATTAATTTTACTATTACTATTAGTACTTACCCTATATAGTATTATACAATGATTACAATCATATTCAAATGATGATATATGATGTAATTCCATATTAGATCGAGGTACTATAGTATATCTCTAATTTTAGACTTTTTGACGGGTTTATTATTTACTTTAAAGTATACCCCTCCATACTCAGGATGATTCATTCCCGGTATGAAAGGGATCCTTATATGACAGGTTCGTTTTTGACACCTATCAAAGAAGGATGTCGGAAGAATGTCAAACGACATAAAATTATCACGACATTTTCTTTTTTTTTGTTTACAAATTGAAAGAACGCGTCTGACTGTAAATATAATAACTATCTATCTAGATCTAATCAACACGAAGATCATTCATTCATTCATTCATATAGGACAAGGTTCAATCATGGGACGACTCGTTGGTTTGGAACTACACAACTTCAAATCCTATAAAGGAACTGCCAAAATAGGATTTGGATCCTCCTATTTTACTTCCATCATTGGTCCTAATGGAGCAGGTAAATCAAATATGATGGATGCTATTTCATTCGTATTAGGAGTCAAATCATCTCAATTAAGATCTCAAAACTTGAAAGAATTGATTTATAGAGGTAGAAAGATCACTTCAGATACTTCTGTAACTGATTTGGAAGAAGATCCTATCCGAGCTTATGTTATGGCAGTATATGAAAAAGATGATGGTGAAATCATAAAATTAAAACGTACTATATCTTCCAATGGGAATAGTGATTATAGAATCAATGATCAATCAGTAACTGCTTTAAACTATTCTATGGTATTAAGAGCTGAAAATATCTTAATCAAAGCTAGAAATTTCTTAGTATTCCAAGGTGATGTAGAACAAATTGCATCTCAATCCGCCAAAGATTTAACTAAATTAATTGAAACCATTAGTGGTTCAATCGATTTCGTTAAAGAATATGAAGAATTAAAAGATGAACATGAAAAGGCTCATGAATTTTCTAATTCCGTGTTTTCAAGAAAGAGAAATTTAAATTCAGAATCAAAACAATATAAAGTTCAATTGGCTGAACAAGAAGAATTTGAAGAGAAATTAATTAAAAAGACTGAAACTATAAAGAAAATAAATTTATACAAGATATATCATAATGAAAAGAAACATTTTCAAATGTTAGAAGATATTGAAACCAAGAGTCAAGAATTACAACAATTAAAAAAAAGATTAAGTTCAGAACAAAAATTATTTTCTAAAGCTGCTGCTGATCATTCTAAACAAGTTTTGGAACAAAAGTCTCATATTAAAAAGATAGATAAATTAACTACCGACTTAGATAAAACCAAACGTGATTTAATCCCTATTGAAGCCGGTAAAAGATCATCTACCATCAAAATTAATGCATTAAAGTCTAAAATTACCGATTTACAAATCGATTTGAAACGTCAAAAACATCAAGTAAGTTCTAATGAAAGACAACTTAGAGAAGCTAAACGACTCTTTAATGAATTCCAAGATAAGATTTTAGCATCCGTTCAATCATCTGTATCGGCTGATGGTCAAAAAGAATACGAAACTTTAAGAACTGATTTTCTTGCTAAAGATGGGTCAAGATTAGAAGAAGAAATCTCTCTTTTATTAAATGATAAAGAATCATATTTAGCCACTATTGCCAATTTAGGGAGTCAAAAGTCAAATTCCATTAGTAGAATTGCGGAATTAGAATCTAGTATCAATACCGAATTAAGATCAAGACTTGCTGATATAAATCAAGAAATTAATGAAACCTTAGCTCTCAAACAAGAAAAGTCAGATGCTAGAACTAAGCTCATCCAAGCTAAAGATGAATATAAATATGAAGAATTACAATTGAATACTCAATTAAGAGATGTATTATTAAAATTAGATGAATTATCATCTCAACAAAGAGAATCAAATAAACAAAAGAAATTAAGAGAAAATGTTTCAACCCTAAAGAGATTATTTCCTCAAGGTGCCATCAAGGGTATTTTATATGAATTAGTCCATCCTTCTCAACACCGATATGAATTAGCCTTACTGACTGTTCTTGGCCGAAATTTCGATAGTGTGGTGGTTGAAACGCAAGCGGTTGCTTATAAATGTATTGAAATATTAAAGGAAAGAAGATTAGGAGTTATTAGTTTTATTCCTTTAGATTCTATTATGAATGATACGATTAATTTGAATTATTTAAGAAGTATTAATCAAAATGCTCAACCTGCAATTGATATTGTTGAATATGATGATAAACTGTTGGAACAAGCTATAAATTATGTTATGGGTGATGCTATTGTTGTTGATACTATAAGTAACGCCCGTAATTTAAGATGGTCTTCATCTCGATCATTTGATAATAAGATAGTTACGTTGGATGGATCAGTTATTCACAAATCGGGTTTGATGACTGGTGGTCAACAACAAAAGAAATCTCAAGCCAGTCTTTCATGGGATAAGAATGAATTTAATAGTTTGACATTATTAAAGGAAGATTTGGTGGATAAATTAACCAAATTACATGATAGTTCACCTAAAGATTTAGAAATCAATCTTTTGGCAGAAGAAATCAGTCATTTGGATGATAAGATGCCAGTGTTAAGAAATCAAAAATTAAATGTCGAAAGAATGATAAAAGATAGAGAATCCGATATAGAATTTCAAAAGAAACAATGTGAAAGTTTTGATTCAACTATTAATTTCAAACAAAATCAAATTGAAGAAACGGATACTGAAATAAAGAATATTCAATTGGAAATGAGATCTTTACAAAATGAAATTTATGCTGATTTCTGTCAAAGATATGGATTCAAGAATGGTATTGAAGATTATGAAAATTTACATGGTTCAACATTAAGAATTAGAGCCAAGGAAAGAGCTCAATTTACTCAATCCATAACAACCTTGACGAACAAATTAAACTTTGAAAATGAAAGAGTTAAACAAACTGAAAGTAGAATCAAACTGTTACAAGACCAACTATCAACTTCTGATGATAGATTGGAACAAATTATAAGCGATAAGAATGAACTTGAAGACAAAGTTGATAAACTTGAAGCTGAACTTGAAGTTTTAAAATCCGAAAATGAAGTATATTTCAATACTGTTCAATCTCTGTCAAAATATTCAAGATCTTTGGAAACTACCATAAGTGATTTCGAAAGTCAAATCAATAGTATTAATAAATCAATTGCAGATTTAGAAGAACAATTATTGAAGATAGATACTGAAAGATCCAATATTCTTAAGAACTGTAAGATTGAAAGTATTAACATTCCTTTGAAGGATGGTTTATTAGAATCAATACCAATGGGTGAAACTATTGAAAGCTTTGTGAAGGAAGTATATGATATTGAGATTGATTATTCACTTTTGAAACCAAAATATAAAGAAGCATTCAGTTCGAAAATCGAGGCTGAATTGGAAGTAGAACTTCAAAATACTATTGAACAACTTGAAAAGCTTTCCCCTAATTTAAAAGCCGTGGAGAGATTGAAAGAAATAGAATTGAAGCTTAGAACTTATGATAAAGATTATACTATTGCTAGACAGAAAGAAAATAAAGTGTTTGAGAAATTCCAAGAAGTCAGAAATAAAAGATATGATGTTTTCACCAATGCATTCAATCATATATCAGGAGAAATTGATGGTATTTATAAAGAGCTTACTAAATCACGTACATCTCCAGTTGGTGGTTCAGCATATTTGACTTTAGAAGATGAAGAAGAACCTTATAATTCGGGTATTAAATATCATGCTATGCCTCCAATGAAGAGATTCAGAGATATGGAATTTTTATCAGGTGGTGAAAAGACCATGGCTGCTCTTGCTTTGTTGTTTGCCATTCATTCATACCAACCTTCTCCATTCTTTGTCCTTGACGAAATTGATGCTGCTCTTGACAATTCCAACGTCAGCAAGATTGCTAATTATATAAGGAAATATGCTGGTCCAAACTTCCAATTTATTGTTATTTCGTTGAAGAATTCCTTATTTGAAAGATCTGATGCTTTGGTGGGTATATATAGAGAACAAAGATTAAACAGTTCTAAGACTGTTACCTTAGACTTATCAGAGTATTCAGAAAGTGTTCCAGTAAGTTAGGCTTTATTTTGTATATGATTTTGAATGTAAAAATTTATGGATGCAAACTGAAAAATTGAAATTGTAAATTTGGCGCATCACAAAAAATAAAAAAATATCCACTTTTGCTAGAAGATCTGATGTGTAAATAGAATTAATAACCAATGATACGACAGTTGTCAGTCACCAAACTTGTACATACTATTGCTATTCGAGGATGTCCTTTGTTAAGGAGAGGCGTTCATATACCGTCAAAGGTACGAAAAGTAAGTGACAGTCAATTAGAAGTTGCTCTAGCTAGAAATCGTGAAAAGCATGTCTCCAAGATATTACTGAAAGTGAACAAGAAGAAGAAGAAAGATACTATCGATCATACCAGTACTGAAAGTGTATTATTACTTGAAATAAGGAGTGCCTTGAAGTATTACAGTGAAAAAAATGGTCTTACAGTTGGAGTGGAAGATGTTGTGAATCCAACTTCATTAATCAATGAATATTTATTCTCCAGATCAAGGCCTACAACCATTATTGAAAGCATGGATATTATATATCAAACTAACGAGGGTGAGGGATTAGGACTTATACCTAAATCTCTATATGCTGCTCCATTCATAGATCAAGAAGAAGAAATATATAACAAGTTTACCCTTGTTAAAGTTCCAAAAACATTACCTGGAGACAGAGTAAAAGTCAGGTTAAATATGCATCATAGATATTATTCAGAAGGAGTATTACTAGAAGTATTGAAATCCAAGAACTCAAGAAGGGATAACTTAATATTATGTTCCAATTTTAATAATTGTTCTGGGTGTCAACTTCAAATGTTAAACTACGAAGATCAGTTAAACTTCAAGCAAAACAGTATCAGAAAGGCCTACAAATATTTTTATCCCCAATTAGGAGAAGCTATTGATGATGAGAGATTTGGCATGGTAAATGGGTCTCCAATACAGTACAGTTATAGATCAAAACTAACACCCCATTATAAAATACCCAGACAAGATAAAGATCAAACTCTTAATATTGGATTGAACCATGTTGATGCATCCCAAGGTATTTTGGATATTGATCTGTGTCCAATTGCTTCACCAACGATAAATTCAAGACTTAAAGAACAGAGAGAAAAGATTTTCAATGAACTTAAATATGCTAAAGCTGGTGATAAAGGTAGACAAAGAACTTTATTGTTGAGAGACAGTGTTAGAATAAATAATGATACTGGTGATTTCCACAGGGTTTGTCTCACTGATAGTGCAAAAGTGGTTACAGAAAAGGTTGAAGATTTTGTTTATCAATTTAATACTTCAAGCTTTTTTCAAGTAAATGTTGATATACTTCCAAATGTTTTAGATTTTATGAGATATCACATCGAATTAAGTAATTATTCTTTTAAATACTTAATCGATACTTATTGTGGTGTCGGTTTCTTCGGTATAGGTTTATCGAATGCTATCAAAGAAGATGGAAAAATCTTTGGAATAGAGGTATCAGCAAAATCAATCGAGTATGCAACTCATAATGCCAAGTTGAATGGAATTGCAGTTCCTGAAAGAATTCAATTCATTCTGGGATCTTCAGAAACTATGTTTGAAAATGAGCATTTCGTACAAGCTGAAATGCAAGGTTCGGATTCTATTGTCATTATGGATCCTTCAAGGAAAGGTGCCAATGAACTGTTCATGAGACAATTATTGGCATTCAAACCTCGCTTGATTTTCTATGTTAGTTGTAATGTGATTACACAAGCTAGAGATTTGGCAATGTTCGAAGAATATCAAAAGGCTTCACCTATAAAGTATAAAATAAGAGAAGTTGCCGGTTTTGACTTCTTTCCGCAAACCAAACATGTAGAATCAATAGCAGTTTTGGAGTTGTGTGAAAATTAATGTACATATATGTATAAAATTTTGTATATAGTAATATATTTTATTTACAGGAATTTAATCATCTTTTGAAGATGCAAATTCTTCTACGATATCACTTAATGCATTGATACCCCATGTAACCCTACGTTGTTGCTTTTTACCTGATATTATAGTACTGTTTTTAACTTTTTCTTGTAAGAAATATTGAATCCCTCTTAAAAGTGTAATTTGTTCTCGGGCCTTAATGACTATTTCAATCAACTTTCTATCATCAAATTTTTGTTCTGAATTATTTCCTGACTTCTTACTTAAACCACCACCAACAGCATTAATTTGTGATTTCTTTCCAACATTATCCAAGAATGTTACAAAGCATACTTCCATAAATAAGACTGTATCACTTGATGCTGTCAAGAAGTTAATGGTTCTTAACAAATGGATAGGAATAGCTTCCTCAGCTATCAAATAACCAAAGAATCTACCTAAGTTCAAAACTCTTTTAAGTTTGACATCACTATCATCTCCGTCATAGTCAAATCCAAGGAAGTCTTCCTCGTCATCACCATTTGATCCTTCGAACTCTTTAACTAAATCCCAAAGCATGAATTGGAAAGTCTTTCTATAATTATGACTATCACATAATTTCTTAGCTAAAATACCATAGTATGGATTCCAGGCAGGTTCAACACCTGTACAATGAATCAATACACGAGGAATTTCTCTCTCTTGGGAACGTTTTAAAGCTAACTTGTCTAATTTTGTTAATGCATCAACATAATCATTAGCAGACATAATTGAGATAAAAATTGCTCTTCTTATATCAGTATTCATTCTTTGTGAACGAGCAAGTTCCATCCAATTAGGTTCGGCATTATCCAAAATATCATTTAATACAGCTTCATCGACATTCTTTTCCTTTTCAGTATCATCTTCACCCTTCCAGGCAGAACCGACTAACCACCATTTACCTTTAGTTTCAATATTATGAACATCATCAAGAGACACTCTAATTGGATCACTGAATTTATTATTATTGATACCACCTAAGAATTTCTTTAATCTTATACTTAATTGAACATTGGCTTCATTGGCTATTTTTAATTTGTTTTGTTTTAATGAACTTATGGTATCAATTAAGAATTCCATTCTGGTGGATACGTCACCCTTTGGCAATTCTTTAACTTTTGCATTGATCATCAAAATGATTTCTTTTAAAGCACTTGGGTCATCTGATCTCATTTGATTACCTGATGTTCTGATTAATCGTAATAATAATTCAGCATTTTGTTCATCAAGATTATTTATCAATACCTTGATAATATCATATAATAATTTGGAAGAAACTAATTGAAAGAGATAAACTGAGGATAATAATGAAATTATATTGGAAGCTTGTTTATCTTTATCGGCCTCCTTAGAAAATTGTTCAAATTTCTCAACTAATACTTGAACAAAGTATGCACCAAATTCCACTCCTTGAATTCTATAAATGGCAACTACCATCACGGCGTGTAAATAAACAAAATTTTCTAATAATCTTCCTTGTTGAATGATATTATCCAAAATAATGGTTGTTAATTCTTCATTAACTGTATGTCTAGGATTGGATAAATATAAACCGTTAATATCATTCACAATTGTTCCAACGTTAGCTTCTGATAATCTATTCAATGGACCTTTAATAGCTTTTCTAAGGTTAAGAACTTCTTCTGAAACACCACTAGCTTCAGCAGCCATTCTTCTACGCAATGCGGGAGGGATATATTTTGTTGTGGGGGCATCTCCTTCGATATCGTCTTCGTTATCGTCTTCGATGCTGTTCTTATCCACAGCAACGTATGGATTTTCTCTCTCAACTTCAGATTCATCATCATCATCTTCATCTGAATCGTCGAATTCTTCAGAGTCATCTTCTTTTTCACTGTTGGAAAAATCAAAATCAAGACCATCTAATAATCCTCCTATTTCATCACCGTCATCTGTTTTACTTAATTTTGACTTCTTACCTTGCTTTAATCCTAATTTCTTTGCATAGTAGCTCATGTCATTATCATCTCTGTCTATGATATCGTCATCATATGGGGTAGCAAAGTCTTCCTCTTGTTCACTCTTCTTTTTGCTTTTCTTGGATTTCTTAGCTTCTTTTAATGCTTTTAATTTTGCCAACGGATCCTGTTCGTATTCTATATCTTCTTCGTCTTCATTGATATCTTCGTCATCATTCTCTTCTATATTTTCATCATCAAAATCAAGTTCATCTTGATCTTCTTCTTCTTCTTCTTCTTCTTCTTCTTCTTCTTCTTCCTCATCGTCATCAATATCAAAATCTGACATTTCATCATCATCTAAGTCATCTTCTTTGACAACTCTAATCTCAGTTGCTTTATTTTTTCCATTCTTCTTTGCTTTTAAGGCTGCTAATGCTGCTAAAGGATCACTAGGGTACAGTTCTTGGTCTTCGTCGTCTTCATCTTCTTCTTGTTCCTCGTCATCATCATCAATATCAAATTCGGACATTTCATCATCATCTAAGTCATCTTCCTTCACGACTCTTATTTCAGATTGGTTAGCTTTCCCGTTCTTTTTGGCTTTTAAGGCTGCTAATGTTGCTAAGGGATCGTTAGGATACAGTTCTTCATCATCGTCATCCTCATCTTCTAGATCTTCTTCATTGAGATCATCTGAAATATCTTCATCTTCATCAAAGTCATCACTTAATTCATCGTCATTTAAGTCATCTTCTTTTACTATTTTTATATCAGATGCATTTGTTGTAGATTTACCTTTCTTTTCCTTTAATGCTTTGAGTAATGCAATTGGGTCTTGTTCATCATCTTGTTCCTCTTCATCGTCTTCAAAGTCATCGAAATCAGATAAATCATCATCATCTAAATCATCCTCTTTCACAACTCTAACGTCGGACTTCTTTGAACTTCCATTTTTCAATTCTTTCAATCTCTTCAATTCACTCAAAGGATCATTAGATTTAGACCTTTTAGCTTCCTTTAATGCTTTCAAAGCTGCTAATGGATCTTTAACCTCTTGCTCATGTCTATTACTTTTATTCACTTTTTGAGCAGTTGGATTTTTACCCTTAGACTTTTTAACTGATTTTTCTTGCTTTTTATCTTTTCTATCCTGTTTACGTTGTTCCTTTCTGGTTAATTTAGGACCTCCTTTACTTTTCTTCTTACTATGATCAAACTTGGTATATCTTGAATTATCTTCTTCATAATCACCCTTATCTTCTTTAGTTTTGATTTGTTCTAAAAGCAGACCAGGGAGTCGTATATTATGTCTTTCCTCTCCCTCGTCATCATCATCATTTCTACGTCTCTTAGCCATGTTTAATGACCTTTATGCTATGAATCTAATATAATTTGATCTAATGGTTGCATTCACTATCAAACCTCATCTTGTTACTATAATTAATTTTTTTTTTGGCAGACTAATTTCACTTTCCTGTATATAAAAATGAACCGAGTATCAAAAACAGAATATTTAAAAAAGACCATTTTGCCTTTAGATTCTAATTTTGGTTTGGAACAACACAAGATAGCATTAACAGTATGGCCAAGTTCAAATTTGATCTCAAGACGGCAGGTGATTTGCTTGTATTGGCTGGAGCAGGTCTCTCGGTGTATTATTTATTAAACCATATCTTGAATGAGTATGTTGATTCTTCCGTGAAACAATCAGAAGCAGGAAAGAAGAGTAAAAGTGTCCTTAAAAGAATTCAAGCTAGTAATCCCCAACTCAAGAATGTAACATTCAATCAATATGAAAAGACATTGTTAAGTTCGTTGGTTACACCAGACGAGATAGATGTGACGTTTGAAGATATTGGTGGATTACAAAACATTATAAATGAATTAAGGGACGCTGTGATCTTACCATTAACTAAACCAGATTTATTTGCATCCCATTCTGCTTTGATTCAATCTCCTAAGGGGGTTTTATTTTATGGTCCACCAGGATGTGGGAAAACTATGTTGGCCAAAGCTATTGCTAAAGAAAGTGGAGCTTTTTTCTTACTGATTAGAATGTCTACTGTAATGGATAAATGGTATGGAGAATCAAATAAAATAACAGATGCTATATTTTCGTTAGCTAATAAATTACAACCTTGTATTATATTTATTGATGAGATAGATTCATTTTTAAGAGATAGATCATCTAGTGATCATGAAGTCAGTGCTTTATTGAAAGCAGAATTCATGACTTTATGGGATGGTTTAAAATCAAATGGAAGAATCATGGTAATGGGTGCTACTAATAGAAAAAGTGATATTGATGAAGCTTTTTTAAGAAGATTACCCAAGACATTCCCAGTTGGTAAACCAGATGCATCACAAAGAAGATCAATATTCGAAAAGATTTTACTTAATGTTGAATTAGATGAAAATGATTTTGATTTAGAATATCTTATTGCCAAAACTAAAGGTTATAGTGGTTCAGATATAAGAGAATTATGTCGTGAAGCTGCCATACACTCCATTAAAGATTATATTAGAGATAATTATGATCATAAAACTAAACAATTAAGTAATGGAACAGTAGATAGTTTACCAGTTATACCATTAAAGACTACGGATTTCATCAGAACTGCAAACACTACCATTCCAGCATCAACTATTGATTAGATATTGTGATAGATTGTATTTATAGGCACATTGCGACTATTTATTAATTAGGTTTATGAACCCAAAGTATATAGAACCTCATCAATATTAAGTTTAATTTTAGCAGCTAAACTTGTAAACCCCCATATGTTCTAAATTTGGAGCAATATATATTTAACTATGGGGATTTGGAGTTACCCGGACAATTGGTCCTAATGAGATGTACGCTTAGTGAAAAATTTTGATGGTAAATACATAATACTATTCTTCCTTTCTTTCTTTCTTTCTTTCTTTTACTATTTCATTTCATTCATCCATTCCCATAACAAAGAGGATAATCATTGTATAGTTGTATAACTGTTCAATATATATGGTTTCTATCTAACCCATCTGATCAAATTTGTACTAATGTTTTTGAGCAGCCATAATTATTATTTCTTCCTCGAATACCATTTGCAAAAAGGTATACCAAACATCTAACGACATCTCCATTCATATTTCAAGGAGTTATGTGGCCTCTTCGAAGATTATTATACCTTATTCCGTGGTATAATGATTCAAAGCGAAGCCTAAATAAACTGATATTTTCACGACTAATTTAGCTTCTATTCCTCAGTATACAAAGGAAATTTCATACGCTAACGGTTTAGAAATCTAATAATTCATTTTATTAGTTGATAATTAGTTTGATACATTCTTAATTAAGTAAATATCTCTTGATTTGTAGTTCTCTTATGGTATTATCATTATATATCTCTCCCTTTACTATGTTTGCCAAGGCACTGAGGAAACAAGCGGCGCACTCGCTAACTTTTAGCAATCGTGCTACTTTTTTCTGGCTCGTTAGGGGAAATGGATCAATGGTGGCAATCAATTAACTTTAATTTAATTTACCCCTTACTTGATTTCCTTTCTTTTAAGCTTATAACGAAACAATTGATTGGTTCACGTATATGAAGTTATAATGCTCAGACAATTGGCTACAGCTAGTGTAGCGTTACGGTATCCAATTGCCCGTATCGCAGCTCCAGTGTTCATACCCCACGCTTTAAAACAATTAAGATACTATTCAAAGGATATAGAACAGATTAAACACCAAGCTGATTCCAATGAAGCTGATAATTCAGCATCAACAACAGGTGTCATTGACGTTGAGGGTCAGAATGAAGTGGTTGTTTATTATGATCATATCTATCCTATCTCATCATCAAAGAGTACTTTCAAACAAACATTAGCTTTATATGCTAGTATTCAAAATCAAAGTGTGAAGCAATTGACTGAAAAGGTGTTGGACATATCATCTCCATTACCTGAAGGAGCAGAAGTAATTGACTTTGTTCCGGTGAAACGTGATTGTGGTGCCTTTGTTAAATTCCTGGTCCCAGAAGGTTCAGCTCCAAAGGATGTATTTAGAACTATTCAAGACAATATTAAACTTAAAAAGGAATTATATGATATAAATCCAATTAGATATATTTTCAATCGGATTTGGAATCATTTCCCCAGTGCATATGCTGTAAAAGGTACTCCTTGGATTGAAGATTTAAGAAGATACCCTACTACCAAATTAAAAGTCAAATATGAAGGTCACCCATTGACTGAAGAAGAGTTATATGTCTTATTTAGAAGGTATGGTTTGATTGTGGATATAATCCCAGGTAGTGATGTTGCTACTATAATATTTAGACACATTCGTTCAGCAATAGCAGCTAAGAATTGTATTACTGGTATTAGTTTAAATGGAGATAAAACTGTACTTCATTTGCAATATATCCCAGTTCAAAGAGTTAATTATATCACTGATTTCGTAGTGAATCATCAAAGAATCGCTATACCAGTTTTATTAGCTTTAGCTGCCACTATTGCCGTTTTGATTTTTGATCCAATTAGACAATGGTTTATTGAACTGAAAATTACCAAGAAATATTCCTTGGATACCTACAAGAATAATAGAGTTGTCAAATTCTTTTATATTCCTTATAAGACAGTCAGAAGTTGGATAACTGATAGTTATGATTATCTTGATGAAACTATCACCAATCAATTTGCCGAAAGAAATCATAACTCAATTGGTCAATCTGAGACTGAATCTGCCTCGTCAAGTCAAAACATAAACTTATTATGGAATGAACGGTATGAAAAATCAAAACAATTGAAGTTATGGATTTACGAAAATGTTAATACTTTCATAATTGTAAAGGGTCCAAAAGGATCAGGAAAGGAAGAATTCGTATTTGATCATACCTTATTTGAAGATGAAAAGTTACTGGGTAAAATCCTTACTATTGATTGTGATGCATTAAGTAAATCTAGATCAGATAATACATTGCTTAACAACACTTCAAGTCAATTAGGTTATTTCCCAGTATTCACATGGACCAATTCTTTATCTCAATTTATTGATCTTGGTGTTCAAGGTTTAACCGGACAAAAATCAGGATTAAGTGAAAGTAAAGAAACTCAAGTTAAGAATATGTTCCTGTTAACTACCCAAGCTATCAGATCCATCGCAACTCAAGATTATCAAAAGTACTATAATGCCATGATGAAGAAGAATTCTAGATTAGAACAAGGTGAGAAGATTGAAATTTTGAGAGAAGAAGAATATTTACAACAGCATCCTGAATGTAAACCAATCATTGTGATTAATAAATTTGCTAGAAGAGCAGATCAAAGTAATAATGATTTTATATTCCCCTTGATTGCAGATTGGCTGGCTGGTTTAATTCAAAATAATTTAGCTCATGTTATTTTCATCACATCTGACGTTGGAAGTGTACAACATTTGAATGCAGTCTTGCCTAATCAAGTCTTCAAGACTGTGGCCTTATCCGATGCCTCAAGCAGTAGTGCCAAACAATATTTAACTGATCAATTGAGCTTGAAAGATTCTAGATCTATTGAAGGTATGTTTGAACCATTAGGGGGTAGAATGCTTGATTTACAAGCATTTATAAGACGTATCAGATCAGGTGAAGAACCTCGTGAAGCCTTGGATGAAATGGTAGGTCAAGCTGCTGAACAAATTACTACATTCTTCCTTAATAATCAAAAATTGGAAGATGACAGTGATTGGAATTCAGCTCAAGTTTGGACTATAATGAAATTATTATCAAAATCAGATGAAATCTCCTATCAAGAATTGATCAAGTCACCTTTATTCAAAGCATCAAAGGAAACAAATGGTACTTTATCTACCTTGGAAAAGCATGATTTGATTACTTTGAGAAGAGATAAGGGAATTTTACATAGTATCTCGACTGGAAGACCAATTTTCAAAGCTGCATTTAGACAATTGATTAATGATATTAGTATATTCAAGATCTATGAAACTGATTATTTAAATCAATTAATTTCAACTGAAGTTAGCAAAATTCAAAAATTAGAAACTGAATTAACAAACATTTATAGTGCTCGTGTCAAATTAGAGGGCCGTATATCATATTTAACCCTGAAGATTGAAGCTTGTAATACCAAGGTTATCAACTATGAAACGAAAATAGCTGAGATTAGTAAGATAACATCATTACCAGGAGGACAAGAAGGATCAAAGGGATTTTTAGGATTGTTTTAGTTACGCACACATATGTATATAGTTTAGTGTATTCTTGTTTATTTTATTTATTTATTTTATGTATTAATTTTGATTTATTAGCAAATATATAAATTTGTTCTATTTACTTTATTCTAATAATTCATTAGTCATGATTTCATAAGTCATTCTTCTTCTTATACTTTTCATATCATTTTGAGAATATCTTAATGGTTGGCTTAATGATAAATATTTTGCAGCTGTACAAGTGAAAACTCCACAATCATATCCATTTGCTTGTTGAGGAGATTGCATCCTTGGAAATAATTGATATTCATTAGTTATATTGACATTCAATCGTTTAGCTTCTTGTTCCACGTAATCCTTCAACAACGTTATAGCTCTGATATTACCATTAGAACTTATTAAAGAATCGAAATATTGAATCGAATGAGTTAAATTATTAATCACAGCTAAAGCCCAATGAGTATTCATCACATTGATAGGAACAATAACCATATCCTTTTCGAATAAATTTAACTTCTTACGTTTACCCCATCTTGCAATACCTTGATATCCCTTAGATTCTAAATTTGAGAAGAAATGGGTGGTCCAACCAAATACTTTTTGATTGGATTTTTCCATGATTAAATTCATATAATAATCAATAACATTATCATTAAGCCAACGACCATCTCTTAAAGTGGTTAAATCTTGATTATATAATTCAATTTGAAACTTTGATGCAAATACACCTGAATTTCCATTATTCCAAGCATTATAAACTTTTGCTATTTGTGATGAAAGTAATGGTTTGATTAAGGTTTGAGAATCAATTCTTGATTTATCAACTTTTGAAAGGATAGAATCATGATAGTTCTGATATATATTTGATACTTTATCGATATAATATTGGGGAATGAAACTATCAAGTACCGAATATGATGACGCCGATATAGGTTTTCCAGGTATATAATAATCTAGAACAGTCTTTTTATATTCTGAAATTTTTGGAGTTGGGTCAGATAAATTAATATTAAGGATGTTGTCTTCGTCATCATCCAATTCTGGTTCTTCTATGGACTCTATTTTTGCTTCTGGGATTGGAGTTGAAGCTGTGCTTGTTGGTAGTGATGATAAATAATCATTTGATATGAATAAGTTTGCCCCATATTGATCTTCACTCAGACCGGTACTTTTATAAGACTGTAACCTTTTATTAACAAGATCATTAAATACTGATGAACTAGATCCTCGTGGTTTTGGTGATTGACTAGGTGGAGGTGGCGGTATATCTTCATCATCGATGCCTTCAAGGAAACTGTTATTATTTGGTAATCCATTCCGTATAATATGATAATCGTTGGTTATTTTATGATTGATTTGAAGGATTTGTAAATCACTATCATTTATACTATCATCTATGTACTGATTACTATCATCCTCGTTGTCGTCTACTATTTCTGGTTGTGGATCTATATCTTTTTCTTTAGGTTGATCTTCATTAATAGATAACTTTTTCAATTGTGATTCTAACATAGAAAAGAAATTATACAATTTTAAATAAGAAAGGATACTAATAAATAGTTCAATAAGATGTGGATAAGATGGAGATGATGCTTCTGGAACTTGATCGTTTGAAATTACCTGTATTTGATCTTGAAGTTGTAAATCAGTATTGGCAACTCCTGTTTGTTCTTGTTGTTCTGGTCGACTCTGTTGTTGTTGTAGTTGTTGAAATTGATGGTGCTGTTGGATTTGATAGTATCTTTTGGATCTTATAACAGGGTTATCATTATATTCTCTTTGCATTACTCTATTAAATTGATATAACTGTTTGATTATGAACCATACTCTTTCTTCTTCGTAAATTATTTAGCCGTCTGCTTTTAAAAATGAGTTATACCATTTTACAGTGTGCGGTGTGGATGTAAAGCTAATGAAACCATACCGCAATACAAATATACTTTTCATAATAACTTTTTCAAACATTTGGCAACAAGTCTTGAGTTTACTTCTAATGGTTCAAGACATGTTATGAATAAAAGACAACGAGAAGATACAAATGAAGACGAAGTTATCATCAATAAAGACCATCAAAGGGTTGATATAGTCTGTAATACTCCACCTTGTAACGAGAATCCCATCATCTTTAGTGATTATGCCGCTTATGAAAATCATATCACTACAAATCATACATTTTTATGTGAAGCTTGTCATAAACGATTTCCATCTCAATTGATCTTAAATATCCATATTGATGAGAATCATAATCCTTTTAACAAGATCAAACAAGAGAATGGAGAAAAAGTATTTAAATGTTTCGCTATAGGATGTACTAAACTTTGTCGAACGCCAAAGAATAGAAGATTACATATGATTGAAAAACATAATTATCCGAAAGATTTCAAATTTAATATTATAAATAGAGGACTATAGACATTCATCATGACGGCGTAGAAGTAGTAGGAGTAGCAGTATTACCATTTGTATCCAATTTTCTTTTCTTCTTAGCTACCACTGCTGGAGTTTGAGTTAATTGGGCTAAAATCTTGGGATCAAATTGGGATCGACAAGCAGGACATGATTTATTTTCCGGTATTACACTCATAATACAAAGACATACTGAACAAACATATCCTAAATCAACCGATTTACCGGTTATGAAACAACTGGCTCTATAATTAACGTTGGAATTGGTAGGTAAAATGATATATTCTCGGATAGAAGGTTCAATGAAAAATGCAGTGGTTAAGAATTGAATTATCCCTTTAGGATCAATGATATGTAAATAGATACCATTGGTGGCATCAGATGCTTGTTGTAAATATGATGAATCTTGATACCCCAATTTGACAATATCGATGGATAATTTCATTTTTTGAGCTGCAAAGATAGAATTCATTATAGGAATATATTTAACATCATCTTCATCACTGGCTGATATGATTAATATACGCGATTTCATCGAATTTACGCTATTGGAAGTTGTAGTAGATGAATTATTATTATTATCACTTGCAGTTGAATTAGTGGTTGAATTTATAGCTGACCCTGTAGTGGTTGTAATTGATTGATCTAAGGTTAACATTCTATTAGTATATGATAATGCCATACTTAAAGCTCCAGATAAAGTTGTATTTTGTTTCTTTAAATCGATATTAGAGGCGATTTCCTTAACGTAAGCATTTAATTCTTCTAAAACTGCTTCATCTACTAATCTGAATTGACGATACATTCCTTTATTAATATATGTGGTGGAATTGAAAGTATCATCAACCATATTCTCATCATTATTCCCATTCACAGTAGTTTGAACTTTATCATAATCTCTTCCTGGATTAGGATATAAGAATTTCGAACCATTTAATGAACTCGCTATGAAAGCAACTTGATTTGAATTATTTAATGAAAGATGGGCATTTAAAAATACAAGAATGGATTTTACTAATTCATTTATGGTAATTTGATCTTTTATATTATACCACCCACTTGGAGATAAATCCAATATGACAGTTAACAACGAAGGATCATCACTGGTACCTTCTTGATATATATCATCTTTGAATGTCCTATCACTTATAGCATCCATTGGTTGAGGTGTTTGGTGATAGAGAATATATATATAGATTCCAAGATTTAAAAATCAAATATCAGAATTAAAATATTATACGCACAAATTTTAGTATGCAAAACAGGCAGGATAATCTCAGAAAGACATCTAACATTCAAACAGTCAGACTTCTCTACAACAGCTTTACACTATAATTATTATATGAACATATTACATTAATTTACAGAAAGACCTATTAAGGTGAAATTATAACCTAAAAAAATATTAATTACAAGTTTTTTCCAAAATAACTATATAAAAATTATATATAAATATATTGAAAAGAAATAAAATTTGTAACCAAAAAATCTAGTTAACTAAAGCAGAAGCAGTAGCAGATTCGTATTTCCAATTTGGTGGTAAAACGGAGACGGTTCTGTAGTATCTAGCTAATCTGTGGATTCTTGATTCGATTAAAATTAATCTGAATTTAGAATCTTTATCTTTTCTGTTTCTTTCTAAATGTTTTCTAACAGAGACAGCTTTTTTAATTAAATAGTATAAATCTTCTGGAATTTCTGGAGCTAAACCGTTAGACTTTAAGATTCTTAAAATCTTGTTACCGGAGACAACTTTAGCTTGGGAAACACCATGAGCATCTCTTAAAATAACACCAATTTGGGATGGAGTTAAACCTTTTCTGGCGTATTTGATGACTTGTTCAACAACTTCGTCAGATGATAATTTAAACCAAGCTGGAGCGTTTCTTGAGTATGGAAGAGCGGAGGAGGAGATACCTTTACCCTAAAATAAGAAAAATCAGTTAGTATAAAATGTTTTTTGATAAATTAACATGGAACAAACAAAAAGCAGATTAAATCTTTGATATCGATACTTCACAAAACAAGGTATAACATCAAGCAAGACATAAATTCAGTTCGTTTCTGTAACTCACAATATACCTAGTTCAAACCAAAGTCATCACTAAGAACAACAAGTTAACAGAATGAAACCAAAAATCTAAATCAAGCAGCATTTCCCTTGCGTGAGTATATGGTTACACTCTCAATAAAAAGTGGTATCAATCAGTAAGAATGTACGAGAGCAAGTTCCAGCATCAAATACCAATAGCTTAAAATAATAATTCTGGATAAAAGACATGGTTGGGACTTTTATTTTTTACTGAATTATTCACTATTTGGCAAGACCTTAACTTTAACACTACCTCTCATACTACCGAATTGACCCTGATTCTGATTATTAATAATGTAATCGATGATTTAACTGTGATTGTGAATAAGCAAGATAGACACATACAGATGAATGCATACGACCCATTTTGACGGATTATTATTTGATTCTTAAAGTGAAGAGAAAAGAAGAAGAAGAAAGGGTTGTTAAAACATTTTAAAGGGAATGAAAAATTTTTCTTTTGTATTCTGTGAAGAGACACTGAAAAAAAAAAACATTATGTTCAGCACACGACTTGCAGAAAATCAGAATTTAATAATGTTAAGGATATAATTTACTTAACAGCAACAGTAAATATGAGAATGGATATCCATAGTTAATATATATATATATAATAGATATATATTATATCATAAGTATATGGTCTATAAAATGATAACGATAAATATTGAAATGATTATAATTCAGATGGAATATCTTCAATATCATCTTCATCTTCAACTTTAATAAGTCTTACAAAAAATGTTAGTAAAATGGATTAATGATGGGTTAAATAGGATAATATACTTACTTTGACACCCCAGCTTTTTCACGGAATTGTTCAACTGCTCCAGCATATAACATTCTACTTTCTTGTCCACTGGTTGGAGGTATCCAATAAAGAAGGACCAATGGACTCTTTAATCTTCCATCTTCTGCTTTCATAGGATATGAAAGAACAATATATCGAGGAGTATTATCAGGTAATTCTTCTATTAAGGATTCAAGACTATCTATTATTTGATCTTCATCTTCTCTTTTGATTTCATATGATTCTTTATCAATAGTATCTAAATCGTAGTTAGTATATCTTAAGAACTCAATTCGATAAGGAATATAAACATTATCATTACTTACATATCACAGCTTGCATGGTTGATACTCTACCAGTACCAAATCTAAATTTACGAAGACCAATCAAGGTCTCCTGAGAAAATGTGTATAATGATGCCTAATTTGATTTAATAGTTAGTAATTGTTGAACTTTAGATGACTGTACTTTATCATATCATTTACTTACCATAATTGAATTATTATGACTGATATGAAGCTTAAGTCTATTAACTATCCTTTAAAGTGTTATTTGATATTGAGAAAGTGTTACCAATTTCTTAATTGGGGAATAATCAGAAAATAAAAATGTGGTCGTGTGATCCTCATTTTAACAACATAACAAAATCCCATAAAAATCAAAACAACAACTATAAATCAAAGATGATGATGATGATGATAATTTCAAGTTCTAATTGATTTAGATTTACACCATCATTTACCAGTGTCCACTCACTTTATCACATCATTCAACCTTTCCATTCATCTATCAATTCTTGAAAATAGGTTTGATACACCCCTTTTCTATTCCTAGCTTTTGTTTTTGTTTTTGTTTTTGCGGTAAGTCCCCAAATATAACCACGTCAATCAACCTTTAAGAATTCAATTGACAGCATATCAATCACAGTTCTTCATCTAGTCTATCCACACATATCATGGCTAAATCTAAAATAAACGTTCCATTAGTGGAATTCTTAAAAAGTAAGTATCTTTTCTATCCCTTACAATAGTTGCAAAAATATCCCATACTAACTTTTAAAACCCTTTCTAGATCGAATTTATTTGGCTGCTTATGACCATACTCCTCAAGATACAGATGATTTAGTTCACTTCACTGTCGAAGACGCCTTACCTTATAATGCCTTCCATTTAGACTTTGGGCCTTTACATATTGGGAATTTATATAGATTTGCTGTTGTTTTACATAATATCTTGAATGAAGAATCAAATCAAGGGAAAGCCATTGTATTTTATAGTTCAACAGCCCCTAAAGAAAGATCAAATGCTGCATGTTTATTAGCCTGTTATATGGTATTAGTTCAATCCTGGGCTCCTCATCAAGTATTACAACCTTTAGCTCAAATTGATCCTCCATTTCAAGGATTTAGAGACGCGGGTTATTCCAATGCTGATTATGAAATTACTATTCAAGATGTGGTTTATGCCATGTGGAGAGCTAAAGAAAGAGGTATGGTGGATTTAACTACATTTAATTTAGAAGAATATGAACAATATGAAAGAGTCGATCAAGGTGATTTTAACGTTATTTCAAAAGATTTTATTGCATTTGCTTCACCTCAACAAAGTAAAAAAGGTGGTTTAAATGAACCATTTAAAAAAGTTTTAAATTTCTTTATGTCATCAAATGTTCAATTAGTTGTAAGATTAAATTCTCGTTTATATGATGCCAATGAATTTACAAAAAGAAAAATGAAACATATAGATATGATATTTGATGATGGTACTTGTCCAACTATGGAATATGTTCAAAAATTCATTGGTGCAGCCGAATGTATTATTAATAAAGGTGGTAAAATAGCTGTGCATTGTAAAGCAGGGTTAGGTAGAACTGGTTGTCTTATTGGTGCTCATCTTATATATACTCATGGTTTCACAGCTAATGAATGTATAGCTTATATGAGAATGATTCGTCCTGGTATGGTGGTTGGCCCCCAACAACATTGGCTTTATTTACATCAAAATGATTTCCGTGATTGGAGACATACCATGGTATTAGATAATAGACCCGATGAATTTATTGGAGGATTATTTTCATTATGTCAATATGATGAATTTAAGAGTAGAATGAAACAAGAAGCAAAACAAAGAAAATTACAAGTTCAACAAAGTTCACCTATTAGTGGAATGGATTCTTCATTCCATACTCCTATAAGAAGAAGAAAAATAAGTGGAGCATTAGCTGCTAAAATTCAAATTGCAGTTCCAATGGAATCTCCAGGTCAACCAAGAAAATATAAAGATAGTGAAGAATCAGAAACTATTGAATTAATAAATAATTCCGATGAAGAAAATATAGAAACTATAGTAACGACCACTAAAGATGAAAATGAAATCATTGTGGATGGAGATGCTATGTCAATATCACCCACCAGAGATGATTCAAATGATTGGAGAGTATTAAGATCAATTTCTTATGGAACGAATAATCAACCTGTGCAACTCATGAAAACAACCACTACTACAACCACAAGAACTGTAAGTACGACCTTATCATCATCTCCTAATGCACAATCCCCTGGTAATGGGATAAAATTCCCTAAATCAAGATCAAGTTCTCGAACTAACGCAATGATTCAGGCAAAAAGTCCCAGTTATAATGGAACTAGAGTTTCATCGGCAGGAATTCGCAAAATAAGTGGGCCAAATGGTAGAAAATCGTAAAATTTTTACAATGTCATAAACAATTTCGCTGTATTATATATATTATTACTTATACATACTGAATATTAGAATAGAAGGTGCCAGTAATTTTTTTTTTCATTCAACTATCTCTATAAAAACTAATCCTATTTACTCTTCAAAAGCAGCTTCTATAACATCGAAGGTATCTTCTTCACCATATGCAAATGCAATAATATCATAATCATTAAATATTAAACTGGCCAAAGTAGAATCATCACTGATTTCAATCCATTCGTTATCATATGGTGAAGCCTTATCCTTTGGAACCGCGATCCTCAACTCAGCTGCATTAACCTCTTTTATAATATTAGGATCATCTTCTATTTCTATATCTTCCATGAATTCAGGTTTGGGAACAGGTATACTTTCTTCATCAATATCTTGATCCCCATCTAAATCTGCTGAAATAGGATCAGCATCTTCTATAGCCAATCCTCCTGATGACTTTATGATCTGAGCTAACTTTTGTTTGAAAACTTGAACAGTTAACGTCTTTGATTGGGATAAATCAAACGTAAGCACGTATGTTGCACGTCCTCTTTTGAATTTCAATATGGTTATTACCGGTTTGGTACTTTTAGCTTTGGGTGGCTATATCTTAACGTTAGTAACTTATAATTACCATTGACTACTGAAACTCTTAAGCTTGTATACATACCATTGTATTGGATCTTGATAATTCGTAGTATGAATTGAATCACGTCTGGGTTTGATGTATTTTTGCGATTAAATATATTTTTTGGCGGTTTTTTATTTTTCAAAAGATATATGTTATGCTAAATAGGATGCAATTTTGATGATTCCCAGTCTGGTGTATGAGAAGGCTCTTCATTCAAAAGCTGTCATATCTTTGTATAGAGAACTACTACGAGATGCCAATAAACTTAAGAATGTGAAAGTTAATGACGAAATTCAGAAACAACTTGGAAGTGATCATAATGAAGCATATTTTAAGAACTTATCATTTGAATTAAAATCATTTATAAATGAAGAATTCAGGAATCCAAGAAGGAATACGTCTGCTTTAGGTAATCAGATCGTCAAAGGTGTTCAATTTATTACGTGTTTACATGATTTCATTATTGATAACCAGCAATTTGAACCTTTATTAACGTTTACGAACGACTATAAGTCAGATCTTGACAAAAAGCAAGAGAGAAGAGCAGAACTTTTAATTAAGAAAGCAAATGGAGAAATAAAGGAAACCAATAATAAGTACCATATGAAGAAACCAACTGATCCTGTCACCATTTTCTATAAATTATCAACCAAAGAAAGAAGTAAGGTTTTAAAGGAAGAGATTGAAAAATCGAAATTCCAATCCAATCATTTATTAAGACGATATTTCGCTCTACAACAATCACAATTCAAGATTCCATTGCCTCAAAAATTACCCTACACATCTCAATTACCTAAGGCTAAAGCCAGTGAATTAGGAAACGCCTCTTATGGCAGTAAACGATCAGAAAATGCCAGTGATATATATAAATCTTATGATCAAGACTATGTGGATGCTATCGTTATACCATCTTTGGAATATGATATTAATAAGTTTCACTTTTTCGAACAGTTTAGTTGGAAAATAAATGAAAGAGGTCCAGCTAAAGTTAAGATAAGAGTTACCAATGCTGGTGCTTATGGAATGGCATATCTTGATTTACCATTTCGGAATAACAAAGATTTAACAAAGTTAGCAAATGATATAAAGAATCTGATCAAATTAAATAGAGTCAAAAGTGTTTGGGATTCTCCTGATGGTAGAATTAATGAAGAAAGATTACAACGTGATGGATCATATGGTATTAAAGGGAGTAGAGGATTTGGTCCTGAAGAAACTTTCCATCCAAGATTTCATCATGAAGAACTTGCTATAAGTGAAGGAGAATGGGAATTTCTTGTTTATCTTGAATCTTTAGGGGATAAGATAGCTGAATCAGACTTTAATGAGTTAATCAAATTACGTGATTCAAGTATAAAATTGTGGACTGATGATTTAAATGTTGTTAGTAAGTTGCTAGAATCCGAATATCAAAATCAAAAGTCAGAGAAAATGCGAATAAGATCTACTGAATCCAAAGTAGATAACGAAAGATCTGACTATCAAAAACAAATGAATCTCCATTTTGAAAAGATGACAGAGTCTTATTTGCAACTATTAGCAAAGTTAAAGAATAATCAAATTCACAAACATAGCGAATTGGTAAATCTCGGCGATAGAGTATCTAATTCATATAGAAACAAACTTGATCATGAAACCAAAGCTAAAAAGGTGATCAATGGAATTCCAAGTATAGAAAGGATTGGCTTGGCAAAGAAACTTCCTGAATATTTAGTAGAGGCAAAATATACCAATTTTATGTGGGGGCAAAAATTTTATGATAGATTTAAATTTTAACTTGTAAATAGATTAATTGTAATATAGATATAATAATAATAATAATAATAATAATAATAATAATAATAATATAAGGTTCATTAAATTCGTACATGTTTTATATAGTTTATATATGTATAAGAGTGTTAAACCACGTAACCACCAAAGCTTTTATTACTAGTAATATAGCCTTCAACAGCGCTTGAAAGTTCTTCTTTACTAGCATTTGGATTATCATTTTCATCATCAGCATCATTACCGGTAAGGTTACTTTCTCTTTCCACGATTTCAAAATCTTGTATTAATTTTATTAATTGACTTGTATCTTTATGACTATCATAATCATTAACACTTAAACCACTCATCATAGCAATAACATCAGATAAACTCTTACCTTGATCTTTAAGTTCTCTATGTTTCTGTAATACATCTTCCATACAAGTAATACCATTTTCATACCATGATAATGGAGCATCTTTTGAGAATGGCGGTACCACCATAATATCATTTCTGGCAAAGACAGCTTCACTTGATAATTGATTTCGATAAAATATAGACGCTTGATAATGTTCTTTACAACAATATTGAGATAAATAAGTATTTGGAAGGATAATTGATGGTTTTCTATTATAGATCTGATATTTTGTAGATGCACCCGGTTCTTTAAGTGATGCTTGAATTGTACCATTACCATTGGAAGATAAGCGGCGAACCAGCAGTTTAGGAGATTTATCACAAATTATATAACCACATTGATGTTCGATATTTCTTTCCTCGATAATGTCATCATAAGCCTTTTCAGTCAAAAATCGACTAAGAAACTTTAATAATTGATAATCAACGCAATGATCCACTAATAATTCAGTGGTGAGGAGTAGAATTCTTGATGCTTCTTGAGGAGTTAATAACTCCCTATTAGCAAATGGCTCTAAAAGTTTGATATATTGTTCTAAGCCCACGGATTCCATTAGTTTTGAGTATTATCTTTCTGTCATATATGAAATTCGAATTGGGGGAGGTTGGTGAAATATGAAGTAAAACATAATAAGCAACATCAGTGATATATAATTCTTTGGTGGTGATGTTCGTGTGCGATCAAAATTGCGTTGTTAGCAGCTTAAAAATTTATGACCACAAACAGAAATAGGAGGAGGGAGATTTCTACGCTACCTGATATATATCTATATCTATCAATTGCATTCATGGGACGACATAGACTAAGTAGCAGTGGCTCACGGGTGGGTCATAAGGGTCTTGGTTCAGCTTCAACGTTGAAATCAAGACTGGATAGTACATCTCGATCGAGATCAAGATCATCAAGTATAAGTCATATAAAACAACCTTCTACCATTAGCTCAATGTTGAATAAGATAGGATTGAGTAAGTTGGTAGAATACTTGTTCCACATAAATGGCAGGAGTAGACTACGGTCGCTTTATAATGTGCTATTAATAGAATTAAATTTACCAAACAGCTCCAGAATAGATCCTAAGGATGATTCTTTCGATATAGATAGATCATATGAAGAAGTGATGAATATGATAAAGATCCCATATTATCTAGAACAGTTTATGATCTTTGGATTAATGATTTGTTTCAATTCATTTCTAACGTTATTCACTTTAGCTCCATTAAAGATTATTATAGCCACTTTTAATTTCATTCATAATGGGATATCAATGTATAAAGAAAAGAAATCAATCATAGTTAAAGAATGGCTACAAAGTTTTGCATGGGTAAAGAGAGAGATAATCACATTAAGTATAATAGGTTTCTCATTATGGGTTCTTACATTACCTAGATTGGATATTTCTCGATTATATCATGAAGTAAGAGGAGAAGCTCATATAAAGTTATATGTGATATTTGGGGTTCTAGAAGTGGCTGAAAAGTTATGTTCTTCTTTAGGTCAAGATATAATGAATATTCTTTATAACATACCGATAGATAATGGTCAAGCATCGATAAATTATACTAAATTTATCGTATTTTTTGCATTGGCTATATTCTATGTTTCATTTCATGGATATATCTTAATATATCAAACTGTTGCATTGAATGTAGCAGCCAATTCATATTCTAATGCATTAATGGCTTTACTTCTTTCTAATCAATTTTCAGAATTGAAGAGTGCTGTATTTAAGAAATTTGAAAGAGAAGGGCTTTTTCAAGTTTCAATGGCTGATTTAACCGAACGATTTCAATTACTGTTTATGCTTGGTATTATCGCTTTAAGAAATCTTTTACAACTTAACAGTAGTCAATCAGGGTTGATTCCTAATAGTTGGAAGAGTTGGAATACATGGTTTGGAGTTATTTTAGGACCCGGAATATTTGTCATTGGGTCTGAGATTTTTGTGGATTGGTTAAAACATTGTTATATTTCTAAATTTAATAAATTAAGACCAAGAGTATATGAAAACTTTTTATATGTTTTCAGTTTGGATTTTTTGGAAATATTCAATTCAAATTCAAATCAACATGATTTAACTGATTATATCTTTTTAACAAGAAGAATTGGTTTACCACTTTTAGCATCGGCAGTTTGTTTTTTAAGAATGACATTACCTGATCTTAAATATGTATTCATATCTCCATCGAAATCATTTACTTCATTGATTGGTTCATCGATAATTATAGTCTCTGTGTTTGGAGGTCTTCTTTTATTAAGGTTGATTCAAGGTGTTGTGATCCTTAAGTTGGCCAATTTAGTTAAGCAAAATCATTCTGCAAATTCATTAATGAGAAGACAAGCGAAGGAAGCCAATGAAGAACCGTTTGATATTAAGATCAAAGTTGGATCAACTCCAGAACCAGATTCAATCAAGAAAGAAAAAGATGTTGATAATGAATGTTCAACACCAAGTAATTCTTCATCACCCAATTTAAAATCATCACTGGGTTCGCCTGAATCCATTATTGATTCTTCATTTTTTCCAGGTATACCAAATACAGAAGCATCAACGATTAATCCTAAGACAAGAGAATTCTTATATGATTCAGATGAGGAAATCCCTCCTACTATTGAACAACTGAGAAATAAAAAGATTTTAAAGAATAGTGAAAATCAAAATGCCACGGATGGGAATGAAGAAGTTAAAGGGTTAGATAAGGTTTTAAGATATGAAATGTCGAGTAAAAGGATATGGTAGTCATTTTTTTTTGTTTGGGGGAGGGTTTTTAATATAATAATAATAATTTAATATTTAATAATTTAATTCTATTTACAGTGTTAATATATACAAGTGAATTTTAAACAGGTTTTTATGTACTGGAGTTAAACTCTTGATTTTAAAAGTTGATCTTTCATGAGTTTATTAATATAATTGAGAGCTTCCGGTCTTGGTTTCTTTAATCTTGCCGCAAACATAAGACAAGTAGTAAGTAAAGCCAAGGCACCAGCTTGATGAGCTGCTCCTAATGGAATTGGAACTAAATAGATTAAAGTAAAAATACCAAGGGCGACTTGAACATTGGCAAATGCCCACATACCATGCATCAGTCTAACTGCAGCTTTTGGAAGGAGTACTTTATTCTTTTTAACATAGATTTGAGCTGCTAAAATTGTAAAATAAGTAGTGGTTGCAAAAATACGATGAACTAATTGAACAGTAGTTGGATTTTCCAAGATATTTCTCCACCATAAATCTGATTTATCTTCACTTCTAGCGAATACAGGAGACATTAATTCAGAATAACTTGGAATTATATCATCACCCATATGAGGGAAAGTATTATAGATTAAACCAGCATCTAAACCAGCCACCATACCACCTGACATGGCAGTAAGGAAAGTAAGACATAATAAACCAGTTGCCATTAATCTTGTCTTTTTAATGGAAGGACTTTGTAATTTAATAAAAATAGATTTAACTGTTTCAGGAGCAGTTTTAGATAATTTTGCCCATTTATTTTCATTCAAGATTTCAAATGCAGTCCCTAATACCCCTAAATACATTAAAAATGCAGCTCCAAGATGAGTAGTTAAACGATATTGAGATACAGTTGGTTTTGAATTTCTTTGATTTAATTGATCTTGATCTAATCCCGATTTGACCATCCACCAACCAATGAAACCTTGTAAACCTAATAAACCAGTCAAACCTATAACACTTCTAGTAATATGAGGAGAGAATTTACCTCTTGACCAAAATATAATGGCTGGTAATAAAAAGAATAAACCAATACCTCTACCAACTAATCTATGACCCCATTCCATACTATAAATGAATTTAAATTCTTCTAAATTAATATGAGAATTTAATTGTTTAAATTCAGGTGAATCTTTATATTTAGTGAATTCAATTTCCCAATCTTCTTGACTTAAAGGTGGTAAAGCTCCAGTTACAGGTTTCCATTCAGTAATGGATAAACCTGATTCTGTTAATCTTGTTAAACCTCCTAATACGACAATACCAAATACCAAAGTTGAAGTACCTACCAACCAGTAACCCACTAATTTTGGAGAAATAGGGTTACTTCCATTGGTAAATTTCAACTTTTCAGTATTGGTAAGAATCGATGATGATGATGATGAAGGAGTGGTATTACTTGTTTGTAATGGGATGGTGGAATAGAATCTTGATTGGATAGATGATATAAAATGATTTAATTTGAATAATGGCTTAGTGGTAGTAGTACCAATAGTGGAATGATGGTAATGATGAATTGAAGTAGGAATTGATAATCTACATCCTTTGGTTTGAACAAGAGTGTTCAAGACAAAGGAGTTTTTGGTGAAGAAAAACCTAGTCCTAGAAAGCATCCTTACCAATTAATGTTGTTAGTAAGTGACTATGACTCCTTTTTCTTTTAATTGACGAATCAAATGATTGATTTGGATTGGATGGGATTGATTGGATTGATAATTTATGCCAAATCCAACCTTACAATTCGAATGTGCTGCCAAAATTAAATATGGATCGGTCAAATGGTAGTGGAATGATTTTTTCTTTTCCTAATAGAATTAATCCTGTATGCAGTAAAACTGACAATTTAAAATTGAGGTAAATAAAAAAAAGAAAAAAGAAAAAAAGAAATCGGATACTCAAACCACTCAACTCAGAAGCATCCATAAATTCCATCATTTAAAAATCATATCAATTCAAATCAAATCAAATCATCATCATCAATCTCTTTTCATTTGTTCAAGCTATATTAGAAGGTGGAGATATACATACACATACCGTGACAATCACTCAACCAATCCATTTTGTTAGATTCTAATCAATTGAAATATCACCGCTTCTTTGATTCATCTGTTTGTCTGTCTGTCTAATCTAAAACCAAATAGTTTTTCCTGCTTACATCAAAAGAGGTTAAATTATAAAACGTCACCAGGTAAGCTTAACTACTTACACCCCCCGTACAATCATACAATCAACTTGATCAATCATATCGTATCCATCGTGTCGTAGTTGATAAACTTTCTCACTACTTTTTTACTCATTCTTGTTCATTTCATTTGATTTGATTCCCTTGACTGTCAGTTTGTTTAATCTAATCGCTAATTAATCTTCCGTACTCATTACCAGTACTATACCCATCAATTAATCAATCAATCAATTAATCAATTAATCAATCAACCTCTGTTTCAATTGTGTCCATTATTCATTCATCCCATAAGAAGTCTACCGTCACATACACCCCATCTATTGAATGTGTTTGAATAATCAAAATTGTGAGACATCAAACGCTATTCAATAAATCTTTTCATTTAAAGTTTTCATTATAGATTAAAATCATTAATCGTATCAATCTCTTCATTCATTTTATTTTATTTATTTGCATTGTTTAAACTTATTCAAATCATCTAGATACACTATATATAACAACATATACTACTACCTCCAAAATGCCTGATAAACATAAACTTAAATTGTTCTCCCATTTCAAACAACCATCTCATGCTCCTGAAGAAGAATTGGCTCAATCAACTTCTAATCATTCCGTCACTAAAAAGTTTCTTGGATTCCATATCGGTAAACATGAATCAAGTGATTCCTTAACAAGTCCAACTTTAACAAATTCTTCAGATCATCATATTAGTCACTCAGGTATAGTATCACCTCAACCTCAATCTCATTCTCATATTCCTCATAACATCAGTAATACTGACGTGTCATCATCTCATACCCACATTCATAGTCAATCATCCCGTACAAATTCTCCTGTAGTTGCTGCAGTTGCTGGTTCATCTGGAACAGCTAGTTCAACTCCTCTTAATAAAGAAGATTCAAATCATACCTTTTTACAATCAAATTCAATGGCTGATTTAAAAAGTTTCTTTAAACCAACCAAAAAAATCATATCGGCAACTAGAAATAAACTTGATTATAATAATCTAATTCATTCTCCTGTAAATTCTAACAGTGGAATTAATAGTGGATTACAATCTCGTGATCAATCATCAACAAATTTAGCATCATTAATCAATCAAACATCATCTCAATTATTACATAATGCAACTCATAGTCATCTGAATCTGAATAAAGATCCATTTACCGATGATAATTCTCCCTTGGTTAAAAAATATGGTAAAATTGGTAAAGAATTAGGTAGTGGAGCTGGTGGTTCAGTTAAATTAATCATTAGACCTTCTGATCAAAAAACTTTTGCTGTTAAAGAATTTAGACCCAGAAGACTGACAGAAACTTTAAAAGATTATACCAGAAAATGTACGGCTGAATATTGTATTGGTTCAACTTTAAAACATCCAAATATTATTAAAACTATCGATATTATTCATGAAAATAATCGATATTTTGAAATTATGGAATTTGCTCCTATAGATTTCTTTGCAGTAGTAATGAGTGGTGATATGTCAAGACAAGAAATAAATTGTTGTTTAAAACAAATCTTGGAAGGGGTGGCATATTTACATAATTTAGGGTTAGCACATCGTGATTTAAAATTAGATAATTGTGTTATAACTACTGATGGTATACTTAAAATTATTGATTTTGGTAGTGCGGTTATTTTCAAATATCCTTATGATCAATATGGTAATTCTAAAGATTCAATTCATCCATGTCATGGTATTGTTGGTTCAGATCCTTATTTAGCTCCTGAAGTATTAAAAAATTCAAATTCTTATAATCCTCAACCAGTTGATTTATGGTCAATTGCTATAATTTATTGTTGTATGACATTAAAAAGATTTCCTTGGAAAATTCCAAATCCTGATAAAGATAATAGTTTTAAATTATATTCTTTAACGGATGATAATTTCCATGATTATTATTTAAGTAATGAATGTCATAAATTATTATTACAACAACGAAAATTAAAGAATTTAATTGTTAAACTGAATAAGAAAAAGAAATTATTAGCTAGTAATGCTGTTACTCCAAATACAATTGATGCTACTGAAATGACTCATAATGTTGAAGGATCGGAAGATCAAATAATGACCAATGCTGACTCTGAAGAGAATATTGCAAATAATGTGACCAATAATGATGATAATAGTAATATTAAAAATAATAGTACGAATGATGATAATGATGACCAAAAGAAGAAGAAGAAGAATAATGATGAAGATGACGATGAAGAAGATGAAGAATCAAAGAAGGATTTCGTAAGAAAATCAAGTATTGCTACCACTGCATCTAAAATTGATCCATCTGATATATTATCTGAAGAACAATCTCAAGATATTTTAAATCAATTAAAACAAATTGATCAAAAACTAGAAGATTATGAAGAAAAGAAAAATATGTTAAAGAATAAATTCCTTGAACGTAAAAAGCTTGAAGCTGAAGCTGAACATCATGAGGAAGCTCCAACTTCTCCAAAAGCTGTTGTACCAACCGACGACAGTGATGAATCTGCAGCCGCCGCTGCTGCTGCCGCCGCCGCTAAGAAGAAACAAGCTCATCAACATAAACAAATACATGGTCCTTATAGATTAATGAGATTATTACCTCATGCATCAAGACCAATCATTCATAAAATGTTACAAATCGATCCTCGTAAAAGAGCTTCATTAGAAGATATTATGACTGATGAATGGATTTCAGAAATTCAATGTTGTACTTTGAAACGAGTTGCTCGAACTTCTGAACCTAATAATTTTGATGATGATGAAAATGATGTATTAGTTAAAGGTTTACCATTACATGACCATACTGTTGTTTTAGAAGGTTAAACCTTTCTTTTTTTTAATTCTTTTTTTTTTAATATAGTTTTCACTATAATTAATAATGACTCAATTACAACTTAATTCTTTTTCAGGGGTATATTACATCTTATATAGCTACATCTACAATTATATATAAATATTATATATATATATGAATTATGTGAAATACATCTAATTATTATAGGACTTATCTAAAAAGCGTATATGAGTGATACCAATTGGTCGAGCCATTGAAAATAAATAAAAAAGCAATCATGTAGCTAGAATCATCGGCGATTGATAAGAGATACTAATTTCGGATACACATCTCTAGCTATTATCCATATAGATACGAGAAACAGCGAAATAACAATGAAAAGCTCAGTTACCATAAGGCACGCTATAATCATCCATGATGTGTCACCTTTCTTATTACTTAGTAGTTTTTTAATGAATTCACTATCCTTAACAAAAGAGTACGTAACAAATATATTAGCCACGATCCATAGGATGGAATTTAGATTCACTACCAATCTCATGTTTACCAATGAAGTTTCTGATTTATTAAGATAGTACCACTGCTCGAAAGCACATGCCATTATGAAATTCATAAAACTTAAACCAACGGTAAAAACAGATGTATATTTGTTATATGGAATCAATGAATGAACTATTAAAATCACGAATTGCCAGATAATTGCGATATTCAACCTAGGGGATATAATGCTGATAACCGGCTCATTCTCTCCACTCTTTTCATTTAATGGAGCTTCCATTGCACTTATTTATGTGATTAATAAATAATGGCACAGCAAACTGTGGAACCCTATAGTCTGATACAGCAAATACTAGAATTATGAATATATATATGTATAGAATTCATTATTTATTACATTTACTATGGGCGTAGATATACTTAATATCATTTTATAATTTGAAATTGAAAGGGGCACTCCTTCTTTTATCGGCACACGGCTCATTTTGTGGGGGCCGATTATATAGTACATACTTAATGATAATACTTAACATAATAATAACTTGTAAGTTTACAAATCATGAACAGCTGATTTAATAATATCTAATATGGAGTATAACCTGTAGTGTTCATATTAAGATGAAAAGACTTTATTTGAACGATTTTAATAGTTACATTGTTATCTTCGTTGATTGATAATGGCAATTGGAATAATCAGAAGGGCGACGGCTATGGCGACTCTACTCTTTTGAATGTCATCTTGTTGTAACACTTGAATATCAAAAGCATATGTTGTAGCAGATATGGTTCCAACTATCCATAACAACAAGTTTTGATTTACTACTAATCGTACATTTCCTAACGAAGCAACTGATGCATTATCCCATTTATCACTAATATAAGGCCATTGGTCTATAATATAGGACAATGTAAACATCGCATACAACATCCCAATACCAATACTACCAACTCCATATTTTCTATATCCTATCACTGAATGTGCTACTAATACCACCAAAACAATATAAGTTCCCACAAACGGCTTTGGGGGTGTAACACTGAAATCCGACTGTTTCTCACTGTTTATAGGAGCTACCATTGAACTCTTTAACTTGATGTGTTATTTATACTGTCAAATTGTAGAAATCTAATTGATTCTATTATAGTAAACAATACAACTAAGATGATATATATTGATATCTGATATTCTTAATTTAAGATTTACATTTGTTGAAGTCATTTGAAGTCATTTGAAGCCTTATAAAAACTTTATTACTGAGTCACGTGCCGATAAAATCTCCTTTTTTTAAATGATTATTCAGTGTGTTCTAAATCGAGATTTAAGCAGAACCAAACTACATAGATAAAGTCTATATTTTCATTTCTTTGGTACTGATAAGTCATAGACAGGTTGCATATCATATACATTTATAGAACATTGAAAATAAACTATGGGATCTCCAAAGCCACCACCACCTCATCTTAATCCCGTGAGATTAAAGACAGCCATTAAAATGGCGATAAGTAAACTGAAGTTCTTACAAGAAAAGAAAGCAGCATTAACCAAACAACAAAGACGACAATTGGCTGATTTATTAAATCAAGGAAAGGAATCAAGTGCTACTATTCGAGTGGAAAACATTATCCGTGATGATATTTATATTGAATTATTGGAATTTATAGAATTATATTGTGAGTTATTATTAGCTCGTATTTCAATCATTTTAGATCCAGCTAGAACCACTTGTGATTCAGGATTAATCGAAGCAGTTCAATCTGTAATCTATGCAGCTCCACAGACAGAATTAAAAGAATTGACTTCAATCCGAGACATTTTAATTCATAAATATGGTATTGAATTTGGGAAAATTGCCATTGAAAATTCAGAAAATCATGTCCCTGAAAAGATAGTGAAAAGATGTCAAATAGATCCACCATCACAAGAACTCGTTAACTTATACTTATGTGAAATAGCTAAGGCATATGAAGCTCCATACTCAGGATTGAAAGAATACTTCGGTGAAGTAGATTTTGATGAAAAAGTAGATCCAAATGATGAAAAAGCAAATGATGAAAACAATGATAATGATGACGATGACGATAGTCCAAGTGGTGGTCAGAAAGTATTGGCTGATCCAATTGCTGAAACAACTGATGAAGCTCCAGCAGCTACTGCCAAACCAGTATCAAAGGCTAAAGCTCAACAAGATGAATTTGATTCATTAAGAGCTCGTTTTGCCGCTTTAAAAAGTGGTAAATAACTTTATGTTCATGTTTCTCTATAGGGTAATAGCATCTTCTATTAACTAGATACTTTAATTCTTCTATATTTGTATACTTTTATCAATATCTATTGCATTTAAATTTGAAATGGTTGTCTTAAGTATTGATGCGTGGATGTAGATCTTTAAAAATTTGCAATGTTTTGATTTTCGATTTGTGATATTTACATTTAAGATCAAACTTGTTTCAAAACATTGCAACTGCCCCCAGCTGGATTCCAGAACATATACAGTGTCATTACCATGACGACATCTCGGATACTTACCGAGAGACTGCAAGAAGAATTGAATAAGGCTATAATACAATATTTGACTAATACCTTGGATGACAATCAAAAACCTATACTAAAAGATTTATCAAATATACTCCATGTTGAAGAAACTGATCAAATAGTAGCGAACTATTTAGAAAAGAAATGGTCTACCGTAATACGATTACAGAAGAAGATAATGGATCTAGAAAATGAAGTCACTAGTCTTCGAACTATAGTAGATGCCCAACAACAAAATTCATCAACTACAAATGGTATAATACGAAGAGATAGAATCAATTGGCTCCCTGTAAGTAGTGGTAATAACTTCCAAACCGAACCAGGTCAACTCATACTATCCGTCAAGTTACACCCTATATTGCCCATTATATTTTCCGGAATTTCAGATGGATCAATAATAATATGGAAAATAGTTAATGATAATATATCTATTCCAGATAAGATAATACAAGCTCACGCAAGAGGAGTAAATAAACTTGCGTGGTCTTCTGAACCAGTGGATTTCTCATCTTCATCATCAGCGGCTTCAGATTCTAAATATTATGCTCTTGCTTCATGTTCAGCAGATTTATCAATCAAAATATGGAATGGATCAAATTATAGACATATTAGGACCCTTACCGGTCATGAACATACCGTTTCTTCCATTGTATTTTCTCCTACTAATCCAGTAATACTTTATTCAGTTTCCCGTGATAATACTTTAAAAGTATGGAACTTGATAGATGGTAATTGTTTAAAGAGTATTGTGGGTCATAGTGATTGGGTAAGAGATATTGATGTTGCAAGTATTAACTCCACTATTCTGTTGCTGAATATAAAAGAATCGAATGATGTAGGGTTAGGTGATTTCGTGATAACTTGTTCCAATGATCAATCTATAAGACTAACACATGCTACTACTGGTACAGGCTTAAGTATGTTAATTGGGCATACACATGTTATTGAAACAGTTAAGTTTCTTCCTATAACTTCAAATTTCATCCTTGATAAATATTTAAAAAACCATGCATCTGAATATCCTAATATTCCTCAAGATATACTATCCAATCCAGTGTACACCGAAACATTGGGGTTTAAATATTGTATATCGGGTGGAAGAGATAATTTGATAAAATTATTTCTCATACCGCCACCAACCATATCAGATGAAGGGAAAACCGTAACTCCAACGAAATATAACGGAGGAATGGGTTGGGAAATTGCAACCATACCTGGACATGTGGCATGGGTTAAGACACTTGCAGTTCATCCCAATGGGAAATTTATTTTTAGCGGTAGTGAAGATAAGACTATAAGAGTGTGGGATTTAAATAATCTAAACATAGAGGGGAAAATTAAATGTATCAAGACTTTACAAGGACATGAAGGGTTTATTAATACGATTGATTTTGCAAAGTATACGTTAAACAAGTCAGAATTTCCTAATTTTAAAAACGAGGAAGAGTTTCAAATTGAATTATTAAAACAAATTGAAGTAAATATGAAATGCTTATTCATCAGTGGAGGTACTGATAGTACTGTTAACCTATGGAATTGATCAAATGATTAACTACAAATCCCAGATATTGATTAACTAGATTTTGTGTAATTGTTTATAATGTGTTATGAATATATTCAGATTATATATATAACTATATATAATAATAATGCAAATAATCACTTATTAGCGACGAAAACGGACATCATCAAAGTATACCCGATCAACATACCCTCCTGACATTGATATTGACACGTTTCTCTTGAATTGATCTATATCCTTAACAAATGTATTAGCCGCTTGCTTATTTAATGGATCATTTGGATTAGGTTCCAAAAATAAATGATTTAACCCCATAACCACCGAGTTGATACTCAATACTGGACGCCATTCCTCTCTTAAGATATTTAAACATACATTACCTTCCAAGTCTATATTTGGATGATAGATTTTATTATTACATTTTACTTTTGGAGGTTCAAATGGAAAATTTTGAGTAACTTCAACTGTGAAAGTGAAACTTCCCTTGGAATAATAACCACCAGCAGGACTTATGACTAATTTGAAATTAAAGAAATCCTTAGGATCAGGAAATTCTATATTGGTACTCTTTGGTAATTCTAATTCTGTTAAATGCTTTTGTAATAATGCTTGAGCACTGCTGACTCTTGAAGATGGTGATGATTCACCATTAGTGCCATTTGATTCGCCAGCGTTGGCTTTTGCGGCAGCAGCAGCAGCAGCTGCCTGCTCTTGTTTCTTCCTTTGCTGCTCCCTTAACTTTAACATAATAAAGTAACAGGATGATAATCTTCAATAAAGGTGTATTGTGAAATTTAGTTTAACAATTATAAATCATTATCTATTTTTAGTGCGATTTCTCATTACCACAAATTTTTGTATTTTCATTAATGGGTATCACGGTAACTATAACTATATTTACATTGATATATATAATTAACTACTTAATTAAGACAGATGATAGCGTATGAACAAATTCTGATTTCTGTTTAAACAACTCGGTGTCTTTATCGTCAAAATCATTAAGTAGTTCCTGTTCTTCAACACACTTAGTACCTATCATATCTCGTACGAGTCTTAATTCATCATGAAGTTCAAGCTGAATAAGTGGTCTTAACAATGTCGTATACGGAGTTTCAATTAAGCATTTGACTTTCAAAAGCCAACTTATCTCGTCAATTATATACTTTGTATTGCTTTCTTTATCAACTGAAATGTTATCTGTTTCCATAATATCTAACGGTTCCACATAATCACTAAGTTGATCTGCAATTCTATTATATTCATTTAGCGAGAAGGTGACATTGTGATGGGGATTATATTTGGTTATTAAATAGTATTCGAAAAGGTTCCATAGAGCAACATCTCTCAAATTGCTTCTACACAAATCCTGTAAGCCCTTTTGTAGATGTTGCAAAAGTTGTTGTGCAGTTTCTTTGACCAATGAACTCTGTTCACTATATTGAATATAGCCGAGAACACTAATGAACCATCTGAGGTAGTTTGAGGCATAATAGTTTGCAAAATGTAGTTGAGAACTTCGAAATGCCCGATCAATTAACATGCTTCCTATAGATTTGACATCTTTTTGATGATTTAATAAAGGATTGAATAATGTAAGGACAGTTAATTTCTTAATCCAAAACCAAAGTGACGAACTCTTATTAATTCTTCTTAATCTACTAGTCAAGAATGCAGTGATGAGATCCAATTCCTTGTCGATAAATTCTTCCCCTTGATCATCATATATTTCAAACACTAATAATTCATGTAACCTTATAATTGTATGATTTTCGTTTGTAGTTATCATATACCCAATTGTACAAAGATAGAGATTCCAAATCTCTTCATCTGAGCCGGTTTGAATCACATTTAGATAGTCATTAGATACATCAATTATCTTATGATGCCAATAATGATGTGCTTCTTTAAATAGCTTTAAATAATTCTTTTTGGTCACACCTATTTCAATAGTATCATTTTCCTCATAGGTTATGAACGGATTTGGAACTTCATTAGGAGCAATGAATTGAATTGTTTTCCATTTCAATTTACTGTCAGTTATAATATCATATAGTCGTTGACTTAATACTACCATTGCATATTAAATCAAACACATTCATATGAAGCAACTCTTCATCCCACAAATACAGAAATTTATTTATCGCGAAACTTAATTTTTAGCATCTACAAATTTATTTTCAGAAGAGGATACTCTTAATATTGTGACAAGTGGACAACAATGCCTACTTATAGAGATCTAATAGACCTAGAAGGAGAAGATGAAGAACTGCTCATACCACCAGCTGATCCTTTAAGTGAAGCTATGTATACCAATGCAAAAATTGATTTCACTTTTAAGAATGTAAATCATAACGAAGATGATGATGAGGATATGGATGAAGATGATGATGATGATGAAGAGGAAGAACAACCACAAGATGAAGAAGTGAATAATAACGAAATCAATCATATCCTAGGTTCAAATGAAAATATTTCAGATCCAAAGCAATCAACCTCATCTAATTGGGGATTGTTAAGAGTGTTGGTAGGAGCTCACCAAGGATGGGTGCGATCTGTTGAAGTTGATCCAGTTACAAATAAATGGTTCGCTACTGGTTCTTCAGATTCAACCATTAAGATATGGGATTTAGCCAGTCTGAAAATCAAAGCAACTTTAACAGGTCATATAATGGCTGTGAGGGCAATGGCTATCTCTTCAAAATATCCTTATCTATTTTCTGGTTCTGAAGATAAAACTGTACGATGTTGGGATTTAGAACGATCCAACTCTCCTTCTGGAGCTCAGATTCGTGATTATCATGGTCATGTGGGAGGTATTTATTCAATGGCATTACATCCTGAACTTGATTTATTATTCACAGGAGGTAAGGATGCTGTGGTTAGAGTATGGGATTTAAGATCTCGATCTGATATAATGGTATTAACAGGACATAGAAGTGATATAAGTTCAGTGGTGGCACAAACTAGCGACCCACAAGTCATAACAAGTTCAATGGATGGTACTATTAGATTATGGGATCTTAGAAAACAATCAACAGCATTAACAATAACACAACATACCAAAAGTATACGACTGATGGTTCTTCATCCTCAAGAAATGACCATGTGTTCAGGTGATACCAATGGTAACCTTAAGCAATGGTTATTACCAGGTGGTCAATTATTAAATGAATTCGGAAATCCTGATGATGGTAAAATTATTAACACATTGAGTATTAATCCTGCCACCAATGTTTTATTTGCCGGTTATGATGATGGAAAAGTTGAATTTTATGATTATATCGAAGGGAATTTACTTCAAAGTGATAGTACAGCTCCTGTTACCGGCTCTAATGAATCTGCTATATATGCTTCAACATTTGATATGCTGGGATTAAGACTAATTACATGTGAAGGAGATAAAAGTATTAAAGTTTGGGGTGAAAAAGTAAAATAAGTAATATTATGTAAATTATTAGTGTACATTAAATATATATAAGCATATATCCATTTTATAAAACTACAATTAATGCTGTTGTTGATGACGTGACTTCGTTTCTCTTCTAATATACAATAGATGGTTTACCAACCAAAACGTAATTGACTGGCTGTGAAAAGAGGTGGAGTCCAATTAAGTTTTTGAGGATCTAACTCATGTTTCTTTTTATCCTTTATCTTTTTAATCAATTTATCATACATAAGCATGATTTGATCGGTTATGACTATGATATGTTGACCTTTATAATATCTTAAAATTTGTAATGTGGTTAAAGTATGTAAAATATCAGTAGTTGTCATACAAGTTATGGCTGAAATTTCTTCAATTGTAATTTCACTTGTATTACCAGTTGGAGCAGGACTTACATCATCTTCTATAGCTTGAGGATTATTCTTTTTATAAAGTGATGGACTATTTCTTTCCACTAATAATTTTACTAATGAATCTGTCCAATAAGCTCTATATGATAATAATCCTAAATCAGATAATGGTTTTTCAGGTGATCCTACTTTATGTTCGATATTTGATAACATATATGAAAATTGAATTAATAATTTCCCGTACCCTTTCTTTTGATAACAAGGTAAGGTCAATATACAAGCCACATTATAACCTTCAGCATTTTCCTTTTCCTTAGAGAAATATCCCACCACATGATGACCTTGATCAGATTTAAACGTCATAACATAGAATAAAAATGGATCAACATCATAATATAAAGTTTTATGATCCAAAAATAATTTTGAAAGTAAACAAAGATTTCTACACCAAGTTCTTTGTTTTCTACCATCAATTTCCCAGAAACTAACTTTTGAATCTCTATAAATTTCATTACCAGGAGGATGTTTCATTGAACATTTTGATCTAAATCTTTCAAATTGTTTTCTTGAACCAAAATATGATAAAGTAAAATCACAAATATAAATTTCATCTTCTTCAGTTAATTCAATAGGATAAGATGAGAAATACCAAGGCTCTATTATATGTTCTCCTAAGATTATATTTGATAAATTTCTAACTCTTGAAACTTCGGAATGATTTTGAGTCATAGAACCACTTGTTCTTAATTTTTTAATTTCATCTTCTCTTGAAACTTCATCACCAGGTCTTTTCAAACCTTGAACATTTAAATTATCTAAATCCATTTCATCTTCATTTCCAGTAGCTGGAGTTTCACCATTTTCACTTTCATATGGTTGAGGAGTACCAGTTTCTGATTTTTGTTGCAGCATAGGGGTCAGTTTATCATTTTTAGATTTCTGTGGTTGTTTGGCAGTTTTCTTTTTCAGTTTATTATCCTTCTTAGGATCTTTCTTTTCAGTTTTAACTTCAGGAAAGATTAAAGCACGATTAAAATCGATTCTATCAGTACTAATCCATTCATCTAAACGTTTGTTAAACTCTTGATAATGAACATAGAATACCGTTTTACCCTTTTTCACATGTTGTTGTAAGATTTCCGCCAATCTGAACTCCTCATCTTTAGATACATAGACTTTACATCCTATTATTATTTCATGTTCTGTGAACTTTGGACCATCATCGCCATCATTTTGATTATCGTCTTGATCAGTGATCCTTATCGGAGTAGTGGCCAGAGGTGAAGAAGGTGTCTTCTCTTTCTCTGAATCAACCGACATTGTGATTCTATTTGATTGATTACCCTTCCTATGATATGGATAAGTTGATTAACTGGATCTTTCTACTGACAGTCAGTCATATCAACACAAAGTAGAAAAAATTAAAAAAAAAAATTCCGTCGATCACGTGATAATCTTTAAAAGAAATTTGTATACTTAGTAGAAGTATCAACAAGTATGATTGATTTGAAGTGTAATGTTGCAGTTGTAGAATATATTGCTATATTGATATCATTAGCTGTTGGTAGAGATTAGTATGTTTACATATCAGACTTCATTTAGCAATTTAAGCATGATTTACATGAAAGTACTCAAAGAAGTGAAAAAATTATAAAGCTAACTTCAACTAACCAGTCTTAAAGATTAACTACTATTACCATCATTTGTAGTGTGATATCTATAAGGTTTTATTAATACAGTTGAAATTTATCTGTCACCGATAAACGCATGACAATACAGTACGCAATAAATATTACGGACCCCTAACAAGGAATACCGTTCATAATTAGTTATATACAAGACTTAGTTTCTATCTTCTACCAATGACATGTGGTACCTTAACATAAATGAAAATGGTAGAGTGGAGTTTAAGACCATATATTATTTTAAAGTTGTGGAATGAAATACTCCACCGTCAATATATATTTATAGTGTGTGTTAAAATTTAACTCTCCCCCACATAAAACAATATACAGAATTAACCAACCCACGCCACGCCAGTCATTGCTTTCCCCCTAACCTGCCTTGCTTTCCCTCGCTCCTGCTCTCCCTAGCCAAACCAAAAAAAAAAGAAAAAGTTATGCCATTTTCTCCCTAACGTAATTTCTTGTTTATTGAGGCAAGGAAGTTTTTGCTCCTTTTAAACCTGATATTCCGCCTTTAATTAGCCCATCCACCCACCCCACCCCACTCATCATTATACACATTGTATTACCTACTTACTTACTTACTTACATACACTACCTTATATTTTCGTCTGCTTGTTTAGTCTCCACGCTGTATCTATTTTAATTGGTGTGACTCTGATCATTATGTCAATGGTGGAACTACTAAGTTCCGCACACTAAAATTTAGGGAGAAATAATTTAATTGTACGCCGAAAAAAAAACTGTGGGTGGGTTAGGTGAGTGTACGGTAAAATTCAAATTTAGGGGAAGAATTTCGTTTCCCAAATAACTAATAAATTCTGAAAAATTATTAATTTGGGTTTATAATTTAATTTTAAGTAGATTTCAAAGTTTTATTCTCTAATTGTATATCAATTGACCATAATCAATCGATTAATTGAGTTTGTGAAAGAAAGAAAGAGAGTATTAGTATATAAATATGCCTGAATTACGTCGTTCCGCTAGAGTTGCTGCTAAACCAGCTGTTCCTCCCCCAGCTTTCGAAGAAGAACCACCCAAGAAAAAGAATAAACAAACCAGTATCAATACTAATGGTGGTAATGGTGGATCTAAAGTTAAAGAATTAGAAGTTGATGATAAAATCCCTGATATCACTTTATTTGATGAAGATAATAATGAAGTTAATTTAGTTGAAGCTGCTAATAAAGCTAAATATATCGTTATATTTGCTTATCCAAAAGCTTCAACTCCAGGTTGTACAAGACAAGCATGTGGATTTCAAAGAAATTATGAATTCTTAAAGAGTAATAATGTTACTGTATTTGGTTTAAGTGCTGATTTACCTAAATCTCAAAAGAATTTTGTGGTTAAGCAAAAATTGGAATATTCTTTATTATCGGATCCATCCAAGGAATTAATTGGAATTTTAGGAGCAAAGAAATATCCTACTGGGATTAAAAGATCTCATTGGATCTTTGTTGATGGTGTTTTAAAGGTTAAAAGAATTCAAATATCTCCTGAAGCTAGTATAGATGGTGCTAAAGCCGAAATTGAAAAATTCATTAAACAAGGTGGCGATGAACCAAAAGAAGAGGAAGATGAAGATGATGAAGACGAAGAAGAAATAAAGAAAGTTGAAGATTTGAAAGTTGAAGATGAAAAAGTTGAAGAACCAGTGATTGACGAACCAATTGTCGAAGAACCAAAAGCTGAGGAACCAAACGCTGAGGAACCAAAAGTCGAAGAACCAAAAGTTGAAGAACCAAAAGTTGAAGAACCAACTAATGGAACTACAGATTAAAACAAAAAACGGATAATGCTCTTTTTATATTCAAATTGAACCTCTTTTTTTTATATCTTTTTCTATGTACAAAACGCTATATTAAAATAAACTAAAATAAAATGAAAGATAACATAAAAATCAAAGAAAGTAAACTTTGTTACAATCATAAGAACCAAAGGGAAGAAGTTAAAAATACAGTAACTCCAAGACTTATTTTACTTGCCCACCACCAATGTTGAATTGTGAATGAACAATATGAGAATTCAAATTGCCAAAATTTTGCATCATAATTATAATGACCGGTTAAAATCCCAGTTTGACCATCAAAATCTCCCATCATTGATCTTACTACTACTTCTCTAATTGGTTGAGATTCAGTATTAATCTTTTCCTTAGATGCTACCCATTCTCCATTGATTGAATTATAATAATCATCACAACCTTCATGATCATGACCAGTTAAGATAATACCTTCTTTATCAGCATTTGGGAAAACAATATTTAAAACTTTTTGACTAACTTCATAAGATAAATGATTTTGAGATCTCAATTTCCCATTCTTATAAGGTTCCTTTTCATAATTTTCATAATATCTATGATCAGGACCATCTCTACACAAACCTTCACGTTTATAAAATGGAATATGAGTTAATAAAATAGTTGAACCTTTAAAGTTTGGATTTTCTAAAGTTTTTAAATTTTCTAAAAATGACCATGTATAATTAACAAATTCTTCTTGTAAAGCTGGACCTTCTAAAGTTAATGAATCTAATATAACCAATCTCCATTCTTCTGGTTTACCTTTATTATAATTGATAACATAATTATTTTGACCAAATAAATGATGGAAACGAGCCATATGTTGCCAAGTAGCATCACCACTATAACCAATATCATGATTACCAGTTAAATTTACAAACAATGGATTTTTGAAATTAGGAGCTTTGGAAGTAAGATTAAACCAATCATAAACATCACTATAAACTCTCGAATTAAATCTATCAATTGGATCCATTTTAACTTCTTCATCTAACCAATGTTTCCAATCATAATCCTCATGTTTCTTGAAAGTATCCACTACATTTTGTTTATATTCCAATGGACGAGTGAATAATCTTTCCACAAATCGATTGGTTCTATTATAAAATTCGGAATCAAGAATCCATTGGGATGAGAATAAATCTCCCATTACTGCCACATGACTTGGTTTTAAACGATTTTGCATAGTTGAATAAATATGACCTAAATAGAAATCATTACCATAATTATCTAATCTTTTGATATAAGGAGTCAGTTTCCAATTCCCATTGATTTGAGGATCACCAAACATTAAGAAATGAAGATCTTTAACATGATCAAGATTGTCAAAAGCTGATTCCGTATGCTTTTCAGTTAAATCTTGAATATGAGGTAAGTTTAATAATAATTTATCTGATAACCATTCTGGTAACACGATGTTTAAGATTTCATGGTGACTTAATAATCGTTTTGATATACCATTATTATCTTCAAATTTATGCCAATTACATTGATCAGTGGAGTTTAAGATATCAGGATAATAATATACAAACGCATTCAATATCACAGTTAAGATGGTAGCGAATGCTGCTATCATTCTGATAGTATCTTTCCAATCCATGATGATGAGTCGAGGATAATTGAATTGACAATTGATGATAAGTGAATTAATTTTAAATTTGTTGAAGATATCGAATTTTATATATAGTATGTCATTTTTTTCTCTCCTATCTATCAGAAAAATACAACAACGCTAAAAACCATCAGATGTTGGAAGAAGAGGAGGAGTGATAAGTAAGAAAGAAAGATCTACATACAACTTCCAAAATAAACATTAGAAATAACTACAATTACAGTATATTAACTCTAATGGTTTTATATATTTTTCGTTTTTGTTTAAATATAAAATAATATGTATGGAGGGAAGAAAAGAATAAGAAGAATAAACATTCATATTTTGACGATGATTATTCGATATAATTTCGTATGATAAGATGAATTATTGTCGTTAAGGGGGAGGTGGGGTGTGACTTTAGTTGGATTTCATTTCAATGGAGAATAAAGGAATTGATGTAGTTAATCTCTCTTCATCTCTTAATGCATGATAATGATTGATGGTAAGTATTGATTTGATGATTGATTAACTTATAAGGCTTCTTTTAAACTTTGGTTTAATTTGGCAACTTTAGCTTGGATTGATAAATCAACAGTTTTATCACCAACTTCAACTACTAATCCACCTAAGATTTCTGGATTGATTGGATTAGATAATTTTAAAGTTTTACCTTCACCAATGAATTCTGATTTTTGAATGGCAGTTTGTAATCTTTTTAAAATTTTAGAATCTAATGGTTTAGCAGAAGTAACTTTAGCTTCAACAACACCATTATGAGCATCATTTAATAAAGCGAATTTTTCATAAATTGATTTAAAATTGGCTAATCTATTATTTTGAGATAAAACAGTTAAGAAATTAGTTGTAGTTTCATCTAATTTTAAATTGGATGAAACAATCTTGATAACTTCAGCTCTATCGAGTTTACTTAAGGCTGGATTGGTTAAGTAATCCTTGACTTTAGGATCAGTTTCAATTAAGGTATTGATCTTTGATAAAGATTGGAATGAAGTTTCCACTGATGAATCTTGAACTGAAGCTGAATATAAAGCATTGGCATAAGTACCATCAAGACCATACAATTGAATTGGAGGTTTGACAGACTTGGTGGCAGTGGCCAATGAACGGGTAAAAGCACGAGAAGCCATCATCTTAGCGATATTGTTGTAATGAGTTGATTGAAGATTCAAGGTTTAACTTTGGTATTGTAATTTGATGAATTTTCATATTTCGTTGTGATTCTTTTTTTTCCTCACTGTGATCGGTTTAACTGTGAGTAAAACAATTTTTATTGGTTAAAAATTGACAATGTTAGTACTCATAATTACTGCTATGGCTTAACTATGTAAGTGCGCGTAATTGTCAGTCTTTGAGATCAACAATTTTTTTTTTTTTTCTTAGGAGGAGCACCATACAATTTTTCAGTCTAACGAGTGAAAAGTTAAAGGAAGACAGATAGGTTGAAAATTGATTGATTTGTTTGAATTAGTTTAGTACAGTACAATGTTTCCGTATAGAGGGAGTGGATACTTGGTCAGTCGAGTAAGACTTCTAACGAAGACTACTCCACTTGTTTCCAATTTATTCCTTCGTTATCAGAGTACTACTTCTATACCTAAAGTTAAAGAAGTTCAAGTTAATTTAAATGCTTTAACTGAATTAGAAGAACAAGATGCTATTTATAGAAGACAAAGAAAATTGGCCAAAACTGCCGTTGAAATCAAATCTTACGCCAGAGGTGAATTACTTCCTGGTTCAACTCATTTCAAAAAACCAGTTCATACTCATTTACATAAAGGGAAACCAATTAAAGAATTAACTGTTCCTAAAAAACAAACTTCAGGGAGAAATAATACCGGGAAAATCACAGTAAGAGGGAAAGGTGGAGCTCATAGACGTAGAGTCAGATTAGTTGATAGTTATAGATTATCACCTGGAAAACAAACTGTATTAAGAATTGAATATGATCCAAATAGATCGGGCCATATTGCATTAATTAAACATAGTGTTACTGGGGATTTATCTTATATATTAGCATCTGCCGGTTTAAGAGAAGGTGATTCAGTTGAATCATTCCGTGCTGGTATTCCAAAAGATTTCATCAAAGAAATGGAAGAAACTAATAATGGTGAAATCGATGATGCTTTATTATCATCAAGAATCATTCAAAGAGGTAATTGTTTACCATTAAATATGTTACCAGTAGGTTCCATCATTCATAATATTGGTTTACAACCAGGTGGAAAAGGTAAATTAGTAAGATCAGCTGGTACTTTTGCTCGTTTATTATCCAAGCATCCTGAACAAGATAGAGTCATTATAAAATTAAGTTCAGGTGAACATCGTTATGTTAATATTAATTGTTGTGCTACTTTAGGAGTAGTATCAAATAAAGAACATCAATCTATATCTTGGGGTAAAGCAGGTAGAAGTCGTCATAGAGGTATAAGACCAATGGTTAGAGGGGTAGCTATGAATGCTCATGATCATCCTCATGGTGGTGGTAGAGGTAAATCAAAGTCTAATAAAGTATCTCAATCAATGTGGGGTATAAAGAAATTTGCTAAAACTAGAACTCATAAACATGTTAATAAAAATAAGGTTAAAGATAGAAGAGATTAATTCTTTCATCTTTAAATCTACTTGTAAATATTTTGCATTAATTAATATATGTATATTATTATCCTTATAATTTAGTAATATTATCTGATATATCATCTATTTGATTGATTAAGGTAACGTATTGTGCGTATTCAATTGGAAATCTACTCTTTATAACCCGTCTATTATTATTAATCCAAGAATCACCATCATTAGAATCTATTCTATCCTTCATTTGGTTTAAATGTATTTGACAAGGTTTAACAATATCATTATAAATGGCCAAGAATTTCACATCAACATGTTTAAGACCATCTTCAATGGATTTATCTATATGAATCAACTCCATATCTTTCTGTTCCATTTGTTTTAATTTACTGATTAATGATTTCTCTTTCAATTGTAAGGCAACTTTATAATTATCCAAAAAGTCTGTTTTGGAAAGAAGGAACTGTTCTTGTTTATTTAATGACTCCTCATATTTAACTAAATCAAGTTCATAATCTTCTAATTTCGATCTTAATGCATCATATAACGTTTTGAGTAATATTACATGTTGTTGATGTAATTCTAAAGCATTGGCTTGAGCACTCGAATCATCATACTTTTGAACAATACCTAATAAATAACTCTTATAATTTGATTGGGGTAAGAAAACTGTTTCAGATGGACCTGATATATCTGATACAATTGTGTTACTGATCGTTCCTTTATCTTTAACTTGCTTTGGAAGTATTGTATTTTTAATAGGCGATGAAGTGGGACTAGTATCAGGGGTGGGTAACTCTCCACTACTTAAGAAACGGGTTAGTCTTTCACTGACTTTCATCTTACCACCTAGGATAAAAACATGGGTTAGCATTTTTCATGTTTGTTATCAGTAATATGTACCTCACATTTCAACAACGTAAAAACGGTTATACATCACCATTGTGATGTCCCACCAATTTTCCCCTAAATCGAAAGATAACACACCCCCTCAATTAATGTTATATCAGATCTTCATCATGTGACACAACATCATCATATTCATCAGGATCAGTAATAACATATCGATCACCTAATGCCGGACCAGTACATATCTTGATATAGTCATCATCATCATAAATAAATTTCAATGAGTTATCAATTATAGGAGCAAATTCAATTTGATCTTGTTGAAATAATCTGAGATCGGTGATTTCTAAAATCACCACTCCTAAACTATTCGTATGACTCATATTATAATCACCTTTCAATTGAACTCGATTAACGAATAATAAATTAGCTTGTTTAATTTGAATCAAAGTGTGCACTGTATTATACGTAATTCTTTGATTATACAACGTTTCAAACTCAACAATGGTAGGATGGAAGGGGAATCTGACCAATATTTTATGACTAGAATCAGTTAAAACAGCAGTTAAATCATTATTGGGTGTAGTGGTTTTAATAAAACTGGAAATTCTTAATATGGGTGTCACTTTCAAGTTCTTTTTGTTTTTACCTGAACTAATGATATTTTTAGCTATTATCGGTTGGGTATAACTAAACTCATCTCTAATTAATGATAGAATGGTATCCTTTAACCAACTCTGTTGAAACTTCAAGGGATAACTATCTCTTGATGGTCTATACATTCGATAATAACTCGAAAACAAGTTGCAAAGAAATCGTTATATTTATATTTTTCACTTTACGCGATTTTTATATATATTGAGAATTGTCCAAATATATAATATCTATTTACAAGTATTTTAATTAATTAATTTGAAGTGACTTCTTCATCAGTACTTACTCGACGTTTCTTCTTACTTTGATCAATGAATGCCATCCTCTCTAATCTTTTAATTTCTCTCTTTTCTTTCGTTTTGGTTTTATGTTTTTCAATCTTCAGTTCATTAACTTCACCTTCATCATTAAAGATTTCATAAAGTGATTGTTGAACTGCTTTTTGTAAATGAATTTCTCCATATCTTATACTCATGAAATCAAACGCATAACATATTTCTAAAGTATCCAATGATTGCTTTGGTACTGGACTCTTTTCCATTGAAAAGATATTTGGTACCGCATGATATTCCTCTAAATATTGATTTAAATTATTTGACATTTCAACAAATTGACTTCTATCAATGATTAAATTAGCTTTATTCGAATATCTGGTACTGAAATGAGTTAATATCACTTTAGGACAATTCATAAATCTAGCCACATTGATAGCTTCAATCATAGTGGAATGTTTCTTAGCAATGGCTTCTTCAATTAATTCATTATCAAGAGTACATTCATGAATTAATAAATCACTACCATATCCAATTTCAACAAATTTAGGATTGGCTCTTGTATCTCCAGAATAGGAAACTTTGAACTTACTATTATCATCTAATTTGAAAGTTATACTAATGGAATAAGCCCAAGCACAATGAATGGCTCTTGTGGTTGAAATATCAGAAATTCCAAGTTCATTAAAAAGTTGGGATCGAGAATTTTCGGCTGGGGGAGTTAAAGTAGCTCTACGAGCTGGTCTATTAAGATCCTTGTTATCATATAACTCTTCGAATTCATCCATTCCAATTTGTTCATATGTTCTTTGTCTATCTGATAAAAATTCTTCACAACTGATATATGAAATTCTATTAATATCAACATACAGGTTAAGTTGACCTTCAAAATCATACCATTCCTTAATGAAGTTATTATACTGCCATGGAGTTATCAAGTAAAGAGTTTTATCATTATTTCCATTAATTTCAAACCATTTGTTTATGACTGAAATCAATCCTAAATGATGATCAGCATGTAAATGACTTAAATGAATAAGATCCAATTCTTCAAATATTTGTTGGAATTGAGCGGCATTATTATGACCGTAGTTTCTAAGCATAGTGCCTAAAGTATTTTCACCTCCATCTAAAACAATAGATCTATGTCTGATTTCATTTCCTTTATAATATGGAACTCTTATTAAAGTTGAAATGACATTTCTGTCTAAAGATGGTATGGCAGATCCTGTTCCTAGAGTAGTGATTTGAATTTGATCTTTCAATGAACTATTTTGAGCTTCTAATGAATTAGGTTCTGAATTAAGCACAGAATCTTTATCTGCTGCAATATTGAATGGTGAAATATGTTCATCATATAATGAAGACCACACAAAGTTAGGAACATCGGTTGAATCCTCCGTAACATCATCAGCGGTAATAATGAATTTTTGAAGCAGGTGAAGTCTATAAGTGTTATTAACACCAGTACTAATTGAATTAAACCCTTCTTGGATATGAGGCAAGTTATAATGATCTGGTTGTATGGAACGTAACTTTAAGGTATTAATGGCTGATCTTTTGAACACAAGAGTATTATCAGCTACTTGAGGATGACAAATAACATGTTTAGTTTCAGGATTGAACTTATTTAAAAAAGAAGTATATTGATCTAAGTCAATATCACCACCAAGGAAGTGATAAACAATACCAATTTCTTCTTCGCCGATATCTTCATTCTTGGCAAACCATTGATCACTGGTAATAGTATTCTCTAAAAATGATTTGTTTGGTATATCCAATACCAATAACTTCGACACTTGTTTAGGAGCATCTACTACTTGTTCCGGAGTTACTAGAATTCCATCATCATTATATACCGAGATACCACTACTTAATTTTCTATAATTTTCACCTGGTTTTAACCCAAGAGCTTTTGCCTTATGAGGATCGAATTTTCCTCTTACAGGTAAGAATCTAACCAAGTAAGAAAGAGATTCTTGACCTTTTAAATTAAGATGTGGAAGTTTTACTCGAGCATGAACATCGGTTTCAGCAGGATCAGATTTATAAGATTCTGGATCACGATCATTAACTTTAGATGTATCCAATGGAAACATGAGTGACACAAGTTTTTGGAATTGAGATTGATATTTGACACTTTCTTCATTGATCTGGGATGGAACTGTAGCTCGTATCTTTATAGGTTTTATGACTAAATTATTATCTGCAATTAATTTATTTGAATCAGCTTCAAATATTCTTAATACTGAACCTTTTCGGAATACAAAACTTCTCCATGTACTAACAATATATGATAATAATATAGACGAGGTAGCATATACATCAATTCCCTTTTTAGTAGCATCACTTAAAGTTAAGAATAATCCTGGTAAACCCCCAATTTCAGCCCATGAAGATATAGTACCTGTTAATAATAATGATTTCAATTTCGTTAATTTAAATTTATTTTCAACCAAAGCTCTTTGAGTTCCCTCGGGAACTTTCCCAAATAAATATCTATCCCCATCTCTTGTAGTTAATGATATCAATGGATGACTTGTATCAGCGGTAATATGAGTTGCAGTAGTTACCGTGAACATACCTTTACTTTGATTATGTTCTGTGAATTTATTGAAATATTTCTTTCTTTCGTTTTCTGAGTCAAAAGTTCGAAGACTTAATCTGGAACTACCTTGCTGTATGAATTTATTAGTGGTTGACTTAACTGGTCTTGTGGATAATTCTATACTTTGATGATGAAAGGCAGCTATACGATTTAAATGATGATGATTTGGTCCGAATATTTCAGGATACTTTATGCAAGAGTTGAACCTCTTTATACCTTTCCCAGGATAAATCAAAACGCTAGTGGATTTGGATTTATATATACAATTAGTGAGTTTCCTAGCGAAACATTTGATAACTAACTAAAGATAGTCATAATGACTGTTTAAACGCTTCCTCTTCTCTCTATACTACTTTTTTATAAAAAAATATTATGTCGCAACAAAATGTCTCATAAATTGAAGAAATGTCGCACACTTTAAAAATACTGCAAAAGTCAAATGCAGAAGAAGGCCCTTTGTTTGTTTGCCTCGGGTAGTACAGAAAAAAATATGAAGAGATAAATAAATATACCCCAGTTTTCTGAATTATAAACATCAACAACTACAATAAACTACAACAACAAAGTACAAGTCACAATATGAGTCTTGTGATATCTCTGACTTCAAGTGTCAGTACTAATACTATCGCAACAGACGAAATCATAGACTCGTTGTTTGACAAATATTCTGCCATATCAAAGAGTTTCGAACAGCCAGCACGAATTCAAATTCCAAGTATAAGATCGATACCGTTCATGAAGTATATACTTCCTCGAATAGATGATAAGAAACTACTTATAAATTCCCTTTTGGAACAACAAAAGACTGCTACCAACTATAAAAAATGGTATGAAATCTCGTTAAAACTAGATGAACTAATGAATCATAATTCATGGAAATCAAGTCCTCAATCAGATTTATATGATTATAACCTTATCTTCAATAATTTAAATGAAATGAGAAATGCAAGGTTGAATAAAGATTATAAATTACTTTTATATTATATCAGAACTAAATGGGTACGGAATCTTGGTAATATGGGAGATATCAATCTTTATAGACATTCATTTACTGGTACAAAAAAAATCATTGAAGAATATATTGAAGAATGTAAAATATCATTGAATTATTTGGTTAATGATCCTGATGTGAATTTGGATGATAGATACTTATTAGGAATGTTGATTCAAACCAGAAGAAATATTGGTAGAACAGCCTTGGTGCTTTCAGGTGGTAGTACATTTGGAGTATTTCATATTGGTGTATTGGCAACTTTAGTGGAATGTAATCTTTTACCCAGAATTATCAGTGGTTCTTCAGCAGGATCCATAGTAGCCAGTATATTATGTTGTCATACCAATGAAGAGGTGATCGAAATCTTGGTTACCATTGCCGATAAGGAACTTAAGCTTTTTGGATCTCAAGAAGCTCGTCATCAAAGTAATTTTAAACGAGCCCTTGGCAACTTGAGTCATTTTATAAAATATGGAACATTCTTTGATATAAAATATTTGAAAGAGACTATGATTGGATTTTTAGGTGATTTAACTTTCAGAGAGGCCTATAATAGATCAGGTAAAATCTTAAATATTACAGTTTCTCCTACATCTATTCATGAACTGACAAGATTATTAAATTATCTTACGGCACCACATTGTTTAATTTGGTCTGCAGTTTGTGCAAGTTGTTCATTACCAGGTATTTTCCCTTCTACTTCGATTTATGAACGTAATCCGAGAACTGGAGAAGTACGGGAATGGAATAATGATTCATCAGCAAAGTATGTGGATGGTTCCGTCGATAATGATTTACCGATCACAAGATTGCTGGAAATGTTTAATGTTGATCATATAATTGCTGTACAAGTGAATCCCCATGTGGTGCCTATTTTAAAAGTGGCAGTGAGTAGTGTTGGTGGTGGAGAACTTGAGAATGAATTGGCTAATAAAATCAAAAATGCTTTGAATAATAGTTATGATTTCTTAACTTGTGAAGTCATCCATTATCTTCAAGTCCTTAATGAAGTTGATGTATGTAAGAATTTGTCAAATCGATTAATCTCGATCTTATCCCAAAATTATTCAGGTGATGTGACAATCTTACCTGATTATAAACCAATGGATTTCTTAAATTTATTTGAAGATCCCTCCCCTGAATTCATAGTTGACTTTATATTAAGAGGGGCTAGAGCATCATGGCCTAAGATTACAGTGATTCATAATCATTGTGGAATGGAATTTGCTCTTGATAATTCAATCAGTTTACTTCGTGGAAGAATCATTACTTCTGCTAATAGTCGAATTGCATACAATAAAAGTAATACCACTGATCTTAGTACTGCAACTGCTAGTCAAAGAGAAGCTACCAAATTTATTAGAAGAGGTAAATCGACTATTGGATTGGTTAATTCTCCAGTTTTATCTACTGATAAATCACTCTCTACTCCAAATACGCCAGAGAAACGTAAGAATGTGGCAAGATTCCCTACTGAACTTAGAAGACAAAATTCAGCTCATGTTCCAACCAAGAAGACAGTTTTAAAGAAAAAGAGAAATTCAATTAGCGTTCCTCAAGAACAAGCTTCAACTAAATTCTCAAAAGGAAAATCGACAACTTCACTTTCTTCATTGAGTTATGATTTTATTAATAAGAATGTTTCAGCAGAATCAACTTTAATCAATGATACTGAAGAAGATAAAGCACCTAATACAACTTTGGCAAAGGCTGTAGATAAAGCAGCAGAGCTTTCCGACAATAATGAAGAAGTAGAAGAAAGAAGAAAAATCCGTAAGGCTCGAAGTTCAGGTAATATCCGTACTCATAAGATATCACTGAGTAATGATTTATTCAGTCTTTCATTTTCTCATAATCCATCTAATGAACAATTAAAATATCAAGAAGAACGAATTCCATTTCATCAAAGTAATCCATATCTTGATTCGGCCATTCAACAACCTGAATCTATAATAATCAATGATGAATTCAAAGAGAAGGCATATTTACCAAAGATTTCAGCTCCTAGCTCAAAACGGAATTCCCTTATTGGGTTGAATAGATTGAAAGATTCCAACTTGTCAAGATCAGGCAATAACTCGATTAATGATCTTAATAGTATTATTGTCCCACAAGCTAATGATACCTTGAGTCGAGCCATTCGATCAAAGGATTTTGAAAAGAAATCAAGTCGATTTAGTAGACAAACATTTGATACAAGTCAAGTATTGAATAGTGATGATGATGATAAATTCATGGCGTTCAGAATGCAAGCTACTGAAACTGGTAATACTGAAGGTGATGAATTCCTCGGTGATGATGAAGCAAGTAATCCTGTGGCTGATGAAGATTATGATAATGAAGTAAAGGAATATTATGTCAGTAATGAACAATCTCCTAAAGTAGAAGATCCTATTACTAATAGTGATGAAGATGAAGAAGACGAAGAAGTTAATGATGAAGATAACCAAGTAGTTAATTACGAAAATAATGATGAGAATAATGAAGATATTGACCCAGAAGAAGCTGAAGATATTATGTTAAACAGACAAAATGGACTATACGATGATGTCTGATATATTTATTTATTTATATTTTATAATTTATTTATTTATTAATATGTATTATGTTAAAAAGTACGCTTTGAATTATTATTGTAATTTGCTATATAGTGTCACTCTACCCCTAAAATTCCAAATAAAGTTGGAAGTGCCAACCCGCCGAAGTAAATTAAAATGTCCTTTCGAGTAACGTTATCCAGATAGATAGTTTCACTACTATCTGCTGATAAAGGAGGTATAGATACCAATTCAGGTCCATGATGGAAATTATGAAGTTCCAGGAAAACATGATTAACCACATATAAAAACGTTCCTGCTGAGAATAAGAATAGTATACCCAACGTAAATTGACTATTCAACCCAGTTAAGATGATAAAGAAGTACATCACTATCGAAGATAATGGAGTTGCTATGGAAAATATGATCACATGGAAATATATATCTGTTTTAGTATAACCTTCCTTTATTAATATTGAAGTTAGACTGAAAGCAGTTGGCAATTTATGAAGGACAATCACGAAATAGAATATCAATTCTAATAATAAATCTTCTTTTAAAAATGATGAACCTAAAGCTACACCATCTATTATTGAATGTATCACTAATCCTAATGTCACAGTTGAATTAAACACAGAATATATTTTATCTTTTAAAGTAACATCTTGAAATTTAACTTTGAATGGTAATTTACTATCTGTCTTTAAAACTTGGAAATTATCAATGGTATACATGGTAACATATCCTATCAATAAGGAAAATCCAACATAATTAGCATTAAATTTAGATAATTCATTAGCTTCAACCAAAGTACTTACCCCTTCCGGTATAACCAATACTAATAAAGTCCCTACCAAGATACCGGTACTGAATTGAGAAAACTCTCTGATTCGTTTACTTGAAATGGATAATCTTACCGGTAGGACACCTCCTATAAAGGTAATTATACCCATCAGGATAGACAATAGAATAACTTCTAGCATTAATCCCCCCATATTTGATTAGTAGATCCCCAGACTTATGTGTAACTGTTCTTAGATTTCAATGTCAAGATTAAAAGGTTTGCCTGACAGGTGTATGATATGATAATATGAGCAATTGATAGCTTTATAAAGTTTGTGATAGAATAATGGAGTCCTTTCCTGGTTGAAATACAGGAGGTATGATAAATTAATTACCATTTTCAGTTTATGAAGCAAAAGAGAGCCCTGATTTACAAAAACGCGAGTATCAAGAAAATAAATAAAGACTGTGAAAAATCATAAACAAATAGATCAACCAACCATATCAACATAACTATAATAGATACTACTAGATGATAATATGAAATGGCATTGGAACTACTAGAAGAGAAACTTGAACTAGCAGTCTTATACTTCAAAACATCAAATTATCCCAAAGCATTGAAAGTATATGATGAACTAATCAAATTATTATCAAACTTGTCTATTGCAAAAGTAAAACAAATACGACAAGAGAAAGGGTTTCCAGAATCACCCATCATAGGAACATGCGTTCATCCATCACTCACGTCACTTTTGGATCAAAGAGCTGCTACCTATGAAAAATTGGATCGATTGAATAAAGCATTGTTTGATGCTGAACAAATCACTAAGATTGATCCTATAAGTTGTAAAGGTTATTTACGAGTAGGGAAAGTATTACGATGTATGAATAAAGAAGTTGAAGCTTATAAAGCTTATCAAACTGGGATTTATATTATAGAACAAGCAGCAAGGAAACATGGGATTAAAGTACTGGAAAAGTTATTGATTCAATTGAAAAGTCAGTATAGTACATTAAATCAAAAGCTTAGAAGTCAAAGACTTTCAAAAACTCCATCTACTGGGAGTAATAATTCAAGTACTGGGGGTTCACAGGAAACCCCCTTGAATAGCCAATTAAACAAGATGATTCCATTAAAGAGAAATTCAAGTCAATCAACATCAAGTCAGAAAGTAAAAGTATCAAAGCCAAGTAAAGCATTCGATCCATTCTTATATCTACCATTAGAAGTGATTGAAGTCATATTTCAACAATTACCCATACACTTAATCCTCAAGTGCCATTTGGTGAGTAAGACATGGTACTTCTGTTTAACCAATATCCCAAGTTTATACAATGATAGATTTATATTAAAACCTAGAATCACAGTGGGAGAGTTCACCCAAGGTATGAAACTAATGAAACTGATAGTTCATAAATCATATTCCCAACAAATTAAGAATTTACGATTACGTTCAGTTATTAATGCCGTTCAGTTGAAAAAAGTGATTGAATTGATAATTCAAGAACCAAATTTCAGTATTCAGAACTTGGATTTGTTTGATACAAATTTGAATTTTCACCTTATTTTGAATCGTCTTAGTAAATTAAGTTGGAGATTAAATAATTTAAAAAGCTTGCAAGAGATGAAATTAGGGTTGAGTGGTAGTATCCGATATGAGAATATTTTATTAAAGCTTTTTCCAAAATTAAAAAACTTACATTTAGTAATAATTGATCCTGAATTGAATAGTGCATCGAATGATCTCATACCGATTCAAGATAAAAGGTTCAAACAATTAGTGGAAACTGCAAATAATGAGCTTGTTGAATTTGAATCATTGCAGAGTTTAGTAACTATCAATCATCCTCAATTATTGAAGAGTAATAATAAGATGAGAGTTTCCATGAATAGTTTTAATCCTTATCCTTTATTCCTTGATAAGGGATTCCCTAATTTAACAGAATTATCCATTGCATCATTTGATTTTTTGAATAGATTGCCATTGTTAGGTGAATTCTTAATCAAGACTACCAAATTAACCAAGATAATTCTTGAAAACAATGTTAATTTTAAATTATTGGATTTCTTACAACTTTTAAAGAATTATAATCCATCGTTCACATTGACAAAATTAGTATTCCGAGAAGAGAAATTAAACTCAGCTACTAATTTAAATGAATTCTCTTTGAATGATTTATCCCAATTATCAACTTTACAATATCTTGATTTATATGGAAGTTCCTTATCGACACGAGGATTGTTACTATTTTTAAAGATATGTAATCGATCAAAATCTTTGGATACGTTACTTATCGGTCTCTCGGGACATATTTATTTCCGAACTGATACCTTCCATATGGGTCCAAATCATAATACATTATCATTGAGTCGATTAATCAAGGTAGTTCCAAATTTGGCAAAGTTATATTTGAATGAATTAGATATTGATAATTTGACGTTAAAAACATTCAATCAAGATCTTGAACGGGAGATTGGGTATCAAGCATGTAAATTAAAAGTATTAGATATAAGTTTCTGTACTAAGATTGAAGGTATTGGATTAATTGATTTATTCAATGCAACTTCAACTAATTTAAAACGACTTAAACGAGGTGATCAATCAGTGGAATGTTTAAAGTTGGATGAGTTAATTATAGATGGGATTGAAATCAATCCTTCCACTCTTAAACTACTTACTGATTTTAAATTCGTCAAAGTTATAAAGAATGATGCTAATAAAAGAAAATGGAAATCATTTGGTATAAATAGTTTAGTTATTCAATAAACTTAATGATTGCAAAATTTTATCTAAAAAGTTTTGACAATTTTGCACGACCAACTTTTTTTTTTTGATGTTTTATTTTGTGTAGTGTAAAAAAAAATATAGAGATGGATGGGATGAAAGAAATCATTAAAGATCAATAGTGGAAAATTATAATAATCAAAAACACTGTGAAGACATAATGGTGGCGATTACTAGAGTTACAAGAAGTCAGGTGAAATCAGATAGGAAGCCGACTAAAATAAAGTTTCTGGATGAAGGTAATAGTTTAAATGATATTGAATATCATACTGCAGAAGAAGAAGTAGCAGATGTTGATGAAGAGGAAGATGATGAAGATGAAGATGACATTGAAGAAGATTCAGAGGAAGAAGATGAAGACTCCGATGATGAAGCTCCTGAAGAAGAATCAACCAAGGTTTCTGAAAAACAAATTGAAGCCAAGATCAAAAAACAAAAGGAAGCAGATGCATTATCAAAGAAAGCAGAAAGAGAAAGAAGAAAACAACTTGATTTAAAATATAAAGAACAACAAGAATCAAAAAGACAAAAGATTGAAGAATCCAAACCAGCATCATCACATATTGAACAAGAAGAACTTCCAGATTTCTTACCAGAAGAATTACTTGAAACTGTTAATAATCAACCTATAATACCCAATGGTAAACATTTAAGAATACGAGATTTTGAAGAGATTGATGAAAAATTGATCCGTCAACAATTAATGAAAGATAAATTACAAAAGATCAAATTGGCAGGAAAGACCAGTATGGTTAAAGGTCCAGTCCATGTTAAAGTTCAATCATTTGGTTCAACTAAGAATAAATTAGTACCTAAATCTGAATCTAAAATATTAAAATCAAGAGATAAATGGTTAAAGAGAAAATCATTAAATAAGAAATAGATCAATAAAAGACACTTTATTTTGGTTTGCAAAGAGCAATCGATAGAAGTTTACATAGCATAGCATAAGTAGGAATAAACTTAAATAATACAAACTAACTTATAGATATTAGAACCAGAAATTTATGCGGACCATATAAAGTAAGACCATGTAGCAATGATTTTGAACATGAAGTAGTATATGCCATGAGATAGAGATGGTCTTAGCGACGAGTTACATTACCAAGAAATCCACATAATTGCTGTATAATTTCAGTATAGTAAAATCAAAATTAAGCGCAATAAATTTTTCTTTTTCTTCGAAGAGCAATTTTAAAATTTCGCAACTTCTTTGCATTGATAAAGTTTATACCTCTCCTACAAATTCAATTCATATGTATAGATATGTATAAAGTCAAAAGTATTAATGAGAATAATCTATATTATCTAAGGCGGCCGGACGGACAAGAAAACAGAAATACATATATGCAGCTATTAGAGGGGGGGAGCAGAGGAGTCATTGAAATTCATTAGCACTTTTGTTTTGAAAGTAGATGTTTGCATCAACCTACGTTTGAAACGAAGACATCAAAACAAACAAATATCAAACTTCGCTTATTTGATTTTATCTTGTAAATCTTTTAACCGAAGTTTAGGACAATAGGGACACATCATATGATTACATCTATGACAATCAAACCTTGTAGGGGTGTTTAGTATGACATCTTCTTTATTATTTGAAGTTGTTTCGATTTCGGGAGGTATTGATTGTATTTCTGTATCAGTAGAGTTAGTACGATGGATATGTGAGGAGAAGCAACTTCCAGAGCTTGAAGTTGAGGAATTCCGTGATGGAATTGTATCTTGATACAAATCAAATGAATCTGAATTTTGAGAAATGCGATGATTTAAATCAGGTTTAATATGTGTGACATCGATTGGAGGAGGATGATCATTATTAGTATACAGCATTTGACTATAATATTTCAAACCGTGTAAATCATGAGTTCTAAGAAATGTTGAAACTGGTTCTTCAATTGATGTTGCTTTGTATATTATTGATCCATAGCTTTGACCACATGAACAACAATACCATTGACATATTTTATTTGTATCATTCGTAGTAGTAGTAGTAGGATCGGTGTTTGAATTGGAATTGTTCGTAGTGGGATGAGGTGGAGGTGAATAGTATATTCGTTGTTCCATTATCATGAAGAAGTGGGTATATATATAGGCGATGATATCTGGGGTAAAAGTTAAAGGAGTGAATGAATGAATGGGATATAAAAGGAATGAACAGTAAAGTAAAGTAAAGTAAAACTCTAACCAAGAAATTGATATATTTATATATCCTGAAACAATAAGAAGAAGAAGAACAAGTAAGAAAAGGAAAGAAAGCTTATAAATTAACAATTAATGATTTAAATAATAAAACCTTGAACCGATTACAATTCTAAAAAATTAATGGCAATAAAAGGACATTCTTCAATGAAGAGTTTTAATCTTCTATATAGTAACTAAAAGGATGTCTTTTTTAATTTTTGAAATATTATGGATATTTACATAATAGGTCAAGAGATATACATAACAGGTAAAGAGAGATAGTAAACCTTGCCTTTAAACAATCATCATCATCATCATTCTTTTCATATCAGTTTAAAAATTCTAGACTTGTTAAGGTATAAAATTATTCTCTTATAGTTAACTAAAACTGGCAAAAGAACAATCTTAAAAAAAAGAACCTTCGTCTGGAACCTCCACTTTACTCCCTCCATCACTGTCCTGTCCCTTCTTTTAATTTTTATTTTTCGCAGTCTAGACCCTAAAGATATTTTTATCTACTCACTAAATTTAATGAAGAATGAGTAGTGGGCAGTAGCAGCAATTCCGGATGGAACGATAATATCTTCTGTGGCATATTTCGGATATAGCCCAGATTTACTATTTCTTCTATATATAACTGAGTATCCTCCTCAATCCCCCATTTTGATTTTGAATTGGTCAACTGTACTATATTAGACCTAAATGTATAGAGTAAAATTCTAAATTGTTTTATAGCTCTAGGGGGAATTAAGAAAAAAAGTTTAATGAGAAAGTGTCTAGAATCTTATTTTTGTCTGTCTGTCTGGTTGAGTGTCTGTCTGAAAATGGATGGGTGTCTGAATCTTTGCTTTTTGCACTTTAAACAACCTTTATTAAAGGGATTTAATATTATTATTTTTTAATTCTATTTACATGTTCTATTTATTTTTTAAAATTTAAATCGGCCTTCCCTTAACTTCCCTGATCAACCCCTTGTTATGTGGAATATGAAATCGCTTAGTTTTTCTATCGTAAATTCTGGATATATATCTATATCTATATATACCGGCAAGAAATGAGTAAATGCCTTTACTATTAATTCATCATCCGGACCGATTGGAAAAAGTCTAGACATATACAAATCCTATCATTTAATCATCACAAGCTTGGATTAGACCATAATAATTCAACGGTAATTAAAAATTCCTCGGGGCTATACCCAGCTTCGTAAACTCTATTATCAATCATCATTAATTAATTAATTAGTAACGTTACCGCTTATATAATCGTAAAGCACACCTCTTCTGATCAACTATTATTAATCATTATCATTATCATTATCAGTTGCCCTTTCCTTATATGTCAGGATATCAATTTCAACTCCTAATTTAACATCTATCACCTTATCAAATAATTCATATTTTATAAATCCATTGCCATCGCCTTCACTTAATATAGCCCCATTTAAACTTTTATAAAATTGAATTCCATGTAATAAACATTTCTCCACATTAATATAAATTAAAATATTACTATTATATCTCTTTCCCGCTACATAGGATGATTCACTTGATGTGAAATGAATATGATTTCTTCCCATTCTCGATAATCCTCCACTTTGAATTATATCACCTAAATTCTTTTTAAATGTTCCATGATAAATATCTTTCGGTATGGTTTCTTTCGTATATAAGATTAAATTGGTATTATCAACCGCTTTTATGGAATGACCTTGATTTGCACAGATCATATCTCCATCATCATTAATCGTATATCGTTGTTTGGTGTCATTGGCTACGATCCGTAGTATATCTTCCATCGTGGTTTTACTACTTTTCAATCGTGTATGATTTAATAAATCGGGGATCTTTACGTATCCCTTCTCATCAATGGTTAGATTCTCTTTAATGGCACCATGTCGCAATAAATAGGCTAACCCTTTGGATATTATCGTATCTCGTCTACTTGAGTCTGGTGCAGACATAATTGGGGTAAATAGACTTGATTGATTGTGAAAAATATGACTAAATCAAATCATATTTTTTTTCAATTTTTAATTTTTGATATCGCATTTGTGCTTAACTCACACTTTGAATAACATAGTCAGATCATACAATCTCTATCTACGTACAAATATGATTAATTACTATTAATATTTACGTTTATTATGACTCTTCCGTTGAAGAATCGTTTTATTATTACCTATGTACATTTATTCAATCAAGTGTAGTATAACTTTTATACTATGATATATCTTAGTAGAGTAAAAGACATCACCACCCTGTGATAACTTCCATCATACTCCTCTCATTTAGTTCACTTCGTTCACTAAATTCTCTGTGTTCAACTACATTTCTTCACTTTTGAACCCTTGGCACCAGCCAATGAACCCATATTATCTTTATTACCTTGCTTTATAGTTTCATTATCTCCTAATTCAGTCTTTTCATGGAAATTTAAATAATATTTCCCATCATCTTGTTTTTCACCTTGGACGATATTTTGAATTAAAAATTTCGAAATATCATTTATCTTGGTAATTTCTTGTTCAATTTGTTCTATATTAGTTAATGATTGATGTTGTTTAAACCCTTGTTTTATTTGTAATCTTGATTCAGTCAATACCGGTATATCTTGTCTGAAGGCAATTTTGGTGGCTCTTAATGCATTTCTGTATGCTGATTTAGCTGCTGCTATAGTCTGTTGTGTAGCCATCCTAATCTATGTGTATATATAAGGTCTTATTTGACTAGTAATGGTTGGTTGATTGGTTTAAAAATTTTTTGAAAATGTCAATCTCACAATTTTTTACGTCGCGAAATTTCCATGTCATGTCACAAATTAAATTTTTATGACAAAACTATTTTAATCTTTTTGCAACAACTTATTTATATATATATATATATACATTTATTATGAGATGCTAGTGTTATTTGGATTGGTTATATACTTATAAGATTAATTTATCTATAGAGTAATTTGGAACCTTCTTTGAGATTTCAATACTTGGATTATCCAAATGTTTATTATTAGCTATATTTGCAATAGTTAAAATTGAATCTAATTGAGCTTGTTGTTGAACATTAGTTGAAATGATATCACCTTCTTTTGATTTCTTATTACCCTTTGATTTAATATGTTGCTTTTTGGTATGACTTGTGGGGGATAAGAGAACTTGATTCACTAATGTCAAGTTATAACTATTTGCCATTAATGAATTAATCTTAATTTCAATCAATTGTTGTAATTTTTCAATGGTAGATTCTGACCAATTGAATAATCCTCCGACATCGATTATAATCTCAATCAAATACCAAATTTTATAATTCTTCTCCACTAATAATAATTTATTTAATAATTGATCTAATTTAAAATCTTCATTAATATGAGATTCAATTAAATATTTAAATTTCTTGGTGATTTCAATAGTAGAGAATCCCGCAATTAATCGATTAATTAAATCTTGAAAGATATCTTTATTATTATCCCCATTAATCAATTGTTCTAATAATTCAATCACAGTTAAGTTCGGACACGTAATGATTGATTGTCTTAATAAAGTGATTTGAGAACTCTTATTAAATAATTGTAATAACCCCTTAGTGAATTCATCTGGGAATAAAGGATTGGTTAAAAGGTAGATTAAAGTATATTCTGGGATGAAATCAGATTGTTTATATTCGATTTTATGATTTGTATCGAATTTAAAAATAAGTAATAAAATTTGTCTTATGAAATTTATATCAATAATTCTATCATTTTCGACATCGAATTCTTTAAAATTATAGATTTTAGAACCATTAGAAAGATTAGTAGTGCCATTAGGAATAACATTAGATGATTTTCCCTTTTTATGAGGTTTATTAATCGATTTCTTTATCGATTCCCATGATTCATTTTTTAAATATGGAATTAAGACTCTTTCCCATTGAGATAAATTCTTCTCTCCACTAAAGGTCTTTAATTGATGATATATTTCAGATAATTCTTGAGATAATTGATTTGATTCAATATCGAAATTATCATTAATTAAATTAATCAATCCTGTGAATTGTTCATTTTCTTGTTCTTGTTCTTGTACTTGTTTAACATTCTTTAAACTTTTACCTAAACATTCATTCAATTTATTTAATCCCACATTCAAATTAATCACAGAAAGATAAACATTCTTATCTTTGTTCTTAAGGTATGAATAAACAATGATGGAATTGACTGTATTTAAAGATTGACCCTTGACATTTAACACTTGATTAATGAAAACTTTATCAGGATTAGTTTCTGATGAAGAAGAAGATTTGGAAATGAATGTATCTAATAAACTTTCAAATTTAAAATTAATCAAATGGATTTTATTATTGATGGAAATGATTAAACGATCTATACTTGGTGAAAAAAATGCTATATTATCCACATCCTTTGATGGAGTTGAGATTAATGAATTTATGGAGATGGATTTTTCAAGTTTGAAATTACCGATATTTATCGATGAGATAGTTAAACTTTCAAGATTTAAATTATAAATGAATCCATTAACATAAGAGAACTTTAAGGCGGATGTGGTTGATGGAGTTATGAATGAATTAATTTCTAAAATTTGAGTTGAAGAATATGATACTAATGTATATTGTAAAGATGATTGATGATGAGATATTAATAAAATCAATGATTTATCCGATAATAAATCATTAATGAATTGATTGAAAATAATAGTTGATTTTCTTTTAATCGAGGTGGTTAATTCAAGTTTTGATGATTCAATCACTATATCTCCTTCATCATCAATATCAAGATTAAATTTCTCAATGGTACCTTGTTCATAAATCACCATTAATGATTTCCCTTGTTCAATCAGTTTAATATTAATAATTTTAGTAGTGACCTTCACTTCAAATGCTTTAGTTTCATTATCAATAATCCCTCTTTTGATCACTACTATTTTATGAAGTTTACGATCAGTTATCCCAATTAAATAATATTTAATATTATCAATTTGATAAACATCCATACAATCAACCACACAAGATGGACTTAAAGCATAGGACCAAATCAATTTAGGAGTAGGTTTAATGATATAACTTGATATAATTGATTTTGAAATTCCAAAATCAATAATATTAGATTCATTTATGGATGATGATAAAGTTGGTATACTAACTCGATTTGAAAGGGTTAAATCAGAAATTCGAGGTAAGATGGTTACAGGATAATGATCAGTTAAAGATGGATGTGAAAGGGAAGATGCATTTGATGATGAAGATGATGATGACATGGATGATGGGATTAGAGATGTCATTGTTAGTGGTGTGGATGGGTTGAATGGGGTATACTAACTTGATATGATATTTGCTTTATATCTGAAAAATTTTATGGCATCGCTCTTTTTGGAGTTAGAAAAAATTATGTCTATTTGATGTGTCGCAAAAATTAGACAGTTTTGTCGCAAATGGAGCCTATGTCGAAAACCAATTTTATGACATAAAATCATAACCCAATCGGAGTTTTTTTAGATCTGACTAAAATAGTCAATCAAATGATGATAACTCTACAAAGAATATAAATATGTTATAAATAATAATATTTTGGTTGATTATATATTATAATAGTATAAAAAAAAGAAGTCGACCCAGTCTATAAAATTTGTAGTTAAACAATATGATATGATATGATATGATTTATAATATTTGATAAAATACTAACTAATGTACAAGATAAGAGAATGATGAGATAGAATGATTAAGATTAAAAGATAGCTGAATTAACAGATTAAGTTAATAGTTAATTTAGACAGTTTCTAAAAATCTTGGATCAGCATAATGATATTTCTTAACCACCACTTTAAATTCATCAGTTTCAGGATTATAAGATTCAATTTCAAATGATGATAAATCATCAACAACAATATCAGCTCCTGATCTTTTAACTTTTTCAGGATCATAAGTTGAACAAATACCAACAATAAAAGCACCAGCCCCTTTACCAGCAGTTATACCAGCAGGTGCATCTTCGAAAACCACCACTTTTTTGGATGGATCATTATAACCTAAAGTATCTCTAGCTAATTGATAACCTTGAGGATTTGGTTTACCTTTAGTAACTCTTTCAGCAGTAACGAAAACATCTGGTTGTTCAATGGTTAATAATTTCAACCATTTAGTAGCTAATGGCATAGTACCAGAAGTAACAATGGCCCATCTTTGTTTACCATTTTCGGTTTTAGTTTTTGAAAATTTATCAAATGATTTAACTAATTCAACAGCTCCAGGAATTGGTTTAGCAAAAGCACCAAATGAATCAGGAATTGAACCTTCCCATTCAGTAACTTGAGGTTCTTTAGCATCTTCAGGAGAAAATTTAGCAATGACATCAAAAGTACGTACACCATGACTGGTTCTAATAATTTCTTCAGGATCAACATGAGGTCTAGTTTCACCGAAATGTCTCCAGAATTGACTGATGGCACCAGTTGAATTGACTAAAGTACCATCACAATCGAATAAGGCGGCATTGACGTAAAAGATAGCTGGTTGTTTTTGAATTGTCATATTGATGTGTGTGTGTGTGTGAGTAAAATCTATAAGTTTATAATAATTGTAGTTGGAATATTAAACTCTGTAAGGATGAGGATAATAAAAGGAATAAATAAAGTAAAAGTCTATTAAGAAGGAAGGAAGGAAGTATGTAACAATTAAAAGAAGAAGAGAATTAAAGGTTTATTTATATATACGTAAAACTAATTAGAATCAAGGAGTTGTCCATCCATCGATATCTCTCTCAGTCAGTCGCACAGGGTGAGTGAGAGAGAGATGCTTCTGATGGTCTGTCTGTGTGTCTATCTAATTATTAACTATGGCCATTATCTCAGCGTTTAATTTTTACACGTTTCTTTGTGTAATGTAATTTATAAATTGCTTTTTTTTTAAAAAAAAATTCTTTTTTTTTTTTATTTTTATTTTTTATTTTTTCTCACAATTTAATATCACCAGATGCAGTCATTCTTAACTATGTATCCATCACCTTTTTATTCCTAATACTTAGCCACTAAATGATTCATATTCATATTCATATCATGACTACTTTAGTTTATACAACCATATCATATTATTACTACTATTAGTAAAAGGTATCATATAGTAACATATCCCGTAATACTCCTTTCCTTTCCTTTCCTCGTTCAACTTATTCATTCCTATCTCTTCACGTAATATTTCAACACTTTATTCCCTATTACACAATAACCAATTATCTCTACACTTATTCAATACAACTCTTAAATACAATTAATATGAACGTCATAATGATGTCTATTAACATTTTGTCCTCTATTATTGTTTGTATTGTTCATTATCTCCGTATACATATACTTTCATCCTTAACTATGTAAAATAATGTATGTTCCTGCATAGTAGTTCCGGATTAATTACGTCACATTACACCATCTAACAATTAGTATTAATAGTTGTAGTAACTATAACTAGTTTAAACGTTTCATCAAATATTTTAACGTATTCAACTTATCCCAAATCGGATTATCTCTTCATATCATAACGTTTTATGTTTATTCATATCATCCTCAAACCGTAATTAACTAAAATTAGACGACAATACGATATAATTATCAATATTTTTTAATTATTAATAGTAATAATAATAATAATTACCAATTAGAAAAACCGTTGGGTCTGATTTTTGAAAAATGAAATAAACAGTTACTACCGTGTATGATTATCAAAACCTTCCATTTGTTTGTTTTGTCTGTTTGTTTTTCATTATCAACAATATTTCAGGTTCAATTGTTATTTTTTATGCTTGCTATTCATCATCTAAAATCGTAAAATTTACAACCTCTTCAATTACATTCGTTTCTTTTATCTATATTTCCATTATTTAAATCTTAATTATTCAAAATTTAGACTATCTAAACCCCGACTAGTGCTTAACGGTAACTTGATTATCACATTGTGATATATCAAATCAAATGGTTTGTTAAACATCTAGAATAGAGTATTACTTCATAACGGACTTAACCATTACATCATATAATGAAAACTCTTTTATCAAATTAGTAAACTAAACAATCACAAAGATCTATAATCTTGATACATATTCATTATTCTAATTTTAGTTAGCTAATTATCAAATTCCCCAATTTCAACTGCTGCATCAAGTAGTGGAGAGGAAAATGGTGAATCTTCAATTCAAGCTGGTATTTGGCAAAAAGTTAAAAATGTTTTCACAACTGAAAATGAAGAAGAACCTGATGATTTATTCCCATTTGGTCCATCAGCATTAAATTTAAAACCAGAAATTGAAAGTACTTTAACTATGAACTTGAATTGAACCAATCCACAGACTATACACCAGTATTCGTCCCATCGTTAAGTCATGAAGGTATAAACACTGCTTCCACCATATCATATCTCCAATCAGATACATATCTTAACCACCCCTCTACCATATGCATCATAGCGTCTCCAAGAGGGGTGGAGATCTTAGAGGAATGTCTTGATAGTGTGGTTGATGACAGTGTCAAGAAGAGGATCTTGGATAAAGTCGGATACGCTGTGAGTCCTGCTACTGCTTCTCAATTATTAAAATTAGGATTTGTCAATATTAAAGGTGGTGATAATGCTGGTAATGGTGATAAATTAGCCGATTTGATTATTAATGATTTGAAACAAGACAATGAGAATGATCGTTTATGTGTGTTTTTCACCGGTGAAGTTCATAGAGATATCATACCGAGAAAGTTAACTTCAGCTGGTCTTAAAGTTGATAAGAGAGTTATTTACACCACGGCTGTCAGAAAGGATATTGTAACTACATTTGATCAATTCATAACTACGAATCAAATTAATGATGATTGGATTATTTTCTTTAGTCCTCAAGGTACAGAATATATCATTGATTATGTTAAACTTCACCAAACTCAATTTAAAATCGGGGTGATTGGTCCTACTACTGAAACATATTTAATTGATCATGATATAATCCCAACCATAGTGGCTCCTAAACCTGATGCGATATCATTATTCGTTTCTTCAATATGATAATAACTTTTAGATTCTGTACATTAAAAGAAATATATATATTCATAATATCTAAAAACTCAGTCAGATCATGTTTCTTTATATTCAAAAGTACGAGCATATGTGGTACTTCTATGATCAACACCTAAACTCCAACTCTTACAAGCTGATTGATATTCTGGTAAGAATGGTACCTCTACTAATTTAATCAGAAAGCGAGAAGATAATTCATTTAATATCAGAATCGTTTTCTCTGCTACTCCAGAAGACCAATTAGGATTACTCAGATAATAGATTGTTTTTGTAACAATTGGTAACTGAAACAAAGCTTCTTCTATGATATAGTCTGGATCAATTGCAGTACCATGGAGATAAATTTCTTTAGCTCCCCATAAATATAGAACCCAATGATAATGCCTTACAGGCATTTCAAACCCTATTAAGTAAAGCTTTTCCACATGTAATTCTACAGCCAAATAAATCTGCCCTGATTGGAAATCTTGGAAAATCATATTTCTGAGATTATTGTGATGATATAATAATGCAGCCCAATTATGACTTGTGACTTGATCATAACATTCAAATCCATGATCCACTAATTTCGGAAATTTATACTCACAGTATTCATAACCGTCTAATCTAACTTTTTGTCCCAAATGTAATTCTTCAATATCTTGTCCTAACCATGAAATTGAGATTGGAATATGGTGATTAACATTCCTATGATATTCATTTTCCTTTTCATCTCTGGATAAATTATGAATCTTTGGCACAAGATCAGTATCAAATCTGAATCCAATACAATTCAAATCTTTGAAATACAATTCAGAAGGCATAACAAAACTATCCTTCTTTTGATGGGCAACAATCTTAAAAATGTAGAACTTAAATTTAAATTTTCCAAATTCTTTAATGGCATTGGCCTTGAGTAACATATCAATCATTGAACTTCCATCATCCAAAAGTCCAAGTTTAAACTGCAAGGTTATGATCAAAGGTTCAGATTCTTCATTGAATTTATGTGCATTATCAAATAGGAATTGCAGAGAATCTTCATAGTTAACTTCATTGTTGTTATGGTGTAAAATCTGACCTTCTGTGGGGACTTCTTTAATTAAAAGATTTTCAAAATCGTCATTCAAAGTTGTATCAACAAGAAGCACCAAGTTGGTGATTCCTTGAAGCTTATCGGGTAAAGGATCTTGGTTTACCATTGATGGATCTTGGATCAATTGTTGATCAATTTCTTGAGCAATAGAATGGTTCTGAGACATTTCAAATTCTTTAGTCATATTGCTTTTGGTGATAATATAATTATTTAAAAGTTTGAAAAGATTACATTTTCAAGTATTTATAGTAGTTATTAATATGGCATAACAATAGTTTTTCGCTCAAAGCAGTTATGCTAGTTTTGAAATATAAAAATGAATGATCAATTATTCTGCTTAAATATTTTTCTAGATCTTTTAGTCTGCTTCTATTTAGTTTGAGCATCTATAGTGAAATTGATTATCTTCTATTGCATTTATAGCTTCCCATATTTACAACGCATTCAATTTCCCGAAATGGAAATTTTTGTGGGTGCGAAAGCAGTTGCCATTTTTAGTTTAAGATCAGTTTGAATCACACCAAAAAAATCACAAATCCATTTTTGATAATAACGAGAGACCCCCTTAGCATGAATTCTAGTATCTAAATAGACAACTTATTCATGTAGAATATTTTGAATTAGAAGGTATCAGTGCATCCGTAGTGACTTTCTTGTTCTTTCTATCTTATTTTTCAGGATTTAATGTAAGTGCATATTGCAGAAATAGAGTAAATATGCCTTTGGCTGCCTTTTTCAATAAAAGTAGTAAAATCGATTCTAAAGACATTAAAAGTGTGTTTATTAGAGTTTGGGTTGGGTTCATTTTGGTTAACATAGTCTCTAAAGTGGTATAACTATATAAATTTTGATTGATTGATTGATTCAGTGATAGATCGCTCTTGTTAAGTTTTACAGCGTTTGTTCAGTTTTTGGCTGCCTTTTTTCTTTTTTTATGTGTTATTTCTTAACCTTTCTTCTCCCTTCTTTTCTTCTTCTTCTTCTTCTTCTTCTTCTTCTTCTTCTTCTTCTTCCTCCTCTTCAAATTTATCAATCAATCAATTGTATCATTTAAAAGTGATATCAGTCAAACCCATAATATATAATTATTAGTTTCAAACGATTGTTCAAATGGATAATATCGCCCAAACATCAATGGAATTTACTACAATGATTTTAGCTTCAAATCCAGAAATGCCTTTTAGTAAAGTAGATGAATTTAAGGTGGCTGTATTAATCACAAACTTAAATATAAAGAAAAAATTTCAATTGGATAGTGATGATAGAAGATATACAGAATTTTTAGATCCAGAAACACAAGCTGCATTCATCCAAAATTTAGAAAACTCTACGTCAGCAAAAATCGACGAATATCCTGTTACATTAGAAAAGTCGCTTGTTAACAACTATGGTTATGAAAAACCATCGTGCTTCCCTAAATCAATCGAAATGATCACTCCGAGCTGTTTAAACTCATTACATGAGTTTGTTGCTATGTATATTGGTTTCAACCCAAGGAGTTCTAAAAGAGATGAAATTAAGAATACTTTAGTACAATTTTTTAGAGATAGAAAATATAAGATCCCAGATTCAGGAATCTACAAATTGTTCAAACATTTAGATGGTGAAATTCATACCTTAAGCACTTCGAATTGTTTATATAAACTCCATTATAAAGTAGGAGTTGATGATGGCGTAACCATCGAAGAGTACCTAGCACTCTTGAAAAGAGTACATGCTCTTGTTCTTTAGATTCGTTGTTAATTTGGTTGCTATTAGTGTTGTTTTGTTAAGAGCACTCTTGAAAAGAGTACATGCTCTTGTTATTTAGATTGGTTGTAAATTTGATTGCTATTAGTTTTGTTTTATTAAGATGAAAATTAGTTAATAAGTAGATTGAAATAGATTAAATATAATATATTGTGAGTTATAAAATTTAAAATTTACCGATCTTACAATCAAAGATATGATGATTTAAAATCAATTCATATGTAATAAATATAATATTAGCTAATATCAAAAAGTAATATAAAGACTGACAAAAAATATTAATGAATGAATGATAGTGATTATTGTTACAAATCTAACCCAGTTACTTATTTCTTAAGTGCAGTGTGAACCACTTCAATGATTTGTTGAACTGCACCAGGATCAGATAAGGTGGAGATATCACCTAATTGATCTTCTTCACCAGCTAATACTTTTCTTAAGATTGTTCTCATAATCTTACCTGATCTAGTCTTTGGTAAATCATCTACTAAAAGATTGTTAATTATGGGCGCTACCAACTATTCTTACCTGCATATATTTCCATCCCCCATTAATTTTACAAAAAGCGATAAAAATAGAAAAGTCTGATATAAGCTAGATCAATTAGTAAGATATTTTGATCTATTATTCCATGCCTACACCTCCAAGTGATATCGTATCTGAATATATCATCAATATATCATCAGATGATGATGTGGACGATACAGACTTACAAATCATCGAAGAATATCGAAAAGAAACTCAAGATTTATTAGATAATCCAGATCAACCTCATCATGAAACCATAAAGAAATTATCTGATAGTCAATGTCCGGTATGTTTTGATGAAATGACAGAAGCCACTGCTACGAGTTGTGGACATATGTTTTGTCTTGAATGTATTCAACAATCATTAAGTTCTTCTAATGCTAGAGGTCAAGTTAGAAGACATGGAGTTGGTTTATGTCCTTTATGTAGAAAACAAGTTACGTTTAAAGATACTATTATATTAAGAATGAAAGTGGCAGCTAAAATCGGTATACCGCCTTTGCCTCCTCCTAAACCTGATATTGATACTATTATTATAAATACAGGGGGTGACATTAAAACTGATGAAGTTATTGGTGATGTTAAGCAAGAAGTTAAATCAGAAATTAATGATCTTAAAACTGATGAGACTTATACTGATCCAAAATTACTTGACATTGAAAAACAAGAATTAAAATCAAATAAACGACATCATCATCATACTCATAGTAGACCAAGTACAAATGGTTCAACTTCATCAACTACATCTGCATCTCCAAATAAGAAAAAATTAAAACGATAATATAATTATTATTAAATCTATTTATTTATTTACATTGCTGCATCCGCTACTGATTCATCAATATATCTTTGTTTATCCAACACAAGAAAGCCCCTTTCATTCACCATCAATTCATCACATATATGATCAAACACTTTAAATACCCATTCTCGACATTTTTGTTCATTATCAAGATAATAAACCGCCACTAATCTTTCAAATAAATCTCCCAAAACTTCATATCGACGATAAATCTTACTGACGCTGGTTGTATCTTCAATGGCATTGAGATTGGCTTCGAATTGTCGCTGATGATCAGGATGAATTAATCCTTTGTGTAAATCATAAATCATAGCTAATCTTCCAAATAATGGATTTGAAATTAAGAAATAAAAATCGGTGGTTGATGCAACATAATTGGTGTTTCGATCTAATAATTGAATAAGGTATTCCACTACTAATCTCTTTAAGATATGATCACCTAATTTATCTAAGTAAACCGTGGTTTTATGTAATTTATATTGAGTCTTGTTATCCCAATGAGTGAATTTGGTATCGATAAAACTTGCCTTTAATAAGAAACTAGTTTGAGTTGGGTTGGTTAATTTCATTAATGGAGGTAATCTTCCTTTGAATTTAGGTAATAAATGACGTCGTTTGGTAGTGGCGAATAAGGAATTATTTATAGTTAAATATTGAGTATTTCTAATTAATGCCGGCTCCACGAATGATTTAAAATCTTGTAATGATTGTTGTAGGATAATTCCATCCGATATAGAACTAATTGATTTATCTGAACTTGAACACAGATCAATTATCCTCTTACTTAATTCCATCATATTCGTTTCATTTTCTAAATATTTGAATCCTAAATGAGTAAAACTAGGTATGATATGTCGATGTTTACTACCGATATTTAAATCAAGGATCTTATCATCATGAATAAGTTTTGAATTGGGATCGTTGTAATCCATGTATAATCGGAAATCATCAGTATAATAATACGTCTGATTGAATCTACCCATGATACGCTTGAATTCTTTATCTGGATGAGTGATATCTTTATATAATGCCATTCTCATCACGATTTCTCTGAAGATTGATCGACCTAGAAGTTCAATTAAAAACAAATATCGTACGAATTGTCGAGTTGGTGAGGCAAATATTTCATTCCGTTTCGTTAGACTAGTAAGAAACTTAGTCTTTAAAATATCAACTGGTTTAAATAAGTCCACATCGTATTTATTCGTATCATCATTGAATCCCATGATTCGAAGATTGATATGTTTCGATCGATAGAACTCCGTCTTGGGTGAGAATAACATCTCATTACTTCGACTTATCTGGTATGCACCCCGAAGAATCTTAGGCGGCACGATAATAATCGGTTCATCTTCATCATCTTCTAAATTATTAACGATTAGATCATATGCACTTTTCTTATGTTCGAATTCGGTGAAGATGGTATTTTTCGGAGTGAATGCCTTCACTCTTACTCCTGAGGTGCCTGTTCGTAGCATCCTCTTGAATATTATCATATTGGCATGGGCATTTGTTGATCTCTGATGGTTTGGTTATATGTAACTGGTTGTGAAAAAAATCTGGAGTTTTAAAAAAAAAATGTTTTGATACTCACTCACTTTAATTCTTTTAATGGTGGGCAGATTTACTTTACTTACAAATATTTCAATCTTATCTATATTTTAAATGTTTTGATTCATTATATAAAATGGTATATATATATATACTTCTTACAACTACAAATATAAACCTTCAAGATTTTCTTCAACTTTATTCTTAAGAACTCTTTCCTTGGCAGCTTTAAAATCATCAGCCTTAACTTGCATTCTTCTTTCTCTTAATGCTAATAACCCAGCTTCAGTACAAATAGCTTTAATATCAGCTCCTGATAAATCATCTTTTGAAGTCACTATATCTTCTAAATTCACATCATCAGCTAAACTCATTTTTGATGTATGAATAGTTAAGATTTTCTTTTTAGTATTAGCATCTGGATTTTCAAATAAAATCTTACGATCAATTCTACCTGGTCTAATTAAAGCAGGATCTAATGATTCAATTTTATTAGTTGCCATAATCACTTTAATATCACCTCTATCATCAAACCCATCTAATTGATTTAATAATTCCAACATGGTTCTTTGAATTTCTCTTTCACCTCCTGAACTTGATTCATATCTCTTAGTACCAATGGCATCAATTTCATCAATAAATACAATAGAAGGAGCATGTTCACCGGCAATTTGGAAAATTTGTCGACATAATCTTGGTCCATCACCTAAATATTTTTGAATTAATTCTGATCCTACAATTCTTAAAAATGTAGCACTAGTTTGATTAGCAACAGCTTTGGCTAATAAAGTTTTACCAGTACCTGGTGCCCCATACAATATCACCCCCTTTGGAGGTTTTATACCCATTTCTTCATATAATTCAGGATGAGTTAATGGTAATTCTACAGCTTCTTTAATTTCTTGAATTTGAGCTTCTAAACCACCAATATCAGCATATGATTCAGTTGGAGATTTATCTAATTTCATAACTGAAACCATTGGATCAGCATCATCTTGTAATACACCTACTACTGATACAGTTTTATGATGTAAAAGTACTGAACATCCTGGTTCCAATAAACCTTTATCAACAAATGACATGATTGAAACATAATATTCTGATCCAGCAGTTGATGATACAATAGCATGATCATCATCGATTATTTCTTCTAAAGTCCCAATTGACATAGGATAACCTCTTAATTCATCTACTTTTTCTCGTTCTTCAACTTGTCTTGCTTCTGTAGGTTGGAATGCTTCTTGATTAGTAACAAATTCTTCTTCTAATAATAAATGATCTTTTATTCTTTCTAATTTCAATAATTTTAATTTACATCTAGTATTAGGAAAAACACTAGGTAATTTCACAGCAGTATCTGGTCCCTTTCTTCTTTTCTTACCAAATTTTGATTCCACTGGTGGTTCATATTTTGGTTTCTCTTTCTTTTTATCATCTTTCTTCTTACCAGAGTTATCGCCTCCTGGCATTCCGGAAGGACCTTGACCCATGATGATTTATGATATAAATTAGATGATGGAGATCAAACTAGTAATTGTAGTACAATTTCAATATCTAATTAATACAATTAATCAAAATCAAACCTTTACACCTTTTTGAAGTTTGTCTCTCTCAGTCGCTCGCCACCAAAACTTATTTTGTCAAAAGAAAATCAATCATGTGATCTGGCACGTGAAACGATCAAACATCTTTACCGCTGATTTAGGTGTAACAAAATTCTGTTACACATATAGAGACAGTTCAAACAGGGTAAAATTTCTCTATTTATAGAAGACAAAGATTGTGAATAACAAGGAAGTTTCATAATAATTGATTCAAAATAGAAGTCAGATAAGAGTAGGCTTAGGTCAAGCCATCACAACAACATAATAGTCCCCTTGCTAATTAGGTCATATACCGTCAATCAATCATCTAATTATCATCTTTTACATACGGATCATCAAAAAGATATAACGGGGAAGAAATCATCACACGAACTCAAATAGATCAGTATTGACACGATTGAAATGAGTTCGGAGCAGCGGTTTAGTTTTCATAAGGATTTCCAATCCCTACAGCAGAAAAGACGACCAAAAGTAGGTGGAGTTGGTGTGATACCTATAAATAATCTTTCCAATGCCAATTCAATTGAAATTAAAACTCCTTCTAGAATAAACATTTTAGATAACAATGTTAAACGAGATTCTACATTCAAAAGAGCTTCAGATAGTTCACCATCTAATCATTATTCAAGTAGTGGATCCAATCTATCCAGTATAACTTCCAAAGCTGAATTATTACGAGAAGAATTAGATCATTTACCTGATTCATTAATAGCTGATTCAACTCCCATACGACAAACCATATCATCATCACAATCTACCTTTGGACAAAAGTCAAAATATAATGACGTGTTTCATAATAGTGTTGATCTTAGTGAACTACTACTGGACGATATAGAGCCGAAATATTCTATGGATTTAGAATCATTGAAGATTAATAATAAAAGTTCGATTGAAAGAGGATCAAATAATTTAAAGTTGCAAGTATCGTTCAATGGGATGTTTATCTATTTCACAAACTACAATCGCATCATTGATGGAACCATCATCAAAAGTAAAGGTCATTTAAGTAACATCATTTTTTCAAAATCATTTTTCATATTTGAAATGAAAAATTATAAAGGGTTTATATTGGTTAAACCATTAGAACAAAATCATTTCCGAGAGTTTATTAAAGATTCTACAATCTGGCCAATTGAACCTAAAACTTTCACTCCAAAGGAAGCTGAAAAATATATTAGTCAATTAACTCAAGCTTGTCAATTTTCAGATCAAACATTTAAATCTGATACAAGACTTACTCCATTATCTACCAAAACTTTCTTTTCTCCTGATTTAAGAAGTACAAGATCAAAAGCTAGATCTGAAGCATTTGGAAATCTTGGAGGTTCACATAAAGAACCAATTAGCATATCTGAACCATCACAGACTTCCAATATACTATCATCATTCCGAAATAATAATCTAAGAAGACCAACCAAACCATCTATAATTGACGATGAAATCACCGTTAAAGAAACTCCAGCACCATTTTCTCCTGATTTGAAATATCGATTTGCTCATAATAAATTAGTCACCATCACGTATTCTGATTTTAAAACATTATATAATAATGATTGGATTAATGATTCTGTGATTGACTTTTTCATTCAATATGAAATTGATAAAGTGGTTCATCAATATAAATTATTACAAGCTGAAGATATCTATGCATTAAATTCATTTTTCTTTACGAAATTAATGTATAAATCAAATATCCAAGAAACCCCTGATTATTATGGTAATATCAAGAGATGGTTGACGAAAGTTGATATTATGAATTATCCATACGTGATCATACCGATCAATGAAAATGCCCATTGGTATTGTTGTGTGATTAAAGGGTTACCTAACTTGTTGGAAAAAGGGTTGGCTGATAAAAAAGCAAAAGAATTAAATAGAATCATCATACCTGATAGTCAAGATTATCAAGAATTTAATTTTGAAGCTTATAAAGCTCGAATTGAGAATGATGATGATAGTGATGATGATCGAGATCGAGATCAGGATTATAATGATGCTAATACTGAAAGTCCCAAACCGAATGATACTAATGGTGGTGTTCCTAACAATAATTCAAAAAATCAAGCAGTTAAAAAATTTCAAACTGAAATATTCGTATTTGATTCATTAGCTCAAACTCATTCTAATATTAGTTTCCCAATTAAAAAGTTCATCATTGATTATTGTGCTGATAAGTATGGTATAGAAATTGCGAAACAACAACTTCGAGTTATAAATGCTCGAGTTCCTAAACAAAGTAATTTTAATGATTGTGGGATTCATGTCATTTATAATGTTAAGACTTGGTTAAATAATATTGCGGATTGTGAAAGAATTTGGAAAGGACATAGTAGTAATAGAGGGGGAGGTGGTAGAAGAAGTATATTTGTGGCGGAAGAAAGAAATAATACCAGAAAGCAGCTTATTGATATACTTTTAAAATTGCATAAGGAACAATCGTTAACTCAGATTGAAGTTAATAATGGAGGACCTGATTCAGATGATGATTTAGAAGTTATTGAATGTACACCTGAAGTAGAAGATAAACCAAAAAAGGATAGTCAAGATCAAACTCTTACTAACAAGCCAGTTGAACCTGAAAAACACGTTGAACGTGAAACTCAAGTTGGATCTGAAACTCCTATAGTTGAAAATTCTCAAACTATTGTCAATCGGTCTCCAGTGGAATATCCAACCACGTTAGATCCAAGAGCTCAGCCTAAGGAAAGATTTATAAACGTAACTCTTAATAAAAAACTTGAAGGGAGAGAATTAGATGACTCGGTGGTAAGGTTTTTAAATGAATTATTTGATAAGAAAAATCGAGAAATTGGTCCGGTATTATTAGAAGTTGTTACTGATATGTGTCAAGATCTTCTTGAATTCGATCCTGACTCGGATAAGGGCATTGCTAGACTCCGTGCATTTAAGGATGATTATGAACTTCATTCTAAGCAACAAGGTGAATCAACTAGACCTAAACATCAGGAGTTTAGGATAGATCCTAATATTGAACCGTTCAATACTAGTCGTGATAATGATTCTGATGATGTGAATGAAAGTGTTTCAAAGTTAAAAATATCAAGTAAGCTGCCTATAGATAAATCCAATTCAATATTAAAGGAATTTGATGGTCGAAAAACTCCTGATCCAATACCATTATTCAAGGGTAGATCAATATCAAAGGAATTACCCAAGCATTGGAAATCGCCTACACCTGTCGGTTCAAGATCAGTAAGTTCCACATCCACGCGAAGTCCATCAAGTGGTAGAAGGGCAACGTCCACACCTATCGAAACCATTACTATAGTTGATACGGTCGACGTTCAATCCAAACCTAATGGATATGTGAGTCCAGGAAGAAAACTGAAATCAAATGGATTTGGGAGACTCTCTAGGAAGGAATCAAAGCGAAGACGCATAAATTAATAGTAATTAACAGCATTTAGCATTTAGCATATATAAATATGTATATCTTTTACATAGCACTTTGTGGATAAAACGATTTTATGAATATTTTTTTATTAAATCTTTTAGTCTTACAAACAATACAAAATTAATATTATTTAAAATAGTTTTTTGTTTAATCGAAATCTTTGAATTCTTCATCGAAGAATCCTCTGAATGGATAAGAAGCACCAACAGATTCGATTTCTTCGACATCTTCCTTTGAGATTTCGAAATTATAAATATCTAATGATTGTCTAATTCTTTCAACTTTTGATGAAGTTGTAATTGGTAAGATTCCCTTTTGTAAAGTATATCTTAATAAGATTTGAGAATCTGTCTTACCATATTTTTCAGATAATTTGGCTAATACAGGTTTCAATGGGTGATCATCAACTTCCTTTCCATCTTTCTTTATTCTGAATAATGGAGTTAATGGACCATAAGCTTCGATTAAAATATCATTTTCCTTAGCGAATTTAAGAATATCTTTGGTTTGATTTTGTAAATATGGATGGAATTCAATTTGATTCACTTTTGGTTGATATTCTTTTGATTCAGATACTTTAATGGCTTTTTCAATATGAGGTACAGCAAAATTTGAAACTCCAATTTCTCTAACCTTACCTGATTTTTTAGCATCGATTAATTCTTTCCAAGCACTTTCAATGGTTTGACCATGAGAAATGACTTCACCAAAGAATGGAGAATGAATAAGGAATAAATCAACATAATCGGTTTGTAATTCCTTTAAGGCAATATCAATGAATTCAGTTGGACTTTTAGATGCAGCTACAAAAGTACGAAAACCAGGATTATATTTAGTAGTGATAAATACATCTTCTCTTTTGATCCCACTTTGTTTGACAGCAGCAGCGACTTCTGGATGAGTGGTATAAACTTCAGCGGTATCAATATGATTATAACCATTTTCCAAAGCTAACACCAATTGATCTACTAAATCTTGATGTAAAGTATGTTGTTCATCTTCAGGTCTCCCTTTTTTAAGCCATTGCCATTTCGTACCGGTACCCGTACCTAAAGTGATGGCTTTACCTGATTTGGTAGTGAAATTATGGATTAAACTGATTGGTTTACCGAATTGAGTCATTGTCTATGAAGTTTAGATAATTAAAGGAAAATCAACTTTGTTAAACTGGCTTAGGGGGGGATTTTTCACCGTATTTATATAATTTAGCGACTCATAGTTACCGATCCATAATTAGTCAGAAAAATTGTCGTTATCAGGGGGGGAGAAAACTAAAGCGCCATAGCTAAACTTTACCCGACAGATAACGGAATCAAAATTATTCTACCGCCGCCGCAGTTGACACAGACACACAAAATGTTTACAAGTGTAATTATGGTTAATTTGATCTTTATTGTGGATCTCAGTTTCGTTTTAAATTCATGTATATTCTTTATTATTATGTGGACATAAGCTTAGCAAGTATTTATAAGTAACTAACTAATTAAAAACTAGATATGTTTTCTCTATCGAGGTAGGTAGGTAGGTAGGTATGGATTTCATTTCATCAATCAACTTTAAAGTCCATTTAAAGCTTGTTCTTCTTCTACTGTGGTTCTTTGTTGCAAAACCAATGGTTTACCAGTAACTCTAAAGTAAATATCTTTAATATCATCAGTAGTACTTTCGAAATGGGATGAAGCATCATAACTCTTAGAAATGAAAATATTGCTATCGGTTCCATCAGTGGATGGTTCATATAAATCAGCAATTCCCATTAAGGTATCTAATCTTTCTCCTAATAATTTGAAAGCTGGTTCTAATTCAACATGGGGAGTTTCAGTTTCAATAATGGTTGAAACAATGGCCAAGTAATAACCTTTTGGAACCACACAATGAACATCAGAAAGAACAGCAATATAAATATCATGTTTACGACCCACTTGATTTTGAGGAATAATAAGTTGAACTGAATCTAAATCACTTGTACCTGCAATTGGATGATCTAAAATACACATAGCTCTAATAACTCTTGAACCAACTTTTTTAACTTTATCAGGGAAATAAGTTGGATCAGCAATAACAATAGGTGCTTTGGCGGTACCTTCTTTAGTAACCACACCAGCAAATTTTCCATCATCAGTATAAAGAACTTCATCTATTGGAGTATCTAACATATAAGTACCACCATAAATGGCAGATAATCTAGCAAACCCTTGAGGAAGTTCACCTAATCCATATAAAGGATAAATATATGGAGATTTACCATATTTTGCTACGGATTGAACATATAACATAATTCTTTCATAAGTTGGACGAGCAACTTCAGTTAAATAATGATCAGTTGACCATAAAGCCATAGCATGACCAATGAAATCCTTGGTACCACTTTCCAAACCAAAATAAGTATAAATTTCATCCATAGTATTTTTATCTAAATCGAAACCTTGATGAGTTGAAACATCATCATCATCATATTTAGCAATAAAATCTAAAAATCTCTTCATTCTTCTCTTTTCAAAGATTCCCATTAAAGATGATCTAATGGCTTCCAGTTCATTGGCAGGAACTTTGGCAATTCTACCACTTCTATAAACATATGATCCACCAATTTGTTTAAATTCAATATAACGAGTAACATCAGTATGAACTAAAATATTAGTTAATTCCCCATTGGACATTAAAAATTTAGGAATCAAATCAACACACCAATCTCTATCTCTACCAGTTAAGAACTCTGGTTTTTGAGCTGATGGTTTAAATTTCTTATATAATTGAGATAAATTTAATGATGCTGATTCCCCACCATAGAAATCTTGACGATCAATATGTAATACTTTCTTTCCTTCCACTGATAAAATACCAGAAAGAACACATTCAGTCAATCCGGTACCTAACACAATCACATCATAATTCTCATCCATTTTGAATTAAAGTTTAATTTGATTTCAATTACAAATTATATAAAATTGCTGTAATCAGTTGATACTGATTCAATCGACAATTTATAACTTTTTGTTGATGGCCTCCCTTCTTCCTCCTTTCCCCCCTCCTCCTCCCCGACGAGCGTCCTGTATATAATATTTTGTTATGGTTTATATTTCATTTAAAGTAACATAATGTCTAAATCTAACAACTATAAAACAATCTACACAATATTATGAAAATTCTTCTTGAATCCAGCTTTAACGATTTTAGAAACTTCTTCAGGATCAGAAGTTATACCAGTAAAATTTTCATAACCAGTTTCAGTAACTAAAATATCATCTTCAATTCTTACCCCACCAATATACCAATATTTATCTAAAACATCTTTATTAATATATTTAACTCTTTTAGGATCCTTTAAAGTATCTTCTAATAAGAATGGATTGAAATAACAACCAGGTTCATTAGTAACAACCATACCGGCTTTTAAATCTCTTCTAATTCTTAAATAAGCAAGTAATGGATCTGGATCAGCATAATTTGGATATCCACCAACATCATGAGTATCCATACCTAATAAATGACCTAAACCATGAGGGAAGAATCTTGCACTGACTTTTGATTCAAAGATTTCTTCTAAAGAATATTCTGATTTGAAAATACCTAATTTTTGAAATTCTTCAATTAAGACTTTATGAGCTGTTAAATGAAGATGTTCCCATGATGCACCTGGTTTAATTAATGCCATAGCAGCAGCTTGCATTTTTAAAACAGTAGTATAAATTTCTAAATGTTCTTTAGTCCAATCACCATTGATTGGAAAACATCTTGTAACATCACTGGCATAACATTCCCATTCTGCACCAGCATCAATTAACACTGACTTTTTATCAGGAGTGATTTCATCATCATTCTTGATATAATGTAAGGTTGAACATGAAGGACCAGTACAACAGATTGGATCATAACTTTGATATTTTGAACCTTGTCTAATAGCATGATACATGAATTCAGCATGAATATGAGTTTCATTGGTTTCAATTGGAGTAGCTGACATAACAGCTAAATGACAATTATCACTAATCTTAGAAGCATGTTTCATTAATTCAATTTCATAAGAATCTTTAATTAATCTTGCTTCATCCATGGCATAAAATAAATCTTTATCACCTTCCTTTAAGATAGAAGCAAATTTAATATTTGATTTATTAATATCAGTAGTAAGTAAATGAACGGTATTAATTGATTCTAAATCAGCTTGTAAAGTTTCAACATATTTAATTTCATCAGCATCGAATTTTAATTTAGCATTTTCTAAACTTAATGGTAAACCAGACCACATAACATCTTCCCAATCAATGTTTGGTAAATATAAAGTTAAATGATCATTTTGAGGTTGATAAACAATATGAGATCCTGGAATTCCACAACCTGATAAATAGAAAAAGTATCTATTTTGACGGAATGGTTTATTTTGATCACTATATAAAATCAATTCATTATCTTCTCCACTAATAAATAATACTGAAGTTTGAGCTTTTGATAAATTCTTTTCTTTTAAATGAGCATAAACATTTCTAGCATGTTGTTTGGCAGGGTATTTCTTACCCTTTAAGGATTCAGGACCAAGAGACATGATAATGGTAGGGTGTGTGTGATGTTAAAGGAACGGTCTAAAAGAGGAAGAGATTATCTGTTCAAATGATCCTTAAATTTAAAGATGGCAGTAAATTTTTATATGGTTTGTTCGGGGATCGTCCCACTAAAGTTAGCAGCAGGCGAGTGAGCGGCTCTAAATGAGAAATTTATTACTGAGATCCAAGACAAAATAAGGTCTAGTAAGCGACAACTAAGAATTATAACTTTATTTCAACTATTATGACATGATATTGAGTTAGTTTATGGACTCGTATAGGAAATGAACTACTTTGTAAGAAATCTAGCATGAAATATCGTGCATCTATGTGGACCAAACCTTGTTAAGTAGTTATGATATAATATAACACAATTATATACAGTCCTTGACTTAATCACATGACGAGTCATGTGATTAGAATTTTGATCAAAAAATAGTTAACTCTCTCTCCTTCTCATAAATCAACGCTGAAAGAAGTCTTTTGCCACTAATCAAAGCTAAAGTGATTAGATCAATTATAACCACAACAACAACATCATCAATATCATCATCAAATAATGGAAAGACTACAAAGATTATTGGGTAATGGTACCCAACCTCAAAGTGAAGGACCAGCCATTGATAATGCTGAAACTGTTTATATATCATCATTAGCTCTATTAAAAATGTTAAAACACGGTAGAGCTGGTGTTCCCATGGAAGTCATGGGATTAATGTTAGGTGAATTCGTAGATGAATTCACTATTCATGTCATAGATGTATTTGCCATGCCTCAATCGGGTACTGGTGTTTCGGTTGAAGCTGTGGATGATGTTTTCCAAACTAAAATGATGGATATGTTAAGACAAACCGGTAGAGATCAAATGGTTGTTGGTTGGTATCATTCCCATCCTGGATTTGGATGTTGGTTATCATCAGTTGATGTTAATACTCAACAATCATTTGAACAATTGAATAAAAGAGCTGTGGCTGTGGTTATAGATCCAATTCAATCGGTTAAAGGTAAAGTTGTTATAGATGCATTTAGAACCATTGATACTACTACATTAATGATGGCTCAAGAACCTCGTCAAACTACTTCAAATGTAGGTCATTTAAATAAACCATCTATACTGGCTTTATTACATGGATTAAATCGTCATTATTATTCTTTAAATATTGATTATCATAAAACTTCATATGAAACTAATATGTTATTAAATTTACATAAAAAGAATTGGCAATCAGGTTTAAAATTAATTGAATATGATCATGCTGAACATACTAATTTAGGTAATACTGAAAAAATGGTTAAAATTGCTGAACAATATAATCAAAGAGTTCAAGAAGAAAAAGAATTACTGGAAGATCAATTAAAAACAAGATATGTGGGTAAACAAGATCCAAAGAAACATTTATCAGATATTGCTGATACTTTAATTGAAGAGAATTTAACTTCTTTATTGACTGGTAATATCAATGCTGTAGCCATTCAATAGACCTTTTATATGTAAAAGTAATAAATATATAACTTAAGTCATACCTCATTCGCATATTGTAGAGCCCAAACGTAAAAATAAAAACACAGACATGAAAATATTTAAAACAGTTGGAATTTTTTGCATTCATCAAATTAAACCATGGATATACGGCCATTGAAGAAACAAAAAGTCCAAACAGATAGTTATCAACATACTATTAATCGAGAAGTGTTAAATTTCGATTTTGAAAAAGTTTGTCTGGTAACATTATCTCATAATAATGTTTATTGTTGTTTAGTATGTGGGAAATATTTTCAAGGTCGATCCATATCATCACCAGCTTATAACCATACTATTAATATTGATCATCATATCTTTCTTAATCTCAAGAGTCAGAAGTTTTATATCTTACCTGAAAATCAAGAAATTGATGGGATTCAAGATATTAAAGATTTATTAGATCCAAAGTATACTAAAGATGATGTTAATAATCTTCCTGAAACAGCTTTAGATCTTCATAAGAAATCATATTATGTGGGTTATACAGGGCTTGATAATATCTCCAATAATGATTATGAAAACGTTATAATACAAGCGTTAAGCCATATAAGGCCGATACGAGATTTTTATTTAAGATTAAGTTATCGAGATAAATTACATGATCAAATTCAACGGAAATCAATTTTGAATGATCGATTCGGGATATTAATAAGGAAATTATGGTCGATTCATTTATACCGAAATCATGTTTCACCTCATGAATTGTTACAATATGTATCGGAAGTATCAAAAAGTCAATTTTCTTTAACGGTTCAGAAATCTCCTAAGAAGTTTTTAATTTGGTTATTAAATGGCTTGCATTCTCAATTGGTGAAGTATACTAAGTCAACTGTGATAAGCGAGTCATTACAAGGAGCATTGGAGATTACCAGTTTTGATGGTGATGGTGTTCAAGTCAAATCTACAACGACTCTGAAATTCTGGGTGATTACGGTGGATTTACCACCCGCTCCATTATTTGTGGGAGAAACGATTCAAGAAGTTCAATTATCATCATTATTAGCTAAATATAATGGTGAAACTAAAGTTCATATTTCAAAGGATGAATTGCGATCGTATAAATTAGTCGAACCTTTACCTCCCTATTTAATCATTCATATAGATAGAGGATTAGAAAAAGAGGATGTTAAAAAGGGAAACCCCACTGTGGTTCAATTCCAAGATGTGATAGATTTCGCTCCATTTGTGACTCAAGAAAAGCCAACTCCAATAAACTATCGATTATTATCTACTATAAAACATGATCTGATCACAGGGGATGAAATTGATGAGAGTGATATTAAAAGTGAATGGAGTATAAATGTTCGTAAGAAGGTAGATGATACATGGTTTACAATTAAAGATTCGGAAGTTAAACCTTGTCAAGGAGAATTATTATTCCTAGATGAAAACTATATACAAATATGGGAAAAGGTAGAATAAATTAGATTTAGATATTTTAGTATTTCTCAAGTAATTTATAACTTGATTTAATTAATGAAGGATAATTCTTAATTATGATACCTATTTCTGTATCAGACAAATATTTATCGAATATAATGACATACCCAACTAATTTCAATTTCAATGACATATCTAAATTGATGAAATTACTTGATAATAATTGTAAATTTTGATTAAACAGTTTTAATTCCGATTTATAGAATGTTTTAATTGATGTGCCTGATATTTGAAATAAATTAGGATATCTGATTTTAAAAGCTTTCCAATTCGCCACTTCATAACTATTATAATATTTATTTAAATGGAATAAATCATCTTCATCTTCATCTTTAAAAATATGATTCGGATGTTCATTCAATAAACATAATATCCATAAATCAATGAATTTCGAATCAATCAAATCAGTAATTAACTTCGATTCGATATTGGTATGATCTGATTTCTTTACTGCTGTTAATGAGATGATATTTCTTGATTCGTTACTGTCTTCAATCAAGATCGGTAATTGTTGATCAGGAGCAGCATGATATGAAAGTTGAATAATTGAATTGTTTGATGATTGTCCTTTTCCATCCTTGGTAGGCAATTTCAAATTATTCTTATGAGCTAACCATAAGGCATACCCTAAAGATATGGGATCATTCGGTATATATCGTATTCTTTCATCAGAACCTTGATATGGAATGACTTGATGTACACCTAATTTAAATGAATCATCATTAGTTTTATTTTCACCTTCGAAATAAAATTGATCAATGTGATCGATAATTTCTTCCTTGGGATAGGTTATGATTGGAACAGTATCGAACAATCGTTCTATAGGTTCAGGAACCTTAACCATATTGATTTAAAATAGGTTGTGATATGTTGTTTAGTTGAAAGTTTACAGTTGCAACGTTAAAAAAAATAACTTTAGTTAAAACTGGTGCTGTAAATTTTTCCACTCCACTTCAGTTGAGATCTAGGCTTAGTGAGGAATTGATAGTACAATGATAATTCATATGGTTTAAATACTTCTAAAGATAGATTAAAAAGATATATATATATACTTATTTATAAAATATATAATTACACGGATTATGTATATGGGTATGAATTTATGTATAAATAAAGGTGGGTGGGTGAATAGGTAGATTGAAGATGATTTGGGGGGGCAAGTTAGCTAGCTGGATTGTCGAATAACAATTGAACGGAACTGATTGATTGATTGATTGAAGATAATAATCACTTAGACTGATTAGATATCTTCTTCAGGAATCAAATCAATAGCTAAATCATACCAAGTTGTATCAGCAAATTTACATTCACTTTCACCTAAATTATTAAACCCAATTTTTTCATAAAATGGAATTAATTCTTTATGAGCAATTATAACAATTTTATCACCTAAATCTTGATTTGATAATTTTTGAACATAATCATGCATTAAAAGAGTACCTAAATTATGACCTTGCCAATTTGGATCAACCACTAATGAATGAATTCCTATCCATCTTGAACTTTCAATATGACCTATAGTTGTAGATTCTTCATCAGTGGAAGGAGGAATTTCCATAGCTCCATCCGTGATTCTTTGGGATGGGATCTTGGTAGCGATTATATGACCAATTAAAGTTTCCTTAGTATAAGAAGATTTGGAAGGCAATTCATCAAGATTTTCTTCTTCTTCATCTTCATTATTTTGAGTCACATCATCATTAGCAATCTTTGATTTTTGTTCTTGATCTAACTTTTCTGCTACTTCTGGTAAGTTTATAGCGTTATATTTATATTCATAATCTCTAATGAATATACCTGAACATAATTCGGGACATACCGTTAATCTATATTGGAATTTTTCTGGAGAACATCTTTCAGATTCAGAAAAACCTTTATTTTCCAAGGCGATACATTGATTGATATCTTCTATGGTGAGAGGTCGAATGGATATGTTAGGAGGGAAATTAGACATGATGGTTTGTTCGTAATGTAGATGAATCACTAGTTAAGACAGAGATCAAATGATTGTTGGAAAGAAACTATTTTAGGATTTGTGGTTAGGGGACACAACAGCGGTAAGTTTTTTCTGTTTGCGGGTAGATACAGGAATGGAAATAAATTTGGTTGAATTGCCAGTGATCGCAATTGACAATTTATAATTTGGGGGGAAGGTCAGGAAGGAATTTACTGAGACAGGCGACGAAGAGTCATATGGTAAGCTACTGGATAAATACAACAACTTATGATATATATTGCTTTTTATTTCTTATCTACTATACAACTAACTACAATTACAAATGATACTACTACATGGTACTGATAATGATGATAACCTGTAACTCTAACTATAAGGCGTTTCTTTCTTTATAAGCACGCGACTTCTAAATATGATACGATAAACTTCTTTACTCTAAATCCTTTTCAGTTAAATTATTTTGATTACTACCATCATCAGCATTTAAGATACTTTTACCAATCTCCCATAAATGAACTATATTATCATCTGCTACTGATGCTAACGTCCATTCCTTATATGGACACCAACTTAAATCAGTTACAGCTCCAGTATGACCCGCATGCATCATAAATAATTCAGAACAACCATCTTCAGCATCTTCTTGTTGTTGTTCTTCTCCAATTTTAAATAAATCCCAGATGATTAATCGACGATCTTGAGATCCAGAAGCAATTATCCCATCTTTATGAGGAGAAAATTCTAAACTTGTAATTGAATCAGAATGTCCCATCATAGTATGAAGTAATCCTTTACCATCCCCAAATTTTCTTAAATCTAATAAATTAATATTAGAATTAGTATTACCAATGGCTAATAAATTATGAGAAAATGGTGAAAATGCTAACGAATTGATCCCCTTAGATTCAGGATTATGAAATTTTGATATGGGTTTTTCTGAAGTTCTAATATCAAATAAAAATGTATATTTATCATCACTTACTGATCCCAATAAATTTTGATCAAAATAATGCCATTTGGCATCATTAACAATATCTCCATGTGAACTATTACTGAACAATTGATCTTTATTGATATCAGTTAGTACGATTGATTTATCATCGGATGAACTTAATAAGTATCCTTTATGATGGGGAGACCATGATAATCCATAACCATTGGCTTCATGAGGAGTTAAATGACTTATGGAGGTCTTAGCTTCTTTACTATCGATATTATATAAATCAATCTCTCCTTCTCCATTGATAGTAGCCACGATTGATGGATCTTGAGGCATATATCTTGCTCTATTTATTTCAAAACTATTTTCAAATTTCTTAATAATTTTAATTCGTGATGAAGCTTTCTTATCCGAATTATTCAACGGTAATTGAGTTGACGCTACTTTTAAATAATTAGTATCTTCCCCTGAAGTATGAGTACCTAATAATAATTTAGATTCAATTATTCCATCTTCAATAGTATGATATGGTAACCATTGAACAGTTAATGAAGGCCACGTTAAGGCTGTCTCACTGACAAATTCATACATGAATCGACAATTCTTCCTCCATAATTGATATTCTTCTTTGATGGTCAACTCACGTTGAGCCGTATCTTCTTGTGGTTCCTCAGACATGGTGGATGAGTGATGTTATATATGTATATATCAACCGTTTGTCGTTGTTCAATCAACAAAACTATTTCAGTTCTTTGAATTTATTTTTCATGGAGGGAGCAAGAATTAAATTAATGGAGAGGACGCGCGTTGGGGGAAAAATAATAAACGTTTTATTTTATTTACGGTATATATCTAGAATGCATTTTGTATATTTATAAATATTTATGTATATGTCTATATGGAGGGAGTAGTAATCGTAACTGTTCTTCTTTTCTATATGGATCACACAAGGGTATCAGGAGGGAGACTCGATCTTGTCTTGACAGTCTGATCTACTTCTAAATAATCACCTGTTCTAGCACTATTATGCAGCAGATTAACTTCATAAAAATCAATCACTTTTAAGGCATCACTTATATGATCAAAATATGGTTCTTCTTTAGTTTCAATCAAATCATAAATCTCAGAGGATTCATCAATATCAATAGGGATAGCTTCTTCGTCATCATCATCGGCACCTTCACCTTCGAAATTGATCTCGGGGGATTCAGTTAAACTTCTTCTACGTTTCATTCGACTATAAGCTTGTCTCTTTTGAGAATCAAAATAATTCAATGCATCAAGATCAGCAATTAAAAGATCAACAATTCCAGTATTTAATAATCTCTTTCTTAATTTGGCATTTTTATTAACTCTCACAAAGAATGAATGAATTTTCCTACCTCTATAACCTAAGATTAAATCCTTTAAGATTTGGGCGGCGGATGAATCAATTTCTGTCATACCTTTTAAATCAAAGATAATATAATTTGTCATAGATGCATTTCTACGAGGTTTCATAGCAGGATGAGCTTTGGTAGATCCATACATTTCAACTCTTTTAAGACGAGATCTTAAATCACTGCTATTAGTGAAGGTTAAAGGTTCTGGAATTCTGATAATTAAACATCCTTCAATTTCTTCAAGTACATGAGTATTTAAATGAGTAAAGTTTTCATCGCCAAAATAATTATATTTTTGAAGTTTTAATTTTTCAGCCATATCATTAGTGAAATCACTACCAACACCACCTTGATTTGAATTAGCATTTAAATGAATTAATGCTGCATCCGGTATATCTGCATCAAGGAAAGTATTTGAACCAGGGTATCTTCCTAAAATTTGAATTCTAGATTGGGCAGAATGTCTTATAACTCGAATTAACAGATAAATCAATCCCACTGCAATACCACCTTCCATAGAAAAGAATAAAGTGGTAAGAACAGTAACACCAAATGTGATTAATTCATTGTAACCACGAGCTTTCCAATGGAAATAAACTTCAAAAGGAGCTTCTTCCATTAAGGAAATACCAATGACAGCAGTTATAACACTTAACATACATTCCGGTACGAAATATAAGAAATCAAGTAAAAATCCAATGGTGAATAATGTACAAATCCCCATAATACCTCCCAGTAATGTAGTCTTGGCGAAAATAGCATTAATTTTACTTCTGCCATAACCTCCGAAAGCAGGTAAAGCACCAACGAATGATCCGACTATATTGATGGATCCTAATGCTACTAATTCACGATTTGATGAGATAGGTAAATCATAGGTTGAACCTAATGATTTTGAAGCGGTAGTTGATTCAAAAAATCCTAACATGGCACAAAGGAATCCTGAAGTACTAAGGCTTTTAATTAAAGGCCACATTTTTGCTGTGAATGGATTATATAATTGTAATGCCCCACCTTTATGAACTGTACCGATGATTTTTATACCTTCTTGATCCCAACGATATATTGAACATAACCAAGTTGAAATCCCCACTACGATTAAAATTTCGGGAATGAATACTGCTTTATCATAAAATGAATTTTTCTTACTATTTTTAGCGGCATATTTTTTAAATATTCTGATGGCCATTATAATGACAAATCCCGTCATACTGATGGTAAAACTTAATTCATGTAATTGATTATAATGTCCGAAAAGGAATCGGACTTTATCGAATGGTGAATGAATATCCATTGCTGAAGGATCATCGGATATTTTCTTTAATAATTCTTCTAATCCCATAACCACGACTAATGAATTAATCACCATAACTAACCCAACACCACTTATAAACCCCTTTAATAAAGATGCACTTAAAACATTATCTAAGAATCCAAATCTACCTAATCCGAATCCTAATAAACTGGCCCCACTGACGAAAGTTATGGCCACCACATACTCCATAGGGTCTAATTCTTTTTTATTGGAATGATGTAATAATGGTTCAACAGCTTGACCCACAATTAATGAAATAGGACCTTCTGGACCTACCACCATTTGAGGCACACTTCCAAAGATTAAATATATTAAGGGTGATATCCCTAAGGATAATAAACCTGATAAAACAGGGACATGAGCTAAGGAGGTAGCATATGAAAGGGATAAAGGTAATTGAAAGAACACCAAGGTTAAACCTCCGATTAAATCCCCGATAAAAAAAGCAGGAGTATAATGTTTGACCCAAGATAAGAATGGTAAATAATAAGGAAGCATTTCACTCCATTGTAAGCCTTCAAGATTTTGAGCTGAACCTGGAACATAATCATGAACACTTTCTTCTTCTGCTAATGGAGGGTATACCGTTTGAAGATTTGAATGAGTATGAATCATTTGAGTTGGTAAACCAAATTGATATATGATTGACTCTACATCGGTATTATCTTTATGAGCAGAAGAATTTGTAGGAGGACTTAAATGAGTTGGACTTGGACTTTTTTGATTTGGAATTGGAGGATGATGGAGGGTATTACTATTACTTATATTATGAATGCTGATATTATCATTGATTGGCATACGAGATGCTGCTGTTATGGATTGATAATCAAGTTCAAGATTATTTCGATCTATAAGAGCTTGTCTATCACTGGTTACAGTATTGACTCTTCGACTTGATATATGTCTAATGCTAGGGGATGGACTTGTAACTCGCCTAAAACTACCTTCATCTGGGGTGGCAGTTCTTGCGGCGGATCTCACTGGTCTTAAAGTATTTGTTGAATTATTGGTTGATACAGATGAAGAAGGTTGAGGTTTGGACATGATGAATGGTGGAGATATCCTCTCTTCTTCTTCTTAAGTAATGTAGTTAACTAGCAAACTATGAAACAGGTATAAGTCTATGAAATTTACGGTTGACAGATTTTGATATAAAAATAAAGTTATAAAATTTTCTATTTCTATTTTTTAGTGATACTCCACGTGAAGTGAAGTTTGAGCTCTTTCCCCAACTAAATTTAATCGCCATCTCTCTCCCGCTAATTATGTCACTCTTCTCAGTAAAATTTTATTTCTATTTTTAACGTCTCGTATATTTTACTTACTACAATTTAACCAATCATATAATTTATATTCATAATACAGGGCTTATATACTGTAACTATCATATCAAATGTAGTACTATTTTATGATCAACTCTTATGTCTTGTTATGACCACATATCTACTTTAATTATTATTGCTAGTTTTGTTTACTTCTCTCTATTAGTCTAAACCACTACGCTAAATAAGAGCCACAATTACGAACAATTAATAACACTAACGTCTTATACATCAAACTCATACAACCCTTGATTATACAAAAAGTAAACGATTAAACGCTATCCACAAAAATGAATCAAACAATATTATCAAGTGAAATTGATTTTCTTAAAAGTTATTATAATTGTTGCTCCAAAAAAGTAATTATCTTGCAAAAATGACTTCAAACACCATTTAAAGTGAAACTGAACTATTTATTACAACTTTACATTCACAATTAAACTAATTCTACTTGAATATACACTATTTTGCAATAATAATTATAATAACCAACAACGATTATGTTTTGCAATAATTATTATACAAATAAAATTCCGCTATCGGTGAAGTCATGTGACTTCTGGTTCCAATTTTTTTCAGATTTTTTTTTTTCAGTTAAAGCTTACAACTAAACACCTTTACCATTATAACAAGTTTAACTAACTATATACTCATTCAACCATGTTATCCATTGGTAAGAGACTTTTCTCTACTTCAAGCACAAGATTGAATACTCTTGTGTTTGTTGAATCTTCAAAATCAAAAGTTTCACCCGCATCTTTATCATCTATAACTGCTGCTTTACAATTAGGTAAACCTGTTAGTGCATTGGTTGCTGGTCCTGAAGGGGAAATCATTGCTAATGATGTATCTAAAATTAATGGTATAACAAAAGTTATCGTGGCTAAAGGTGATCAATATAATCATTATTTACCTGAAGAATTATCCCCTTTGGTGAAAGATATCTTAACTAATAATAACTTTACTCATTTTGTAACTGCTGCATCAGCAGTTGGGAAATCATTATTACCAAGAGTTGGAGCTTTATTAGATGTTCAACCTATATCAGATATTGTTAAAGTAGAATCAGAACATACGTTTGTAAGACCAATTTATGCTGGTAATGCATTATCAACCGTTAAATCCAATGATAAATTAATTTTAACCTCAGTAAGATCAAGTGCATTTGCTCCAATTGAAATCTCAGATGCCACTAATCCAATTGAAGAATTTTCTGGTAATATATCTTCAAATAATAGAACTGAATTTGTTTCAGAATCAATTTTAAGTTCAGAAAGACCTGAATTAGGTTCAGCTTCAAAAGTTGTAGCTGGAGGTCGTGGTTTAAAGAATAAAGAAACATTTGATCAATTACTTGAACCATTAGCAATTAAATTAAATGCGGCTGTTGGAGCATCAAGAGCTGCTGTTGATAATGGATTCTGTGATAATTCTTTACAAATCGGTCAAACTGGTAAAATCATTGCTCCAGATTTATATATTGCCGTTGGTATTTCTGGTGCTATTCAACATTTGGCAGGTATGAAAGATTCAAAAACTATAGTTGCTATTAATAAAGATCCAGAATCACCTATTTTCAATGTAGCTGATATTGGATTAGTTGGTGATGTTAATGAAATCATTCCTGAATTAACTGAAAAGTTATAATCTCCTCTCGTCTATATATACTAATAAACATTCATTGATCCCATTGTTGCATAATTTTTGGTTATAGTAATTTTCACGTGCCGCCATTTTTGAGAGGTCGTTTGGGGCTCACCGAGCTCCACACAAAATAAAAATTTAAATCGTGACAAGTTTTCATTTTAAGCAGCTCAAAGGGCAAATTGACAACCATCTTGAATTGGATTGGATTTAATCAAATCACATCAAATCAAGTCAGGTCAAGTCAATTACAGTAACTGATCCTACGCGTAACTAAATATCAAACTGTTGAAGTCATGGATAGAGACGAACTATCACTCCCAGAAGAAATTCTTTCGACTACGTCTTCATCTTCATCATTCGTACCAGTTGATCAAATTCAAGATGCTATTCAAATCATTGATGAAAATAAACAATTCAATCAAGAAATCTTGTCCTACATAAAGAAAACTACTAAGACTGTTGGCAATGATTATCATATCATTTCTGTGTTTGGATCTCAATCGACTGGGAAATCAACTTTATTAAATCGGTTATTTAATACCAATTTCGATGTCATGGAAGAATCAAGACGTCAACAAACTACCAAGGGGATCTGGTTAGCTAGTTCACCTATTATCTCCAATTCAAAATCAAGTACTAAACAACAACAAGTTGATGAAGGTGATTCTATTCTTGTTATGGATGTTGAAGGTACTGATGGTAGAGAAAGAGGTGAAGATCAAGATTTTGAAAGGAAAGCTGCTCTATTCGCTATGGCAACTTCAGAAATTTTGATTCTTAATATTTGGGAAACTCAAATTGGTTTATATCAAGGAGCTAACTTGGGATTATTAAAAACGGTATTTGAAGTTAATATATCATTATTTGGAAAATCAAAATTAGAAAAGACAAATGATCATAAAGTTTTATTATTAATTGTTATAAGAGATCATATTGGTACTACTCCCAAGGAAAATTTAGCTGATATTATCGTTCAAGATTTAAATCAAATTTGGGATACATTGAATATCCCAACTGAATTAAGTCATTTGAAATTTAATGATTTTTTTGATATTGATTTCCATGCGTTACGTCATAAAGTTTTACAACCTAAAGAATTCATGGAAGATATTTATGAATTAGGAAATGAATTCAAAGGGTTATTCAAACCTAATTATCATCATAATATCCCTATTGATGGTTGGACTTTATATGCTGAGAATTGTTGGAATCAAATTAATAATAATAAAGATTTGGATTTACCTACACAACAAATTTTAGTGGCTAAATTTAAATGTGATGAAATTATTTCCACTATATTTGATGAATTTTTAGTCAAATTTAATGAATTACCAAATTTGATTAATGGAGATTATGAAAATTTTGGTCTTTTATTGATTGATTTAAGAGATGATATTTTGGAAAATTATAAATCATTAGCATCAAAATATAATAAAAGTGTATTTGAACAAAAGGAATTAACTTTAAAGGATAAATTGAATGGGAAATTTAAAGAAATCTTTGATACCCAAGTTAAATTATTGTTGGAAACTAATATTAATAAATTTAAATCCACCATGATTGAATATTCCGGATCGAAAACGTTTTATAATCAAACTTTAACTTTACAAAAGGGAATCAGTCAAGATTTTAATCAACAAATCAAACATATTTCTTTGAATGACGATCTTTCTTATGATCATCATGTGGAAGAATTTAATACTCAAATCAATAATCTTATTCAAAAACAACAAGTTCTTGAATTGCAAAATATTTTAAATAAATCACTTAAGAAATTAAATAATGGATTGAATAAGTATTTACAATTTGAATTGAATGATCCAAAGGCTGACCTTTGGGATAATGTGTTACTGAAATTCAATCAAATCAATGAAGAATTATTCACTAATTATACCTCAAGTGAAGGTAAGATTGATTTTGGATTAGGTACTACTGACCAAATTAATAAAGATTCGATTGCGAAATTTAAATTTAAATCATGGGTTAAATTTTATGAAATTAATCATAAATTAATCAGTAAAACCAATCTTTTGACATTATTAAAGGATAGATTTGATGATAAATTTAGATATGATGAAAATGGATTACCCAAATTATACATTGATGCTCATGAATTAGAAGTTCAATTTGATAAATCAAAGAGTTTTTCCTTGGATATCTTACCTATTTTATCCCTTGCTACTTTGAAAGATGGTAGTGAAATCTTACCTGAATTTGATATTTTCAATAAAACATTAAGAATCAAGTATCTTGGAAAAGAACAAGTTGAACAAGATGATGATGATGAAGAAGACGATGATGAAGATAAATGTTTTGCTGAAAATATCACTGAACAAGAAAAATCGGAAATTTTAACTAAATTCAAGAAAGAAATCGATGCTAAATTCATTGAAACCAAGAGATCCATTGTGCAACATATTACTCAAATCCCATACTACATTTATTTAATCATCGTTGCATTGGGATGGAATGAATTCATGGCTATACTTCGAAATCCATTATTATTTTCGTTATTAATTATCATTGTGGCTGGGGTATATATATTATATCAATTAAATTTATTAAGACCGGCATTAATTGTGGTACAAAGATTAATTGATGAAGTTATAAATGTCACCAAAGAGAAATTAAGAGAAGTTTTAATTGATGATTATCAACCTTCCGGAAGAAGATTAGAAAGAATTAGTAAGAATAAATTGGAATTTGAAAATAAAAATGATAATGATGATGATGATGATCAAGGTGAAACGATTGAATTACAAGATTTAAAATCAAGTACATAGGTATGGTAGATAGTTTTAATAACCAGTAAATTAGCTAATACACAAATTTAATTAATAATTGTAATCTTAATCATAAATGTGTAGGTAAATATTTTTAAGTCTCACGATATATTACCATAAAAGAAAAATTTAAATTTTTGCAACATAACCAAATTAAGCTTAACATGGATAGGTCAGACCCCTAACTTAGACGAGAAAAAGTTTATATTGTGAGTAAATGAATCAACAGGGGGTAGGGGGTACTGAGATGTGGGCAACACAAGTAGATTAAGACAGGGGTAATGAAACCACGGTGTAGAAATATCATTTGAGTGATGAGAGAAAATTTAGGACATAAGCGAAACTGTATAGGAATTAAGCTTTTCTAGGGGACAATTGGAGCATGGGGATAGGGGGAAGGAGGGAGGGTTAGAAATTGAGTTTTAGTATACCTTACAGTAGTTCTACATGACATGATACATGGGGTAAGGTATGGAGAGGAATATTGATAGTTGATATGGATATTAACGTCGATCATAGTGATATTTATTTGAGTATTTGTATCTAGGAATGGAAGGGAATGGAAGAGGGACGAATTATTCGATTATAGAATACTAGAAGTAACCACCCCATGGAGATAATAGGTTGTTATTAGTGAAACGTCATAAAATAATGGTGGCATTTGGTATAAAATTATATTCACTTAAAAAGATAGTAAATGAAAATCGATAAAAATGTAACATTATTCTATAATTACTGGGGGGTGATACAAAGGTAAGGATAAGGGAATAAATAGTCCGAAAATAATAAGATCAAAAAAAAGGTTAAGTATGGGGTATAATCAACTAATACTAATAACAATACCCGTAACATCATAAATACAAATTAGACGATAAAAAAAATAGGTAGTACAGAAATAGAAACAGAGTATAAAGTTAGAAGTATGGAGTGGCATCCACACAAAACGAAATAAAAATAATTACCAACAAACGAAATAAATGAATAAACAAATGCTGGGCCACCCTTATAACAGAGTAGATCTTATAATGTATATATAGATCTTTTGTATAATTGTGGTTAGCTTTGGGTTTGGTTTGGATGTTAAACTTTGATTGATTGGGATTAGAAGTTGATCCATTTTTTTTTTTGATTGTGAAAAAAATGCCTTTGTTCCTGTATACAGTGGATAATGTAACCTTCAATTTATGTCACATTTTAAAATGGTTGCAATTTTTTTAATGGTGGTTTATATGCAGGTCGTTATGGTATGCCATATCGAATTATATAATATAGAAGTAAACCAATATATCATATAAGTTATAAGTTATAACTAGTCAATTGATAGAGTATATAGTAGTACTATTAACAACTGATCAATGGTAAGATCATAATATCACGCTAAAGATCATATGTATATATATATATATATACTCTAACGTATAAGTTCATATATATATAGAGACCGTTAGTCTCTATATATCTAATTTCTATCCTGCACACAATAAACTGTTACATTACAATTTTTTTTCTGTAACCATTTGTTTAAGTAACTATCAAAAAAAACTGATATAAACTTGAAATCAAACTAAATCCATATAGTAAATTAATATGACAATATCAAAATACAACTTTAAATTTATACAACTTACAACCCCATTAGACTATTAAGAGATTAATTAATTATCCCACTATTATTCCCCCAGTACAACCCACTTTATTTACATTCTAATTGTTTTTTTTGTATTCATTTTACCTCAGTTGATTAGCCTTACTGCAACTGCAACTGCAACTTCAACTTCAACTCCAAGTTACTCCACTGTGTCCCACAATAATTAATATTTACTACCACCTACTACTGTCTATCTATCTGTTCGCCCGCTAACGACGTTTCCCATTTCATCCCATTACTGATCTTTTTTTCACCATTAACGGCCCATTTCACTAAAATTATTTACATGTACCGTTAAAAAATCTTATTCTAATATTTTAATTATATTATATTATATTCCTCCTACTTCAACTACCACAACTAGTTAACCGATTTTGTTTCTTTATACCAGAAAAAACTGTATATATGATATCTTAAATCCTGTTCATTTTTTAAATCTTGACTTTACATTTATTTATTTAAATTATCCAATTTACTTTCATCATATTTATATATATATATATACTTCCTTCCCATATATATATAATCTTATACCTCATCTGTTGATTGCATTTTAACGACTCATCCTTATTTATTATACCAACTTCAACTCACTTTCATTTTATTCTTCATTTCATTAGATTCTTTGCATAACTTATATTTTATCATCATGTTACAACCAATTCCTTCATCTCCAGGTATGACTGGCCCAATGTCCATTAAAGGTAATACTGATACCCTTACCAATACCGTCACCAATAGTTCAACTACTTCCGATGATGATTTAGAAACTGCTTTAGATAGTAGATTATCTTCTGAATCTTCTTCAACTTCTTCATCTCCAAATACTACCATAAATAAAATTAATGATATTTCTCCAATTAGTACTGGTACTACTACTCCTTCCTTATTACCAAGTATCGTTAATGAATTCCTTGGTGAAATCAATGATGACCATTTAAATCAACAATCTGATTTATTATTACATGATTTTAATGAAGCTTTACAAGAAAATTCTAAAATCACCATGTTACCAAATTATAATATTAATCCATCGGGAAATGAATTTGGTCAATTTTTAGTGATTGATTTAGGGGGTTCAACTTTAAGAATTGCTATTATTAAAATCGATAAACCAACTGATCATGATGAAGCTGATAGATCTAAACGTATTCATATTTTGAATGAAAAATCATGGATTATTGAAAATAATTTTAAAACTATTGATAATAATTTCTTTAAATTCATTGCATCTAAAATCGCTGAAATCATTAAAGATGATGAAGAATTTTCTAATTGTCATATTATTAAAACTGGTATTAGTTGGTCATTCCCATTAAAAACTACCAATTATAATAATGGTAAGATTGTTCATGTTTCGAAAGGATATACTATTTCTGATGAAATTTATAATAAAGATTTAAAAACCATTTTAGAATCGGTTTTAAAATCAGAATTCAATTTATTAATAGATGTTAAAATCATTTTAAATGATTCATTGGCTGTCTATGCTGCTGGTTCATTCATGGATAAATTTATGAAATTAGCTCTTGTATTAGGAACAGGTACTAATATGTGTTGTTCATTAAATAAAAAAGATTCTGATTTAATGCATGATGATAAAAAATTAGGTACTCAAGATAAAGTATTATTTAATACTGAATTATCATTATTTGGTCAATCTATTATTAAACAATTCACTAATAAATATGATGGATTAATTGATTCAAGATTTAATCAAGTAATTGATTTACATTTTAAAACTTTTATGACAGTTGATCCAATCTCCAAAACTATTTTCCAACCATTAGAATTAACTACTAGTGGAAGATATTTACCTGAATTAACTAGATTAGTATTATGTGATTTAATTAATGCTAAAGAAATCTTTACTAGATTATCATGTCAAGATTTAGCTCATATTTTACATGCTAGTTATGATGGTATTACGGGGAAATTGATTTGTTTTATTAATGAAACTGAAGATTTACAAGACATTAAATTAAAATTACATGAGATTTATCAATGGGATATTGATTTAATCACCACCAATGATATTCTTAATTTAAAAACTATTATTGAAACCATTTTAACCAGAGGAGCATTTATTATTAGTATTCTGGTTATTGCATTTATAAAATTAATCCAATTACATAATCCTGAAGAATTCCAATCATTATTAGATCAAAAAGTTATTAATATTGGATATGTGGGTTCCGTATTACATCATTTTAATCATTATAGACATTTAATTAAACAATTTATTAATGATAATACTGAAATCAAACAATTTGGATTAAAAGTTGATTTCAAATTGATTGAAAATAGTTCAGTCATTGGTCCTGCCATTGGTGCTGCCTATTACTCATAGATATATCTGTGAGTGAATGATTGTATGAATAAATAAATCTTGTGTAATGTTTTACGATTTTAAAAAACCCTTTAAAAATATCAAAAAATAACCAAAAAAATTACCCAACCCCATTTTAAATAGTACAGTAAAAAGTAATGAATTTCCAAAAGTATATAGTATATAGTATAGATTTATTATATAAACGACATTTATCTATAATCTTGAAATTGTAGTTGAAGTGGTATTAGTTACTATAGTAGAGTATAAGTATAAGGTTAGTGATGGCTAAAGTTGCGAAAAATAGTTGGACCGAATTTAACCGATGGAGACCGATCCTTAACCAAAAAGTATAATACCGATCAAAATTTAAACTATTACGGTTCATAACAATTTATGATACTAAATGACATATATTTTTATGATTTCTATAAACAAAGGGGTGAAGGGAGGGAGGGGAGGTATGATATAAATGCAAAATTGAAAAATGAAAGAAGTAAGAAGAAAGGGTGAATTATAACTTATAATTTACTTTTTAAACCAGCAGCAGCATTATCACAAACGATTAAAACATTATGATGATCTTGTAAATAAGAAGAAGGATAATTTTCATCTGAAGATTTACCATTAATAGTCTTATTTAAAGCGAAATTTTTATTTTCACCTAAAACAATTAAACAAATTTCATCTGAATTATCAATAATTGTAGAGATACCAACACTTAAAGCGAATTTTGGAACTTTTTCACAATCATTATCAAAGAATCTTGAATTAGCTTTAATGGTTGAATCAACTAATGATACTTTTCTAGTTTTAGATTGACGAGTTGACCCTTTTTCATTAAAAGCTAAATGACCTTCTGGACCTAAACCACCTAAGAATAAATTAATTCTACCGTATTTTTTAATTTTAGCTTCATAATTAGCACATTCTTGATCGACATTGGTGGTTAAACCATTTAAGATATTTATATTTTGACGAGGGATATCAATATGATTAAAGAATTTATTAAACATGAAATAATGATAAGATTGTAAATCAGTTGGAGGTAAACCAAGATATTCATCCATATTAAAAGTGATTACATTTTTAAAAGTGATTCTACCTTGTTTATTAGCGGTGATTAATCTAGCATAGATACCTTCTGGAGATGAACCAGTTGGTAAACCTAAGATGAAAGGTTTAGTTGGAGTTGGTTGGAAATCATTAATTTTCTTGATGATATATTCTGCTAAGTAATTAGAAGCGTCGTCTGAAGATGAAAATGTGACTTGTCTCATTGTGGGTGTGTATGTGTATGTGTATGGTTTATGAATAATATGAATTGATATGGATAATTAATAGTTGTAATTGATATTAAAGGGTAGAATATATGAGTTATATATATATATATATATATATATATAAATTATGGTGTGATGACTTCAAATTGAATGAATGGTTACAGAAATTTTTCAAGTAATAAATATACTACTGAATAGTTTTAGTCTAATTTTAAATTTAATCTGGTGGTTGGGTTGGGTTGGGTTGGGGTTAGGTATATACTAAGAAATTTAAATGTATACAGCATAACAACATCCCAACCATTATCATATCATCATCTCGTTATTGTATATCTGGGGAATCTCATTCAGTAGAAAATGTAACATTGATCGACAAATGTAACATTGAATTTGGGTTACCAGAAATGCGAAATGGTTACATTTTTTTATATGTCTCACTCTCCCTTAGTTAATTTAATTTAGTGACTGACCACACAGTAATTGTTACTGGACTGACCGTGCCCACCTTCTCTCTCTCTACTTGCTCTTAACTATGGGAATAATTTTAATGTAACTGTAACGGTAAAATTAAATGTTAAACATCCCATCGGGTAACTAACTAACTATGAATTGATCAAAGAGTATATATGAGAAGAAGAAGAAGAAGAAGGTGATGTTCAAACTGTAATTTATAATTTATATAATTTATAATTTATAATTTATATATATATCATTCATCTTTTCTTCTCTATTGATCTTCCATATCTATTCTCATCATCTCATCATCTCATCATCATATAGTTAATCCACTATCACTATCAATTACTATCACTGTCATTTTTTGTGTCATCAATTATTTATTATTTATATATTTGCATCTATCAACTACTTATAATGTCAACTTATACTAAATTCACCAATTGTAATCTTATCGATAACGGTAAAGTCTATAAATCAACGGATCTTTATATCAATAATCAAACTAAAAAAATCGCTCATCCTCCTCATAATAAAAAATTAATCACTAATACTATCGATTTACAAGGTAATTATCTTGCACCAGGATTTCTTGATATTCAAAATAATGGTATCTACGGTTTAAATTATTCTAATTTAAATGAAAACTCAAATGAAAATGATATTCGTATGTTTAAATCATTTTATAATGATGCTATGCAAAAATATTTAACTACAGGTGTAACTGGTGTTTGTCCCACCGTTACTTCAAATTTCCCTGCTGTTTATAAAAAAGTATTACCATTCTATAAAAAATCAAGATTATCAAATCAATCTGATTCTTTAGGAGCTCATTTAGAAGGTCCATTTATAAGTTTAAAAAAGAAAGGGTGTCATCCAACTGAAACCTTTGTTGATGCTCAAACTTCAGATTTATTCGAAGTTTATGGTGGTGAAGAAAATATTATTGAAAATGTTTGTATTATAACTGCTGCTCCTGAAATCCCAGGTGTATTAGAAACTATTCCTCATTTAATTGAAAAGGGGATAATCTTTTCTATTGGTCATACTATGTCTGATTATCAAACTGGAGTTAAAGCCGTTCAAAATGGTGCTTCAATGATTACTCATTTATATAATGCTATGCCTCAACCTCATCATAGAGATGTTGGTGTCATTGGTTTAATCAATCCTCCTCATGAATTATCCATTGAAGCTCCTTATTATGGTATTATTTGTGATGGTGTTCATGTCGCTCCATCCATGGCTAATTTAGCTTATAAATCAAATCCTGAAAAATGTATTCTTGTCACTGATGCTATGCATTTAATTGGTTTACCAAATGGTACTTATAAATGGGATCAACAAACCATCATTAAAGATAATGATCGTCTTTATTTACAAGGTACTGATACTTTAGCAGGGGCTGCTACTACTTTACCTCAATGTATTAGAAATTTAGTCCAATGGTCAAATATTACCTTAGCAGAAGCTGTTAAAACCGTTACTAATAATCCATCTATTTCAATTGGATTGGAAAATGAAAGAGGGTTCTTAAATGCCGGTTGTGATGCTGATCTTGTTGTTCTTGATAAAGATGGTTATGTTCAAAAAGTTTATAAATTAGGTAATGAAATCGAATCTTCCGATGTGGTTACTCAAACAATCGTTAATAATGAAAAATTATTAGCTTCCTTATAAGTTTGTTTTATAATTATTATTTATTATTAAAAAATAGAAATCAAATTAAATCCCCTGTTGCATTATATATATACTATACATCTATACCTTACATACATACGTAAACTTGTTACATAACAAATATAATTCGTGATAATTATCATTACTACAACTTTAAATTTTTTTTTTTTTTATTAATGTATTTGTATTATTAATTAAGTTTGTATAATATGTTAATGACGCTGATGGGGGATATAAATAAAGTCATGAATATATATAAAATGAACGAATATATATATATCTAATAAATAAAAAACGAAATGCAATCTAAACTCCTTTCGTTCAAATCTACTCACTGCTGGATTCCTTTTGAGTTTCGATATCAGTCTTAGTATCAACATCAGGAGCATAAGCATATTTGGAATGAGTTCTAATTCTTGCACCATAGATAAAGAATAAAAATGGAATGGCACAACATGCTAATGAAATAAATGCCATTAAAGTTGAGGCCCATTGATATCCTAATCTATGATACATTTGAATTGTAAATAATGGAACACAAGCCCCCCAAATTGATCTCACAAAAGTTTTAGCAGCTAAAGCACTGGCAGCATAATGTTGATAAGAATCAACAATATAATTATTAGCAGGATTATAAAGACAACAGAATCCAAATCCAACAGCAATACCAGAAAAGGCTGGACCAGCCCATGAAACATGAGGATATGAAGACCATGCAAAGGAAAATAAACCAGCTGGAACAAACCAACAACTAACCATCATTGGAATTAATCTTAATTCAGCCGGTGGTAATTCCCCTCTATCTCTATAAACTTGAGCTCTTCTATTATAATCAGCATTAAATAATGGTGCAGCACAAGTAGCAATCACAACCCCAAGACCAATAGGTAAAAACATAAGACCAGTAATAGTGGCTGAAAATCCTTTACCTTCCATAAAGACAACTGGATAAGCAAAGAAAAACATATATAATAATCCGTAAACCACAGCCATGTATAAAGTGACTAAAAAGACAATTAATTCTTGTAATAAAACAAATGGTCTTAATAATGAGGTTTTAGCAACTTCACTAAAAGATCTAATTTTTAATTCATTTAATGATCTATAACGAGAATCACCAGTAATTTTTCTTAATTTTTGAGCTCTTTTCTTTAACAAGATACCAGCTTGAGTTTCTGGAACCACCGTAATGAAAACAGTATAAAATATACCGGCCACGATTAAGAAACACCAATAAATCCATCTCCAAGTAGAAGTATATTGACCCAAAAGACCTCCGAAAACTGGACCACAAACTGGACCAAGGAAAGGAGCAGCTGAAAAGATAGCCATAGCTACTCCACGATCTTTACCTTCCCAAATATCAGCTAATGAACCACCAATAAGAGTCATTGGAGCTGAGAATAAAATACCATCGATTAAACGACAAACGATTAAAGTAGCAATGTTTTTTGCTAAAGCACATGGAATAATAAATATAACTGCCATGAATAAAGTAACAGCATAAACTGGTTTTCTACCCACTTCTTCAGAAACGGGAGCGAAAACTAATGGACCCACCCCAAAACCGATAACGAACATAGTAACTGATGCTAAGATAATAACTTCTTCACTAACACCAAAATATTCAGCAGGATGGGTTAAATCACCGGTAACAATGGCAGAACCTAAGGCCACCACAAAACAAATAGACCCTAATAACCCAGTATAAACCCATTTAATAGCTTTAGAAAGATTTTTAGGATTTTTTTTATCACCCGGAATAAATTCCACTAATCTTAATCCAGTGTCTTGATCAATAGGATATTTCCATTCATCATCTTCATTAAAATCTGAATTTGGATCAGCATGAGTTTCAATTCTTTTTAAATCATAAGGTTCTTCTAATGGACCTAATTTACCAGTACCTTCTTGTAATTCACTTATAATTCTTTCCACCCCTCTATTATTCGTTACTAAACGTTCTAATTCATGTTTATCTTCAATACTGGAATGAACAGTATGAAGAGAATTTCTAAGACTTCTTGCTATACTTCTAGTGGGGGAAAGATGAGCTTGTTCTTGATAAACTTTTTCAGCTTCAGCTTCATCATAAGATTGAACTGAATCAACACTGGCATCATTATCCATGGTAGTTGAATCTGAAGTTTCTGCCATTTTAAAATTGTAAATATGAATATATTAATGTAAATGTAAATGTATAAATGCGAATATGAATGTGATAATTATTATTATAATATCAATTAAGATTGATGATGATGACAAAGAAAAAGAATAATTGAATGGTTAATCACTGGAAATTAGGGATATTGAACATCTTTTATATATCCCCTTTAGTTTACTATGGAATTATCATTATTATGGCTCAATATACTTAATTAGGGAAAAGAAACTTTAAAAAAAGGAATTCGGTATAAGCATTTTCTAACCGTCCCTTAACTAAGCAACAAAAAAAAAAAAGATCGCAGCGGTATTTATTTGTTCTCTCTCTCCACAACTGAGTATTTACAACTTCGGTTTGAATGAGTATATAATCGAAGTGGTTTTAACTGATCAGGTCAATGGTTATGGCTGGTAAAGACTGTAGAGAGAGTAATTGACAGCCATCTACAGTAATTGCTTCGATGTTATCTCATTTCTTTTTCTGTTATTATTGGATAGTGTATGTGTCATGATTTAAAATAAAGTTGTCTCATTTTTTGTCATACATACAAATTTCTTTTTCCATGAGGTCACCAAAACTAAACTAAACTAGAGGTATGGTATGAAACAGTTTGATTCATCGTGTTTTACATGACAAGTAGAGATACATATATCCATATATATAGACATATATGGATGATAATCAACCATGATAGAACCTTCAAAACTGATAGTTTACGCTAAATTCAAAGCCCAATAGATATAGTAAGATATATAGATAAAGTAAATATCGGCTTTGTTTGTTTTTTGCAACTTTAAAATTATCATTATAGTCTAAATCGGCATTAAATAAGGCTGACTCCTAAATTTTGAGGGATTTTTTTTTAAAAATTGATTTGATTTGAACATCGGTTTAATGAGTTTTGTCTGTCCTGTATATAAATGTGAGTTTTCTATTTCTGGTGCCTGTTATATGCAGGACAAATAAACTGTTCATATATTCATCTAAATTGAAATTGATTGGACCGATCAATTATTTATTTATTTATTTATATTATATGACGCAAGTACTTTATTCACTCATTCATTCATTCATTATTTGTTTACATTATTATATGATCTACAGTTTTATAATCTATCTCTAATTAATAAGTAATTACATTCCCTAAATGCTTACATTATAATCATATAACTATCATTCAATTTAATAAAAAAAAATTCCCTTTTGTCTAACAACAATTTGTCTCAATTAACCGATATAAAATAAACTATTTCGATAAAAATACGAGATTGAATTATAGCCCTATTCCGATCTAACCTTACTCATTACGTCTAACTAACCATTTTACATGCTGTTAATCCACCCATCAAATGTAGACCAATGGTTAGGGTTTTATTTAGTAGGTAATATTAAATTTTGATATTATCATCTCTATTTTGATCGCGGTACATACAGGAAGAGGAAGGTTCTATAAATAGGATCAAAATACGATTTACCAAATCCTTTGAATTGACGCTTAGAGATCTACAAATTCATGAATTATGTTACATGGATCATTTCTATGAATGACATTAATGGAATTGTTTTAACAGATATATTCAAAATAAGTCTTAATATACCTCTTTCAAAGACAATAACAAAAAAGATTTGAAATTTTAACATTCATTGCTATTCAAGAATTTATTTTAAAACTAATGTCAAAAATGATTAAAATTTGAAAAAATTGAATTTAATTTTAAATCTCGGCACGTGATTGAAAAATGGACCAAATTTCGGATTAATAATTAAAATTAGACCCTGATATAACAATGGGTCCTACTAATTACATGGATTACAACTAAACTAAACTAAATTAAACATTGAACCTCAACTAAAACTGAACTGAAACGAATCGAACTAGTCATACATCTTGTGCCAGCCTTCATAAAAACGCAAAAACTTTACGTAGATTATCGAATGATTTCTTAATGTAAGATTCGGATAAATTTGAATTGAACAATGTAATGCGCTATTCTTTGAAAAACCTTATTTCTTAAAATTGTTGCGAGCATTAAATATCGTCGATAATGAAGGACCAAAAAAAAACACGTCGATCAATTTCATTATTGGGTCTGAATTTTGTGTACATTGATTATCCAAAGATGATCATTAACGTCTAGAATTCGTGCTTTGATTAGCAAATCTTTATTCCAAGCTTAGAAAAGTAGAATCATAACTTTTTTTTTTTACTTATATAGCAAAGAAATAGTTCAAATTAAACCCATGTTAATAATTACTCTGATTATTTATGCGGAGAACCTCACCACTTTTCATTTAAGGTTAAACTATAATTAGTGTCCGCTGTCAATATTATACGATACTGTAAGCTTATTAAGCTACTAAGAATTTAATCGAGAGTCTTTTTTATTGCAAGATGAGTTTATCCATGTTATGAAAAAGGGGTTTTCTTGGCTTTATAGCCTAGAAAATAAAGTCTTTGCCAAAATAGGAAGTGGTGCAGCAGCGCATTTTCTTTTACAGCATGCGTCCAAAAAATAAGCAAGAGAAAAAAAAAAAAAAAATAAGTTAAATTAAAAATAATTAAAAAATATAATTTCTGCATATTTCATCATCCCAAAATATATAGTTTAGACCCTTTGTTTTTAACCTATTTTTTGAAAAGGTTTTGGTCTACGCTTTAGCGGCAATACATATGAAATAAAAAGTGGCTTTACATTACAGAGTAAATCTTTTCTTTTAAAGTCCAAATTTCATAGTGTCCGGTTAATTTTTCAATTCAATTAAATGCAATAACAGCAAGCTAACTAGACTTAAAAAAGAATTATAAAATATAAAAAATAATCAAATGCATTGATTGAAAAAAATAAAAAAAAAAAGAATTAAGAAGGCTTACCTAAAATATACCTGGAGCAGCAGGAAGAGTTGGACAAGGCTTACAAGCAGCAGGCATTGTACGGTTTGGTACAGGACCAAAATATTGAACAACCTTTCTTAACACCACATAACCCTTTACCTTTATCATCGACAATACCAAATTTCTCTTTCTCATAACCAAGACCAATATCAAATTCTTGAGCTGTTAAACCTAATCTTGTATAAAGGACTAAGATACCGGTTTCTTCATTATAAGTATATGGAACACCAACTGGTCCACCACTAAGAGCTTTAGTCATACCAATTTTATTACCATCACCAAAGCCTGCAACTTTAATAATGTCTTTTGAATGGAATATACTTTCATAAGCAGTAACTTGAATTGAAGAAGTTGAGTTAGCTAAAAAAAGGTTTGACTTTTAGAAACTTCTAAACTTGGATTAGCAAGGAAAATACTGGAATCGTCATAAGCAGTAATACATCCATCACCGGCAATAGCAGTAGATTGTTCATAAATTTGATTATAGAAACAAATTTGGCCACTATTATGAACAGTATAAGATGATTTATCAAGAATATCACCTAAATTAACTTTAGCAGTGTTTCTTTGATTTTGTAAGAAAACCATAAACCCAGTATTATTGAAATTCTTTGAAATAACATTCATTTTAGCTGGAATAAGAGTTTGAGCTCCACTTGCAGCCATAAAGAAATCACCTGTGTTGGTGAAAGTCTTGGAAATGAAAGTGAAATCAGCATTAATAGTTGATCTAACAGAATTCAATGACATAACACCATCATTTCTAATATCACTGAAAAGAGAGTTCATTTCAACCTTTAAACCAAGAGTTGATGAAGCACTACTAATATATAATGCACCACCTTCAGCAATTTTAACATCACCCATAATTTTACTAAGTTTGTTATTAACAATAGACCAGAAAGCATCCTTGACAATATCAATACCTGAAAAGGAGTGATTAATATTACCATTAGTAGTAGTATTTTGTGAAATTAATTCAGCAAAGGCGACTGAGGCCAGTAAAAGAGCTAACAAAATAATTCTAAATTCTTTCATTTCAAGTTTAGTTATTGTATTAAAAAGATAGCAAAAAGTTTTATCTTCAATTTTTACTTCTATTCTTGCTGCCTTTTATACCTTGGATTCACGATGTATTTTGATAGCTTTAGGGCCACGTCTGCTCCATTCTGAATGAGAGAAATGATTCGATTTTGAAGTTGAGGTATGTAGATATCACCAATTGAGTGAAAGATACCCCTTGGCGCTTGATAGAAGGTGCAAGTTACTCTTCCTCAAATTTCGTGGGGGATCGACACTTAAACGGTTATATGCTTGAGTTATCTAATCAAGGTGTCCAAAAGAGGAAATGAATATGAAGAACACCTGTACACTTATAACTTGAACTCTTGATTTCAATTCTAAACGAATAAGGACATGGCATGATGGATTTTTGGTCTTCAATAAAAATACTTAAGCAATTCAACCTATTAAAAAGGTTCCTTGACGCCTTAGTGTTCAAATGTATTATTGAAGTTTGCAAAAATTATTGCAGCAATTTCTTATCTTTCAAAAGATTTTCAAGAAAGAAAAGTTTAAAGCTTACAGTTGCTGTGTTACGTAAACGTAAAAGCGTGAAAAAATTAGCCAATACAAACTGTAAGTTCAAGATAAACTTCAATCTTACTGATTACTTTAAAAGAAACTTATGGACCCTTTTAGATATGGAGCCAAAATAAAAGAGTAAGAGAATAATGACGTGCACTTTGAGTGAGTTTTAGTATTATCTTAGACGATGTATATATGCACCTTAATATAAATAATAATACTTGTATTTCATAATTATACTATAGTGGATTTTGATGTTTGTATAATGTTTTCAGCGATGATGTTTCTCTGAAGAGATTATGTCGAGTTATAAACTGCTGTTTATACTCTAGCGTAGTAATATTGGTGTTAATATGGTGATTAATGGAAGTTTTGCATCTTTAATTAATTGATCGGTAAAAATTCTCCACTAGTACATATCATACGACAAGAATACACAGCATTTGTTGATGGGACGACCCTATAATGCTGTAAAGCATTTTGGGACAATAAACTCATCAAGCGAAAGCTTTTACTCTCCAGTGGACGAACTATAAATTAGAGGAATCGCTCACTTATTTTTAATTAGTAATTTTTATATAGAACTTTAATGGAAGGAGTATATTAATTATATGCACGAATATTAATATTGAATTAAATTGTTACGCCCACATAAACTAATACCGTTGTTAAGCCTAGAATATAATTATCTTATTTCTATCAATACATAAATCATGTGCTTTATTACTATTTTACAAGCCTCTTACTTTCATCTAATTACATTTATATAAATAGCTTTATTTGCCACTTTTTGAAATATTTGATCTATTTCACTCTTTTAGAAAGTACCGAATATCATATATAAGTTAATTTCACAATTATTCCCCGTTGATATTATACACCATCTACTTAGTAGTGTGTAGTACAACATTATGACAGTAAGAAATGTGTACTATATTGTTATTACTCTACTGTGATATGATAAAAAGTGTAATCATAAATATTTTATTCTTCAAAATCGTTACAAGATGTCAGTAATGGATTTGAGTCGGGTTTTATATTTTATTTAATTGGAAGGGCAAGGAGATTATATATTTTGCTTGGATTGTTTAACGTATACCATAAAGTTGCTTGGTTTATTTGGGTCCTTAATGGATTTGCTTCGCATATAATCTAGCCTGTCTAATATTATTGCCAATTAATCCTTCATTAATTTATATGGAAAAATATTCTTATAAAATTTTGATTAACGAATTTAATTATTTAGTAGTATTCAGTTGATCGTGATATCACC